ACCTAGTGTGTATCTATTTCGCGTTAGCAGTAGGGGGTAAAACGTATTTGAAGCCGTGCACAGACAAACAGCTCAGGCAGGTAAATTAGATTTGGGGCAATCCATTTTGGCATACCTGTCAGGCCAGTACGCAAACCAAAGCCATGCAGAATCGCCCAGCTGCGGTAAACTAAAGAAGGCCTGCACAAATTAGCTCATGGGACAAATCTAAAATGCAAATTTCTTCACTCTTACAGTTACTGCTGTAAAGGGGAGGAAAAGCTAGAAGATTTCAGTATAAAAGCTTTCAAAATCGAGAAGTCGGGCTTAAAAAGGTTGGAAGCCCAAATTACCATAGTGATTGTAGTCAGAACACTGATTTTATTTTCCTGGCGAGTGGCTTCTGCACTCTCTTTAAAAGACGAAGCATTCACTAGCTTCGAACACTTAGCAGGTAATATCTAGGTCAAGGTGTAACAGACGGACTTACCCCTTCCCGCATGCTCTTGAAAAGTTCCAACTTCTGAGCCAGAATCTCGTGCAAGATCCTCAGTTCCGATACTGACTCACCAATAGATCCAATATATTCTTGCCACCAGGTATAAAGTTTGAAACTCTCCACCTCATAAAGGGTTTTGGTGGTGTCGTAGTACCCATCCCAGACGCTTATCATGCGAGCAATATGATCCCTAAAGAGACGTATTGTCGACTCAGCCTCCGTAAGCTCTATTGTCCTAGTCAACATATGATCATCGAGTAGCTCATAAAGATATTCCTTGTTATAGTCAGCAGCAATTAGCGTTGCTATCGAGGTAGAATACGAACGTAATGTTGCAACCGTTCAACGAAGTAGTTGATCAATGTCGTCCATTCCTCTCTGGCCTGAAGCATCCTCTGAGCTTGTACCACTAGTGCATATTGACGTGGATTCCAAACTGGATACTCAAGCCAAAGCGAACCACCAGAAGGGGCATCGAGGGAACTAGTTTTGTTTAGCTGGCGATTTTTATTTTGCTCCCTTTCAAAAAATGTGTCAACAGCACAAACAACAGTATACATTCTCTCATCAATACCCGTCAGTAAGAATGAAGTCTGTGCCTCATAGTAGTAGGCTTCTTGATCACCGGGTCGGGGTAATGGCAATCGTTTATGCGCGGGACAATGATGAGGTCCTTGTCTTCGGTCGTCCTGCATGGGGGAACCTTCGCGAAGGGCAAGGTAAGGTATATGAAATTCAATAGTATAGACCCCAGACTACGCGGTTAGTCTCGAATAAGAAGTTGGATAAATGTATTGATTACCATTGATACACGAAAGTGAGTGCGAAATAGTAGATGGTTCTGGAAGAACTTTTGCAGAATAGGAATCGAACGAGTCGGTGCTGTGCCGATGATGGCCATGGCACAGGAGGGGCTCATATGAGATACATATCTGCCGGGTATGAGCTAAACAATCAGTATGTGTGTCAAAATCCACGTACAATGTCCGTCTTTCAGCACCGTTGTTTCGTCTCTGGGAGAGGTTAGACCGACAAATCTCGAGGAGGGATATTGACCCTTACATTTTCGCTCAGCCTCTGCACCAATCCCGGTAAATCTAATCTTTCGGTATATATATTGATACCAGAAGGTGGATACCTGAGGTAGAGATCTGAGTCCCAATGACGTGTTGTTGCTGTGATGTCAATCGGGTCGCGCCTCTCATCTGAAATGATGATGCTTGAGGCATGCCTATTGGTTGCTGCTCGCTTGAATGTGGACATGTCTGCGCTGCCGAGAAAGTTGCGCAAGGCTGAGAAGCGAAATTGGCCAGGAGGTTCCAGGAAATCTTTAGAGAATCTCAATAGAGTCTCAATAAAATTTTCCTTCTCGCCGTTTCTCAGGTATTCGAACAACGAGACACCATTCAGGAATGCGAGTCGATCTTCACGCCAATCTTCCTTAATGTACAATTCTTCTCTCCTTTGCCGGCTGTACCGTTCCTCCCACAAATTATTCAAAGAACCACCTTGACGTCTGCTTGCGCTCATGATTCAGAACTCCAGAAACGAAAAGTAAAGAAAGGGTATCGTTTCTTAATGTAAACACCTTGGCGTAAAGCTTACCTATATATAAAGAATGTAGTGTGGAAATGATACTCAACAACGCAAGGCTGAATTCTAGGCAGTGTTTGCACCTATCAGCGGGGAACACGTTAGCTGCTCACCGGTCGGGGTTGCCCTCACGGAAGGGTTGATATAAAGATAAACCGATGACTGTTGAAATAATACTGAATATATCTTGTCATCGAAGCAAAGGATTGCATATGAGCAAGATGTGCGTTTATTTCAACCAGGAATCAATGAATCAACTTCAGAGGGAGCTTGGATTTATTTCCACATGCCATTCTATAGAAACTATGCCCCAATATTGCCCTATGACTTGGACCTGTGTATGTAAAGCCCTACAATTAGCCAAGTATCGATTCTGACGAGATCAGCGCGAGACAGATTGCAATCAAACAAATTTGGCGGACAAATCAGTATGCCAAAACCCGAAATGTCAACATAAAAAATGCGCAAAATGCACGGCGAAAGAGACTTCGATAGAGGTTCAACTTCTATTAATACACAATTGTTATGCTATAAGATCCTCACTAACTGAATCTTGGTTCTGTGTAAGTCAATCAAGCTTGACGATGGATATCATACTAACCCTAGATTAGTGTGTCTGTTATCAGGCTAACCCTGTATTATATAACGATCGAGATGTCTGTCCAAATTGTTCACACGTCAGGTGTAGCCTCTGCAGTTTGGTCATAAATGAACTTCATTTGCATCAACAATCAACGGAATCTTATCAATGGGCACTATTGTTCTCCCTATAATCACGTCTTGATAATAAAGGTTGATGTTATAAGGCAAGAGGCTTCTCGTGAGGCTGAGGAGGGGACAAAGGTTTTGTCAAATTCATGCGTAGTACGTCGTGTGGCCGTTATGTACAATTTCTTAAAGCATCCGTATTTAAGGAATTTATTCAGCTTTACATAGATTGTTGTAGCAAACTTAACATTTACAGATGAGGATCAAAGGGACTATCAGGGCCAGACAAACATTTACACAGACTACCCGGGATTTGTGTAAAGAGGAAGGATTAGGGAAACAACTATTGGCACGATAGACAGATTACTGGTTGTCAGTTACAAGAATACATTTAGTAAGCATTATGGGCCTAGTGAATTGGCTCCCAGCTAAGAATATATGAAGTATAACTTGCAGTTCCCAAGTTATTAGAGTCATCATAATGGACATCATAAGCGAGCTGCGCTGGCTCTCTGATTGCCTCGGGCCACATAGACGCACTGCCTGGGAATGGCTCGCAGTAGCCTAGCCCAGCCTTTTCAAGTTGGTCTATTTCCTCATCTTCAAAGGAGTCAAATACAACAAAAACAATGTAGTATCGACGCCCGTTGGCCTCAAATACTTGGTTGAGATGTTGGTCTGTGACCATGGCTGCCAGTTCCTCGTCGCTTAATTCCCAGTGCTTTTTGAGATGTTCCAGATGTCTCTCCTTCTCCTCGGCTATACGCCTCGCGAATATGTGACCTACTACCTTTGGGTAGTCACGACTCCAGTCCGGGCGTGGTACACCGTCGACGAGCCAATACGGTGTTATGTGCTTGTGCTGCATCTGCATTCTCCTCACAATTGCTTGTACGTTCTGGGAGCGCAGCATGGCCCGCCCCACCCCGGTGCCCCACGACGGATGCCACTCGATACCCACGCGATCAAAGCATCCAAAGGTTTTCCCGTGCATGTAGAACTCAATATAGTACTGCCAGGCAGCTTGCCTGAGAAGTGGCGTTGCTCGACCTTGACTATCGTGCAAACGGAAGACAATGAGGTCGAGCGTATGCATCCGAGGGCGAAGCACCTGTTTTCTTCCTGAGATTGACGGGAACTTGCCGCCACTGTACTGAGCCTCCCATACTTCCATCGGGCGCGGCCGATGGAGCGGGCCCATGCTCCGGTGAACGGACCAGCTGCACTTTCGATTGTCTCGAATGTACTTGTTCGCGATGCAGCGTGACAACCGGCAAATAGAGAGAAGTGTGGTGATTTGATAATACGTTGATAGTTGCCTGCAGCGACGTGTATAGGCAATCTCATCAGCAAGGTCTCCTTCCTGCCTTTTGCAATTCTCGATTTCGTGGCCAAGAGTACGATCGTCAGACCCCAAGCGACCGAAGACAGCTGGCACGGTCGTATACAGATAGCGGAAGAAAGGGCCAGAGACCCCGGACTTTGTAATGTTAACCCGTTCAAGAAACCCAGGATTATGATCGCGTGCTTCGAAGACGTCCTCGCTCGTCTCAGGGATGCTGTCGAACTTGTGCCACTGGGTGAAGCGGATGCTGTCGCGAATGTATTCCGGATCTTGTGGGGTACCCTCAATTTCGATCCAGTGCACACCACGAGCAGCTGGGAGGACCAGCTCCCAGATAGCCTCTTGTAGTTCGACTGCGAGGTCGTTGAAAATTGCCATAGTCAGATGGAATATACAGTGCTGTCTATCAATCATGTTGCATGAAATGGTGAGTGGATTAAATAGGTAGCTGGAGGTGACGCTCAATTTTACGTAAGCTCCCCACCCGATATAATTAACTACCTAGGTACCCAGGTAGCTACGCCGCTCAACAACACGCAACATCATGCTGGGTCCAGGCACAGTATTGGATCTATTCTGTGTCAAAAGCCACCTCTGTTTTCCGAAAAGTGAAGATTCGCTTAAAAAATACTTCCCTCTTCACGCTCATTTTTTGCACTATAGTGTTACCATTTTAGAACATCTAAGCTTCATTTCTATGGGCCAGTACACGAGCGAGCCCAGCCTGCTTCGAGTCCAGAAATCCTGTAGAGATATATGAAACAGTCCTCTCCATTCCTATTTAACGTGGCATCATGATTGTAGTCGTGGATCCCGGATAGAGAGCCCAATGTAGAGGTTTCATGCTTAGCTAGAAATCTTAGGAATGTATCAGAACAATGCACTGTTACGAGTACATTATCTGTTCTTTGAACTGTCTGTGCCTCTGGAAGTCTCGGACTTCAAGGCTCTAGGCATGGACTTCATCAACAGGTAGATCTTTATAGCTTGCTACGCCTCGAGCCCCCACATAAGCGATTTAGAAAATATCACTCTACATGAGTGCATTCTCGTGTTTATCTCTTCATGATAATGCGTATTCTCTACCCAGAGTAGTAGTAACAGCGCAATCGAGTCTTTTGTGTACAATGGCATCAGATGCATTGAGTCTATCTCTATTTATGGTCTTAATATGACGGTAAGTAACACACATACTTGATCCCTCCGACAACAGTACATGGCGTATGCCGAAGGATTACTGAGCCTACGAGGCAAAGCAACAAACGATACGTATCATTCAATACGGAGAAACGAGTTCCAATGGAATAGTTTCATTACCAAAGCCGCCACGTCTAATTTCTGGGATGAAATGTTTCTTGGTCACAGTCCGCAAAATTCCGGAAAGTACAGAACAGATGTAGTGGTTCTATTAAATCTAACACCTGTTGAAATCCAACTACATGATCTGTAGATGAAATGTATGTCTGTAAGAGCAGGTTGTTTGTGAATATAAATTTAATAGTTGTATTTTCAGCACCCAATTCATTCTCCCCTCAAGCCCATTTGCATTGTGCTCTTCTTTTATCATCATTGCTCTTGTTTTACTGTTTGCCTGGAGCAGCAGTACTCTCAGCCGTTCTTTCGTACCCGAACATACATCTACTTGGTCTGACGTTGGGTCTCCTGGTTGAGCTCTACAGTGTACCAGAGTTGAATTTTTGTGCAATCAGACCATCAGTGTTTGCCTGGAGTAGACCATTTCCGCCATCCTCTGATAATCAAACAAGCTCTGCCAGCTGAGAGAGTCGCTTCTACCTTTCCTCGATATTTTCAATTCCACATCGCCAGTCCCATCACTTCTGAATATTCGACATGAAGTACTTGATTAAGCTCGTATTGGTTGCGGTCCTACTCATCTCTGGCGTGTCATCTTCGCCTTTGGATGAGTATGGCATTATCGAAGCCAGAACCAAGAAGGTAGACTACAATATCGACGGTGCTATTGTAGCGTGGTCCAAAAAGAAGCATACCAAGGATATCTTCAAGGCAGCATGCGATACTACAGGTGGATGGGAATCATGGGTCCAAGTTGAGCTCGAGCTCGTATTCCGGAAGGAATTTGATATTCCTCGCAACATTAATATTCGCGAGCAGTCCAAAGTTTACCACAACGGACAAATTGCAGACTTTCTTCTCCCAGAAACTGCTAAATTCAGAGGCATGGTTATCGAGCTCAAGTGTGAGAATAATAACAGCAACAAGGAAGAAAAATTGAAAGACAAAGTCGACAAGGACTTGAAGAAAGAATTCTCGGTCGACAGTAGTTACCTTGAACACAAGTTTGTAGTTCTTGCTATGACATATACGCGCGAGGCCGAAGACGTTGTTAAAAAACTCGATCTAGAGGCTATCCCAAAGATTAATTACAAAATACCGGGCAAGGGGACCATGAGGGTATTCAGGAAGGATCTTAAGCCAGCCGAACTTACAGAAGACGTGAATGATGTGGCGGATGCACTCAGCAAACTCTTTTTACAGACAAACAAAAGATTGTAAAGGTAGTCTGATAGCTTTATAGTAGGTTTAGTAAAGCATAGCAAATATAAACCTTATCAGGTGTAGATTATTTAGAATATTTTCAAGCTATTATGAGATTGTATCTACAGACTAAAGACTATCTCAATGGTATTTTCTTATGCACACTGGATTTAGTAACAAAGCTATTGATATAGATGTCTTAAGTTGTTACGACGCCGGAACCTATGAGGACAAAAGAGCTATCAAGTACTTGGGACGGAAGTCGGAGATCAAGGCCAGAGTGCTTGACGACACCCAAGGACGAGTCACGTGATCCAACATCACGGGGACAAAGTGATCAAGGTGATCAAGCCTTGGCAGAAGATGAAAAGGCCAAGACCTTGAGCAGCTTGATCAAAGGACTAGGAAGGACGGATATATAAGATTGCCAGATTTCATATGTAGGAGTTCTTCGTAGTCAATAACAAATTGTATCTGATCTTTTGGAATTACCTTACCAGTACAATAGTAGCTTATCCCCCTGGATAAGTCAGAGTTATTACCCTGTCTTGATACTCGCTTTACCCTATACAAACCTCTGCGATATACCCCTCTTACCTTGTGTAGTAAGTTACCTATCGTTACATAGATCCTTAATCTTAATATTATACTACTATAATTAGTAAATATTAAGAAATATATAATAGGTATTATATAAGGCTATAGCTTCCTTTTATCTTTATAGCTATTTATAACCTTGCTATATCTATATAATTAAGAACTTAGTCTTCTGAAATTTAGAGAAGAAACTTTTACTGTAAGTAGTAGGTATTCCAAACTTCCCTGAGAGTGCACAACTTCCAATGCACTCCATATCAGAACTGGTACCAGCCTCGGCCCGTTGCTGATGCCGAAGGATAATGGGCCGATTAGACCCCATCAGGACCGCCACGCTATCTCCCTCGAGGACACCGCTACAAATCCCAACACACCCGTTGAATGTGAGGAAGTAATCCTGACTCATGTCCGATCGTCTTGTCATCTGGTCGACAAGGCTGTTGGCAGCCTGGTGATCGCTCGACAGCCTAGGTAGAACACCCGAAGGACTTTTGGATGACAATTTATTTTTCCAATTAACGCCACATTCCCTGTCCAGAACTTCCTTCTGGCGGTTCGACCGCGTCGTCAGAATTGCCCTTGATACCGGGAACGGAACTCCCCGACCATACACACTGACTGTGAAGCGTCGTCGCGGAAATACGGCTGCCACTTTGGCTACGAGAGCTCCTAAGGCAACTATTTTCAGTCCATCGTCGGAAAACTTGAGCGATGCCGACGTTGACGGTTCTGGATCTGACTCGTCTGGGAAGGTCAGGCAGCGGAAATCCGGGACCCAGGATGGCACGCCCACTACACCAGGAGCTTCGAAGCGTTGCAGCAGAGTAACTTGTGGGCTCTGCTCGTATATTAAACGAGCATATTGCCGGAAGACGTCGGCAAAATCCAGTCTGTAGTCGGGTACCAAATGCTCTGGAAGTAACGAGACATTAATGAGGCCCAACAGGCCGTATATCTTGTCTTGTGCCAAGCTGCTTGTGAAACTGGCAGTATCTTTTAGCGATTGTTGCAATTTCGCAACGAAGCTCTTCAGGTCCTCAACAAGTAGCTCCTCTTCGATCTTGGCTGGGAGATACTTGCGAGATTGTCGGATTCTCATCAGCTCCAACGGTCTGTCGAGTGCGGTATCGAGTGTAGGTGACTTCCATTCACTAGAAGCTTTCCAGGCACTCATTAATTTCGTGAACTTGTCCAGCTCAACCACGCACGGTCCGGCCATCAAAACTACTGACTGTGTTGACAGAGCCACCTCTTGAACGGCCCAGACCTGGGAGAACCAAGGGTTGTTTGCCAACTGAACTATGCACAGCTCGAACTCTTGGCGAGTGAATTGTTTTGTTTTCAGTGACCGCTTAAAGCTGTCAGACCAATTGGACGAGAAGTCGCCGTCCTCTTCAACGTCGTTTTCTGTCAAGCTTGATGCAGTCTCGAACACGAAATCCGTCAACTCGTCCATATCAGTTTCACTAGGATCGCCGTTGACTGCCCAAACAAGCACCTCCATTGCGGAGGAATAGATAGCTCGCATCTTCATCACTTCCTGAGATTTTTCGTTTAAGTCGGAGTGATTGATGCAGATAACATTTGTCCAGAGATAGAAATCTTCGTCCTCGCCATACCTGGTACAGATTTGACGTAGTCCACTGTAGAGGCCTCTGGTAATCGGGAGTGAATGACTGTTAAGCTTGAGCCACGCTTTACCGTTCGTGATGTCTCCCCCATATGAAAGAACTCGAAACTTTGGTGTCTTATCCAACAGGAAATATTCGAGGCTGCAATCTAGTGAATCGCTAAGGCTAGTTTCAGAGAACCGGAGGAGTCGAATTTCATTAGGTAGAAGTGCCCGATGGTACCACAGACTAGGCTCCTCGGGCAAAATTCTATTTTCGGCAGGCGTCTCCTGACCTAGCCCGGGCAGTGAAGTGTCATATTTATTGACATCTGGAGAGGCTGAATTAATGTGTACCAGTTGACCTTGGCCAGTGCCTAGGCGACCATACCCGCCCAAGAATTCTTCGACTGATCGCTCAAACTCTATCAGTTCAAATGTCTGGAACTCTTTATCGCCTGCGAAATCGGTTCTAGGAAAGTATTTTCGTTCCTCGTTTCGCCTAAACGGGTGACCTGGACGATCCTTTGTCTTGGCCTCGTCGCCGTCACTAGCTCGTTTTAAGATGCCTTCCACATATTTGCGCAAAGAGGGAAGCTGGAATATAGTGTCTCTCTCGAAATCGAGAGTGGCAAGGGGGGACATATCAAGAGGGATTGCGGCCTTCTCCTGGACGTCTTTCCATGCATCATTAAGGAAAGTCTTTGCGTCTCGCAGAACTTCTTGTGCAAGTGGAAATGCAGGACTCTCACGCGGGAAGCCAGGCTTCTCTTCAGTCGAACCGAGCTTGAGCAGGCGACGAGATATCTTTGTTGTCATGACGAAGAGGACATCGTGGGACAGCCCTACTGGAAGGGATTCGTATAAAACGTAGCTCATCAAGTATACCATAAAATCCTTGTACAGCGATTTCAGGTTGCGGGTTGTGTCGGCTCGTCGATGGGGATCAAGGCGCACTGGCTCAAGGATCAGCTGTAGAGACACACGGATCATGAGCCATAGCGGGGATCTACGCCAGGGTGAGGTGCCCTTTTGGAGAAGGACTTCTTCGCGACTGCGTTTGGAAATGCCGGGAACGTCATTCTTGCCGCGTCCAAGTCCACGAAGCACAGCCATCAGCATGCCTGAGACGAGCCGTGGACTAGGAGTATCGGGTCCGACGCAAGGCCCTGGAGGAATCGCGAAGGAGTTATCGGCTTCGACAATTGAATCCATCTCCACGTCAGCCGTTTGGTCCAGTTGCATTATAGTTTTTGCCAGCACTTGTCTAAACCTGGAGTCGTCCGCGAGGCTCCGGTCGATCGAGGTAGCAGTTCCAGGGAACTGGCGCTTGATTCGCCCGATGGCATTGACTACGTCCTGGTCGGGTGCGAGCAGCTCAAAAGACTCGAATCGAAGTTCGGGGCCGTCGCTCGTGATAAGGAGGCCAGCGTTTTGACATCTGATGTGCACGGCGAGAGTCTCTACGTAGAACAGAATTGAGTCGTTATGAGGGTACAAAACAGCGACAAGCCACAGGCCACCTACCGGCATCCTCCAGGGATTTAATCTGCTCTTCTAGGAGCTTAGCGTCTATAAATCCACCTCCGTCTCGAAGGCGAATCATGCGATCTATCATTCGAATACAACGGCCGACACCGATCCGCGCGTCTGGCTGCAGCTGGTATCGAAAATGTCGCAAGCAGAAATAAACCGTTTCCGCAAGACACCATTCATGGGAATCATTAGCGTCATTTTGCTGTGGCAATTCCGGTGGGAGAAATATGTGATGTATTTTGTAGAGCAGAGCGTCCTGCATGCTCTCACTAGTTGACGGCATCGTTTTGATTGTTGATGACGAAGACATTGCTGGAACTTGAAGGAATAAATGTAGCGTCGAATGCGGCTCCTAGTTCCAAGGTTCATATTGAGGATATAGACAAAAGTTGACGAGGCATATTCACACCGCCCCGACAGAGCTCTTGCAAACGATATGAATTAGCTTTGGTCCGCAGGTGGTTGATGGAAACGCCACAAGGCTGTGAAAACTGTTGAGTGTTGATATTTCGGTAGGACGTATTGAAGGCTGTGAAAATGTTCAGCTGATGCCACGTCTGGCGCTTTTTCGCTGCTGCCTGCACCTCACTTATTCGATACGAGGCTGGAGGGACGTTATTGGTCGCCCATCTTTCAATATACGATATACGAGCTGGCAGATGTCGGCGGATGGCTTCCAGCACAACACAGCGCATTGGGCTGCGTTGTGCTTGTTTACTGTATCCTGGCTCGCATCTAGGCATCAGAGGATGGAAATTCCCGTCCGCCAATGTGGGTAGTGCACGTCGATAGAAGCAGTCTACATCTTCATGGCTACCGTTGCTCTCGTTTGCGAACACACAATAGACGACAAAAATAGAAAACCATTTCCTCCAATCGTTCGTGCGGATGCAGCACGAAACGAAGTTCAGCCTCACCGTCCAGCAGGAGAATCGGCAACTCCACGTTACCCACGCGGACTGTTCGTTCACAGCATCTCGACCTCGAGCCTGGAGTCGAATACCACAGAGCGAAGAGTCTCCAGCTAATATTCAACTGGCGATCTGGCATACGCCACATCAGTAGCTCCCCTGCTACTCTTAGACTTGATCGCAATCTCCAGCTCTGGTCATAATGCCTAAGCCAAGAAAGAACCGACAAAATCGACAGCGGCGACAAGATGGCAAACGTCAACACCCGCCGCACACAGACACCGAGCCGTCCGACATTGACTTTCTAGATAGGCCGGGTGATAATGAGGCGCTAAGAAGACGGTACATATCCCTCGTGGACCTTATATCATCTTACACGTCTGCCGCGGCTCAAGCGTACAAAGAAACCATCGAGGCGACGTCGATTATGCTACTAACCATGATGGAGCTTTGGGTCGAGATCGACCAGTACGCAACTGCTTTCTACCCTATGCTGCTTAACTTCTCCACCGGTTTCCCGCCTGGCATCCTCGATTCGCTCGTCCTGCCCAAGAGAGAACAGCTACTTCGGTTGGCCAGGGTAGAGGACCACCTTGAGAACAGGATGTTTGCGGAAAGCTCACTTGGTGTTCCTCCGTGGGAGTGGGCCGACGCTAACCACATGTCTCCTTTCTCCACGACGTCGTTTGCTGCACATCACTATGAGAACTCGCCTACCCTCAAGTCTTTCCATGACCAAATAAAATCCCGCGCCGACGAACTGAGGAAGTGGAAGTTAGAAGAGCTAGCCAATAAACGCAATAAGTATAATGAATTATTAAGGCGATGGCCCCCCTCCTCTCCCCTCGAGCACGAACGCAGGATGGCTCACCAGCACTTGTGGGCACCAGCTCCGTGTAAACACGATTGTAAGAAGTGCGCTTTCGAGTCCGCCAAGGAGAAGTTAGCGATTGAGCCGTTTCTGGAGCCTCTTCCCGACGATGAGAATGCTGCGAAAGCCATCGTGTTCGAGATAATGGTCCCTGAAGTCGTTCATCGCTGGAGAGATGCTACCCTTTTGGTTCACGAAAGCCTCCGCAGTGGCAAAGACAAGAAAGAGCCGGCGTGGCAGGGATGCAAATTTTACTATCCCGAGAACCATGGGGTTATCCGGCATGTTCTCGACAACCACGGGTTCGGGGCCGGCTTGCTCAGTCCGAACGGTCTATTCCGAGTAGCTTCACCATGGTTGCCACTTGGATCAAAAGAGTCGCACGACGTCAAACGCGTCGGTATCGAGATAGCAAGCGAAAAGACAGTTATTATACGCGACAACAGCTCTTACGTCCTCTGCGATCCCAGATCGGGCAATGGAACTTCGAATATGATGAAGCCATCGAACGAGGTACCAACTTATTCATATGCGCCGTCCACTGTCATAGAACCCTGGCAGAGCTGGATCTCCAAGAATTCGCATACCCCGAATGAGGTCATTGCCAGTCTCGCCGACTGCGACCCCGACCTACGCTTCGACGAGATCAAAGCATTCGGTAGCCTGAGAGCTGGTGTCCTCCTTCAGTGGCCAAATATTCTAATTCAGCTGGCCGTGCCCAACCTTAACTTTAAAGAAGATGAGACCTTCCAACTAATCATGCAGGCGGCGAATCAAGCCGGTCCAAGAACCGGTTCGAGTCCTCTTCGTGATGCCCACTTCATCTTAGAGGACGAGCAATTCGGCATAGCTCTGATAGGAAAAATGAGAGGTGCGCTAGGCAAAATCCAGGACAATTGGGAGCAGCAGGTATCATGGGCCATCTTCCTCTGTATTGCTGTCCGAGTACTCTCTTTGACCCGCAGTCCGGTCGTAGAGGCTCAGTGTCTGCAGTGCCTCAAGGAAATTCGGGATAAGTCTATCCGCTGGACCCGTCATCTGAGAAAAATGATGAATGAAGCTAGAGACGACGAGAGTAGAAAGGACCTGGAGCAACGAACTCTCACCATGGCTCTTATTTGCTTTGGGACATTTGATGTCGGCTTCGCACACCTTCAATCCCTGTTCAGGGAGAGTTCCTGTCCCGAACCCGCGATTCTACTCGAAGCCTCGATGGTCATTGCCGAAACTGTGATTTCCCAAGACCTTATCGATGAAGCTGAGATCGTGCTGGCGACGCTTCTCTACCGATGGCGGCGGCTCTCATACGATATGGAGCCTTTGCTCCGGAAGAAAATCAGTGCCGCTGACGCTAATAGTGACACATGCCTGGATACGGCAATAAGAAAAATATGGCCGGAATATGCGGGACATGACAGTAAATGGTCTTGCGCTGGCCGACAACATCGACATGTGCTGGTGTCGGACTCACTTAGCACCGGGCACAAGATGCAGCAGCGTCTTCAGTACAATCTCCTAACAGGATCTTTCCTTGTCGACAGCGAGCCGCTGTCGACCCTGCCCAAGAAATACCGGTATCATAAAACGTACAAGCGACTCTTTGGGAAGCAAATTATCAAAGTCCTACCGAGCAAATTGGCAGGAATGAGGTTCCAAGGAAATTATTTGAGACACGAGGTTCACTTTGGCATGTTCAACGGTGACTTGATCGTACGAATGTATAAGGACCAGAAGGCATATGAGTTTGTGCCGGCGTCAAAGGTGGAGGAGTACGTCCCCACCTTATTATCATCTGAGTACACGCACTGGTTTGTTCTTAAAGAAGTGGAAGGCTGCGAGAGCGCTGCCTTGAAATCCCAGCAACAGGACGACAAAGATGAGATGAAGGAAAACGAAGAAGCCAACCTTGCAATTCCAATCGCCAAAGAACACATCATTGAGTTCCGACCTTCGGATAAGACCTGGGATGCACTTGAGAATAGGCGGACCCTTATTCTGACGATCAGCAAAACCGGATCTGCATCTTTGACCAACCAGGACTCCCAAACAATAATTGATATCCAAAGTCCAACCGCTAAGACTTTGGCGAGGTTCTTTCGACCACTTGAGCATTCTGAGTTTATCCATCTGACGTTTGACCCCCGCAAATTGACTCTCGAGATTGACTTGCCTCGATATCAAACTGGTTTTACCCTCCGTAGTCGAGACACGATCATTGAATCAAACCAGTATCAGAACTTTATCGTTGACGAGAATCAGTATCTCGGAACGCTTGTTGGATTGCAGACGAAGATGGTGCTTCGATCAAAACACAGCATTGGCCAGCTCGCCCCGGCAAGAGCAGTGATAGTCCCTGCAGGATTGGCGTGGGAGACCTGTTGCGTCAAGGAGCGTCTGGGGTATGCATCTGCCTGGCTTCTCCCGTCGTTCTCTTCGGAGCAAAGAAACGTCGAGCACCACTTCTACCACGTCAAAAAGCGACTGGGTTTGCTCAGAGGCAACAGTACCCTACGAAGCGAGCTGTTCCGGTGCTATTTGCACGCGATTACATCTTATGTGCTCCCGGATCCTTTGACTGGATTTACTGGCACCGAGACAGCCTTTCAAATCTTGAATTCGAAGGCTGTTCGGTCTCTGATCAGGAATTCTTCGGGCGCAGACCACGAGCGCGACATTAAACTGTTGCATAAGATCGCCACCCTTAGTCCGCGCCGAACTTGCGCTATTGGCGCTGGTCGATCGATTCAGGTTGTTGCGTGGTCTGATATTCCCGTGCTGGCTCAGAGCGACGACTTTTACTTAACGGTCAAAAGCATCCTCGCAGAAGCCCGGTCCACTGATGTTTTCTTCCCTGGGGGTCGTGACTACATGATCTTACCGGAGAATGACACTATGACGACAGCGGAAAAATTGCATAGGCGTCACTCTCTTAGATCCCCTTTGACCGAGTTACGAGCCCGCCCATCCTCTGAACATCACGACGTGGATTATAGAGACCGCGACGAGTGCAGCGAATCAGGGATTGCCGAGAAAGTCTGTGTCCTAACGAAACTTTTGTCAAAGCCACGACGAAACACACTCACAGAGTCGATCTCACCGTCCGCTGTTACAGAGGCCGCCGAGATACTGGGGTGCGTGATCTCTTTTGATGCTGCATTGTACGTGAATTCCAAAGAAGTGAGCGAGAGGGACTTGGACCAGGATGTGTGGTACCGCTCCAAAAATATCCCCTTAGGTTTCGACGTCCGTTGGCTGAGAGCGCCCAAGGCGACGCTCAGAAGTTCCTGGACCAAAATCCACAAATGGCTCTGCGGAAGCAATGTGCTTGAAGAAGTTTCAGTGGAAAAATACAACATCATCATGTTTTTGGCCGCAATGAGCTTCGCCAGGGACGCCAACCGCAACGTTATTCAGCTTTTCTTATTGTTCGTCCTTTCTCCCCGTGCGCTGCCCACGGTTCCAGACTATGCTCTCACCCCGGAGCCGAAGCTTACTCTGGCACATGGTGCTGTTATGGACAGAACGGCCCTGGTTGCACAGGCCGAGAAGTCTGCCATCGGCGATTATGGATACGGGATTCATTCGACTATGAACATCGAGGGACCACAGGATTGGTGGCATCGATATGAGCGACGGCTCGAAAATTATTTTGAGAGGCTTGCTGACGAGCTCGTTGCACAGGGCCTCTGTGACGATCCAGGAATACGCAACCCTGAAGACTATGCCGCCTATGTCTCCATGAACAGTTTCATGCCAGCGGCGAAGACGCTGATTCGTTCTTGGCACGCCAACTCTTTGCATTTCGAGTATCTCGAGAGGCTCGTATGTGCGGCACAAACCTTCGATATTATGGATGGGTTATATAAGGAACCACAGGGAAAGTTGTGCTTGGTTCCACATGTCGAACTCAATCATGAAGATTCCAATGAGAATTCCAACGAAGCCACCGGCATGCAGTCCGACGAAGATCCTGGCGAGGATTCGGATAAAGAGAGCTCGGACGGCGAGGGCTCTGACGATGAAGTAGGGCAAATGAAACGAGATCTCGTTAGAGACTGCCCACCTCGAGGATCCGAATACATATCCTTGCCTTACCTTTTTGAGCATCTCTCTGTACCGGAAGTACAAACTCTGAAACCTGAGGCTTTCAACAGCTATCTCAGTTCACCAAAAATGAATCGCGACAACCAAATACACCCTGGGATGCAGGATCTCCTCGCGGTTCTTCAAACCCAAACCAAAGACGGACTACTGAATAGGAAGCATTACGTCGAAGAGCTTGAGGAAAGCTTCCGGTATTTTCAAGGGATTCAGACGGGGGCATTGCATCAACCATCCGCTGCTGCGGGACTCTACCTCAGTGACTCGGCCATGAAGGAGGCTCTGAGGGAAGATTTACAGAAACATCTGGAAAACTGTGAAGAAGCTTTCGAGGCTATGCACGCTGAAATAAAAAAGGCTCTCACGCGGATGCCAGGAGGATCTCGGCCATCGGACTGCGTCACCGACTGGTATTCCCTGTGGCCCAGGATTACCCCCACCACTCTTGTTTCGCAGCTATCTGCAGCCCATTGGAAGCAGCTGGACAAGTGTGGACTAAGATGGAAGGAGTGTCTGGTCGAATATGCAAAGACGTTGACCGTCCTTCAGAGGGCGGAGAGGCTAGTGGGCCTCTTTAACAAGGACGACATGAATGGCTTGGCTAAAGAGATCAAGAATATCGGCCACGAACAGTGGAGGCCGATTGAATTTCCTGATGCGCTTCTATTTGAGGTCGAAAACGACCTCCTCATTCGGTCGGTCCAGCAGAGTGTCGCCAAACAGATGGCGAACGAGCTGGGCGGCAATGCAGTCATGCAACTCAACATGGGCGAGGGAAAATCATCCGTGATTGTGCCTATTGTAGCCGCTTGGCTGGCAAACGGCCAGCAGCTTGTACGGGTAATTGTCATGAAGCCGCAGTTCAAGCAGATGATGCAATCGATAACGACCAAGCTCGGAGGGCTGCTGGGCCGCCAAGTTTATATTCTCCCATTCTCGAGACAGCTGAGACCCGACAAGGCGCAGGCCAAGCAGATGCATACAACTTATCGACAGTGCCTCAGAGACGGCGGTGTCCTTCTTGTTCAACTCGAGCATATTCTGTCACTCAAGCTGCTCGGTCTCGAGGCCGTGATAACTGGCGAGAAGGAAGTGGGTCAGATCATTAACAACGCCCAATTGGAATTTGACCACCTGTCGAGAGATATTGTTGACGAGAGCGACGAGATCTTCAATGCCAGATTCGAGCTTACATATACTATGGGGAGTCAAAGGTCCATCCAGTTCAGCCCAAAACGATGGCGACTGATCCAGACTGTCCTTGAAGCTGGAAGGGCAACTTTGTCATCGCTACTTGCGGTCGAAGACCCAGAGGCGCTGGATGTCGAGGCTGGACTGGAAAACTGCTTCCCGAGAATCAGACATCTGAGCAGAGCGGTATCTGACCGCCTGCTACGTGAGGTGGCTCGACAGGTATGTCTCGGCGAGCATGAAGGACTATCAACGATCTCTCTACAGCCAGATGAGAACCAGAAGGCAATATTCAATTACGTCACCCTGCCACAGCCAGAACCGGAGGATATATCCACTGTGGAAAGAATTTATCTATCTGAGACTGATCGCCAGCCACTGTTGCTACTAAGAGGACTTCTAGCGTGCGGAGTCCTAGAGTTTGTCTTGTGCAAGCGATGGAGAGTCAACTACGGCCCACATCACAATCGGGATCCCAAGATCAGACTCTCGGTTCCATACCGCGCCAAGGACTCGCCAGCGCCTCGCGCCGAGTTCAGCCACCCAGACACGGTGATCGGCTTCACTTGTCTCAGCTACTACAATGCCGGCCTCACCGATGACGAACTCGAGTGTACCTTCGAGCACCTGGCGGACTCAGACCAGGGCGAGATGGAATATCAATCCTGGATCCGGTCCATAGACAGGGAATGTTCCCTACCCAGTTCGCTCGAAGGCGTGAATATACAGGATCGCGCCTATTGCGCCTGTACAATCTTCAGACACTTGCGGCACCACAAGGGCGCCGTCGACTACTATTTGTCAAACATCCTGTTTCCCGCCGAGATGAAAGAGTTTCCCCAAAAGCTGTCGTCGTCAGGGTGGGATTTAGCGGGGGCTAGGGGCCGGCCCTTGACGGGATTTAGTGGCACCAAAGATTCGAAATCTCTCCTGCCGTATTCGATCAACTATCGGGATCTTCCAGATCAACAACACACGAATGCTAGCGTTTTGAACTACATTTTCCGAGAGGAGAACGACATATTATTGATAGCAGATCATGATGCTGTCAAAGCATCTCCGTCAACATCCACGGCCGAGATTCTCCTCCGAACTGTAGCACAGAGCGAGCCGAGGATACACGTGATCCTCGACGTGGGTGCCCAGGTTCTCGAATACAGCAATGTCGAAGTTGCCAGGATCTGGCTTGACATGCTCTCGCAAGACGATGGCAACGCGAAGGCGGTAATCACGTTCAACGACGAAGACGAGATGATAGTCGTAGAGAGGGGTAGAGAGCCTGAATTGTTCAAGACGACGCCTTACTATGAGGACACTGCGTCCTGCCTAGTATTCCTGGACGAAGCTCATACACGAGGAACAGACCTCCGACTCCCCGATGCCTACCGTGCGGCTGTTATGTTGGGCCCGGGCCTGACAAAAGACAAACTTGTGCAAGGTAAGCAGACAGCCCACTAGGCTGTCAGATCTGGTGGCTAACTAACAAAACCCTCGGCAGCGTGTATGAGAATGCGAAAGCTAGGTAGCGGACAGTCCGTCAGCTTCTTCGTCACCGACGAAGTCCGGCAGTCGATCAACCGCGCGGTTAGTCAGCCCCCGAGCAATGTGGCCATTACCAAAGTCGACCTCTTAAGGTGGACCATATTGGAGACATGGTTGGAAACTGAAAGGTGTATCCCCCTTTTTGCGGCGAACGGAATACGGCACCTGCGTCAAGAGGACGCTTGGCGAGAGGCTCAATCGGGGCCGGAACGTGACCGAAAAATAGACATGCAACCCGAGATTGCGGAGAAATGCATGGAGGACGAGGCTCTCTCGTTGGAAACGCGCTACTCACCGTCGCCCAGAGGCAAGGCTGTGCGGAAACACATCTTCGGCGAAGATGAGAACATTCCCGCTACACACTACCCCGAACACAGAATGATGCTTAAATTCATCATGCGCAAGTGCGACGACTTTGGTGTTACCCAGATAGATTCAGCCTCATTCCAAGACGAGCAGGAACGTGAGCTGTCGCCGGAAGTCGAGGGGCAACGCGAGGTTGAACCCCGCCCGCAGATGTCACCTCTAACTCATTTTGTCCATCAAAACGTACGGAAATTCGTGTGCGAGGGAGTGATCGACGACTTGGACGGATTCATACCGGCCTTTTCGGCCTTCCAGAACACTTCCTTGGCACACCTCGTCAAGCTTGACGAGTTCCCGAGCGACATGATTCTCGTAACGGAAGATTTTGCTCGGACAGTCGAACCAGGGATAGGCTACGTCTCAGATCAATATCACCGACCGGTGCAGTGGATTGTGACCAAGTCGGTCAAGGAGACGTCGGGTCGGACTGCCATGATCGAACGGCTGGTGGTGTTTAGTGCTTGGGAGGTCAACGAGTTGCTCTATCTTGTCGAGGAACACAGAGCGGTGACGATCCATGTTTATGCTCCGCGACCAAACCTCTCATGCGACTCGCTAGAGGATCTTGCCCTGTATACGAATCCGCCGCTTCCCAAGGGCTGGAAGGCACCGAAAGAATTGGTCCGTTTGCTGAATATCTTTGCCGGACAGCTCTTCTTCCGGTCTCACGATGAGTACCTGAAGAGCTGTAAGTTCCTGGGCCTGGAACATGGATCGACCCTCCAAGGCGGCGCGGAGATGAAGTTTGGGCCGGACAGGTTCGTGGGCACAACCACGGTCACCCCTCTCTGCCCCTTTACCCAAAGCCCAGCACCTTTTCTCGATTTTCTCATGTCAAAAGTTTGTCGTGACAACAGGGATATCAGGGAGACTCATTTGGGACGCATCCTAACCGGCCGGACATTGACGGAGAAGGACTTTGACGGAAGGTCCGTAGACTGGGATGAAGAAGATGTCGATCACGGTCGTTTTAATGAATTCCAGACGGTAGGAATAGATGCCCCCAGGCAAGGCATTGCAGTATTTGATATCCGCATGCCGAGGAGCTTCGATCAGATCTTTGCGCAGCCGTATCTCAACTTCCCTATCGCCGAAGCCAGCAGCGTCTCAGAGACCAGATCCGAAAGCGAGCCGGAAGCAGAGACAGAACCAAAGCCCAAATTTAGGGCTCAGAATGACTATGCCATGGTGCCCAAAGCCGAGGGTGGAGGTCGCATAGTCGGCGAGACGGAGTGGTTGGCTGTAGTACCCACCACGGAGTTAAGCAACAGCAGGTTGTTCCCCGAAGATTTCAAGTCGATCCGGTCATTCACCATCTCCGGCTGTGCCTTCTGCGGACAAGATTACGTTAAGCGTTCCGAAGGCACAGATGGTGTCCGATGGGTTCTCAACCTGGGCCAACTGAGAGCCAGAGCAGAGAACTGCGATTCTTGCAGCATGCTATTTGAAGCGGCAAAGTACATGGATGCCGCAAGGATTGATGACAGCTCTTGCCTGCAAGACGGGTCGGCGTTGGAATTACACTACCCACGCGGAACTATGAATCGTCCCTTGATGCAGATTCTCGCGAGGTGGATCTATGGAGGCGGTTCGGAGGCTAGTAGAAGGGGCGCAACCTATGAGATTTACCGAATAAGTAAGAGAGTCCTACTTGGTTCCTGAGTGGCGCTTCCTTGTTGGTATCTTGGCTGACGGTTATAACAGAGTCACGCCACGAGGAACAGATGACTTCGCAATTGGACGTCGAATGGCATTTGGAACGTCCTTGGATAGGGGTTGTCACCAGGAGCCACACCGGCGGAGTCCAAGACGTCGAGGCTGCCATTACGTGGACCAAGAAACAGCTTGCCGAGTGCGAGAGGAGGGACAAGTGCGTATCCAGCACCGAAGCCATGTCGGATATTTTCCTGCCGACCAGGGTGCTTGACCTCGGCGAGCCGGGCCAGATTCCACTTGATGCGGATGTGCGGCTCTACGAAACCGGGGGCAATATCCAGGGCATGTACATGACACTGAGCCACTGCTGGGGAGGCGCATTGCCCATTATGACTTTGAGTGGAAACCTGGAGGCGCACAAGCAGAAAGTATCATGGGAAAAGCTGCCTCGAACCTTCCGTGACGCCATCCGAGTCACGCGGAGATTGGCAGTTCGATATCTCTGGATAGACTCCCTCTGCATAATCCAGGACGACAAGAATGACTGGCTCGTGGAGGCGGCAAGAATGGGCCGGGTCTACCAGGAATCCTATTTGACCATTGCTGCCACGGCGGCCCCCAACGGCGATGGTGGCTTGTTTCCATCGTCTTCGGCCCCTGCAAAGACACGGTTTCACGAGTTGAAGCCAAGTTCGACAGGCCAGCAAGGTCAAGACGTTGACGAGAGCAGCATGTTCCTGCGCCGCCAGCTCAACCACGACGCCTTCTCCACCTTCTCGCCCGACGGGCCACGCCTTCTCACTAGAGGCTGGGTGTACCAGGAAAGAGTCTTGTCGCAGCGGGTGATACACTTCTCCGACGACGAGCTGCTCTGGGAGTGCAGAGGTCGCTTCGCGTGCGAGTGCGGCTCCGCCCAGGCCAGGACATCGCAGATCGCCACGGTCAAGCAGGGCCAAGCCGACGGCCGGGCCGGCAGCACATGGCGCGTCGGGTACTCGGCCGCGAACTCGGCCGGCTACAATTTCGACGACCACGTGGCGCACAACACGGGCGAAGCCGTCCACCGGCCCAAGCGGTACCGCGCCATGGTCTCCGACTACACTCGGCTCCACCTCACCTTCGCGCGGGACCGGCTGCCTGCCTTTGCTGGCATTGCCCGGCTGTACGGCGGCGCCGGTCGTGGGGACTATGTGGCTGGGCTTTGGACCGGCAGCCTCGCCAGCGACCTGCTGTGGGAAGTGGCGAAGCCCTCACAGCGGCCGTCCTACGGGGACGTGTCTGAGGGCGGCACGGACGATTATGTTGCGCCGACATGGTCGTGGGCTTCGGCGCAGGGCATGGTGCCGTTCTATAACCTGCAGCTCGCCTGCCAAGACGATCCCCCAGCTTTCGACATCGTCGCCGCCATGTGCCGCACCCAAGGGCCGGATGAGTTTGGGCCCTGCATCTCGGGCTTCCTAGTCGTTGAGGGCTTGGTGCGCGATGTTCGTTTGGAGACTCGTGCAACGAACGAGGCAGCCGGGCGGACTTTTGTTGCTGTGAAAGGTGAGCATGGTGCATTTGCAAAGCTGAGTCTCGACTTCGAACCTGACTGGCCGGTTGACGTCGCGGGTGCCAGGGCAGAGGAGGTGGACGACAAGGTGGAGGATGCGGATGACGATGAGGAAAATGCGGAGGACGACGAAGAGAACGCGGAGGACGAGGCGGACGGTCCACATGACCAGGAAAGCAGCAACAAGCCCTTTGACACATCCGCACGCACGCTGAAGCAGAAGGTCATTGGCGAGTGTCCGCATGTCTACCAATGCTTCTATCTCACAGGACGGACTGCGCTGCTCTTGAAGCAGTTGACTCCGGGAACGAGCGTCTACGCGCGCGTGGGAGTTTTCTTTGAATTTGAGGACCTGAAACCCGAGGGGATTCTTCAGAAGAAGACGCTGAAGATTGTATAGTGGTTACTTGAATGGTAGGGAAAGTAAAACCCTCCAGAAGTCTGAAGGCAAAACCCCGAATTCCAATTAGCAAAGGTGCCTACCGCTTGGCCGTGTCTAGTTCAGCCTGCCGTGCTTTACCAACGTGCCGTCTGTGCGGCAGAATCTTGAGGGCAGAGCAACATACCGATCCGGTTCCGGTCACCACCAGGGGGCCAGAGGACGTCTGGTGGCCTGCTGCTTGTCCGCCAATCCTCTGGCTACGCGGAAGTGTGGGAGTCGAGTTTGGTTGCACCAGCCATGAAGAGCCCACGATGATACAGCGTTGGTATATTGAAGGAATTGTTTTACATACAGTTTGACGTCACCTGCCTCACACATGTTGGCATGGTCACCCCAGTACTGTGCGGCATAGTCGAGCAGAGAATATTCTCTATGAGGAGGGTGGTATTCCGTCACAACCCACCACAGTCGGCAGACTTCCATCTCCAAGTAGCTCAAGCAGGCCTTCGCAATGACCAAGTGGGGGAATCCAAATAGCTTTGATTGTTCCTGGTGTTGAAAATACTCGTAAATGGGGTAATGTGCCAGACGAATTGTTTTTGTCCTGGTGTCGACCGTTACGAGGCCGCAGCAATACTCGACAAGAAGTGCTTCGGGTGCGACATCATCTTCATCGATATATTTAGCGCCGGGGCTAATGGCGACCGCGTCCTGAAGCTCTTTGACAGAAAGGTCCCGCAAACTATGAGATATCCAAAGAATGGTTCTCAACGCCAGATCTCGTTGCGATTGATGGGGTAGCGCCTGAATACGATCCATAGTGAGTTGGAAGTTGGCCCACAGTCCAGAAGGCAAGCATTTCAGCGCTTTTCGTACTTCATTACCGGTGGTTTGGCCGAGAACATAATCGATTTGCAGAGACGCAAGGAGAAATCTAAGTCACGAGTGAGCCTTGCTCCATTTAGGTTTGATTGGAGGGGGGAGGGAAGAGCATTGATGAAAATGAACGTACATGCCCTGGGCTTTCGTAACAATTGTGTTAGTAATCTCATCTCTGAGCTTCTTCTTCTTCATGATCGCTCGCAGTCGAGTCGCCTCATGGATTTTGCCTTCGATGATCCGGCTCACTAGCCCCGACTTCCACTATGGAGGCATCGGCGAAGCAACTCATGATATCATCAGGAAAGGGTCTACTAGTGGCAAATAAACGGACTTTTGCCTTTCTTAGCTCCTGTATGAGTTTCAACAACTCGCCCCGATCTTCGCCCTTATTGTATTCGTCGAGAGCGTCAATTACGATGAAGTGTTTTCCGTTCCCGTTGTCGGAGCATGTTTCGATCAAAGTGGATCGAATCTTTGACCATTGCGGTAAACCCGTATTCTGCTGAAATCTTTCGAATAGCTTCATTGCTGACTTTGGACTAGAAGGATATTGGGACAGGATCTGCTTGAGCAAACAAGATACGATGAGCACTGCATTTTCCTCTGCATGCTTTTTGTAGTCGACATACAGATATGCGAGTTTATCTTCGGTTGCCTCACATATGCCTTGCAGATGGTCTATGACAAGGGGTCTACCGGTGTTAGCTGTAAAGACAGAAAATGAATATGCGACTCTGCTAGGAATGTTTTTCCCACGCCAGGCCCTCCATGGCAAAACAGCGTACTATTTGATGATTCATCTTCATACCAGGAGCGAAAGGCATGACCATTCAGCAGCCATTCGCCGGACCCCTCGAGGCGCCTCGGTCCAATGTCCAGATGCTTTTCTTGGTAGTTGAGAGTTGGCAGCCAGTCGAGGAATTGCGCGTATTTCTGTTCGTGGTGGATCTGTTGTACGTGGGAGTCTACAGACGCAACGGCCTGTTTGACTTCTTCAACGTTGGCGCAAAGCGAGAGAGTCGACTTATCGAGCGAGTCTAGTTTCTTTCGAACTTCGGTGCCACTTTTCGAAAGTAGTGATATTCCCTCCGCCGTCAATGATAGTTGGAAAATGGTCAGATATCGATGTAGGCTTTCGGCCTTCTTGATCGTATCATCTTCTTTCAAAGGCCACTCCATTCTGTGAAACAACCTCTGTATGTAGTGTCCCTTGCAATCCCTATCGAGCATTTTTCCGAGCTCCTGGAGATCATGATTGCAATTTTTTGCTGCTTTGAAAAGAGCTGAAGTTTGCTGGAGGACATGTGTGTCATTCTGTAGGGTTGAGTTAAGTGCAACACGGTCCTCAAAGATTTCAGCTCTTCCTGGAGCTGTGACACGGTTTTGGAAGTATCCTTCAAGCCTTTGATGTACTTGTAAATGAGAATAGTACAGTCGATAGAAAAGCTGATCAATCCAGTGATGGATGCGGGTTCCATGATCCAGGGCTATAATCTAAACGATGTGGTATTCATGTAAACATAATTGTTGGAACTCGATGCATTCTGCGAATTTGGAAGGCTCCCGTCACTTTTCTAAGCCGAGTCAGATGACAATGGTGGAGTGATCTGGCGTGTTCAGCCTCGTGCGTATTCTGACTCTACGCGATCTACGCGCGCTATGCCGAGTCAGCCATGGTAGCCCCTCCCACGGCTACGTGCGGAGGCCTATGCCGCCCTGGCTTTGCTTACAGCGCAACGTTAATAGCTATATCCTGCCTGCAAAGAAGTCATGTTACTGGTAGAGCGCGCACTTGTTCCAACTTCGCTGCACAAACTAAGTCAATGGAGCTTTAGCTCTAAAAACGGAGAGCCTCACCGAGATTGGTCCTATCTCGACGGCGTCCCCAACCTTAATTCTGTAGCCCACCGCGTCTTTGGACAATACAAGGAGGGGACAATCCTCTATACAAGGACAAGTGCAGTTAGAAGGAATAGCCTAAAACTACAAGGGAATAGGATATCTTAAGCTAGTTCAGAGTAATTATATAATGGCTCGTAGAATATATAGCGTTATATAACTAGCTATAAGACTTAGCAGCAGCTACTTATATAGCCTTATTAGGCTATCAAGGGCTTTACTACTAACTGTAAATTAGATATTAGCTTTATAGATACTTCTAGTACTAGTATTAACTTAAAGTACACGTAATTAGGAGAACTTAAGAGCAAGCCAGCGGCTGACAAGATGTTAAAGGCATGCCTAGATCTTAGCCGATTCTGCGGGTCGCTCATGAAGCTTTGGGAATTCGCCCGGCTCTGTGGTATTGCGTCCACGCAATTTGGTATTAATGATGACGAGCGCCAATTCGTACTTGCCTGGCGTTTTAACGCTAGATAAGGGGCAACTTAAGTCTGGGTTACAAAGTACAAATCGTTATAGAGTTAACCCTACAACTCTTACTACGTTTTTTACGGGAAGAAGCTCGGCCGCAAGATAGTCCAGGATGCCGTTGCAGCTGCAGAAAGTCTCATTTGTCGATTCGTCGAACGCATATTGAAAAGGACGCAAGGAAGATAAGGTTTTTCTAGAGTTCCGTGTTTGAGTTTATTGAATGAACTAGCCTAAGCCCTGGAAGAGACGTTACAAAGTTATAATTTAATCGATCTATATGTTACAATGTAACCAAAGGCAACCCTGCGGGATAAGCTACCGGGCTTAGGTAACCTGAAGGAACAGAGGAGAGCGCGTCCCTATGAACGAAGGAGTCACGTGACGTCAACATTCACTTGAGTCCCAGATATCCTAGATGTCCTACCAGACTTCGCAGCCCTAAGTATTGTAGGATCAGTAGGACTATTAGGATAATTAGATATATAGATACATATAGCCGGACACAGATACACTATAGACTCTGTGTTTAACCCAAGCTGTAATTAAACAATGCACTACTATTCCAGAATCTTTCGCTTCATACTCTTGTCTACTTTGTGCTCTTTCTCAGATTAATCCTAACTAACAAATAGACCTCGATCTTAGCACTATACTTCGACTTGAATCCCGTCCATGCTCCCCTCTTTCTGCCAAGCTTCAATAAGATTTATAAAATGTTCAACTCCACTGCCCCAAAGCCCAGAGCTAGCAACAATGAGCTGCATCTCAGGAGGAATCTTATCCAATCCACCCTCTACATTCAAGTAACTTGGCGTACAGCCCATAATAGCCATGTTGGGCGCCGACTTCATTGCAACTTCCATACTCCACTTCTCTGCTGCACTAGCTGTAGGCGCTACAGCAAACTTCTTGCCATGCGCTTTGCGCCGCGCCTCAGCCAGTATGTACGCTGCGTGCCTCGCGAACATATCAACGGCGAAGAGATAATTTGGGGAGTTAGCGCCCTGCCAGGGCCCGGAGAAGAAGAGGTTGGGGAAATTGTAGTCGAGGACACCGTGTTGCGTTTTCGGACCGTTGCGCGCCCACTCCTCGGTAATGGAGACGCCATTGCGCCCGAAAAATGTGGCGTTGGCTTTCTCGGCCGGGGTGCCGGTAAAGGGGGCGCGGAAGCCGGTTGCGCAGATGATGAGGTCGACGACGTACGATTTGCCGTCTACGATAACGGAGTCGTTGGTGATTTGATCGGCTCCTTTGCCTTCAGTGTCGAGGAGTGTGACGTTAGAGCGGTTGAAGGTCGAGAGGTATTCGTCGTGGAAGGCTGGACGTTTGCACCATGAGGGGTACCACGCTTGTAGTCTTGCAGCAGTATCTTTGTCGTGAACCTCTTCTTCTACGCGTTTTCGAAGACGGTTTTGTCGCGGTAGGTCGATTGCATGGAGCTTCTTCATGTATGCAGGGAGTTCTTCTATGGTCTTTGGACCGTTCACGTTGCCAGTAAGGCCGACCAGTGCTGGAGCGCGGGTCCACGCATCACCCATTAGGTTCACTGAGGGTGATTCCTCCGTAGTGAAGTGTTCGTGGAGGTTCTTCATACGCTCTCGTTGCCATCCTGGTGAAGTAGCAACTTCATTACGGAACCACTTTTCATCTGTCTCCTTTTGGTCCTGATGATCGACAGATGCAGGTGTACGTTGGACGACGTACACATGCTTCGCCCAGCGTGCAAGCTGCGGAGTGATCTGAACTCCAGTGCATCCTGTTCCTATTATGGCCACTGTCTTGTCTTTAAGCTGGGTGAGCGACCAGTCGTCCGGCGAACCTCCAGTAGCTGTGTAATTCCAGCGTGAAGCGTGGAAAATGTCGCCTTTGTAGTCCAAGATGCCAGGAATTCCTGGAAGCTTCGGCCAGTTGAGTGGACCGTTCACGGTCACAACATACTCGGCACGCACGTCCAGTTGCAGAGGTTCTTTGTCTGCCTGCCTCTGCTCTAGCTTGACAACCCACTCCTTGTTATTCTCATCATACGTAAGCTTTTGGGCTTTGGTTTGGAACGCAATTCTCCTGGAGAGATCCCACTTTTCAGCTATCAAATTGGCGTATTCGCGAATTTCCTCGCCTCGAGAGTATCTGTGTTTTGGTACATATCCCGTCTCCTCCAGCAACGGGAGGTAGGAGTAGCTCTCGATATCGCAGTGCGCTCCTGGATATCGGTTCCAGTACCACGTACCACCAACTCCTCCTGCAACATCGACCATTCGGATATCTTCTGGCTTGATACCAGCCTGAATCATGCGTACCGCGTACACGAGACCACCCAGACCCGTTCCAAGTACGAGCATCTGGCATCGGCTGTTTGGAAACAATGTCTTCGCGTCTTGAACATTTCCCGGGTCGACCCAAGGATCGTCTAAAAATGATTGATGCTGTGGGGAATGCGATATGTCGATGAACTGATTATCTCCCTCAGGGCGAAGTCGTTTGGCCCTTTCTGTTCCGTAGCGCTGCTCAACTTGGAGCGCGTCCACATAGGAAAGACCGTTATCCAGAATACCGGACATGGCAAAAAGAAACTGTAGAATAATGGGAAAGTAGTTGAATCCCGCAGGGCAGACTATACAATTAGGCGTGGCAGTTTATTTACCTTTATGTATGCAACGATAAAGCGTTATGCACCCAACATGCTTGCAGAGTAAACCCTAGCCTGCTCAGCGCCAAATACTAGCTTAATGCCTACCAAGCGCCCTTCTTGGCTTTTTTGAAACCCTTTGCTGTGATGCATCACGGTACATACTCAACAAGATAATTGAGAAGGTCCGAGACAGATGGACCGTATATGACGTAAGGCGTACTGAAGTCTTCGTGGCGAGAGTGTCAGAAAATCGGTGGCGTCGGCGGCACAGTCGTCTTCGGGGATTGAACAGGGCAGGATTAGGAAGGTCATTGGCGCGTTAATACCCGAGGCTTGAAATTAGGTAGCCTCACTACATGCACTACTGTTAGACTACGGTATGTACCCGAGCGGCACGGATAGATCTACGGGGAGAGCGGTCTATCCGTAGTTACATCAAGTTTAGGACTCTTCGCGTTGCGGTAGCTTGTATGATACTTCGTAATCAACCAGAACATTAGAAACAAGCATCGCATCCTCATATTGTATTAGAAAAAAATCTAGTTTAATTGTTCATCGTCGTATGAACCTCATACAGCAACAAATGTTTAATTTCCTGATTTTGACCATTCCAAATGTAAAGCGCTTGATCATTGACTCGAATGCCTCATTGTCATTCTTGACTCGATGTACCCATATAGATCACACTGATTGCTTAGACGTGCCCCAAGGGTCCGGCCTCTCAACTATAACATCATGTCGAACATAAATCGAGTTCATAGTATGCGTCGGCTCTAGCTTGCCCTCGTGCCATCTCGGGTCCGTTATCTCCAGCGGTTCAGGTTTCTTGAGTGCAAATGAGTTGTGGGATTCGGAGTCTGAGTTCATGCGTGTTGGCCTAGATGCCGTGAGGTGTGTCTTTGCTATTGTGTTGCAGCGCCTGAATAAAGGGCGAGTCGATGGCAGACATGCTGCAATGATGATGAAATCGTTCTCGAGACTGTTCCAAAGACCAATGTGAATCACCTTTGTGAACAGTTCGACAATAGTCGGGTTCCCAAGGAGGCTGCCGTTGTTGACGACTTTCACGGTCGCAAAGGCAAAAGCGCTGAATCTTTCTTAAGCAAAAGAATGACGTTAGACCAAACGTTATGACTTACAGGAATCCCAAGCTCATGAAGCAGATGGTGCTTATCTTCTTCCATAAAGGCATCTTCAATCCCCATATCATGTAACCTGGATACAGTGCAAATAGAAAGTCTAGGAGTGCAGAAGACGAGCTTCCAACTAAGGCGTAGATCATCTGAACGTTGCGCGGCCAGCACTTGGTTTCTGGGTACTTGAAAGGATTCCATTGTCCAGCCATGGGCGTACACTGAACGAAACAGATGAAGAAGCCGACAAAGCAGTACAGGAAGAATATGTTAACGCATACCAAAATTGCGGTACGCGCGGATTTGGGGGGGTTGAAAATTCTTATGAGGAGGATTGCAACGCCGACTTTAGGCAGCGTGCAGCTGATGAAAGCCCACGAACAAGTGAAGAGCCCCCAAAAGGTTGCATCAGGCGACGTTTCGGCAATGGTTGGAATCGTGACTTTCTTGGTGTATGTCAGAGCCAGCTGGAATGTGACCATTCGGACGACATCACAAAACTATACACCGTCTCAGTACGAAAGAGGGATTCAAGTTGGTTCGAAAGGCTTACATATGATAGAGAAATGATGATGTCCTCGATGCCTAGTTTGGCCTCGGTGAATCTGATTCGCGACACCGTTCGCATGCAAAAGACTAGAGTTGCTAGGATGAAGAATGGCCACGATGCTGCCGTTGCCTGTACGATGAAAACATCCAAGGCCTCCTTCTGTACGATTGCTGCTTTTGCTGCCTGCGCGTCCATCGTGGTCGAATTGGTAGGTATGTTCTCCTGAACATGAATCTGCACCGAGAAACCCGTATTGTATACATACTGAGCGTCTGCTTATTTCGCATAATCTTGTTCTCGTTTATACTTCGCCACGCGCGGGTTTCATTGTACCCGTTATGCCAACGCTCGGGGTTCATCGTACCTGAGGACTTCCAGGGTTCGCGTACCCTTAGGCATTGCACAGCTCAACGTACATTTACGAAGGCAAGTAAATGTCGATAAGTTAAGCCTTTTTTGTGCGTGTCTGCTCAGTGTCATCTCCCCTTAGTCTCCGGAGTGGATCGTTTAGGCGTTCATCAGACTTGGCGGAAGCGATCGACAGCTCATGTACTACTCATTGGCTCTTGTTTGCAAGGCCCTTGTATGATTAACTATTCTTGATAAGGAAGCCACAATTGGTGGACTCTCCGTAATTTTTACATACTTTCTCTCGTAGTTTCTTTGATATGTTGAGCTATCTTAGTTGCTATTCAGGCGCTTTGTGTACACCAGACTCGTTCAAGAACCATATACACAAGAGCGGAAGTTGTTCTAGAACACTCGCAGTATAAGACACCGTTGGAAAACTTCCAACCGCCTCATGTCTTATTACTGCATACGTAGGATCCTATTGACAATACCTTATGTAAAATCTGTAACAGGGTTCATCGTGTCGCTATGGCCGATAGCTTCGATGATAGCTAGCCATTGGATACAGGTGGCTGACAGATTTCTTAGGGTTGACCGTGGGATTCACCTGACGACACCAACCAGGCGTTTACTGTGTACGTACAAGGCGTTTGACCGTTTGGGGACGCACGTTGCAACTTGCGACACCTGCGCCTCGTATTCCAGTCTACCTAACCTCTTGTCCTGCGATACGAAATGTGATCCCGATACAGCACACCCTGTATCAGACTGTAGACCTAGTTAGGCCCACCCTCGCTGTCTGCGCTAGACCGTCATACACTTGATTTGGGCAAGAGCCCCAGATAAACGGTTGACGAAGTTGTTGCCCAGCCATTTATCGCGCCTTACGGATACCGACGTTCCAATGATTTCGTAGACATTGATGGAGAGTCTCGCAGAGAACGGTAGATCGTACCAGTGAACTGGTCTTTCGTGGTAAGGCACGGACAATCCGGCAACTTAGCCAATGAGTGGAGACTTATTGAGAGGTCTTGTGCCTTATTCGGGAAGGCATGATTTTAGTCCTTCGTTGTTGCAGTCGTGTAGCACTGCGTCACTTCCATACTCTGGAAGGATTCACCCTTCTGGATTATCATATTACTTTTAGAGAATTTGATCTATCAACAACTTTAACCCACGACTGCCACCAAACAAGTTAAAATTCCCGATAACCCTAATGTGTTAGTTACAGCCCATTCACTTCTGATCCATATTCTTCAGCAATGACTATTCCTTCCATTGAGCCCCGTCTTGAAACTCTCCTAGATCGATGTGCAAATCTAAACACCGGGGTCATCTTTTACGACTCGGAGAATGTGTCTCCCCAACGCCTCTCATATCGTCAAATTCGCTCCCTGGCTTTACGTAAAGCGAAGGCTCTTCAAAGACACAGCGCCTTTCATCCTGGTGGGATACTTCTGATACATTTTCGCAGTCATTATGAGAATATTGTATGGTTTTGGGCAAGTCTTTTCGCGGGATGCGTACCAGCTATGTCAACCCCTCTGGTCAACAACCCTGAGGGACGCATTTCCCACTTGAAGCATCTGTTTGAGATGTTGATGGATCCGATTGTCATCACGAATAGCAATTTGTTCGAAAGCGATTTTAGCGAAAACGCAGTTCTCCGGTTCGTCTTGACGGAAACTCTCGAGGCCTTGGAGACCAGCGATGATACTTCTGGACCTGAAGCTGTTCACCATGCTCAGAACGGCGCTATTCCGAGTGACCGAGAACATATTCTTTCTCATTCCAGACAACCATCCTACCAACAGGATGACTCTGTAGTGGGAAACGGTGTATTGCAGGCGAATCTAGACAAAGCGCAATCGGAAGAGGCCAGATGCACAGATGATTTTACGTCTCTCCAGGACGTTGCTGTTCTCATGCTCACGTCAGGAAGTACAGGCGCATCAAAAGCAGTGTGTTTAACACACCAACAGATCATCACATCCGTCTGCGGCAAATTATCACACATGCCAATGCCGCGCAACGCCACGGTTCTTAACTGGATTGGCCTAGATCATGTAGGGAGTCTAGTAGAGCTCCATCTTTGTGCCATGCTTGCAGGATGCGATCAAGTCCATGTGTCTGCTACCGAGATCATAGCCGACCCCATCCTCTTCCTCCGACTTCTGTCAATGCATCGCGTCGTTAGGACTTTTGCGCCCAACTTCATGTTAGCAAAACTCCAAACCATTTTGAGCGAGGCGTCTGCTTCCGAACTGGACAATATCAATCTCCAGAATTTACTATATCTCATATCTGGCGGAGAACCAAACGCTGTCGATCTATGCGCCAAGATCTCGCAACATCTACAAAGACTTGGTGCGCCCACTGCTACAACAATTACTCCAGGATTCGGCATGACAGAAACCTGCGCTGGCTCGATATACAGCCGAAGATGTCCGGAGATAGATGCGAACAGCGGAACTGAATTCACCGCTCTGGGTACGTGTGTTCCTGGGATCGAGATGCGCGTTAGCAAAGATGATGGCGGACTTGAGGTTCGAGGACCTATCGTGTTCAAACGCTACTTCAACAATCCGGGAGCCACTCGGACAGCATTTACCCCTGATGGCTGGTTCAAGACCGGGGATAACGCTACAATCGACGAATCTCGCGTGCTACGACTCGTCGGTCGATCAAAGGATTTGATAATTGTGAACGGCGTGAAATATCTTCCGCATGAACTAGAGGCAGCTATTGAGCAAGCAAATATTCCAGGCGTGGGTCGATCTTCCGTTATTTGTTTCGCTTGCCGTCCCAATGGAAGCAGCACCGAGCACATACAGATTGTGTACCAACGCGAATACGATGCGCACGATGGACAGTCGTGGAAAGACGCTTTAGATTCAATCGTGCGTATTGTCGTCCTGTTCGCGGGGGCGAGACCCCACGTTCTTCCTCTATCTCCTGGCCGACTTGAGCGCTCCACTCTAGGCAAATTGTCTCGCGCAAAGGCTCGAACGTCACTTTTGAATGGAGATTACAATGACGAAATCGAAACCAACAATCATATGCTCCAGCTATACCGGAAAGGACACACCAGTCACCCTGAAACTGATGGGGAGAAGAAGCTAGTTCACGTCTTTGCCGAGCACAAGTTCGGGGTCCCCGAGATGGATATTGACACCCAGATTCTCGACACAGGGGTAACATCGGTCGATCTAATTCGCCTGAAGAGAGTAGCAGAAACAGCCTTCGAAATCAAAGATATCCCAATCTTTACCATCATGTCCAACCCTACCATCCGAACTCTCGCAGCAGCTATCGCACGTCTCAGTGAGGCGCAAAGCACTGATAAAGTCGAATACAATCCAATCGTCACACTGCAAGCAAAAGGCAGTAAAACACCACTTTTCCTTGTCCATCCAGGCATCGGTGAAATGCTCGTGTTCTTAGGATTAACACAGTACTTTCCCGACCGACCCATCTACGCCTTCCGCGCTCGTGGTCTAAACGAGGGCGAGGATGTTTTCACGAGTAGAGAAGAGGTCATCACGACCTACTATAAAGCCCTGAAAGCCAAACAGCCCAGCGGGCCTTACGCACTTGCAGGTTATTCGTACGGAAGCATGCTCGCGTTCGAGATTGCAAAAATCCTTGAAGCCAACGGCGACCAGGTGCAATTCCTAGGCTCCTTTAATCTACCGCCACATATCAAGACGCGTATGAGGAAGTTGGACTGGACAGCAGGAATGGTCCACATTGCACACTTCTGCTCCATCATTACTGAGGAGCGGTCCGAGGAGCTATTGCACGAACTCCGCCCATTACCACATAGCGAACAGGTATCCAAACTTCTTGCTGAAAGCGACCCAGTGCGTTGCACCGAACTGGCTCTTACACAAGAGGGTCTCCACAATTGGACCGATGTCTCGTGGTCTCTTCAAAAGATTGGCTGGGAGTATGATCCGTCAGAAGACGTTTCGCACATGGACATTTTCTATTGTCAGCCGCTGAAGGATGTTGCAAGAAACCGTGTCGAGTATCGTAAAGATCACCTGAATTATTGGGTACATTTCATTCGCAACGATTTGAAGTTCTGGGAGGTTGATGGGCAGCATTACACTATGATTGGCCCAGATCATGTACTCACATTCCAGCAGACTCTGAAGAAGGCACTTGCAGCTCGGGGCTTGTGATAGCTGGCTTTTTAACTAGATAGTTCAGTAATTAAGTTCAATTCAAAGAAAGTAAGCTATTAAGCAATCCAAATACACACAAGAACGAGCTTGCCCGTCCCACTTTTCTCTACGGCCGAATGTTTGAGGTAACCGGAAAAAGAACAAAAGGTTTCTATTGCTTTTAGAGTTGCCAGTTGCTTGAGGAAGCAGATTAATATAGAGGATCGAGATGTAAAGAGCTTGGATACAGATGGCTTTAACGAAAGTAGACAAGCGTATAAAGTGAAAAGAGGAATATTTAAGAAAAATAAATAAAACTATACTATGATTATTAATCGTAAACTTTAATACTATAGCTAGAAATCTAAAGCAGAAAGCTATTAAGGAACTACTAAGGCTGTGTAACCTGCTCTTAAAACTTGGTAAGACATAGCCTATCAAATCCCCATCGAGCCGTCTCGGTAGGCGCTGTGGCACTTATTGGGGGCGCTTAAGAACCCCCTGACCTGAGTTCGGACAGGATTCCCTACAACCTGTCTGCCTTGATGACACTCTTGCTGCTTTCTCAACTACCTTCTTTATTCCCTACTTTATTCCCCACTCTACTGTGCAGACTGTTAGTACATTAACGTTTAAAATGTACTAGTATACTAATAATATACAACTAAACATGGATCGTAAAAGGTCCAAAGGTAAGGCCTTGCACTCTCCCCTCAGCATTGCACAATCTAACTAAACTCTGGCTCGGCAGTTACACCGGAGAACTACACCCGAGCAATCGTCTCTCTCTCTAGAAGATATTCGAGCACCTCCGTCTTCCCTGGAAACAATTATGTCGATATCGGGGAATGGATGCTACAAGACCGTAGTCTTCTTGATTCTGCAAAAAAGGAAGACAATAATACTCTCTTTGCTTCCGATTCCAAACAACCTCACGATTTGGTTATTGTATACAACAGTGGAGAGAAGAGATGGGATGTGCAACAATATAGCCAAGAGCAACATGAGGCCTTCTTTGCTGCAAACACTGTTCCAGAGGCAGGTTGTGGGCAATTAATCTTCATTCGTGGCTTCATATCACCATCGTGGGTGTCAACAATTGGGAGCAAATATAACATTGATCCAGAATTCTTCAGGCGACATATGGATTTCCTTTCTGCGAGTGTTGACCGACATGCGTACAGTTTCCCATCGCTTGCCAGTTCCTCAAATACCATATTTCGACTTTGTGTGAGCACTCTTCTTCATCGCGATGATTTCGGTGGACAGCATCTCCAGTCGCAGCGGTCAGGTCAATCCACTGAGCTTGGGACATACAGGATACAACAGCTTGGGTCCACTAGAGTCTGCTGCGGAGACTCGCTGGTGCGCGAGTACTCTACTCTGTGCCCGTGTTTCTCTGTGATCGAGCAATGGATCTCGCTCTGCGTTACAAACACAGATAAGGGTTGGGCTGGTAGGAGATAATGTTAAATCGCATAGAGAATATATGCTAATACGCGAACCCAGTCATCGCCTGGATGGACCAAGGTAGACCCTTGGAAAAGTCTCCCCCGGGACCATGGTCAAGCCACATCGAATCCAAGGCTACACCATTACCTGTAATACAACATCATCACAAGATGGCATTCCGAACAACGATCAATCGTCTGGATCCAGATGCGAATGCTTCAGCAGAGGTTCAGCAAAGCGCGGCTATCCTTCCCCTCCAGTACGATTCTTTGATTGCGCTTGTCGATCTCGCTCGTCGCGCGCCTCAAGATCCGCTTTCTATGTGCCTCCCATTGTTTGCACATGCTGCTTTTTCCGAAGTTCAGTTTCTTAACCTTATGGAGTCCAGGATTCGGATTCAGATCGATGCCATAGCCGAAGGAGTTTCAGGTGACGCATTGGGAACTTTTCAATACTTTTCCAATATTCTCAACAGGCATGCCCAGCAGCTAAAAGATAGCACTCGTGCATTCTACAAGTTGGCTGAGCGAAGCAGTCAAGGATCGAATGGTTTCAGAGCGGAAAGCCCAGTGCCTAGAAGCGCAGTGGCGCAAGGTCTTGGCATGCGCAGGCAGGCGTCAGAGACAGAGTCGGCTAGAAGCATTGGATCAAGTACTTCCGACAGTGCCTTCACAGTAAAAGGCCTCTGGGAAGACTATGAGCAACTTCATGTTCGTTGCGTCGACTTGTCAAAACTGTGCACCCAGGGCATCAATCTGGCGATGAACAAAGCTGCAATCGAGGAATCCCGAAAAGCGATTGAGCAATCAGAGCGATTGAAGAAATTGACCCTGCTTGCGACACTCTTCATTCCTCTTACCTTCAGCGCCAGCCTGTTTGGCATGAATATCGATATCCTTGGGCAGAACGGGGTGCAATTTTGGTGGTTTTTTGTTTTGTGTATCCCAATAACTCTGTCTGTCTACATTCTTTATCTGTGGGACTTTGAGGTTCTGAGGCGTTCTTGGGTGAGACTCTGGGAAAGGTGTCGCTGTATGAGGCGAGACAGAACGGTTGGGAAAAGCGATAAGGACCCGAGTCACATTGTTTGATTTTGGTTTTCCGCTGCAGCGTCTCGTCGGTCCTAATTCCAACAACTGTACTACGTATGAGTATTATTGCTCTTTTGTAATAGGGAGGAGGACAGGTGACGCCTCTTTAAGTGAAGCCTTGGCCAAGATGCAGTCATCCATGTAACACAAACCCCTCATCTGTTGACTGTGCCCCGCAAGATAAACTGTACCAACCTTGAAACAACACACCACCATCCTTCCACCAGCAGCATACCAAGTCCAGTATTGTTATTTTCTCATCTAGGGACGTTTTTTTCCTCAATAAACTGCGTTAAGGACTATGGCGGCGAGTTTTACAACATCTGGCCACCTTCAGGTACTGCGGGATCCGGTTGGCACTTCTCAAGATGGCGTCGAGTAAGCTAAGCTCCTGGCCAGGCCTTAATTCAGCCCTTTCACTTATATCGAAGTCTAGCATCATACTTGTTCCTGGAATCGGAACTTCCTCACCAGATAACTGGCCGTTTGCTGACCAAGATTGGCTCTCTACCCTCCCTGGCTCTGGCCGTAAGGCACGTATCCTTGCATATAGATATGCTACCCCATTCGCAGGCAACAAGTTTTCCTGGGAGTCGGTCTTGATGCTGGGTTATGATTTTCTCCAGCATTTGAGTGACGCACGAACACAATTAGACCCAAATCTGGTAAGTGGACAAGTCTAGGTGCCTTCTCTTTGAGCTGCCGACATGCTTGCTGATATTCGTCGTCTAGACCACCACCAAGCCAATTGTCATAGTTTGCCATAGCTTGGGTGGAATTATAATCAAACAGGCATTGTGTGTCGCCAACAAACAGTTTCCTCGGTACGGATCAATCGTCAACGCTATAGCCGGCGTTATCTTTCTAAGCACTCCGCATCGTTATGGGGACAAAACCACGAGCCTGGTGCGGTTTCGTGACGTTTTGGAAGCAACAACCGGTAGGGTCCCAAAGGTTCCAAACGCCAATATCGAGCAAGAAGGCGCCATTTTGCTAGATCTTGCAGACAGATTCGAAGGAATCTCGCTTCGTACCCCGATACTCTCTGCCTTCGAACTGAGAGAATCAAAGAACAGTTCTACACCGTTGCGTCCAAAATACCAACAAGTCAGTGTTGAGACCTTGGCTGAACTTTGAATACTGACTTGGGTTCTAGTTGGTCAACCGTGAAGCTTGTTCAACTCATGCCCCTATAGAAACAGTCATTGGCCTGAATCTCAACCATCACAATACATGTCTTTTCACCAAAAGCGTTGGCAGCGAAGGCTTACCAGAGATGAATAAATTCATTCAAAAGACCTTGGAAGACGCCATGCAACTTGTTGCACTTCGACTCGAGGATCGTAGGTTATGAAGGCCTTGGGGAGGTTGCAAAACGGTGCTAATGGTCATAGAGGAATATCAGTACGCAACAATGAGTGCTTACTCACCCACGATGAGTGAAGTACCACTTCAAGGTAAGCCGAGATCCCTACTTTGCCAGCCTACTTACTGACTGCACTTAGTGGAGCACTTAGAGCTTACCGAATCGCCATCTAATAAAGCAACAGAATGGCCGTCGAATGGAGCGACAGAAGGAACATCTCTTTCGGGATTTGAACTGGTTCATCCGACGATTTCAAACACGGAACTCCGGAAGACTCTTCACTTGCCTTGCGTCCTTCTTAATACACATTCAGCGAATGAGAATTTCTGCGGCCGCGAGGACATCCTAGACTGTCTTGCAGCCGAGCTCTTACCTTCGAAGAACGTAGTAACGGCTTCGGGCACGGCTCTACAACAATTTGCACTTTGTGGATTTGGCGGAATTGGGAAAACAGAAATAGCCCGTGAATTCGCCCGGCGCCACAAGGCATCCTTTGATGCAGTATTCTGGGTTGTGGCAGATGAGATTGCGAAGCTTGACCATCATTACCAACAAATTTCGTTGGCACTGGGTCTTGAGGACTCATCCGAGTGTAAGAGTCAGGTTGTCAGTAGAGAGATTGTAAAAGGATGGCTCTCCAATCCTCGAAAGCATCTGTCAGGGTCTGATGAGCTTGTTCAACTAGGTGAAGCTAGATCAGAAGCCACCTGGCTACTCATATTTGACAACGCAGATGACCCGATGATCCTCGCGGACTATTGGCCTCAGGGCAGTGGATCGATCCTCATCACCAGCCGCGATCCATTGGCTAAAAGCATGTTTACCAAAAGATCTTCGGGACTAGATCTTGGCCCACTTACACAGCAAGAGAGCTTGTCTCTGTTCAACCATCTTACCACCGTCTCTAACGAGCCGGAAGACGATACTGCACGACAAATCTCCGACGCACTAGGTGGTGTTCCTTTGGCCATATCCCAGATGGCAGGTATTATTCGTCGACAGGACCTCACTTTATCGGAGTTCTTGGAGCTATACGCGGATCACAAAGAACATGCCAGTCTTTATGAAACAAAGTTCGATACCAATCTCGTCACGTATCGTCACTCGCTTTCTACTGTTTGGGCATTTGAGAAGTTGAAGCCCCAGGCGCGGGAGCTTTTGGAGCTCATTTCTTTTTTCGACCCAGATTTCATTGGAGAAGACATGTTGATGGAAGCATCTGTGGAACTTCTTTCCGAGGGCGCACAATTCAAGAAGAGTACCTACATTGAAGCTCGGACTGATCTTTTGCAGTCATCTCTAGTCCAAAGAGACAAGCAAAAGCAACAGTTATCGGTCCACCGCATCGTACAAGATGCAATCTTGGCAATAATGGATGTGAAAAAGAAGCATTTCATGTTTGACCGGATAGTACGAGTTCTTTGGGCCAACTGGCCATCGGCTATGCCCAAGCCATCAAAAGAGCCAGAACTACCCCAGCCCAAATCAACCGGCGGCAGGCTACATGTTGGAAGGTGGCCTGTTTGTGCATCGATTTACCCTCACGTTCTACGACTACATCAACTGTGGACAACATTAGCAGATCTCTCCGAAGCCACCAAGTTGCATTTCGCAAAATTACTGAATGATGCTGCGTGGTACGTATATGACTTTCAACCCTTTTTCTTCCCATTTTTCTGACATTGCCAGGTATCAGAAAGAGCGTGGACGAACAAAGGGGTTTGATGGCTTCTTTGAGACTGCTAGCAACATCTGCGAGTCCTCAGCCCACCCAGATCGGGATTCTCTGCTTGCAGATATCTACTTCTGCTTGGGGGCTATTGCTATGGATGCGAGCGATTTCGACAAAAGTCGCCTTCATAAGGAGCAGTCTTTGGAGCTAGTTTCCAAAATATGTAGAGAACTGGGAACTGCTGACGAAAGGCTATATCTTGCGTACGCGGAGCGAGGAATCTCACGCATCCAGGACAAGCGATATGAGGAAGGTGAAGCTGATCTCAAGGAGGCACTGCAGATGCGCAAAGCTCTTGGAAACTACGTTCCCCGGTCGGGCGAGGTAAACTTGAGCTGGGCTCTTCTTGCACAAGGAAAGCTTGAAGAGTGCGATACGCTTCTTCTGGAAACATTGGCAGGCAGAGAAAAGGCTTTGGGCAAAGATGATAGAGAGTCTGTTCGGACGGGACTGGTTCTCTATGCACTTGGAAATCTTCGTGCGACTCAAAATCTATGGGACGAGAGTTTTGAGTATCATCAGAGAGCATTGCGCCATATGCGTGCAACCGTGGGTGAGAGAGATTTCTACACCGCAAATGTCACCCACAAGATTGCCGAGCACCTTTTTCGCTCCAGTCGGAGCGAAGAGGCGATGTGAGTGTTGCCACCTTCAATTATGTAACTGGAAACTGCTCTAACTTCTCTTAGTGCCATGAGTAACAGGGCGCTGGATATTTGGTCGATTGATCCAAGTGCACACAAGAACGAGATTGCGCGCACTACCTTTCTCAAGGGCCAAATGTTTGAGGTGACAGGAAAAAAGCAAAAGGCTTCCGTTGCTTTTAGGGTTGCCTGTCGCTTGAGGAAGGAGATTACCATGGAGGATCGTGATGTGAAGAGCTTGACTACAGAAGACTTTGACGATATTGTTGCATTTTGGGCTCGATGATGAGCCCCCTTTCTCTATACATCAAATGGAAGCGGATGGCAAGGTCGTGCTTAATATTGTTCCGGTTGCTTCTTCGAGTCAATGTTAGAGTCTGTCGCAATCTATGCGGGAGCTTTTACAGAAATAGACCACCTCAGCTTGGCAGGGTGCGTGCAGGGACGTACGAAGAAGCTACTGGTAGTGTTTTTGATACCTATTGAGATACACGCTGCATCGAATTGCTTTTAGCTACTGTAGTATATCCATGCAATCTCATCCTGATCTAGAAGAAAGAGTAGGTTGCTCCAAACAAAGTATATTATAGCCAAGCATCTGCTCTGAAAGTAATATGCAAAGATAGGCTGAGCGAGTTAATCTCTGCAGAACTCTCACCTAGTCTCTTTTCGCCTTTACTTACCTAAGTTATTGCTGGTAATCCTGTTTGCAGGCCTTCTTCTGCAGACAGGTATACTGTAGCCGCTTTCGTCTCTGATAGGTCCGCACCCAGCCTGGTTTGGTTCAATAATGACTAACCTCACCGCAGCCGGCCTTACCGCTCTTGGTCCAATCTGGGCCCCAAGCCACTTACATTCTACGCAGAAAGATACAGTGTAGATGCGCCAGGTCTGACCAAATTTGCTGCTGGAGTCAGGCTCTTTCTTTGCATGACCTAGTACGCCATTGTACGATACAGCATGTTCTTTTATAGCGTCGTCATCCTGTGAGAATGCAAAATAACTATCAATATTGATAACTTAATCCTCATGTAACAAATGTTCAAAAGCAAGGTAAGAGGCTGCTCTGAAGCTCTAGATTCATCGAAAGTTGTGTAAAGCCCATAGTATTAGTCGACGCTCTGCATCGACACAGAGGGACCAACAGGGCACCATCACAACCTCTCTTTCAACGCCGGAACTGGAAAAACCCTATATTCACATGAGCAGTCAGGGATGGAAGGCACATAACGCATGGACGCGATTTACTGTCTACTCACCTGGCGAATAGCAATATATTAGACGCACTCGAAGGGGTAATCCTAATTCTCACATGTGCTACTGTCAGCAAACTATTTAAATCCCTTGCATGTCAATATTTTCCATTCTGCAGAGTTGCAACTGTCTTCCTCTAGATTATACTAGACTGTCTCTAGTTGTCGACTACATCTCTTACTACACTGGTTGAACAGTGCATCTTTTCCTTGCACAACCTAATACTCTTTCTAAAGGGATAAACGTTTCGACAAATAGCGTGTCGATCAGCTCAACATGTTTCCAATCTAGGAGTTCCGTAACAATCACTACAATGTCCTCGCCATACGCAAATTACGGGCCAGCCTTCTTCAGCGTAGAGTACCGTGTGAATGGACTATGGAATAACTTGCTAGGCCAATTCTACAAGACGGGTGCCGCAGACAAAGACTTCATAATCTCTCCAGAAGCGTATCCCAAACCGGATGACACAAAGGCGTTGAAAGCGGACATCCTAGTCAGCTTGCTTACTAGCGGGACAAGTGGATTTTCAATCTCCACGCCAAAACTCGTATATGAGGGCAAAGGAGCAGCAAGCAGGAACAGTTTTGAGGATATCATGGACCAGTTGGAGAAATGGCTAGCACAGGCTGCACGAGTTAGCCCATTCAATTGCTGGGCAATTGGCACTATCGGCTCCAAAGTTGTCTTCATGTTCTGGCAAGATGACACTATCCAATGGCTGGACTGGGTAAATAACAGACCGGGTCCTGTCTCGTCACCAAAGGCTTACGATATTACAATCGATGCTGATTGGGGTGTTGTTTCAGCCATGCTTGCCTATTTTGTAGGTCATCCTTTGTAGCATGACAATATACTTGCAAAACAGATACAGACGTTATTCAAATTAGCTTATCCAGAATACTTGCTGCTATGCCACTTTACAGAACATCAATCCCATACTTTATGTAATCGAAGGCTTCTAGACTCGGTATGCTTTCAGCCCAACCGTCATCGACCTCCCCTAGCTGCCAGTCGTCTCCGAGTTTACTCATGCCCATCCTCCCAGCTAACACATGCTTCTGCTTGGTTTCATATTCAGCCGCCACATCTTGATGCGGGACCCAAATAACCCTCATCCCGGCTCGTCTTCCAGCCTCAACTCCTGCCACACTATCTTCAAAGACCAAACACTCGTTGGGCATGATGATCTTCTCATCCGCATTGGCCGCCGAGTTCAGCGACTGCAATGCGACTAGATATATGTCAGGCGCCGGCTTCCCTCGACCCGGTCGTACCCGTGCATCATCGCCCAAGATACGTCGTTCGGATGGGAAGAAATCTAGCAGATGCTTTGTTTCCGGCCTTGATGTTTTCAATCCGTAGCCATGGCTCTTGGTACTAGATGCCAATGCCAATTTGATCTTCTCCCCTGTAGAAGTACTTCGTGCACGACTGAGATCTGACAGAAGATTTTCCGCACCAGGCAACGGTTCGCAACTCGGAAAATGGACTTGCATTTGTCCGTTCAGTTCGTGGGCGAATTCCTCGCGAGATATGGGCAGTTTGGCCCAGTCGTGGAACACATCGCCGTTTGTTGAATCTGGGACGCCCATGAGCTGGACTCGAATCGACCGAGTGAAAGCAGGCCTTCCGTACTTTTCAAGAAGTTGGTTTGTGCAAAGGGTAATTATGTCTTCGGAGTTGATGAGAAGCCCATCCATGTCGAAGATGCATGCACGGATTGGGGGAAACCTGTAAATAGATTTTTTTTTAGTCGCAGGCTTTACGTCGCCACTCTTGCGTCTGTGTTTATAACGCACATGGATATTTTCTGTAAGGGTGAACTCACTTTGATTCAAGAAGAGCCATAATGTTGCAAATGGCCAAAGGTGTTATGCCTTTATGATCTGGACAACGAGCCGAGCCTGAGACAAGTGTTATGACACAAGGAGAATGCACCAAGGCAGGATAGTTACGTAGGTAACTATTAATAGTTCAGGACGCAGAGAGCCTCTATTATCATAGTCCAGGGCATAGACAGTCTTTGTCTCGCGTTGCGAAACTCGCAACAACGGAGAAATCGGCTCCGGCTAAGCAGCGCACGAGCCCCCGTACCCCGTACCCCGTACAGGTTCCTAGCCAATGAGGAAGCCACGATACGTTCATACAAGCTGCCCAGCATCAGTGAACACATTACTATTGTACATGGTTGGTTGCCACCTTCATTGGAACCATTACTGTTCATATAGACGCTGCATATTTGAACCTAGCTTACATGGACAAAGAAGGTCTTCCTTCGTTCTATGGTTTTTTCCAAATTCTTATTATTTTCTGAATGGTTTTCGAGGTGTTATGTTTTTAATGTCCTAATCCCTCTCCAGTCTCGGCCATGTCTTTCTGACAATCAATCATCATCTTTACCATGTTGGCAACCTCTTCAAGCCTAGAAAGTACCACCTTATTTCCCTCAACAAATCCATAACATTGATACCGTATTCCTGTCTTATCAGAGAATTCCTTTACAAGTTCTTGACATTTTCTTAGGTTATGTCTCGGTACTCTTGGGAATAAGTGATGGACTGCTTGAAACTGCAAACCTCCATGCAGCCAGTCCAGCCAAGCAGGGCAATCGACATCCATGGTTGTTCGTAGCTGGCGTTGGGGAAATGACTCAGTTGGGCCAAGATCAACTGTCGGCATGCCCCAATGCGATAGGGTTATCTGGACGTGCAAAACCATCGTAATGAGATGCGAAACTAGTACGAACGCAATGCGAATGGGCCATGATGGGAGGGTCAGCCAAACAAGCTTGTACCCAAAGAGTACCCAGTAACATGCCATGAATAAGAGCTCAATTGGGCGCGTCCACCATGCAGCACCTAACTGCGCTGCTCTAGGCGAACAGAGATGAAGCCAGCTGAGAATATACAAGTTGAACCGAGCAAGAGCCATCACAGGATAATACGTGTATTTTTGGTAGGGAATCAGGAAGTCGGCCGCAGAGTCCCAGGCGAATTGGAAGTTGTAGAATGAGGACAGAATAGACTTGAGGTATGTAGGCGAAGTAGAGAACAGGGGAAGATTTTGAATGTCCGGATCATGTTCGGGCATGTTTGTAACCAGGTGGTGAACATTGTGCGAAGACTTCCACCACCCTATGCTAAGGCCACAGCAGAAGTCTGCAATGAAAGCACCAATAAGTGTATCGATGATGAAATTTCCAGTAATCCCTCGGTGACCTGCATCGTGTGCTGTGAACATAATCTGTTGCTGTGTAGTTGACGTGAGCTAAACATTCCCTGCGCGAGGGACGAACTAGGCTTACCCAAAACATCCCCAAAAACATTGCGGATGTGAGGTACCATTCAGCGTTGAGGAAGGCAAGGAATGTACCAAACAGTCCCATATATCTTATCATCTCAATTCCATACTCTGCATAGTTGCATCTGTAGAGCCCTTCGTCCTTGATCTGTTGATGAAGCGCGCGGTAGTCTATCGTGATTGCGCGCTGCGTAGCAGTGTCTAAAGAGGGATTCTCACGCACCCCTTGTGCAATCTCCTTTTCCTCCTGCTCAGTAGCATAACGCTGGCGATATATCGTCCTTGTTGACTCGACCGATTCGTTATACGTTCGTGCATCTGATGAGAGCATTTTCTCCGGGATTGCACCAGCACTTGCATCCGACCTTCGAGAACACGTCCCTTTTACATTCAACTTTTTGCTTATGATGGAAGCTGCCTTTGGTATTCGGTCAGCCTTGCTCTAGTGTGCTCTGGTATATCCATGAAGCAGGTAGACCCACGAGACATGGATCGACACTGCGACGGCGTCTTGTGTCTACGCGCTCTTTATGCAGTGCGACATTCTCATAATAGCTAGGCGAGCGGATCGGTGGTTCTAGGTTGGCCCAGGGTTCTCGGACTCGACCAATACGATGCCGTTTCATCATCAAGAGCGCCTTGTTCGAGTGGTAACTGTAACTAGCAGTTGAGATGAAGTTAGTTTAAGGTGCTGATGTAAACGTTCCGCGCGCATCCGGTGCCGTTAAGGTGGGAGCCTGCGCGACCATCCGACCACTCACATGTTGATTTCATCTGTAGCATCACGACCGACCATATGCAATATAGAAAGCCGGCCCCCAGGGTGGTGATCAATCCAATCTGACAGATCGAGAGCATGCCCTTCGTGTATCACTATGGGATGGTGCTTCTCGATCGTTTCCTCGATACGTGCAGCAGAGATTTCCTTCTCCGACATTGTAGTCACAAGGGCACTGCTGGCTCCTGTTAAGGCGAAGTTGGTTGTTAACCTTTGACGAAGGAATCTAACAAAAGAGGAGCAGGAACTCTGTTTCTTAAGAAAGCAACAGGAAACAGGGGCGGCATATCCGACTGATGAACACTTCGTAGACCTTAGCTCTCCTTGAAGTGGGTATGGGCAAAGGACTGGATCTGAGCAGTAGTAAACGCCATGTCCGACGCGCCAATCAATCTAAGAACTGGCGACCATCATTATTGGAGATCTTGCAGTTCACAGCCTCCTCCCCGTGTGTTCGGTAAAGGGTGTAACACCGAATAACGACAAGGGTTTGGTTTGGCAAAGCGTCCAGACGCACCAACATTATGCAGCCGCAAGTGGCAGATTTTCTGCAGTACAATCTAATGACACGAATCTCATCTAGATACATAAGGGATTGCTTGGAAATAATTCATACAATATTGAGCACAAGGCTCGAAATGGATTATCCGGAAATTTTATTTTCCCGAATATGATTGCGACAAAAGATGAACGCCTGTCTGTATCATCTAGCGCTATCATAAGATTGCTTGCAGAAATCCTGTCAAAATGTGGCAGTTAACATGTGGGCCTACTAGTGCAGAAAGACACCAGATGTGTGCGTGTACAAATGCGTGCGTATACGTCGTCGAGTACATCGTCATTGACATGTTTCCGTATCGGAGACCGATCACGCGTACCCGTCGTATTCGTTCCATTGCGAACGAGTCCAACTCGACGCGTACGACTCCAATCGTATACAAGTAGTTTCGAAAAGCCCTGTTAGGTCCAGATGTCAATCTCTGCTGCCCAGCAGTAGAGAACACGTTGTGTGTAGGTGTTAGGGGCTGACGGAATAGGAGAACTGAGCGATGGCTTGGAACAGTGCCGTTCTTGGCCCGACTCCTTCGCGGGTGAAATCCAACTGTCCAACAAAACGCTGCATGCTCAGGCAGAATCGTAAAGTACATTAGTGGAATAGTAGTACAGGATTAAATGTTTATTCACATGTCTCAAGGTGGCCTTCAAATCAGCAGGCTTACCCAGTATCTAATCGGCGCGCTGACTAGACACGAAGATGTTCTCTGCATATGAGACGCCAAAGCAGTCTCGACTGTCGAGTGAAGAATTGTACCTGTCCCCGGATTTTCACACTAGCTATTGGGCAACGGAAGCTACTTGAAAGATGAGACTTAACCCCCCACATCTTCATACTTGACGCGCGTTCGGCGCTAATTTATTTTAGTCCATTTTGACCTCGACTATCATACTAGTAGATACGAAATACGTAGAACAAGTACTGAAACAACCAACAAAAGATATTTGAAAATTTAGACCTTTGCAGCGTAGTAACTTGAAGCATCTCTAATCTGTACTATGCTATGTTACTAGACAGAGCACTGGAGACGAAGACCTTGAATTCTCGTCGAGTTTGTACTTTGAAAAGGCCTAGCAATATCCTTTCATCACTCGTGTAGTATTCAATCCAAGTAGTTAACTCTATTGATTGTACAGGGTAGGGTTGACCTTCGCCACAATATCCAGGTGCCTCCAGACATTACTCATTGTAACTTGCTCCAGTCAGTCAACGCCATGTCGTAACTGAACTCCATTTTTGACTCTTATGGTTGTTAACCAGCTATCTGTAGAACGCAGATCCTGAAACCAAAGCCAGGAGATAACCATTGATTATGGCTCAAGAATGAATCTACACACTCCATTACACCAAAGGAGAGACCCATCATGGTTGGTACTTGTAGATAATCAAGATATCGATCTCTCAAGCACAAACTACTAGTCGGTAAGTACTACAAATCAGTACTAAATGACTCAAACTATCACGGATAGGCGGGAGCTGTGACCATTATACGCGATTTGGACAGTGACCAGCCAATGAGTTAACTTCTGATACCCTTTGCTTGTCATTGTTGATTGAATATTGTTTTACGCAAGAATGATAAATAGAAATATAAGAAATCTTGGCAGGTCTCCGTATTCCGACCACTTTAAGTCATAGCATCGACAAAATGTGACAGTATTTCACGTTGGCGTTCATATCATGTCCGATGTTTGAATTCCAATGCACTGTTCCGACCTAGGCTAGGTATAATGGGTTCGGATGAGAAGAGAAAACGGATCAACAATGGCAAGTCAGAATAGAAAAGAGGACAACAGTTAAAACGCTGTCACCAAGGTGTATATTCTTTCGGGTTAACCTGTACGACTAATACACCAATGAAAGGGATACAGGCTCTATGGTGGTGGCCTACCATCCTCTTTCGCTCTTGGGCCATCGCACGGCTCCTCCAACCTACTCTGCGAGATACGCTGGGTCACTTCACCTTCCCAACCTATTAAGATGCCATCTCCGCCGGGCGCGGACGCGTCCCACCCGAGCTTCGGTAGCCCGTTGACTGGATCCTCTGCAAATGCGAGCCAGAAATCTTGCATTTGTTCTGAAACCTCGACTTCAAAACGTGGAGATGTGCCTCTCGCGATTCCATGTGTGCCGAAGAGTAATGGCAATTCAGCAGAATGATACGCACCCTGCCACCACTGGGGAGAAATATTGGAAAAGTTCCCGCCATATAGATAGTTGAATGTAAGTGCCTCGACAGAGTGCCTTAGTTGTGTGGTTCCGACTACAGGACAATGAAACAGGGACAGAGTAGTTCTGTTTGCACTAGCCTGGTTAGGGCCATGCGTGCGGTTATAGGGCTGAAAGAGTGCGCCCTCGTTGGTAGTAGAGCCTGCTATAGCGGGTACCTTCGCAAACTTCCCGTCGTACGCACGTGCTGTGTTATTGGAAAATTTGGTTGAATTATCGATAATGGGGTTGAAAGAGATGCCGGGCGCACTATTGTAATCTTTGCGGAAGGATGTAATTTCCTCTGAACTGACCTTTCGCAAACAGTCAAGTTCTTCTTGAGGACCGAGCTCTCCACAACCAAGCTGTGAAGCGACAAACGTGAAGTTCGTTTGTTCCCGGTCATTAGAGGCAATGTTGAAGAATGTGCTCCCAGAGGATAATATTAACCCAGCAATAATTGGGTCGTCCGGGTACGCAAAGTTGTAGAGATCTGCAGCTACGGCACCAGCGGAATGACCCCAGAGAGAGATGCGTGATGGATCTCCTCCAAAGTTCTCAATGTTTGATCTGATCCATTCAAGGCCAAGTCGCTGATCGAGGAGTCCAAGGTTCTGTTCATTAGACTTTAATCCCCTTGCGTTGGGGAATCCGAAAATATTTGATCGGTAGCTACAGGTCGAGGTAAGTGAGTGGTTCACCTGCACTCTTGCGGAATTGCTTACTTGATGCCGACTACGACGAGTTTCTGACTGCGATTGACCCATCGACTGGGATTCAGATACTGTACATTGCCTCCTCCATTCTGAAATCCACCGCCGTATATCCATACGATGACGGGTAACCGTTCCGTCCTTCCTTTCTTGCTACCTCGTGGTGCCCAGACATTTAGCACAAGGCACTCTTCGCCAATGTCGTCCACAGGCACTATGAATTCAGGAACATCATTTCGAGTAATTCCGGGGGAGTTGTCCTCAATCTGCGGGCAATTCTTGCCAAAGTTTGTAGCGTCGATGGACTCTTCCCGCGCCTTTGTAACGGCTGGAAGCCATCGTCTCTCCCCAACAGGTTGCTCGGCATACGGGATCCCAAGGAATTGAGCGACATTGGGAGTCGTGTCATCAACAAAACCCGTGACAGGACCTGCTGTTGTTTCGATAGTCAAGCCTAGCGGGGCAGAATCCGATGCCTTTGCACGTCTGAGAAGGAGCGGCGGTAGAAGGGCAACAAGCAGAATTATGATCAAGGCAAGAGCAGCGAAAACGGGCCAATATCTGCGCGCCCTACTTGCATGACCCTTTTGGTCTTTCTGTCGGCGCTTGAATATCATTGAGTGCGGTTTGATCGTTGCTTCGCGATAAAGACAGAATGTGTCGACTGGTCTTGGAAGGGGAACCGTCACCCAGCAGGCGTTCGAAGAATCAAGGTCGCGCGGGCATTCTCGCTGATGAACACGCTGGAAAGAAACTTGAGGCCAATCTCCCCCGATCTGATATTTTCGCAGCAAATGGTGAGTAGAAAGAAGGAAACATGCGCGATGTTTTGCAGAATCTAAGCATCTCCTGATTTCGAGGGCGTTGTGACGCCATTGTTGAGATGACGCTTCTAAGCCAAGGCAGCTGGGTTGTTGGCAATACCTTGGCCCTTGGCAGGGGAGAAATCAAGATGACCGTTACTTGAGTGTTGTAGTAGCTTCACTTATGTGGTTACTAGTACTGGAGGACGAAGAAGCAATACTTAAGCTTAAGATAAATTTAAATAATGAGAAGAATGTCGCGACATGTACGTCAAAGTAAAGAAGAACAATATAGAGGGGGTAATAGCCGTTTACCGGATACCTTATGCAGGCAAACACTTAGCGCGCCTACACAAAGCCGCTGCCTTGGCCGCCATTATTATTCCAACATTCCCACTTAGAACCCTACGGTCTGTAGCCATTGATGTGCTGCTCCAAAGGACTCCGATGCAGAGTACTGAGTGTTGATGGCATGAGCCGAATCGTCCGGTACATAAGCATCGAATCGAGATGCCTTAGGAAACAGAACCCGCGTCCCGTCTGGGTTTGATCCTTTCCCAACGCCACAGTCTGGCACAAAAGCTGTTATATTCCCATTCCCGCAGACAATCTGGTCCTGGCGACCGGTGATCACCAGAACCGGGCCGGTGAAATTGCTCGGGACAGCATTTGCAGACTGAGACGCAGCAATTTCTCCAACGGCGAAGACATGTGGCTCATCAATGTCGACCTGTAACATCTTGGGATCATACTTCCCATCCAGCGGATACAGCCCATCGCGGACACCCTGGGGCGCGACTGCTAGGTAGCCTGGGACAAGGTCCCCAAACTGCTCGGGTTTGACAGCACTAGCTGACTGCGCATGTGTCGCGGCGACGAAGCCTCCAAGACCGGGGAGCTTGTTGGATGTTGCTGTAAGAATATATGCATCCGCACCGTTTGTAGGAAAGAATTGGGCAACGAGACGAGCGATGACGGAACCGTATGAATGCGATACCAATACGACCTTTTCATAATCGGGAATTGATGGGAGCGCACCACGTCGGAGGCTTTGAATTATACTCTCTAGTATCGCAAGTTGCAGCGGCCCTTGCACAATGTCGACGGGATCGGGGTGGTCGCTTTGGCCATTTCCGAGGTTGTCAATGGCCAGAGTGGCATAGCCTTGGGATTGAGCATGTGCAACCCAAGAGTATTGTCCCGGGAACGTTGCGGCGGCTCCATTGTAACCATTCCAGTACTCCTGTCTACAATTTAGAGTGGCTCAAGATATCTCATTGATGCAAACTCACCTTAGTTCCAGAAAGTCCATGCAGGAGAACTTGGATCGTGTTCTCACGGTGGTCGACTTTGACAGTCGGCTCACAATATGTTGCACTAATGTTAAAGGTACCATTGACTAGCTGTCTTGGAAGGGCAGAAGAGTTGAAATTTAGGTATTCGTACAACACTCCGGGCAAGGTGGAGTTAGGGTAGGGTGGAAGCTTGACATTGTTTGCTTGGGCCTGGATCGGAAGGTCGACCGTTTTGCAATGGCCGTCATGCCCAAGGGCTGAGGGCTTGATCGTTGGACCAGCGGAAACGAAGACTCCAAGGGTAAGAACTGTTGATATCGTATATATTTTCATTGCAAGGTTGATGGAAATCAATGGGTTGAATGAACAGGAAGTTGAGAGTAAGCTGGGCTGGTCTGAGAATTCCAAGTTCGTAGAGGATTGAATTGTCCACATACTCATGGGAACTACATGTATTTATAATTTTCAACGGAAATCCATTCCTTCGCAGTGTGTTCTATATTGTCTACTAAACTTATTGTGCAAACATCGTATAGTGTAGGTGTTGTGCTCTAGCAAGAGCTTTTTACCAGGCCATTAACCTTCAGTAGACTAACTATCGGAGTAGATGCGTCCGGATGGCGGAGTACGATGTAAGCTCCTGTTTGTCACCGCCTCTTCGCATATAATGTGAATTCAACAAGCTCCATCAGGTATTACTGAAGCAGAAGTAGAGACTGGTGAAGGCTGCCAAGGATAGCAATTCCCGTAAATGGATATAGTATTCCGGCGAGTTGAAAAAGCCTCTCAATGTGGTTTGGAGGCCTTACATAGTAAGCCTGACTTTTAACCTTAACAGGAGAAGCAGAGCCACAGCCTGCCAAGGAGAGCACTCGCCCAATCAGGTATATACTTGGTAGATTGGGTCGACAGATAAAATACTTCTGGATATATTTGAATAATCCAACTGATACATTCCGATCGAGAATAATCAATCGCTATCAATAGCAAAAATTCATACTTTCTTTGCAGCTCTCCGGGGCGTCCTATGGCTAGCCACGGTTACAGGAAAAGAAATAGGTGCATAATTCAAAATTCGAAGGCTACATTGAGCAACAAGTCGTTACGACTAGGCCAACCAATATTGATCAGCACAGCCAGTACATTATGTCTAAACAATTCCAGTTCATACTTGCTGCAAATGATGCAAAATCAAAGAAGGAAAATGCTCGTGTAATCAGGATGGCCGCCATGAGAACATTCCGAAGGAACCAAAGATTTAGTCTTGTCAACGAGTACACGGCCGATAGACATAAGAAGCATGGTTGTGTTTGTTCTCAGAGTCCAGGATCCAGCAATCAAACAGGAGAGGATTCCTCGGACATTTCACTCAATAGTGAAGCCGATTGGTCTTTGGGGTTTCGATGGCGAGCCACCCTAGTCGACATTGGACCCATCGTCGCTTTCGATCCCTTTGTGTCTACTACATTACAATCGACCCATGAGTACATCGAACTCTTTACCCGCTGTAAGTGCACATTTGATTTATAAAATTGCCTATGTGCTCAAACCAATAGTCGTCTATACGACCTCGGTCGTTATTCAGCCGCTTGGAAAAGATGTCACCAAAAATCCTTTCAGTGTCATCTTCGCACGCAATGCCCTTGCTGATCCTTTGATCCTTACTGCGATCTTGTATCATACCAGCGTACATTACGACAGACACAGTTCTGCCACTCTCATTTACTATAATGAGACAGTACGTCAACTTGCGCAGCGGCTGGGAAACTCAGACCAGATCGCCGATGACAGCACCATTGCCGCTGCTGGGTTGCTGGCAGCTACTGGAGTAAGACTTTCTCTTGTTTTGGCTTAGACCTTGCATAGCTAATTCTGTGAAAGAATATAACCGGGGACTTTCGGGACACACTTGTTCACTGGGAAGCACTTCAAAGGATGGTCAGGATAAGAGGCGGTCTGCAGGCTCTTGGTTGGGATGGTGCTCTAGCGATGATTCTTTCCGTGTAAGAGTGAGCTTCTTGTGCAGCCCTTCTCGTCGCTAACTCCAACCAGCAGCGACTTAATCTCCTCTACCATTACACTGTCTATTCCTCGGTTGGAAAGACCTGTCCAGCATTTGTCGAATACTGACCCATTCCTTCTATCGTTTTCCAAACGATCATACTTCATTGACTACACCGATATGACTACAACGCTAGATTACCTTGTCCGGTCAATCTCTGAGCTCGTATTTCGGTATCTGGAATCCAAAGGTTCCTTGACTAGTTCGACAACTTCCATCATCTGCTTCACACAGATCTTGTCCACTATCGAACATTGCCTACTTTCCATCCAACTACCATCGTCAAATGATCCATCACCAGACGTCATTAGTATCCGAATTATTCAGGTGGCCAGAATTGCCGCCTTGATCTCTACGTCGTATTATTTTCGAGCTTTTACACAGGAAGCAGCGTTCACTGTAAGCCTATACAAGAAGTTTCTAGAGATTGTGCGAGATATTGAACCCATCTGCCCAACAGTCCGTAATGCATTACTACTAAAATTACATTTGTGGTCCATTTTGGTCGGTTGCATAACATCCAGGAACAAAGAACTATTAGAGTCTCAAGTACAGCATTACATGGGTTTACTAAACCTAGCGGATTGGAAGGACTTGGAGACCTTCTTAGAAGGTTACATTGTTGCGCCGGAATATGACGCATCACAATGAATCTCTTTCAATCAAAATGATCGACAATGAGAATAACACAAGATTGTACGATAGAGCAAATGATCTAGATATTACTTTTGAAGCGAGCTCCTCAATCTTTGTCTCTACCGGATCATGGATCATATAGTATCATTCTGATGCTTTTATGTACAGGTATTGCCTGATTAGAACCTCTGGTCTGTGGATTTTATACATAGCAATGCTCTGCAGTTTTGACTGTTTGGACCAGCGCGCAATGATACTATAATTGGAAAAACTCACAGTAAGAAAACGTAAGTAAAGCGCTAGTAGCAGAGGTAATTTCCAAGCTTGTTAGCTGGTGAAACCCCCTGCGTCATGCAAATGATGGATACCTATATCAACCATGCCGTTTTCCATTTCAATACGATGGTGCGTTCTATCGGGATCGTTGCGTCACAGCCAGCACACTATACAGATGTCAGCAACGCTTACAGATTGCCGCTTTCTGCTAGTTTCAGGGAAGTCGAACCTTAATTTCTTCATAGTTACCATGGTTTGCATAGCCCGCAAGTCTTAATAGTGAGATCAACTTGATCCCAGTTCAAGATGGATTCTTGATGACGTTTGTGGCGAATGGTCACTACTTTCCCCCCAAAGTAGGCCCCCCTAAGAACGGATCTGGATGTATATCTATACTGCTGCTCCCCATAGTAAAAGCTGTTGTAGAAAGGCAAATATAATTTTTTGCAATACGTTTGCCAACATGTTGAGAAATCTGTATGCCCTTACCTTCTTTTTCTTTGCAAGTACCAAAGCGTGGTCATCAACAAACAACCAATATGTTCGCCAACAGAATGGTATAACATGGAGAGTCTGCCCGCAGGAGCTCCACGAACTCGACAATAGCAATAGAACATTCGAATGCGGTACCTTGAGTGTCCCATTGGACTACACCAATAATTCATCCAGTCAAAGGATTAATCTTGAGATTATACGAGTCCCCGCTACAAAGGAACCGAGGAAAGGGAGCATCTTTTTCAATTTTGGCGGGCCTGGTGGTGATGGACTCACCAACATGGCAGGGTCAGCTTCCAATATCCAACCGTAGGCCTCCTTGTAGAGAACGAGAATCTGATGAATCAATACTGACTATACACGCAGTATTACTGGTGGTTATCATGATCTCATTAGCTGGAATCCTCGGTAATTGCAAAGGAGCTCCTTCAATTGTCATAAACAAACATGCTCACTGACTTTTCTCAGGGGAACAGGAAACACTCTTAGCTTCAGTTGCTACGAGAATTCAACCGATCGTGCTTTGGCTGATGTTGCCCTCCACAATCCCCTGGCCAACGCTACTGCTGATGGAAGTGCTCTTGGCCGCGCCTTTGCAGAAGGAAAGCTTTTTGCCGATCAATGTAAGCAGATGCAGAACGCAACCGGCGAGTATGTCGGTACGGCATTCACGATTAGAGATATGTTTCGGATCCTTGATAATCTCGATGAAGAGGGAAGGTTGCAGTACTGGGGTAAAGTGGAACGCTTTTGATGCATTTCATCTCTCTGACGGAATATAGGCATGTCATACGGCACTGTGCTTGGTGCTACTGCGCTGTCCATGTTCCCAGATCGCATCTACAGAGCGGTCTTAGACGGGGTTCAAAACAGTCACGAGTACTATCACACCTTGTATGTTCTCCGTGAAGTGGACCATACTCATAGCTAACAATCCACAAGTGGTGATCCCGAGATGTATACTGATTTTGACGTTACTTGGAACGAGTTCCTCAAAGCATGTATGGAAAATCCAGATACTTGTGCATTGTCACGACATGCTCCGTCGGCTGGTGAACTCGCGGCAAAGATGGATCACATGCTCGACGATCTCAAGCTCAACCCTTTCTCAGCAGGCCACTCTATTATCGACTATAATCTGGTCAGACGCAACTTCTTTGCCGACATTTACAATCCAGTATCATACTCCAGGTTTGCAACAACATTAGAGGCTGTGCTTGTACGGAACGTTACAGCACTTTCAGCATTATTGGCCGAAGATCACGCTTTCGAGGTTCCAACAATGGCCGAGACGCTCCCCGCTGTTCGGTGCAGCGACAAATTCCCACGATCCGAAACACTTGGCCCTGTCAATGTCGAACTCGAGGACCGACTTTACAAGACAAGCGCCAGATTTGGAGATAATCCCTCATTTACAATGTCAGCTTGTGCACAATGGGGATTCAAGGCTAAAGAGCGATACAATGGACAATTCTACGCTAAGACGAACTTTCCAGCGCTGTTTATTGGGAACACTTGGGATCCTGTTACCCCACTTAAATCGGCGTACAACATGTCCGAGGGGTTCGAGGGATCAGTAGTGCTTCAGCACAATGGGCATGGAGTGAGTTCTACGCGATCGGCCTTCCTTGCTACGATGCTAATACTACCTAGCACATGACATTTGCGCAGCCGTCGTCTTGCACCTCCAAGTATATCGCGGATTATTTTGTCAATGGCACTTTGCCAGAGCCTGGAACTGTGTGTGAGCCTGATGCTCCTCTTTTCCGCAAGCCAGTAACATAGATAAATGCTATTCTAGCATTATTTCTCGATAATCAGATGCCCGCATACGTAGATCAAACATATACTATGCAGAGCTTTACAGAGTTCTCATATCTAGAATGATTTACCAGAGCACCAAGGTTGTCATTTGAAGCGAGGAACAAGGTTCTATCCCCTGCTGACATACTACAACTTGCCTATACTACTACGCGTAAACCCCGCTGACTTAGGCGGCCTGTTTGGCTGTAGGAGAGCCGTTAATGGTCTCTGATTGGGTGCCAAACGTGAAACAGGCAAACCCACTCTCCGTTGAAATCAGGTGCTATAAACTTCGTGCTACGTAAAAAGAGTTTAATAACTTCCACCCACCGATCACTGCTGCAGATAGTAACCTGATATGGGAGGTACATACTTGCTCGAATTTTGTTGGTATTCGTAAATTTGATAGATTTTGATGAATCTTAGAAATACAGATGCAATCCATTTCAATCAATTGATCCGACTTAGGTGCCCAGGTACGTCGCGATTCAGAGGGTCAATCGGAAATCTGATCGCTTCTTAAAGGGAACTTCATGCTTACGGATGTCTGTCCCTCGGTTGAATATTTAAAGCTCTTGCTCTTGCCTTCTGTTGCGGATGCTAACTTGTAACACGTTCTGGAGTAGAAATTCTCGTTCCATCGTGCCTGGCAGAGCAGTTAGGAAGTCATCATTCACACATAGGCTAATGAGAGTATTGCGGCGCAGTTGCCTGACAGTCCCTATTGAGTAGCTGATTGAGTGCAACAAAGGGTCCGGGACTAATAACCCCCTGAAGTGCGTCAGACACTAATATCATGAGGCATATTAGGATGCATGTAGGGCTTGCGTACGCGTAGGTGGCGGAATGCTTACCCTGCTTAGACTTTCTTGTCTGCAGATAGCAAAAGCTTGCTCTTACCCAAATGTACACTAGTTAGGGTATAATCGAAGAGCAACAACATTTGTATGCAGAAAACCAACAAAGATCCACTACTCGGCCGATGATGGAAATGGAAGGTCAGGACACGGAAGGATTTCGCTTACTGGATACGAGTAGTTCTTTGCTGAGGGATTCGCGGCTATAGCCAATCGTTTTAGCAGATCAAAGAGCCAAAACAGACTGCCTCAATCCTTCCCGAACCATGAACTGATTGTAACACAGCGCTTACGGGCGAATACTCAAGGTAATCCGATAATATCCACTGAACTTGCAACCCAAGGCCAGAGCCGCAATCATTTATCTACCACAGGGTATATTACATGCGTTGTGCATGTAACAACAGATATTAGGTGTGTTTCTAGAAGGAGCGAAAGGATCAATGTGCATATATTTCAAAGGGTCTGTCGATGTTTTTGGAAGGTGTTGCGTTGTCTACTAGCAATTAATTCTGCGTCGTTATTCTCTCAAGCGATATAAGTATCTGCTATGGCAAGCTTTTCTCGCAGAGATCTAGTCAACGAAACATCTACAAACCTCTTACAATCTTATCAACTTGATCATGGTCGTGATCGAAACAGTAGAGGTCGCCAATCACAACCGGGAGAATGGAGTCAGAGCTGAGAGCGACATTCATGCCAGTGGTAGCGGAAGCATTCAGTGCAGTGGTGGTAGCGATGGAGGTCTTGATGCTTCCAAAGGTTTAATGCATGAATCAAATACTGCAGAACCTGCCGCAAGATCCTCCGATAAAGAGGTTACCGAAACTATCAACTCCATTATCTCGTTTCGAAAAACAGACCATCAATTCTGGTGGGATAAAACCGGAAGTCAGCTGGCAGACCTGCTCAAATACGCTGGATACAATAAGGCGGAGCAATACAATGAGCTCCTTTTCTTTGGGCTTCACGTAGTTCCCGAGCTAGGTCCTGCACCAGACTCCAATGGGAATTTGCGATGGCGTAGCCCGCAAACGCCCGACGGCACACCTCTTGATCTCAGCTGGGAATGGGGCCTAGATGGGAAAGGGGTCATACGAACATGCTTCGAACCTATTGGACCGTTGGCTGGCACGAAGTCTGACCCTTTCAACCGCTATGCAACCGACAATTGGATCAAGCACCTTGATAATCAAGGACTCGTGGACGGCCTCGACCTCGAATGGTATCATCACTTCATTGGCAAACTACTACCGAATGATCTTGAGCGCGTCCAGATGTCGGAGAAGCTCGACTTCGAGCTTGCACCCGTGGCTGGAACATTTGTGACACGGGATATTGACAGAAGTAAGCCAATCATCAAGCTTTATGTGTTCCTTGGTTTGAAGGCACAAGAGCTTGGAATTTCGAACTTCGAGGTCATGTCTAGGGCAATGAAACAACTGCCATCTGAACAGTGGAATTCTCTCCGACCAGAGCCACTGCTAGAATATTTGCAAGAGGCGTATGGGAAATGGAAGATGGAGACCGGAATCTTCTCATTTGATCTAATATCACCTCGAGAGTCTAGGATTAAGATTTATACGCGAGCACCCAACACTACGGTTGAGTACCTCATGGATGCTCTGACTCTGGGTGGCCGATATGACTTGTCGATGTACAGCGACGAAGCTATTCAAGATGTTAAGGACTTCTGGAGAATCTTCATCGGGGATGCCCCGGATACTTTACCCACCGGTGGTGCAGAACGCGCGGGTCCTGGATTTTATTTCACAGTCAAGGCAGGAAAACCCACGACTCCAAAAGTGTACATCTCCCCAGCTTCCTTTTGCAAGAGCGACGCAGAAGTACTGGAAAGATTAAGACAGTATTTCTCAACTCGCAGGAACGCGAAAGAAATGCTACCGCAGGTCGACAATTATGAGAAAGCACTGGAAAAAATATAGTAAGTCTATTTTATCCGGGTAGCAAAGTGATAACTCTTTAACACTCGTGTAGTGGACAATCCTTCCTGGAAAGCCAATGCGATATTCACTTCTACGTTAGCTGTGCGCTTCAAAAAGACCAGCTCAGAGTCGTAACCTATCTGTGTCCTCAAACTCTCTCTCGCGAGATCCAGGCGCAAAAATAATAATAACAGCTGACAAGTCATTTTCCTGGGTAGACTTGTGAGCATATAGTCAAATGCTAGTATCACAACAATCCCCTCATTTGTGGTCTGAGTTCTCAGCTTGCGTTTTATGTGACAAGTTTGAGTGTCAAGCAAATTTTCATCCAATTATGCATCTGTTTTCAAACTAAAATATTGTATTCATGCTATACATAGGCCCGACATACTCCAGATCCAATGCCTCATGGTCCCTGATAGAAACAGGCCAAGCGAAAAATAAAAGAGATACACATAATATCCCTCCCCAAGAGAAGCACAAATTTCCGTCAATTGGACTAACAAGATCATTCCACATTTGAACGTTGTATTCTAATTCGGATCGCGATACTAATTTAAATCAAAGTTAACCGGTGGATATTAAGTAGCGTGGCGGGGTGGTGGGGGCGGGTCCTGTCCCGGATAAAGTCTGTAAGACCTAGGAAGTATGAAATTCATGTACATCCGATGAGCAATTGGAAAAAGGTATTTCAAAACCACGAACCTTAGACAACTCATACAATTTCTTCATTCCCGAGCGTCGAGACGGATCATCAGAATGCCATTGGTACGAAATCCTATCCTCCCAGGGTTCAATCCTGATCCCTCGATCTTGAGGGTGGGAGAAAATTACTACATTGCTACGTCAACATTCGAATGGTTTCCTGGTGTTCAAATCCATCATTCAACAGATCTCGCAAATTGGAGCCTTGTAGCCAGACCGCTCAACCGGAAAGCTCAGTTGGACATGCGGGGAGATCCTGACAGCTGCGGGGTTTGGGCGCCTTGTCTGACACACGATGGCGAACGCTTCTGGCTGGTTTATACGGACGTGAAGCAAAAGGATAACTCCTTTAAGGATACCCATAACTACATTGTTCATTCCGAATCTATTGAAGGACCTTGGTCAGACGGGATCTACGTTAATTCATCGGGATTTGACCCATCTCTTTTCCACGACAATGATGGGAAGAAGTGGTTCATCAACATGCTGCAGGACCACCGCCGGCGGCCACGATTCTTTGCCGGCATTAGGCTACAACAATGGGATCCAATAACCGAGAGACTGATCGGGCCAACGAAAAACATCTTTGCTGGAACGAAATTGGATTTAGTAGAAGGACCGCATCTCTACAAACGTAATGGATGGTACTACCTGCTCACAGCTGAAGGTGGTACAGCTTACGACCATGCTTGTACACTAGCGCGTTCGCGTGATATCTGGGGTCCATATGAGGTTCACCCCCAAAACCCGATTCTTTCCTCTGCAAATGCACCATTTGCCGCCCTACAGAGAGCTGGTCATGGAGATATCGTAGACACCCCCGACGGAAAGACGTACTTGGTCCATCTGAGCGGTCGACCTACCACCCAACGACGACGCTGTGTTCTTGGGCGCGAAACCGCCATACAAGAGGCATATTGGAGTGAAGATGACTGGTTGTACGTGAAGAATGGACCTGTTCCATCGTTGCATGTAGATCTGCCTGGTACACATGATGATTCTAATTACTGGGCTGAGAAACATTACACGTTCGACGGCACCAATGGCCTCCACTCAGATTTCCAATGGTTACGTACCCCAGAACCTGAGCGCATTTTCCAGATCAAGGACAGGCAACTGCAACTCACCGGCCGTGAATCAATTGGGTCTTGGTTTGAACAATCGCTTGTTGCACGCCGTCAAACACACTTTTCGTACGACGCGGAGACAGTAGTTGACTTCTCACCGACTGACGAAAGGGAGTTTGCTGGGCTGACTGCGTACTACTGCCGCTACAACTACTTTTATATCACCATAACCGCAGATTCGGACGGCCAACGCGAGCTCCTGATTCTAAGTTCCGAGGCCTCCTGGCCAGAAGGCAAAATGAGCTTGCCATTGTCTGATCCGGTCAAAATACCAAATGACGGGAAGATCAAATTGACTCTCAGCATTCGAGGGAAGCAGCTCCAATTTTATTACGGCTTAGGCGAACAGTCAGAAGTGCAGGAAATTGGGCGCATCTACGACGCCTCCATTCTTTGCGATGAATGCGGAGGTCATCAAGCACATGGAAGCTTTACCGGTGCTTTTGTTGGGGTCGCATGCTCCGACATCAATGGCACTGGGCGTGTGGCCAAGTTTGATTATTTCACTTATCGTCCCGTGGAGCATGAATCAGACAGGTATGAAGTGTAACTTGGTGTTCATTGCCTTCACCGGCCGGTGCTCAAGCAGTTGTATTTAGTAACTGGATAGAGCGTTAAAAACCGACGTAGCAGGTGCTATTAATAGCAACATTATCGACGTTCTTGAACTCTCGGGCCTGTACATGTGCACTAATGTCAGATATCATGCACGGCAACAGATATTGATGCAGGAACAGAGAAACAACAGCGCCCTATCTATAGCGCACCTGCTGCATGAATTTATTCGTGAACTGAAGAACTGGACAAAATAGAACAGCAGTTACGTTGGACGTGGGTAGACGAGAACGGCTCGGATATGCCAAATTGGGGGCGGGGGGACAAGTAGCAACATCAAAAATAGTATACCACCTCCCTTCAAGGGGTGATTTTGACATACACAACAGTTGGTTTCTCTTGGCCGTCGTCGCGTCTCTAATCAACTCTGTACACGAATAGACAGTCGCTAGTTCTGGTATTATTATCATAGACGAGTAAATATGGGCACCCCCAATGTCCGTCGTGCTATGTTAAGTCAATCGAGCATGACAGCGGCACCTGCTTCTCTGAGCTACGTCTAGATTGCCAATAATGCTAGGGACTGTGCGCGAAGAAAAAAGATGCACGATACGATAAGAGCGGATCAAGGTTCTAATTGGAAACATCCCCGCAGATGTTTCTGGGTTGTTACTCGTCTGGTCCGGGGAGGTAAGCAGGAAAAGTCCCGAACTGCAGCGGGATGGATTCCAGCCCCACTCGCGTCCTCCCGCTCCCCATTTCGCCCGTCTCATGGGGGCTCTTTAGATCTCTGCACCACTATAACACACGCCGAATTGGATCTCATCTTCAAACACATGGGGCGACGTTTCGAGATATATTAGTGTGTACAAGCAAAGATTGTAGGCATTGGCAGATGGCTGCACCAGCACTTGAACTGTGCTACCATTTTCGCATTGTTTGTACTGAGGTCACCCTTTTGCTTCACTTTGACTTTGAGGGGACAAATTGGTACATACTGAGTAGAAGTAGGTTCACAACCGAGGAGTGATGACTGAAGCTATCGATGTCGGGACAATGTGAGCTACCAGGGTTCTAGCCAAGTAGCAATAAATGGCCCCCGAATCCCTGCATCCTTGCTGCTAATACTGAGCTGTGTTGCGCCTGTGAATGCAAACTTAGATTGCTGACAGCGTGTGGACAGACCAGGAGGGGTCTCTTGACAAGCCCTTTTTCGAAAATTCGGAAGATATTGGGTCCGCTTCTGGAAATCAACCGCATCTTGGGTATAATGCACACCAATAATTGTAGGTGTATTAATGACCCTACTTCCCTCAAGCTGTTGTCAACTTTGAAGCCTTATGATCGCCTGGTCTGCGCTCGACTCTTTCGTTGAACGGCAAAAATGTCTGAACTGAATAGCAACCTCGTCAAGAGGGGTGTCTGGACCAATCTCGACCATGGATCAGTGATGGGGCAAGTGATCACAACAGACACAAGGACGGGCATTCTTGTCATTGCGATACTGGCAGTTCTGTCATCTATGGGTTGGTATCGACGGATCCAGTAAAATCATCGCTAACAAGAACAGGCACTGCGCATCTATGGCATTTAATCACCTTCGCATTTCATCAATGGCGGGCGAATGGTCGAGAAACTGATGGTCTCCATCGACAGCAGCAAGCTCTACTCCGCACACTGCCAACACCGACTTCATTGATAGCGGATACTACAAAGCTATGGTGGTCATGGAGAACACGCACTGAAAAGGCTACTGTTGCCACCCTAGCGACAATCCTGCTCGCACTGGTCTGCGCACTTGGATCCTTCGTAGCCAGTATATCTTCATCCTACGTTGTGACAAGCTCGGACCTGAATGTACTTGTCAAGAGTCCTTCATGTGGTCCTCTTAACCTGACAGAACCTAAATGGGAGTCAAGCTATATTTCATCGGTGAACTCAGTCTCTGAGTCATATGCGCGAGAGTGTTACGGGAATGGGAAGTCGAGTTCCGCTCGATGTAGTGTATTTGTTCGTCCCCAAATACCTCTGAAGCGAGAAGATTCGGCGTGCCCGTTCGCCTCCGACATTTGTGCATCCCGCAGTCCAACATCGACACCTGCCATTACATTCGACTCAGGGCTTGTAGATCTGAATCAATTTGGTATGAACTTGCCGAAGAGTGATCGAGTTGCCTATCGTCGAAGGACTACATGTGGGCTTCTTCCTCTAGATAATCGGACATCAGTCGTCGAGGCGAACGACCTAGCCCCGGGTGTTATGTGGGACATTACCAGCCAAGAACCGCTTCCGGGAGAACAGTTGCTCATGATACATTATGGCACAAGGTCGTTCTTATCTGACTGGAAGAACACCTCAGGCATTGTAAGCTTTGCCCGAGCCAATCGGACGTACGTTTATGGTTTGACGTGAGTGTTGACTACCCTTCGTTTCTGCGACAAGACAATTTGACCATCCAATAGCGGCTGGACACACTACTCGAACGCGGCGCGCAAAGAGAATGGTAACTTTTTCGAACCTATTCAAGAGATGGAGCGTGACGATGCCGATGTTGCTTTGATTTACGTCACGATGAATTCTATTACATACAGGCAGCCCATAGACGACCTCATGTTCTCTGCTCATCGAAAAATCCAACGGGACTCGCCTCAAAAGTACACCAAGGGTACATTTTATGTCGCAGACCAGCCGATGTCGGTAGTAGGTTGTATTGAGCAGGTACGTTCTAACGATATTTCTACTACTAATCTAACGATATAATAAAGCATCAATACTGCGCTGCATCTTCATCAGGTGACGTTTGTACGGAACTGGGAAGTCTTCCCAACAATCTGACCGCGAAAGAATTCCCCCAAGCTTCCGCCGTTCAATTGTCAGCTCTCGATCTTCTAGTCAGTGCAAGTTATCTTACGCCCATATCCAACAGTGCCATTTTGAATGCCACTACAAGACTGTCACCTGGTGGTCACGAAATGCACTCCAGGCTACCCGACGACCAATGGACAATTGAAGTCAAAGGCTGGATGTCATATGTCTTTGCTTCCATCCAAGTGATTGTTACTGATTATGCAATTGGTGCCATTGTTCGTGATCCGCAGGCCCAGGAATATCATCTTCAGCCTCGAACACAGGGCGAGAAAGCGCTCTGTGGGCTAGTAATGATGAGAAAGGATGGTGGCTTTGTGTAGGTTGTCCGTCTCTGAAGTTGAAACATCCGCTAACGATTCCAAGGAACATCAGCGTATTTGGCCTTGTATTCATTGTCACTTTATCGTGTTTCATTGTGTTCGTGGACATGCTCTTACTAAAATTCCTGATCTACCTCAGCAATTTTAGAAAGGCTCTGGCCCCGCGAATAGATCGGTGGATCCAGGATGGTGTCTTGCAGCTCCAGAGACGTGCATATGAAGCTCGTGGGGAGGGTACTTGGACACAGTTGAACAAGGACGTCCCGCTCACTGGTGCCAACGAGAAATTATCGGATCTCCCAGTCGAGTCACTTCCGTCACCGTCATCAATAAGTGAGAAAGAATACGAGTTTAAACTCAGGAAAGCAGAAACAGAGAGAACTTTCATCAATAGCCCGCCATCTTCACCTATCTCGCCATCGGTCTCGAAAGAGATGGTGTTCTCCAAAGACAAGATATCCTCAATGGAAGAGAAGGTCCGGTCCGAATCTTTGGAAACATGAGATTGTACTAGTTCGTAGCTGTGCAGAATATTACTAAATGTATCGTAACCAACCACTGGATATCATTGTACCTTATCCTATCGTAAATATTAGTTTGGGACTACTTGATCCATCATGCCACCTCCGGCTCTCTTGCCATAGCATATAAAACGGACATCAAGGTACAGCCGCAATTAGTTCGAAGGTCTAAAAAGTGGCGGTCTCATACTGCTCCATCATCTTTCTCCAAACTTCTCCCTCATCGCCTGCCCGCTCAATCAAGCGTTTTCCAATCAAATATGAGCGTATTGTTTCGTAGTCTCTACGAGCCCTTTCTTCACACCACCAAATATTTCTGAATTTGCAGACTAGTCCAAGCCAATAACCAAACATCCATAATGCCCTTTCATCTCTATTATGCATCCGTCGCCTGATTTCAGGATTGATTTTTGCAAGGAACTGTATATGTCTGTAGATGTTCACTGGATACGGCTGGAGGTCTTTAAGATGTGCCAATACAATCAAACTAGGGCCAAAAACATCGCTGAGTCGCATTGGCGATCCCACCAGATCGTCAGGCCCGCAACCATCTCCCTGCGTTTCCAGTTGGAACATTTTCACCCATGATCCAGGTATCTCTTCAAAACCTCGATGCATCTGCGTAAACACCCACGATTTAGAGTCCTCGGAGAATATTGGTCCAAGAAAGCGGAGAATTTCGACCTTCTTCGACATTAAAGAATTCATGATTACACGGAGACTAGCCTGCATAACAAGCCAACCCAGGCCATTTTCCTCGTTGTTGATTATCCAAGATGCGGAATTGTCGTTGTTTCTGACCTCGTCCGACTCCGCTGGTGTAAGCGCAAACGTGAGCATATTCAGTAATATAGCGCTAAGTACCATCGTTTTAGCTGCTGCGAAGCTTAAATCTGACCTCGGAGTGACAATCACCCGTTGATAGTGCTCTAGAGCAACATTTTGTTGAAAATGCTCGGCGACTCGGTGTTGGATAACGCCCGGTGAGGCATGGCGCAGATGACATGCGGCGAGGGCGAGAATTGCACTGCGCACGAGTACCTCCGATTTGAACAACCGTATTATCTCTTCTGAATGACACATGTGAAATATGTCTTCCCAGTTTCTTTGGATGTGCTTGATAAGATGGATACATGGCGTCCCATCTTGCGCATTGAGGACTTCGAATGGAATCACGACCACATCACTCATCTGGTTCAGTATAGAAAGTGACCTTGAACTTTGCACTGATGCGGACGGATGAATACTCGCTCGATCGTACGAACAAGATCTAAAATTTCGTTGACAACGAATGCACGAAGGTTTTACTTGATCACACTTATAATATGTTATCACCAAACTAATAGAAAACTTTTGGGAATTCAGACATGCGTACCTTGACCCTCTTCAATTTGCAATTAACACAGCCCGCTTTAGTTTTGCCGTGAACCTTTCGTTTATTGTAGCTCCGTGTATCGGAGTACTTGGCATTCGTTGATGAGAAAACATGGAAAGCAGCGTCATCCTGCTCCGAGATCATCTTCGACATTTTCGTGTTGGTGGGAATTGTTGGAGTAGGTTCTTGTATCCCATAAAGGTAAACGAGATGAAATTGTTGCTGATTATTGTAGACGGACCAAGGCGGACCAGGCCGGTCGGATTTAAGCGTAGGGAATGCTGATGGTTGTGAGCCGTCCTCCCCCACAGCTCGTTTACTTTATTCAGTTAGCGCATCCTTCCGCGATGCCTTGGGTTCAGACTGGGTGCAATATATGAATGGAAGATATGCCCTTTCGAATTTATTTTCTTCGACAAGCCATATATGTACTGAATTCTTTCACATAGCGTCTACATTGGATATCTCATTATTATTATACCCATCGTCGCCATCTTTGTATCACGTCACTATGTCATTTCTTGCCGGATTTTTACATCGGCATCTTTTTGTTCATGTACCAGAGCCCACTGCTTCCTGGGAAGGAAAGACAGTGATCATCACAGGCAGTAATACGGGACTCGGTCTTGAAGCATCTAGATTGATCGTGCGACTCGGCGCACAACGCGTCATCATGGCTTGTCGAAACATCGAAAAGGGCAAAGCTGCTGCGGGTGACATCGTGAGATCCACTGGATGCTCACAGCAGACTCTCGAAGTATGGGAACTAAACATGAGTTCATATGAGTCGGTACAAGCATTTGCAAAGAGAGCAAATGTGGAACTTTCACGCCTCGATGCCGTACTTGCAAACGCAGCAATCATGACACGCGAGTTCAGAATGACGGAAGACAACGAAGAAACGATAACAACCAATGTCGTTTCGACTACTCTTCTCAGTCTTCTGCTTTACCCGAAACTTTCTGAATCGGCCAAGCTATATGATACGCAGTCTCATCTTACTTTGCTGGCCTCGGAGCTGCACAAGCTGGCGACATTCAAAGAACGCAAGGTGCCTGAAGGCCGGATCTTTGCTACTTTGAACAACGAAAGAACGGCAAATATGGCCGATAGATACAACGTGTCCAAACTGATCACCATTCTTATTGCCAAGCATCTTGGTGAACAGTCATCTTTCAAAGATAGTGGAGTGATCGTGAATGTTGTCTGTCCGGGGTAGGTTTCCCACCATTTTTGCTTCAAATAGGGAAATTTACATGAGCAGATTTTGTAAGAGCGAACTCAGAAGGGAATACGACAGTGCCGCCTTCCGTGCGTTTTCCGCCGCTTTCGCACGCACGACCGAGGTGGGAGGGTGCATCCTTGTTAACGTACTGAGTGCCGGCTCGGATTCTCACGGTCGATATTTACCTGACTGCAAGATGGTAGAGCTCACAGGAATGTGCAGGGGCAAAGACGGGGATGAGCTGCAAGACAGAATCTGGAAAGAATTGAGTAAGAAATTGGAGCATATCTGCCCAGGTGTTACAGCAACATGGTAGACTCCCATCGCGATTTGTTCAGCTCATACAGGCGTCAATTCCGGGCGGTCTTCGACAAGTCTATTTCTTATCTTTGTAATGTTGTGTATATTCTTCACCCAAACTTCACTACATCTAGGTTTCGAGAGAATAATAATGGTTAAACTACGTTATACCAGACCCAATATTTGGAGTGGCGGAAAGCAAAGATCATGACGTTGAAGTATTAATCATTTCATTTGTCCTGTTAGAAATGTTTGGTTTTCAATGCGAAGAGAGTGGATTGTGTAAATTCATCCCTTTTGATACTGCCTGTCTCTCACACTAATCATGGCTATTGGATGGCTTCATTTTGAACAAATGATGGCCCAACCCGCAAATCCCCACATCGACCTGAAATAATGCGCCACTCAAATCTTTGCTCCTTGAGCTTCCTTCGATGTCCTCTGCTGTCGTGATGAAAAGCGACGTACCGGCAAACTCGACACTCGTGACATTGTTAGTTGGAACCTTGATCTCCCCAGTCACCACACCTCCCGGGTTGATTCTAAGTACACGTCCTTCCCCATATATTGCGTGCCAAATGTTTCCTTTCACATCAAGGCAAAATCCATCTGGAACACCTGGCCCCTTATGGTGATATAAAACGCGCTGGTTCGAGATAGAACTTTCCAGAGTTGAAAAGTCGAATGCGCAGATCTGTCGTGTTGTTGTATGTGTAAAGTACATAGTTTTACCGTCTGCTGACCAGCGTACTGAGTTTGGTATCGTAAGACCAGACAACATTCTCTGCGCTGATGTTCCGTGATGTCGAAAAAGGGATCCTGTGAAAGATTCAGCATTCAGGTGTCATGTAAACATTGACTTTGATGTTGCGAGCTAGGTAAACGGTGTTATCTGCCAATGGTTTAATAGTAATCCTACCTTCTGCCCGAAACTCCCCCATACCGAAATCAGTCATGGTTCCCACCCAGAAATTACCGTTTGGATCAACAGCACCGTCATTGCTTCTCACTCTTGGGTCTTTACTTCCTGATAAACCAAGGTATTCATAGTTGGCGGTCTGCCTGTTCAATACAGCGATGCCGTATTTAAGAGCTACTAATATCTTCTCTGCAGGATCTTCATTTTCAATATCCGCTGTCGCGCAGACGGCTTCGTTCAATTGAATCGACACCAAAGACCCAGGGCCGTGAGCCAATGATACTGTGTGAAGTTGTTTCTTCACAATATCGACAAAACGGAGGCTATGTGTTGCTTTTTCGTAGTATGGACCCTCGCCCAGCAAACAATGGATGTTGAGAAAGGGCTCTTTTGCATGCCACTGGCGGAATTCTGACATATTTGACAGCGTGTCATGCGAACAAAGGAGAGAGCAAAAGCCACACACAATATGGTAACATGGGCAATGGATACAAAAATGTCGCATCGATTTCAATGTCGCTCAAGCTATTTTTTGCACATGCTCTCTTTGAAATTCTGTAATTGCCTTCCGAAATGGTAATCAACATTAGCAACGATGTTTCCATCACACTTCACAATGGTTCTAGAGAAGTGTGGTAGCGCGAAGCCGGGCTAGCGACGGAAATGATCCGGATACGGAAACACTGCACGCGCAGAAACAGGCGCGGAAAAACTTTGCTCACGGAAGCTGTGTGCAATGGAATACGCTCTTTGTAGATAATGTTGTGCGTACAGGTCACATGTGAGACGGATCTCCAAGATAGTCCTCTGCAATCCAAGGACAGTCTAGATCTGCATGCAATTACACCTGCGCCTGAGTCGACAGATGAAGCCATCCGAATTTCAATTATCCGCGCTAATCTGTATTTTATTCTTTTCAATATCGCATCTCAATAACTCTACAACTAACAAGCTGTGTATATATGGGATGATATTGACGTTGGTTCAGCGACTTGGGATTTGTTCTTACCTCATTTATCTCAACGCGGCTATAAGTCGGTTTATGAATTTTCAACTAGTCGCTCAAGATGGTTCAAACATTCTACGATGACTCTGATATTCTTGTTGTAGAGAGTCTTGAATCGCTTGTATGGACAAAGCCAGGCCTTTCATTTGACAAGGTCTCAAAGGGTATGTCCATCATTCAAGTGACTCCCTGCCTCTATCCATTGCTCCTCCCTCTATCCGTTGAAACTAACAGCGAGAAACAGTATTATGGGAGAATAAGTTTGCTGGCAACCACGTCGCCCTAGTCGCAGGGGGAGGAGCGGGACATGAGCCGGCACATGCAGGATATGTGGGCAATGGTATGCTCACAGCAGCAGTCTCGGGGTCCGTTTTTGCGTCGCCTAGCGTTGCACAGATATTCTCAGGCATCAAACGCATTGCAACTCCCCGTGGAGTTCTTTTAATTATCAAGAACTACACTGGAGACATGTTGCATTTCTATCTTGCGGCCGAAAAGGCGAGAGCAAGTCTGGGAATCCCTACTGCAGTATTGGTTGTTGGGGATGACGTTGCAGTAGGACGAAAGAAGAGCGGCAAAGTGGGCAGGCGGGGTTTGGCAGGTACCGTGCTCGTGGAGAAAATACTCGGGGCGTATAGCCTTGAGGTAGGCACAGATCTCGATGACTTGCTAGTGCTTGGGAAACAGATCACGGAAAACCTAGCAACAATTGGGGCGTCATTGCAACATGTTCAGATACCAGGAAGGGAACCACTTCTGACTAGCAATGATGACCAAGTCGAGATCGGCATGGGAATTCACAATGAACCAGGCTCCCAGGTATTGAGCCCTCGACCGGCTCTTGCAAAACTCATTGATGGAATGCTCGATCAACTCCTCAACGAGCAGGATGACGACAAAGCCTATGTCCAATTCTCTCACGCACAAGACATCGTATTGCTTGTGAACAACTTGGGAGGCGTTTCTCAACTCGAATTCGGCGGAATCACTACAACAATCATTAATTCCCTGGGTAAGACTCCAAAACTCCAGCCGCTCGATTATAGAAGATGCTGACAATATATTGCGTAGCTGCAAGAAGTATCAAGCCAATCAGAATTCTATTTGGAACGTACATGACGAGTCTCAATGGTCTAGGATTCAGTATAACATTGCTGAATGCAACGCGGGACATGTTGAAGTACATCGATGTTCCCACCGATGCTCCGGGTTGGATCAAAGCGAGATTTCTCAACAAGGACGATGCAAGAACGATCCATGGCTCGTTAGAGTATGATGTGGCTCAACCATCCCTGCTCTCGCATCCTATCATCAAGTGTTCGTTAAGCCCATCTACTTATTGTGATTACTATATGATGCATTATATATGTGCTAATAACATGCCAGTCGACTGGGACACTTTTAGTGGCACTGTGACGCAGGCTTGTACGAGAGTCATTGATGCAGAGTCACGAATTACATATTATGACACAATCGTTGGGGATGGTGACTGCGGGATCACGTTAGCTCGAGGAGCAAAGTCCATTCTCACATACATGCAACATGCCAGTGCAATCGACGATATTGGCTCCGCTATTTTGGGACTAACAGATGTTATTGAGCAAAATATGGACGGAACCTCTGGAGCTCTTTATGGCATTTTCTTCGCTGCGCTCGCTGGCGCGCTACGTAATATTGAAGTGGACTTCATGACGTCTAGTGAGTGGATTGGAGTAGCTACAACAGCTCTTGGAAAGCTCCAACAAGCTACGCCAGCTCGACAAGGGGATCGAACGATGATGGATGCACTTGAACCTTTTATTGTAGGCCTCTCTTCGGGCTCTACCCTCCCCGAGGCAGTGGATGCTGCAAGACGGGGCGTCGAAGCTACCAAAGGTATGCAAGCATCATTAGGTCGCGCAGTTTACGTTGAAAGTAAGGCCTGGGAACTGGTTCCAGACCCTGGAGCAGTAGGAGTTTTATGTATTCTAGAGGCAATATTAGAAAGCATTCATCCTTAGTATATGATTATAGAGATACAATCAGCGCAAAGAATTCTTCCCCTCGACTGACATTTCTCCGTACAAGTCTACTAGTAAGTAATCACTATTTCTTCCGTGCTTCTGTTTCTCGTGCCATGTATTTTCATCGAAGAACGAAAGATTTAGGCAAGCTTCTAAATGTTGCTAGCGGCAAGATGGGAAGTGCAAAATCTTAAACCACAATCAACGGTCGTAGTATGCTGTAGTGTTGAGGAATACTAAGATTATAAACGCCCCAGGACAGCCTTCGAAGGCACCGAAACCCATGGAAGAACTTGTTATAGGAATAGAGATACAAATTCATACAACGCGCAATATCGCCCCATGCAAAGCCCAACGAGAAAAAGCCAAAAACTCGGGTTGCTTTAAGCGTACATGATGTTGCTACATCACCAATCGACGATGATCCAGAGTATCGTTTCCATAGCGACTTGTATCGGTACACAAAAATAAAACGCAAGTATACAGCTTTCGATATCCCAAATAAAACTTGATACGAAAACACCTAATCATAGACCCTTTTTGCGTAGAAAGTTTCAATCGTCAAAGCTACCTATCCAGCCGTGACTGGAACTGGGCCAAGGATAGGCCTCGTCTTGAATACAGAGCTAGATACGTCCGGAGTCTATCTCGGATTTCCACTGATATAGTTTGAATCATCATCATTACTATTGCGGCCCTTCAGTGTACACGATGCCGTTAAACCATTGGGGGTGCTGGCTGAAACCAGAAACTGCCTATCCAGCTATTAGCATTTCTTTTTCCTTTGAAAATAATGGGTTGAGCTTTGGAAATTCACCATAGATTCGAATTGTAACCAGGCAGCCATATCCGCCAGGGAGTTCTCAGGGCTAGACTGGAAGTCGACTGGATCTCCCACCCCGGGATTAGGGAACGACACTTGACCATCAAGCACACTTGGGCCTTGATCGATGTTAATTGGAGGAACCCCACTTTCGATCATATCAGAACCGGCAGGGCGCAGCGGTCTCTCGATCACGCTGAGGGCTTCTTTACGAAGCTCCTCTAGAACAAGGCAGTATCTTTCAACAAGCGAACCAGGCTCGGCTAGGTTGGCCAAATGTCTCTGGCACTGTGTCGCAGCGAAGTAATAATTTTGGCATTCCGCGGGAGGAGCGGTTCTTTGTTGCACCGTGTAAACGTAGAGGATAGCAGCGGCGGAGAAGGTGAAGTATGAAGACAACTATATTTGAATGGTTAGCAAGTTGAAAGACAAACAAAAGTGGTTATCAAAAATGAGAGTGACTGACCCAAAAAGACCGAAACATCTGGCCAGAGTTGCTAAGTTCGTTCATTATTTCGACTACGCACAATGCAGCACGAAGACACTGGTCTACACTCTCCTCGATTTGTGCTCTATGTGGACCCAGTTGGCTAGCACGGCTAGTGTTGGTTATATGGATCCGATTACTTAGTAGGAAAGGCCTGTGTGTAAGAATGACAGTGTGCCAATAGGCAAGGTTCAGTATGTTTCGCTGACGCTGAAATATGGGAATGAGTGGAGCTCTATCCTTGTTCTCTGCGTTAAGAAAACGAGGGACCTCTGCACGCCATGTTTTGAGGTTTTGAGAGTACTTGGCGGCAAAAGCGCATCGATCAGCAGTACGTAAAGGACGTATAGGATAAAGATCCCGCAATATCATGCTGACAATGCGAGAGAGTCTGGTGCCAACAGTTAGTAAAAGGATCTGTTACAAGTCATTTGGCATGCGCCCTACTTGAAATATGCAACGGGGGCAAGCATGATAGAATAAGCATGGTCACTCTGAGGAGCAATATGATCGGCAAATATGTCTGCGTCATCTGCAGAAGACGGTAACTCCTGATCCACGTCTTCGTCGTGGAACAATCTTGGTCTGCCAAAGACTATACTAAGGTAATTATCAAGGCAATACGCATTCCAAAACGTTCTTCGGCTGCTTTCAAGTTCGATCCTGTTGCAGGCAATGGCTGGTTCTGCACGACCGCAACGATGCAGTCCAAGGGCGAGAGCTAGACGTGCAGCGGATCCAAATAATTGCCAGCAATGGTTCATACGTGACTGGGAAAGGAGCCAGAGGCATTGGCACAGGCGTGCCTGGACGCTAGCGAGACTTACTGCTCCCCTCTCTCTAGACAGTTGATAATCGGCTGCTAGAAAAAAGCGAGTGCTGATAACGACTGATTAGTCACGGATTCTAGATTCCATAAAAGGCGAGTGCAATTCCCAACCTTCTATCATTATTATCGTTCCCTGTAGTTTGGTTCTGGTTCATGTGTTCCTGGGCTAATGCAAAGACCATCCACAAGACGGCTCGCCTTGCAGGTGCATGATCATTGTTCCTCATAGCACCCATTGTATCGTGAAACTCTGCAAGCCAAGCTTCAAGAGTTTGCCGGTGCAAAAACCGGTCTACAGGCACAGTGAAGTCGAAGTATCTCTCGAAAAGGCGAGTTGTCTCTTCCCTGGACATCATGACACAGCAAGTCGGATCAAACTCAGGGAGAGGTGCATCCCCAAATGTGAAAGTGGACCACGTACGGTCGCTGTGATGGAGTTGTTTCTGGATCCGTTGCAGAAAGGAAACACCAGAAGCGGGCCCGACATAGTGGCCCTGAAGGTCTGCTAGAGCAGGTGCTGGTGAGGCCCGGGAGGGCGGCTCAGCTGCTGTCATGATGACATCTGGCGAACGCTCCCGCGCAGCTTGCGACAAAGGCTGAATGTTGGATTGATAGTGCAATGAGCTTTCATCCAAATCATTGGCATTCTCATTTCTGTCGGTGCTTCCTGGTTGCTGTAAGTTGGATGGAGCTACTGGGGGAGGGCGTCGACCCCGATTGTGGGGTGTAGTGTAAAGGCAGTATGCTGCTGCTCGAATGCAAATATTACACGGCTGCGTGCCAGTGCACCTGATCTTTCTTCTACGCGGAATTTACATCAGTATGGGGTCGTAGCTGTGGAGAGTGCCACCGCATTGCCGTCTTACTTCTTGCAGCGATCACAGGCACGGGAAACGCGCACTCGGTTTGTCTCCCGATCCATGTTTCTTGTTGGTGGTCGTTCTAACAAGCAGACGGATACGGATCGACAGGGAAGTAGGCGGGCGATGCGGATGGATAGTTTCACGGCTTAACGTCCATATCCATGTCACAGCACTGGTGAGAAGAATCAAGAGCCAACGGGCGACGGAGAGGATCAATAGTTGATATAGGGACGGATGACGGAAAAGCTTAACCATACATGGAATAATTCTAACCCATTTTCAATCACGACGAACTATCTTCGCTAGCTCCAGTACCCCGCAGTATTGTCTTCCGTTGGGAGAACGGATACACAATCAATAATCTATTTCAATAGTAACTCTGATAGAGCATGCGAGAACAAGTACGAATTATGTCCAAAAGCAACCCTCTGAAGATCATAATACTGCTTGTGTACTCGGTGCAAAGATCTGCACAGGTCGTTCGTCGGCTGCGAGCGTGGGACGCCGATCGCGATGCTACATAGGCTCTTTGTCAGACTATTCTCATCTACTAATATTTTTGAGTTCACTTCCAGGGCTGGGAATTGAGTTTCAATAAGTAAATGTGAATGATACCAGCGGTAAGTCTTGAGCTCTATACCCTTTCACAGTCGTGATCTAGGTTCCATTCACGATTCGCAACGAGTCACCATTGCCACCGAAGCGACGGCAAAGCACTAAAGTCTATAGCAAACAAACTGTGCTGGGTTAAATTTGCTCAGGCCATGCTACTATGAAATCTCATGGCGGTTAGATATGTGTTCTAATAAATGTTCGTCTTGTGCGATCATAACACAGCCTCGAAGCCCTCTACGTCAGTCAACAACGATTCCCGCAGCGCACTCCATGTTTGCAGACTCAGTCTGCCCTGAAGTGGAAGCCTACCCCCTTCACTAGAGCCCATTCCAGTGACTTGTATGATTCCCTCGCGTATTCCAATGATTCCAGTTTTTCCAATGAAGTCCTCTGCACGACTCACTGCGTATTGAAGCCGTCGTATCTCATCTAAGTTATCCTGATCTACAGGACGCTTCGCTGCAAGCTCCATCAATCTTACAACCGTCTTGGGATAAAATGCAGACAGACCGTCGATTACACCAGCTGCCCCGAACAGTACAATTGGCCCGAGATGCTGTGCAAAACCGCTAAATACTCGAAATTGCGAATGGTCAATTCGAGGGTCAGACGATACTTGTACATGAATTGAAACATCGCCATGAGACCTATCGCTACTGTGAGCTAATTACTGTCGGTAAGAACGGTTGTTAAGAACACCTACATTTTGCATCCGACAATATTATGATGCTGGGCCAGATCCCTAAAGGTGTCCGGTTCGATCATAACTTGGTTGGTAACGCCAGGATAATTGTATCTAACAACCCCGAGTAATTAATGGTCCATATCACACTATTCAAGATGAAGAGAGCATACATACATCAAGATAGGAATTGGACTTCTATCCGCGATAATAGTATACCAAGCCTTGATATTATCCTGACTCGCAGCTTTGCCAAAGTAGCCAGGAGTCAACACGAGACCCCATTGTGCCCCTGCTCTGGCATAATCCTCGAGCCATTCTAGGGTTTCGTCGAGGCCATTTGTGAGTACGCCAGCCATTATGGGGTAGTTCTTATACCCGCCCTGCTCCAAAGCCTCCCTCACACCAGCGACAAGGTCAAACCGCTCTGACTTGGACAGATGGATAGCTTCACCAGTTGACCCAAGAAGAACAAGACCTTTGATTCCCGACTTGGCAAGGAATATCCCATGGTCCGCTTGCGTTTCGACATCGACGGCGGCCTGATAGCTGTTGGGGCTGAGAGGCTTGAAGAATGTAGGAACGGGTACATAGACACCATTGGGGGGAATGAGAGGTGCCATAAAGATTGAGGTGTGATAGCGTTTGAAGCTTAAGTACAAATATAGATAAAAAGTAAATTATTCGCAGATGGAGATGCAGGCGCAAAGTTCGAATGGTATAGAAAATCTGAAACAATAATGCTGTGCCTTCGTTTAAAAGTCATTCCAGTCGACACGAAGCTTTTTGGTTCTTTCGGCAATGTGCCCAGAGTTCAATTCTCATGACTTCCAGTTCAATTCTAACACTAGAACATTAATACTCGAACGAAACTTCGAATGATAGTAATGAGCATGGAATTTCAATTCGTAGGTTGGAGGTAATTTCGTCCGTTGGCATATCCGCTCCTAGCTTAGCGTTTCCGTGCTCCGTGCCTCGGATGCGGATATTTAACGGAAGAAATGATTATTCTCATAATCCATCCACTATCATTGGAGTTAGTATTCCCCAGCAACCAGCTTGGTGAATGTCAGAGACATGGCTAGAGCTGTCACGCCCGATAGTAATCTAAGTATGTGAACACCTTCGCTCGCCTACATCTCGCCTGAGCAAACCCAACATCCCGCAATCCAGCGACATTACGCGTTCATCCTATCCGCTCCGCTGTCATTCCCTCGAAATTCGCCAGTTATATCGTCATAATGGGGTTAATTAGTAGCATGGAATATTTTCGTGTTCCGCCGCGATGGCTCTTCATTAAGATCACCGATGACACTGGGGCAGTGGGATGGGGAGAGGCATCTTTAGAGGGACATACACAAGCAGTGGAGGGCTGTTTGGACGCATGGTTCGAGCGATATAAGGGACTGGAGGCTGAGTAAGTCTACATTTTTTCGCATGCGAACCTTCTTCAGCTCTAATCACCGTGACAGTGACATCGAAAATATCTGGCAACTTTCATGGCGCGGAGGTTTCTATCGTGGCGGGCCAGTCTTCATGAGTGCATTGGCTGGAATTGACATTGCCCTTTGGGACTTGAAAGGTTTAAATCACCCCGCCATCTCCTCGATGGGTTGACGGCAAACTGACCGAAATAGCTCGGAAGCTCGGAGTGCCTATTCATCAATTACTGGGGGGCAAAGTAAGAAACAAGATACGGGTGTATGCGTGGATTGGTGGTGATAGGCCGGATGATGTTGTGGCTCAAGCGTTCGTTTTCCTACCCTTCCTGGAACAATCATGTTGACAGCCGATAGACAATCTCGCAAGGAACAAGGCTTCAACACTATCAAGATGAACGGTACAGCAGACACTGCATGGCTAGATTCGCCATCGGTAGTCGAAGAGGTCGTCCAGAGGCTGAAGGCTGTCAAAGAACAAGGATTGGATGCTGCGGTCGATTTTCATGGTCGTGTGCATAAACCTATGGCAAAACGCCTGGCAAAGGCCCTTGAGCCACATGCACCGTTGTTCATCGAGGAACCCCTCCTATCAGAGCATGTGGGCTCTATTGAACAATTATCGCGACTCACGACCATTCCTATCGCTCTTGGAGAACGGTTATATAGTCGTTGGGATGCCAGACCTTTCCTAGAAAACGGAAGTGTGGACGTTTTGCAGCCTGACATTTGCCATGTTGGAGGCATATCTGAACTTAGACGGATTGCAGCGATGTGCGAGGTATATGACGTGGGAATAGCACCTCATTGCCCGTTGGGACCCATTGCCTTAGCCGCAAATGTACAGGTTGATGCGACTACTCCAAATTTTGCTATCCAGGAGATGGGAATAGGCATGCATTACAACTCTACAGGTCAGGACATATCCAGCTACATCAAGAATCCTGAAATCTGGAAGGTGCAAAATGGACATATTGATGTAGCATCCGGCCCGGGTCTGGGCATTGAAATCGACGAGGTGCAGGTCAGGCAGCTGTCCGAAAATTCAGTTCCGTGGCCTGTGCCTGAGTTTCGTGGTCCATGTGGGGAGCTTAGGGAATGGTGAGATGCTGTCATCTGAAGCTCAACGATGAAGATAGAATATCAGTTTCGTTCCGAGTAACGTTCTCAATGCGTCCTGTATTTTGTCGAATAGAATTGGACGCGAAATTGCTAAGCAGGTAGCCGCTTTACAGCATTTGATTTCCTCGATTGGTGGTAAGAGAGCATCCCATTTACAGGAAATCTTCATAATTCTCGTAAGGCTGTGTCGCCATTCTGCCGTGTACGTATGGAAACTTCTATATTAAAATTTCTTGCGATTGTACGACAGTAGGTGACAGAGTTATAGTGGAGGATAGTTCATACTCCCTATCTTACTCAAACTTGTTTTTGCAAGTCTGAAGCACTAATGTTGAGTCGCGTGTGTTCCTAAAATCAGTCGTGTGCTGTCAAACAAGCTCTGACATCTTTAACAACTGCGAATCTAGGCCATTGTGGAATAATTGCAATGAAACATAAGTCGTCATCAAATGAATACGTGTTAACATGTCGTAGGCAGACTTCCAATGCTGGCGCCACTGAGTAGAGCTTGGGCAAGACATCTAGGTGTGGTATTACAAGCTTATTTCTAAGATCGCATGCATTAAATAAAGTTATAATGGACCCAATAACAGATTATCAGGGCCTAGGGGACTTCTTGCCTCACAAGCAAATCTACTAAAGAGAAATGGCAGTCCATGTAGCTACCTGGCCCATCTTTCAATTCAATACCCTACGCTTTGTTTCCATAACATCCCCTGCTATAGACTTGCCATGAAAAAACAACGGAATCCAACAAGCCTGTAACATTGACAGTGGGTTCTTTTACAAAACACGTTTCTCTTTCGTCAATATTGTTGAATGGAATTAGGCATACTCGCTGCGGTCTGTCCATTTGGGTCTCAAATATTCCCCATCAAAGAAAACATCGAGGGACGAGCGGTGAACGCCCAAGACCTTCAATTGTATATCGACAGCACCGCCAGCCTCGTCCAGGGCCCAAATGCTAAGTCCGATAGTATTGTCGCCATCATAATCCAGGATCCCTGGGAATACTAGAAACACTGTTAACTAAATCTCGGCAAAGGCCAAATGGCTGGTAAAACCTACCTGGAAATTCGATTTGGTTGCCAAAGAAGGGAATGATTCTTCCGAATTGATATCCATTGACATAGAGCTGTGCCCTAAGCTTTGCACGTGTAGGATGATTTAGCTCGAATGCCAAGCTGATATCGTAACCTTTGGGTAGATGGAGTGGCACCACTGTACGATAGAAACGTGCAGTTGCGCCCTTGAAACCGTCACTTGGCTGGCCGAGTTCCCAATTGCTATCATCGAACCCTGGAAGATGCCAGCCGAGGCGTTCTGCATGCAGACCACCTTCGTTGTATGTTCCTTTAATAGGATCAAGGAGATGGTTTCCCCCTGCGTTACCTGCAATTTTCCAGGATGTGAAGTTCTTCGGCGATCCTGCTGCGGTGATCAATGTCGCATTTAGAATTCCGCGGGGGTCCAGTGCGCCTTCTCGCTGCTCCTTTCCCATTGTATCTTGAATAACCAAGATGACGTTCTCTTGGTCTTTATGAAGTGTTGTATTACGGAACTCCAACGTTAGATCGCCAGTTTTATTCTTCATGCCTCCTTGCCATGCTCCCAAGAAATTTCCGTTTAGATAGGCTGACCAGCCAAATCCTAGACCTCCAATGACCCGAAGATATACTGCTGATGGGACCTCTGTACCGGTGGCATCAAATCGCCCGCGCCATAGGAGGTTGCCTGCTTGGTATCCATATTCATCTGCGAACAGAACTGGGTATGTATCAGGCGGAACAGGATGGGAAGTCGTCATATGATCAGCATCTGTGAGAAAATCTGGTTAGCTTGTTGTCTCTTCTTCGCAATTCGGAACATTTACCAGTCCATCGAGAGTCATCGTAGTCTAAAGCTGCTTCGGGCAGGCCATCAGCTACTTTCCATTCTGTCAGGCCTGGTAGAGAGGCCTGGACGCTTTCAATGGTAGCCTCAGCTTCTTCGAGCACGCCTGCCAAACTGTTGTAATTCGTTTCTTCAACTTTGATCTCCTTGTCGTTGAAGTGTACTTTCTTGACTGTCGAAGGTGCCCAAATTTCAACGTCGCGTTGGATTGACCAATCACCATGGAGGTAAAGCACATCTTCTTCTATTTTGGCATCGCGGATCAAGTCCGGTCCATTGACAATAACTGATCAGTCAGAATAATAGTTCCACAACACGATGACAAGTGACTGACCTGTTTGGTTCTCCCAAGCAAATGGATTACTTTCCAGAGTAGGGGCCCAGAAGCGGTAGGCAGTCTGTCGGTCTACAATAACTGCCTGCACGCCGTTGTCGAATTCCAAGACTCCAGGGGTCTCGCCAACATTGAAGGCCACAACGAGCCCATCTGGAGTAGAAGTCTGGAAAGTGATGTCTTGGCCACTCTTGACTTCTACCTCTTTGGCCCCTTTAAGTAGAAGTTCTCCCGTTTCACCGGAAGGCGCCCAGAAAACTATCACCTGCCTATCATGAAGGTCCGAGATAGTAAGAATCTCAGCAGTCGAGTAGACAAGCTTTTTCCCCGAAGAGCCAATAGGAAAGTCTGTTACGAGAATCTTGGACTCGGTGCCGTTCAATGTGATGTTTCCATGCTGCGGCACGGTTTGGTTGCCAATACTCGTTGTTACGTGTAAACGGAACTGGGTAATCTCCTTGGATGGAGAGTAATCATGGCGAACAACGTAAAAGGCGCCATTGGTGTCCGGATTTCTCAGCTCGGTGGTAAAGATGCTTGGATCCGTCGAGTAGGCGGTACTGAGGCCAACACGATTAACCTTTGCATAATCGCGTGCGACTCTCATAAAAAGTCCAAACAATTTCGTCTCGGAGTATTTGTCTCCAATCAGCCGATTTTCGTGGACCGGGGCGCTGTAGTCGTAGCTCGTGCCTACTGAAGGGTAAGCGATGTTGCCCCAGTTAGTGCCGCCGTAAGCCATGTAGACATTAACCGCGACCACCTTTTGGGCAATATTGTGCCGAAAGAACAAATTGACCCAAGTGGCGTCCATATTTTCGAGGCAACCACCTGCTGGGCCGTCCCATGGATTGTATGCACCTCCTTGAAACTCCATTAGGAAAGAAGGCTGAGTGGGGGAGATATCTTTGAAGTGACTGTAATAATCGAACACCGTAAAGTGTTCGACATCTCCATTGACGGGAAGGCACTCCTCGAGATTGCAGCTCCAGCATGCTGGATAATGATCCAGACCATACATGTCTACTTCGCCCCCGACATTGCTATAATCCTTAGACCAAGCCCTTGTCCACATGTTTGGATTGTTAGCGGTGAACGGAACGTCAATACCCCATCCGCGAGTGTAGTCGTTCAGAGTTTCCATGTAGTCGATGGCAGACTGGTTGGGCGTTTTAAGATCGGGATCGAGGAACTGATGCCCATATTCGTTCTCCAATTGCCACATGATCACAGGACCTCCGTTCGTAACCAAGTGTGGTTTCACGAGGTCGGCAACTTGTTCCCAGTATCTTGACCATTCTGCTGTATATCTCGGATCCGGATCACGCAAAGCGCCATACTCTCCAGTCGTAAGCCAGCCGGGAAGTCCTCCGCCGTTAGACTCAGCATTGCTGTAAGGCCCTGGGCGGTAGACAACGTACAAGCCAATCTTCTTCGCAAGATCGAAAATGGGTAGGAAGTTATGAGCACCTGAGGTAAAGTCAAGTGTTTCGTTGTTTGGTGCATGCCAGCCTGCGTGCTTGATTAGGAACTTGATCTTGAGATGGTTGATGATTAGGTCTTACCCCAGTGCTCATAGATGGCGATTCCATTAAATCTATCAAATCTTAGATACATCGACAGTGTATGAGGTTGATGATTTAGCTTACCCAGCGGCCTTCAGTTTCTGGAGAATATCTTCCCAAAGCTCCGGGACTGGAATCCGCCATTGGTGGAGCTGTCAGCGCCACTAAGTTAGCCTCACATATGAAAGCCATTTCAGTTTAACATCCGTCCTACCTCTCCGGTCCAGAAGAAAAACCTTTGGCCGTTGACTAGGACACTATAATGATCCCTGCATAGCTATCAGTACGGAGTATATGGTGCGATATAAGAGTGTGGACAACCTACCATTGCACCACTTCGTTCAACCCATTATCGTGTACGGGCCACTCGTTTTGCCCATGCACAGAACTCAGGAGGCTTGTAGCAGCTAGCCAGTGGGAAAGACTCGTCCACTTCATATTGAGAGCGACGTCCGTTGCCTTTGAGTGAACTACTGACAGAAGATACTCGTATATCTTGCTGATACCTCCAGGTATAAATACCAAATTTTAAATTCATCGCATACCTACCAGGTTCACAGTGCGGAGACCCCATGGGTAACAGCAATATTGGAAATGATGTGCAACGGTCCGACTACAAGGGCATCGAATTGCGGGGGTGTTCGAATGTTGACATGATGTTGGAAACAATCATTGCATCTTGCTTCAGAGAAACTTGTTCCCACAAGTTCGATCGTATGGCCTGGCAAACATCGTAGGCTCCCAATGCGGTTACATTGTCGGTCGCTTGTCGCCTTCCGTCTGGGCCAACCAGGCTTGCGGAAGCGGAAAAGCAAGGGGCTGAGATACCCGCGTGGAGATCCGTTTCCGAACAGTTACCCGTCTGTACCACCCGCTAGAAATTGTTCATTCGTGAGCGAGACAATAATGATAGGTTCTACATTAGACGGATGTATTATTTTCTTGGCTGAGGTGTCAATTTGGAAAGTTTCAATTCGGATGTCACTCCTCGGTAGATTGAAGGAAAATCCCATGTGAGTACCAGAGTCATGTAACGATCTTCAACATCAGCTTCGTGATGATTTTCCAATCGGTGTTTCAAGCGAATTGGACATGTGCCTTTAATATCCATGTCTAAGAGAGGCCCTGCAATCAGAGCAATTATAATAGGAGGAGCATTTGCCGCCTTCTCGTGGAAATGGGCTTCGATAACCCTCGGGATCTTCAATTCATTCAATCACATGAAGTCGTGATAATGATGTTCTCGATTGCCTCACTCTTCTTTCTAGTTTGCGGGCTGGTCTCAAGTGCCGAAGGGGCACTACGCTATCGCGCATTCGACTGGTCATCTCTCCTAGTGTCGGAGCGCAATGGTGTTATCTACAAGGACGTAAACGGCGTAGCTCAGCCGTTGGAGCAAATCCTCGTTGCCAGTGGTGTTAACATGGTCCGACAGCGAGTATGGACAACTGAGGGTGACTATGGAATTCAGTACAACCTCGAACTCGCTGCAAGAGCTCAGTCGGCCGGCCTGCAGTTCGGCCTGAATTTACATTACAGCGATACTTGGACAAACCCTGGTTTGCAGGACATCCCGTCCGGTTGGCCTACTCAAATCTCGGAATTATCCACCAAGCTCTACCAGTATACTTACCAAGTATGCCAAACCTTTGCCGACGCCGGCCTTGTTCCAGAAACAATCACGATCGGCAACGAGATCAATGGGGGAACATTATGGCCGACAGGAAAATATGATCAGCCGCATAATCTTGCAACGCTTCTACATACAGCCTCGCGCGCAATCCGCGACTCGGGCTTGAGTCCACCACCAAAGATACAGGTACATCTATCACACGGCGAAAACGCTGAAGAGATGCAGTGGTTCTACGACCTTGTTCTAGGCGAAGGCCCATTCACCTTGTCAGACGTAGACATGCTAGGCGTGTCATTCTATCCCTTCTGGGGACAAGCTGCAACTCAGGAGAACCTGTTGGCGTCACTAAACAACTTGGTGACCCGGTACGGCAAGGAGGTCATGGTTATTGAAACAAACTGGCCAGTGTCCTGCGTGAACGGAGATTATCCATTTCCACTCGACACCGCAGACATTACTTTTGATCCGGCTGGCCAAACCACCTGGATTCAGAGGACAGCAGCAACTCTCAACAAGGTGCAAGGGGCTCGGGCTGTTGGTCTGTCATATTGGGAAGGTGCTTGGATTCACAATGCTGTCCTTGGTTCATCGTGCGATTGGAATACTCTCTTTGACGGAAATGCTCAAGCTTACACCAGCATGGCTGTCTTCGGAACGATCTAAGACTGGTTGAAATCGGCGTGCCGATTTCCTGACACTATATTCTTTTGTTGATTTTCGTCCATGAGGGCCAACTCGACAGTTCATTTATTTCTTTCTACTTGTAGGTGACGTGATCAAACCTTCTTTCACCCTTTCATAGGTTCTTCTATTTCCTGTCCCATATTTTGTTATCATCTATGCATTCAGCCCCTCGTTCGGATAATCTCATTTCATCTTTTAATTCGGATTGCGCATGTCATCAGGAACAATGCCAACAAGTTACTAAATTGATCAAATACCGTGCGTTTGTCTAACCCCAGTCGACGTTTCTCGGTCCTCATGTTGACTAGTCATAGACAAATTTTGTGATAAATCCCCATTCAGTGCGACGATACATGGTCTTACTTTGGTCGCTGGGAAATGATCCATGTTTCAGTGCGTGACAGTGGTGAAATACATTGAAACTATAAATTTTCAGTAGTTATACATATCAAGATACCCAGATCGCTGCATACAGACACCTCTATAGTGAGAAGCATCACAGATACGACCTGCTAGCAAGGAAAAAGTCGAGAGAACTAGATATTTGACATTGTCGACAGGCCTGCGAAGAGTGAGAGGTGATTTCTCGATCCCTATCGCGCGTCCTGATCTCACTACCTATAATCATCCTAAATTATTCTCATTTGCCCTACCATACCACGGTATACTCCAATCTATTCTCAAACGATCAAACGGGCACATATTGGAGAATCACGACGAGAGAGTTCGCTGGGTGGATGACAGCTTTCTTATATCCAAGACTCAAGTAATGAACTATAGCAAGTAGGGGTATTGAATCGGATTAGGCACAATGATAATATATAATAGTTTTCATGTATGAAGATCGCAGCATCTCAGATATAGACAACACCCCGGGACCCCCAGCCGATAATGACTTGCACCTTGTGCCGCTCTTCGCAATAATATTGTAATCTAACGGCAGTACGATGATTTGAGTAAGTACTTATAGGTCGCTATGCCTTAAGTACTGCGCGGGGTATGTGGCTCTTCGATTTCCTCGTGCTGGACGACATTTTTCTCCACCATCCCGACTTCGGCCGCAAAGGTAGTCGTAGGGACCCAACCTGCGCTCTTGCGCGGAGTCACTTCTTCAAGCATTTGATCGACTTGTTCAAGCGAGAGTCCTTTCATCTCCGGCACAAGGAAGTACGCAAAAAGGAACAAGAGAACGCAGAATGCACCCCAGATGAAGAAGACCTTTGGGCCCAGGTTAGCGCTCGAACTATCGGTACCGACCAGGTATGGGGTGATGGTTGCGATGACGAGGTTCCACAACCAACAAGAAGCTGTGGAAAGAGCCACTCCACGAGATCGAATTGGCAGGGGGAAGGCTTCCCCGACTACTACCCAGGCCGCGGGACCCCAGGTAGCCGCAAAGACAAAGATGTCAAGGCAGATGATGGCAATCATTGCCTTCACGGCGGCTGGGTTATGCGCCTCCGCTCGGCCAGCTGATATCCCGATAGCAGCAATGACCCATTGCATGAGTGCCATTCCTATCGCTCCGTAGATAAGTAGGACTCGACGACCAAATCGCTCGATGGTCCAGAAGGAAATGGGCGTAGCAACCACATTTACGAGAGAGGTGATCAGCGAAATGAAGAAGGGGTTGTCGATAGTCTTCAGCTGCTGGAAGAAGGTTGTGCCGAAATAAAAGATGAAATTCACGCCAGCAAGTTGTTGCGTCATCTATACAATGAAGAATTAGATTCGGATTCGTCGTCGAAAGAGACCCCGAGGTCAAAAAGAAGGGAGTTTTCGAGAATTTCGACTCACCTGAACGCCCATTCCAAGAATGGTGCGTCGAATATTGGAGCTAGGCTTCCTCCAGGAGCCCTTGAAGCAAGCAACCCATGATTGCAGATAACCTTGATCAGGAATGAGATGCATTTCGATCTCGAGGTTGGCAATGATTTCAGCCAGTTCACCCTTGATATACTCCGATTCTACTGGTTGGCCTCGAAGGGTCGAAAGGGCTTTGGTTGCCTGGTCAATCCGGCCTTTCTTCACACAGTAACGGGGCGACTCAGCTTCTAAGTGTCAGTGAAGTCTTCCTCGAAATTATGGTGATTGTTGAACATACGAAGCAAAAACAGCCCGACGGCGAGAATGATCGCCCAGAGAAACTGTATGGCGACCGGGATCCGGTACGATCCAGTATCATTGCGATTTTGCGTAGCATAGACAACGCAGTTGGCGAGCAGGAGGCCGATCGTTCTGTCGGAAATCAGATCTAAGCTTCATATCTTCCAAAGTTTTGGATATCTTGTTTGTCCAACTTACATGCACATCTGATATCCGGCGACCAACGCACCACGCACTTTTCGAGGAGCGATTTCCGCCATGTAGAGGATAACAACAGCGGAGTTGAAACCCACACCAAGACCTGCAATCAGGCGGCCCATGACCATCAGGACCAGTTGGTCTGTACTGGCGACCTGAAGGACACATCCGCCGCAGAAAATTATGCAACCGGCGATAATGGTCAGACGGCGCCCGATGAAATCGGCACAGTCTCCAGCCACAATGGCACCCAAGAATGTTCCCAGCGAGAGAATAGATGTCATGAGAGACTTATCATGGGCCGAGAGAGAGAACTCAATATCAGGGTCGGCAGGTTTCATCAATTCCCAGTCGTATTTGAGTCCTGTATACATCTCGATATAGTACGGCATGCCGAGAACACCAGACATCCATCCGATGTCATAACTTTCGACGGTCAGTGAATCGAATAATGAGGAGTGCGTACTGGAAATTTCTTGACATACCCGAAGAAGATGCCACCAAAAGCTGCGAATGCGCATATCAAGTAAGCCTTGAAGGTGACGGGCGCCTCGATCCTAGAAAGGTCGCTCGTTCCCTGGGTGGGAAGCACGCCTGCAGGCATTGTGTTAGGAAATGAGAATGGTCGTGAGTATAAGGATGAAGTGGTATGCGATTGACGATCGCTGAATGATAGAAGACTCTATGTTTGTCGATGTCGTGGAAGTGTAGTTGTGGGATGACCGGCGACTTTATCTTGAAAGATTCCCCAAGTCAACGCTGTGTTGTACTTGGTGCACAAGTTCTGTTCCATCTTTCACACGCAAACGGTCCTTATGTGGCTGATTCTTTACCGCATGCTTGAGGACCACCATGATTGCGGGGAGAAAAGTGCGGAGTTGTTAGCCAACAGGGTAGCAGACTAATTGCAGCCTCAACCTTGCATTTGGGTCCTCGATATGGGAAGGAAACCTATTTCCGTTGCAGTGCACTTCGTAATTTCACAAAAGGTCAAAGCTTTCCGTATCCGCCCTTCGATGTGAAGGACATCCGTTGACGGAAACGGTATCCGCGCGTTCCAGCCTGCTTGAAACCACCCGCTTAGCTTTTCTAATAACGCAGGGTCGTTGGCGCGGGGCGAATGACAACAACAATACAGACCTCCTACTGTACAATATCGACGCTTTTGAATTTCTCAAACGAATTGAAGCAACTCACGAGGGTAGATGATTCGGAAAGCCGATACCACCTTCACGGCTAGGTCGGCTCTTTCAGCAATAGGGCGGGGAACACTTAGTTCGTGAACGTTGCTAAACAACCGAAACAAAGTTTATCTACCTAGATTCTTATTATGTACGGTATTACTACAAGCAACAAGTACTGAATTGACCAAATCTTGAATCGACAAGTAGAGCGTGGGATACTGCCGCGCACTGCTTGTATCGTTTCCAAGTTCCTTAGCCATATTCTTTAAATCCTCTAATATTCTTAGCCATCCACCCTTTTCCTTACTGGCCGATACATAGAGACTACACCATTATCCTCCTGTTTCCAAATCTCCTTCCAATGGCGAGCCAGGCATTCGCGAGCAAAGTGTACGCAATCACTGGTGGAGCAAGCGGCATTGGTCTCGCAACCGCCAAAGCCATCTCCGAACGGGGAGGCACCGTCTGCATTGCCGACGTCGACGGCACCTCCATGTCGGCAGTGGAGTCCTACTTCTCTGCGAAGAACGTCCCATTCACAGTCACCAAGGTGGACGTCTCCAGTCGAGAGCAGGTGGAAACCTGGATCAGTGGGATTGTGGAGAAGTTTGGTCGACTGGACGGCGCGGCGAATGTTGCGGGTGTGATTGGCAAAGATCATGGCGTTAAGCCGGTATCGGCACTGGACGACGAGGAGTGGAATAAGATTCTCGCGGTGAATTTGACGGGCCTTATGTATTGCCTGAGAGCACAACTCAACAAGATATTGAAGGGCGGTTCTATCGTAAATGTGGCTTCGATACACGGCACGACGGGTAAGTCAAGCGGAGTACCACCGTGGTGTTGGATTCCCCATACTGACTTTGTCTGAATAGGTATGGCAAACCACGGCGCATATGCCGCGAGCAAGCATGGTGTGATCGGCCTCACACGAGCTGCCGCGAAGGAAAATGGGGCAGCAGAGATCCGAATCAACGCAGTTGCTCCTGGTGCAATATACACGCCGATGATGCAGAAGTACTGGGACGAGCACGAGCGGCCGGCCGATGCTCCGTTTGATGATCCCAGCGCATTTCAACGCCAGGGGAAGCCAGAAGAAGTCGCGAATGTTATCGTCTTCTTATTGGGACCGGAAAGTACGTTTGTCAGCGGAAGTGTGTATGCAGTTGACGGAGCATGGCTATAGAAATACACAACGTTGTTTGCTCCATAGAAATATTGATCTAGGCGCTATCTACCTAACGCTTTCTCACCAGCACGTGATCTCCAAATAGCCACGCCTATCTTGCTACACCACACTGTAGACTCTCTTTTCCAGGATTTGACTTCATGCCCGGTCACTTTCTTCAAATTTCTCTTGCCAGGAGGTTCGGAAATGAAACTTGGATCCAACATCAGATATCTCATGAAGCTCCTCATTCGTCAGTTTCAGGGTCAATGCTCTGGCATAGTCGTCCAGTCTCTTCGGTTGCAACGTAGTCGTTATTGCTATTACCCCGTTCTGAATCAACCACGCGAGGAGAATACTTGTCTCCTTTGTATTATGAGCTTCAGCGATTCGTGATAGACACCCTACTAAGGGACCTTCAGGACAACGAAAGGCAGGAGTGAGGCCTTTGAATGAAGCCACCTGAATCCCATGTTCGCGCATCCATGGTAAAAAGCTATCCGCGCGTTGCAAGTATGGATGGTACTCGATTTGGTTGATCACCGGCGGATCAGTGGCAGTTTTGAGGGTGGCCTCAAGATGCGGTCGTAAATAGTTGCTCACCCCAATCGATCTCACCTAGCCAGGTCTTTTGACCTCTTCCATAGCCTTCCACTTCTCTTGAAAGTCGCTATCGGACTTGGCGAAAAACGGAACGTGGATGAGATACCTTTCTCGTTATGTTAGCAATCATTGTATGTTATCATGGATAGATTCAAAGGGCATACAGGTCAAAGTATGTCAATTGCATCTTCTCCAGGCTGTGATCAAGAGCTGCTGCAATGTCGTCAATACCTTGGGCGACTTTGTTGGTAACCAAAGCTTTTCGCGAGGTACACCGGCTTTTTTGATTGCAATCCCGATTTCTTGCTCGGTATCATACATTTCCGCACAGTCGATATGATGGAACCCTTTCCGGATTGCAATCTCGGCCACATCCACCAGTTCCTGATTGAAGGTCGTATCGCCGACCTCTTTGAACCAAGCTGTTCCTGTGCCATAACCAAGCTACATTTCTGTAAGATATGGATCTAATAGAGCGATATAAGACTATACCATTGGAATTTTATTGCCATCACGGAGGGGCAGATAGGGAATGTCCATGGTTTTGTTTATGCCCGTGAGATTTGAAGCTTGCCTCAGAGTGTGTGCAGTTAGAGCTCGCCGGAGAGGTATGTGGCTTAAATAAGAGATGAACATGAAGTAAGCTTGCTGCGGAAGGTAGAAAGTCGAATCAACATCGAAGGCTGTTGGGAGCGGTGAAAACCGTGGGAAACATTGAACCAGAAATGAAGTGTGCTAGCTCAAGTGTTGTCCTGTACCGTTCCAAACAACATATCTCAGCTCGATGCTTTCGCGAGGTTGGGCACCTGACAGCGGCACCGGTAGGACCATGGTAACATGGGGCACAGCAACTTTTGACCAACGTTAGGACTCGAATCAAGCAGCTCAATATACGAAAAAGAGCCTACCATGTTTCGTGGTGGGTCTGCGAGAATCCCAAACAGTCATAACAAGTACATCATCGCGAGTTTGGTCACTCTGCCAGTACCAGCGGTGATCTTTGTTCCATTTCAGATACATTCCCTCCTCCACAGTATCGTCCATGACTTTCTGTACCACATCGAGGTCTGTATCTTTGACGGTCCGTGTATCGCAGCAGACCAGCGGGTTCGTCTTGACAACGTCAACAAGTGGTCTCCAAAGCCTAGTAAAGTTAGTATCATATAGTAGTTCAGTAGATTCCACATCTATGATACGGAGGTGATTACGTGAGTACACGAATTCTGTATTTCCCACTCTTTGCCTCGAGGAGCTCCTGGGGACTGGCAATAGCAGACACAACCTTCTCCATAAAGTCAGGAGATCCGTCTGCATATTGTTATTAGCTTATCAAGATAACTAAAGTGATAGATCATCCTGGGTTGTGAATGAGTCCAAAGGTGTGTAACCTACCTGCATGGATAACATGAGAACTATTGATCTTGACTGATCAAATATCATGTGCCTTCCGACCTTTCAAGCTGTAGATGGTTGGGAACTTTTGCGGTTTCGTCAACAATGATTTTCTCACCTATAGAAATGGTAAGGAAACATGCTCTAACGTATATAGCAATACTTACTCTCCAATCCCAACAAACAACCTGAAAACATTTGAGTTGCTCTTGTGGAAAATCGGACATGGATGCCACATAAGCATCAAGAACATTTTGTTGTTCTCTCGGCTTCAAGTCGACACAATCTGAGCTGTGCAAGCCAGCGTGATGCGGGAAGTCTTGATGCATCCACTCGAAACCGAACTTCTCTAGCTGCGGTTTCTCATCAATGCTTCTAACATCGGTAAGGGGACAGTATGGAATGATTTCGAGCTTCACATTCGTTCTAGCGACATTGACAGGAAGATCGTCTGCCCATATCTCATATGGCTCTTCTTCCTCGTAGATAGGGTCGTCAACAAGATGTGACAAGGTCGCAGACGTGGGTAGCGTTGGATCATTCATAGCATGTGCTGATAAGATAGCAAGAAAATGACTTACTCGGATGACAGTGGACTATAGTCAAATTTATCCATATCCACGATGTTGATCTGCCCCGCACCGGCCAGTCCCCAATAGCAGCAACGTGGGGTGATGCAGGCATCTTCACCGGTTTGTTTTGTCTTACGTTAGAAAGCGCACACGCCATCCAACCGACACTGCGTTGCGACTGCCGTCGGGCGACTTTGGAAAAAGGCTCTGTTGTGACTACCAAAGTTGGTTGGAGGACGCGTAAACAAGTGGAACAAGTGTTACTACCTTTGTGGCTGCACAGAAGCAAACAAAACGTAGAAGTGAATCTCGTTGTTCACAACCATACGCAAAATGGCCGCGACAAACTCGATCAACGTAGCTGTCACTGGTAACGCAGTAAGTGACAGCTCAGAGCCTGGAACTTTCCAACACTAACGTTCTCTATAGGAATTCGCGCAATTCGACTGGAACACGTCCTGGTCTGTCTTGGAGGCTCTACCAGAGGTGGTTAACCGGCCGGGAAAGAGGGACATACACATTTGGAAATACTCTCGCGTCACCCGGGACACTTACGACGACGTCAGGCGCGTCTCCAGAGAAATCTGGGACGGGAAACGATCTGTTTTCCTGTCCGACTCGCAGACGGATGAGGAAGATAGCAAGGTGGATGTGACCTTCATACTTCATCCCGCATTTGTTATGATTCCGGCTAACAGAGGTCATAGGATGTACCGATTCATGTCTCAGACGACGCAGGGCTTTACTTTTGCGAATTTCGACTGTACTCATCATTGGCAGAAACCCTCCTACAAGAATGCTACTCAGGAAAGAGGGGTCATGTGGCTTTTCAGCATCTACCACAGTACAATAGTCCCGAGGCCATTGATCTGGCCCGAAATATCGCGGTTGCCTACATTTCTGCTTTGGCCGATGATCGTCTCTTGGACGGTGCCTAGACGAGCTCTTTTGAAAGAAAGGTCCCGCTAATAAGCATCTGCTTCGGGTACTTGAAGGCCTCCAGAATACCCTATCACAAGGTGACAAATCCTTTTTGTCGGGAAGGTTTCGCAGTAGCTATTGTTGCGTATAGACGCCTCGGTAGTGGTGAGCATTACAGGCACCACCTGTAATTAGTGAATAGGTAGGATAGAAAGATATAGGGTTAGGGTTAATATGCTTCTAGAGGGAGGTACACGATGCCTTTCTCTCTGTTAGCTGCCCTAACTACTCTATCCTTATCCTGCCTAGTGCTTTCTCCCCGTCACGTGATCTCCAAATAGCCACACCTATCCTGCTACACGAGACTGTAGGCTATCCTGAGCAGACTACATCTTCTATTTACTCGTGAGTTTGCTGTTGCCTCGATATTGGTAAGGTCAAAGGAAGTGATGTGACGTGAAGTGAAGTGAAAACAGGGCTCCTAGGTTATTATGCGCTAGATAATTTGAGGACCCTCATTCTTTCGTGCTTGCAAACGCTTGGTATGTTGATCTGTGAAATATTCCATAAAAAAGTATTATCTCAACTGCATTACCCTCTTCTACTCATACCGTCCGACTCACACTATCCCTTTTATTTGCCAAATCGTCCGGGCTTTCCGTTTCCTTCCTAATGCTCTCCACGGCCTCCACGACTTCCAACCCCATGTCATGACGAGGGCCGGTGAAGTTCGTGCGCCCATCCACGAACCATTGGACCGTACTTATGATGATGATGATAGCGAATGCGACAATGCAGTAGTCTGTGCGACATGTCAATGATATGCGCCTCGAAGTGATACTTAATGCTTGAGAGGTGAACTTACTCATATTGCTGCCTGTCACCGGGAGTTCGGGCGGGAAGACGAATAACACAGTGGTGATGATAACGTACGCAATGCCCAGAAGGTTTGCAAACCAGCCGAACGCGACTGGGAGTACGAATGGCCGCGGAGGGAGTTTCTTGCGGCCTTGCAGGACATTGACTGCGATAGGGATGGCGTAGCTGACGCCTAGGGCAACGACTGATGCGGAGATGATGGCATTGAAGGCGCTCGACGAGCCGAGGAAGATGCAGCCGAAGATGATGACGAGGGCGGTGGTGAGGCAGAGGGAGTTGAGCGGTAGACCGAGCCGGTCGTGAACTTTGGCGAAGTATCGCGAGAATGGAAGACCTCGGTCTCTGGCGAAGGCGTAGGTCATGCGGGACGATGTGGTCATGATGGATGTTGTCGCGAAGAGAAGGCAGATGAGAGGGAAGATCAACAAACAGACGGCTCCGGCGCGGCTTGAGGTCGCGTTGACTAGGATCTGGAGTAACGGTCCGGCAGGCGATGATATGATCTTCTCCGCATCACCACCGGATACAAAAAGCATGACCATGAGGAATATGAAGCCCGTGAATGTACCTATGCAAACGCAGTAGATCATGATCTTGGGGCCTTCGATGGAAGCATTCGGTATCTCCTCGATCATATGTGCACACGCATCAAATCCCGTCAGTCCTAATCCTCCCTGGAGCAGTCCAAGCAACCAAGCAATGCCATCTGGCCAGCCAGTCTCATTCAGAAACTCGGCAAAGACATATTCCGCGGATGCGTAGTTCGGCGAAGCGCACGCAAGGACAGTAATTGAGATGACAACAAAGCCAGTGATGGACCAAGTGATTGCCGCTTTGTTCACGTAGGGTAGGGAGGAGTTCATGAAAGCGTTGACCACGAACGCGATGACGTTGTAGGCGATGTAGATGAGGAATTGATGCCAACGCTCAGGCGTGTAGGATGGGTGATAGAGCGATATGACACCAACAATGAGTTGAGAGCCGAGGAGCCCCCCAGAAGCGACCAGCGCAATCCAGCCTGAGACATTGATCCATCCGGTAATCCACGATAGTAGAGGTACCCATCTCTTCCAGGCGATAACTGCAACCCAGTGATATTGGCCACCGGCTGTTGGGTATGCAGACAAGAATTCTGCGAGCGAGGCCGCGAGACACAGATTGCACACCCCCGATGTTACCAGACCCCATATCACGCTAGTCGATCCGCCACTGGGCAAGGACAGTGAGAGCGAGGCAGAAAGTGCAGTCCAAGAATTGAGAATAGCGAAGGAAAGGCCTAGCATGGACAATGGCGAGAAGTTCCGCTGCAGTTCTCCACGATGCCCGAGAGCTTCGAGCTGGAGCTCATCGGACATGGACTGTTGTTGGTGAGGCATTGTTAGTGCGGGTTAGCGAGAGAAGTGGCTGGCATGGATGAGATGATTGTGGTTTATGAGAAAGACGTAGAGAAAGGGGAGTGCTATTGATTCGACAGAATGAAAGAAGGGAATGTGAAGAGGAAATTTATCTGTTTCGCGCATGCGGGGTTTCACGAACCCCCGAGGCGTTCACTCGTAATTAGTGGGCGACGGAATGGCTGGAGGTGATCATGAGTGTGGAGGGCTAGTGAGTTACACTATTTTTCTACAAATACAAATAAGAATTCGTACGAGTACCTCGCAGTACGAGCTGGAGTCGGGGTTGGAGTTGGAGTTGGAGTTGGAGTATGTGGTTGTGGTTGTGGTTGGACGGGGTGGCGGTCAAAGTCAAGTCGAGGGACAATCCCAACCCATACGCGACGTCATCCACGCTACCTTTGCGCCATGCGCCAACCGTTATCAACGAATTATACCCAGCCAGGCAACGACGCTGCATATCCCTTTGAACTAAGGGGCAAGAAGATGGGTGGTCCAGCGCGTACAGCGTGTGCGTAGGATAAACAGCGATAGCAACTCCAACAGCACTCGTAATACTTGTACATACATCGTTCGATCATCATGTGCATCTTGTAAAAGCACGAGCATAATGCGAGATAGCTGCTGTAAGGGACATGATAATACAAGATATAGAAACGATAAGAACAGAAGGAAGGCTTACCGAATGGATTGAGGCATTATCGTCGCCGCCACTCCCACGATGGCGGCTCAATAGCAATGTATCGGCATCCCCGGGGAACGCGAAGTCCGAACCGCTGTTACGGCTATCGAAGCTTGATGTGCTTGAAGTGCTTGTTCGGCCACCCGAGATACTTGTATTGCTGTCTGGCATACCACGAGTACTACTATCCCCAGACTTCCGGTGTGGATGCAGGCCATCCGCCACTGAAACCAGGGGCGTATAAGATGCACCTGCAACGATCGCTGATGACCGATTTGCCATTATCGATACCATGGTTGGCAATCTCGTGGCATAATGTAATGATTATAATATAGTAGAACAGTGGAATAGTACAAATCGGTCGTAGTTGGTGAGTTGTCGTCGTTGTTATCAGTGAATAAGAATAAGGTTTGGCGTTTAAGCTTTTGACCCGTAGACTTGGCATTCAACCTAATCCACCGAAAGTACCAACATAGAACAACATCTCATTCATTCAATTACCACTACTTATTCTATTATAATTTTGTCGTCCTTGTCGAAGTATGCTTTTTAATAAATCTCCAATCTCTGTATCTATGTTGTTGAATATCCCAGCCTCCAGCAATAATGCACATTGACGCATCACCCCACCATTGTAGGGGAGCCCCGCTGCCACCCACATTGGCACATCCCACGAGGATGCCATGCCTGTGCCTGCCGGCCCACCACCCTTGACTACCTACCTACTCAGGTACTCACACCTGAACCTCCTCCTTCATCGCCATCGGCCCTTCCACCATCAATCACCTATGAGTTAATATAGATAAAACCTTCATCCCTCGACCCTATACAACCTCTTAATTAAATCGATGCCGTCGCACCCATGGCACAGGGCTACAAAAGGTCGCAACGGCCACCAAGGCGACTACGACCGCTTACCCATCGACGAGAAAGAATCGCTATCCCCTTCCAAGTACCGCAGCAACAGCAGTAGTCGACCGCGTATCTACAACTGCGCACTCTTTCTCGGCGCATTTGCTGCCATTTTTGCCATCTATGAGGTCGCCAGGTATTCTTTCACGCCTTCGCACGGCTTTCCTATTCATTTCGTTGACCACCCCAAGCACCCTCGCCGGCCCTCATCACTCCTCCAATAAGTCCTGCGACACCATCGACGAAGGCTACCGCTGCAGCCCGAAGACTACACATTTCTGGGGCCAGTATGCGCTATGGTTCTCGGTCCCCTCTGAGGTCGACGTGAAGCCACCGAAGGGCTGCGACGTCACTTTCGCATCCGTTCTGTCTCGCCATGGGGGCCGTGATCCCACGCTCAGCAAAACCATTGCGTACGCGCTTCTGATCGCCGAGATCCAGACGTCAGCCACCCGATACCCTGGCGAATTCGAATTTCTGAGGAACTACAATTATACCTTGGGCGCGGATCAATTGACCGATGCGGGGAGGCAAGAAATGGTGAATTCGGGCGCGCACTTCCACCGGAGGTACTCATCCCTCGTTGCCGCGAACCCGCCTTTTGTTCGCTCCGCTGGGCAGGCCCGTGTGGTCGAGTCCGCAGAGAGGTGGTTGGATGGCTTCGCGCAAGCCGGGAACAATAAGGAACCCGGCAAGGTGGATGTCTCGATCCCTGAGGGACCCGGATCAAACAACACGCTCTCACACGAGCTGTGCAAGAAATTCGAAGAAGGACCACTGGATCGTATCGGAGACAAGGCCCAAGAGATCTGGCTCTCTAACTTTGTGCCCGCGATCCAATCTCGTATCAATTCCGAGCTCGGCACCAAGCTCACCTCCACCAATATAATCTATCTCATGGACATGTGTCCCTTCGACACTCTTGCGTCGCCGACCGCCCAGGTTTCTCCCTTCTGCCGCCTGTTCACCGAGGATGAGTGGCATCAGTACGACTACTACGAGTCATTGGGCAAATATTACGGATACGGGAACGGCAACCCACTCGGTCCAACCCAAGGCGTGGGCTACGTCAACGAGCTCATCGCCCGCTTGACAGGGAAAGCAGTGGAGGATCACACAAATACCAACCAGACTCTCGACTCGGACCCAAAAACGTTTCCACTTGATCGAAAGGTCTACGCCGACTTCTCCCACGACAACGATATGACCGCCATCTTCGCAACGCTTGGCCTTTACAATTCCACGAAGCCGCTCTCCAATGCCACGATCCAGTCAATCGAGGAGACCAAAGGCTATTCGGCTGCATGGACTGTGCCATTTGCCGCCAGGATGTACGTTGAGAAGCTCTCCTGTCACGCAGATGAGGAGGAGTTCGTCCGCATCATCGTGAACGATCGCGTGATGCCTCTTGAGTTCTGCGGCGCGGACAAGGATCACAAATGCAAGCTGAGCAAGTTTGTAGAATCTCAGAGCTTCGCCAGGGGCGGTGGCCACTGGGATAAATGTTTCATTAGTTGAGTTTGTATAGATGATGGGGATTGCACAGTTAGCAGGGTTGGCAATTCATTATAGAACTTCATGATATCTTTGTCTATTCTGTTTTTGATGTTGGTTTTTTTCATGTCATCAGTCATTGGTGTTGTATACCTATAGCACCGTAGCATAGGACCACTCCATGAGCGTAGGAAATCATTATCCAGGTCGGACCTTCCATAAGAAGTCCCAAAAGGGATCATGTTCCCTCTGACAGTTGCGCAAGCTTTCAGTCCCAGGGGCTAGAATTGTTGCAAATATAGCCAACCCTACACTGCGAAGTGAACGTTCCTTTTGCCCCTCGCAGTGTGCGGCACTTCCAGGTCCAGGTTGTCTTCGCTCATACCCTCATCCTCCAATTCGACGCTGTCAAGCCTACCCAAGGCGACATGACTTTCTCCTAGCTGCCCCTCATCCTCACTCTCCTCTTCCTCCTCTTCCTCCTCCTCCTCTTCAGCACCGTGATCGTCATCCTTCTCCTGCCAGGCTAAGTACCTATAACATGGCAGTCCCCTCTTCGCATGCTCGTGGTACCTCCGGCACCAAGCATAAGGATGCCTCTCCTCGATTTTCAGCGTCCTCCTCACCCTTGTCAGCCTCAACGAAGTACGCAGAACATCCTGCACAAACTCCTTCGGCCAGTCCTCCATCGCACGAACAACCTCACCCCTATCCACATTCTCCCACCCAACACCGCCGCCTTTGTACCCCTCGACTACAGCCTCAGCGGTCGTCGACGCCACTTCGCCATCCCGCCTCCCACCAACCTCCAACACCTCCTCCGCGTCCGCTCCACAAAGTGCCAACGCATCCGCCCACACCATCCTCGCCCCGCACTCCCTCCCCGTATTCCCATACAACTCTCCAATCCTGACCGGATTGAACTCCATCGCGCGCGTATCCACAAACGTCTCGCCATTGCCCACGAACTCCACCACACCCTTCAGCCGCGGGTCCTCCTCGACGTCGCGGTTGCGGCGCCAGATGCGGAGGGCCTTCACGTCGTCGATTGCGTGGAACTGCTGGATCCAGGTGTCGGCGATGAGGTCGCAGATGTTGGGGAGGGAGAGCGCGTACGCGAGGATGTAGAGGTGGAAGAGGGTTGTCGAGGTCCAGGGCGCAGGCGTGTTGTCGGATGTGTAGATGTCCGGGAGCTCCATTTGGATGGTCGGTTGAGTAGAGAGCTGCGCGGCTAGGAGGTGGATGTCGCGGTCCATGGAGGCGAGGAAGGCCTTGTCTGAGACGAAGATCGCAGGAGGGAGGGAGACGTCCGGGGGTGAACTTGCAGATTTGGATTCTAAGTCTACCAGAGTTTGCGGCTTTTGCCATGGTCGTCCATTGGGAAGAGATGAGTGCGGTTGCGAGGACCTCCCGTTCACTGTCGGCGGACTACTGGGCGGTTCGACAGCAGCAGACGGCGGGTCTGAAGCTAACAGGTCAGAGAAGATGGTCGTGTCGTTGTAGTAAACGGAGTCTGGGTCGCTCTTGGACTTCTTTCGAGACTTCGCGGCCCGGCTGTGAGGCGTGCGAGCGGGCACGTCGACGGCCTTGCGCTTGGGGACGTACCCACCGCTAGACGCTGGAGTTGGCTTGCGTCGGCCAGAAGATACAACCTTTTGAGTCTGTGACTTGGGGAAGCTGAAGCCATTTAAAGTAGTCTTAGGTTTGCGATCAGAGTCCATGGGCGTGTCTTGTTTGGTTGCCTTTTTGTTTGACGGCTTTGAGACGGCCATCTTGTCGGTTGCGAAGTGCAAAAATCTCGGAGGTTGAACCAAGATCAAGAAGTGAAAGGTAAAAGATATGTAATTATGTAGTAATTGAAGGGAGGGATCTACCGGTAGAAGAACGATAAGTAATATTGCCTTCGCACTTTACATGGCGGCGGGCAGTGTCAATGAACAATGAGTTTAACTGGGGAAATTTTCGTTTCACTTCACTTCACTTAGAAGTGAAGGCAGGATATCACATGGCGGATGGGAAGAGAATCACGGTCCTACATACGGCATTAGCATTGTTTGCGTACAATGCGTTAAGGGCTCATTATGGACCGGGCGTGTCGGTGAACCATTCATTCTCTCGGTCGGTGCGGGTATGGACCTATTGGGCATATCATAATGGAGTCATATATGTATAGGTTGGAGTGTAAATTGGATTGTACCTGTCTTGAATCACTTCGATGCGTTTGTACCAAATAACACGTTTGGAGAGCATGAATACAATTGCTTCAACGTCCTAAATCGCACCAGGCATGAGTACGAAATCCCATTGCCTTCTGATGTAGATGTAGATGTCACAGTGATTATTGCAGAGAAGTGTAGATGAGAGCTATGCACCTGCATTTTCACGAAGAAACGTTTATTAGCGTAAGAATCTCGATCTCACTCTTTCTGCCTGTTTAGACAGATGCCTATTGGCGTACGACTCCTGCAAACGCTTCATAACTCTCCCAATCTTGTACCTCATACAACGCAGCTATATAATCGGGCAATATTCCAGGATCATGCGGAATCTTTTTGACCATTGCGTTCTAATAAATGTACCATGCAAAGTCTCAAAACTCAGCCAGTGTTTGGAATCGCGCTCAGTTCGTCTTGATTATAGATTTTAGGCGGTTGAACCTTCCACGCTTGCAGAGTGAAGTTCAAATAATTAAATCTTTCTAATGATCCATTGCCTAGTATGGGGCGTTATTTGTTACGACCAGTTTGACCGAAATACGTACAAAATCCTTGAAGCATAGTCTCCAGCCTTCGAAAGAGAGAGCACAAACATACCGTTCAATGCTTCACTCTCTCTTTGAAAACCATAGGCAACTTCCTCACATCCAAGACAAAGCAATCCGCCTTCTCCTCCTCGAACTTTCGCCACTCCTTGTCCGCTCCCTTGGGAACACTCACCTCAAACCTTCGTGCGATCCTCGCTACCAACATCCTCAACTGCATCATGGCGAGCGGCCGTCCGACACAATTCTCCGGGCCGTAGGAGAAGGCGATAAACGCGTCCTTGCGGATGATGAGTTCGGGTTGGGAAGACCAACGTTCCGGTATGAACTCATCTGGTTGGGCGAATGCGCGTGGATCACGGTGCAGCGCGTAGGTGGGAACCGAAACGTTCATGTTTCCGGGGACGTATCGACCTGCAATCGTAGCACCCTCAGGCGGTGTGAGTCGCTGGAGGGCAGCTGGGACTGGAGAGTAGAGGCGCAGGACTTCGTTGATGATTCCGTTGAGATACGGACGCGGGGCGAGATACTGGTCGCTCACGAGGCCGGAGTCTTCGGCGGAGGCAGGTAACGGGTCAAGTTCTGCATGTAAGTTGGACTGAATGTCTGGGTATCGGGCGAGAATGTAGAAGATGTGGATGAGGGTCAAGGCAGTCGTATCTGCACCTGCGATCACTGCTAGTTGAGCATCTGCGGGGCCATCTTTGATCGCTTGCGGGTTCTGGGAAAAGTAGGTATAAAAATCCGGTAACGGGGATCTCATCTAAGCCTGTCAGTAGAGGCACGTTTCGGAGGTCGCTTTACCAACCTGTCTCCTCTCTTCCAACATCTTCCCGTATTCTTTCAGCATCTCATCGATCATGCCTTCTACCCCCGGGAAGAGCTTGGTCAAATGGAAAATCCACAGGAAATTGATCAAAAACCCCACTATTCTCTTGTTCTCAACAAAGTCTTTCACAAGTGGATGTGGTTTGCCGCTCGTCAGCATGTTCCAGGACTTCCCGAAACTGAAGTCAGAAATGACATCGAACTGCACGTCCATGAAGACTCTCGTTACATCGACAGGAACGCCAGAGCGACTGTGTTTGTCCAGTAGTTCGATGACCTCAGCGTGATGTCCAGCCAAGCGGGGCACATAATCGCGAAGAGCACTGGGACTGAACGCCTTATCCCAGACCCTGCGCTTGGACTTATGAAATGCAATGTCGCGGGTCAATTGGAGATTCTGATGCGGCCACATGTGTTCGTAGAATTCGCCCTTGACAACTTTCGAGCGTGGCCCTAGAATGTCCATCACGGCGTCTGGATGGCAAATGGACAGCTCTCTGGGTCCTGCATACTGGTCAAACTGGATGAATTCGCAGCACATGGGAGGCATAGGTACTTGTACGGACGAAATCCCCGTAGTCATTGTGTAGCTGACGGAGTTTTCTATAGAACAATAATTGGGGCAAGTTCTGCTTGAGGATCCAAAATACAGATACACGAGCTGCTATGGGGCCAGGAAACCCGCGTAGTGGATGGAAAAAAAGCCGGTAGATTGACATTGCCGTGAACAAGGAAATGGCGTAAACCGCAGTTAAGACACATGTTTGCTGGATGGAAGATAGCAGGGTAAAGCCATATATTTTGAACCAGACCGTGACGAGGGCCTGTACACTGATGAGGAATTTGAGGATAGTTGGAGAGTGACGATCCCATTCGCCTTTAGAGAAGATAAAGACTTCGCTGGCGATGCCAGCAAGCCCTACGAGGAGGTAGCTACGTAGAGCCAACATCATGCTCAGAGTTGAACCAGAAAAGAGAGAAAGAAAAGATGAATATGGGTGATGTGATAGTCAGGCTTTAGGCAACCTCTTAGTCGAGGTGGGGGGATGTTGAGAAGAAACGAACGTGGATTGCGATCCTTTGTGGAAGGTTGCACAGCCATCAGCTGCAGTCTCACCAACCGGCTCGCTACTGATTGCCCTTCTTTTCAGCCGCTGCACCTCTCAGATCCCCATCATTTATCATCATTGTTGTCATCAATCATCCTTTTAATAGCACAATCAATGCATTGTTGCAGATTCATATCGATGCGAGTTGCACCAGGAAAGATTCAATGTCACCACCATCTGTCTTTCTATTGCATCTAGCCTTCTATAAAAGCTATGACAATGGGTTTGATGATTTATCACGTGACTTTATTCTCTGCACTTACATTATCTCTGCATGCATGTGCATATGTATGAGGAAAGAGATTGATGATAATTTGCGTCTTTGTCTGAACAATATATCTAACCGACAGATAATGTACGAAGCAGGTAAGTACAGGAACAGGAGTACGGTAATTGATAGTACGAAGACAAAACGAGGGACATTATTGGGTGAAGTGCGAAGCTAAGAGAGGTCGATGGCTGAAGATCGCTGTCACAAGTAACAATAACATTACAACACTATAGGATCAAACATCAGAGGCCTGCCATCCTGTACACCATAGCACATGCTATATGAGCAAATTCAATAGCGCCTATAAGTGTCTATTTGATTCGTGGTTTCAAAGGCTGACAGACAGAGCAGGCTGCAGGACATCCACATGAGGAACTGTCCGCAACATAACGCGCGCTGATCATACGGGAAATCCGATGTTCCGACCGTTGGTCGAAGAACATGTTGGTGTTAAATTCATCAAATAGTCAAGACAAGGGCAGATCAATCGTCGATCCGGTCCCAAGTCAATGCGAGACCTTTACTGGCCAGTTCTATTATCAATACCCGGGGCCGTCGCGGACCTTGGACTGATAGCTTGTGGGTGGTTTAACCATACATGGATGAGCCCAAGGAAACGACACCGAAGTCGACGGGGCAATCCCGCCTTTTGCAGCATGACATGGCGCGAAAGAATGGTTCAACATTCAGAACTTGGAGCGAGATGTAACGAAATGGGCTTCTCACTTAGTTTTCAAATCGCATGGTCGCCGAAGAGTGGTTTGCGGAGAACTTCCATAAGGGCGCTCCCCTCGGAACTGCGGGCCCTCCCCAACATTGTCGATGTCAAGAAGACTCGTGGTGAACACAATCCGTTCCCTGGTGAGGATGCATTTGCTGCTTTTAGGACAATTCCGTGGTCGCAGACAAGGGGACACGTGATGCCTAGTGTGATTAACGGGAAACTCCAAAGGTTTGCCTATCGTCTACCTGACAGTTACTCCCAAAAGAAGTGAGAGATCCCGGATCCTGAACTTACGTGCAGTCTACCTAACAGCGGTACCCAATACTGACTGTCTGGATTTCCCAAAGAGGATAACGCATGGAAAGAGCCTACATGGAAGCAATACTGCCAGCCGATCGCAGGCGGGGCATTGCTGCCCTCGAAGATGCTGAATGGTTCTCAGTCCCGCCGACAATACTTATCCCCCAGTATTCAAGAGGGCACACATGACATATATTCATATTAGGGAACCTCCCGCTGCCATTTTAGATCTATTCGAAGTGAATTCGACCTAGAGGAGTAAGTGTCGTTGTGAGGACTCGTTTGAGGTCGATTGTACTCCCAAAAATGATCTGAGGATAGTGGTCACATGTTCATTTTAGATTATAGGCTTGTGTCAGAATACATAGACGTTGAGAATCAAATTGTTCGCAATGAGACTTAACAGAAAGCGTCCAAGTATCATTGAATGCAGCAACCCTCTGCAAACACTCTTAGCTACTCAACTCTGTGGCCGTCAACACAAAACATTATAAAACTAAATTAGCCACGCGCACAAGGTGGTCCTATGTAAAATGTCCCAGCAATGGGCATTATTCTTACTACGCAACTTCCTGGCGTCCGTTAGCAAGAGTGCCTCTTAAAAACGGATGCACTTTGGGACAGGAAATAGACAGAATGTAATCCCCCCTAAGCTCTCGCTAGATGTCAGAAAGTACAACTTCATTAATGATACCAAGTTCAGGATTGCCTGTTTTTGCTACTTAATGCTAAGAAGTTTATTAGTCAGTGCCGACATAACTTGCTGGGCCTTGTCTTCATTCTTGTGTCTTCTTAAATCTAGTGCGCGTGGTATCAAACACAACGTCCAATCCCTTAGGTCATTTGTATTCTCTATGAGAAGAGACTAAAGGCTACCAAGGACACTTTGAATGTTAAATTATCTGGGTTGAAATGGTGCGACAAGGTTACCTATAAAGGAGCATTGTGGCATCGTCACATTCGTTCATAACTATGGACGATCTTGCCTTCTGCACCCGCTGCAGCCAAAGGCAGACGACTTACATACTGTTCTTATACACAAAGCTCATTAAAAAGTATTCTCTATTCTGAATATATATACTCCTAGATGTGTCACTACCTACATATTCTGACCAATCATGATTTGAGTTGGCCACCAATGGTGCTCACCACCATAGCGAACAGCGAGTCCTCGACCCGGTCTTGGCTTCACTTTCCATTACGTTATGAGACATCTGCGAGCAGTTAAGTATGTCGTGCCTAGGTACGAGTAGGTATGAAGGTTACCCACCTAGGTAGTCTGCATCTCACATTTCACACTCCAAACCAAAGGACACTAGCTAATTAGATTTCTTTTTTAGTCACAGTTTGTCCCAATAGTGATGTCACAGTAGCCTTTGTCTCGTTCCTTTACAGAGCTTTACCCTTTCCAAGTCTCGATGATCTGCTACCCACATTGCTTGAATTTCTCTTGTGTATTTCTTCGTTCCAAACTACCCTGCTGGGCCTGCTCTCACATTTCTTCATCCATCCATTATCATTATTATTGGAGCAATTAGAATTGCCATAGGCTTTGGTTTCTATACAAACCTCTAGTCTTGGCACCGCGCATGACATACATTCACTCCTTTGAACCCGCTTCACTATCATGGGCAGTGAATATGACATTGCGCCTTTACACCTCAACTATCCACCACCCGCAACTTCATGAACCTGGTTTCAGGTTGTTCTTTCGTTACTTTTGATCGAACATATCAATACAGTAGATTTTCTGAACCGCAAAGAAAGTTTTGCTCAGGCAAGTTACACCCCAACCTACCCTGGCGATCTCCGTGGGCGAATTCACAAAAGAGTTTCTTTTCGGGCCATCGCGTTACCAAGTGGCCGACATGGCACGCGGTGTCTGGATTTCAACAACCGTCTCCGACTATTTTATTCACTGCAACACTGCTTAAACTGCCGCCTAACAGTCCAGAGTAGGCCAACAGACACTGCTGCCGATACTACTTAGGTCGCCGAACTGAGCAGCAAATAGTCAAAGTTATCGACCATTCGGATCAATGGCAGAAAAGAAAATGGAAAACCATGCAAAAGCGTCCTCAACTATCCCTGAGAATGGCGACACTGTTGTAGGGTGGAGTGGCCCAAAAGACCCCGAGAATCCTTTTAACTGGAAAACATCGAAGAGGTGGCGTGTTTCGATCCTAGTATGCTTCATGACATTTGCCGTCCAAATCAATGGAACGGCCATGACGAGCGCTGCCGAGGTTATCAATGAAGACTTTCACATCACTGACGAACACTTCCCGCATTCATACTGGCCAGTCTTATCATGGAACCTGGGGGGTGCAGCAGCACCAATGTTGGGGTTGCCTCTGATGGAGAGTTTTGGAATCAGGTGGAGCTATCTCTCCATATACCTCATCTTGATCATCTTTCTCATTCCACAATTTCTGGCTCAAAACTTTGCAACTCTCATCATCACCAGGATTTTCACCGGTGGCTGCACCGGTGTGCTGGCAAATATCACAAGTGGAGTTGTCAGCGATATCTGGCGTCCAGGTCGAAGCAAAAGCTTCAGTACTTCGCTCTGGATATTCTCTCTTCTCGCTGGGTTGAGTCTAGGTCCTGTCTTTGGCTCACTCACTGTACGATTTGCTAGCTGGAGGTGGTACGTGCAATGCTCTATGATACTGGAATACCCACAAGAAGCTAAAGATGTATACAGGATATTTCTCTCTGAAGTTATAGCATACGCCATATTCCTACCGTTTATCTTGTTTCTGTTGCCAGAAACACGCCCGGACGTTCTGCTCACCCAACGGGCCCGCCGAATCCGTCGCGAGACCGGCAAAACCGTGTATGCTTCAGCCGAGAAGACCCATCTTACCTTCAAAGAAGTTATTCGGGAAACTCTCATCCGACCGAGTCGCATGCTCGTGACCGAACCCGTGGTTCTCTTCTTTGGTCTCTGGTCTGCCTTTTGCATCGGAACGGCATTCATGTTTACGCAATCCATCGTCCAGGTCTATTCCGGTCTTTACTCTTGGACATACTACGGCACTGGTTTCGTGCAAGCCGCGATTGTGGTTGGTGAACTCATTGGCCTAACCTTCTCCGTCATCCAAGACCATCTCTATTTTACCTCTGCGAACCGGAACCGTGAGACACCAGGTAGTCCTATCCCAGAAGCGCGACTCTACCTTAGCATTCCTGCATCATTTCTCGGTCTTACCGCTGGTTTATTCATTTATGCATGGACATCGTACACGACGATCCATTGGATATTTCCCACAATCGGCCTCGCCTTCGTCGGGTTCGGTATGTCCATCATCATATCTGCCGTATCCTTATACCTCTTAGACATGTACGGAAAATTCTCTGCCAGTGCAATTGCAGGTGTCGCTTTCCTCGAAAACGCGTTAGCTGCGTTCCTACCGCTTGCTACACAGGACATGTACCGCTCCCTTGGCTTCAATTGGGCAAGCAGCTTACTGGGATTTCTTGCGCTTGCACTCAGTTTCATCCCCGTGGTATTGATGATCTGGGGCCCGTCGATCAGGGAGCGAAGTTATTTTATCAAGGAGGCACAGTACGATGATCACGAGGAGGACGTAGTAGAAGCTGTTGCTTGAGTCAATAAGATTCTTCACTTTCCCTATGTTGAAATGGTAATCAGGACATAATGTACATAACTCACAAGTTCAGTTGTATAGACTTGTAAAAACGGTTGCAATTCTCCTCCATCTGTACGAGTTCCCATGAGATTGACTGCGTGACGAGACATAATATTTCCTCCTTGCAGGGACGGAAAGGTAGGATCAGTAGGCTTTCTTGTATTATCTTATTTCCTTTTATATTTTCGGCTGGACTCCAGTTTACACTTTAGCTGCACTATACCAAACTCTCATACAATATGCTTTGTGTTTTCTACTATGCCTTGTCACAAGGACTGTTTAGGAATTATTATTACTTCTTATCCTGACATTATGATCGGTCCTGGATGAAGAGCGTGTATCTAGGCAGAGGTTGAAAGGGAGAACTGTCAATAGGTACAGATGGCAATAGCAATCTATTAAACGTAGACATGTATGTATGTGTATACCTTGATACCTAATTCCAAGTTCTATGCCGCAGCAAGATATTATAGAGATTGAGCGAGACGTTGCCTAAAAAATAATGTCTGCACCTTGAAGATACTTAAATTTGTCACTCTTGCTGAAGCTCTCCTTGATTCAAGTGTTATTTAGCAGATATCAACAGACCGAGCCATTATTATTGATCTGTTGTAATAGTGATGGTTTGTGGCACAGGACCCATGAAGCCGTTACCACCAACATCCCTGCCAGCATCCCCACCACCCCTGAACAGGTATCTACACGAGGTAGTCACCACAAACAGTCAAAAAAAAGGTGCATAAAAAAATAGCAAAAAACATACAACAGCGGGGATTCGCTGATGGTCACCCACTCAACTACTAGTCCGCCGGTACATTGCTTAAGTATGGCTGAGCGAACGGGAAGCCCTGTTTTCAATGTCCAATGGTCGTATGTGAAGGAATCGTCATATTATCCAAGTTATGTAGCTGCTGCAAACGGACATAGGAGCAGTGAAACCTGGATTAGTATGCACCCTCGGCTCCTAAGCTGCCGCAGTCGAGTGCTGACGCAGGTCGTGGCAGGCAACGGTAGATGGGTAGATTAATGATTAATGATCATTTGATATAGAATTGTGCAGAAACGCGGAATGAGACGGTGAGCTGTTGAGGCTATAACGAACGGTAACTGTAAAGGACACGTTCCACTGCCCGCCAAGCCATCGACGTAGTTACCCCCCGCCACTCATCTCGCCCCATCAGCTCAGGGTACGAAACAAGTACTCACATTTGTAAAGCTTCCACTCCGGAGCTCTTTTCCACTTCCTTCCCACTCAAACCCCCTTCCTCCAACTCTCCCACCGTTCATTGGAGCTTCATACATCTTCGTCCGAGTTGAAGCTTCGACAAGTCACCGCCATCATGCGTCTCAACCTCGCCGTCTCCCTCACGGCACTCCTGCCCTCCGTCCTCGCTGGCGCCGTCGTCGACCTCACCCCCAAGAACTTTGACGCCGAAGTCCTCAAGTCTGGAAAGCCCGCTCTCGTCGAGTTCTTCGCCCCCTGGTGCGGCCATTGCAAGAACCTCGCTCCCGTCTACGAGGAGCTCGCCACGACCTTCCAGCACGCCGCCGACAAAGTCCTCGTCGCCAAAGTCGACGCCGATGACCACAAGGAGCTTGGACGCAAATTCGGTGTCCAGGGATTCCCAACCCTGAAATGGTTTGACGGAAAGAGCGACAAGCCCTCCGAGTACGATGGCGGCCGCGATCTCGAGAGCCTGCAGAAGTGGATTACCGACAAGACTGGCGTTCGACCGAAGACCAAGGGCAAGCTCCCCAGCCAGGTTGCCATGCTCGACAACACCTCTTTCAAGGAGAAGGTTGGAAAGGATCAGGATGTGCTTGTTGCTTTCACTGCTCCATGGTGCGGACGTAAGTCTCACATTCCATGTAATTGCTCATGAGGAGAAAGACACCTTTGCTGACTAAATCGATGTAGACTGCAAGAACCTTGCCCCAACCTGGGAACAATTGGCTCTCGACTTTGTCACCGAGCCCAGCGTGTTGGTTGCTAAGGTCGATGCCGAAGCCGAGAACTCCAAGGCCCTCGCTGAAGAGCATGGCGTCACCTCCTACCCTACTATCAAGTACTTCAAGAAGGGCTCCACCGAGGCGCTTCCTTATGAGGGTGCCCGCGCCGAGAAGGACTTCGTGCAGTTCATCAACACCAATGCTGGTACCCACCGCACTGTCGGAGGTGGTCTTGACGCTACGGGTGGCACTATCGAGGCCCTTGACACCATTGTTACCAAGTTCCAGTCCGCATATGCCGACGGCATTGAGGAGGCTAAGAAGGCTGCTGAGGGACTGCAGGACAAGTACGCCAAGTACTACGTCAAGGTTTTCGAGAAGATCTCCGCCAACAAGGGCTACGCCGAGAAGGAGTTGAAGAGGCTCCAAGGCTTGATCGGAAAGGGTAACCTTGCCCAGGAGAAGCTCGATGATTTGGCCAGCCGCAGCAACATCCTCAGGAAGTTCTTGGGAGAACAGGAGAAGAGCGAGTTGTAGAACAGCATAGATGACGGACTGATATCGCACCCTGGCTGACGATTGATTCGCTCCGCCTTCAGGTCTGGGATTAAATGAGCATGAAAATATTGGGACCACTTGGACTGTATCCATCTTTAGCGTGTATGGCACCTAGTGTGTATATGTATGGAAAAATGACATGGCGTTTTGCTTGACGAACTCTTTGAAAATTGCTCGCTGAAATGTTGTTTGATATGCATGTAGCCATCACAGCTACCTAGGGAAATAAGAAACCCAAAACTCCTGCTCCCATGAGTCCTGTCCCCAATGCTCTTTGCGGTTAAGCATCACGGAAATAAAATGCAAGTATCTCGTTCACCAGTTGGAATCATTAGTCCTCACTAGCCCATCCCTTTCAACGACGATCAAGGAGTTCCCACCCCTCACTTCCCCGATCCAGAACCCTTGCCGCCGTCGCCGCCCTGAATAGTTGCCTCGAGATTATCGAGCCGACGAGACATGTCGTCCACTAAAAACCTCTCCATCAGCATCACCGAGAATCAATTTCCACTACACCCCTTGAAGGGAAACGAGAGAAAGGTAGGACACGGAAACGTACTTTTGGATAACAGCTCGCTACTCACGGAGCTGAACTTGGTGTTGAGTTGGTTCAACAGGTCGTCCACTACGGCCGTCAGTTCGGCGGAGGAGCTGTCGGTGCTTGCGTTGAGTATGGACTGAATGGCATTCGTTAGCACAAGGGGTATGTATCAAAGGGAGAGGTATAGACAGGTAGACCTACGGCTGTCTCGCTCGCGGGGCGATCTGTAGATGCTCTTGGTGTTGACATTTTTGTTAATGTTGTTGCTTTTACTACTTTCTGTATGCTCTTAACGCGATCGGGTTTCGGGTGTAACTTGACTGATTAGGTCACCGAGAATGAACAATGGTTCGTGGATTCAATCGTTGGGTCGATCGGTTCGTCGCTCCCGTTCGTTTGTACACAGTAGATGTTATCGATACCACGCGGGAATGGGCTGACACGTGATGCCGTCTCAAACAAGCGCTCCGCTAACCGCGCTTGCCCGGATCCGGCGGGCGGTGAGAGCGCAAAGCAAGTACGCTAGCGCCGACCCTAAATAATTTCTCTGCCAAGAGTTCGACCTCCAGGAAATTTTGGGCGGAACTGGCAGAGAAAGAGAGCTCTTCGCGACATACCATTCTTTTTTCTCCTTCGCCCACCAACCCCTTCACGTTACGAATTCTTTACCATTGATTTTGACATTGCGCCAAATTGAGCGCATACTAAGCGAGCCATGGCGAAGACGAAGCTCAAGAGTGCGCTCGATCAGTACCGGGGACGCAACATCCGCTTGGAGAAGCAAAGGAAGAAGGAGAAGGCCGCCAGGAAGAGGAAGGAATTGAACAACCCTGAAGAAGCTGCCTCGGACGATGGAGAGGACGGTGGCATTGCGCTCGAGAGCCAGGTCCAGGAAGAATTGAACAAGTCGGCGAAGAAGGAGAAGGCCACGAAGAACGGTGCTACCAAGAAGAAGGCCGCTAAGGCTGCGGCGGCGGCGGAGCCTGCGGAGCCTGAATGGGAGACGGATGAGGATGAGAACGAGGAGGGTAGCGATGTTGATGACGATGACATGCCAGATAGGCCTACGATCGATCTTGCCAGGCTCGAGTACAGCGACAGCGAGGGTAGCTCTGATGATGACGATGAGGAGGATGAAGACCCCGAGGCCGAAGAGGATGATATTCCTCTCTCGGATATCGAGTCGCTTGCGTCGGAGGACAAGGGTGATGTTATCCCTCACCAGCGTCTTACCATCAACAACACCACCGCCCTTACTGCGGCATTGAACCGTATCTCGCTGCCGTACTCGAAGCTTGCCTTCTCCGAGCACATGGCCATCACCTCCGACGAGCCTACCGAGATCGAGGATGACGAGGACGACCTCAACCGTGAACTCGCTTTCTACAAGCAGTCCCTTGCGGCCGTCAAGGATGCTCGTGACAAGTTGAAGAAGGAGGGTGTGTCTTTCAGCCGACCTGCGGACTACTTCGCCGAGATGGTCAAGTCGGATGAACACATGGGCAAGATCAAGCAGAAGTTGGTGGACGATGCTGCGGGCAAGAAGGCAGCTGCAGAGGCTCGACGTCAGCGAGACCTGAAGAAGTTCGGCAAACAGGTGCAAACAGCAAAGTTGCAGGAGCGAGCCAAGGAAAAGCGTGATACGATTGAGAAGATCAACCTCTTGAAGAGAAGTATGATTGTCCCTTCTTTCTTTTAAATCTACGGAACGAGTGCTAACAATGTGATGTAGAACGACAAGGCGCGGAGGTCACCAACACCAAGGAGGAAGACTTATTCGACGTCGAGCTCGACAAGACCGAGATGGACGCGCCTTCGTCGCGTGCTGATCGCCGCAACCAGTCCGGCCAGGCCAACCACAAGCGCCAGCGAAAGGACGCAAAGTACGGCTTCGGAGGCAAGAAGAGGCACTCCAAGAGCAACGACGCCATCTCCAGCGCAGATGGACGTGACTTTTCGCATAAGAAGATGAAGGGCAATGCTTCCAAGCAGAGGCCTGGAAAGAACAGGAGAGCCAACGCCAGGTAAACAATCAACTGAATGATGGATGAAAGGATGGATGATATCCGGAAAGGTGGAAAGATCAGTGGAAATGCATCTCATGGCGTTCTGGGTGTTGTGTTTCTCCGAATCGAGTAAAAAAGAGCCTAGCTTCTGCCCTATATCTGTATCGTGGGGCTGCTACTATAGTGTGTAGTACAAAGAATCAATCAAATATGCGCTATTGGAAATGATCTGCTTTCGTGTAATCGACTGGCTGGTGCAAGTTCGTACCAGTAGCCTTCCTCTTCCTACCTGACGTAGGCACAATTGAAAAATGCATTCGGAGAACTTCACGACATGGCAAGGCAATGTCGTCTATCTGCATACAGGTACGATGTGTGCACACAATGTTGAGCTGAACATTTCGGAAGGAAGGGGTCTGAGGAGCACCCTAGGACCAGAAGCAGACATTAGACTTGAGATAGAATGCACGCATGTATCACGCATTTGAGACGCCTTGTAAACAAAAAGCCTCCCAACGGGGAAATTTGATTATGTGAATTATTTACTATACTTAACCGTCGCATCCTTAAGCAACTGCTATCCGAACCCACCATAAAGAAGGCATCGAACGAATAGCAGAAAGTTCCCATCAAAACCGAATCCCAGGTCTCTCATGCACGACGTACCCTATACTCGACTCTTCGTCCTGCAGCGACCGCGTCTTCGCAACGTCAGCACCTCGAACATGCGCTTTCCTCACCTCATCGTAGTCCTCGACGAAGGTAATCCCATCCTCCCTCTCACTCGTGTCATCGCTAAGAGCAATCCCCACCCGCACGCCCGCTTTTCTCCCATCATCCCCACCAACGTCGTCACCGCCAACGTCTCCCGCACTCCCGAGACTCCCCAACCTGTAACTCCCCCTCCCCTTATTCCTGCCGTAGCCCCGCCCCGTAGTCATCGTGGCGCCGCTCTTGCCCTCGCCCCTCCACGACGCGCCGACGTTGCGGAACAACACGCGGAAGAAGGGGATCGAGGCGGCCATGATCGTGACGGCAGACTCGGCGTTGGACCAGATGAGCAGGTCGGCGATTTGGTAGGGCATGTCGGTGAAGTTGCCGGTGCCCGGGAGGTAGGACGTTTTCACTGCGGCGGCTATTCCTGCTCTATATAATGGTTTTATGTGGTTAGTTTTTGTTTTCCATTGAGGGGGAAGTTGTTTTGATTGAGATTGGGGGCCGGTGGGTAAAAAAGGGAATTGAGAGTGACTTACAGGACGCCGAGACTCATGCAGACTGTGACGCCGATCTTCTCTGAGAGGTTGATCTTCAGGGTGCGGATTATTAGGAAGGGGAATGCTGCGAGGATGAAGTCGAGGACGGCGGAGTAGACTGTTGAGAAATGGATTGAGTGAACATGGTTTCATCATCTAGTGAAAGGGGTTTTGTGCTTCATTATTGTGTTTTTGCTCTCTATCTTTTCAAGGACAATGAGAGAGTCGTAGAGGGGAATAGGGGGGAAATGGTAAATATAAAGCGATGTAACACATACCTCCAGCAAAGATAGAATACCGATCCTGCACCTCCGACTTCCAGCACGAGCCCTCGAGGTCCTTGTCCCAGTTCTTCGCAATAGGCCTGCATTGCAAGAAGAGTAGGATGGCCGTGAGCCACATGGCCACGTTCATGGTGATGATGACAAAGCAGATGAAGTACTTCTGCCATCGGCTGGAGACGAGGCGGAGCAGCGTGATGGCAAACGATGTCTTGGATATAGGGATGGCGAGGAGCGTAAATGCCTCGCTCAAGTACATGTATTTGAACATGTGGGGGATGTTATCGTCGTCAATGTCTGCTCGGTGTTTACCCAGGCCATAGCTGACGGATTTTGTCACGAGGGCAGAGTAGATGAGTGTGAGGGTCTGTCATGATTTCGTTAATTTTGCTTTCTTCTTGGGACGCAGTCAAAGGACTGGGTAAAGTGCTGTACAACAGTACAGTGAAAACATACCCAGGCGAGTAGCAAGATTGCATCGTCGACCTTCAGCTGTCGCGAGTACACGCTCTTACAAAAGAACCGCAACGCAATGAACCCGAGCGTCACGCCGGTCATAACCCATAGGGAGATGACCAGAACGGGGCCATTCGATTCCGCCATGTCGTCGTCAACTGCGGTTGCTGGCAGACTCGTATCCACATCATCCAACGCGCTCGTGGCGTTGGAATGCAACGATAACAGAAGTGTGAATGATAACTAGTAGAGCGTCTAGACGTACGAAGGGATCCACTATGGAAGTTCCTTTTACAACCCCCACAGGAAATCCGGGGAAGACCACAGCATTAAAGTCGCTACGGCCCGCAGACGGGTTGCCTGCCCCCCGACGCATGGATCGGCATGACTGAACGGTGAGGCCAAGTCCCATGCAAGGTTTTGCTTCGTTCTCGATGCATCACTCTGGTCCTCGAATGCAACAACGGGCAACACAAGTCATGGGGAAAGGGGATGGGAAGGTTACGCTGCGCCGTGTATCTACGCCCCGTTGCCGAAGCCATGTCCTAGAAGGGGGCCAGTAAGAGAGAGAAGCTGAGGGGGAGGGACGACGCCTGCTTCTATGTAACAGGATGCGTGCTGGGTTTGAAATCCTTTATCAATAATTCACGAACGGTTGACTTTGTCGTTGAGGATCGAAATCCTGTCAAGGCTTACATACATGTAGGAGCCGTCTCAGGATTGAGCTTTGAAGTAAGCAAAGTTATCGTATTCTAGAGCCACAGTCAGTTGCTTATGATATGTCACATTCCCAGAGTTATTTACTAGGAAATAAACCGAAGTGACCATACCAGAAGCCAAAGCAGAGGGTGATCAATTGGTCCACGATTTGGTCTTTCCAAGAAATAGACACACACACCTCGAACCCCTCGAGTCAAGAACCTGGACAAACTCCTACCAAATCCAGCAAACGCAGCAGTGATGAACGTGGGCGGTGCACGGTTCATGTCAGACTGTCGTGGATGTGAAGTGACGAGAAACACTGAGGGGTGCATTGTCGCACACATACGAAAAGGACCAGCATCGGCACGCGCACACATCCCCAGGCTCGTTCATTGTGTGTGCATGCCTACAGCAGCACCTTGAACCCGGTAAATAATACAAACGTTGCGCGGCGCGGCGCCGGGCTGGCGAACATTCGAACGCACACCCAGCGCCGAGGTCTTGGGTAGGATGTCATTGGACGTTGTTGGGGTTCGAGCGCATGGCGGATGGGATGGGGGCACGGGGGGTTGCGCCCGTGTGAGACTGGAGTCGACTTTTTGGGAGCACATGCATGCATGTTGTGAGGCACGTATTCTACTCTGGCCCATAGAAGGTGATTTTATGATTATCCCGCGCGGAAGACGTTCGCTTGATACGAGGATTGGTTGCGAGGGAAATGTCATAGACTCGTAGCAACTGCAGCTGAGTGTATGTATGTGGGCAGAAGTGACGAGGGATTTTCTCAGGACGTTTGCTGCTGCAGTTATGCAAGAAGCTATTGAGCACGGATATTGACAGAGAAAGATGAACCATGCCGTGTCAAAAAGTACTGTTACTCATAGTTTGTGAAAGCAATAGCTTTTGTTCTTCTTTTCTTGGCCCAACGTCACATCCAGACCAGACCACCTCCTCAGGGTAGACCAATTGTCACTTCACCAAATGGACGAACTCATGATCTTTGGATGTTTCTTTCATGCTTTCATTCAGTGGCCATATATCTATTATACTGAGATCATGCAAAACTCTATCTTAATGATTGACCCGTCAGACGGATTCTCCTCATCCCTTTCATCCACAATTGACACAGACAATCTATTTCCTTCAGCATCAGCCGTCAATAGAACGTGAAATGATCTGGAATATGCAGTATATGCAAACGCTGAAAATGCTACACTGTGCATGCTCTCTTCGCTCTCGCAGCCTCTCGGGAAGAATCTCAGAATGTAGTTTGATAAAGAAGAGAAACAACAAACCAGATTGCGAATGCTTGGTAGGTTGTGAAAACGCCATGATGAAATGAAAACTGTGCCCCAAGATATGATCAAGGAATCGAAATCGGTATTACGCGCTCAAAACAAATCAACAGTCGTCGCCCACTCATTTGCTGTCCTTCTCCTTCTTGTGGATGCCAACTTTCAGTCGGCCGAATCCAATCGTTCTCTTGCTTCCACTTGCTTCGGGTACTTCCTTCTCTGCATCGTCTTCTGCTCTCCTCTCATCTTTAGTGGGGAGCCGTGGTTGCTCCGCAAACCTGATGCCAGGAGCCTTTGGTCTTTCCTCAGTGCTTGCACCTGCTGCCGCGCCGTGCTGGGTGCCACGTCCAGTTTTGAGCGGGTCACCGGCCTCCTCGCCTTCGGAATCTGAGCCAGACGCAGCGTCATCACCAATACCAAGCGCTCCGAGACGACGTTTGCGCTCGGCGGCAGTCTCCCCCTCGTCCATACGGGACTTGTGGGCATGCGAAGGAGATGTTCGGCCGCTTCCGGTTCGAGCGGGCGAAGACGAGCCCTCGGTGGCAGCAAGACGGCGGCGGCGTTCGGCAGGCGACTCGAAGTAATCACCTCTGGTGTCATCGGCATCGGCGTCTTCATTGTCACTGTCCTTATTGGGTGGGCGTCTGTCATGCTCTGCTAGACGCCGACGACGCTGAGCCGCGGTCTCGCCCTCGGTGCGATGCTCGAGTTTGTACTTCGCAAGATCTTCCCGCACAGAATGGAACGGGATATCCTCTTCATCGCTATCAACAAGCGTCAAACCTTCCGGTCCTCGCTTCCTTCCCTCCCGTGCGGCGTCTGGCGATTCGATACGCTGAATTTCAGCTTCCCCTTCTTCGCCGACGACAGGAGGAACGTTAGCGTTGGAGGCGGCTCCGCGCCTCGATGCATCTTTCGCGTCTTGCCTGGCCTGTTCCTTTACGCGCTCAGGCACGTCACTGTTCTCAACGAGCTTCGCACGAGCCTTGGGATCTAGCTTAGACATTTGATCAATAAACTCAGCTTTGCTCATTCGCCTTCCATTCGGACCTAGGGTAAATCGAATTTGGTCGTCATCTCCCTCATCGTCATGCGGCTTCTTCTGTGCGTTTGAGGGTCCATCTTCAACCTGATGAGCCGGCAATCCGACAAAAGCTCCCATGTTTCGAATGCTCTCCATGGCACGTGCTCCCGTACCCTTTCGCTCCATTCCAGGGCGGGCATGTTCTTTGGCTGGTGCTGGGATGTCGTATTTCTTGAGAACTTCACCATCCTCGTCTTCGACGATGATGGTATTTCCAAACTGGTATGCAAGGGCGGGACCACGTTTCTGGGCGGGTTTGTGAGCACGCGGAGGCGCCGTTGGGGTATCGCCATCGTGATGATGGCGTCCTGAAAAGCTCTCCATTCGTTTCCGCATGTTCCATCGACCGGGATGTTCGACGCCCTCTTTGATAGCTTCCACTGCTTTTCCTGGAGCCTCTTCAACCTTGCCACCATGCTCAGTCTGTGCAACACCGTGCTGGACGTCCTTCTCCTTCATGACGCGCCGCGCCTTTTCGGCATCGCGCCGTCTACGTTCCGCACCTGACTCATGTCGAGTATCTCTCACAGCCAGTACATTTCCTTCTTCATCCTCGATAACGGTCTTGTCGCCCTCTTGGTATATTTCCTCCTCGGACTCGTGACGTCTGCGCCTTTCTTTGGTAGCAGAACCCTCGGGTGAGTCGTCGCTAGGACCGCCAGCTAGAGTATCAGAGTCCTGGGCAGGGGAGACAAGATCGTCCTTTTCGTTGTAATTCCGTACCGGCTCGATCGCAGATGCAGAAATGGGGCCGCCTGGCCCTTTCCCAGTGTCCCATTTCCTGCGTCTAGCCGTTGGGCGAAGAGAGCTTGCGCGGCTATGACTATCATCTTCCTTTTGGCGCCGCAAGAAATTCTTAGGTAGACCACCGGGGCCCGATGAATCAACCTTCTCGTCCATGGAAGATTCTGAAGGCCGACGGCTAAGAGACATGGAAGTCCTTGACCGGGATTGGATGCGAGGAATTCGGTCCATCCAATTCTGCCCGTCTTCATTGGCTGTCGTGTACGACATTGTGATGGTGAGAGTGTTGATATGTTTTCCGAGGGTGAAGACTGCGATGGAACTGCCGTGCACGAGGATACTGCAAATGACCAAGAAGCAGGTAATTGGCCAGATCATTTCAATGACATTTAGATGAGGGAATCCCTCCTCTGGCAATTCAGCTAGCGGCGTTGTTGATTCGGTTTCCAATTCGGCTCGTGCTAGGATGGCGACGAACAGTCCACCGACGCCGATAGGGCCAAAATGACCGGCAAAGAGAGCCTCGCGCCAGGTTTTGATGTCCGGAATGATGGGTTTCAACATCAGCATAATCGGAATGCGGCGGAAAAAGAGAACAAAGATTCCGAGCACGACCAGACGCCATGGAGTGAGTCCAATGACCTCTGGGGCGTTGAACTGCTCCCAGGGAATGATTGTGCCAAAGTAGACGAAGAACGCCAAATTGATGAGCAAATCGATAACGTTGGATACGTGAGCTTCCTCGGTCTTCTCCAAAAACCAGCCGTCGTTTGAGAACCCTACACCAGCAGCGAAGCCAACGAGCAAGTCGTCCAAGCCTAAGAGACTTCCGGAACCGGCGCAAAACAGAGCCAAGACAAAGTAAAACACAAGGAAACTTTCTCGATCAATGAGATCCTTTTCATGGGCGTAACGAATGGCGCGACGAGCAAAGTAGCCAACGAGGACTCCAAACACGGCACCGAAAACACATTCGTACAGAATACTGATGGCGAACCAATGATAAGCCACCTCGTTTGCGTGAGGACGATAGCGGATCAGATATACGGCAAGATAAACGAAGGGAAAAGCCATTCCATCGTTACATCCTGATTCGGCGGAAAGCAAATCTCTCAAATGCTTCGGCACACGTTTGGCGAATTTGCCCTTTCCGACGACGGAGGAGGCCAGGACGGGGTCGGTTGCAGTAACGCAAGCTGCGATGCAGAGACTGTCCAGCCAATTTAGATGGGAGCCAAACATCCACCAAATGAACAGACTCGTAATGAGCCAGCCGAAAGTCATGACGGGGATGAGCAGCAGAGTAACGGATTTCCAATGTTTTTCCATGTACGCTCGAGGCAATTCAACTCCAACGGCAAAACATTGCACGACCAGGACAATGCGAGAGAATTCGAGAGTGATCAGATCCGTGTTACCCCAGGAAAGGGGATTAATCAAATCGGCTGCATGTGGTCCGAAAATGATACCGCAAATGGTGGCAACGGTAGCTTCACCGATGTACAGTCGCTCCTTGATGATGGAGGAGCACAACATGAACAAGCTGGTGAAGCCACCCAAAATTATGTACACCAAATGCGGCTTCGTTATGGACAAGTGATCCCAAGCCATCTTGGCGGTTTGTTGCTTCGCCTAAGCTTGCGCGCGCAGAGGGTGTGTGTCAATGAACGGAGGAGGTGGATTATATGGTGCGATCAGCAGCGCCAGGACCTTGACAAGCGTTAGAGAGAAGAGTCGGAGGAAAGACGCAATGCATGTGCGGAGGAATTGCGTTCAATCGCTGTCTTTTAGTTGTGAGGGCGCCTCTGGCAATGTTATGGCGGAAGTCGCGGCGGTGCAGGGATCCGCGGAAGGTACGATTCAGGCGTCGCGATCGCAGTTGCAGTCGCGGAGGATATCTCTGCTTGCGCGAGTCCTGGGAAGATGGGGCGTAGCGAGGATACGACGAAAGTTTCCGCGGAGGATCGAGGACTGAGGTAGAGTCTCGCGACCTGGCAAAGAGAAGGTCAGCAAGCGCAGCAAGAGCAGCGGAGGGTCAAGTATTCACGCTGTCGGGGTGCAGGGAGCGGAGCAAAGACAGGAAAAACAAGCCGCGACCAAGGCGCGCAAGAAAAATTGACCACAGGCTTACGAAGCCTAATAGCAGCGAAGATTCTGGGCATTCAAGAAGCTTGTGGAGAGCCGAGAGAAAGGATGTCCAGGATCGATCGCAGATTGTTGGCGGGTGGATGGGTGGGACTCACTCGGAAGTTAGGAACCTCGTAGTAGCAGTATCAGGGAACTATGGCGAAGGGACTCGGAACCACCGTGCCTCGCAGGAATGGGTGGAGATGAGGGATTGCGGATCAATTGGGAGCCAGGCGCGACGAGGCTGTAGAGAGCGACGAAATCCAGCTTCTTCTCGAGGGTTGCAGCGAAGCAAGAGGAGAGGAAGAGGCGAAGGCGAGGGTGAAGACAAGAAACATGAGGTAAGAGATGGGAATATGTAGTTAAGTGGGCTAGTGGAAAGATTACCGTCTGGGCGACCTTGGTAAGACGCGATATACCAATCACCGTCCCTCTTTTCCGCTTCGTTCATCATCGAGCCCCCGCGATGTGCCTTTGCCAACCCTCTCGTCTCATTGCTATGCGAAGGCTTTTTCCTCTTCTTCCTCTTGGCCTTCGTCTCTTTTTCCTTGTTATGCATGGTTGCTCCCGTTTAACCCCGTTCCGCGAGCAAGTCATGTTGATGCTACGAGAATGAATACGAGGTCGAAAACTATGTACAAGACAAGCTGTGATGTAATAATGCATCAGTTCCTCAGCAACGAAGTACTCCCGTACACATCGTATCCCGCCCCCAACAAAAGATCGGAAACAGTACAACATTCCATCTATACATAGTACTCTCACAGACTCACCGACTGACTGCCCAACGGCATGCGCCCCAATCAGCCCAAAGTCCGTAACTCCAAGTATGACCCTTACACTAAGTATTCAGCATACAGCAACAAGGAGGAAAACAAATGAATCGGCAAGAGCATAGATCCATGACGATGATAGGACTTCCCTTGTTCTCCTGTTCTCCTTCTCCTCGGTTCTGTCCATCCGCGCGCTAGCAGGATATATAACGGAACTTTATGATTACCATTTCTACAGTATCTCTGTACCATCATCAAATAATGATACACACTATGTACAATCAATTTCTTCCCAACACTTTAATCCTTGTTGTAACTGATCTGTCTCCCACTAGAAGAGAGCCACGGACCATCAAATCAGCACCTCATAGACGGAGTACTTCTTATCGCACTACAGTGTACCTTAGATAGTAATCTATCAACGACTCACAACGATGGAATCCATCCAATCTCCAAGCACATAAAAAATGCACCCAGCCATCCGGCATCGGCTACACTCTCCATTGGATGAATCAATCTCCAGTAGAGTTTGCACGTGACCGACCGACTGGCTGGGCTGGCTGGCTGGCTGATTGTCCCGGCTAGCGCGCATGTATCGGTTCCAATGACTCCCGTTGATTGGTTGGGCACCATATCTCCGGTGGTGTATGTTACTGTGCTCGGAGAGATATGCAATCGACTTACTCGTTTCCCCAACCCCCATTGAAACACAACAACAAGTGTTGTAGGACAACGAGAAAGGTATGTGGTCAGTAGACGGGTGGCGCGTGGGGGGAATTAGTTTCTGTTCTCCGGAGCAAGCGGGGGTGTGGGGTGGAAGGGACGCGGTCTACGGAACGTTTGTCGACCACGTGCGTGACTATCGTGCATGTTGCATGCATGTAAACATTCTCGTTGCAAGGGATTGGTCATTTCTTGCTTTTTCGATGCAATTGAAAGTTAACTCCTGACATACGTGGAGAAATAGACAATAGACACGAGAGGAGAGGAGAGAAGAGGAGAGGAACTCGGTCGGGGCCTTGTCCAATCGTGACAGCGTCAAGGACCAGTACAGGAAAGCATGTCTCTTTCGGTTTTTTTGTTTATCTAACATGTTGTTTAAAGACAAAATGATCATGCATAAAGGCATGCATATATGAGCATACACACGCAAGATATTTTCTAGGAGCTTATAGTCCATGTAAGACTATTGGAAGAAATGATCAAATGCTAAACAGATAGCTATGTACTCATTCAATAAACTAGAATTGGACTTGCAATTAATTAACGTGCGTGACTGTTGTGCATTTAATTAGCATGCATGTATACATGTAAAAACTCCTGTTACAAGATATTAATTATTTCTTGCTTTTTTGACATAATTAAAAGGTAGTTCTTAATGAAAAACGTGAAATAACACTATCGATTCAGATACCCCGCCCAATTCAAACACAATAATTGTTGGAATGCAATAGCAGATTTGTAAATTATTAAATTTATCATCGAGTAATTACTATTAATACAGTAGAAAGACTATGCTAGAGTCGAACAACTCCTATCCCAATGCAAATGCTATACTTTTCGCCCGCCTGCCATCTTACGAAACGCCCAAGTTGAAAACAACATACCAACCCCCCATATATGATTACAATGCAATGAAACAAAACAACTTGCATGAGCGCGCCATGCACCTCTCACTCGTTCCCTTCACCCACCCACTCACCCCCTTACATCGCCATCCTACGCCTTATTACTCCCATTCAACCTCGCCCTGAGCACCTTTCCGAAGAAGTAAAACGCATACGGGATGAACACCATGCCCACGCCGATGAACGCCAACAGCCACGACGCCCACTGCAGCCCGAGTCGGTGATACATCTGCGTGATGAACAGCGGGAAGGCGGCGCCGCCGCCGGACCTGAGGAACACTTTCGCGGCCAGCGCGGACGCGGCGTACTTCTGGTACGAGTCGATGATGTAGTTGTTGACGGAGTAGTAGCAGAGGACCATGCCGAAGCCGAAGGCGATGCCCGAGGAGGCGGGGCCCACCCAGATGATGTGCGGGTAGGAGGTCGCGCCGAGGATGAAGAGGGAGATGGGGATGAAGGGGGAGCCGATGAGGGCGCCGATGAGGCGGTCTTCCGGGGTCGGTGCGCGGCGTGCGCAGATGCGGACGAAGTGGTGCTCGATGAAGGGGGTGGCGACGAGGGCGAAGCCCGCGCCGATGAGGATTGGGATGAACATGAGGCCGATCTGGCCGTCGTTGTAGTGGTAGAGCTCGGTGAAGATGACGGGGTAGGCGAAGAAGAAGGCGTACAGCATGGCGTAGATGAGCACAATGTACATGCACATGAGGTCGAGGACGGGCTCGGTGAGGATCATGGTGATGGGGCGGATGAGGCTGGTGCGGACGATGTCGCCGAAGGTCAACTTGACTTTCTCCTGCTCAGTCTTGATGTTGGGGTTTCCCGTCTCCTTGCGGAGTTTGGCTGCGCGGCGCTTGAGAATGACGGGGCTGTAGGTCTCGGGAATGGCGCCGACAAGGACGAGCATGGCTCCGGCAAAGGCAAGGTTGACCCAGAAGAAGAGGTCCAGACGGTGAGTGCCCACGTTGATCCAGCCACAGACGATGGGGCCCAGGACCGGTCCGCAGTATGGTGCGGCAGCGAAGTAGGCAATAGCCATTCCGCGGTCCTTGATGTTCCAGATATCAGCAATGGTTCCACCAGCGAGGGACAGACCAGAACTGGAGAAGACACCACAGAGGAACCTGCACACCAAGAGGCCGCCAATGTTGGGCGAGAGCGCACAGGGGATGTTGAAGATGGTGTAGAGAAGCATTGAGATGATGTATACGGGTTGTCGACCGATGATCTCTGATAAGGGCGACCATAGTAGGGGACCGACTGCGAAACCCAGGACCATGATGGAGCAAGTCAGAATAGCGACCTCGAGGGAGACATGGTATTTCTCCTGAATCAGACCGAGACCACCAGTGACGTTGGAAGAGCCGAAGGCTATACAGACGACGAGCATGGAGGCCACGATGGTGAGGTACCACCGGTATACCCTCGACCAGTTTTGGGGGTTTTCGGGGTCATTGATGGTGAATGTCACAAACTCGGACGGCAGCTCCGACTTTTCCAAATCGGATTCTCGCCTCGAGCTGTGTCTACTGGCCACTGATTCCCGCGATCGGATCTGTTCCAAGGTGCGTTCGGGCACCAGACCTGTCGCGGTCTCGAGAGTGTACTCTTCAGGGAAGACGGGATCGGTCTCGCGGCCAACCTCGGGGTAATTGTAGTCCAAGGGGGGAGGTATAGGCGACAAACCCAGGTTGGTCAGTGTTTGCTTCGTTTCGGTGCGGGAGAGTTCCTCGCCGATATGTCTTTCCGGCGTACTATCAGCCATGGTTGATATATTTGTTATGAGGATGATGGTAGAATATGTGTTGAAGAGTGATGGATTGTAGTTGCAATTGCAGTTGCAATGACTAGATTGGACAATGAGGAGAAGATGTGGCGAATGAGTATGAGATATCAAAATAGTGAAGTACCTCTGGACCTTATATACAAATATATTCAGGAACCATTTCTCTCTGCAAGACGAACTACATTGTCCTGCCCTATCCTTCCAGACCTTCTAGCGTGGCCAGGGGGGACGTTCTAGCGCAATCCTGCAGCCATCCACGTCATATCGCTCCATGCTGTTCTGTTAATTGTAGACTTGATCGAATTCGGATATCTAGGTACGTACCTCGTGGGGACTGTGATGAATGTTACAGATAGGAAAAAGAACTCAAAGGTTGTCGTCTGGTTGGCTGGTGGTATTCCCGCCACGACCCGGGACTAAGAGTCAGGAACGATAGCCCCGAGTTTCCAGCGGCGGAGGACATGGCTCGGTTGTCATGATGACTGTGCTGGTAGGGCTGGGAGTTCTGACCAACGATACACAGTCACACAGTCTACGGTACTCGGACACTTCACGGCTTTGGAGAAATAATTATTCCTGCGAATTAGGCCCGTGCGGTATACGGAAAAGCACCTCAACAACTATTTGAATTTTGACAAATGACGCGAGAACGAACGATGTAAGAATAGGTTGGCGCACGAGAGACAGAGTAGCAATAGGTGATTGAAGAACATAGTATGAGCAGAGGCTCGAATGTCTCAGTAACAGTCAATGAACCTCTTGGTAGTATTCGCCCACCACCTGCTCCAGCCCTACGGTACGCGACACTTTTGATGGTACGACCACGTTGGCAGGTGGGGGTAAGGCACATAGCTTGCCAATAATGCGCTTTCTTCGCAAAAGGCTAGAAGATGATTCTCTTCTATGTCGCGAGCTTTAGCGTGTAGGCAAACGATTGTATGGATCCGACGAAGTTATCTTTACCAGAGACGGTCGAATTTCCTTCAGTGCGAACCGATCCTCAACCGCAATGGCTTTTGCCCCAGCAAAGAAGCCCGAAAGCCTTCTGGGTCACTGCCGCCTCCTATGGCCAACTGTGGGCGTCCGAGTATCCCCGCTTTGTTTGGGTACAATGAATTTTGGCGACGCCTAGACGGGATTTATGGGCGAGTGTACAAGGGAGACTGCATTTGCTATCTTGAATCGTTTTCACGAGCAAGGAGGTAATTCCTTGAATACTACAAACAGCTACCAGGATGAAGAGTCTAAACGAATAGCTTGGAGAATGGCTCAGGAGCAAGGGGAATCCGAGATGAGACCGTGCTCGCTACCAAGTACACGAATGGATTCACCAAGGTCAATCCAAAGCAGCTTCTAGGGCAGCCACGCAAAGAGCCTAAAGCACTCGGTCGAGAGCAGTTTGCAAAAGTCACAAACTAATTACATTGATCTATTCTGGTGCATTGGTGGGATTGTACAATGAGCAGCCTTCACAACTTGATCGTCAATGGCAAGGTGCCGTATCTTGGCATCAATGACTCTCCTGCATAGGTGATTGTCAAGTGTAACGAGTGTATGTATATACTCTGTTAAATTACTATTTTTGTAACTAACAAGCACTCACAGACTCCCGGCACCACGGCCTGGCCCAGTTCAGTGTCTATCAAGGCCATTGGAACGCTGCACTGCGTGACTTCGAACGCGAGATTATACCGATGTGGGAATCTGAAGGTATGGGCCTTTGTCCGTGAAGGGCGTTGGGAGGTGGTATATTCAAGTCTGCCGGAGAATTCAACACAGAGAATCGCGACGGTCGTTGGGTAGGCCAGCAAGTGGAGCGCACCTACGTGTCGCCGAAAAGTTCGAAAAAGGCAGATCTCTGCAGTGGCTGGTATAGGAAAGTCGACCCCCTCAACACCTCTTTACTCACGACCAATTGGTTTACCACGCTGGTGCCACGCCAGCTTAGCTGTTGCCTCCATAAGGAAATTCTGCTTTCCACCATTTTCATGAGGATCGCCACCAACAAAGTTGGCAGGGAAGCCGACGTCAAACTCCTTGATGCCGTCCAGCTTCTGGATCTGCTCCTCCGACAGGTGCAAGCTGAGCGCCTTAATGTTATCGTCGAGATGCTCGACCTTCCTTCCCCCGATCATGGGGAAAACGTATCTCGCCTTCTGCATCACGTACGCCAGTGCCACCGCCTGGATGCTATCAGCGCCGATTTCGCCGGCCACCTCCTCCAACACGGCGCTGGCACGAGCTTCGTCCTCGGTCTGCTCCGGACCAGCGAAGGCACGCAAGCCCTCGTTGGCTTTCCTCCGCTCCTCGAGCTGCTTGCTCGTCTGGAACTTGCCACCGCCCAGGACGTCCCAGGGACACAGCGCCATGTTGAAGTGGCGTGCCATGGGGATGATGTCGCGCTCAAAGTCGCGCAGCAGCACGTTCCAGCGGCCCTGGTAGACCGAGAACGGCGTCTTGCCGTGGTCCAGGGCGTAGGTGTTCGCGGCGGCGACGATCCACGCGGGGGTGTCGGAGATGCCGAGATAGAGGACCTTGCCTTGCTCGACGAGGATGTGCAGGGAGTCCATTACTTCTTTGATCGAAGTGGTCCAGTCCCACCAGTGCACGTAGAGGAGGTCGATGTAGTCTGTTTGCAGCTTGGCAAGGGAGGCGCGCACGGAAAGGTGGAGCGACTTCTTGTGGTTGCCGCAGTAGTTGACGGTCTTGCCTTTGCCGAGCTCGTGGGAGCGGTATTGCGTTGTGTACTTCTAGATTGTCAGCATCCCATATCTTATGCTTGATGTAAGTGGGCGTTGACGGAAAGGTACCTTGGTTGCGATGAACATCAAATCACGGTTGCCTCTTTCTTTCATCCATTCGCCAATGTACTTCTCGGAATCTTCATCCTGATAGTTGTTGGCGGTGTCGATGAAGTTGCCGCCCCTCTCGTAGAAGGCGTCGAGAAGCTTGAAGGATTGCTCTTTGTCCATGGTACCCAAAAGGCCAGTCCATGAAGAGCCAATGGACATGCCGCCCAAGCAGAGAGGGGAGACACGCACACCGGCAGTCTCAGAAAGGACGCGGTAGCGGCCGAGCTCAGTTGGTGGCTCTGGGGCGGGCTGGAAGGTGGTGGACATTGTGATGGTGTGGACTGATTTTCTCAGTGTTTCAACTGTTCGGAATGCGGCGCAAATTGTAAGGTATTTTTATACAAACAATCGATGTTGATTTGAAGAAGACAGGATGTTGTATAACATCAATTGAAGTGGTCGTCGGCCATTCTTATATCGCCTCGAGGTGTCATCAAGCTGCATAAACTCCGAATGGCCTGAAGCCAGCGTGATGGGCTCACAAGGATCTGGAGAGCAGACAACAACAACCAACGAATTGAATTAGTGCCTCCGGGTCTCTTTGTCAAAATCCGAACCCCTCAAACGGTCGAATTTCGGTGGATCGACGACGAATAAGTTGCACATTGGTTACCGCCGTTATCTCCGTTAGGCTGTGGCAGTCAGTACCTTTCACTAACTGAAGACAGAAGCATCCATTAATCAACACTCGGAGGAAATTCTATCTATGTCCGAAGGCTGGTTATCTGAGGAACTTCTCAGCGTTACAGATGGATGCTTGAAATTAAGGCTATCCTTTCGATTTTATACGTGAGGAGAAAACAGCAACACATTCGGTTTTGTGGTTTAACAAACATCAGCGTCAGAAACGTTCCAGGCATCGCCCATTCTATTACCCTACATTCTTTCCAACATGTCCAAGATTCTCACCGTCTTTGGCGCGACTGGGGACCAAGAAGGTTCCGTCATTAAACTCGTCCTCGCCGACCCAAACTCTCTCCAAGGCCTTCAAGATCCGAGGGATGACGCGAGATACTAATAAGCCAGCTGCGACAACACTGAGCCAGCAAGGCGTTGAAGTAATTTCGGCAAGCTGCCAGACGCAGTATGTAGCAGCGGCTAGATTCAATCCCCCAACAGGCCGACCTTAACTCGAAGGAGTCCCTCAGGAGCGCTATGAAGGACTCTCACACCGTATTTCTTACCACCAACACAGGGAATCCTGCGACGGAGATAAACCCAGGGCAAGAACGTCACCGATATTGCAGAAGAAGTTGGAGTCTCCCAACTATCTCATCTATTCATCCCTCCTCCCTGTGAAAGGAAAATCACGAACGGCCGCTTGCAGCAGCACGTCTCGAAGTTTGTGACACAAAGGCGGAAATCGAGACGTACATACGCCAGAGAGCAGCGTGCCAGTAACCTTCTTCCTGCCTGCCTGGATGCTTCATGTCCGACTTCCACCAACAGCTACAGGAGGATCTAGAAGACTCGTATACGCTCACATATCCTATCAGCAAAGAATCGAAACTACCACTGATCGACGTTGTTGAAGATACAGGCGGGGAATGTTCCATACATATTATACGTGTTTGCAAACCTAGTCAGTCACTAACGTATATATGCAGATAAATTCGTCAAGGCTATCATAAAGAACCGCGACGCCCTCGTCGGAATGCAAGTCCTTGGGGCGAGAGGGCTGCTACAACATAGAACGAATCCTCCAAGACATCGAGAGTGCCACTGGAAAGCATGCAAAGTATTTACAGGTTGGTGCTGAGCAATTCCGGTCTCAATTTCCAGAAGTTGTAGCGCAACTGATGTTGGAGAATTTCTTGTTCATGGAGGATCAAGGTTACTTCAATGGTGCGAGCTTAGCTGGAAGCCTAGAGATTTGAGAGGATCAACCCGTGAGGTGGAAGGAATATGTTGCAAAGAGTGGTATATGAAGGCCCATTGCAGCTAGGAACAAACATGCACCTAATCATTAATGAAACGGGTAGAATTTCTTGAATCTTTTCTAAATTCAAATTAATGCATAACATCTATAAAGCACCCATATCAGATAAATTCCAGGATAGCTACCTACCTAGGTAGCTTAGAACTAGACCACATTCATCCAGTCCAACACACGTCCGTCCCACGCCAACACCTCAGAAACCTTACCATCACCAACTCCATCTCATCTCTCACAATGCAAAAGGAAACAACGGCATCTCCCAAGACCCATACATTGAACCGATCAAAAACCACCCAAAACATCCTGGACCGACATCTCTCTCGCCCTCTACCGCCATATAACTGAAGAAAAACAAACAAGCTCTTTAGCTATTATTTTCAACGATTTAGACGATACGATAGGTTGGAAAGATTTGTGAAACTTTGATTCAATTCAACTCGCTTCAGAGTGTATTACATGCATGCGGTAAAGCCCCTTCTCACAATCGACCGACCCGTCTTGGATCCGCATTTGAAAATAGTGGGAAAAAAAATATATACTGAAGCATCAACGTACTCACTACTACGCTCATTGTGGTTGATGTAATCTTCATGGGAATGTAGTTCTGTAATAATGATATATATGAAAAGGGTGGCGATCATATTTTATCAGCATTTTTTTGTAATAAGGGGGGTCGGTCTGTTTGCAAGATTGTGTATGTACCAAAAGTTCTTGCGCTTTCTAATCCTCTGACCATTTCATTCGTCTCGCCAAGACTCCCGCTGTATATACAAGTAGATGTTCAACTTCCCAATCCATACCTAGACATAAACATCGCGTTATCGCCATGGCGATCCGGTATTTACAAATGAAATGACAAAATAGAAAAAAAGAAAAACTCGTAGCGAGGTATACACGTCATGCCTGAGATGTTGTTGCCCAACCGTGTTCGCCCTATTTCGCCTCGATTAAAGGATCGAAACCAGAAAAAAGTCCCCACAAATGAGAGTCGGGATGATGCTTCCAGACACGTAAGAACGCCGCTCCAGGACCATCCTGGAGTCGAGAGCCGAATTTTTCTTAGCGCTGTTTCGCGCTCGCTCAAAGCTCAAGTCGCCTGGCCCGGAAAAATGAATGTCCAAAAATGATAAAAGATCAACAAAACAAAACGAACCCTGTCATCAATGCTATGTCCCAGTCCATAGATTACCATGCAAGAAATACGCGGTTAATGATATCCACACGTCGTAATGAGTCCACCTCCTACCCCAGTCAAATATATCATATCGTCGTTACGTTGTCGCATGGGCCTTAATGCCCAACTGGTAGCCACGTCCTTCGTTCATCCATGCTTCGGCTGTTCACGCGGCTACCTGGCGTGAGGGGGATTTCGATGCGTCGGGTGCCACTGCTCTCCCCTTCGCTGTCATGCTCGTCTTCGTATGCATCGGACAACCTTGAAAAGTAATCCGCCAATCCGCTCGTAGGGGAGGCGATGGTCTCGTATAGCGGAGGAGGAGTCTCAAGAGGTGGCGGTGGCTCGTCCTCCTCGAATGGAGGAGGGTTGAATGAGGGTGCTCTCATCAAGTGGATCGGCCGCTGTACGGTCGAGTCATTGGGACCGCCAATGTGTGCTTGCTGAGGGCGAGCCAGTCCGGCAGTATCGACTCTTGGGAGCGAAATATTGGGAGGCGAGGCATTGGAGCTTGCACGCGACCGTGACAGCGACTCCAGGGTTGGGACGAAGCTGGAGGGCGATGTACGACGGACGGGGGCGCCGGGGCAACCGCACTCGGGCGTGCGCGCCTGTTCGGTTGCTGTCTCGGGTGACGAATAGGCCGGGAGAGCTGTGTTGGCCTGAGTCGCCTGGCAAGACAGGATGTGGAAAGGTGAATCAATCGAGATCTCGAAATGCCTCCTCTTCGACGGGTCGTTCTGGTCAGGCCGGGAAAGTCGCATCACGATCTTGATCCAGTGGTGCACTTGAATGTTCTGATACGTAGTATCGAAATGCAGTCTTGCATGCTTGTCCTTATCTCTCATGTTGTGGCAACTTGGAAGTTGCACATTGAATTCCATTTCGGTAGGACCGACATTAACGTCGCCGTTGAGGTCACCGAGGAGATTGGAGGGATCCTGCACTTGTACGCTGTCGCCTCTGGAAGCAGCCGCCCTCTGGTCGTACGGAACGCCACCACCAGACACAATGCGCATTGTGCTCCCGGGAAACGTACTTGTGGGCGGGCTGTCGGCTCTCTTCTCGAAAAGTTGGACCTTGCGGACTGGCTCCATGCGGTGCACACGTTTGTTCGAGCAGAAGTATTCGACATTCTCCGTGACGAAGACCTTGATCCTGTGGCATTGGACCTTTGCCAAGGGCGTCAGTTTGAAGGCAATCGGCACCTGCGCTCCAAGAGGGAATGATTTGCCAGATATGACTATATCATAGTGCAGCTGGTCTTCCCAGCTCCGGCTGATTGCAATCGGTTCGACTTGCTCGAGGGATCCTTCTGATGGTGCGCGGATGAGAGTGACCTCTTTGGTACCGATGAGATTGGCACGGAAAGCCCCGGCGCGTTCAACAGTCGCTTCCAGCTCGTACTTCACTGATCCCAGTTCCACATCGATCGTTTCTGGGAGACGGCTATCCAGCGGCAACTCGAAATTGTAGGTGTAGTCACCTGGGTTGAAAGTTCGGTACCCCTTTTGTGCAACCGAAGGACCATTCGTCGAGGATTCGCCCTTTCCGAAACTCCTAGATTGATTCACTTGGAGGGAGAGCCTTTTGGCTTCTTTCGAAGTTAGACTCGTTGATGAAGCATTCGGCGAGCTTCCAAAGAGGCTCTTTTGAGGGGCCAGGGATCCGGCAGCGCCCTTCAGGAGGTCTACCTGATCGGCTCCTGTTCCGGCCTCAGCAGTGGGGAATTGAGCGTTGAAAAATGGCCAGGTATGGCTCATGATGGTGTCGGATTCTTCGAAATCGACCTTCTTCGGAGGAATACCTTGAGATAATGTTAGCACTATATGACGAAATCAGACGATTAAATCTATCCTACCTTCGGGCCATTTTGTCAATGCCTTTCCGCGAAATTTGAGGGTGAGTGCCTTGATCTTGGCTGGCTTCGTGACGTGCAATTGGAGGGATCCTCGAAGCATGGCAGTGCTACGCTCAGAGGAACTATCCGATTGCTCAAAACCCTGGAGGAATAGCACCGGCTCTGTCAGGGAGATGTTGACATTGATACCGTTGCCCGAAGCGAGCGGCTTTTCCTCTGGTACCGATCTAACCACACTGCTAATAACACTCTTTGCGGACTGTCTACCCGAAGAACGAGCACCATCGGCTAGAGTAGGTCTGGGACCGGTCGAGCCGACGCTCGAATTCCTATTGTGACTTTGCCTCATCTCGTCCGTCAATCCCGACTGCCTCCTACTGTCGGATGTGGTCGAAAGGGAAGCTCTGCGGCTGTTGAGAGAGGACCTGGGAGAGGTATCGTCCGCGACGGTGGCGGTGTTGGGTTGGGGGAAGTGGGTATCGATCAAGGACTTAAGGAAACGTTTGGCGTTATCTCGAGGGCCCGCCAGCTTTTCTAATATGTAGGCGCTGCTACTTGAGGATTGTTGTCGGCGGAGTAATGAGGGGTCTGGGGCTACGTGGGCTATGTGTATGCGGTGCGGTCGGCGATTTCGTCCACGGTAGAGACCTCGACGCCGGTTGGGATTGTATAAGTGCTCCGGGATATAAGAGAGTCGGCCACGATCTGTGTACACTTGCAAATATTCTGTCATGGCGGAAGTGTGAGCAAAGCAGGGTTCAATTGCTGAGGAATGGGCAGCGATTGAAGGAGGAGGAAGGCGGACGGCGTCCAAGCAGGGAAGGAATGTTTCCAGAGACCCAGACAGCCACGCGATATGGAGGAAGAGGAGATATAGAGGGAGGAGAGAAAGAAGAGGACGTGAGGACTGGATAAGATGGGAATTGAATTGGATCAGGGAGGAGAGGAGAGGACAGGACGGGAGGATAGTAATGAATAGGGAAGTGTCAAACAGGAAGTGGGTTTGTGCAACGCATCAAAGGTGCAACGGCGGTACAAAGGGTTTCCTGGCTACGGTTGCATGTCCAGGTACCATATCGGTACGATTTTGGGAAGGGACAGGAGGTGATTGGAGAGTGCTTCCTTGCACCTTGCGGGAGACAGCGAAGGGAAATGGGAAATGGGAAATGGGAAATGAGACAGGGACTCACACAGGTCAAGAATGGGTTGTTAAGACGGTGTCGCGGGCATGGTAATAATGAATCAGAAGAACAATGGCCACATGCCACAGTAGAAGAGAGAAGTGGATCGGAGAGAAAATGGGCGGAAGTGCTCGGGAGGGGCCCCTAGGCGGAAGACGAAGCGGTAGTCGTATTATTGATGGCGGGGGATAGGATAGGATGGGATGGGATGGGACGGTAGACTTTCTTGCTGCACAGTCAGAAAGGTAAGGACGACCGTGCGTGCTGAGTTATAAAATGATGAAGGTTAAGGGTAAGTGTAGTGATTAGGACAGGGCGGAAGGACGAGTGGCTACGAGTAGAGTACTAGTAGTTGTTTGGATGGGCGAGAGGACCAAGGTATGAGGTAGCTACGTAGCCGTAGCAGGATAAGTAGGAAGTAGGAAGTAGGAAGTAGGAAGTAGGGTTAGGTAGGGTTGATTAGGTAGGTTAGGGAAGATGGTGGGAGGGCTGGATGGAGGGATGGAGGATGGAGGGGGTGTGTGTGTTTGGTGTTTCTAGGTTTTGCGCTTGGAAGATATAGTAATAAGTAATACAATTACGGTGACCTACCTTGTCTTGTCACTCTTGTATGCTCGTAATGGTAATGGTTGTGTTGTGTTGGTTACAGTACAGTAGGTTAGGGGGGGATCCTAGGAAATCGAAACTCGGCGAGGCGTCGGATTGGAATCGGCCTGTGATCGGAAGGGATCTGGGGCAAGGACAGAGCAGGGATATGCTGCTATTCCTGACTAGTTCGAAGATTTCTGCAGGTATTCGTACGAGTTGAGGTGATGCGTATGAGAGAGCGGAGAATATTGTCAAGAGGAAGAAGAATTTGAGAAATGATGGTGGTTAGTGTCAAGTTAGAAAGAGAGAAAGAGAAAAGATGGACAGGGTCGGATGACGGATGACGCGGAGATCAAGAGTCGGGCCTGCGCCTTCCTTCCTTACCAGTCCATTACAGTAAGTACGTACTATACTATACTATACTATACTATACAAGTAATAGAGGCTACCTCTACCTCTAGTATACGAACGAGTAATCGATGTGTGGCTTATGCCCAAACAGTCATTAGATGCAAGATGAGAAAGAACGACCTGTGACTGGCGACTGGTGATAGGTTGGGGGATGCCAACGTCGTGTCGTGTGGGGAAGGAAGCCGCGGCCGCTGATCTCCTCACTCTCTTGAGTAGTCTACTGTGTAAAGGCGGTGGACCAGTCACTACAGCCTCTACCACAAGTAAAGTCACTACACAGTCACTACAGAGTAGTTAGTAACAGTAGCGGAACGGCGACTTCCAACCAGTACGGAGTAGATTATCTATCAATCATGCGACAGAATAGGTTCACCGTTGCTACGAGGTAATGGTTATCGCAATGAGACACAGCCCTTCCCGATAAGTAATAAATAATAGATTATATTAATGAACACCGAGGCAGGGCAGGGCAGGACAACACATTACTCCGTATAGGATTTGCAATTGCGTGCTGAATATTCCGTAGAATTGGAATCTACTTACTGTATTGTACCTAGAACAGCCACCACCTAGTGAGATCTGACCAAAAATTGATCTGTCAAGGGAAGGGGACTGTGCGCTGATTTGCTTTTGCTTTGCTTGTGCTTTGTTGCTTTGCTGTGCTTTGATGCCCAGGACTCACCATTGTTTACCTTGTAGCAGGTGCCAATTGATACTGCCAACAAAGTACCTAGGTACATAGTTGTCGCAGCCATGGTCGTGGTCGTGATCGTGAACGTGAACATGGACGTGGATATGGCCATCCCTCGTACGAGCAAGTCGTTCGTTACCTGCATCCTTTAGATTTAATTTACTAGACAAGATACGGAGAAGTGAAGAATTTTTTCATCTTCAGTTACGACTCACGAGTATTATCGGTATTATTGCATCGCACAATGCCCATTCAGATCAATCATCGACTGGTCCTGTCTGACAGCGGATGTGTCGGTTCTGAGTCGGTTCCTTCTAAGCTTTAACAGATTATGGATGGACGCAGGTGGCCCGTGTTGGCGCATCGTCCAACGCTCAGACGCCGGTTACATCATAATCCGCCTGCTCTCTACACAGTACTCGTAGTTACTGTCTACTGTCTACTGTCTAGATACTCCACTCACATCACACAAACACCATACACAATACACACAATTACACTCCCCTCTGCCTGCCCCGTGCCCCTAGTTGTCGCCAAAGCTACTGTGTACTCTGCAATTATTTTCATTCTCCGTCTCCAGAAAAAATATATCAAACTCCAAGTCTTCACGGGCATCTACCTTACGGCCATCCTGGGAAACCCCAATAGTTACATCCAATGTTTAAACATGCGTTTTCATGTAGCTCCAATCAACCGGCACCGGCTCATTCGGTCTGGACTCTCCTTGCATCCCCCTCACCTTCTCCTCTCTCTCCACAACTTCATTCAACTTCCAATTCTTGCCTATGCAGCGTGGGAAACACCGGATAACACATGATCACACACATGCACACGCACACGCACACGCACACCCTCCTGGGCCTCCTCGCAAGTCCCCGAGTCCAGTAATGATATTTGGCATCTTATCAAGAATGATTTGCGGCAGTGCACCAGTGAGCACCACATTGCTACGAGGTATTGTATCCTTCTGACCCTGGAGCTGCAGGGCCACCGCTAGGACTCAGTAATTAATGGCTTCTGACTACAGCGGCCCGCTGACATCCTATCCTGACCTGAACCAACCTGGCATGTCTACGAGGTACGACTACGAAAGCCTACTGAGCCACCCTCGGCGCCCGTCGCGAAGAGGGGTCGACAATAACAAGTAACCAAACGGAAACTTCTTGGAGATCAGGAAGCCATTCCAAGCCGCAATACGTCAACAGTCTACTGCGGTCTAGACAGCCAAGGTCTTTGTTGTTGTCTCTGCCCTCTTGGGGTGGGGGAGACGGTGAGATTGTACTGGTGGTAAGATTGCGTGCATGTGCCACCAACCCAAGGTCCTCCAAAGTCCAAGTCCCAAGTCCAAGTCCTTCAAGGAATTGGGGCCACCCCGTTACAGCAATCCCCTTTCCCCTTGTCTCGTAAAACTCATCTACCTACTACCTATTCTCTGTATCATGCATGTATGGATGATGAGACTATTACTTTCCTGTTTTTTTCCTCTTTCTACCGTCTCCGTCCTTCTTAGGTTTGCCTGGTTTTGCCTGGTCCTGCATCCTCCTCGCAGCATCCATCCCGCCAGAGCCGGCCCAACCTTGCACGCTTGTTGGCCAGCATCATGGACAGCAAATCATGGTTTATTCCCGACTACGCGAAGCCCCATTTGGGATGTCCAGGACATAAATCTGTGTCCAAATAGCGTAGCGATCGGTCGCCGGGGTACTGTATTCGGTCATTTTTGCAATCCCCATGGTGATGTCGCTGGCCTTTTTTTTTTTTTTTGCATCACCCCGATGCTCTCGATGATGATGACGATCACCGCGAAAGTGGGCTCGATGTGCATGGTGATTCGACTTGGTGCTCGGCCAAATTTCCCCTCCATTCAAGAGTGCCCGCTCATCGCACACACGTACACAGTGTTGAAAGAAGCTTTTCCGGCCTGCACATCCCAGAAGCGTGTGCGCGGTCGTGCATGGCACAAGGCTCATGTAGGCTTCGCAAGTGCGTCATGAGTCCGGAGATGCAAAAACTCGATTTTGGCATGGAGGCATCTTGATTGAATGTGAGGCGAACAATGTGCGACAACTAGCATTTTTTGCTTCTCTGTGTGGGTATTGTCACTACTGGGTCTAAGTGGGCGGCTCCAGGGCTACAAGCATGCAATAATGTAAACAATCTGGTGTCTTAACAAAGGCGTTATTATGCCCATCATCTGTCAGTTGGTCGAAAATAGAACGCCGTCCTGTCCAGTCGCATCCAGGCTGATGGATCTTTGTCTTGGGGTACAACGCTGTGTCACGTGACCAATGCGGGGGACCGCGTTGCGGTCTGGCGCGCTTTCGCGCTTTTGCATTTCGAAACATCGCGATTGTGAACGAAGCCCAAATCAACGAATGCACCGTCCACAGTCGACATGGCCACGACAGATGGGGGACATGGTGAGATACCCCAGCCCTTTTGCTTCTGACTCCCTTCAACATATGCTAATTTATTATCGTCAGGGATGAGGGAGATGCCTCTCACAGGCGTTGTCCTCTGTTGCACCTCGATTCCCCCAGAACAGCGCGTCAGTACCCCTTCTTCGACTCCGTCTCCCTTTCCGCTCCACCGACTTCGTATCATGCTGATGCCATGCTAGACTCAACTCGCCGCCATTGGGGCGCAAATGGGCGCGACCATTAAACTCGATCTAACCTCCGACGTCACACATCTCATTGTTGGAAGTACCAACAGCGCAAAATACCGTTATGTCGCAAAGTCACGAGAGGATGTCAAGGTGCTGGCCCCGGAATGGCTAGAGGCGCTACGAACAATATGGATGGAGGGCGAGGACGTGGATGTGGAAGGCATGGAGAAACAGTACAAATTGCCAGCATTCTACGGCCTCAAGATATGCCTAACTGGCTTCGATGATCGTACTGCGCGCCCTGCCCCTTTCAAACACGAGCAATTTCAACTAATACGTTGCAGCGGATCAGCGGAAATACATTCAGGAAACTGTCGTGCACAACGGAGCCGAATATCACGGCGACTTGACGAAGAGCGTGACCCATCTGATAGCGGCTACACCGACGGGCAAGAAGTACGAACACGCCATCAATTGGCAAATGAACATAGTGACATGGGAATGGTTCGAGCAGAGCTGTCAGCGAGGAATGGCCCTCGACGAGAGCTTTTTCCATCCCACCATGGCATCCGAGGATCGCGGAAAAGGCGCATGGGATCGGAGGCAGAGCCCCACCAATCAATTGGGAAAACGAGCAAGAGATCCTGACGAGCCGAGACCTGTGAATCCTCTCAGGCGAAAATTAAGACGTTCGGCTAGCTCGCGGATGGGTACCCAGAGCGAGGCTCTGTGGGCCGGTATCACAGCTGTGGGGTTAGAGCAGCAGAAGGCTGACGGGGATGACTGGACGGATCCCGTTGACGTAGCAAGTGGGAACAGTCTGGCCATCAATGCTCCAGCTCAGCTGGACAAGATTATGCTTCCAGACCCTGCGCTTACAACCGGGCCTCCGCAGCAACTCTCACGTGTCAATGATGGCATCTTTCAACATCGTAGTGTCCTCATACACGCGTTCGACTCCCACAAGGTAATGTTCGCAATGAAACCAGCACCGACATCGGGAATTGACTGACGACGGCTTAGACGAATATCTTGCGAGACCATCTTTCTGGCAACGGCGCAGTTGTTCTCCAGGGACCGGAAATCATTCCTACCCTTCCGAACGATGTCCGAAGAAAGGCTTTTCTTGTGGTCCCTCACGACGTTGCGAGCGACCTTGCATCGCTACCGGGAGGCGCCGGAGACTTGTCGTTAGTCACCAACTGGTGGGTCGAACAGTGTTTGCACAAAAAGAGCCTAGTGGACCCCTACGAGAGTATTCTCTGCCAACCATTCAACAAGTTAAGCATTAGCGGTCCGTCCGTTTCCCAACGTCTTGCTATTTTTGTATACTAAATCAGTGTAGGCTTCGATGGTCTCATCATCAACTCCACGGGGTTCAGTGGCATTGAGCTACTGCAAGTGACGAAGGTTGTTGCGTTGATGGGTACGCTTCTTGCACTAAGCTTTCAGTCATTCGATCTGACGACTAACAATTCGCTAGGCGCAAGTTATGATGAATATCTCACCACCAAAACCAGTACCATTGTTTGCAGCTCAACAACACCCAATGAAGCCAAACTCAAGTTCGCCAGGAGTAATCGCATACAGGTGGTGAGCGCAGAGTGGCTATGGGAATGTATCCGAACTGGACAACGACAGCCCTACGAACCCTATTCGCTTGTTCACATCGATGCAGGCGACCGTCAACGATCACGGCGCCGGCCTGACCCTTTCACAGAAGTGCCAACTGCTCCTCTCTCAGAGGAGGACAGCGCGAAGCTGCGAAGAAAAGCACACGCTTCGAAACCGTCAGGCAAATCTCAACCGCAAGGTAGTCGAAGCAGCGCCCGATCATTAGAGTTGAACTTGTCCGCCTCTGCAGACCCAACGCCAGCCTCAGCCACGGAAGCTGCCACTACAACGATCAGACAGGACGACGAGGAACCTTCAATTGAATTATATGATGGCCCAGCGTCACATCCACTCCAAGACATCCATCCCAGCGTAAACTCTCCTAGACGGCCCTCAACTTCATCGAATACCTCCAATGCCAGATCACCTTCATCCAAGGCGCGTTCAATCACAACACGAAATGATGGAAAGGCTGTAACAGATCCGACAGCGCCCCAGGATCCTACTTCCGATCGGGCATCCGCACCCCCAGCCGCCGCTAGCATTGAAGAAGCCAAGCCAGACTATTCGTCCATAATGTCAGAGCTCCTCGCCCATCGCAAACCAACATCCAACACAAACGCAACCACCAAGCGCCAGCCTCGCCGCCAACTCGGTCGCGCAACATCCACGCGCTCCAACCCTTCCACAGCAGACGAGCCCACCTCCAGGGCAAGTTCAGTCGTCGCAGAGGAAAGAGCCCGCAGCCTCCACGAACCACCAGAGCCGCGCGCTGCCCCCAAGAGACAAGCTACAGGCATCGCAGAGTACGAACCCAGCCAGGAACTAGGCTGGGACGCGCCTGGCGCGCAGGAGGCGCGAGAGAAGATGATCCTCGCCCTGGGCGGCACCGTTGACGAAGAATCCGCCGGCGTCGTCAGAAGCATCGGCGTCGTCAGGGACGTCGTTGCCGGCGAGGTTGTCGACGATAGACAGATTCGGGCTGGAAGGCGGAGAAGAGGATAGGCAATCTTGTCCTCTACCCCTTTTCGCCTTCCTCTCCCTCGACCAATTCTTGATCCCCAGTACATCACGTGCTATCATCACCCACAGTCTCCCTTGTACATCCCGTGCTATCATCACTCCCAACTTTTCCCCCTTTTTCTCTCACCAATCTTGTCACAGTCCCGCGGTACAGAAACTCTCCAACCCGTGGCATCTAGCTACATACAACTTCGTGTCCCCCCGTCTTTTACGAGCATTTTGCATAGCGCTTGGCGTTGGGAACGAGGTAAATCACACATACGTACATGTATCATACATCGAATACATCGAATCATGTAGATCAGCTTTTTTGGCAATAGAGAGTATTGCTATTGCCTGCGATTATGAGAATCAGATGGAGATAATATTACAAGTAAACTGGAAATGCATGGTGCCTTGAGATTCTGATGTGATATATGTGTCTAATATGTGTGTAAATCATAAGTGATTGAGCAATCCCCCCCGTGGTTTGAGATATTGGGGAGAGCGAGGGTACTGGAGTCGCCATCTACGAGCGTATTTATATCCAACAAAATCATAAACAGCCACCCACATACCTACATTCCCTAGACCTCCCCTTACCCAAACAACACAATGCCATCCAGAAACACATTCACAGCCCATACGTAACCTCCAACCTCCTCCTCAAATGCTCCTTCGCCGTGATCCTCTCCCCCTCCCCCGTAACCCCAACCTTCCTCCTCTGCACCTCCAGCTCCCCCTCCCCGCGATCCCCAAACCCCTCAATGACAGCACTCGGCACACGCACCAGCTCCACCTCGTCGAGCGGATGGCAGAAATACGCCATACTGTGTCGCTCCTCGCCCCCGGAGAAAGTAACACGATGCACCGTGCTCTTCAGCATGCCGCCCGTCCAAAAGCTGAGGAGGTCGCCTATGTTGACGAGGATCGGGGGAGTGGAGAGGGTAGTCGGGGACGGGTTCACGGGGACGGGTTTCCAGGTCCCGGACGAGGTGGTGAGGAGTTCGAGGCCTGGTTGACCTGGGAGGCGGAAGAGGAGGGTCAGGGAGCCGTAGTCTGAGTGGGCGCCTGCGCGGATGCAAGGGCCTGAGGAGGGCGAGGGGGTGGTGGTTTGAGGGTAGTAGAGGAGGCGGAAGATGGTGCCGGAGGGGCCGAGGGACTGGTCGTGCCGGACGGCGAACCAGGATGGGTCTGGGGTTTCGAGCGCGGTGCCGAGGAGGTTGAGGATGGTGGTGCAGAGGGCGTGGCAGGCGGTTTGGAAGCGGAGGATGAGGGCGGTGGAGGAGGATAATGGGGGTGGGAGTGGTTGGAGTTGGAGGAGCGGGGACGGTGGGCCGATGTTGAATGCTCTGGATGAGTTGGGGGGGTTTCGTTAATGGTGGGTTCTTTTTCTGGGGATGATTTGAGAGGACGAATTGGTGGGTGTTTTTACTCTTTGGGATCTCCTTGCTTTTGTCCTTCGGGGTCGAGGGATTCGCCGGCCATCGTCACCCATCCGCGATTGATGCCTCCTGCTTTGTCGGAGTGGATGGCGAAGTCGGATTTCTGCTCCTTGGGTTGCTTGAAGAATTCTTGAGACTTTGGTGGTTTATCAAGTTAGCATGGAGTAGTGTCTTGGATTGGGAGGTACTTTTTGAGAGCATACAAGCTTGAACATTTCTTCGATGTCACTTGGAGGTATGGTTATGCCATCATTCTTGATGAAGAGAAATCCATAAGTGGATGCTGCGTCCAACACCTGCTTTGCTACCTCCACAGACGGGGTTGAAATATCGATGACGGGTATTCCTGCATCCGGATTGTCCGAGTGTGACATCTTGATCTGAATATGAACAGAGAAAGATGACGATCGGGTGATAGATAACGATGACAAGTAGATGTAAGCAAATCTGAGCGACTGCTGTGGGTTTCCAAGTGAGCCCACCGTCAAGCTTAGTTCAGCTTTCCGGATTCTTGCAAGTGATGTCAATCTTATCAAAGTCAATCCAATAACTCATCAGATGTGTGCAAGTTGCATCCTCTATCACGATATCTATAGGTAAGGTATGGTATGTAGTGACCGTACCTGGCGCTAACCCCAGAATAGTCAAACCCGGCAGGGGTGGGGTGCCGCGCCAAGCCCAGCAGCTCGATGGTCAACTGTTTAATGTTGCAGCACCAAATTCACCAGCCAGCCCAGCTTCATCTCTCACACTCTCACACTCACCCCCGCAATCGTCTCGCACCTCACAACAAAAAACATTCTCCCTGACCTGCCCAACAGATATAGAGGAGATCCCAAGGAATACTACGACCGCAATTCAAATCAATCTCAACACACCAACCGTCGCACTCGACCCACGTCCCAGCCATGATTCGCGACTTCGACAGGTGGTCCAACGTTTTGGGCGAGGTCTCCGCATTGGATGACCTCGCAGACTCGCAAATCGCCATTGACGCCGCCGACTACATCCAAACCCGCATATTCAATCACCGTCGTGCCAAAGAACCTCTTGTCCCGGCTCTTGGGGGTGTCCCGCTCGGGCTGGACCTTCACGTCAAAGATGATCTTGAAAGCTTCGCGAGGCTTCAGATTCGACCTATCTTCGTCTTCAGCGGCATCGATCTAACACAACAAGTAGACCCTTTTCAGCAGCGAAGGGAGGGTGCTGCGACCAACACAAGTGCATGGAATCTATACGACAATGGGCAAGCACACGAGTCCGTGGGCAAGTTTGGAGAATCAAGTAATTCGTCCGCACCCTTCACACACTTTACAAAGTCTGACGCTGTTATAGATTATGTCATTCCCGAAGACCTCTATCGCGCTCTTCAATCAATTCTTGTCCGCAGCGATATTCCCTTCCTCGTGGCACCTTACGGCTCATGGGCACAAGTAACTTGCACCCTACCCAGACACCAAATTTTGCGCTGACAGGTAGTAGATTGCATACCTACTAAAACACAAGAAAGTACACATAGTCGCCGGCTCCTCCGAGATGGTCCTCTTTGATTGCGACAGGGTCATCACAGACTTTGATTTCGAGAACAACCAGTTCCACTGGGTCAGACGATCGAGGTGCATTGCAGAGATGAGGAAGTTTGTTAATGGTATGGATGTTTCGGAGGACACCTTCGTCGATGCCTGTCTCCTGGCTGGGTCTCAGTTGCTCCCAACCATTCCTACACTGGAGACGGCAAACCGAACTAAGATTCTGAAGCCACTCGGTGCTATCGAATTGATCACGAATGGCGGCCGTTCTGGAAACGCCGTGGTCAATGCTAATAAAGATGACCCGAAGCTCCGAGCCCTAACATATCCCGAAAACTTTCGCAAGGCTCGTATGGTAGTGAAGCACTCCCCAATCATCACCACCGACGGAAAGCTTGAAACGCTCAACGAGGAACAGCTTCCTGTTGATGCACACGAGTTTATCGGCCAGCGACTTCCTGATGAAATGTACCATTACCTCTCGCGAGGCCTGATCAACTCTCGCGTTCTTAGATGGCGTTCTTTCAACGAGATCCTCGAACCCCCACCCATGGATGGTGGAGATTCCGCCGAGTACCAGAAACTCGTTAGCTCCAAGCTGAATCCACTTCGGACAACAACTCTGAATTTGATCTCCTCGAGCCTGCACAATTGGTATACTCACAAGGATTTGAACCTAAAGTGCTGGTTTCCCGACCCGTCGGGATCTTCTCGCACTGCTGCGATCAACACTGGCGGCAAGGACGAGACAAGACGCGTTGCCGAGAGCTGGAACGTGAAGGAGGCAACGTTCAAGGACATCGTCTCTCAGTACAAGGTCGGTCCCCTCTTCCCTAATGGTGATTATCGCAAGCTAACATGTCATAGTCAAATGGATATCTCGGGTCGGCAGTTCTGGCGTTGCAAAACCCAGATTTTGTGTCCAAATCCAGTAGCACGAGGGATGTTAAGAGCGTATGTAGGTCCTGTATCAACTCTACTTCATCTACTAATTGTCTTACAGCCCCTTTCCACTGATGCCGAAATCACGTACAACACCATATGGCGCTTCCTCGCTGTACGGGATTATGTCGACGTCAACCACAATCTGACTGCATGGGGCAAGACCCTTCTTGCGGTCATGACTTCCCTGAAGGGAAATGCTGACCTTGAAGAGGCTGCTCTTGCAGCTGTTGAGCTTCTTCGATTGGGTGTCCTCAATGCCGACCCTGCAATGTTCCCCAATTACAATGGCGCGCCGATACGCGGTGAGCGTGCGTATATCTTTCCTATCTAGCCAACATTTGACTGACTCTTTGTGTAGCAAAGGACAGAGAATTCAACCTGTTGCTTTCCCGTGTTGCTGGTTTACTTCCTCTCCACCATAAGCCAATTGGTTTCACAGGCCCTCTCAGCCAACATCTACTCGGCTACAACTCGGTCATCAACGTTGTCCGTCAAACCCTGCGAGATCTTGTTGAAGCAAGTGCGACTCAAATGTTGATGGGCGGATATGCCAAACGTGATATCAAAAGCATCCCAGCGCTTGCTATCGAGTACGTAAATCTAACCATATATAATCAGCCACAATACTGACGGACTCCAGTTTACCATTCCTTCTCCCTGTGAACTGTGCGCTCAGCGTCGCCATGAAGTCTTATCTCGATGAGCTCCACAACCAGTCCGAGCCTACCTCAGCCAAGGCCAAGGAACAGGTCAGGGAAACTGTATCAACACGCTATTTCCCGCAATCGGAAGACTTCGATAACGATCTTAAGCTAGCATTCGATCTCTGGGATGCAGTTTTCCAAGGTGTCAAGACAAGCGGCAACCTTGTCAAGGAGTCCGAGAAGAAACAATGGTCAGAGGCGGACGAATGGTTGGCATCTATGCGATGAACCAGCGGTGCAGATTCAATACAAAACCCTCACCATCTCTCACACGAAGGCGATACGAACCCCAACCTTGGGCTTGAGAATTAGGTCTGCCAAGTTCTTACAGGCATGCTTTGCTCCATAGGAGAAGGCTGATTCTTTTACAAGACATGCTTGACATCTAAAGCTTAATTACAAGCGAAAGCATAGCAACATTGAAGCCATATGTCACGGATGAGAGAAAGTTAAGAAACGAATAAGAAAGCAAAAAATCTAGATCATCGTTGGGGCAGTTGAAGCAGTCATTAATAGATATCACATCGGATGTGTCTCTATGTGTGGCCCTAACAATACCTTATTGTTATGGAATACAAATGGCATTAGATCTTTGCTTGTTGGGGCTTTTGTGTGAATATCTTGTCAAAGTTGAATTCATTCATCCTGCCTCCAGGTTTCGTTCCCGCGAGCTTCCATTCCCCGTCGACCTTTTTGTACCAATGCACCATGAGTGTCAAACCCTGACCTGAAGCTTCGACTTCCTTCTTGTCCATCGTCTTGAACCGCTTGTACTCCGTTCGCACCTTTCCGCAAAGCATCAATGAGTCTGGCATAGATCTGGGACCACGACTTGAAATCGAAAGAGAGACATCGTACCTGATGGAATCCAGTCACACTATCCGGCCCCGTGCGATCGAATTTCGACCCACCGATATGATGAATACAATCGACTATCCCACCCAACCTGTCCTCGCTGCTCGACAGCTGCAGAAACGCCTCCTTGCTCATCGTAACCGGCTTCTGCCCGAATGCCTCCGAGTAGTCCAATGTGACTTCCGGGGCCAGGATTGCAGCGAGCCGGGTGAAGTCCTTACTGTCGTAGCTATCGGCCCATTCGAATGTTATCCTGCTGAGGCAGAGGAACTCTGCGGTTAGTAACGTCGTTAGTGTGATTTAGATCTCTGCTGAGAATGAGAATGATACCGAGGGGCTTGGGTACCCGGAAATGTAATGTCGTTGGCCATGCTTTGCGAAGTGAGTGATTCGTGATGATGATGATATGGGTCTGGGAACTTGCTCATGTTGTCTTTCCCATGACATTGAGGTTGAGACATGATACTTGCACATGAGCCTCGTACTCATCGTAGCGATGCCGAGGCACTGTGACTCCCCTCTTCTTATCACCATCTGGTTAAAATTTCATGGCGACAATGGCATCATTAACAAGACGAAATGCGCTCACGTCCCAGGTTATTCATTCATAGCTACTCATCAAGTCCATAATACATGTACATGCATCCCAGCAGTCAGCGCACTAGATCTTCCCAGGAACACCGACCTCACGAACTCCAGACTAAGAGCCAAACCAACATCACAAGTAACAACACATCTCCACCCATCTATTCGCAAATGCAGAGTAGCCATTCTGTCTTAGCCTCGGAATGCTAGCCATGCCTAAACTGCAAGCTTCGAAATGTGGGGAACTGACGGGCAGGAGTGGGGAATACCCCAGAAAAACCGGGGATGGTTGTTGGCGAGCAGGCGCTAATGCTCATGTTGACCATGTGGGCGCTCCACCCCTCATTCTCGATGATGACTTTGCTCTGGGGGTGTGTGTTGGATCAACTCGTCACAGTGTCGTTTTCTCCTCCATTAAGTGTGGCTTTGCTTTATCTAGAAGGAAGTATGACCAGTTATCCATGAGACAGGTAAGAAAGATGCAGGTATTTGAACAACTCTCTTCGGAGATTCGAAGTCGATGTAGTTCCAAGCATTTGAACATTGACATGGAGATCTTGAAATACCACGAGTAAGGCTAACTACGGCGACCAGCATACGATGAGAAGCACTCCACTATAGCCAAGGCGGATGAGAACCTAACGTATAGCACCCTTGACATCTTCTGCATCCCTTATCATACAACGCCGATTCCGACTTCACGAATACCATCTCAACACTCGACTATAGTAAAGACAAGAAGCAACTGCCCACGCAACCAACACGATGAATGAAAAGCTCCTCTCGCGGATCGCAGACCCATACAACGTCTACCTCGACGCAAAGAAGACGCCCGGATTCACGCACGTGAAAGACCTCCAGCAAGAAAGTGCCGACAAAGCAAGCGAGTTATTGATGCTGAATCATGCGAAGTACCACACACTCTTTAATGATGTCGGGCTACACAGTGAGTCGATAATGCATCGGGCCACTGGAAAGAGATCGAGTTTACTAATGAGGGTTATGACCAGATCACATTGTTCATCATATATGCACGATATACGCTCTGGGTGCAACGCCAGAGGAACTACAGGCGGCGTATGATTTGAACGAACCGTATCAGGTTTCAATGTCCCATCATGATGACGGTGAAGTATCTGTTGCAGTCGACATGACCGATCTGAAGGCCTTCAAAAGTCATTTAGGGGAGTCCAAACACTACAGCGACTATCTCCACTTCTTCCAGGCGCTCATCGCCAAAAAGGGAGTGGAAGCAGTATTGAAACAATACCTCTTCAACGATGAAGAGAGCGGTACCGACTTGTTAGGACGGATGTTTAGTGGTCTGTAACCCCTAAACCTTCCCAAACTCACAACACACATCGATTCGTCCGCACTGGCTCACCGCTGAAAAGGTTTCCTCCACCCCATCCTCCATCTCGGTTTCGCTCTCGAATTCCAGCAGCCTCTCCTCGTCGCCGAAGCCCTCTCATCAGCCTGCATCCACGACACCTGGCCTCTCGACATCCTTCTCCCCACCGAACGCTACCTCCAACAACATCGACACCAACCCTGCACCCCATCCTACATCCCCATCCTCACCCACCTCCGCAACAACCCCCAAATCCTCACCGCAACCACCGCATCCGATCCCCCAAACCGCGTGACGGACGCCCTGCTCCCACGCGCAGGCCACCTCCTCCCCAGCATCCTCTCCCACTGGCACGTCGATCCGACCCCGGACTCCCTGGCCACCCACCTCCACGCGACCCTGCACTCCACGATCCTGATATCCGGCGCCGCGCAGCACCCTCGCAAGAAGCCGTCGATCGAGTTCTTCATGATGCATTCCGCGAATCTGTCCGCGCTGTTCCCTACGTTTGTGGTGGGGTTGGAGTGGCTGGACGATGCGCACAAGGCGAGATTGTTGAATTGGAAGGGTTGGATGGACCTCGTGATCTATGCGGCGAACGGGTGTCCGGAGTTATTTGTGGAGAGGGTGAAGGGGTATGTGGGGAAGGGGGAGGGGAACGGTGGTGGGTGGGAGGAGGTGCTGAGGAGGGCGAGGAGATATCCTGATGACGGGCACTCGGCGAAGTTTGTTAGGGCGGTGCTGTGTGCAAAGGAGGTTGTTGGTAGTACGGAGGGTGTGGAGGTGGATGGGGGATTGGGTGAGGGTGATTTCTTGAAGATTGCGCGGATGGCAATGGATTCTGTGGAGAGGATGTTGGTACCTGGGTATCGGCTACCCGAGGGGCAGAGGAGGTTCTACGTGGAGAAATTGGGAGTCCATGAGGAGGTGGCGAAAATTGTGGTGAGGTTTGTCAGGTGGTGTGGCGTTGAAGGGGCTTGGGATGGGTTTGAAGACTTGGATGAGAAAGAAGAGGGTGGAGGGCAGGAGGGGAGGGCCAAGTTGTGAATAATTGGATGTTAGGTTGTTGTGAGCGTATATGTTGAGCTCCCACGCACATAACCTGACTTCTATCAGGCATGTTTCATTTGCCTATTACTACTTATTAAGCGGCCTCTAACCCAGTGTGTCATCTCCCTGAGTCCTTTATGGTCTGTATTGTCTGATAAAAATGTGGTACAGAACTTAGCGACTGTGTTTTGAAACGAACCTTGGTACATATATGTCCATACATTTGGCACTGTTGAACACAGTTGCAGTAAATCAACCCGGGCCACATGACTCGAAATTCCTTTTTGTCGGGCTCAACAAACTTTACAATGTTGATGTTTTGGTGAAATAGGGTAAGCGGGGCCGCTGAACAGCAATACTGCTCTTATAAAGCCTGGCTGACTACATCTTATTCACTTCTACAACTCTACCTGGATCAATTCCACAACTCATAACTCTACTTGGATCAACTTCACAACTTCAGCTACTGCTCGACGACCAACTCGCCCGCCTCGTCTTTCATCATGAAGATCTCTTCTTTCTACCAAGAATTCCAGGAGGCAAATCCAAACGCTGGGGCCTGTTTCCTACTCTCTGCGCTAGCTATGTCAGTGTATCAAGCCGTAAAGTACTATCCTCCGCTTCTTGCTGTGGTAGTACTTATTATTCTCCATGCAAGCAAAACTATGCGCATCAGGTCAAGCGAGTATATAATTACACTGTCGATGTTATCCTTTGGCCTTGGATTTCTTTTCGACATGCTAGTACCAGACACCCGGAGTTCCATGTTGTGCCACTGGGCCATGACACATCTCACATTGACGTGGGCTGAGCGGGACCTTCACGATGAGACACTGAGACGAGAAAATACAGATACGGCAAGGCGAATGCACTTTCAGTTACGCAAAGAAGCTTTATCACAAAGGATGCGGCACGGAAATTCAGGAGAATATATCCTACATTCTTCGAAGTCCGGCGAAGAAGAAGCTAGGGCGTCTGTTCAAGCCGATCTAAGGAAACGAGGCCACATAGAAACATCCTAACTGGATTAAAGCGAGAAGAGCGTGGACGGTATACTTTGAAGATGAATCATTCGTATGACCTACTATCCCATTGGGTTGCTCTTTCTTTGGTAGTTTAGGATGAGGTCACTCCTTCATACTTATTCCTGTTCTTCTTGCCTTCTATGATGTATCAATTGGTCTCTTAACAGGGAAAGTATGGATAGAGTAGATGTAAACTTGAAGAATTCAAGGCCCCTTGACCCCATTTCCGCTCCTTGTCGCACTTTGCAAAGTTTCCGACTCGCGACTACTACTATCTAACATGTCTTCTCGAGCTTATCTGACTGGACGACAAGATCCATGATCCTAGAGAGTGTTGCAGGTTTCCTTGTGACAATGCCAGTGCCTCAAGGTCCAGCCGGAGGTTGGGAGTGCGAGGTTGCACATTTTGGGTGACTGCAAGTCATTGAACATCATTAGATATGAAGCACGCCATTCGGATATGCAACCGAGTTTCGAAAGCTATTTATCAGATTGTATATCTCCAGTTCTACCTCTTCAGGGTCTTTTGCTTTTCTGCTTGAATGACCACCTCCCTCACCAACAAACCCTTCCTTCTCCTAACATTGTCCACATATCTCTTTGCCACATTCTCCTTATCCGCAAGCTCACCCAGATCCTCTAACTCATCTTCCGTCCAGGGAACCCAGAACGGATCCTCATCCAACATTTCAAATCCTGCGAAACGCAACTGCGGACTCGCACTACCACTGGACCGCTTCCTGATCTCATCTGAGAATCCGAAGGACTCTGCAACGGGCAGCAAGGCCGATATCGTGAACGTCTGCGAACCTGTCGTCGATGCAGAAGATGTAGACGACAACGTCTCGGACAGAATGGTACCGCGGCGTCGTGTTAGGACGGCGTAGACGCGCCCGAGGACGTCGGTGGAGGCCTGGATCTCGCAGCTGTACATCGCCAACAGGATGCGAGGAGACCAGTCGAGGAAGCCTGCGCGGATAGATTCGCGCGTCGTCTTGATGATTTCTCCAGTCAGGCGGCCCATTCGGTCCACGGCTGGATCCTCTTCGGCGGGGATGTTGACGGTGACTTCTTCAACGAAGACAGCGATGCCTTGGACGGGCTCGGCGCAGAGGGGCCCCTGGGCGCAGGCAAGTTGGAAAGCATAGGCGATGTTGTCGGTGAATGAACGAGGGGTGATGGCGTGTGAAGTAGTTCTCGACGATTCATCGTCAGCATCTTGGTCGTCCGACTCCCGAAGACTAAATAGAATTAGTTAGCTGGTTAGAACATGGGACGATGCGACAAGGGACCTACACTTTGCCAAAGATGCTGTCCTTTGTGGCATCTATGAGAATGTTGGGACCGATTCGTCGGGGACCAAATGCCGTGATCTTCTCAATGCAATCCGTCCAGACTTCCTTCTGGCCCTTTGCCTCGCCAAATGCAGCCTGGAGCTGCCTTTTGAAGTCTTCTAGGTTAAGAATATGGCCGGTTTCGAGTTGCTCGGCCTCTTCAATTCCGTCGTCGGCAGTTGTTTCTAGAGCGGGAGTCTCTTCTCCTGTACGCTGACGCTCCTCTTCAGCTTTGCGGTCCGAGTATAATCTTTTGATGGCGCCATGATTCTTTCCCAAGAACTCCGTGACACTTGGTGGGAGTGGCCGCACGCGGAGACGGACGGAGACTTGCTTGCTCGTCGTGACGCCAACGACGGTTCCTCGAGGTAGATTGGGATCCTTGGGAGGGTTCATCTCGGGCGCGGAGACAATGGACTCGCGGTACGGCACGATGGCTTCGCCGGCTTGGATCTCGCATTTCGCGAATCGCTCCCTGAGATCTTTCAAGCATCGTTCCAGGTGCAGTTCGCCTGCTGTTAGAATGACATGTTCACCGCTCTGGAGCTGTTCGTACTCGGCGCAAGGATCGCTCTGCACAAGCATCTTCAGTCCGTTGATCATCTTGTTCAGGTCGTAAGGGTTCTCGGGTTCCAGAGCAACGCGGACGATAGGCTGAGTACCCATCGTTATACCTGCGAGATTGACCGAACCGGGCAATTGCGAACACAGTGTTCCAGACTTGAGAATATGCCCACCGAGACCTCCGATACCGAAGACCACGCCAGCAGGGACCGAAGTCAAGGGCTCTAGTCCTCGACCCATCATCAAGTACAGTGCGGTGACCTTGACCTTCCGCGGCTCTGGTGCAGCATGCGGCTTTGCGGGGGTGAACTTGGGACCCAAAACGTAAACTTCATCGCCGACGTTCAGAGTGCCGGAGTAGATACGCGCGAAACCAATGAGGTGCTCAGGGTCCTCGTTCGTCTCGGCCTCCTCCTCGGGCGTATCCGTTGCGTTGATCGTTGTGGCTTGGAAATCGTGTGCCAGCCCCGCAACGTCGGCCGCCTGTTGAGATTCTGAGAGAGCCTGCTGTCTTGCTATTTCGGCACGCTTTTTGCGGCCTAGTTCCCGGGCTTCTTCTGCGCTGAGCGCCCCGTTTCTACGCTTGTTCTCTGGGAGTTCGCTCTCGGATATGGCGACCATTTTGCTGACGTATGCCACCACGGGAGCACCGTCCTTATTCTCGGGATGTGTTACTGCTTCTCGTATTTCGGGGGAAATGGCATCGGATCCGGGTGAGTTGTCGAGAATCTCGGGCAATCTCTCGGCCTGGGCTTTTGGTGGAGAAGGGAGATACTCGATTACAGATACAAGGAGCGCAGTGGATAGCGGGAGCCACGCGGCGAAAAGGCTAGTCAACACGGCGCGCGGGTCGCGAGAGCGGAGTATATGGTTAGGTAGAGTGATGGACAACGACTTGGTAATCTTCTCCACCATAGCAGGGTCTCTGTGTGGGAACGAATGAGTATGTTGATTAAAGTATGTACACAGTGACGACGAGAAGCAAATGCACAGGAGGAAAGGAAATCCACGCACCCCTTTCCGTTGTTACCTCCGGTGGTAGCCCCATAGACGGCCCATATATTGTCGAGTACAAGCTGGACAAACATGGGCTTAAGATTCCGACCCTTGAGATGCTTGGATCCAAGGACTCGTTTGGTTTTTGGATCGAGGTAGAACTCACCCCACAGGACTTTTTCGAGTACAGAGCGCTTGATGCCAAGTTTCCGCTCGTAAAGTCCGGCGAATTGCTTTACTGTGAAAGCCCAGCCGTCGATGGCGCTACTGAAAATGACGTTGTTTTTCTCAGGGGCGAAATATATGTCTTCGTCGTCTTTCTCCTCGTACTCAGCAGGTGTGTTAGTAGTATCAATACCATCGCCATTCTCTGATATAGCTGACGAAGTTGCGTTCGCCTTATCAGCGGCAGCAGCGTTGAGCTTTTCTTCCATCTTTTCTCGCCACCTGAGGTCGTCTTCCATGCGCTCGCCCTGGTAGAAGCTCCCCATGACGGCATTCACCTGTTCAAGCAGTTTACTTAGATGCGTATAGGCCTCGGCGGGGCTCATCTGCAATTCTGTGATTAGTCTGTCCATCTTATTAATAACGAGCAAAGGTTTGAGCTTTTCGATCCATGTCTGGCGCAACACGGTTACGGTCTGACTACACACGCCTTCGACTGCATCTACAAGCACAACAGCTCCATCACACAGCCGCGAGGCCGTGGAAACTTCATAGCTGAAGTCGATATGTCCCGGCGAGTCTATGAGATTTATCAAGAATTCCTTCTGCACGGGCTGGGCATCTGGCGCGGCGCGGCGCAAGAGGGAGAAGTATAGGGAAATTGCGGAGGACTCCATGGTGATGCCGCGCAACTGCTCGTCTGGGCGGGAATCGAGGTATCTTATTTTGCCCGCGAGCTTCGGAGATATGATGCCATTGGTAGCAATGAGGGCGTCGGTGAGCGAGGTTTTACCATGGTCGACATGTGCGAGGATACAGATCTAGAAAAGACATGCTCAATCAGCCTAGGCCCGGAGTCGCAGGGGATGGAACAGGGAGTCTTGGGGGAGAATGCAGTACGTTTCGGATGCTTTCAGCTGCTCGTTGCAGTGAAACTAATTTCTCTGGAGGAACGACAGGCATTGTGGCGTTGGTGAGGACGAAGACAGTCGAGGTGGGGTGGATGTTTTTTTGCGCTTGCGCGCGCCCGCAGAGTTGAAGAGGGGTCTCTTCTAGGTGGATACGGAGGAGAGTTCGTTTCTGCAACTGGAGATAGATGTCCCAGCAGTAAGACGGCGAGTAGGTATCTCAGAAACAGGCGGAAAGACAGAAATACAATGGAATTGTGAGGGTTTATAGAACGTAGTGGACGCTGTGATGGATACCTAGGTAATGATAGGTAGTGGACGATGACGCTTGCGGGAAAGAAATTCGAAACGGGCCAACCGCCTAACCCACCAGTAGGATGAAGTCATCGGGCACCATCAACGAATCAGATGATGAATAGATAATTATGAGCCATAATGAGTGGGTTGGATGACTACACCCTGCTATGGCCTCATAACCAATCATAACCATATCCTCGAGCGAAATTAATTACATAAATAACATAGCCACAGCATAATGATTCATGTTCTTTATATAATAACTATAACCCCAAATATACAAAGTTATAAAAATATTTTAACTTCGTTAAAGCTATTTACAGTATTTTCATAATACTAATTACTTTTCTTCTCTATTTGCACAAGTCCCCATAAGGTTGACTGAGTCGCAAGACATATCATGTACATCTCGCAGTTCCATGTAATGCTAAACTTCATTTTTGGTCCTCACTGTCAACCCTGAACCTGTTTGGTACTTGAAAACGATTCTGTTAAAGTTCCATTGAGAACAAGTCAGACAGTCATCCTCGAAACAAGGACCTTTCAACTCGATATCGTTGGCGTTACTCCCAGACACCGAACGGCCCTCGCCACCATATTGAAAGCTAAACAGCTTAGTCTTGCAATCGGGACTTCCCTCCTCCTGCTCCTCCTCCTTCTTCACTTCTCGGGGCGCTTGCGGGGTGAGCGATCTAGCAAACGAAGACGCCTCAGGTGAAGAAGGTCGCTCATACGAGTTCCATACATGTTGTGAGAATTGGAGTGCGGATGCCCCGTGCGATGGTTTCGGTGATGCACTTTTTGAATAGCTGTTCCACATCGTTCTGGGGAAGCGTAGGACTAGCCTCTCGTTCAGATGTGCTTCCTGCCGGTCGGGATGCTGGCTTTGGTGTACATTAAGGTCGGAGTTGTGTTCGCAATCCCTATAATCTTGGTATTCCTCATCGCTTTCGTAACTGAGGATCGTCGAAATTTCTTGGATAGCTTTGCTTTTGCATGTACGGGGCCTCGCTTGTCTAGACATGTTGACTTGAAGCATATTGTTCAACCTGAAGACGAATCTGGAGTTGTGATGTGTTTTGTGGTCTTGCGGTTTAATCTCTGGTATTTATGTAGTATGCCCATGACTGCCCTGTAGAGCTACAACTCTCTTAAATCACTATGTTCTCCCTATCACTGAATCAAGGCACTGTTCATTTTGCCATAATTAAGGTACAATGATGAAAGACAAACATAGATTACGGGATGAGCCATGGTGAACTCTCTCAAATAAAGATTCACTCATATGTCTTGGCCTCAGTCAACAACGCCACCATCGTAGTTAAAGAAAGTCAAGAACAGCTCTCCCTCGGTAAGACAAGGTAAGTGTTGCTTTTTGGTTAGTTGAATGAAGTTGAATAGATGCTATGATGGTCCAGGTGATATGATTGCAAGTGTTACTGCAAATGTAAAGTATGATCAAATCTTTAGGATGTTGATATTCGCCGCAATCATTCTAGGTAAAATCACAGTTTTCAAGCAAGGAAGGATCTTCATTCGGTCAGCTCATCTACAGGCATATTAATTGTTCCAGTACAGTGCGATTTTTACTGGTGTCAAAGATACGAGTTGCAATACCTCTGAATGGATAGTGTTTCTCTTTTTCCATTGCACGCGTTCTCTTCAATTCAAGATGATCAAGAACGTCCACGTAGTATGTGAGTGTAGGAGATGGTTTGTAAAGCCCTGATCACAGGGATGCATATGGAATTACAGTCGCCAATGGATAGACCAATTCGAAAGCATAGGAGTCACCGTGGCGCACATATAGAACCAGAACAGATGCGTTGTATTCAGGATGGAAAGTAGTACTCGCTTTGTTCTTCTGGCAATCGTAGACCTGAAAGTACGAGTATTGTCGTTGACCGGTGGTCTTCCATTTTCTTGTTCCTATTTTTGCACCAGAGGCAGGGTCTTTGCTAGCCTGAGCTCAGGGCAATGCGCTGAGGTTTCTGGACATCGGTCTATAAAGCCGAGTTAGCCGAACGACGTATCGCGAAACACCTAGTGAGGTCCGACGAAATCAGCATCGAAATACTATTGGGTCAATATCACAGCGCTCGAGAAATGCTCCCCACAAATTGGCCGCGTACGCCACGTATGCAAGCAGTAGCCAGGTCCTAGCTGGCTCCTTAACGTACATGTTTCACAAACCAAGAGCAAGCTGCGCCACTACGCGCAAGGAACGAGAGCATGGGCTGAGGTCCATGGCAAATAAAGGGCACGAATTTCCATATACAAATATATGCTTCCCTTCTCACCCTCACTATAAATCTCGATAGAATACCTTGACAAAACTATCCACAGCTTTTAAATTTTCCCCAAACACTACCATGTCTTACAATAATAACGGTTACGGCCAGCAAGGAGATTATCAACAGGGTGGCAATCATATGCAATCCAACTACAACTCTCAAAGCAGCTATCAAGGTGGTCAGCAGCAGCCTGGCTATAACCGAAATAACTCTGGCGAAGCAGGAGATTACTACGGCCAGGGACAACAGCAATACGGCGGAGGACCTGGACAATTCCAGAATCAACAGCAGTACGGCGGGGGCTCAGGACAAAACCAGAATCAATCACCGCCACCGTACGGCCAGCAATCTCAGTCTCAAGGATATGGAAACTCCGGATATGGAGATCAGGGCTACGGTGGACCCGACGGAGAGACTGGCGATCGTGGCTTCATGGGTGCAATGGCAGGAGGCGCGGCCGGAGCATTTGGCGGACACAAAATAGGCGGAACAGGCAGCACCATCGTCGGTGCACTCGCCGGTGCTTTTGTTGGACACAAAACACAAGATGGAATCTCGGACTGGAAAGACAAGCGAGACGAAAAGAAAGAAGAGGAAGAAAGGAGGAAGAAAGAAGAGGAGAGGAGAGAGGAGGAAGAGAAGAGAAGGCGAGAAGATGGACACCACCATTCTGGGCATCATGGACATGGATCCCACAACAGTCCACGCGGCGGCAACTATGCTGGCGGCTTCACTCAAACTTCGCGCGACATCTATCTTGACACTCACGGCGACTACCGCCTCCACGCCCAATGTAGGAGACAGGATGGTTCATATCAGTCAAGCACAATCAGCCTCAATCGTGTGCTCGAGAATGATCGCGGCTCCTTCCGGTGGTCTGGAGGTGGTGGCGGTTCCAGCTCGTCCATCGTGACTGTTCAATCTGGCGATACGCTTCGATCGATTGCAGCAAGAAACAATTGCACTTTTGAGGAGCTTGCCCGGAATAACGGAATTCAGAACCCAGACATGATCTACCCTGGTCAAAGTCTGCAAATCCCAGGTAGAGGAAGCGGTAGTTGCGGTAGTGACTTCGGCTCCTCGGCTCGGAATGTGCGCCTGGTTGATGGTGGACAAAGACTCGAAGCTGAGCTGTCTTGCGATGGACGCTGGTCAACAGCCTCTGTGAACCTAGACGAGAGAATACGAAATAGGGACGGCTGTTTAGAACTGGCTTAGACAATCAGATATATGGCGGTGGTATAATTCGGTACTTATAGATTTCTCTGTGCACTTGATGGATGTCCTCCCTGCTGTCAACCTTCAACTACGGACTTCATTGCTTGACGGAAGGATAGTGACACAAAAGGTTCTGAAGATTGAGCGCATTCAAGCTCCTGCTAGCGTCATGTGTTCATCGTCGTGATGCATAACACTATTTTTGCACCATGATCAATATTAGTACAGATACAGAATCATATTATGAACTACTCGGAATCAGTGGTATCTCTGAATTATCGCACTAATGGGTGTGTGCCTAACTGAAAGTACACTGCTCTTTGCAAGTCCGTCTTACTCTGCAGCCATACGACGCCTCCAAAATACCTGAAAGTGTTATACCTGGCTGCTTGTTGAAGTGATACATCCAATCTCAAAATGGCCTGCTAAAATTGGTTGCTGCCTTATGATTACTCTGGCAAGAATTACACAAGTTCGCCGTCCCTGCTCCTCCAAGGATGCCTGGATTCCACCCCTTGACTTTGCGTGGAATTCAAAAACACCGAGTCTTCACGACCAAACGTCTTGGCTTCCATCTCTCCTTCTTTGTAGAATTCTAGGTCCTCCCTTTGTTGTTTCATCCATTGACCATCTGGATCGGATGGTTCTCGTTCCTTCGTCAGAGAAGATGTGGCCACAGTGGGTCGATGTGGAAGGCTTAGATCCACGAAGATGAAATCACTCGCTGAGTGTGTGCTAGACCCGTTGCTGGTTTTCGTAACCGATGCGGACGTTGATAAAGTTCCTGATGAGAATGAATTGGCCATCAAATCTTCGGTCAACTCAACATCATCATCCACTGGGAAAGGACCTCCAAACTTGCCTGAACCTCCATTGGTCTTCCGCGTTTTTGATGATTCGGATGCCGAGCGATCCAGGAACTTTTCACATGCTTTCTCAGTCGCATAGCCCTCGGCGTCCGTATCGTACCTCACTCCTGTAGACGTGGCCAGCATGCGACGACGATGGGACCCCAGGAAAGGTTGCAAAGACTTGAACATGGACCAAGCAAAACGAGCGTAGAGCGGCTCAGGGTAATATTGAGGCACTATGAGAGTGTAGTTATGCCAGCGATGCCTGTAAGCTGATGACATAGACATGAGGTGAATAGTGAATTCCCATTTCTCGGCTGATGATGGTTTTGGGACGATGATAAACTTGGAAGCATCAAATGCACGGTGTAGGTCTGGGCGCAAAAGCATAGTATTGGCCACATTGTCCTGGGTAACTTCGGCCTTTTCGTTGTTGTTATACTCATGTAGAGCATTTCTGTGCCACCAGTCCTCCTCCGAGGTCGGTACGATATGTGCCACATCCGTTACGTCAGGCTCTCCCGAAATACGACAACGTGCGTCTCGAATACGTAAGGCATCGGCGATGTTATTGGAGGCCAAGGTAATCGTACTGGGATTCGATTGAGATGCAGCCTTTACCCAGTGTCGAGGGACTCGTTGATGAGGAAAGCGCCATTCTCGAAACGTCGGGACGATTCCATATGGCTTTCCGCTATCATCTTTAACATGGAAGTAATACTGAGACTCACAGAGCACTTCATCGACATCAATGGCACCGGTTGCGAAGTCGCCATTTCGTGAACCCGAAAGCCAACACTTAGTATCAGGATTGCCAGCAACGACCATACAGGCATCAAAGACAACCTGGCCGTAGATACCCCTCCGTCTTTGAGGGCCTTCAGCGACGTCATCGTCAGGAGGATTGAACTTGAATATCACGTTGAGGGGGTCTTCGTAGCCAGGGTGACGAATTATGACCGGGCCTCGATGGGTTTCTGTCTGTAGTAGAGTGACTGGCGGACGATCGCGAGTGATTTTCTGTCGCATGTTGTTTCGTCGTTGACAAGGAAGTTCCGATATTTCGTGGTTGTGGTAGGGGTTTAGGAGAGTGCCGTGGTTGGAGGTGGAAAAGATGGTTGGGGGAGGTTTATATAGAAGCTTTGCGTTGAAGGTTTTGTATGGAAGGTCTATATGTACTACTGGTTTACTCCCAGAGCACGCGCTGGTACTTGGTCCGTTCTACATCAATCACTTTACCTTCACTTTCACTTGCACTCTATTTCGGCGGGGTGCCAAGAGGGCATGCACGTGTGTGTACTGTTGCCTCGATATTGTTAAGGTGAAGTGAAAACAGGGCTCCTAGGATAGATAAATAGATTGTCACTAAGCCTTAGTTGAGGATAGTATAAAGGCTTTTGACTACGCAAAGGAAAGTGTGTAGTAGCAGGACGTTTCATTGTAAAGAGGGAGTTAAGAAGCTTTACAAGGCTCAGATAAAGACACCTTAACCTACTAGCAATACTGTCAATCAATCATGGTTTCAACAGAGGCTTTACTGGCAACAACCCATCATTATCGGGTTACGATAGAGTACGAGCGGTTAGTCAGTGAAAACTCCGTGTGAAGTGCTTCAAGTATGGGGAGAAATCTTGCAGTGGCAGGTCAATTGATGTAGTCGGCAGGGCTACGACACTCGGATTACGATGCCTTCCTTTGCTGACCTTACGATTCATCATGGTAACAGCGAAATTGTGTCAGCGTGAGGTTGTCGCAGGTAGATTTCATTTGGACGTGAGCGGCTATGTACTGGTATAAAAACAGCATGTATAGTTAGAAACAATGTAGATTGTAGCCCCCATGCTTGTGGGTAGCTGACGCCGTTCTACAAACACCCAGCAAGTCAGTTTATCAAGAGGCTTAGTTACGGTAGTATGGCGCATTAAACCCCCGAAGCCGGTGAAGAATGATATGGATACCTCATAACGGAAGACTTGCTCACAGATTCAGTACGCGTCATTGCATAGCCGCTGCAATTGTGTCACGGCCTCCTGGTGAATCTCAAATCCTTCAACCACAACAAACATTCACACCGGATGAGGTCATCTGCGCGTACGCCCTGATACGAATGTAATTTCATCTGGTGTTCGTAGGTGCACTGCCGTGTTGCCCAATATGCGCGATTTCTGCTTAGTTCACCATGTATAGCAACTTGGCTTTTATATCTGGGCGATCATTATCATCTTGTTTCTTCCCCTCTCTATGCCCGTATCTGGAAACTGACTCCGCCACAAATCTAAGCAATGGCACTGATCTCTCTTGTGTATGCAATCGTTTCTCGTCCCTTGCACTTGAATTCACGAACCAGTGTATGCGCAATTGCGATCATCATAAAAGGAGACTATTAGTTTGGGATAGGGTATTACAGTTGCATTAAATAAGTCACATAATTCGCAATGATAGATTGTGAGTATCACCATTCAAGAACCGACGTGTCGCTCAGAAGAGAATGTAGAATGATGGTGGCATAGCCACAATGGAGGAAGGCCAAGTTTACACATCGGCCAATCAGAAGAGTGGAGGTGTTGGCACATGATATTGGTTTCGCTACCAACACACTGCCAAGTGACATACCAAGGGTTTTATGGAAGGATGAACACCGGTCAATTGTACATCTCAGGGATAGAAGCTTGTATAAATAAGGTAGAACAGCTCATTCCTTGATGGCTATACTTCTATCGCTTCTTCATTGCAACTCCTCAACAACAACTCTAACAACTCGTCCTACTCACATACCCCTGCGAAAATGCTCGCTATTGCACTATTAGGTGCAGCGACTGTCGTTGCAGCAGACGTTACAACGTCCATATGGCTTCCGAAGGATATTTACGGCTCGAATAGAATCGGTTTTGTCGGGTCTGTCATCGGTGCCGATAATGATACGCTCACTGTTGCTATGGGGTTTGATAATGAGACCCATCCCGACATAAGGACAGCATTCGAGGCTCAAGTGTGGACATTTGGACCAACTGCCATTCAGACCTTCACCACAGACCTCGGAGTCGGGGCAATCCAGTCTCTTGTCGAATCAATTACTTACTCGGGCGATTGGTCCTTCGGTTGGAATTGCTCCAGAGATAGCCAAGGAGACGCGAGCTGCACGACCTCCGCAGGTATTCACCAAGCCAGCATGTAAGCATCTCCCTCGTATTCACTATTGTCACCATACCTAACCAATCCTTGATAGATTCGCATGCAGGATGCCAAGACCAGTGGAGGTTTTCACTATCCTCAATACATTTTCCCGTGGATCGACCGGTGATGCTTCCACCGAGACCCTCATAGTGACGGATCCCGGGACGCCAAACACAGTGGAACCAGACTTTTGCTCTGTGTCCGGAAATGACTTCATCACGTCGATCCCCATTGAATATGCTGTACAGAGCTCGGTTGTGCGAAATTCCGACATCTCCACATACAAGGTCGTCATCACAGCTGGAGAGGAACTTTTGACCGCGACAGCTGGGGCTACTCTGAGCACACCGGGACCACAAGCTACAGCGACTGGGACGTCTAATCAAACTCAGACAGGTACTAGTCAGCCCACGGTATCAGAGTTCACGGGAGCGGCATCACCGATGATGACAGCCGCCCCCGGAATCTTAGGACTTGGTGCTGCGATTGCTGCCTTTGCATTGTAAGAATGCTAGGTTGCCGAAGACATTAGTACTATCTTGAATGAAATTTGTTTATGCCTGGGAAGTTAAAAGTAATGAAAGTTTAAATGTGAATATGAGCAAGGACCTTGGTTATCTGGTTACAAGATTACGATGATTTAAGACTGCAATAAGTGAGCAGCGCTACAAACAAACCAATCTTCATGTAGCGTATCTACTTAGGTACCGAGTTATGCGCCATCATTCTGTGGCAAAAGCAACACAGCGTTTAGATGTCCCCTCTGCACGGACGGAAGGCTATATACAAAGGCAGACACACTAGACTATCCGCGATCAGGTCCGATTCACATGTACCCACCAAGGAACAATACCTTACGCACACTACAAAGCAACACGAGAGAAAAACAAAACAATCGCAAATGTGGTTTGAATTAGAGTTATGACATGAGCTAGCTTCTTTAGGCAATAAAATAAGAAATGATGCCAAGACTACATCAACACTGTTAACCTACGATATCTTCCTAAGTTAACTGACTTTGAAGCAGCAAATAATGAAAATAAATTCTGACAACAGCAGGGATATGGTAACGGTCACTTAATTGACTACTAGACTGCCACTTTAAAGCTTGTGTATGGCTGAGCGGACGGGAAGCCGAGTTGTTGTTTCCAGGAGCATGGTCACAATGCTCTCCAGTCTTTCTATTTTCGGTTCTCCGACGCACCTGATTCTGTCGCATCCAGTCGTTGGAGCCCCTTATTGTAAACACAGGACATATGTGATGACTGCTGCAGTACTGTCTGAGGCGTAATTCTTAGTCGGCGGTGAGTCCAAGATTTCTGCCTGGGCCAATCCCATGATACTGTACCGTGTAGTAGAAACCTCTACTTTTTTCAACAGTTCTCTAGTTAACCTATCTCGGGATGATGAATAAACAAGTAAAGTCTGATTAACCTGGGACCCAACACCGGACCATTATTGGTGCGCGGTCGCAGCTTAAGGTGTCCCGTCGACAATAATGATTTCTAATCACATCATGAAAGAAACTCAACCACGAGTGTGGAGAGGCATCATAAGTAGAACAGCCGCCGCGCATCTAGTATCATGTACTTCCCTATGAAGTCAACAGGTTTTGTCCACTCTGTACACTCTGTACGAAGTATACTATTCACAACCTTTTACCCTGTTTCTTGCTGTCACGCGAGAGTGAGCACCTCCAACTTCCCCCGACCCCATCACCAACCCATAGCTATGACGACTCCTACCAACATTGATCCAAAGGGTGTTCTAGCGCAGTTTTCCAAATATCAAGGCGACAACTACGTCGAGGGCTGGGCCGCCCTGTGGGACAAAGGAGATAATCTGCCCTGGGATCGTGGCTTTCCCAACCCCGCGCTAGAAGACACCCTAGCCCAGCGAGCTAGCACCATCGGTGGGCCCATCACCCAGGACGGTCAGAGGCGGAAGGCCCTGGTGCCGGGCTGTGGACGTGGAGTCGATGTACTCTTACTGGCGAGCTTTGGGTATGATGCCTATGGTCTGGAGTGCAGCGCCGCGGCTGTCGATGCCTGCAAAAAGCAGGAGAAGGAGAAACATGACCAGTACCGTGTGCGAGACGAGAAAATTGGGAAAGGGAGGGTCACTTTTGTCCAGGGGGATTTCTTCGATGATGCATGGCTAAAGGAAATCGCAATACCTCGGAATGGATTCGATATCATCTATGATTACACGGTATGTATACTAACAGCCGCTGTTAGGATTTCATTATTGCTCTCTTCCTCTCCGCTTGTCCTACTTCCGGCCCAACCCAGATCCTTCTGGTCTTTGTCGTCCTTCCTTTTGACAGCCATCTAGTTTTTCTGTGCACTGAACCCAGACCTCCGTCCTAAATGGGCTCTCCGACACACCGAGCTCCTTGCTCCCTCACCTGCAGGCAATCTGATCTGTCTAGAGTCTCCTCGTCATAAGGATCCCTTGGCCCCGGGTCCTCCATTTGCCTCTCCATCCGAGGCCTACATGGAACACCTGAGCCACCCTGGCGAGAAGATCTCGTACAACGATAAGGGTCTTGTCAATACAGACCCGTTGCGAGAGCCCAGCAAGGCGGGCCTGGAGAGAGTGGCTCACTGGCAGCCGGAGCGCACGCACACTGTCGGCATGGGTGAGAATGGGGTGGTCAATGACAGAGTCTCTATTTGGCGTCGACGTGACTAGAAAGGTGCCCGCGCATTCGTGAGAACCAAAAAAGGGAGACATTGGAAATGGAAAACATCGTGGTGACTTCGGAGTCCGATCCTGAATTTCAAAGGCCGGCCCCTAGACGCTGAAGTCACAGTCGAAATGAAGGGTCGTAACGTAGATGGTGGTTCTTTTCGAAAGAAATTTCGTGGAGATAGGAAACATATGTACTGGAAGGGCTTTCTCAACTCCACGGCGGGGTCCCACTTCTATTCGCCGCATCATGCAAAGTGAACAGAGGTTTTCTCTATCATAGACAATAATTGCTATTACACATAGTTCAGGGTATTTCGCAGACAGGATTAAAATCCCAAGAATCATTAATGGTTGCAAGGCGAATCGCATTCTCAACATCGCGCTTTCGGAATGCTGGTCCACGACCGAGACAGATAGAGCAGAGGGAAAGATCTAAGTGCGACAAGGTCAATAAATGCACAGACGAGAAGACACAATCAGCCATTGATCTCATCATTACTCACATTTAATGAAGCTCGCTAGGTTGAGCTGCGGAGCCGAATGGAACCAGGAACCGCAGAAGGGCGAGCTCGGGTTCTGAATACAAGAACGAATCCCTCGCTCCTGTAGCAGCCTTTGCACACCAATCGCGTCCATCCACTCGTCAGCACCCGATTCAATGACAGTCTGCCACGTTCGAGTGGAAACAGCGAGTTGTTCGGGCGAGTAGCTCTTCCTCCTTGAATCGAGAACATCTGTTCGCAACTCGATCACGTCTCCTACTTCGTCGTGCATGACAGCGATGAATCCGGACATCAAGCGGTTGCGCTCATCCATGGCCAATCGTTTTCCGAAGATTGCTTTGGCCCTTGGATCGTCTCCAGATGAGCCTAGTAATAGATGGTATCCAATCTCGCAGCATTGTAGGACCAGACGGTATGAGAGTGGCCAGCGCCTTTGCTTTGAGAGATTTGGAGGCGAACCTATGACCGGAAAATTCAAGGCAAGGCTAGGGATAGATGAGAAGGTGACAATTGGCGACGGCAATACTCTTCCGAGTGGTAGAATTGCTTGTTCTTGGGAGGGCGGCGTGGGGGGTAGTTGTGATAGTCCAGGCCATGGATCCGCGAGGTCCGACGAGGACTGGAAAGCGTCACCGATTATGGGCAATGAAGCAAGTTGCGTTATGAGCGGATCGTCATTTGAGATTATATCTTGGGTATCGCTGAGCGTGGGAGACGTCGATGATGGCACGTCCGCTCGGGCTACAGATGCTTCTTTGGCATTGTCGCAGCCGCTTTTGGCCAGCGACACGCATTGCTGTGTGATATTTTGCAGAGCAGCTGTGACATGAGGCTGATTTTCGAGAATCCCAGTCTCGATCATAAGATTACTGAAGGACAGAAACGACTCACTGAGCTCTTCGATACCCGACTCGAGTTCCTGTACGCGAGATTGCAGCGTAGCGATCGTCGTCTCTTTTCTCTTGCGGTATGCTTGCTGCGCGACGCGAAGCTGCATCCGTCGTCTCTGGATTCATTGAGTCAGTTTCAGCTTGCTTTGTGGTTGTTCGGAATGTACGGAGCACCCACCTCGAGAACTCGCTGATCGTCTGTCACAGTTCGTGGCCGGCCTCTCTTGCGAGACACGGGCGCGTCAGTCATTGCTTCGACCATCGTGTATTGCTTTTGAGGCCTTTTCTTTTAACTATCTTCAAGACATTCGGTGACGTGGTACCTAGATAATGCGAGAACGCGAAAAGGAAGTGACGGCGTTGCTTTACTCATCGAGGTCGTAGGTAGCGTCGGAACTGTTGAATAATCGAAAAATCGTAGCGTCGGTCGAGGACTGTTGAATAATCGAAAAATCGATGGACCGCTATGATTGGCCCAAACCCCGCTCAAGATGTATGGTCTTTACTTACCTATTTAATCACAGCCAGAAATATAAAACCGAATCATCGACTTCGTTGCATTCTCCAATGCTCCGAAATACCTTCATCCGCAGCGCAGTATACAGATCTCGCAACATGTCTTCATCCACTCAACCGATACCAGTAGTTGGCTGCGGCAAAATACCCGCGATGGGGAAATCAATCTCCCAGCACTTGCGGCCCGAATATGAAGGTCATTGAAATACATTTCTGAAATAAATGAAATCTAGTGCTAATACTCCCCAGTCACCCACTTCATCCTGTCATATGAGGCTGCAGAGGCTGAGCTCCCGCATCTGCTTGCAGGGCGCAATCCTCAGTCTCAGACCCCCAATGAGATCGGAACCAACAATTACAGCCGACCTCCTCGCGCTGTTGTCTTCGGTCGCGGCTATGATCCTCATCAGGTTGAGGAGCTTAAGAAAAAATTCGCCAGTGTTGCTAAAGAGCCCGTTGCTTGGGTGAGGGGGAACCCGGGGGATTTGCCTGTCGGGGCCGTTGGGCCTGACTATGCTCAGCTTATCGTGGCGGATATGAAGAAGGTGCTCAATAAATGGAGAGACGGGGGAGAAAAGGATGAGGAGATTCTGGTGTACTAGTCGCTTTGTCGGGAAGAGATTATCTGATGGCTTGCTTTCTGCCAGCTCGAATCTCATAAACACAAAAGCAAGGGCCGAAATCAGGGATGTTTGTTAGTGGTCTTTGGCATCGCTAGCTGGTTCCCCGAACTTTGATCTTTTGGCGGTCGATGTATTTCTTTTGGTCGATCTTCTCTCGCCCGCTCTCGGATCTCGGGCAGACGTCTTTCTGGCATTCTTCGGCTGAATAGGGAGCATCATTTAAGAGCGGCGAAGACAGCGTGTTATTGAATGTTCCCTTCAAGACCAAAGAACAGGAACATTCTGTAATATTATTCAAGGTCTGTATCAATCAAAAGGAGCAGTTAGACAAACAGGGTCATGGTGAGCTTGGAACAACCTCCATTCACGCAACAGAACAGTTTACTTTAATCAGGAGACATCTCATCATTTAAAACCTTTAAACTCGTTTATTCCTTGACTTCTTCATAGCATAGTGCTATATTACTCCATGGTTATAGCAGTTGATGACTTAGTCCGAGTCACTCTCTTTCAGCAATAGTTCTATGTGAAGGTTAGTGGAAAATGAAATGTAGTTGAATCAGATAACATGCTCCAATGATCGACAAGTTCCCATACAAATACACTCCATAGAAACAGTAGTATCAGTCGAAGATTACTCGCTGAAAGAAGTCAGTCTCCGGCACTACAACAATCTGTGAATTCTACGTTAATATTCATTCTTTTTTGTAGATAAGACGCTGAATACTAATCTATTTCGTTGGAAGGCGCTTGCTTATTGTACCTTCGATAGGTTCGTTTCCCCAGAGCAAGAGCACATGTACGTTATTGATGTCGGTCTGTAGATAGCAGAAACCGAAGAACTAGCTCCAAAGAGACAGTCAATGCATAGGCCGTTATAGTTATTTTCTTGTCTCACAGGACCATGGAAGAAGATGATGTTTTCGTGTGAAGGAAGCCATAGCATAATTATTCGAGATCCTCAGGGGGAAGGCATTGTAAAACAAAATCATTTATATTTGAGTCCGTATGTCGGCATCGCGTTCGATCTGGTCCGAGGTTCTTTTTGGACTATCTCAAGACGAACGGATAACAAGGAGTGACCATAACTCGTCCTCGTCCTCCAATTCCTCCTCAACCACCTCGCCCAACTCCTCTTGCTCACTAAAATACGCAATATGTTGTTGGTCCGCCTCCGTTGCGAATAAGTCTGCTGGACCTTTGCTGTCCTTCGAGTTCATAAGACCTCCGTCCTCGGGATCAAAGGTCTTTGAATCAAGTGTTGAAGAGAAAGGCCACCATCGGCCCTCCTTTGCCACTATGTGCACTTGGAATGCCATAATAGTATCACCAATCACGGTGTAATTTTCGAGCGTTGCCGTGCCATGTTCGCCGCCTAAGTGGGCCTCTATTACAGCCTCCTCAGTAACAGTGGCTTGCCCACCAGCACCAGCGCGTATGTCAGTTCGCTGTACAGTCGTATACTTAAGACCTTTTACGACCTTTAACCCCGTTACGATGTACAAGGGCCCTCTGTCTAGTGCTGTCTTGACTTCAGGGTTTGACTTTCGAAGGGCTTCTATCTCCTTGGCGGTGGGGTTATCGGCAAGGTACAGAGACTTTATCTCGTCGAAATCGTATACAGTGTGCATCGTCCTGCTGCCTCTTGCTTCCCCTTGGGCACCGAACACCTCGTAAAGCTTTGCCGAGAAACCCGCATGAATCGACGCCCGTCTCGCGGTTTCTATCTTCCCTTTGCTAAACTCGACTCCAGGTATTGTGTTCGCGGGAGCACGCTCAAGAAACGCTATCCGGTCCTGGGGAGCAGTGAAGTCTTTGACTATGTTGCCGATCTTCAGAGGTCCCTCGAGAACGAGGCCCAGCATCGGGGCACCGATGTAATACTTCTTCATGGTCGTCGGGGCCAGCGGGTGCACGCTCGTGCTGCGAAAAGGCTACTCAAAGCGCTCCCTTGTTGATAAATTTGAACTTGAATGGGAAAGAGTAACTCTTACAGTACCAAATTCTTGAAAAATGTAGTGTACAGTAATGAGTAGATAAGAGCGTGAATTCTGTCGATCATATCTGACCCCGCACCGGTGAAAAGTTGGATAATCTGCAGCTGAAATCGCTATCCCATGCATCTTTGCGCCGGGCGCTTATGCGACCTAACTATTGGCTTGGGTCGGGCCACAATGTTTGCTTTTGATAGTGCTGCGTAATATTGCGTTTACATCCGTCGTCGAATGAATCTCGAGTGCATAATATGAATGATTTGCACTTACGGTTTTCTCGTTGTAGGTGTGCATTGAGGAAAGTGTACCTTCAGGCTCTAGCCAAAAATTGAAGTTAGGATTGCAGGACCTAGACTTGCAACTAGATGAAGTAATCGGTTCGTCACCGAGCAGATAGTCACAGACATTGCTTCTCAATCCTCTGATCTAAAACTCTAACAGGTGATTCAAAACGAAAGAATGTTAATTTGAAGTTGCTCCATCCAAGTGCTTCACTAGAGCCTCATGATAGCTCTCGTTGAGGATTTTTTCCAGAGAAAAGAATCGTTTTTGGGTTTCGGTCTTCGTGGATAAACTTCGCATCAGTTTTTGAAACCCTTCTGAAGTCCTCACCATTTCCCATTTGTTTTTTGTGTCGTGTATGTTGATAAATGCAATGAGGATTGCAGCAAGAGCTGCAGTGATGGCTGTTGCGATTGAACTTCCGCTTCTGCTGACTTCTGATTCAGCAGACCCTCTGTCCGCTGTTGGTACCCGAACTCCTAGAGTTCCATAGACGTCCGAGCCGTCCGAAAGCTCAGGGTTCGTGGACTGGTGAACGCCTTTCGTGTCTGTTGCTCGAACCGAAAATGTCTCTTTGTATTTTGCAGGGAAGAGTTCAGGGTGCGCGCCGCCATAATTTGATGCAGCAGCAAAGAATAGCACCTTTTGGTTCGCATTCCCAAGCGACATAGACATTGCATTTTGAATGACCTTCTTGCCTTCATCTATCGGTTCCTTTTCCCACCCCAATGAAATGGAGACGATGTCCGCTTTCTGAGTGTCGCATGCCCATATTATTGCCTGTGACGAATAATCAGCGCACGAGCGGGAAAGATTCTAGTTCTGGTACGTACTTTTTTCAAACTTGTGATTACTTCTCCGCGTTGCTCTCCTCGAAGATCACTATCCTCACCAGCAATGCGTGCCACGCAAACATCAGCGAAAGGTGCTAGTGCCATGATGGTTGATAACATCGAGGTACCGTGCCCGTCTTTGTCTTCCGGGTCGCTCTTATCTCCCCAGAAGTCTTTCCAATGATATAGTTCGTGGTCCTCGGCATGTCTCGTAAAACGCTTTCTCTGTAGCGGACCTATGAAAGATGATTTGGGATCATATCCCGTATCAAGGACCGCGATCATCGGTCTGCTTTTGCCTGTTTTCAAGATTCCTTGTCGGATACCTGTCACCAAGTGCGAGAATTTGATTGCATCCAACCAGGTTCTTGATTCCTCACTAACAGCGAGTTAGTGTATGAGTGATGGTGCAGCTTCGATCATAAATACCTTGCTACTCGCTCAACTAAGTCAGTCTTACCACCAGAGGTTGCGTTAGTGTGTGTATTTGCAAGATGTAGCCGAGGTTGTGCGTGCACAACGGATGGGCTTTCCATTCCTTTCAAGAGCTGATAAAGTGGGTACACAACCATATCTCTTATAAATGCACGTCTTGCAGCTACAGTGTCGAGTTCCATGCCATTCTTCAATACGTCCAGTCCAGGGATGCAATGCTGTACAATCTGTTTGTAGCTGTTCCTGTTCTGCTCAGACAGGTCAAGGTCAGGCCACGATGTTGCAGGGCGACGCATCGCGTCGATGTAATCACATAGAATCTTGTTCTGCGTTCCTGGTTTGTCTGTCTTTTGAATATTCTGTGCAGAGAATCTTTCGGGGGCACACAGTAGGAATAATAGTATTCCCAAATTAAGCAGATATGGATAAGGGTGTTTGAAGCACGACTTCGTTTCAGGAGGCTCATGCTCTTGAAAACATATCTCGCTTGTAGGGGGAGAAGTAATTGTGAGGTAAGGAGTTTTTGCCTCCTCTTCCAAATAATCGCCACCGGCGGGTCCTCTATCATTCTGGTCAAGATGAGATAGAAGGCATATTGTTGTCAAGCTCCATTGAACCTGCATCCATTTCGACTCGTAGAACTGCCAATAGGATTTGGCTAATGCAAAGGCAAGGTAGACTTTGCTTTTCGCTGAAAGGAGCGCTGGTTCTGCAAGAGCCGTTTCCAGAGATACGGGGAGGCGATTTCTTGCGCAGTCGCTCCCATGCTCAGGATCAAGTTCGTAGAAGCAATGATGCGGTACTTTGCCCACAAGACGTATCGGAACTCGTTGACCAGTCAAGTTGATGATTGTTTCGATTGTTTCGCAGAAGTCTACGATCAGCTCGTCCGGGGGATCCTTGGATTCATCAACCCCTGCAAAGCCAACGCGCTTCTCAAGTCTACCAGGCTCTCTGACGTTGTTCTGATCGGGAGCATCCGTAATTGCCTTATTATTTGAGTGTTCTTGATCCTGAAAAGGTAACTGGAATCGAATATTAGCCCTTCCTTCAGAGAACTCGCCCTTCCTAGCAATAACGGAATCGACAAAGTCATGATTCTCATCGCCAAATGTCGCCCATTGCCCATCCAGGCGTAGATAGCAGTCAAGTTCCTTGAGCGGACGCAGCGGCTCATGTCCTTTTTTGCCATGACACGTTAGTATTGTGGGGCTATCGTAGAAAAGCTGATATAGAACTGTGGTCGTCAGCTCGGGAAGCTGTCTTCGGTCTCCCGCTTTCGCTAGCGGATTTTCATCATCCTCGGTGCACAGTTCTGTCAGTGCAGCGCTGCTCTCTCCAGATCCGCATTCCTCCATAATCTGCGCCTTATTTTCAATGAGATCTTGGGTAGCTGAATCATCTCCACGCGCGAGACTATGTAGGCGCTTGTCAACTATCGGAGATAAACGCTAGCGACGGACTGTCAGCAGAGAAATCCATTAGTATCTAGATTTAACTTACTTTCTCATGGGCATTATGACTGTAAATGCGGTTCATGAGTAACTGAAAGTCGCGAGCTTCACGAAGCTTATTATTTCTAATTTGTTGTCGCACAGCACGCAATCCGAATTGCGTTGCTCCAGGGAATAACGCACCAAGGCTGGGTGTCGTAGGTGTGAGAACATCTGTGACAAAGTCCATTATGGGGTTCCGCAAAGATGTGATAGTATGGTCATTTAGAATAGCTAGCTATAGTGTTCATCAAAGCGTTTAAACAGAAGAAGGTGTTCCAGGTGACGAGACCACGTCTGAGGCTGAGAGGTTAATCAGTAGCTGGGCTCGCTTGGGCATGGCGAGCCACAGCTGACATTGATTCGTAGACCAGGATTAATCATGGCCAACCTCGCAGTGCTTCATGCACCTGTCCCCGCATATCGCCAAGATTTATTTCCTTCGTCCCCGAGCCAGCAGTAAGCGGCAATCGTCCTGTTCTGACATTCAGTACTACTTGTATGCATCGCTATGCCCGCTATGAAATACGCCATATAGCCTGTGAGTAATTGCACGTCAAATGGATATTGATCAGACATCCGAGGAGTCTCACCATGAGGTGGAGAGCATACAAGAGGCTGTAGCAAGGTGTCGGCTGGAACTGGAGTTATGTGTGAAGAGCGTCAAGCTCAACGAAAAGCACTGGGCAGACAACCGTCTCAGCGACTTTAATCTATGGGACGCTGGTGTTGGTGCAAGTGACAAATACTCACGATCTCTCGACTTTCGGCTCAGAAATGACAGTGCAGCTCGAAATGTCGTGATCGGCACGATTCAGATCTTGCTTGCATGGGTGAAGGAGTCCCGGAATCTTGGAATATCTGAAGAGAGGAACGAGGGATACTCGGTTGAAAAGGATTCTGTCAACATTCAGGGAAAAGAAACCGCATCACATACATTACCGGATCAAGCACCGCATTATGACGAGGAGTCGAGGTCGCCACGAGGAAGTTCGAGTTCATCTGATCGCCCTAATACTGACGCGAACGATTCGGACGAAATTACAATTGAAGAATCAAAGCTGAGCGTAGAACAACTTCTCGCGTCACTTATCGATATAGGCATTGCTATTAGAAAGGCCGGTACGGTTTCAAGGCTGAGAAATGCTGATGACATATTCGAGAAATACAAATCCATGTATTCGAGTTTTGAAAAAGACTTGGAAGAACATTTAGGGCTGTTGAATCGTATAGCAACAATAGCAGGTCGTGGACGTAAGAATACTGACGGTCAGAACACCACGCTCGAACTATGCATCGAATCAAAGATGATTAAACCCTCGGATCAACTAACACCCACTACCGCGGAGCAGAACACGCTGATTACGCATAATATGCAGCGTCGCCATCGTTTCGTAGTTCAAAGGTCACGTCGAAAGGGAAGACCAGACAAACTTCCATCCTCCACCGTAATGCCTTCCAGCGAACTACCAGAGCAGGAACACACCACAGAGGCGTCACATGATACTGCAAGTGGTGGTAGTCAACCTTCGAAGCCTGTCATACCTGCAGACATCTTTGAATCTAGACCCAGCGAAGAACCCAAGGCTGTATCAGAACACTCTGGAAGCAACTTCAACAAGGTGTCTGAATATGAGCCGCAAGCTCCATTAGAGAAGATGGTTGAAGACCTCCAGATAGCTGCCTCTGCGACAGCAATCGCGCTTAGAATGCGCCATCCTAAGCCTCCTAAGCTTCAAGGCGGCGACGCGTTTACTTGCCCATATTGCTTGCAGACTTTATCAAGCCATCACACTGAGAAAAGAAGATGGAAGTAGGTGTCTCATCCGCTGTATTGCGCGACATACTAACTCGCCGCACAAGGGAGCACTTGTCGCAAGACCTCCAGCCTTACTCTTGCTACCTGGCAAACTGTTCGTTGAAGAATCCCTTTTTCCAGACATTCAAATCTTGGAAATCGCACGCATTGTCAAGCCATGAGGTCTCCAAAGGGTGGATGTGTGCATTCTGTGACTATGAAACAGGTTTGCAAGACGACTTCTTCACACATATTAAGTCGCTGCATGAGATAGACGAAAAGTCTTTGGAATCCCTCAATACCGCTTGTCAAGTTTTTGACCGATCATCATTAGAGAAGTGCGCCATTTGTTTAATGGATGCAAAGTCATGGCAGGTCTGCAAGGCAGGTATTTCTGGCTTTGACGGCAATGCGAGATCATTTCTAGAGCACATTGGCAACTGCTTGCATAGATTCTCACTTCATGCACTTCCTGCCCGAAGCGATATTACGTCGGAGGCTGACAGTGGCGACGCAGCCGCATCTCGCTCCATCAACTCGATTGATCGTCTGTCAACACCGGAATTAGAGAGTCTCCCCAGGCTGAAAGATCGAGGTTTGGAGTCCATCTCAATATTTTCAGAAGAAGAGTCGCTTCGTCGAATGCAAGCCTGGATCACATTGCTCCAAAGAGCAGACAACAGACTCATAAATCTACCCACTGAACCAATTGATACATCCCTAACAACTACGCACATGTCATTGGCCGACCAAATATACGCTTCATTTGTATTGGGCAGTCATCTCGAGGACATTCCAAAACGATTCCTCCCTGCGAGCCTTGTTACCAAAATGGTCTCAGAGGATGTCATTGATTCGGAAATAAATAAGTTTCCAGAACCCAATGACTACCCTCACGGTTTGCTTTCTCGATGGATCTATATGAACGCCCCAAAAGTATTCATGATATGCATCGCGTCTAGGTTCAATGATCAGGAGCTTTTCTTAGCCATGGAGCACTTCCGACTGCATGGGTTCCGAGATGATCGGTTGCCTATACAGGAGCCGATTGAAGGACGTATTAATCTGGAAGACTTCCCACCTGTGATTTGGAGCATTCAGATGATTGATCGGTTTTATGAGATGCAATGGAGATTCCTATCGCCAATATTCGATCCATCTGTTTTCATGTACGACCTACCCAACGACTGTATTTTACCCTTTATCAGCAAAAAAAACGTTGCTGAAACCGGCGATTATGCTATCCAGAGAGTGATCGTTCATCCTGATCACTGGACACACGATGAAACGAATGATGTGAGTATTTCCTGAGCCATCGGACCCTTCTTGTAGCATTGATATAGTGCACAGATCATGCTCACGAGAACGAGGATTCTTCGTGACCAGCTCGAGTCTGAGGTCAATGCAGTGTGGGAACACGAAGCAATGACATTGCAGAGTGTGAATGCTATTGCACATCCGAATATAACCAAGTGCATTGCAGCCATACGCAAAGGCCGAAATCGATACTTCATGTCTCCTTGGGCAGATGGAGGTAGCCTGCGGGAATATTGGGAAAGCGTCCCAAAACAGCATCCAACAGAAGATGGTATCGCCGATATGGTTGAGCAGCTCAGAGGGCTTGCGGACGCTCTAGAACAACTACATAATCTCGACAATGTTTGGCATAGAACTCAGGATATTCAGGGATACATCGACGATGAGGATGAAATGTTAATTGTCCCGATTAGACATTACATTGTCTGCCCTGAAAGGATATTGCGATTTGTTTACCGTGGTTCTGGCATGGGAACTCTGAAAATATCAATGGAGTTTCCTGAAAAGAACATCAAACTCGCCGACGGTCTTTATTCAATGCGAAGTCCTTTCCGTCATTCGATATATGCCCCTCCCGTGCCAGAGGGTAGCCTAGGGTTCACTCGCTCTGACGATCCATGGGCCATGGGCTGTATTATCCTAGAGTTTATCATCTGGACCCTTTATGGAAATGAAGCAGTCACCAATTTTGAGTCACAACTCCACGAGGAGACTGGCATGTTCAAGCCATTTTTTGAAGCTCCATCTGATGGAGAACCTGGGGTTCCTCTCGGGCGTGTCACAATTCATCGGACGGTACTCCAGTGGATGGCCCATATTCGCAATAACGATCCTGAATGCTCACGGGACTCCGCAATTCGGGATCTTCTTGATCTTGTGCAATACAGGCTTCTGGTTATTGATACATCACCGTATCACGTCAGTACTCGTGAACAGCATAGCCGAAGAACAGCTTCGCCAGATTCGAAAGAGACAATGACTCGATACCGTGCAACAGCCGTCGAGCTCCGAAACTCATTAGATACAATATCTTCTAAAATCGTCAGATCGCTCGAACTTAAAACCGGGTATCTCGTCACGCATAAGAGTCGAGCAAACATCAGACTGCCAATTCCACAAGACTATATCAAGCATAGACTCGAAGTTCCTTCTAGTAGCGGTATGCCGTATCAGCAAGGCGAATCGGTGACTTCGAGAGAACTCGATGCAGATTATAGTCTGCCTCCGTTGAAGGAGTGGCAATACATTATCGACAATTCGTTCGTTGAGGACTATATTTTGTCATCCGCCAATAGTCGTGAAAGGTTCTCAAAGTACAAACTATCAAAATTGTGCTCACGATGTTCTAAACTCGATTTTATGGATGGAGGTTTCTTGCTAACCGATCGAATGCAGACTTTGAGAGATCGCGCAAGCGAATGCAACCTCTGCTTGCTTCTATTAGATGAGGCATCCACAAGGCAAATTACTGACCCTGAGTGGATTGTGTTCGAGAGGAGAGGGTCTGGGATCTACTATGAAAACGAACCGATCCCATCATTCTCTGTCTTTCAGAAACCAGGTAAGCAATGCTCCGTACGACTCACAGTAACGAATGAGAAATGAGTAACTGACGTCAGAAATGCAGAACGGAGGTTGCCATTGCAATTTATCCAGATAGGTTCGCCTGTTCTACCTCGGGAAAGAAGTCATGCCTTCTATGACACCTGCAGGGGGTGGCTCGACGACTGCGACAATAATCACGACTGTCATGCGCACGAACAAGGCCGATTGCCGACGAGACTGATTGACGTTGGTACTGATTCCAGAGATGCAGTATTACGCCTAATCGAAACCAAAGAGGAGAATGTGGCCTCCGCCAAATACTTCGCTCTATCCTTCGCGTGGGGTAGTACCACAGCTGGAGCGCACTTTTTGACTTTGCGAAATGACACTAGTGGCAAGCACCATGATATTGCTTCTTTCAAAAAGGGTATTCCTTATTACGGACTACCAGCCACATTGAAAGATGCGGTCGATTTTACGAGGAAGCTCGGCGTTCGATATTTGTGGATCGACTCCATCTGTATCATTCAGGGCACAGACGGGGACTTCATTGAGGAAGCGAAGCACATGGAGAATGTCTTCAGTCAGGCTTATGCAGTGCTTTCTGTTTGTCATGGAACCTCTCAGCATGCGGGATTTCTTAATCCGAGACCAGAGGCGCCGTATGTCACCATTCCAGGACAGCTCGAGCGGCAATTCTTCGTTTCTAAGAATATCGACGATTTTAGCAAAGATGTACTCGGAAGTCCATTAAATCAACGAGGCTGGACACTGCAGGAACGAGCGTTGGCACAGAGAACAATATACTTTACTGGTAATCAGATGTACTTTGAATGCGGTCAAGGAGTACGGTGCGAGACTTTGACGAAGATGCAAAGGTGAGTCTGTACTGCGGCTCATCCGTACCATTACTGACAATAATGATTCAGCAACATGGCTGACTTTCTCGGCGATCCACGATTTCCGGAGAAAGCCATGCGCACGCAATCCCGTGCATTGAAGGTCGCATACTTTCAAGATCTGTACAGGCTTTATTCTCGCCTTCAGTTTGTGAGGTGGGAAGATCGACCACTGGCCATAGCAGGGCTCGAGGTCCGCCTCCAAAAAGCCTTGGACTGCGATATCAGCTTTGGTGTTTTCTTACCGAAGGATGACAAATATATAGAACTGTTCTATCGAAGTATTCTCTGGCAGCGGGGAGAGGGGGATCAGGATTCTTTATTCATGTCTGCCATCGATACAAGAACCCCGGTCCCAAGTTGGTCGTGGATGGCATATACAGGGGGCATCGACTACCTCGATCCGCCTTTCGGCACCGCCAAATGGCTTGATGATCAACTACAACCACGTACTTTCAACGATGGGGATCACTCCTCTCCTAGTCTATCATTCAGAGCAAAAGTACGAGGCTTTAGTGTTATGGGCAGGGAGGAAGGCGTCAAGATCGTTTACGATACTAGAAGACGCAGGGGTTCGGATGGAGATCGGCTGCAGCAATGCGTGGCTGTCGCAATGGAAGCAACTCAGCGGGATAAATGGCAGCGCATGTTTTGGGTTCTCGTTGTTGCGGCCGATTCATCATACAAGGTCCCTCATTCCGAGGAGTTTCGTGATCGGGCTTACCGGAGAGTCGGAGTGGGCACAATGCCTGGTAAGTTTATCAGACTTGACGAACCGGGTCTAAGTGCGCGGATATACTAGATAGATGTCATTAGAATCCATATAATTGTAAAATTCACATATATTCGAAGAATCAGAAGGCTAGTTGAAACCCATGACTACACTTAGGATAACCAGCGATGTTTGCTGAACATTGATTAGCCCCTATACTCCTTATTTCAGCGATATCTACTCCTGTCATAACGAAAAGATCATGATAATCTGCTGTACATCAGAATCCCTCTAGACCGCCATAGGGCTGTTTGTCCATACTCCAATGGTATTGGCACAGATACCTCCACGCCGAGCCAAGTAAGTCAGCAGCGTCATCCCGCCCCTCCACCAATTCACGATAGACTACCCAATCAAGCCTAGCCCGCGGCCCTCGGATCGCCGGGACAACATTCGACCACCCAGCGCTAGGATCGCGACGACCTCATTGGCCGGAATGCACTCTCATACGTACGCTGATCTGGGGACCGGGGTAACTCTAACTCTAACCTTATAAAGTACCGTCTGGGGTCCGAGAAACGCGGCTCTTGAGTCGGGGGATCGTTGGACCATTTTTCGTAGACCTGGCGATGGCGAAGACCGCATTTGTATGTGTGAACGACGAGTGGAGTTCCGCTGGTGGATTTGGCATTATGAGAATTGTTCGGTATATAGATGTTCGTTGGATATATAACATATCGCAATCTCTACTGATTTGGATAACTATCGTTCTTCAAAGCATCGACGCCTTCGACAAAGCAGATCATCAACATATTACATTGTCAAGCTTCAAAGTATCAATTGCCACCTGAAACCAATCCACTGCCAATCTAAATATCCCAAACCAATCCTCAGTCGAGCAGAACAAGACACGACGAAAGGAGAACCAGATACCACATCCAACCAAACAAAACGCACCATAAGAACAAACCAGAACCCACCAAACACAAACAACTCAGAGGAAAACAAAAAGAAACAATCCACAATGCTATCAACTCTCGACACGCCCCCCATCTCCACAGCCCTCCGCCCAACAACCCAGCTCCTCCTCGGCGGCCTCACCTTCAACCTCCTTTCGACCTTCCTCCTCACGCCCCGGATCTCCCTCCTCCTAACCACCACTCTCCTCTTCCTCCGCTTCATCCCCACCCTCCTCGTCGCCGCAGGCAAGCTCCCCAACGACGAACTCGACGCCGTGGTACGCGGCAAACGCACCGTCGTCTTCCCCTCCTCCGAAACCCACAACGACAACGGCGATGGGGAGAACAAGACGACTCTCTCCCCCTCAAACAAAGGCCTCACCGTCCTAATCCTCGGCACACGCATATCCCACCCGCTCGGCATCCTCGCCCCCGGCGTCGCCGAAACAGGCCACTTCTTCACCTCTCTCCTCGCGGACCTGGACGCCGAGCGCGACGCCGGCGTCTCTGACAACGGCTGGCTCGGCGGGTCTCTCGTCACGGGTACGCCCACCACTCCCGGCGGTAACCCGGGACACCTGAGCGTGATTGGGTATTTCCGGTCCGTGGAAGACCTGCATGCGTTTGCGCAGGGCAAGGCGCACAGGGAGGCGTGGACGTGGTGGAATAGGAATGCGGGCAAGATGCCGCATTTGGGGGTGTATCATGAGATTTACGACGTCCCTGCTAAGCATTGGGAGGCGGTGTATTTGCAGACGCCGAGGTTGGGGCTTGGGGCGACGAAGGTGAGGGGCGGGGATGGGGTGTTGAGGAATGTCGGGTTGGAAGATGCGGGGAGGGGGGTTTGGAAGACGTCGAGTGGGAGGATGGGGAGAGGTGGGGAGGGTGAGGGTGAGGAGGGGATGTGAGGGTGAGGAGGGGGTGGAGTTGAGGAGTTGGGACTTTGGGTCGCGCAAGTATAGAATGATTGGTAGTGTAATGTTTTCTCTCTTTTGTGGAACTAGACGATTCGGAATGATGGATACATAGAACCGATGGTTAGACGATAATGAACAACATTCCCTAAACTCGTCTGCCTGTAAGAATGTTCGTGCTAGTATGACGATACTCTTGGTATGGTGAACCGAGGGTCGGGACGAAATGAAAATGAAAATGAAAATGATAACTAAATCATGAGGAACAGTGATGGGTGCAAGTCGAACGCAGCGATGAAGGACACAGGACATCAGTGAATTCAATCCCAGCAATCTACCCTCGATTCCGGGTGAGTTCGAAGATTATATGGACTGAATGGAGGACATTTCGACTTGACACTTGTGGCAGACTAGGGGCATGTTATACAAGTCATGAAGATTACCCTCCCCCGATGAGTGAGCCAACAGCTCCTCCCACTCCGTTCACTATGCTTCCAACCGCTCCGAGGACCGGGTTCGTGACCTGTTTAACAAGCGGCGGTGGCACGTTCGCCCTGAAAATCGCATCGTTGAGAACGTTCCCTGCCGGCCAATACTCGCAGACCAATTCGAACCAGTTCCAGACGCCCGACTTGCATGGCGTGGTGTTCCAGGCGCAGCCAACGTATGTAGTGTTCTTCCAGACGACCTGGGTGAAATGGCCGGTAGCAGCAGCGAACCCAGGTTTGTTGTAGTCGTACAGGTCAATCTCCTTGTACCAGCCATCGTGGATTCCGGAACGCGTTTGATTAATGAAGTCAAGGGGAGTGCGAATCCAGAGACCGTGAAGATTCTCACCGTACATTCCGTTCTATGAAATTGAGTAAGCGCAACCAATACCACACCCAATCAGGGACGAACTCACCGAATGCGCCCAGACGCACTGGTTAGCCCACTGCTGAGCGTAGTTGGAAAGATTGTCATGCCACACAAGAGGAGGGACGCCGTGAAGTGCCCGGTCAACGTTGTGAGCGTAGAGAGCCCAAGCTCTAAATGCCGGATCAGTGTTTAGGATGGGAACGAGCGAAGGCGGTGCCTGTCCAGCAGCAAGCGGCACGAGTGCTGCCAACACCGAGAGAAATTTCATGACGACTGGCGGTAGTTGTGTTGAAAGGGCTGCAACTATTCTGGCAATGGAGTCGAAGTGAGCAGGTATGTCCTCTCCTATATACCCTCCCTTGACCGTTGGTGAGGAATGTATCGTAACTCCGGGGAACTCCTATAACTGATTTGTATATTGATAAGTGACCAATGAGCGTCGCCCGTGGGGAAATCAGTGGACCTTTTACATTTCATGGTGAACGCAGTCCGGATGTCTGGTCTGATTTTGCATTACCTTCTTCCTCGGCAAGTCTTGAGTTTGTTGTAAATCATCTTGGCTGTTCACTGCGAGGTCAGTAAGTTTGAGTATCCACAGGCACATCAAGTCTTGTCAAGCGTCTTGATTAATTCCGGTTGTCCCATCATGGCTGTACCTACTGATCCCGACAATGCATTCCGACACGTAGAAAAGTACCTTGGTGAACGGTCGACGCGATTTCAAAAGGATGCATATTGAAACTCTCTTGCAACGCGTTGCAAGCATGTAATGGGGAACGCGAAAATAAGAGGAGCAACAAATCCCTCCGAACACTGATGAATATTGACATGATAGAGGGTAACACCTGCCTCAAAAATCAAAATTCACACTCTATTGAAAACCCACCAGAACCCATAAATGCCAAAAAGTGGCGTCGTGATACGGCATTGCCATGCAAACCAGATGACAGGTGACAGATGCTTCTTCGCGGGAGACGGCATCAGGCGCGTTCCTGAGCCCAGGAATGGTCGCGTCTGCAGTCCCGCGACAACGAAATCCACACAGCCCGGCCAGCCAGATCACTCACATGTTGGCTTTCCTGGTGGAACCATTGATACAAAGGGCCATTGCTTGTTTGGTATGGGACTTTTTGCCTTTCGCGGGAGACGTCCGACCGCAGTAATCGAGCCAAGTGTGACTGCACACAATATGAGTTGCAGGTAGCACTGAAACTACTTGCCGGTATTTCCAAGTTCCTGGCGACTTTGGATTTGAAGTTTCTCAAGGCACGTGGGTAGTCAATCTCCCTTTGAATGCAGTCTTATCGAAGGCGGACAATTCGGCTGGTGAACGGGGCTGTGACGGGGTCTTCGACGTAACGAGATCTACGATCAAAACCAGATAACTCTGCCTGTTATATATATCATCCAATTGTATCAAGGGCCGCAAAATGCGTGCGCCTCTTCCCCCAAAGTCGGACTTTAAGGCACGATATTTCCAGGATCAATGCAGTTGAACAGGCGGACGTAGAGCGGCGGATGATGTCGATGACACGATCTGGAAGTCGAGAACTCGTAGCCAATTGACCGAATGGCTTACGCAGTGATTTATTCTGGTGGAATTGGTGGTGCAAAAGCGTTGCCTGTGTCTATTGCAAGTAATCAGAAGTCAACCATCGCTCCCTTTGCGGTTGCCAAGCATTGAATCCCGTCGCGCAGTCACATGACATCGTGTCTTCCTCCAGTATGCGATGTTGGGGATGGACACCAGAATATCGATGGATGTATGAAGATATTGATGTAGATTTACGTGTTCAATAAGCAAATCGGCCACGTCGTACCAATTAAACATTGCAACCATTTGAAGAAGTTGTGGATACACTCACGTTGAGAAATCGCAAGTGAGTCGATTCAATATGACGCAACCGCGGGGTCAAACCTTCGTACCTGCATCACTTTGCGAAAAAAAGAAACATTGATGGTCAAGTCAAAGGTTTTGAGAAACAGTTAAGTGAAGATATCAGAGTCACGATCACGATCAAGCATGGAGGACATTATTTGTTTGAAGTTATTTGAATTGAATTATTATACTGGATTGATAGGTATAAAGTTTCCTTCCACCTCCAGAGCCAGTGGCATTATTCCGTGATAGTCTGCAATCGAGTACTCATGAATGTAGTCGTAGTCGTTGATCGTGAAGTAGGGGTATTTGATGTTTCGATTCGAGTACAAAGGAGTTGAAGAGTTGGCGATTTAGAAGGAGCAATGTGTTGATGGAGAGGTCATCGCTTAGATGGAGTGCTTGTTGGCAGAGGCAGCACCCTCGTGCTTGTGCTGGTCGAGCTTGTCGGAGCCGGCACCGAGAGCGCCAGAGACGCGGTCGCCGATGGAGTCCTGGCCGGGGATGTTGCCCTTGGCCTGCTCCTTGTTGGCCTCCTTGGAAGCCTCAGCGGAGGTACCCTGGATGGTCTCAGAGACGTAGTTGACGGCGTTCTGGGCAGAGTTGGAGATCTGGCCGATGATGCCCTCGTTAGGCTTGTTGGCGTTGGGAGCAGACATTTTGAGGTTTGGGGTTGGTGGTTGGTTTTGGTTTGGAAAAGAGTAGAAGTGGTTGTTGATTGTTGAAGTTGGTAGTAGGAGTTGTTTGATGATGGAAGAAGAAGAGAGATTGGGGAGGACAAGAGGGGTATATATACTACGAGTGAGAGTGGCCGTTTGGTAGGCGTGGTTGGTACCCGTTAGTTACTTCCCTCATGTTCCACCCTCTAATTCACACTCTCTCTCCTACTCTCCCTCTCTACTGCCTCCGTTTGATGGTTTTGTGATTTCATCACGACGTCATTGATAGAATCACGGGATTGGAAGGAAGCACGGACCAATCCAAGTTGCCTTTCACCATTAAGGAAGATGGACGGATCCCATGTGGGGGGAACTGGGAACGCTGGGAGGTCCGGATTCGCCCCTTACCCGATCTAGACACGCTAAGTCACCCACTCGAATCGACCGATCCGCTGCAGATCAACTGTAAATCAACCCTCATCCATCCAGCTAACCTTTCATCTTGCTCATCCTGTTCATCCTCAATCCACTTCTCTGCTTCAGCCCATCTCACATCCGGTCAAGCTCAACGAAACGGGCGCAGGTACTCGCCCCGTCTTTGCCCGGACTGCGCCGCAACTCGCAACTTACCCGTACAAACTCTCTGATCATGGGAACGAACAATCCCCCTGCCGCGGCTACTTGATGTTGCAATACAGGAACAAGGGCATGATTGACCACGGATGGACCAACGGAGAATACGGGCTCCCACGCATGTGACCACCTGATTTACCCTCGCGGTACCCTTCTCAAGCCAGCCCAGTGTGGCTAGATTTTTGCCCTCGTTCTTGAGGACACGGCGCTTACAGTGGTGTAGCCTAGGCCTAACAATCTGTCCTCATTGAAACTCTGTTACAGCTCTGTCTACCTTAGCGCAATTACATCATACCTAACGTACATGATCGAAGCTCTCATCGATGGGATCGAGGGTCGAGACCCTTTACGGCATTACCATGGCACAATACCCAGGTGGCCACGAGCTGCTGCAGAACACAGGGCAGGGTGGAGCCGCATGCTTCCCTTGAATTCGATCAGTCTCTTTCCCATCGTTACGAGGTAACAATGCCTACTTTGGCTAAACTTGCATTTCCCTTCAAAGGCATTTCGGCATTCCCTTTCTTCGGGTGCATGGATCCTGCAAGGTGGCTTTTCCCATGCTCACGTATGCAATTCCAGCAGCCGGCAGCCTGGAACAATGGCCAAAGTCGATGGTGAACCGTTGCCGTGTTTGTCGCCATTATTGACACTCTCCATCTGGCCAAACAAAGCCCTCTATCGTTGTTCTTCGCAATAAACGGTCCCCATGGCGTTTGAAAACCTTTGTTGACTGGCCCAGCTGGAAAGGACGGATTCCAGTAACTGCGCTTGTTCCGCAAGCTGCAAGTACCTTCTACTTGCGTACACGATCGAGCTTTTGGCCGCAAATTGCCTCGTATGCGTGGCACAGGCTACAGTCTACGGCGCACAGTGCGCCAGCGGCCGCGGTTGCGGAAGCTCCATGACGTTAGGCCAGATTGGTCTTTTCCAATTTGCCAGCTCACGATGTGTGGCGGGGCAGCTGCGGAAACGCACGCGTCCTCTGTAACGCGTTGACGTCATATGGCAAAGTCCCTTTCAATGCTTCCGCCCCCGCTTGCTCGGTTTCGATCACAAGTAACTATTTGCCGGACTTTGTCAAACAATTAAAAATATCTTTACGTGACCTTCTGGTTTCGCCATTCCTCGGCTTTAGTTCTCCTGATGACGATTATGGATCGGAGTATGACGACACTTGTTCGTCCATCGTCTTCATCCTCACATGGTGGGGCATCTCGATCCCCAAACCTTGGCGAAGATCACCCATTGCACGTGATGCAGTATTTACACGTGACCTAGAGTTCCTCCCCAGAACTTATGATTCTTGCACCGTCACCGATCTGTTGACTGGGTCCACTACACATACGTACATTTCGAAATTCTTCTGTCTCGGTCAAATCATTTTTATCATATCTTGCTCCTCTAGAACAGTGCTGCTACTCGTACGGTGTCAACGTATCGGAATTCGTCCAGCATTCGGTCACGGTCACCCGTAGCCGCGATCGACACAATCACGATCTAGACCATTGATCGATCTGATCTCCGACGGACAACATGGCCCGCTCTAATGTCCAAGGGATATCCTAGACGCTTCTGTTTACACATTGTTTTGTGAGAGCGGAGGTGCCCGAGTTGTTACGTCCTGTCATGAGGTCCTCTCAACCCCGAGACTCAAGGCACGACTTGCTTGCCCGGCTACATATGAACGCCGACAAAAGACTTTTTCAGAGAGGAACTTCAATAACATGGCCAAACCGAGTTACGTTTCAATTTCTACAGCAACCGCTGGATAGAGGTGACAATAATTCTGCATTGCAGGCTACAAGTACCTTCTTCACTGATACTGCTGCTGGTCCTACTGACGATGATGCATTGAGTAATAGTGTCCCAGCCCCGTTCCTTGCGACCATCATGGTGCTACAGAAATGCTTCTACTAGATTCAAACATATCGAATGCGTATCAAGGGAACTGTCCTGCCTGTCGATGTTTCCAATAACGTCCTACCTCTTACGAGTAGAAATCACCATCCACAACCCTCACATCTTCGCCTTCTCCCCGTCACTCGCCTCCCTATTCCTCACGAACCCGCCCCTCCCCTCCGCATAAACCGTCCCCAACCCATCCTCCACGCTCCCCACCAGCTCAATCCACCTCCCCTTCACCTTCTCGATCCTCGCGCGACACAGCACCACGCACGGCGTGTCGATCTTCCTCCTGAACCGGACGTCCAGCTCCGCTGTCGCGCTGGACATCCCGTACGCATACGATATATGAATCCCCATCACCTGGTCCAGCAGCGTGGCTATCACCCCGCCATGCAGACGCCTCAGTCCGCCGTCGATGGACTTCCCCAGCGATATCAGGAGCAGCGATTCGCCTTTCCCTGGCTCTATCTCTCCTCCGCCAGTTCCTCCTCCCTCTCCCTCCCCCGCCGATGTAGTGCCAGGCAACGGCCGATACAGCGACACAAACGCACGGATAGCGTCGTCCGTGAAAAACGTCTTCGTGAACAGACTGTTCGACACCGACGTGTCGAAGGGAGGCGGCATCTGCCGCAGCATCGTCTTGGTGACCGTCGGGTCGTTCAGGATCGCGCGGCACCAGGGGTGGGCGTCAAAGTCTTCGAGGCGCTCGCGGGGGAGGCGGCGGTAGGTGGTTGCTGCATCCTCTTCGGAGGTGGATTGCGGTGGTGATGGTGGAGGGACGGGGTCTGACATTTTTTCTTTCTTTCTATGCGTGATGTGTGTGTCTATGCGTCGTGAATCTCGCTGTCTCTCTGGTCCTCTTTTGTTTATCGTAACGTTTCGTGTCGTTTCGTTTCGTGATCTTACGATCCAATACCTCCAATACCAGACAAACACACCACTTCCAAGTTATTAACCACAAATGCTCAATTCGATTCAACTCAATCCAATTCAAAAGTTCAGGTACATGTACAGAAGTCCGGCATCTCCATCCCCACAAAACAGCCCGTTACAGTAGCGGGAAGCCTTAAACGTCCTCGGTTTTTCCATACATTGTCGCGGAGAGACATTGGCCGAGGTAACTATTACCACGCGAGTAAGCTGTTTTTGGTGGGGAAGCCTTGTCTTTGCGGAGAGGGTATGTGCACTAGTACTGTTTTGGATTGAAATACCCCACGCCTGGGAAGGATGAGGTGAGGAGGGAAGGTTTGAGGAATATACGGAGTATTCGTCTGAGTTTATGGGAAGGTATGGGGTGTTTATATCGGGGAGGCCTCTGTGGCCGGGGAAGAGTTCGTCGTAACATGCTTTCGTGATCCGTAGCAGTGGTCGTGGTGGTCGTGGTAGGTACCTGTACCCGTACCTAGGGATTCACGGCGCAAAAGTAGATGCGATATATCTTGAAGCAGGGCGTTGAAACAAGCTTTTTATGTCTCATTTGTTTAATTGATATTTTGGGGTTGTGGACAACGGAGTTTGAATTTATGTGATTTAAAGTTGTGATTGGGTTCTATAACATTTGGGGAATAAATAGATATATCCTAGACATCTGCCTACTGGGTAATTATGTATCATTATGCTTATTTGTCAAGCCATATCATATTCCATATAGTCTCCTCATCCGCCTACCGCCCGCCCGAGACGTCTATCTTTCTCTATTCCCTTACCCATGGCGAACCAGCTACCCAGCTAAATGAACTCCCTATACATACCGGCTTCACATTTTAAAAGCAGCGGATCTCCGAAATTCTACAGCTCGGCACTGCATTCCAAGATAAGCGAGATGCATAACGCTGTAAAGTCTGACCATGGGGCGTTCTTCACCTTACATGGAAGTACATAGCGAACCTGATGGACTACAATTGAGGCGCATAGACAGAGGGAGGGGTAACTGTGATTGTTTTAGGAATGAAGGGCGTTGATAGTGACCGTGAAAGTCTAGGAGGGACGGACGTCGTTGTGGGACTGTTATTTGAATTGTGTAGTTGAAGCTAGACATGGAATTGAACGAATTAGACATGGTTCAAACTGAATAATCAATGGACGTATTGAGAGTTTGTGGAAGAATTGAGGAAGACGGTATATCGTTTGCCGCACTTATCATTCAACAACTCTGTACGCCTCAGTTTGTGGTCGTAAATAGTTGGCTATTTCTTTTTAAAAGACTCCACACTCTAGCTAATCACAGTAAACAATTCGCAGATAAGCTTTCTCCATAAGCCCTAAGCTGTTCGTAGCTACACTATCGACCAAGTATCTCTCCTCCCGTCTGAGGCATTTCCTCGTAGCCCTAAACCGTCTGCACACCCATGTTTATCTACAAGCTTGTTTCCCCCATCCTCCAAGACCAATTGACCAGCTGAAAACAAGTGAACCTATGGAATCGCACCCGAACGCAAAAGGTACCACAATTGGCTTGGAGTGCAGGTGTTGGAGGAGGGGTGCGGCGTGCGATCTGATTGGATACCCCGCGTCTTCAGCTGCTCGAAACTAACTATATTCATCGCTTTGTTGATATCGGATGGTCCGGGTATCTCGCTCTGGACATATAAATTATCTCCGACATGTCCTATATATTTCTTGCTCGCTCTCCGGAAGCCAAATCGCTAAGAAAAACCACAAAGTAAGAAAAGCCATAATTCAAGAGAAAGGAAAAAACATGTCCTGTCCCGACTGTTTCCGCGGCAGCGCCAACATCCACTCCGGCACCCCAACCGGCCAGGACACCACCATCCACAACCTCAAATGCTACATCGCGACCCCTCCCAACCCCTCCCCTTCAACCTCCACAATCCTCTTCCTCCCCGATGCATTCGGCTACGAATTCATCAACAACCGCATCCTGGCCGACGCCTACGCCGCTCAGACGGGCTTCCGCGTGCTCATCCCGGACGTCATCCCAGGCGGCGCATGCTCCACCTCCGTCATGCTCGACATGGACCACCTGGACGACCCAGTGAAATGGTGGGACGTGCCGCGGCAATTGGCGCGCGCGTGGGCGGTCGTGAAATTGATTTTCAACTTCGCGCCGTTTCTGATCCGCGCGAGCCCGTACAAGACGTACCCTGCGATGCTGGAGTTTGCGAGGAAGTTGAAGGCGGAGAGTAAGGCGGGCGGCGGGAAGTTGGGGGTGTGTGGGTTCTGTTGGGGTGGGTTGCCGTCGACGTTGTTGTGTAAGGAGCCGGCTGTTGAGGGCGGGAGCGAGAGGCTCGTTGATGCGCATTTCACGGCTCATCCGAGTCGGGTGGATGCGCCGGGGATGATTGTCGAGGCGGTGCAGAAGTTCAAGGTCCCGTATTCGCTGGCGATTGGGGATAATGATTTCGTCATGGCGAAGGGGGAGGTGGAGAAGACGGAGGCGAAGCTCAGGCAGGTGGTTGGAAAGGGCGATGGAGAGAATGGGTTTCATTATGAGGTCGTGACGTATCCCGGATGTGGGCATGGATTTTCGGTCAGGGCGAAGTTGGGGGATGAGGTCGCTGCGAAAGGGGCGGAGAAGGCATTGGAGCAGGCAGTTGCGTGGTTCAAGCGGTGGTTGTGAGAGTATTATACTTGGAGAGATCGTATGCTTTGCTTGGTCCATTTGTCTCAGTTTGACTGCGAGAAATGTGTTGGAAGTTGATTCAGGTCGACATGATTTTTTTGAAGGAATGAAAGTCGGCTATATCCTATATAGTAGTCAATAGCTAGATTTGTTTAAAGGAATGAAAGTCGGCTGTATCCTATATGGTGGTGGATGACTGAATACCCACTTAATATCACGTTCAAATTATAAAAGCTCTGACTGGCGAAGATGCTTGCAATTATATGATGCTATCGCTTGTTTCTACAAAGGTGAGATGCCCTGGACTTTGATGTGCGCAGTAGGCAGTGAAAGCGAGCCTGTCTTGCTATATCAAAAGTCTGTCGCTATGCTATGTCATGCCATGTACATCCATCAACAATCAATACCGCTGATTGTTATCATGGCCAAACTGTTGCTGGTATCCCTGATTGGGTTGGTAGCCCTGATTGTGCTGCTGGTAGCCTCCCTGCTGCGGCTGCTGCTGGTAATCACCCCCTTGATAGCCCTGGTTCCCACCATATCCTTGAGTTTGCCCTTGATGCTGGTACCCTAGGTTCTGTGAATATCCTTGGTTGTGATCATAGCCCTGGTTCGATTGGTACTGCGGAGGTGGCGGGTACTGATTTGGTCGCGAGTCGTAAGAATGATCTTGCGGCGGCCTATACTCCAGCTGTGGACGATGTTCATCCGGTCGGTACTCTTGGTTATTATGATGCTGCGGAGGAGGGTTGTATCCTTGCTGTCCGTGAGACTGTCCCTCATGATACTCCTGCGGTGGCGGTGGCTTGTAGTCACCCTGCGATGGTGGTCCCCCTTGGCTTCCAGTGTTTCCACCGATCTGCGTGTTTGAGGTTGGTGCCCCAACGCTGACATTCTCATTGCCAATATCATCCGGCACGGAGATCTTCACATTAGGCAAATATCTCTGCACCTTTTCTTCAACAGTTCGATGGACGAAAATCCAGCTCTCGCGCTCGAACTTGCGATGTCCGCCATTGACAACTCCTAGAATGCTTTCACGGAGCGTCTCCTGGACCTTTCGCACGAGATCACGGATCTTGCTGAGCAATTTGGACTTGATGTCGTCTCCGAACCCGCGGTCCCTCTGACCGCCAGCATCACGGTCAAGCTGGGAGTCAAACGGATTGCCTCCGAGGATCTTCTCCAGTGGGCGTTGGAACTGGTCAGGCAAGAGTTCAAACAACTGCTTCTCAATCGCACCCAAGATCTTGCGGAATTCGAGTCGAACCTCGCGATGGACTTTGGCAAGACCTGTGCTGAGCTTGTCGCTAATGACCTTGGAAAAGCCGCCGCCTCTCTCTCCGTCACCATCGCGATCCTGGTCCCCGAAGCCCCTCGATGACTCTTCCCCACTGGAATGCTTCTTGCTTCCAAACAGCCCTCCGAGGCCCTTCACGAGATCTTTAACCTGATCCTCAATCTCGGCTTTGGCGCCATCACCGAGGTCTCGCGTGCTCGTATTTCCGCGTAGCCAGCGCTTGATGTGGTCGAGCGCAATGCGTGTGAACTGCTCCGCGATGGGTGCATGCTGCATTCGTAGCTTCTCCCCGACCTTTTCCTTGATTTCTGGGCTGATGAGTCGAGCCTTTTCCTCCGGATTCCGCGAGGCATCCTTGACAGTATTGCTCAAAATACCGAGAAGGCCATCCAGCTCAAACCCTTGACCTTTGTTTCCGTTTCCGTTGCCGTTGTTATCAAGGTGCTCTTGCACGGCATTAAAGGCGCTGGAGAGAAAACCCTTCGCACCTCCAGAGGTATCAAAGCCACGAGACTGCGTGTCTCCCGAGTTGCCACGGCCCTCAGTGAGGTCAAAGATATCTCGCAAGTCATCACCAGCCTCGTCGGAGATCTTGCTGAAGCTGCGGGTCAATTTGGCAATCTCGTCAGCAAACGGCAACGATTGACCGCCATAGGCATCTGGTGCGGCATCATTTAGATTCCACGGTCCTCGTGAGCCATCTGAAGAATTATTTTTGTCCTTATTGAATAAAGATCGGAAAGCGTCGACGACCTGTCCTTCTAGACTGTCGATGGTTTTCTGTTGGAAAGTCTCGAGCTCGGCGGTGATGCGGGGTTGAATCTGAGGGGCCAGCGAATCGACATACTCGTCGACCTTCTTCATCAACACCTCAGGGACGCCACGGGAGGACATGGTCGTGATTTTTGATGTAAGGGACCGAGGAGTTAGTGTTAGTGCCGGTTAAGGCAAGGGGGCAATTCCCGTTTGGTGAAGGAGTCCGGATGAAAGACGAGGGGACGTGGGGTAGAGCTCCCATTCTCGAAGATGACGTCGCCAATAGTCGCACGGACCGCATCAGCTCATGGTTTTCAGAATTAACTTTGTCGGATTCACAACAGTATACTTCGGATTGATCATATTGTGTGATTGAGTTTTTAATGCACTACGGTGCGATGTAAATGGAAGCCGTGAATCATTAATAAGTACGTAAACAGTCTACAATTTTGCCTTCTCTGCAGGACTGAATTCCCTTCGCTCCGGCCCACCTCGACTTCCATCGCCCGCAAAAGGATTGCCCTGCTTGGCATACTCTTCCCTGAACCTCCACTTCTGAGCCAATTCCGCGGGCAAGGTCTTTGTGAATGCCTTGGAAGAATACTTGCCAAGCACGGGAAGGAATTTGAAACCACTGTGATGAGTTAGTCGCGCGGACAAACAGTTACAGCGATGAGAGAACTTACTGTCCACTACCACCAGTGGCAAGGAATAGGTTAGAATGGTCAGGATGAAAGTCGAAAATGAAATCCCCGGTCGGCGTATCCGTGTACCAGCACACAGCCGTGCGGTCGAACGGACGTGCAGCGATGTCAGGCAAGATCTCCCTGAGGCCATCGCGCAGCCTCTTGATTCCATCTTCCGGTGCAAAGTTTGGACGGGCACTTCGCGGAGCCGTAGGGGGCGTCGAAAGAGACTTAGATGCCTCTCCGACGTTAGGCTCCGTTCTTGTGTATCCCCAGCCGTGGATTGCACACTTCAGGTACGCGGTATCTTCGTGCGGGGGAAAGCAAAACCATCCGGAGTCGAAGTTGATGTAGATCGGTAAGTCCTTCAATCGCTTCACTTCTTCGGGTGTGAGTTTTGTGAATGCGAGAACTTGTCCGGTGGTGAGGGCGGAATTGTACATAGGCACCAACGACGAGGTCCAGGCGCCTGTTGCGAGAATGAAATGTTGTCCAGTGACATTGTGCCCACTCTTCGTTTTGACCGCAGTTATTCGGCCGCTCGATGCGTCCTTCTCAAGTCCTGTTACAGTTCCCTGGGCACCGCTGATGAACGAGATACCCCTTTCGATGCAGAGATTGCGGAAGAGCGCCACGCCCTTTGCAGCATCAGCCCAGCCTGCAGCCGCGTTGCTGTATCCGACCAGATCAGGCTGTAGTAGATCGCCGGTCAGAGTGGGAAATATCTCTTTCGCCGTCTTAGCATTTGGTAGTTTGGTGTGAGCAAGTCCCAGGTCGGTGAGATGGGAGACACATTTGTCAACCCACTTGCGCCCGTAGGTGTTGTTCTCCGAGACGACAGCAGCATAAGGCGTGGAGTAGAAGATACCCTTATATTGGGGCTCGGAAGACCAGCTTTCATATGCTTCTTTGGCAATCTTGAAGTACGTGGGATCTGAGTAATCAAAGCGGATGATCCGCGAAATATCGACACTTGAACCATCCGGGACCTATCATTACTTATTAGTCTTAAACTCGCAAGCACTGCAGAGAAGACTTACTGGAGGCACATGGCGATCTAGCACCACAATGTCTTTATATCCAAGTTTGCTGAGCTCTAGGGCCGTGGACAGGCCAAAGACTCCAGCTCCGACGATGACGATTCGTTCGTTTAATGCCATATTAACTTCTGAGACTTCGGATACAACAGTCTTAGATTCTGCAACCCTTCTCTGATTCTTTTCTAAGTGCTGTGGTTCAATAAATTTATCGTGACGTTGCTGAAGAACATGCAGAGTCAAAATATATAATCCGAGCAACACGGTCCGGCCCGGAGTAACGATAAGCTGTACGACGACTAGATTTGCGATCACATCATTTTCTCCAGTGCGGTTGGTTGAAATCCGGCCCTCTGATTTGCCTTTCGTATCTCAAGTGGGGACGGATCTTTTCTGTTGCCCTAAATCGTCTTCGATATTCCGGTCACGTGAGCGGATTTAGACTTATCACGGACCGTTGTCCGCACCTCATCCATCGTTATCAATGTGCCTGAAGTTGAGCCACATGCCATCGAATAGCGAGAGAAGCGAAAGTGTACGCAGTAATCGACATTCACCTTATCTAAACAGAAGGACTCGCCACGCCTGTGAGAATTGCCGGTACGTTTTTAGTTGCCCTTTCTCTTTCATTGATTCTGATCAGAGGTAGTCGGAAGAAATCAAGATGTCCTGGGGAGAAGCCAGAATGCTCATTCTGCACCCGACTTAAACAGAAATGTGTATATGTGTCAAGTGATCGTCTGAGTGGCCGAGGTATAGATGGTGGTGGTGACACCCGCGAGAGGCGGAACACCACAGACCGGCTCGAAGCATCGACAGACGCAACATCAGAGCGGCTCAGATCGATTGAATCCAAGTTAGAATCCCTTACCGATGTCCTTGGGTATGAATGCTATCTTCATAAACGTTTGCATGCATCTAACATGATATACAGCTCTCGTCTTCCACAGACAGACCAAAGCCAGAGACATGCACACACACCTCACGAGCGACACACTCCACCCGACATTAATCTATCTAAAGAACTTATCTCTGAAGGAATTGAATTGTACTTTGCCCACTTCTGCAACCAGCCATGTCCGCTGTTCGATCATCTACGCCTGTCTCCATCCTTCCACCACTTCTCGCCAATCGTCCTGTATCCCATGTTCGCACTGAGCCTGCGTGCATCAACACATCCGGAGCTATCAACCCACGCACAACGACGCTCCTTAATCCGAGATCTCACCTCCAAATCATGGACCCTCCTCGTGAACGCGTACGCCGAGTTCGAAGTAACCAACGCCTACTTCCAAGCCCTCTGTCTCCTCGCGCAAGTCGATTTCGGCGAAGGAAACCCAGATCGGGCGCGCGCGCAACTAGCCCTCGGCCTCCGACTCGCGCAGAGCCGCGGGATGCTGGATCGAAAGTACTACGACAGCGTGGGATCCGTCGGGTCGACGTGTGCGCAGGAGATCGTGTGGACGATGTTCATGCTGGAGAGGATGTACATCGGAGGCACAATCCGCGCGCCGTCGATCCCGAGCGCGATGTTCAATTTGCCGACGTTTGAAGGCGGTCCTTCGTTGCCAGCTACGAACGATGTGAGTCGTGATGCTTCGGGTTTCAGACCGCCGTATAAGTCGCCGGGGATCGTGGAGATTGGGATCAGGATTGTTAAGATTTGGGAGATGGTGATCGTGGATATCAACCACCCGACGACGGATACTGATGTTCCGTTTTGGAGACACGATTCCATCTGGGCGGCGATACTATCCAGTCTCCTGGATTTCGAACTTGGTGAGTCTATTCAAGAAAACAACAGATTCTGTATGTATGACCTCCTAACCAAAACCAGACGGCGAACAACACACCTACGCCTCAATGGGCCCGCCCGCCTCCGCCCTCGAAAAACCACACCTAAAACCCTACTACCTCACCTGGCTCTTCTACCAACTCGTCCACTCCGCCATCCACTGCTGCCTGTAATAACCCCTACCCTCCCCTCATCTCCCCCCCAAACCAACCATAGTATCCTAACGCAAATCGCAAACGCAACTAGATACCACCCCTTCATCATCCTCACCAAAACGCAATCCCTCTCCAACCGCGTGCCCCTGACCTTCCTCCAGAAATCCCACCACTCCTCCCTCATCTACGCAAACTGGGTCCACCGCTTCCTCGTCGAGTCCTCCGCCGCGCACCTCCCCGTCCACCACTGCCCGTTCCTCGCCTACCTGGTCGGCATCGTCGCGTCGATTCACCTCGAATCGAGCAGCTCGTCCTCGAACAGTGCGGCGGGCTCGGCGATTAGGAAGTTTGAGAAGTGCGTTGAGTTTCTGAGGCGCGTGGCGCGGGAGTCGTGGCCGGGTGTGGCGCGGACGGTAGGGGTGCTGGAGAGGTTGAGGGAGAGGATGGGAGGGACAGGGAGGGAAGGGATGAGTTATGTGGAGGTGGAGTATGATGGCGGGGTGCCGATTGGGAGGGCGAGGAAGGTCGGGCTCGAGGAGGATGAGGTGGAGTTGATGTGGAGTTTGTTTGACTTTTCGGGGGTGGCGAGGGGGGAGGAGGCTGAGGTGAGGGGTGTGAGAGGGGATGAGGAGATGGGGACTGGGATGGAGGCTGAGAGGGTGGCGGGTGAGGTGGGAGATGTGAATGTAGAGGTCACGGCGGAGAGCGATGTCGATGCGATTGATTCGTTTGCTGGGGTGGATTGGTCGGACTGGTCGTTGTTTGGCAGGCCGTGGTTGGCATACTTTCCCCCAGATCACGACATGGGGTTTCAGTGATGGAGTTACAGTTGTGTTGTGTCTTCTTTGGGGAGCTAGAGGAATGAAATCGTGTATTGTCGAGCTCCTTCCTAGATTTGCTATATTTAAAGGGTAGCTATGAGAAGGCTAGCGGAACATTCATGCTTCTTAATGAACTATAACACCATTCTTCAAATTGATAGCCGAAGTAGCAACTCCTAAACTAAGCAACCAAAAAGACCACCCAAGGGAATCACGAGAATCATGCGTTAACTCGCAGCACCAAACTCCAAACTCCGACTCCAGTCGACAGACAGGAAATACGTGAAGGCTGCCTCCAAGTTACTTATGAAACCGCTTCTTCTGACTCCATCGTACCGCTCCGCCACCGAGACTTTATCAAACAACGACGGTCGTACTACACACTACGTCCCCTCGCCCTAAGCTGGAACCCAGGACCCGTATAACTATACCCCCTCATTAGCACACTTCACCCATACCAAGTAAACGGCAAGGAGGGCCGGGGAACTTACAACGTAAACAGCAAATCAACCCACCTCATCACATCCTCCTCGTCCTCCACCCCATCAGCAGGGACATCAATCGCCAGCTCGAACCGTCGAAACAGCGTCGCGAGTAGGAGGTACGCTTCACATAGCGCCAATCTGCCACCACCACCGCCGTTGTTAGTCTACTGTCTCATTCCGGAAACGGAAAACACGTACTCTTTACCCAAACACTGCCTCGTCCCGCGGTAGAAACTCGCCATATGGGCGTCTAGGCGCGTGTTCAACGCATACGACGACGAGGAGTTCGACGGCAAGGACGATGAAGAGGATGCGGGGGAGGAGGAAGGATCCGGCGAAAGCCATCGGGAGGGGCGGAAGGAATTTGCGTCCGGTCCCCATGTGCCGGGGTGGCGGTTGAGGATGTGGGTTGAGGTTACGAGGATGGTCTGTTGTGAGAGGATAGGAAGGGAGAGGTTAGTATGGTGTGGAAGGATGGAAGGGGGGGAGGGATGAGAGCTTACGCCGGGTGGGAGGACGTGGTCATAAAGTGAGAAGCCGGATTTGGGGACGCGGCGGGGAGAGCGGCCTGGGAAGGGGGAGCTGTAGCGGAGGGACTCTTTGATGACTGCTGTCTGTGTGAGGGTTTTGGTTAGCCACGAGAGGTGGGATTGGAGGGGAGAGGGGAATGAATGGATACCAGGTACGGGAGACGTCTCGCACGCTCGTACGTGATGTCTGTACCATCGAGGCTGAACGCGGAAGAGAGTTCGTCGACGAGGCGCTCATGGACGTCGGGGTTTCGTAGGATCTGGTAGATGCCTGAGATCAGGGTGTTGGCGGTTGTGTCGTTTCCTGCGGACAATAAGATGATGGCTTCTTCGGTGAGTTCGTCGCGGTTAAGAGGAGTGTGGGATCTTGAAGGGTTGGGAGTGGTGAGCATGTCGAGGACTATGGATGTGTTCTTCGTCGCCGGCGTGGATGGTGGAGCGTCGCTGCAAGATTTGGCAGTGGTGGATTGGCGGGAGTTGAGGTATTCATCGATTAGAACAGTGCATCTCTGTGGTATCATCAATAACGCATCCACACCATTTTGAAGACAATACTCACCCTCTTGAAATCCATAATCGGAATAGGAAGCAAGCGCTCCGACAGCCAGTCTGGCAAAGCCAGCGAAAACTTGGTTAAATTCGGGAACGTCGTCGGAGTCCATCCCATATCGCAGGTTGCTTCCAGATCTTCCATGAACCTGTTTCTGAAATCTGGTTCGTTTATACAACCCAACGGGTTCCCGAGGACAATAGAGGAAACGACATCCATAGTGAACGCTTTGAGGGCCGCAGAGATGTTGATTGGTTTCGTTGGATCAGCGAACTGGTTGAAGCGCTGAAGGAGCTCATCCACCTTCTCTTTGACGTCCGAGGACAGTTCCTGGACGCGAGAAGGAGAGAATGCGGGAGACAAAACCTGTCGTCGTATTCTGTGCTTGTGGGGATCTGATTCTGCCACGGACGTACCCGGGAACAGGATCAGGCTGTAGAAAGATGGATCTTTCGTGAATTGCGAGCCCACTTTGGTCATCTCAAGATAGACATCTGGGTCACTGATGTGGAGCTCGTTTGGTGCGATGCGAACCACAGGACCTGGGGAAGATTAGGAGTCAGCTGTAGTTAGGGAAAATGATATTCAGACTAACCTAGCCGATCATGGAGACGCTGGATCTCGAAGATCAGGTGGCCCTTGTGGTAAAAGTTCCAGTACCATTCGTACCTAGCATATCGTATATCAGCGACGTACTATAATTGGCAATATCGGATGCACCCGCAGGTGTCTTACCATGGCTTCGAGATCGCAGCCAACGGGGAGCCAGGGTAGCGAGACAAAGGGTGGAAGAAAAGTCGATAACATGCCCGCAATATCCAGAAGATACAATAGAGTACTACCAATGCAGTGAAAATATATGAAAGGTCTTTCAGAGAAGCCATTCCGGAGGGTGCGGTTGAAGGTCAACGTGGCACAGGCACGGTAAGCGGGAGTATCCTAATAGATGTACCAGGCGATTGGGTATACTATCTTTCTAGAGCGCCAATCGATTGCACCCAACTCGACAACAGATTTTCGTTGCAAGATGTGTTTCACCCACCTTTTCGAGAAAGGAAAATTTGCAAATAAGAAGGAAGAAAGTGTAGCATAGGTTCACATTCGCCAGGTAGTCCATGATATATCTGGTTTCGCAGACTGGTGATAGCTGCAAGAGGCATACAGGGGTGCTTGCGGCACGTACCTATGGTTCGGCTGTATAACGTGAGACGAGGCGCTTTTGCAGCCAAATCAGCTATGTCGAAAAACACCATGAGGTTGTAGGCAGTGATATTTACGGCGCAGACTGTGAACGATGTTGACGATTGCAGCCCCTTGATTGGATGTACTGCCTACTGAAGGAATATGATGTGAAGGCGCTGATAGCATATTCCGTTTATGTGTGAAACGTAGACGAAGTTCGCCCTCAGGGACCAACCTAGACCCTCACCACGCGACCATCGAGCAAGTCTTGGGAGGAACATTGCCTCTGGACTTCGCAAGGTTGAGATTCCTCCAGTACAAGCGATGAGGCGAGAGTCAGGACTAGAGGTTGTTGAAAGAAAAAAGAAAAGCCCGTGGGCGTCTAATGCAAGGTGATAAAAATCGAAATCAGTTAGAACGATGATTGTGATTACCCCTAAACCAGCGAAGGATCGAATGTAAAAATACTTGAGGCGAATACTTTCAGATACTGTCTGTGTTATTATGTACATTTGTGTCGATAATGATATAGTGATGGTGATGGTATATTTATGCAAATATGTATTACATTGTTGTCGAAGTAACATGGGGGATATTATTTGGTTCAATCGCAATAAATCTGCTCATCATGTCAGAGAATCGTTGTTTTTGCAGTTTCTTCAGCTGCATTGATTGATCAGAGAGGGCGGCTAGCAATTCGAAATTATGGCGTAGCATTCTGTTCACGTGACGAGGTGCACAGGAGTCATTCACGATTCGTCGGTCATCCGCAATAATACTCATAGAAAGCAGTTGAGATCTGGATCTCCGATGCGATCAGATAAGAAAAAGAAAGGTAGGGCTGGACCCTTTCGATGATAAATTGAGGTTTTGGATCTCTGTAGGGATTGCTTGCGTTGTCTAGCCTGATGGAGATAAGTTGGTGGTACGATGCATCGGAGGTGAGGTGATGTCATGGAAGCTAGTTGGGTGGGTAGCTCTGGTAGCTTACGAGGTACATAGCTAGGTGGCTAGCTAGTCGTGCCGTTCAGAGCTTTGTAGTCGGTCCTGAACGTGACAGTTGCAGGAGTTTGATGGAGAAGTGGCAATAATGGTGATGTTAGAGATGTACGAGGTAGCGTCTGTATCGGTGGGTTTAGTTAAATACTAGGTAGGTGTAGGAGAAGAAGATTGAGAGCACCTGTGGTGACATTACGCAAGGGATGATGGAGATGATGTGATTGGTCAATGTCTCTGGCGGGGAGGGAACAAGGACGGACCGAGGCTGTAGAGCATGGCACGAGTAGAAGAGAGAGTTTGAAACAATAACAATACAAGCAGGAAGATATGAGCAGATATTAGTGTCGAAAACGTAAGAATGCATTCGATGTTTCATAATCGACGGGCCATGGTTTTCAATATATAATGAGGATGAAGTATCCCGAGAGCTGTGAACCAGTATCGCCGGTATGCTAGAACATAGTACGTAGCACCCATGCTCCTGATACTGCTAAGGGGCATCAAATCAATTGGCTTCAATTGGCTATCGCATTCATCATTCCATCTCCTTTTTGAAACAAAGTACGTAACTCTCTCGGGTATTGACGGTGAAGATGATGTGAACGAGGTGAACAAGTGTTTACTTGAAGGGAGAGAGGAAATAAAACTGGGGCGCTGTGGTGGCAGGTCGGAGCCGCTTCTTACCCCGCATTCTCGCTGTTATGGGTAATTTATGTTGCATTATGATTACTTATTCATCATTCGGTGATCCCACATTGAACAAATTAACAGAGAAATGGACAATAAGGCAGAGTGCAGCAATGTCAATCGTGATCGTGATATCTGTGAAGAAATGAACTATTGTTTGTAGACATGTGTTGGTATCAATAGGCGTGTAGCCTCGGGTGTGGTGGGCATCGGAAGGTGGAGGGGAGGACTAATAGGAAAGAGTCCAGAATCCGATGCTGACAATCACCGTCTCTTATAGCAGATCGATTGAACAGCACAGCAACAACGGTCGCACTACGAACACTACTGGGACGTGATTAGAGCAGCAAAAGGAACATCAAACCTTATAGAGCAAGTGTTTCCGATCCGCTACTTGCTCTAACCCTGTCGTCTAGGAAGCAATTGGTGTTGAACGAAAGGTGATGGTGGGGCAACACTGAGTGGGCATTCGTCAAATGACGGAAGTATTCCACCATCTTCGCACTCTTTGGGTACAGTACAGCACAAGAATGATACACACTAAAACGAAGATAGGTAGCAGATGATTACTGCGATTATTGTTACGAGTAGCGGTATGGATGGGGACTTGATTAGCAGAGCAGATGGATCCAGATGCTTTGTCGATCGTGGAGCTTCATCATCAGCATTGCATTGTTATTGTACGAGGTACATACCGCGTACCCAAGTACCTAGCTATATTGTGTAGTAAAGGTACTTGTAGCTGTACCTGGTACATACGAGGCTGTTCAGGGTTATTAGGTGTCGCGCCATCCATCCCCACTCATTGATCGTTGTCACTCGTTCCTTCCTCTTGCAAGTCACCAGTCACCACCCACCACTCACGATTGCGGGGCTCTTTCCGTTCGCCTTCGCTGCTGCCAATTGCTGTCCCTCTCCCCACCCACCCAACCAATAACCATCCATCACCAATCATATGCCTTCTATTATTACGAGTACCTAGAGTACCTACAATCCCCTTCCATACAATTTTCAGGTGTCAATTGCCCTACCGAGCAACCATCTGATAACCATCACCACTCAATTCATACCATTTCTAACTAATTGAGCCTATGCACAACTGTATTGCATTGATTCGAACATCCATATGTTGTTCCTCAATCTCCCGTCCGAACTGTAGTTGTAATTTCGTGTAGGTACTTAGGTAGTCGTTGCTGTGGTAATAGCAAAATCCTCTGGGCGTACGAACAGCCGCGGCGCGGGGTAAGTGCATTCGTACCTCCCTACCTAGGTACTTGTAACTTGTACTAGTAAAGGTACTTGGTAAGGTAAGGAAAGGTAAGGAACGGTAAAGTATATATAATAGCATCATCCTCGCCAACCCCACTCCCACCTCTCCAGATGCGTCTCCTCTCCTTCTCCTCTTCTTCCTCATACATCTCCCACATCTCGCCACTTCATCAACTACTCCGTCTATCTACCACCAGATACCCCCGATACCCTTCCACCACCCCCAGAAAACCCACATACCTATACACACACCAGTTCCGCAACATGTCTCAGGGTGAATGCCCCGTCAGGAAGGCAAACGTCGGCGGCGGCGGCACCAGGAACCGCGACTGGTGGCCAGATGAGCTCAAGCTCAACATCCTCCGCCAGCACACCCCCGTCACCAACCCCTTCGGCACAGAGGATTTCGACTATGCCGCCGCATTCAAGTCGCTCGACTATGCTGCCCTCAAGAAGGACCTCCACGCCCTCATGACCGACTCCCAGGACTGGTGGCCCGCCGACTTTGGCCACTACGGCGGCCTCTTCGTCCGCATGGCCTGGCACAGCGCGGGTACCTACCGTGTCTTCGACGGTCGCGGCGGTGGCGGCGACGGCCAGCAGCGTTTCGCTCCCCTCAACTCGTGGCCCGACAACGTCTCCCTCGACAAGGCCCGCCGCCTGTTGTGGCCCATCAAGCAGAAGTACGGCAACAAGATCTCCTGGGCCGATCTCCTCCTCCTCACCGGCAACGTCGCCATTGAGAACATGGGTCTGCCTCTCACCGGCTTCGCCGGCGGCCGTCCCGACACATACGAGGCCGACGAGTCCGTCTACTGGGGCGGCGAGACCACCTGGCTCGGCAATGACGTCCGTTACGAGCATGGCCTCTCCGGCCCAGGAAAGCGCGCCGTACTCGACGGCGACGAGTCCAAGAAGGACAACAAGGACATCCACTCGCGAGATCTCGAGGAGCCCCTCGGTGCCGCCCACATGGGTCTGATCTACGTCAACCCTGAGGGCCCCGACGGCATTCCCGATCCCGCCGCCTCCGCTCGCGACATCCGCACAACCTTCGGCCGCATGGCCATGAACGACGAGGAGACGGCCGCCCTTATTGCTGGAGGCCACGCCTTCGGCAAGACCCACGGTGCTGGTCCCACCGAGAACGTCGGTGACGAGCCGAACGCTGCCCCCATTGAGGCCCAGGGCTTCGGCTGGCAGAACAAGTACAAGTCCGGAAAGGGTCCCGACACCATTACCAGTGGTCTTGAGGTCATCTGGACCAAGACCCCCACTAAGTGGAGCAACTCGTACCTCGAGTACATCTACAAGTACGAGTGGGAGCTCACCAAGAGTCCCGCCGGTGCCAACCAGTGGGAGGCCAAGGATGCTGATGCATTCATTCCAGACGCCTTCGACCCCAACAAGAAGCACAAGCCGCGCATGTTGACCTCTGATCTTGCCCTCCGCTACGACCCCATCTACGAGAAGATCACCCGCCGCTGGCTCGACCACCCCGAGGAGTTGGCCGATGCCTTCTCCAAGGCCTGGTTCAAGCTGCTCCACCGTGACCTGGGCCCCCGCTCCCGCTGGCTCGGTCCCGAGATCCCCAAGGAGGTCTTCCTCTGGGAGGACCCCGTCCCCGCCGCCGACGGCGCTACCATCGACGACAAGGACGTGTCGAACCTGAAGCAGCAGCTTCTCTCCACCGGAATTGAGCCCAACAAGCTCATCCAGACCGCCTGGTCTGCCACTTCCTCCTTCCGTGGCAGTGACAAGCGCGGTGGTGCCAACGGTGGCCGTCTCCGCCTCGAGCCCCAGAAGAACTGGGAAGCCAACAACCCCAAGCAATTGGCGCAGGTCTTGAGCAAGCTCGAGGAGGTCCAGAAGAACTTCAACAGCTCTGCTTCCGGTGGAAAGAAGGTGTCCATCGCCGATTTGATCGTCTTGGGAGGTGTCGCCGCCGTCGAGAAGGCCGCCGGAACCAGCGTGCCCTTCACCCCGGGCCGTACCGACGCCAGCCAGGAGCAGACCGACGTCCAGGCCTTCGAGCACCTCGAGGCTTTTGTTGACGGTTTCCGCAACTACGGCAAGGGCACCAAGCGTGTCCGCACCGAGCAGTTCCTCGTGGACAAGGCCAACCTTCTCACGCTCACCGCACCCGAGCTTGCCGTGCTCGTCGCCGGTCTCCGCGTGCTCAACACCAACTGGGACGGCTCGTCGCACGGTGTCTTCACCAACCGCCCCGGCAAGCTCACCAACGACTTCTTCGTCAACTTGCTCGATACCAACATCGAGTGGAAGGCCGTCGACGGCAGCAACGAGCTGTTCAATGGTGTCGACCGCAAGAGCGGCCAGAAGAAGTGGACCGCCACGCGCAACGATCTCGTCTTCGGAAGCCACGCCGAGCTCCGCGCCGTTGCCGAGGTCTACGGACAGTCCGACAACGAGCAGAAGTTCGTCAAGGACTTCATCGCAACCTGGCACAAGGTCAACAACCTCGACAGGTTCGACGTCAAGGGCGCTTCCGCTGCCCAGCGCGCCAGGCTATAGATTGGCGAAACAAATGATGACTTTTGTGTTTTAGGGATCTGGGTTTGGGACTGGCAAGGAACGGAAATGAAAGGACATGAACCGGGGGGAATCATACATTCTGAACGAGTCGGAAAAAAAGAATCTATGGGCCTCGCGATGGAATGCAATGCAATGCAATGGAACGACCGTCACGCAACTGTGTATTATCTCTCTTCTCCAAATAGCAAATTTGAGAACCTCCTTTACGTTGAACAACAATGAGAACGAGCCGTGATTGATTTCCTTCGGATACGTAACTTGACTTGTCCTCGTGTCTATGCCAAGGTATGTCCTTTGTGAAAAGATACTAAGGACATAAATGTAAAACCAAAGTAAAATCAACCACGCCACACCACCTTGGCTTCATAAGTCTCAGTCTCAATTTCACTCGTTAACTTCTACATGGAATGACGAAAAAGAAAATGACAGCAACATGACGATCCGCGAAGCATATCTAGACTGACTGGACCCTATTCGAATCGTGAAGAGATGTTAAGTGAACAAATGAAAAGACACAGCGACACCAATGCGTAGCAATTGAGCGCGACGGGTGGTGGTTCGGCGGAGCGGAATCGCCATTCTACGCAAGTCACAAAAGCATAAGTGTTCACGAGAAGTACAGTCTCATTTGATTTCATCTATGGAGAAATTCCTCGAAGCCCAACGCCAGGTACAGGGAATGGCCGTTGGTCGAGAGTGGAGGTAATGCTCGCTCACTTCGTCGTACATCTTCGTCTGTCTTTGTTCGGAATTCCCCAGTGAATGTCGGCCGATAGAAGGTGCTGTTGACCATTGTCTACCACGATGGGCGGCGTGAAAGACCCTTCCAGTCGACTGCTAGTTCTTCGGTGTTGACATCCTAGTCTTTGTCGGGACAGATGGCAGCAGCATCGGTGCCCTGAAGGTGCTTAAACTCTTCATAAGTGGCTCTCAGTATGCTGCCAGGAACCATGCCAACGTCGTTGTAGTAGTAGTCATCGTCGTCCTCCTCGAAGTCGTCGAAGCCAAATTTAATCGACTGAACATGTTTCGGGATAGCTGCGACCAGATTGCGCATTATCTGGCGATACCAAAGAATTTTCCGTGGATTGCGACCAGGAAAGTCCTCGGCATAGCCATGATCATCCCATCTATAGGAGTGTGCCTCAATTGCAATCCTTAACGTGCGTAAGCTTTTCATCGAAAGTAGCTGATCCCACTGACTGCAGTAGTAGAATTTGCCATCGCTGATACTCCCACCACTCCCGCTGACGTCGTCGTCGGTGTTGTTGATAATGATGACCAAATTTTTGATGCTATACAATTCCCAAAACCCTCGATTCATTTTCCGGAATTTCCTGGAATATTCTGTAACCCAAAGAACGGGCATGAGGTTTTCGCAAAATATGTTCATGCGGATGACGAAGAAGTGTTGTGAGTATAGGATAGCCTTGCCTTCCTCGAAGATCTGGCGATTGGTGCGGAGAAACCGAGTAGACCCATCTAACGAAGCTCTACGCGGCTGAAGCGGACACTTGGGTGGCGGACGGGGGACCATACCCACCGAATGTCGATATAAACGTTCGTAATAAGAACCTCTGCGGTCACGATTTTTCCCCACAAGGTATCCGTAGATTTCATCCCTCAGCTCGCGAGGGAGTTCAAGGAACCTGCAACGCTTCGACTCATGGGGCTGATTTGATCTGTATTATAAGTTAGAGGGCTTTTCTAGCACGGCGGGCGCGCAAGATTACTCACAGCTCTTCTACTTCAGCCGACTGTTCGTCTTCTTCGGCTCCAATAGAATCTTCGTCTTGAAACGATTCGTCAGCTGCAACGGCCCCTTCATCTTCATCCGATCCGGCGTCCTCCATCGATACGTCTTCCCCTGAGCTTGTGGCATTGCTGACGGTCTGTTGGTGATCCACAATCACGACCTCGTCGTTGGACACTTCAACGGTAGGTGTGACATCTCCACCGACGGACTTTGGTCCCTGTTTTTCGTCCTCAGTCGACTGCTCCTGGACATGACCAGACACACTCGATCGCGCCTTGGCCGCGATACGAGCACTTCGGCGGAGTGCCTGTGGCGCGCCGCGATCGTCACGACGTGGCGCCATGGTGGAAACAAGAGATAATAGTTGATGTCGTACGACAGAAGTGGCGTTTCTTCAGCGGTCCAGAAATGCGTGTCGGCAGGTGTGCAGCTCCACTCAGGAAGCGTGATCGCCTTTCTGGTGGGCTGGTGCGTGGAAAAGAGTTGGGGGTTTGCAACGAGGGGATGAACTTGAGAGCTTCGTGGCAGGATCTCTCTGGATAGGAGAGTGCTCAGGGTAGAAGAAGAGCGTGTTAGAGATGTCGAAGAGGTCGTCTGGGTTCACTGCGCGGGGGGGCTTTTATATCCTGGGTTTGCTGCAACCGCGCGCCGCGGACGCACGTGCAGGAGTAGTGAAAGGGGAATAGTGCAGTATACAACGCGATTGCGGACGGTGCAATTGCTCCTATGATTGGCCCCAGCAAGCGGAGTGTCAGTTGAAAGAGGATCCATGGCGGATGTATGGATCAGTCTATGCGTACGTGCCACTGTTGCGCGCTGTTTGGTGGGAGTATGCCGCATCTGGACAGTTGCCTGGACACATTCGGCGCTGTACCAATCTTGCTCGCCTGCCTGAGAGCTGATCTGATTGTGGGGCACTGTGACCCATGTGGAGTGCCACTGTTGATGTTTGCTATCAGTTTGAAGGGTGTTGCTCTACCAGTTGAGGCCGTTCCCATGCGCCATACGCGTGATAGCTACACTGAGTCGTTCACGGTGGATGAGGTTCTACCTACGAGCCAGACAGTTTGGCCTCCCCGGGCCTTTTTACATACCCACTTTTGGGTACAGAAGATCCAAGGATGGACTCATAACCCGCCACTGTCGAATGGATGTAGGATCCGGCCACCTGCCCCCACTAATACGTGAGTACCGATTCCTTGAACAATACCCCATTATTCTACTGGTTTGATGAATAGGAGGGGACGCTTGATGAGCAACATCCGGGAAGACGAAGAGATCCGAACTGGGGCTACGACAGTCGTCGTTTTTTTCGCGAGAGGGAAGTAGATGTTGGCGCAAGGAAGCAAACAATTAAGACACGCGGCCGTCGTAGCGACGTGGTTGAGGCTACAGTAGCTGTCGAAGAGAGAGTAAGTGGCACTCATACGATAGCTGAAGTTCTGAACCATCATAACATACATCCATGATATCTAAACTGGGCCCCGATTGATACCCTTCGCCGCCGGATGGGACTCTGATACCCCCACGATGACGATATGATATGGCCGCTCTGGCTGGTATGCCCCTTCTCCGATATTGGGCGCTGGTAGACGGAAATTAGTATCGGCGCTGCGCTTGGAAGCCTATCTCTATAGGCATCAAATGTCTTTTGACCTTGCCTCTAACGTAGGGCCGTATTGGATCGTGAGCCTGTGATGATTGGCCTGCCACATGTTGCGGAGACAATATCGCGGCGTTGTCAATGCCCTCTCAAGAGAAAAGAAGATTTCCTAATCTAATTACTAGCTATACTGGTGTGCCGCGCAAGCTGGCAGCATTTGACACTAGGAAGCAAGAAATATCATCTGTGGCCTGCACGACCACGCTGTTCTGGTGACATTCGCGCAGCGGCAATGAATTATCTATGTTACTGAATGTTGTGATAGTGTACGCTATGCTATGGTTGACAATCGGCTACCGCTACCACAAGGCTGGCTTTGGCGGAGCAGTGACGAACTACGTGTTTCAACGTCCATGTAACAACTTTACCACCTAGGTCTTTTCACATCATTATTCACGCAGTCAACGTACATTTACCAGGGAGATGGGGACACAAGTACTAGATTACGCGTCTTGAGAAGGTTATGCTCATTCCATACTAAATACAGCTTCTAACGCCTCTTCATCAGTAATCTTACTGCTGGATTAGGCACCTCCGATTCGCGCCAACCATAGTTCAATTTTGTCTTTCGTAAAAGTTTGCAGTCATATTCTTGCAACATGTAGACGACAAGATTCTTGACGAAGCGCTCGACCATAAATCTCCCGGGACTGCATTGATAAGCTACACTATTCCTTTAAATCCCTACAGGAGCACTTACCAAGCTAGATTAGGCGTTCCCCACATTGGCCAGTCAACCGAGACATCTCTGAATTTACGCCCAGAGTTAAGATGACGATAAGGGTCGAACACTTCCGGGTTTGGAAACAGTGCAGGATTATTGAAGGTTGCCTGTAGATTGTACTCGACCCAGTCACCCTTCGGCACGGTATATCCGTTTGAAAAGGTGAAGTTACGTAGCGCCGCTCGGTGTACACTCGCTGTAGTTGTAATTAGCTTCAACCTATCCTAAGAGGGTCATACATGACGTACTGGATTCGTATGAGTGAGTCCTAACAGACTCAATCATGAAACTTTCAAGGAATGGCATCGTGTCAGCATTTAAGGTGTCGTAATCAACTAGATGTTCTGCAATCTCCGCACGTAGCGCAGGAATATGTTCCTCGTGGATGAAAATATCCATGATAACATTCGTTGCAATCTGATGTCTTCGTGTTAGCATAAACCTAGTGTCAGGTTTGAGAGGAGTACATACACCACTGGCCAAAACTGTACTAGGCATCCATGCCATTGCGGCTTCCTGAATGAGGCGATCGCGGCTCCAGCTCGGTGGGTGGTTACGTGTCATGAATTCAAGTGCAGACGCCTATGTATTATGCTCAGCTTGTACCCGGAAAGATTCTGACGCGGCAACTTTACATTTCTTGATTTCGAGACCGAATCGGGGCTAATTAAACTTTCTTCAATGTATTTATCGACTTCTGTCGAAGCGACACCGAAGCAATATTTTCGGTGGCTCTCGTTGCCTTGAACAAGGTAGGATATCAGCCTAGATCCCTTCGTTAATATTTAATAAAATGTTTCACCCGGCGTGTCCTACTTGTGACTCCAATTCGGCGTTAGGCGACAAAGCTCAGCCGTGAAGAGAGCACGGTTTCTATACTTCCAAGCCTCGTCTATAAACGTTGGTGAATTCACTAGGGAAAGGTTACCAGGAGATCGAATGAAGGATAGTGGGTGGAACATACTTGCTTCCTCTCCTATAACAAACAGTGTCAAGCTTCTCAGTATCATATTTGTAATCAGTTTCGGGAAAGCAACTTGCACATATCCTGGATAACTTAGTTAATGATTTAAAGAACATCTGAAATTCCGTACGTGGAACTCACCATCGTCTTGCTTTTTGCTCATCGTTGCTTTGGATATATCCTGCTGAATGATCTTGAAGAACATAGGAGAGAAATAAGATAACCGAACAGTCGCAGATCGAATGCCACGGACTACGTGCATGCCCTCTACGGTTCTGGCCTCCGGAACATGAAATCCGCCGAATATCAAGTAAGGCGACAGCATCTGTGATAATTCAGATGGGTTTCAAAAGGCGTACGTTACAAGTCGAGCATACCTGTTTAATCGCAGAATGCAGAGATAGATGGGTTGGATGGGCCTTGGTGAGCTCTCGGTAATGTTCTTTGCTAGACACAAAGTGGATGCGCGCTTTCGGTGTAGGTAGAGAGAACGCATTGATACCATGCTTTCTTTACAATTAGACTGACTCCTACTTGAATGGAGAGTATAATGGATTCTTACGAGGGCTGAAGCTTTCCGAATCATTTGTCGCCCCGATACCAAAAACCGATATCCACGGGGAATATCAAAAACACGACCAAGCAATCCATGACTTCCGAACTGTGCTAAAGGAGCAAGTAAAACAAGAAGGGCAATAATAACGGAGATGGTATTCTTCAGCGAAATTTGAGCGAACAGTTCCTGGGTAAGAATGGCCAACATGGTGAAAATACTGATCGAGACAGTTGGTTATGGCAGTAGCGCTGCCTACAAATGGCGAACGTTGAGCAAAGTCGCATACTAGATGTTAAATTATAGACTGAGCATTGGTCCAGATCTTTGTCGAAGTATCTCAATGCCCAGATCATCATACGCTATGTTGATGGTGTCATCCTCCCGGTCACCTTTGTTTTCTGATACACATAATTTACTTCAAGTGCTGCTTTCTGGCGCATTTAGTTTATCCGAAAGGTTGTCTCTACATGCATGTAATCTACTAGAAAGATTAATTATGACGTCTTTTGTCTCTTTCACGCAATGTTTCTGGTGATCTATCTGCGTATTGGGAAAGACTACCATTCTTGGGAGTAAGAGCCGAATGCTCGTTTATCTTCAGTTTCGGGAAGGTAAGGCACGGGCGCTTATGCAGACCTCTGTCAAAGTGCGCCACAATAGAGCAACACTAATGATCGGTGACAGCAAGGTTACTCATGCTGGGAACTTAAAATTGGGGATTGCTACAGGCGGCCCTGGATGATCCGTTGCAGCATAACAGGCATGTTGTTTCACACCCTCAAGCAGCCAAGATACTGACAGGGCGTGTACTGAGTAAAAGGTATGCGCCCAACTATTAGACCGTTTCTGCAAAATCGTACATATGCATATCGTATATTTTTTGAGACTCTGAAAGATACTTTATATCCTGTTGATTTATTGCCTTAGATGGGCAGAATCGGTTTTTTCCATAGTCGCTTTCTTGTAGCGAGTTGACAATCATGAACTTGTCAACCATGTCTCTTGTTGATTCTGAAGTCATAAGTTATCAGATGTTTTCGTGGTATAATGTCTTTAGACTTATATCGATTGTAACTTTCGCGGGCTATTTCCTGATCTCCTGTTCCAAGTCATCTTCAAGGAGAATTGAGGACAAAGTCAAAGAGCCGCCGATGCTACCGTATTCTTTTCCTGGTATGTAGATGTTAATTTCAATCATGGCTGAGGTGCTAAAACGTTCAAGGGATTGGTCAGTGATGGCACTGATTCTCACGAATATTATCTCATTGAACATAGGGCATGCATTGGCATTCTTGAGGAATTCGGAGGAGGTACTTGCCACAGGGAAGTAAGTGGACAAAGGATTAGATCTTTGGAAGAGGCTTACAAGAGACTGAAGAAAATACTTTGGGTGTACGAATCACCCTTTCGCTCTAAACTTGGGTGGCTCTATCTTTTATGCAATCTTCAACCCAGTTGATGTGGCAGCTGTTTTTAATGCTGGGCCAAAGTTATCGTTCGATGGTTTTCTCCACGGCATAATGGCAGAGTTTGGAAGTAGCCAGACAGCCATTCAAAAGGTTCTCAACGTGCCAGATGAAAGCCAACTTGGCTTATCTCCTCGGCAAAGCGTCAGTGAACTAGCCCATCACTTTCAAGTCAAACAGACAAGCGGAAGCGAGCTGAAGCTACTCATTCAACATATTGTTTGTTTCTTCCAGGAGAACCTTCTGTTAGAGGGGTTGAAAAATCATACCTCACCCTCATTCTACGTGGACTGCGACGGGGAGAAATGTGTGTCCTTGAAGTACTGGACAGCAGAGGTTTTCATCCACGCAGGACAAAACGCTTACTTCGGGGATGAACTACTCAAGATTGATCCAACCCTTCCTCAAGTACTGATGCGAATGGATGAACTAAGCTGGCAGATCTTTTACCGCTACCCATGGTTTCTTCGTCCTGAATTGAATCGCCTGACCAGCCGTCTGCGTTCAACATTGCATCAGTATTTAAAACTACCAAAGCACCAAAGAAAAAGCGTTGCTTGGTTTACCCAATTTCTTGAAAGCGAGTATCGACGTGTAGGTCTTGATGATGAAGACATTGCTGCACAGATGCTGTTTCTGTATTGGGGGTAAGTGATACTAAACCTTTCAATCAATCACAATTTCGCTCACTTAAGTCGTAGAATTAATACCAACGTGTCCAAAGTGGGATACTGGATGATGGCCCACATTGCCTTTGATCCGAGTCTGGCAGAAATCGTGCGAGAGGAGACAGAGCCAGCATTTCAAGAAGATGAGAGTTTGGACGTTGAGTATCTCGCCAACGCATGTCCCCGATTGAATTGTCTATGGCTCGAAGTCCTCCGTCTCTCGGCGTCATCGACTACACTTCGTTACATCACCGAAGATCAAGAGTTAGGAAACTATCTCCTGCGAAAGGGTCGTGCCTTGATGATCTCCGCACGCCAGCTGCACCACGACGAGACGGCCTTCGGAGAAGATGCCCACCTGTTTAAACCCGATCGTTTCTTGAAATCTCCAAAACTCCAGCGAAGCTATTGTTTTCGTCCTTTCGGGGGTGGGAAAACGCTCTGTCCTGGTAGGCATCTGGCAAAGTGGATGGTACTATCTTTTATTGCGATAGTATTTCGACGTTACGATGTGGACCTTGCGAAACCCCAAAAGTTTCCAAGATACCAGGAAAACAAGCCTGCTATTGGCATCATTTCTGGCTGCGATGACGTATTTTTGAGATTGAAGGCACGCAAATGAAGAGGTCTTAGGCGTGCAATCTAGGTATTCCGATCTGTTTTCTATTCTGCGTACGCCCCAATTAAATTTCTCAGATCATGACAATCTACTGGTATCTAATGACTACGTGAAAATCTTCCATAAAACATCATTCTAGCTTGAACCGTAGAGAAATGATGAAGATGCTGTAATTTATCAATGCACGTGGATAACAAAATCCCTGTACGCACGCAGCCCATGTCAGAAGTAGCATATCGAGTATTGGCGCTGCAATTCCCTCTGTCAGCCCTGGCTTTCTGCAGCGTAAGGCTTACCCTTTTCGATCTTACCATGTAATCGGGTCCCCTACATGTGCATAGAGGTTTCTATGCAACTCAGATATCTTCACTCGTCGGACTCCGAGTGAGCGTGCCAACACCTTCCAATACACGGCATGAACCGCCTGTAATCCAGCCTTGCCTTCAGCACTGGAGGAATTACATGCGACCCATAGTGCTAGGCCTTAAAGAGCTCTGACGCACTTTAGGTCTGTAACTACCATAGTTATCCGATTTGATCTTTCCCCTCAAACCTCTGTACTTCGATCAATCATGGACAAAATCCCTCCTGGTGCAGACCTGACTCTCATACCCATTGCCCCACCTCCGTATCCTGGATATGTGCCTAATCTCAATGGAAAGGGGGAACTGGAAGACATGTCGATTGCAGTATGCGCAACGATTGTTGCTCTGCAACTGATACTGTTAACTATCCGGCTCTTTACCAAACTCAAGGCGAAGTCTCGCCTGGCTTGCGATGATTGTACGCCCCAACTTGGGATAAGAAAGTTTCCACGCTCACAACGATTACAGGGTGCGCAGTTATTGCAGCTTTGCTGTCATTCGGTCTTGCCATAACGGTCGTTGGTCAAAGATCTAGAGCAAAGCACATGTGGGACATATCTCTTGCAAGTGCGATAGATCCAACACTAGCAAAGGTACCATTCAGGAAACTCCATACATTCCCCTTCACTGATTAACAAAGCTCAAAAGATCGGTTACTCTTCAATGATTCTGTCCGGTCCTGCCCTCTTCATGGGCAAGGTCACGATGCTCGCCCTCTATCTCACGATTTTTGGACACATTCGCAAAGTCAAGTGGAGCATCTACGCGGTAATGTTCTTTGCGCTTACAACCGTAGTCATGACACCACTGGATGCTGTCAAATGCGGAAGAAAGAAAGGCCAGGGCTGGGGTGAACAAAATCCAGCCTGCGAAGAAACTTATGTTTACGGTGTGGTACAAGGGGTTGTCAACCTCGTAGTTGACCTCTACATTCTCATCCTACCTATTCCTATCATAATGAACCTTAACTTGCCGCTGAAGAAGCGACTCGGCGTTTTGGTAATCTTCCTCACCGGCTCTATCGCGATCGTAGCCGATATCATCGCTATGAAATTCCGTGTCGATCTCGTCAAAGCGAAGGATCCTGCTTGGGCAGGATTTCTCATTCTTTTGCTAAGGTCAGTGAATAGCTCATAGAAGATGATAAACAGCTGACAGGGAACCTATAGTGTTGTCGAGACTGGTATATCGGTTATGTGTTCCTGTATGCCGACACTCGCAAGCTTTGGCCGCCGACATCTCTTCCAATCCGAATATTTCATTGCGATACGCTCATTTTTGTCGTCTAGTCGGAGTCGCGCTTCATCCAATACTTCTTCCTTCTCCCCATTCAGTTACCGGACCTCTAGACCAAAGAAGCGCCTGGACCCGTACTCGATCAACATGCCCACCAATAACTCAGTGAGTCAGCTACATAGCAATGCTTATGTCGAGCTCAACGACCACGGCAGTCTTGCACCTTCGCGGGACATTCAACGAACCACGGAAGTGGAGCAGATTAGTATCCATAACTCGGAAAAATCAGCTGGCCGTATTGTATAAGTGTTCTTTACAGGTTTTTCCACGTTATACGCCAACGCTGCTTCACGAGGAGGGTGATGGATTTCACCAATCAAGTAGTTGAGAATTAAACAAACGACTATGTACAATCACATAAAGCAACCTTTTAGTCTTTCAAGTGATCATCACTCACATCCATTTGGATACCATCCCTCAATCAAGGGAACCCGTGAATGAGTTTGCTCAAAGTTCCCACCATATCCACTTCCCGTCCCGTCGCATCCATGGCTATATCCAACAGGTTACAATACCGATGAACTGGTAGCCCCCTGTAAAATTAATAAATATAATTGGCTCAGCCGTCCAACAACAAGTATTACGGAGTACTGTATCTTTAAAATTTGGTGCCACACCTAAGTAGAATGTAAAACATGCACGTCTTCGCTTATGATTGACCAAATATGCATTTGAAAGCCACCACTCGCAAAACAAAACCCTATTAAACGCTGACATGCATGACCAGGCCCCCCTCCATCTATGCATGAACGACAAATAGATAAGAAGCCCCTCAACTATGTTGCGAGGTATACTAGCTTCCCTCTTCCAATCTACATACCCCGTGGAAGTACTCAATATTCTTCCAAGATGCCTAGGAATAGAGGATATTTCCATGTGATGGTACCATTGGTTGCCTTCTTTCTATCCTATGTTCCAGTCATTCAAGCAGGATACGGGGCTCAGTCATGCGTGAGTTCACATGCAGAGTGATGATAGCCCCCAGAGCTGACTGATGGTGCAGTGTCTTACTCTTGCACAAAACCTGGTAGGTTCTGTGTTTTTCGAGGGCCAGAAACAGTACGCAGATTCGCTGGGCAGCTATTATTCTGGTCAAGAGAGTGACCTTTCGCCATCATGCATTGTAAGACCAATCAATGCAGCGCAAGTATCCACGGCAGTCAAGATTTTATCCACCGCGCACATCGCTAAGCCTGGTTCGTGTAACTTTGCTGTCAGAGGTGGCGGACACACACCCTACGCTGGTAGTGCAAATGTTGAATCTGGAGTTACCTTAGATTTGGGAAGAATGAAGAGTATCAAGGTCAATAAATCTCGGGGCACCGTGTCCCTTGAGCCTGGTCTACTGTGGGGAGAGGTTTATTCAAAGCTTGACCCCATGCATATCAGCGTGGTTGGTGGTCGATCAAATCTAGTCGGCGTTGCTGGATTGGCAACAGGCGGTGGAATATCTTTCTTTTCTGGTCGATACGGCCTCGTTTGCGACAACATACTTAATTACGAAGTTGTTCTTGCGGATGGAAGAATCATCAATGCTAACGAGAGGGAACATGTGGACTTGCGCAATGCTCTTCGTGGCGGGTCAAATAACTTCGGCATCGTCACCAAGTTTGAGCTTTCATCGTTTCAACAAGGCAATCTCTGGGGTGGTGACATTACACACGACTTCAACACGCTGCCAGAGCAGCTGCAAGCCTTCGTGGATTACGGCGGTAATTCTGACTTTGACGAATACTCAGCATTCTTCCAAGTCTTCGGCACTGTAGGCGGGCTCTATTTCATCACCAATAATCCCGTTTACACCAAGCCCACGCCGTACCCGCCCATATTCAAGAAGTTTTATGAAATCAGCCCGCAACTCAGCAATACAGCAAGGATTGCGCCGTTGCATAATCTAACCACCATTACTGGTTCTGTTGCGGCGATGGGTCTCCGGTCAGTACGGGATTGATCTTGTCTGACCGTTTGACGATCTAACAGCCGTTGCGCAGTAATATGTTCATCACTACATCATTCGACAATGACTTGCCTTTTTTGCACTGGGTCGTCCAGACTTGGAAAACTTTCTCTGCGGAACTGGCAATGGTCCCGGGACTTGTCAACACCATCCTAAATCAGCACCTTGTCCCAAAGACCCTACGGAAAGCTGAAGCGCGTGGTGGAAATTCTTTAGGTCTTGATCCCAATAGAGTCGTTGTCATAGCCATGTTAAGTTTAACGTGGACAGAAGCTGCCGATGACGAAAAGGTAAGACTGGCGGCGATCGCTTTTATCAAATCTGTCGAAGCCGAAGCCAAGAAGAGAAGGGTGTACAACAGGTTCATCTACCTGAATTATGCAGATCTAGGCCAGGAGGTGATCGAAGGATACGGGAAATCGCAAAAGAACAGGCTCAGGGCAGTGAGTAAAAAATACGACCCTGCAGGCGTTTTCCAAGTCGCGGTCCCTGGTGGTTTCAAGCTATGGCCTTGAACTCTAATTTTCGGGGAAGCAGAATGCGTTGGTACCAGGTTGTCCTTGTGCAACCAGAAATGATGCAATCATGTCGATTTAGTTTCAGGGATTAATAGAAGGCAAACGTGCCAAGGCCGAATAGATTAAAGAGAGTGTAACCATGCCAAGGTTACAACAGCAATCATAACAAAGGCATTTATGTTCCGACTCTACTGTGCCACACCGGCCGGCGGGAGCATTTTATTCTTGAGGCAAATTCTGCTAATCTGTCAGTCTTCTCATCACCTGCTCCTGGATAACCTCCTTCCTGCCCTGGCAAAGTTTTGGACAATGGTTCACCCTATTTTCCTTTTCCTCGTCTCCTTCACTACCAATGTGTTTGTTCTGTCCTTTACCACGCCTCAGTCTCTGTTCAGACTGGCATGTTTTCTCATTCCAATCTTCAATGTCTGGTATATGCTATATTCTCAAAATACTGTAACATTTTCACATCCTATGTACGCAAATCTCTTAGGCGGAAGCATTTTCACATTTGCATTACAGTATTTCAATCTTGTAATCCTCCGCAAGTCTTGTTATGAGCAGGGCGGACCTACTAGAACACCCGAAGGCGCAACTCTTCAATCTAATCAAAATGACAAAAAGGTCAACGACAAAATAAAACCAGTGGGACACACTAAATGGCTACCAACGGCCACAAAACGGCTTTCTTGGGGCACAGCTCATATCTTCGATAGCCGTGGAAGCGGTAACCCCTGGGAAGTTAAAAATGTCCCTCGATTTTCAACAAATGACCCTCATTACATACCAACCAAGAACGAATTTCTCATCCGTAATATTCTTATCTGTCTGTCCTCCACTATTCTACTCGATATTGTACGTCCAAGTGCCGACAGCTCTCAAAATGAGAAACTATTTGCCGACCACAAAATCTACTTTTTTTCTCGTCTCGGGTCGGTTACAGTTGAGGAAATTTCAATACGATTCCTTACAACACTGGCTTCCACTGTCATGACCTACCTGCTCTTCCAAGCAATGTATTCCGCCGGTGCTGTCGTAATGGTCGGGTTGGGAATGAGCCGGCCCGACCGCTGGCGACCTCTTTTTGGAGACATCAGAGAGGTCTATTCCCTCCGCCGCTCATGGAGTATCTTCTGGCACCAAGGCTTGACTTCTAATATTACGGCACCAGCTAAATATTTCACGTTCAAAATATTTGGACTGCGTAAAGGATCCATACTTGCTAGATATGTTTTCACTATCATTACCTTCGCTCTTTCGGGTGCGATGCATACCTGCGGCGAACTAGCAGCCGGCATTACTCCAGCTGAATCAGGCACAATTCAATTCTTCACCACACAAGCCTTGGGAATCGTAATCGAGGATATCTTTTCATGGGCCTGGAAACGATTCAATGGCAATTCTGAACCGCGATGGTACCAAAAGGTGATGGGGTTCGCTTGGGTCGTTTTATGGTTCACATGGTCGATGCCAGTGTGGACATACCCAGCATCAAAAAGGAGTCAAGGAGAGAGCATTCTGCCTTTCAGTATCATAGATCACTTTTAGAGGTCCGGCTTGTCCTCCCGATTTACGGAAGCAAATGCCATTCCCGGAGGCTTCCGATTCTGCGGCAGATTCAAAGGGTCCAGATGATATTATTGCACCGAAGAGAATTGATCACAAAAACATATTCAGTGGGCAGTTAGGTCAGAGATGGTGGTTTAGTGCATTAGATGATAAATGAGAATTGCAAACTTGAAAAATTACACTGTACTATATATCTCCTCTGAAATGTAAAATGCGTAGGGTTATTGAGAAGTAGAATCTTGTCAACGCAGATCGACGTGGTCTATTACAGGCATGGACTCTTTGTAATGTTGGCACATATATATAGCTCAGGACATCTTAGAATATCCAAATCTACTGGTGGACGTGATAATATATACTCAATGATTTATTTCCTCTTCCCTAAAGCCAGTTCTCCATGTTGGTATGACTCTCATATGCAACTTTGACTTGATATTAGTCTCTAATTGTGCAAGCATCGGTTGTTTGCAATAGCTTGAGAGATGATTCTAACAAACCGGCCAGGTACATCTTTGTCTTCTTTGGCTGTCTGGACGACTGTCAAGATCTTTTTTATGCTAACTCTTAAGTTTGCACTACCCGTCATCTCTTCAATTTTCTCTGTCGCACTATGCTGATGAACATCCGAGAGTCCCGCTGATTCATGCAAAATATACTCGAGCTCAGTCTTTGTGTTAACGTGTCGCACCTCGATCTCTGCATCGAACCGGTGTGAAAGCTCTAAGCGGTTGAGCACTGATCGTTCGGAAGTAGTTGCAAGTATCAAAAGGCAGAGATTCTGTTATCATCAGCCACGTTTCAATGATCAAAGATGTATTACTAACTTATGTCTGGGGGTTGCTTCCCAAGCAGTACCTTGAGCGCGACTAGTACAGTATTGCTGAAGATTGACAACACAGGTGACCAACTTATCAACAGTTCAATATTATCAATGACAATCATATCGAGAGGGCTTTTGTAAGCATCTTGAAAAACCTTTTCAAGCTTTTGCACCTTTTGTATGTCACTGAATCCGATCAAATCTTCGGGCGATACAAGTTTGACGAATGGAAATTTGGAGTCGATGGCTATTTTGGCCGCCAGCGCCGTTTTGCCACTGCCAGGCGGCCCATGTAAGACAACAGAAAATACCGGCGTCGAACCTTTGCGGACTTGATCGGTGTAGAGCTTTGCTTCTTTTGAGGGTCTCCTTGATGAATGGGGAATAGTGAATGATACCGCCACGTATACGATCTTGAAGTTCCTCTTCAGCTGCGCCAAATAACGGCTTGACCTCTTCGAGAGCACCCAAGAAGCCATTACGATTGACCTGTCTCAAGTTAGCAAAGTCAATTTTAGCGGCCCCCTCAAGGCAGGTCTATGAAATTTCAATGACTATTAATACCCCCTCAATTCAGTGGAACAGATGGACAAGCGGTGTACTCACTTGCATGTGCTCTACATCGGAATTGATTGAAGCCATGGTGCCAACTTTGATATGGCGGTTGAAAGCAAAGGATGAAGCGGCTTTGATAAGTCCATTGATCCCCGCGCCGGAAAAGCTCTTAGTCCTCGTAGCCAGCTCATCGACTTGAATGTCGTTAGCAATGACGTTGTTGGCGCGCATTTTCCGGGTATGAATCTTGAGAATTTGGGCACGGCCTGCTTCATCTGGAAATGGAATCTGCATGTGAACTTCAAGGCGTCCGACCCGCAACAGGGCTCCGTCGATCATATCCATTCTGTTCGTCATACCGATCAGAAGAACATTATTCAGTTGATCCACGCCATCCAATTTCGAAAGGAGCTGGTTCACAATGCTATCACCGACACCACTTCCACTTAATCCCCTCTGTTTACAGACCGCATCTAGTTCATCAAATATGATGACATGCAGGCCGCTATCATCGCCCTTCTCTTTGTACTCTTTTTCTGCGTCGGCAAAAGGTTTTCGAATATTCTCTTCAGATTGCTCGACGTACTTGTTGAATACTTCAGGGCCATTGATGACTTTAGGCTCACGAGCGTTCAACATCTTGCCAATCTGGCGGGCAATCAAAGTTTTCCCAGTTCCTGGCGGGCCATTAAGAAGGATTTCTTGCACATGTTGAATACCGAGCTTCTTTACTAGATTAGGCGGGAATATTCGGGAAGCAAAAGCCCTCCTGAATATAGCACTAAATTCGGTGTACAAACCGCCAATACCCATATCTTCAAATTTGAAATTGGGTTGTATAATAGAAGTCCCAGCGGAACGCTTACTCGGCGCTTTCCCATGTTCTTTGTACATCATTCAAGCCGATCTCGCCGCGATGGCAGTCTTCGGTTGGTCGCGCAGACAGAACATAATGGCGGTTTACTCGTAAGTAGAAATCACAGCCATTGCTTGGTCATGCAAAATCATGGGGAGAAACAGCTGCCCTGTAATGAAATGAGCACAAGCTCAATCGTGAGTTCAAGTTAACAAACGCATACAAATTCCCAAAGTATACCAATTACCCCCTGGGCTCCTTAGAGGACGAAGCCAAAAGGTCATCTTCTTGAATGTAAGGTGACTACCGCTTGAGAAGAATGATTGATTTGAAGTTGCCTTCAGATTGCGTTCTTGAAATCGTGCAGAGCACCAAACGGACACGTAGAAGAATAACAAGCAGGCAACAACTTTGGCTATCCGTGTGGCACAAAGAGCTTTGATGCATCACGTGCTTAGACCACTCGAAGATCATGGTCACTGAAGTCATACTCGCGAATATGTATGATCACTACTGTTTCTAGTTGATAGTTGTAGAATTATCTTTACCTTAATTTCTTAAACGAATGCGTAGATTAATAGCGAACTGTCTATCCGGTCGGCTCCAGATTCGGTACTGCATCTTACTCTTCCAAACGCAGTGCTCTCTTGTCCTGCCTAGTCACTCTTCTAGCAATCGTGGGCATCATTAATATTGGAGCTTCAGGTCAGGGGTTTTAGTGTGAACGCTTAAAGCTCTAATTGTGTTGGGCACGATTCTTGGTGGCGTAAAACATGCTCGTACTTTACTAGCCTTTTGATCCACTCGTTGAAGTATTTAAATCATATCCTGACCCCACCATCCAAAAGTGTGCCGCATTAGTATTTATTATCGCTACTGGAACTTGCACGCGTCACGCCTTCCTTGGATGTGATAGCCCTTCTTCGGGCTACCTCCCCAGGACCTTTTCCTGAAAATGCATTGTCCCTTGAAATCAAGATTACCCAAATACCTTACCTTCAGTAGCAAATAGCTTCGAGATTTGAACACATTGTCTACAGACGCTTCTTTCAAGACATCCATTATCGGGCTTATGATGAATAGGGTGACTGGCCACTGAAGCTTGTCCCGATTGTTGGTGCGTCTCAGCACGTGCACGCGGCAACCATCACAGTCAGGGCTCGAGAATACCAACCCCACCTTAGACACCGCATCCAGACCGGATTCAAACAAGATGTCCACTAAAACAATGACATCGAACGTTCGAAAGTTTCGCTTCCTAACCGTCGCTCAAGTCAAACGGCTCCACGGCGTGTTCATGGGCGAAACCAATCTCTCTCAGCCCTCCTTGTTAGAATCGGCAGTACAGTCGCCCATCAACATCAAATACTACGAGAATCAACAGAATGCGTTCCGGCTCGCAGCCAGTCTCTCCGAGAAGATCATGAAAAACCACGCATACCAAGATGGAAATAAGCGGACAGGACTTCTTGCGGCAGACATGTTCTTGCGAATCAACGGATATAGACTCCGAGAAAAGTCTCTACGGCAAGATCGGGATCTAGAAGAGGCAGAGGTTGCTGTTTGTACAAAGGAGTGGACGGCGGAGAGATTGGGCCGTTTCTATGAGCAAATAGCCACCCCGATCGAGACCTGCAAAAAGGAGGTCGAACACCACTGATTTCTGGGTACTGCGGGGTGCGATTATGCTTGTATAGACCATTCCAAGGGCCTCCAAGCTTCTTTTGACATGATAGGACAGGATACGACTATTTTGGTGGCAGAAGTATTGAGGCAAGCGCTGAGGGAATCAAGAATGGTTGGATCAGGGACCCCGAGAGAGTTTGAGCACCATTCACTCACCTCCCGAGGAGGTTCGACAGATCAATCAGCCATGTTTTTTTGTTAGCATCAATCATAATTTGAATCTACGAGGTCCCCTACTATACAGTCTTCAATATGCAATATTAAATATCTCTACTCCTGTGGAGGTCCATGAATGTTATTTTAGGTCTTTCTAATGATTGGTAGGGCTCTTGAGCGGCTATCTGAGGATTGAATTGAAAACGAATTATAATTCAGCATTTGCGCATACGTCCTCCAGCAACCTTTTCCACCTTGCAATCACATGTCTCTCAACTTCTCAAGCGCCTCCCCAATATCCAGAATTATGCTACTAGCAAGTTCAGCGAATTCCGCTGCATTGAAGTGAGCATACATAGCTACAATGTGCGGGCTAACGTCACACATGCCGTCGAAAGTTCCATCCAGGGCAATTTGATGGAAGACTCCATATAGATACAGTGTTGCAGGACTTGTATTGGCCGCGGAGGGACGAGGAAGCTGTTGGGGAATGACTAATCGCGGGCAGTCGGGGGATGATGCTGAATATCCTTTCAGTATGAAACAACCATCAGATAGCGAGACTCATACCTAGAGCAAAGTGATTGGAATCGTCAAAGTATTTCAATGAAACTCTGTCTAGGCGCTGTGGGAGGGACGGTTCACTGTTGATAAGCCGAGCAGCAGCCTGTAGAGCATGGCCAATTTCTGCGGGAATACACACGTAGGATTCTTCGGGCCCGTCAATGTAGATAGTGATTTTTTCTTTGGCGAGTGTACCCTTCGACCCAATGTTGGTGAAGTCGGCAGCCGCTTTGAAAAAAGATCTGGGAGTTGGCCTTGAGGCATAGGCAGGTCGTTGAATTGCAACACGCATGGTTCGTGCTACGATGTGGTATCTGGTAAACATGACTGATTGGCAACCGCAGTGGAAAAGCCGTTCGCAAGGAACATCGGCCACGAGACAGCGTTGTGTAGAAGGGAGTGAATTGCAGGGTACCTAGTTAGCAATGAGTTTCTGATTTCGGGATAGCGCCGTGCACGCTCCAGAATTGTGCACCACATGATTATTGCTCGTGCTCCTGTAACAAAAGCAAGATGAATAAAGTCTGGCGTCACGATGCGATTGTACACTCAGCCTGTTTTCATCCATCAGTGCTACATGTGTCATTCGACTTTGCTAGTAGTTCATATGTTTGCAAGTAACCTTCCCTTTAATAAAGCTGTTTAAAATGACTGCAGGTTGGCCTGACTTCCCTTCATTGATAGCATGAGATCAAGTAAAAATTGTGTTTCGACAATTTATGTCCGAGACATAGTATACATAGGCATCACACCACATTAGAACCATAAAATGTGAACAACCATGAATGGTATTATTCGATAAGAGTAGCGAAATGTACGAAGTACCTGGCGATCACTTGATCTCATCCTCGGTGATCAAGGTAAATATTCTAAATACAGGCCTGTTACAGGAGCCTTTCAGCACAAAACAAAAAATCAACCCTAGAGTTACCTTCCTCTCAACACTCATCATATGCATGTTGATGACTTCATTGTGTTCAGACGCTGGTGCCGGCGAACTTCAGCTTGTCCTTCTGTTCTATATAATACTTCGCGATATTGACAAGATGAACAACGTGTTCTGCGGAAGTTGAGAGGTCCACATCCTTGAAATAGTCGAGAATCGCCCCTGCGCGCGCAAGCATGAACTTTTGGGCATTATTGGTTGCAAATTTCTGGACATCGTCGTCAAATTCCTTCATAATCGCCGGAAAACTTTCCCACCCAGGAAAGTGCTCAGCCATTTCATTCGCAAGAGCATACATATCACTGTTTGCTTTGTCGAAGTATGGTCCAAGAAAGGCATCGTTATAGAAAGCGACAGTAACGTAAACCTGTTCAAGTCAGACAATGGGGTCTCTGTCAACTTACATAAAGAGAGAAAATAATGACAAGGAGAATATTGCCTTTACGTACCCTTTGAAGTGCAGTAAGAAGTTCATTAACGGCCTTAGTTGCGGCTTGTATATCCGTCCCAGCTGCTATGGCAATCGTTTCGCTGAATTTGTCACTGCTTATGAGCGTCTTTCCTGTTGCTAGCAGGGCAGCTTTGAACCTATTTATATCGTTAGGAACAAAGGTTAGGGAGTAGCGGTAAGCAACAGATCCGAGGACGGTGTGAAATCTCATATTCGGCGTTGTAAGCTTATTCCAGTCATTGCCATAGCGGTCAGGGGTGCCGTAGCCTTTCACACCAGTAACAAACGCTTGTCCTAGATTTGTGAGAACGGCGCTGGCGGGATATTGCGCATTCCAGGCCTTGGATATGTCTGTCATCTTCATCTTGGCTGCCTTCAATTTGTTTCCCGTTAATAGGACACCAGTCGCAGCCGTCACGAGCAGGTTATCGAGGTTTTTGAACTGAAAAAAGGTTAACACAGATCCAAAACGTTAGAGGTTCGTAGAAGCGTCCAGCCAACCTGTTTCTGTACCTACCTCGCGATAGTGCTCTACGTTCCATCTGTTGCCGCTTCCACTCCAAGTGAGAAGATGTTGCGGGATATTTCCGGCGGCTACAAATTTTGCCCCAAGGTTTCTACACGATGTGCTATCCCACATGAATCCGCCTTTTATCGACAATGTATTCACTCCGGCTCCTTTGAAAAGCTCCCCAAAGCCATTTGGATGGGGAGCACTTGTCAAGGCTAGCTTGATATCGTCGATTGTAAGATAACGTCGAAGTGATGACCTCACGCGTTTGTCGATATGATGACCAGTTCCGTCAATAGAACGCTCTGTGAGCCATTCGTCGGGATCTTCGCAGTCATTATCTGCGCAGAGGTCGGCATCACAAATGGGTGTGTTCAGAGAATCCTGATTCGGTTTACAGCAGAGTGCCTTCGAACGCCACCCTAAAGCACCAGTGCCCGAGATGTTAGCGGTGCTTGCTTGAAGGTAGGAACACGTAGAAACGGAGTAAAAACGTACAATTGCAGGAATCGTCATTGTCTCCAAAGCGGTCAGTCGCCAAGGTTACTTCCCCTCGGTCACACGTATTCTTTGCACAATCCCCCTTGCCAACCCATCTGCACGTATCTACAGCAGATACTTTGTCAGTGTGTCTTGTGTTAATGTTTCGCAATAAGGGCGCGTACCGAAAGCCTTTTTGGCCTTTTTGCAGCAATAATTCTGGCCCTCAGTAGACGCTCGTGACTGTAAGCTGAAGATTTCGTCCTCCCTACGCCTCAAAGGCGGAAGTTCTTTCACGCATTTGTGGCTGTTGTTGATACTAAATGCGTGGGCTACAGCTACTTCATCAGACGCACATTTTTTGTTATCGCTGAAATATCTGTAAGCTCACCAACAACAGCGTGTGTCAGAGTAGAAGTTTTCTTACCATCCTTTCGTCCAGTAACAACCCTCATTGATAGCTTCGACTTGAACATTACAACAAAGGGCCTTACCTCCTCGGCTGCACCTACCAGTCTTGCCTTCACCTGGATATCCACCCCATGAAGAGCCGCCAATTTTGACCTCATTGGCATGGCACTGTCCATTGCAATCTCCACCGCTGCCACGCCACATGCACTTGTCCTTCATGCTTGCTGTTTTGGGACAGCACATTGGCCACCCGCATTGCCAATCTTTGTGTTTCTACGTTCGTGTGTGTGTTAGATAGGCCTAGGCATCTTTCATATTTAGAACTGTAGAAGAAACGTACCTTGTTCCCCTTACAGCCATGCGTATCATAAGCTACCAATTCCATATCTTTGCCACAGTCATGACTGTTCACATTGGGAACGACGGTTTTGAAAAATTTGCATCCTTGACCCAGGAAAGAATCTACAGTCTCAACATACTCTTTCAAATCGTACACCTTTTTAAGTTCTTTCCGTGATCCTAGATCCTTAATCCCAGTGAATGCTGTGTGTGCCGAATGGTTGTAATCGTCGAGATCTGATGCCCATATAAGCGACCCAGAAAAGCCAACACTGTTCGCCCAGTCTTGCTTCTGCTTGAATGTATCCGCATCATCGTAGGATATCCACTGATCGTTGTCCCAGGTAATATACTTGACAGCTGCTTTTTTGTCATGCACAACTGTCAAATCTCGCTTTTTGTTCTTGTCCAGAATGTCTTGAATCTCATAGTGTGCAAGATAGCCACTAGTTCCTGTGCATGGACCTTTCTTCGCACCGCCCTGTACGAATATCAGCGAACATACTGGTAGAGGATAGTGCATCTTGGTCATAGATCGTCTAGCCTATACTGACACTGAATGGGCAACCAGGCGTCTTGCAATTTGGATCGGCAAGTGTGAACGCCCTGCCATAGAAGCCATAACCTAAAGCTATTTTCGATGGGGGAATGTTAACGCGCCAGAAAAGCTCAGCAGCTAGTTTGATCTCCGTAAGATTTGTATGTGCTTGTACTATGGGCCCACTTGCCGTGTTAATACTAGTCAGCGTAACTTCAAATCACAATATGGGGTGTTCACTAACATTGGATTGGCCTTGTCCCAGACACCGTGGAGATCATAACTCATCTAGGATCCATTAGCCTTCTTCACCCGCCCTATCTTGTTCAGCCTTACCAGGTTGACCCAGTCGGCGTACTTCATCATTCCTGGAAGGTCAAACCAACGAAGATACCAAAATGAGGATGGTGCGGTAAACGTTAACTCTAAGTCCCGCCCTGATCTATCAAAGGTTGATTTCAATGTTTTCATAAGGCTGACATAGTTCACCGTATCATCAGGCTTGCCACCACGATCAGGTGCACCAGGGTATTCCCTTGAAAATGTTAGAGTCTGATAGCAAAACAAATAAACCATACACCCCTACCAATCTAGATCAACTCCATCAAACCCATATCCATTCATGAATTTGAGCAGCTTGTTGGCGAACCTTTGTCGATTATTCTCAGAACGAGCGATGTTACCAAACACGGGTTGTGTAGCTGTATCATTGTCTGAAAAGGTCCAGCCTCCAATGCTGACAAACACTTTGAGATCGGGTTTGAGGTCTTTCAGCGATACTATGTCTTGGAACGTGCTAATTGGCGTTTGAGGATCCATAGTCGTAATCTCGAAGGTATTTGGATCAATATAGGCGAAGGCGTAGTTGACGTGTGTGAGAGCTTGAACTAAAGGGGACTGTAAGTATGATGTCTGACTCGGAGAGCCAGCGTGACTTACGGGGAAGATCCGAAGCTTGAGTGTTATGGCAGCTAGACCTAGCGTTCCAGGCTTCCCAGTATCCGATCACTACGGAAGTAAGCTTCAACAACCAGGTGGAGGAAATTGCATGCGTGAATTACCTCTATCAGTCGCCTTTCCTTCCCCACGTGGTGGAGTTGGATGTTCAACGCAATTTGACTGGCACTTCTTTCCACAGAACTCTATCTTTCTGATTAAAACTGAAATGGTTTCCTCTCATGAAAAAAATGGTAGGTCATACCAGCAGTTGTACCACAGAATCCAAACTCTGAGCAGCTAGTTCTCAATCAATACTTAGGTATCTAGGAACAAATTTGTATATAAGGTAGTACTCGAGCGACATACCATGTGTTCAGCGGACAAGTTTTTCCGGGCGTTTTGGCATGCTGACCGCATTCCGCCGCCGCATCGCAATTACTGGAGCAGCCATCGCCACAATATAATGGCCCATAACCACAGTTCCCACTCTCTGTCGAGGACTGTTAGTCGATGTTGAAAGCGAAAGTTCGATGAGCTTGACTGGGCTAAGAGGAACTTACTTCCACAACATGCCCCATTCTTGCAAGGCTCTGTCGGTCTAGTCAGAAAAAGTACGGTTTCGGTAATGGGGACTAATACAGACTTCCTGGCCCACAAGCGTAATCATCGCGACGAGATAAGCTAGAGTAAGATAAAGCATCATTTTTGATCAAGCCACTGCTGTTTTGATCAATGCCTCCGTGATGATGAGGAGAAACGTGACGTTGGCCATGGGATAGTTGAACGCCGTTCACTGCGCTTAGAGAGAGCAGTGCCAGGATTGAAAATGCTTTGAACATGATGGTAGGTGCCGTATATTTTGGAAAGCGCAAAGATGGAACAAGTAATTAGGGACTCTAGGATTGGATGTCCCTAGCTAGATATGCTCTTTCTCGATTGCACGGAAATCTGCAAATACATCTCTCTGTTCAAATGATAATCCTTGAACTGGCAGTTGCATCTTCCTAGAGCAATACAATCGGGCTATGCTACACTATTTCCAGGTCCGTCCATCAAAGTAGATGTTGATGGTCAACTCCGAAAACACGATGAGGGTGGCGGTAGTCATACCTGGGGCGAGGATTGCATGATCCGGACCACTACGCCATTTTCTTGAGAGCTGGTATAAACTATTCTAATACGGAGTTGAAAAGCTTTGGCTGGGATGTAAGAATTTCTAGCCGCTCAGTATCCTGCTGTATTAATTGATCGGATCTCGTGCCTCTGAGGGACGGAGACTAGGCCGCAAATAATCATGATTACGCTCCTGCATTAGATCCCATGAGTAGGAAGTGATATGTACTTTTCGATGCATGTTCGAAACTCTATCGCATGGAATCCTGCCCGGAAATCTAGCACAGGCGATAGCCGTGCTTTTACTGCCCTGGACATTGAGCCCGAGGCGCAGTTCCCCCAACTTCTCGTCACTGATAGAAACATCAAGTACACTGTTTGATAATATTTAGCTTTAATCTCGTTTCGCTTTTGACGCTGAAGGCCGTATATTAGAAGTGTATCTAAGAACAAGCCAGCAAGGTCTCATGTCGTTCTGAGCCGCAAGATCCCCTGCCGGCTAACGACGCAAGCATCCAGAGGGAAGGTAATTCGAGCACTTCACTGTTGAGGAAGAATGAAATACCACAAGGAGACAAACATGTTGTACCTGACCTCTTCGCTAATCGCCATCATGCCAACTCGACTTACACCAAGCTTTCTGTAAATCGCGCGACTAGGCTATGGGTATACACGCGCGGTAGGGCAGCCACCTTCATTGGATGCATTCTACTCATTAAGCGAACGAGTTTCCCAAGACCTACTTTTATGCAGCTAGATAATCAGCCTTGGTCCGGTATAGAGCTCAACCATACCCAAAATTCGAACCACGTCTGCATGAACGACTCGGAATCGTATTTCAGCAAGGACTTATGGGGCCGCACACGTCGGTCCGAGGGACGACACTAGATGCGGCGCTCCTGAGTCCTAGGTTGAAGGTGTCAACGATATTTTCAGGTACGTTGTTGCGGCACAGTCACCATCATGCGAATTCGACCTCGCCTCCATGGATCTGTAGTTTGTAATTGCTATTTGTGTCGATTTAACAGGTCAATAAAGGCCAGAAATCCTCTGTGAAATGAGACATCCGCCTATCTGGGTGAATCGAGCAAAGATGAATTTGCGCATGGATGGGTGACATGATCATTTCCTGTACATAGTCCCTCAACGTAAGATTTTGTGCCGAACCCCTGATTGAGGCCAAATTACCGTGCATGTCTGTGCTGGCGTCTACGTCGGAAAGGGGCGTATGGCGGGGCGACATGAAGTCTCACTGAAGTGCCTCGTATGGACGGTACTAATGCTGGAATATGAAGAAGGGCCAATTTCACGAAAACGAATATTTCTTATGTTCGCAACAGCCTCAAACATCAAGACACTCTTCTCAACAAAAAAGTTCGATTCAATACTACTACAATGAGACTCGTTACTTCCACTGCCTTGCTTCTTACGCATTTCAATATCTTGTCTTTCGCACAGCAAATCCCAGGCGCTCTGTTTTCGTTTGACCTTCTCGGATTGAGCGATAACTGCCTTGCGGCTGTGAACAAAACGATCTTAACCTGCCCTAGCTGGCTTCCATTGCATGCAGGCATAGGGTAATTTGCAGCTGCTCTCCAAGTCCATTTGACAGTAATGTTGACAGGAATTTCCAGAGATGCAAGCTTTGAGATTCTAAGTGCACAACGACTGGAACAGCTTTGCGAGACAAACTGTAGTCGAGACCTTAGTACTTCTAGGAAAGCCATCCAAGCGGCATGTACATCTTCTAAGGATGTCATGGTTCCTGGAGGAATCGTCGCGTACCCAGGTATGGTGTCAGAGCTCCAGAATCGTACATTTTTGATACTAGCCTATAAACAGCAACATTTCTTGCGGATAGATACCTCTATGCAATCCAATTGAGCTGTCTCAAGTCGTAAGTAGAGTGAAAGGCTGCAGGAGTACTTGTGCAATGCTAATATGTAAGTTGGAAACAACAGGTCAACAGGCGAATACTGCGACTCGATTGTCCCTTCATGGTCGGACCAGAGCAGTACCGAAAATCAGACGATGGCTCAGAACTGCTCGGATTGCGAGCTTGGAATTCAAAAGCTCCAGCTTTCTTCGCCATTTGGCTATGATGACGATGGAGCTGAAACCTTTTCCTCGCTCACATCCAGTTGCAATGCAGGAGGCTATACTTACGCAACGCCTGCTACATACGCCATCAATGCAACGGCAGTGCCAACACCGCCCCCTCGATCTTGCAACAGTACTTATACTGTACAGGAGGAAGACACTTGCGTCTCCATATCTGTGAGCCAAAATGTGTCAACATATGGAATAATATCGGCCAATGGCTTTGATATCAGCTGCAATCTTCTGCCGCCTCCAGGCTCAACGATATGTCTTCCGAAAACGTGTGATACAATCCAATTGGGCATCTTCGACAGGTGCGACGATATAACAAGCAAACTCAACATCACCCGCCAACAGCTCCTATCCTGGAATCCTAACATCAATCAGTTCTGCAGTAATCTCTACACCTGGTTCGGTTGGAATATCTGCACAAGGTAAGAAAAGCCTCCCGATGTTTCGCTTCACGGGAAACGTCCATATTCTGACCAATGCTCTAGCTCCCCTGAAGGGAATGTTAGTCCAGGTCAGGGCAACACGGTTGCCACATCAGCTCCTGTGCCGGAGAATGCCCAACCTAAATCTAACACTAGGTGTGGAAAATGGTACCCAGCCAAGAAAGACGATGAGTGCGGCACAATCTCGCTAGCATTCAGCATCTCGCTGGATGACTTTTATTTCCTCAACCCACAGGTCGATATGGAGTGCTCAAACTTATGGCAAAATACGTCGTATTGTGTCAGGCCTGTTGGTAATGTGGCAACGTACTCTGGGTACCCCACTAGAGCGCCAGGCACCGTGTTCCCAAAGCCAACGCCAACCCCAGCATCCGCTGCTCCGCCAATTGTGCTTCCACCGTTATCAGCAAAGGCGGATACAATAGAAGGTTGTGAGAAATACATGAATGCATTTTCAAAATCGATTTACAAGTTTTTTGGGGATGTAGAGATCAATGCGTGTGATATATGGGCTATCCAAGCGGGCGTTACTGTTGAAGATCTGGTAGCATGGAATCCGAGTCTCTCGGCGGAAAACTGTGTACTACAGTCAGACAAAAGCTACTGTATCTTGAAGTGTAAGTTGAAATTTTACCATTGCAAAAGCCGATCTACGTATATGTTGCTAACTCTATACTATCTTAACAGCCGATACTATCACTTGATCTTCCCCCAGTGCTCCAAACCCAACAGGTACATGTTCGACGCTGATAAGCCCTACATCACCAACTAGTACTGGAAATGCTGCATAGCTGCCTGCTCCAATCCAAGAAAATCCAAACTCTTCGTGCAAGAAAGATACGTTATCGTAAAAGGCGATGGTTATGCTGGTCAATTTCAAATTCGGCCGGTAGCTAGATTCATAACTTCTACAAAAAAGGACCAGGGATCAATGAATGCGCTTCTTTATGACCAGGCTATGCTATTTCTACAGAATTGTGATTTCCCTAGTTTGCCTTTGTGCATGCTGGCGCTTGGGAGGCGGGGAATGGCCTGTGGCACAGCTAGTCGAGCTTGATTGTTCTCAATACAATAGTGTCAAGTGCTTGTCTAATGCGATTTTTACATACCTCGAAAATGGATGACCACTTGGAGAACTCAAAAATGAAATGAAACGGAGTCTTTGAAATCAAAATATTTGACACTGGGGCTACTGGTCAACTTTTGTCCAAGATTTGTCTGGTCACGTGCACCATGTTGGTTATCATATATAAAGTCGCCTCTTGCCCCTCCCTCACAGTCAATGCAAAAGAACCACGAACCATCGTTTTCTGCACGTGACACATTTTTGTCGCCATACAAATGCCAATTCGATCATTATCGTCCTTGCGGAACACCCGTTTGCGTTTATACGCCCCCAGCCGAATCCTGTTGATGACATGTGTTCAACAACGACGACCTTCAGTGTATACATACTTCCAATTCAGTACATTGAAACCTATTCTCAAGGAGCAGCGGTCCACGCCCCCACCATCCCCCAGTGACATTCCTGGAGCTTCTAAAACGCAAGGAGAGGGGATGACGCTTCAACTGCCAAAAGATTCAAGAGACTACCGCGAGATCGAGCCTAGCCTTTCCAATCCCTACTTACGTTCTAACGCACCATGGGGATTTATTGTAGTGCGCGCCGTCTATGGCCCGTCCAGCGATGCACCATGGAGCCGGATGATCGAAACACTGCGTTCACGTGTCGCAAGTGCGCTAAAGACTGATGATCAAAATGATCTCCTTCCGCGGTTTGAAATGACGATCCTTGAGGATGAAGCAACCCTCGCTGGCGCCGATTCATACGCAGTACGCCGCGCTTTCCGTGCATGGGTTGCTAAAGATCTACCTGCACGGCTCTGTGACAACTATCTCGAGAAGTATGGTGGAGCAGAACAGATTCGGGCCAAATTGCTAAGCAATGACACTCACTTGATTGATCACCCCATTGATGATGTGCCTCCTCGTTGGAAGTATTGTACATTCGTGGATGAGGCTTGCTTGCGCTCGTTGATTTCCTGGAACGGTCCAGCGTTAAAGATCTTGACCAGCGATTGGGTACAGGAAAGCCCAGGCGCTCCCACGGAAGAGTTCACCGTAGACTGGGATGGTGGCGAGACTGATGATAGTCTAGAGGATGTTGGTTGGATGTTTTTAGACATGTACGACTATGTCTTCATGTACGATGTCTTGGCTACACCGAATTTATGGCAAGTTTACTACGATAGACCCTACAAGAGCTACGTAGATCATTGATGTCGAGATTGCAAAGTGTGTATCGTCTACAACTAGTTAGCAAAGCCGGTATGGACTCGACATTTTGAATCAATAGACAGGAACCGCAACAACTGAACGTAATTTTCAACAGGGCACCTGGAAGCATCTGATTAATAAAATGCTTAGGCCTCTATTATCCTAGCATTACATATGCACGCCGATGCGCTTAGATCAGTTGACTGGGAGTTTCGTATCGCGTTTAGCTCCTTCTCCTGTATGCACGATCCTCCTTTTACCATGTTGATTATTTATCTACTTGAGCGCAGTAATCCATTTTGGCGATCTAAATTCAAGTAAGGTTCTCTAATCTATTGATGTGGAACGTCTAACGTGATTTCCTTCAAGTTTCGACCAAGAAGGCCCAAACTATCGCTAGCCACATTGACAAACTGATTCACGTGGGCCTCGGTATGCATGAGGTTAAGGGCTATGAAGCCACGTCGACCAATGACAACTTGTCTTTTGAGCAATTCAAAATAGAAGACATCCCTGAGTAACTGCCCGCCTCGATTTTGAAAATGAACGCCTACCATGCTGCCAAATCCAACTGCCTTCACCTCATCCTTCAGGCCATGCTGCTCAGCTAGCTCATTGATGCTCTCCCGAATACGATCTCCAAGTGCATTGATGCGGGAGATTTCTCCAGGAAGAGTCAGTTTCAAGCCAGCAATACCCGCAGTCATGGTGAAGACATTGTTGTTAAATGTTCCGGAGTGAGCGAGGTGACCTGCCGAGCGAGTAGGATCAAATTGTTGCATGATCTCTTTCCGGCCACCGAAACAACCAAATGAGAAGCCACCGCCAATGTACTTTCCCAGCGTTGTCATATCCGGTTTGATGGAATGATAGCCCTGGAGCCCATAAAAGTCTAGTCGGGACGTAACAATTTCATCGAAGATGAGCACGGCGTTCAGAGTAGTTGCAGCATCTCGCAAGAATTTTAGGAATTCGCCTGTTGCTGGAATGATTCCACCTGCACTTTGCAGTGGCTCAACGAGAATCGCAGCAATTCCGAAGCGAAGAAGTCGTCGAGTGGCTTCAATATCATTGTAAGTGCCAACAATGAATTTGTGTGGGAGATTTGTGACGGGCTTGTTTTCTCCGAAAGTGAGAGTACTACCATGGTAGCCATTTTTGAATACCAGGATCTGTAGCCATTAATGTGGTTTCTGTGGTGGTGGAGCGGATGGATGGCTTACATGCTCTTGTTTTGTGTAGCCTATCGCTGCAGCAATTGCCATCGTATTGGCCTCAGTTCCAGAGTTAGTGAACCTCATCAATTCCATACTCGGAAATCGTTCTTTGATTAAATTTGCAAATTCCGTTTCCTTTCCAATCACGCTACCCAGGTTGATGCCGATATCCAGTGCCTCATGAACAGCCTTGTGAATCTGTGGATGCGAATGCCCATACATGCCAGCAGAATATTCAGAGACAAATCCAAGATATTCTACACCATCTTTCGATGTGACTAGTGTACCTTTGCCAGATTCCAATGCCATCGAAAATGGCAATTGATGCAGAACCGTGCGGGTATTACCCCCGGGCAGAACTGATGCTGCGTCCTTGGCTTCTCTTGCCGATTCCGGATTGGTCTCTGTGTACCATTGTACAAGCTCATCGCACCTCTTTGTGAGCCACTCTCTCCATTTATCGTTCACAGGTGGCCAATCTGGACGTCGCTGCTCAACATAAAGCGTAGTTAGGTTTGTTGACCGGACTATTGAAGCATTTGCACCTTTCGGAAACCATATGTAATCGCCACTGGAAGCTGATAGTTCTTCCCCGGTTGTCTCATCCTTGATCGTAATGTGTCCTTTTACTACATATTTGACTTCATCCCATTCTGATTCCCAGGCCTCGGTTTTCTCTTTGACGTCCTGTAGATTCCAGATTCCGGCGACGATAGGTTTGTCTGCAGTATCGCTGGAATCTTTGTAAGAATTGGGTTATTGATAATTGATGGAATGTAATGACTAACACTGATGCTAAAAGATCTGTGTACGCTCCTGGTCCGAAGATGACCTTTCCAGGAATCTTCGGAACTTGACGAATAACTTTGATCTGTGCGGCCATACTGATCCACAAGAGATGATAAATGCAGAAGAGAATCGAGCGATACGAAATAAAAATTGAAGAAATTAAAAAAGTATTGGGTATTAATCTTCATAAATCCGATCTAATTTTGTGCCAGTACTGCCATCGTGCACGCTCCAATCAAGCTGGCAATAATTCTCCGTCGGCGCATTCTCCACAACCTACGGCAGAACCTTGATGCGCACTACTATTAGAGACATCATGTTACCAAACGGAACCCGCAACCCGAGGAGCGCGCATTGATTTCCAATCAGTCCTAATCTCGCCTTTTTGGAAGCATTTCCTTTTGTTCTGGAGCTGTGTTCACAGCCTGGAACTAAAATCTCTCACCGGTAGCACAAACACCACTTACGTTTTCCTAGGTATTGAATCTCATTCTCTATTAAACATGAACTGGAAGACAAAGGTCACAGAGAAACAAGAGCAGCGAGAGGCTGCGATAAAGGCTTGGGGTCTTTCGATTCCCAATGACCTTGTCGCTAACAAGAGGAACGTCAAGTATTTGCCCAATACCAGCGGAATCCTGTCAAGGAAAGAACTTGACATCACCGAGTCCAGTGCTACGATTATTGTCGACAAGATTAGGAAGCTGGAATGGTCTGCAGAAGAGGTACTCAGGGCTTTCGTTTCTAGAGCTGTACTTGCTCATCAATTAACGAATCCGTTGACCGAAGTATTCTTTGAGCGTGGCCTCTATCGGGCGAGAGAATTGGATAAGATTTTCAAAGACACTGGCAAGCCTGTCGGACCTCTTCACGGTCTGCCGATCAGTCTGAAGGATACACTACACATCAAAGGATTGGAAACCACCCAAGGATATGCAGGCTGGATTGGAAACGTACAAAATGAGGATGACAGCCTTGTAAAAATTCTCATTAATGCAGGAGCGGTGCTATACTGCAAAACGAACGTGCCACAAACACTCATGTCCGGGGAGTGTGTGAACTTTGTATTCGGACGAACTTCATCACCATGGAACACAAGCCTCTCAGCTGGAGGTTCAAGCGGCGGGGAAGGTTCTTTGATATCATTAGGAGGGAGTCCACTTGGCATCGGGAGCGATATCGCAGGTTCCATTCGGACACCGGCGAACTTCAATGGCATCTATGGGCTCTGTCCTTCTACATGTCGTTTTCCTGGCCATCGCGCGAACAAATTAGGGGGCGAAAGCTTCATCAAGCCAGTCTTTGGTCCCCTGTCAAGAAGTGTGGATGGACTAGAGGTGTACACGAGAGCGATACTGTCTGCCAGACCCTGGGAAGTGGACCATCAAGTATTGAGGTTACCGTGGAACGAAGTCGATTATCAAGAAGGACTCGGAAGACACCATACCTTAACCTTCGGGTTTATGCGACACGACCATGTGGTTCTACCAGACCCTCCAATTCTTCGGTGCATTGAAGAGGTTCGAGACAAACTACAGAAATCTGGGCATCATGTTATTGACATTGCCCCGTTCGAGGGCGTAGAGCTCATGTCAGCCATGGAGAAGATATTTGGTGCGACTGGTGCCAAAGATGTCCGAGAGATACTGGCAAAGTCAGGCGAACCTCTTATCAAGGAGGTAGAGTTTACAACTGAAGATACAGCTCTGTCCACATGGGAATACAAACGTGCTGGGGTGCAGCTTAGCATCCTGCGCCAAAAGTATCTCGAGATTGTCAACAATACTTCAACAGAAACCATTTCCGGTCGACCCATAGATGGCATAATCTTACCATCCGGAGGCCACGTAGCGCCTCCACATGGAACGATGGAGTACTACACATATGAAGCCATCTCAAATGCCTTGGACTGGACATGCGCAACATTTCCAGTGGGTTTTGTTAATTCCGACTTGGATACGAAACCTAAGTCATTCCACCCAATGTCTAAATACGACGAACGCAACCATGCAAAATGTAAGCATCCTCAACCCTTTCAAGTCCTCGTTTGGGTGACCTGATGAGCTAATTATCCTACGTGGGCAGATTCTCCAGAAGCTTATGCGGATGCGCCTGTCTGTTTGCAACTCATGGGTGTGCAACATAGCGAAGAGAAAGTGCTTGGTTTATTGAGGACAGTAGAAGCAGCCCTGGGAAGAGGGCCCAACTACATGGCTTGAGCATTTCAATCTACGCTTCTTTTTAGATTTCACAATATACAAAGTGACAACGAAGATCATGATTGCCGTACGTAATGAGTGGTGACTCGAAGCTTATTAGAGCTGAGCGTAGCTGGTTGTAGCAGATATAGGAAACCATACACACGTATCAAGATGGTGCAGCACGTACTTAACTCCCCATACTTGAATTTCGAATTCCATTATTCCACTTGAGTGATGAGTTGACCAGATGGACTGCTATGGGGGTTGAGCCTCGCCTCGTCTCCCCTAGGTTATGAAGCGGGGTTGCAGAACGCGCGATCCCTTAACCCCACTCTTACCAACAACTAAAATAGTCGCGGCTAGAAAAATTGGCGATAAACAAGACCGACGGCCATTAATGTTTTTCTCAATTTGTTTCATACATTGATGGCAAAGCTTTCAATAGCAATAATGGCACTGGGATAGTATTTAGTTGAGATTGGGGTTAGCTGCATTGATTTCACGAAACTACTTCTTCAGAGAGCTTCACCTCACACAAGACAATATTATACGTCAACGGCCATCATGTCGACATGGTTGGATACACCTACATATGCTGCTCAGTTCAATTCATCAGAAGATTTCAATGGTTCGGTGCCTCGACCCGATGACTTCCCGGAAATAGCGGAGGAGTCGAGAAGCTATTGGATCCGTGAGCACCGTATTGATCTCGACCATACGCAGGTAGATACACATCTTCCAACCAATGTCGACGTAGTCATCATTGGTTCAGGTATTACTGGCGCTGTAGCGGCCTTGCGCATCTCCGAAAAGAAACCTGAACTTCGTACTGCCCTTGTCGAAGCCCGTGGTATCTGCACAGGTGCAACCGGCAGGAATGGGGGTTTCATCGCACGCCCTGAATGCTACCATCTCGTCAAAACTGCGAAAATCATTGGTACTGAGGACGCAATCAAGCTTAGAAAATTTGGCAATATCAACCGAGATATGATGCTTGATTGCATTGAAAAGTTGGGTCTGAGCGAAGATGTGGATCTGCGTTTGAACGGCAATATCAATGTATTTGAGACTCAGGAAGAGAAGGATAACGCTCTCGAGGACATAAAATTCGCCAAAGAGAATGGATTCGAACCTGAGGGGTACTATCTGGACCCTGAAGCCACAACAAAGGTCTTTGGAGCCCCCAACAAATACTGATAGTGTCTTCATATTCTAACTATGACACTAGAAATTTGGCTTGGATGCGGAGCTATGCCGATACGGTTCGGCATTACTCGAGAGAGCTGGCACGTTCTATCCCCGTAAATTTGTTCACAACCTCCTTCTAACGGCTCTGGAGCGTATGCCAAATCTCACCATCCATCCATACACGCCCGTAGAAGCCGTGCGTAAAGTAGAAACCCCCGATGTTCAATATGAAATCCGCACCCCTCGGGGCACCATAACCTCCAAGGCCGTCTTCCATGCTACGAACGCATATGCGGGTAACATTTGTCCCCCATTGAAAGGCAGCAATGGCGTGTTTGGTGCAAAGGCTCATCTCTTGGCGCTAAGTCCAAACACCCCAGGAAATAGGGATAAACAACTGAAATACGGGTTTGGTTACGCCGACTTCTGGCATTACTTGCATCAACGTCCGGCTCATGGCTCTTTTCTTTACGGCCTTGCTGATGCTGAGATTCTGAACGATTATGACGATTCTATTACGCTGCCAACCGACCACCCGGTACGGGCAAAAATGGCCGAAATGTTGGAGCGCAATTTCCCGGATTGGTTCGAGAATTTGGATCTTTCAAAGGACGTAACCCATGACTGGACAGGTATCCAAGGCCTGACAATGACCGGGGCCAGTATTGTAGGCCGGCCTTCAATAGAAAGTCCTGGTGAATTTGCTAGCGTGGGTCATAATGGCGAGGGCATGGGAAGATGTTTTGCCAGTGGAACAGTTGCTTCAGATGCGATGTTGGCTTATTTGGATGGGTCTGAATACAGCCCGCCAGATTGGTTTCCCCATTGTTACCGTAGAAATATCTAGAGCAAACTCACCGTATAATTTCATTGTCTTCCCTGAAAGATGAAGGATTTCACAGTTGATCATATACCAGAAGTGTCTTATCAAAGTCATTCTGAGGTCACATCAATCAAATTGACTATTTGCCACTTCCAAATTGTAGAGGTCCATGGTTCCTGGGATCATTGGGAATGCCTGGAGAATCGTCTATTAAATTGCCTTTATCTACCCTTATACACGCCGGGAACAGTAAACCTACCATAATCTGCCCACCTTATTTGTGGTGATCAAAGAGGCAGCGTAGCAACAAAGTAATAGAAATACCTGCCAGGTAGCAATCAAGCATTTGGTGGAGTCAAAGGTGTTTGTAATTGCCAGAGGGTTCATGGGAAACAACATGAATGAAATCACAACCACTCTCAGGTGAGACTATGCGACGCCAGCTTCGGCACAGGGAGAAAGTCTGTACCAAAGACCAACACGAACAGTTGAGACCATACACCCCTCAAAGATCATAGGCTGATAATGGCAACTGTGAGTCATTAATCAGGTTCCAAGTGTGTGACCTGTGGATATCCAAAACATCTGATTACATTTTCGTGGTTTTGTTCTCGGATTGGCTGAAAATCGCCGTCGGCTACTATCAACCCTTAGCTTTATCTCTGCATCCCTGTTGCGCAGCTTGAAGGGGAGGACCCTAATCTATTAGCTCCTCCTAGCCTACATCCATAATGGACAATGACCGTATGACCCTCTGAACCTGAACTGTCTTGATCGCTAATACAGAGCGTACGAGCCCTCGTTACTCTGCACATGACAAAAGACCTTTGCCTGTATCTTTTAACATATCCTATCGGATGCTGTAGGTAGAGGAATTGTGTTATCGTAGAACAGTTACTTGATCCAATCTCCAAATGGCGCCTCAATTCAAAGCACCACGCCCTGTCGCTCATCCTACGAAATCATATTGGTTGAGCCAAACAAGCCCAGATTTGTCCAACTACTGCTCGTAAGCTTCCTACATCAAAAACATAAAGAACAAACCTGAACTCCAGGTTCTTGCTTCAATAGTACTGACATTTTTGTCATAGGCATGACGCACTCCCTGATCATGTGGATACTATCGTAATCGGTTCGGGCATTACCGGTGCACTGATTGCTCACGAGATTCTCCAGCGAATGCAAGGAAAGTCACCTAGCATTATGATGGTTGAAGCGCGTGAGTTGGCCAGCGGAGCGACCGGGCGGAATGGTAAGAAAACAAAACCTGGACTGCGCAATCTTGCGCAGCACATCTTTCCGTTCAAATTATTCTGACGCAGACGATTTTGCAGGTGGTCATATCAAGCCGGATTGCTACAAAAACCATAGATCAATGGAAGAGCGGTATGGCGCTGACATTGGCAGACACATCACGTCTTTTGAGCCTCAAAATATGAAAGAGACCGTTCAGTTTATTAAAGATAACGGACTTGAAGCGGACATAGATCTTGTAGAAACCCGCTCTGCAGATGTCTACATGTCTGAGAGCGGCTGGAATAACGCAGTCAAGTCACATTCTGACTTTGCTAGAGCTGGTGGTGATGTTTCCGACATAACACTACATGAGGCCGCGGAAGCTCGTGAGGTAAGTTCTTTTTCATTTCTGCAGATATTCCAGTAGTCTGCCTCGCCTTAGCGAGCATTTACTATGGAATAAAATATTATGTTTGTCTATAACATGATGTTGATCTGTTCATCATAGAAATTCCGAATCAATGGCATCTACGGTGCTGTAAGTTATCCTGCTTGCAGTCTCTGGCCACACAAGCTAGCGACCAAAGTTATCGAGCGATGCATCGCAGCTGGGCTCCAGGTCTTTACCAACACCAGGGTCAACAGCATAGTGCGCGACTCTAATAAACCGAATAAATGGCGGATTCATACTACCAGGGGTGCTTTCACGTGTGATAGCATATATCATGCGACGAATGCACATGCCGCTTCCCTTCTGCCTACCTTTCACCGATCCATAGTTCCAGTGAAAGGGCATGTTGCTGCCATAGAGCCGCCCAGTCCATTTCTGTCACAGCCCTTGATCAATACCTATGGTATTCAATGGGGCGAGGACTTTGACTACCTTATTCAGAGGTCCACAGACGGATTCCCGTTGATCTATGGTGGCCGAGACTTAGCACACAAAAATGGACTTCCTGGTGTCATTGGGGATTGGGACGATTCAAAAATGACACCCGAGATTATAACTGCTCTCAGGCAATTTCCTTTCCAGTACTTCCAGGGTTGGAATCATATGACCAATTTTCGTTACGTTTGGTCAGGTATCATGGGATTCACTGCGGACACTTTCCCTTTCGTTGGCGAACTGCCAGGCCTAAAGCAACAATACATTGCCGCCGGCTTCAATGGGCATGGTAAGATCTTTCCCTTTATGTTTGTTCTCCTCTTGCAATGGTCTTGGTGATTAGCAACATCTGTCTTGAGTAAGTTCTACGAATGATTACCGCTAACAGTAATTCAAATGTAGGTATGGCTCGGGTGTTCCTATCAGCACGAGCAGTGGTGCAGTTGGCGTTTGGCGAGAGTGTCGATCCACGCGTGCCTCCTGTCTATTATAGCATTGCTAGCCGGCTAAGTACCGTGTTTCCGGAATGGGAGACTCTCTTAGACGAAGCAAGCGCATTAAGACAGAATAATGCCAGATTGCCTTCAGTATTGTAGAGTCAACCAAGCAGATGTCTTATTACCTTCATCATCGAAAATCTATATATGGATTCTACATGTTTTGCTTATTCATTTATTTTTGTTTACTCTATTAAGAAGATCGAAAGAAAACCATGTCCAGGAACAACCTGTGCGTGGGGCATGATTTTGCAAGAGAATGTCCCATGCCAACCGTCTCTGTATATTTACATCATAGAGAGTAAATGCCAAATTCCAAAGAACTACAATTATAAAGAACATATCATGTACTGTTCTAGTTCTAATACTATGTGCCTTCCTGGGTCATCCGACCGATGTTTCTGTGGGAAATATCATTTTCCGTTGAACAATACTCCATCAAATTTAGACAGGCTCTCTATTCCTTCGATGATAGGTGTTCGCACACCCAAAAATGTTTCTCCTACGAACTTGACGGAAGCGCCCTCAAAGCTTTAGTTTTACGTTCACGTGTACGGTTTTGACTTGTGAATATGCCTCTAGGCCGGCCTCGCCCAACTCGCGCCCGATACCGCTCTGCTTTACCCCTCCAAACGGTAAGCGACTATCGCCATCTTGACTGCTATTAACCCAGACCTGACCCGATTCGAGGTTCGGAAATAGACGATGAACTCGCTGAATGTCCTTGGTAAATATCGCAGCTCCAAGTCCATAATTACTGTTATTCGCTAAGGCGACAGCCTCCTCCTCTGTATCGAATAATGTGACGGCGACGACAGGGCCAAAGACCTCCTCTTGAAACAATTCGGAAGTCGGCTTGACGTCTGTGAATATGGTTGGCTCAATGAAATAACCGTTGTTATGTTCCCGGCGCAAGAACGGCTTCCCACCAAGGGTCAAAACACCACCATCCTTGGACGCTCGATCGATGAAGCCCAGAATACGGTGATAATGCTCTTTCGAAACTTGTGGGCCTTGGGATGTTGCTTCTGCAAAAGGATCACCCAACACATTGGCTTCGGCGATGACCTCTTTAAACCTCGTAACAAATGCGTCTGCTACGCTACGCTGCACAAGCAAGCGGGATGTTGCAGTACAAATTTGCCCCTGGTTGCTCATGATGCCTATCTGTGCCCACTTGGCTGCTTGATCGAGATCCGCATCATTGAAAACGATTAAGGGCGATTTTCCACCAGTCTCGAGCGTTATGTTCTTCAAGTTGTTGCTTGCAAGTTTCATAATTTCCCTCGCGGTGCTAGTGCTTCCTGTAAAGGCGACTTTGTCAACATCCATATGACCGGCTAACGCTGCCCCTGCCACACGGCCGCGTCCATTCACGATGTTTACAATGCCCGGTGGAAAACCCGCACGTTTGATTAGGGTTGCAAGGTGAAGGATTGAGAGAGGAGTCTGTTCCGCTGGTTTCAGAACGATTGCATTGCCGCACGCTAATGCCGGACCGAGTTTCCAGGCTGCCATAGCTTTCAAGGGATCAGCACTGTGGCATTCTTGTATGGTGACCAGACACTCACAAAGAGGATAATTCCACGGAATTATCTGGGCGCAAACTCCAATGGGTTCACGAACTGTAAAACCAAACTTGTACCCTTGTGGCCCAACATTAGACATGGTCTGCCCGTGGATCTTGTCCGCCCAGCCAGCATAATACTGAATCACAGATATGGTTTCTTCTAGATCTTCCGCGAGCGCGATCCCGTACGGCTTGCCATTGTCCCATGCTTCCAATGTAGCCAGCGTCTCCTTTTCTGCGATTATCAGCTCCGCCAGCTTATACAGCAATCTTCCCCGCTCTACAGGAGACTCTTCGCGCCACTCGGGTTTAATCAGAGCTCTTCGAGCTGCACGTACTGCGTCATCGACATCTCCGGAAGACGCAGCCTGGACGACAGTAATCTCCGTCTCATTGGCCGGATCGATTGTTGAGATTGGCGCGTCTCGCCCGGGAACGAATTCATTGTTGATGAAAAGGCCGGTGTGGAGCTTAATTACTCTTCCATTCGGGGCCGTCAGCGTCTTGGATAAGTCTGCCATGATTTCAGGTAAGGAGTCGAGTGAGTGCTATAGGTTCCAATCTAGTTCCGTGGTTTCCAGGCTACATATGAGAACCTCAGAGTAGCAAGCTGTTGTCTTATGGCGCATACCTTATTCAGTTCTTTTTGCTCCTTACAGATGGTAAAAGTCCGTCGGTGCTTTAGATATGAAAATATTACGTCAATTATCAAGCTGCTACAGGCCCTCTAGACTTGGGTTTGGAAAAACGCACTATGTATGACTGGCATTTGGCGTTATATAAGCGCTCTACACAATTTATCGCAAAGACTTCAAGAGTACTCTGGATATTCAATGCCGATACGCAACAAAAGAACCAAACCTTCCGTCAAGTAGTTAGATGATGCATAGGCGGCTAATAGTGTATTTGCTGGCGTCTTGCACGATGAAGATTGTGGCACATTGAAGTGGGGCCAGAACGCACGATTTCGAAAGAACGAGCTCATAGACGAGCTGCTCCAAATCTGGGGATCGGTATCATGGTTATTCGCACACATTATCTGTATACATCGGGCTACTACTGTGTACACCGATCACCCATACCTTGGTATGTGGTCACTTTTATTCCAAAAGTGCCGACGGCATTAGAACCTGACAATATGGTGTCATGACGCTCATCGGACACTAAATAAAGCAGATAGTTGTTACGGTGAACGCCCAAACCACTAATTTCAGAGGGAGTACTTGGCAACCCGTCCAAATAAACCAGCTGCTCCATCAATTGATCAATTGAGTTCGATATCATTACACATATGATTCGTTCATTTTCGCTAGTATAATTTTGCATTATTCAATAGACATACATATAATTTTACTCGAAGCAGCATGAACTACAGCGCAATATTCCACTTGCACCATTGTGCAGGTTCGACCTGTAGTTTTGCAAACCCAGCAAATCTCAAAGCAGTGGTATCACCATACCGGCATCCCGTGCCAAACTTTCGAGGCTGACATATGTGATGCGGGCGTCTTCGTGTAGATTACCGTCGTCAAGGTTGGTAGACTGCGCTTGCCACAAAGTCTGCAACAGGTCTCGCACTCGCAGAGCATGATCGATAGAAAATAGCTCACGCAATGAAACAAGTAACCTTTCAACCTCGGTCTGCCAGGTCTTATTCGCTGGATAGCCACATTCGCATCCGACAATGGTAAGCGGCCAAAGCAGTGCGTTGCCAACTGATACCTTCTGTGTCTGGCCCAATGCAAACACTGCCCTCACATTAGAAAGAATGTCTGTAACATAAGAGTCTCTGTCCGATTTTCGATCTGGCCGGATAGCCTTTCTTAAATCGGAGTGAAACCCTGCGCCTCGCCATAAAAAGATGCATGCTGCCTTACGTATGGCGTCCCACGTCATTTGTAAAGCCAGTTTGGTGAAAGTTGGCATATCGAGGGGAAACAATGGACCTTGCCAGGTCTTTAGAGAAGATTCTAGATCATTCCTGATGATACTGAACATCGGAGGCTCTTCCGCATCTGTACGGTGCGGTTAGTCAACGAATGCAGTACGGAAGCCGTAACTAACCTATATTCAAGGCAGTTCTGCGATAGGTCGACTGACGATCGTGAATCTCTAAGAAAGCCGCGTCATCAATGTGCTCCGCGATGAACGCGATCACAGTAACCAAAGATTCAGGGTACCCGGTGAGGGTCTCGAAAGGTGAGAATGCTCTGTCAGTTCTGTCTCTCTGATGAAGCTTCCAAGAGAGCCAGCACTTATGGGATCTTTGCAGTTTCCCGACAGAGAATGCCGATATATCTTGATGAGCGCATGCGCTTATAAGGAAGCGTCCCAGCTTTGATGCCTCGAGGAAATTCCGATCAGTGGTGCGGATTATACTCACCATACCGCGAATATGTTGGGCCCAGGAACCATCACATTGCGAAAACCCGAATACAGCCAATAAAAGGGAGCAGCATAGGGCCCTCAAGACTCTCGATGTGTCCTTTTCATTGTGTTGTAATTGTGCTGCCTCCCGCTGAAGAGTCACCAGCGCGGCCTCGTGATGATAAAATTCTTGTGTGGAACGTTCCGATCCTCTAACCGCTAACGCCATCATACCGTGAAGAATTTCGGGCCACTGTATAGCATGCGGCAACAACAGGTGTAACATGGAATCGCCAGACCCGTTGATCGCGACTAATGCAATCTGGCATCGGTAGATCACTGGCAAGGAAAATGTACTGTCAACACCGAAACATCATGAGTAGAGGGTCCAAATATTACTCACATCTTCGTAGCGACTGATTGTCTCTGGGAGACAAGATAAGACCCGAAGTGAATAGTGGGGGATGAAGAAGTCGCTCGCTTCCCACTTCAGGTGAAGACAGATATCGAATGTTCAAATCAAAACAAGGCAACCTGCAAACCCTGGCTTCTGGATTACATAGTGCGATTATCGCGGCTCTTCGATCTGATTCATCATTGAGTCCAGACTTTGTGGGCAAGGACAGCTTTTCAGCCCAATGGAATTCAGAGCTGTGCCAAAACCTGCTGGCGGCTTTGTCTGTCATCTTGATGATACCCGTACCTTGGTCACACCATCTATAATGTCCTAAGACATATAGTGTGCCTGCCATTGTTTGTGAAACATCAGAGTCGCGTTCTCCTATAAGGGCCTTTAGGATAGTGCATACTGCACTAAACAAATCCAAATTGAAGCGATGCTGCGAACTCAAGAGTGAGTCGAAGAAGTGAATATGTATTTCAATGCTTGCTCTCAAACCGTGTGGCAAATTCTGCGCTGTTTTTATCGGACCGTTACTTAATTCGTGCTCATGGAATTGCCATAAGGCGATCGCTGAGATTATGGAGGATAGTAATATGAAGAATGTAGTGCTTGCAGATATGGATTTAAGAGAGGGATCGATTGATAGGAGCGTGGGAAGAACCTGAGCTTCATTGTTAGCAAACATTTCCGCTTCACATAGGTTACCACCAGGACAATCAATGTAGAATACCTCGGCAAGTAAAAGTGAATGCTCAAACGCATTAAAGAACGTGTCTGATGACGGCCAACATGGGTCCAGCAACAGCCCCAAAAGATCTCTATGGGAATCTAGCCTGCGTCAATAACTATACCACAAGAAAGAATGCTCAGATATAACATTATACATACAAGTCAACATGTATACCCCATGGAACCATATCATAGCTTCTGCTTGGTATGGGTATGTCACCGCATCGAGGGCTACTAATGAACTGGGGAAATCTAGATAGAACTGTTCCAGTCGCCTTCTAAGCTCATTATTTAATTCTTCGTCTTTTTCGTTTTGCAGTGCTTTTCTCAGTAATCTATACAGATTAGAGAAGTACGGGCTTTTGGCACTGAACACGTACCGTGCCAAGGGTAATATAATTCCATAGAGATCGTTCCGCAATGACGATGGCTCAACAAATACCTTCCAGCCACTAGGAGTTGATTCCAAAACTCCATTTGGCTGCAAGTCGTCTTTATCTCTTTCATAGTCCCGTATCTGTTGATGGCAGGTCGCTTCGTAGGAGGGATGAAGTAGCATCAAAGTTCTACGAGCACAATCAATTTCCAATCTTACAACAAGATTTGATGTTCTTACGTTTCTTGTATCTCAATTGCCTCCAGTATGCTAGATATTTCAGCGAAGATATTCTGTTCATGGGTCATTGACGATTCTCACCATTTGCTGTTAGTAGCCAAAACACCTTCTAGGGAGAGCGCGCGGCTGTGCACTTCGATCCATATTATCCTAGCCAGGGAGTTCCAAGATAATGCAATTGTAACTAGAGAATCATGCATACACCAGAAGTGACTAAAGAGGACCAATATCGATGCTTGGCTGAGTTTCACATCGCAAGACTTCCAAGTGAGTGTAGGAATATGACGAAGCGCCTCTATACGGAGAGTATCAATAACGAGTTCAGGAGAGACGTGTGGCGCAAGGCAAGTGGCGCTGTCGTCTACTTGCAGGGCGATTGCCAGTAAAGCACACAGGATTTCCCACGAATCCGACGAGGTATTCGCTGTGAGCAAATATTCTCTCGGACCAGTGGCATCGTCCAGGATAATGGCGAGAAGTCCCCACCAAGTGATTTCCGCAAAGCTATGAGAAAGAAGCCGGGTGACAATATCTAGACTGAGGCCTAAGGTTAGTAGATATTCGCTTTTCTCATTGGGAATTGGATCGTTTGCTCCAGCATCTCGATAGACCACACTCAGGCCACTAGTTTCTTCATCTTCGATAGGGCTAGTACCAGCGCTATAACTCATCACCAATTGTTCATCAATACTGCTGGGTCTGTGCAGCGGAGAGATCCTTTCATGTTCTAATGGTAAGGGTGATTCGCCCAATGGCACAAAAGACGGGCTCTGTTCAGAATGCGTGGCGGTGTCGATAGAGTCAGGTTCCATATCATCTCCAACATCTCCGCTGCCTTCGTCATCGCAATTTGTGCATGTTGGAGCCGAGGGTAACAACTGAACTGGGGCAAGACCAGTACGGTCGGCCGTGTGTCTCTTGGGTCTGCCACGGCGGCGCACTGGTCGATTATCTCCACATTCGAGCCCAAGTCTCCTGCAACGCGAACAGGGACTGCCTGCATCGCATTGCGTTTTCTGGGGTAATCAGCCTTGAACCAAGTACGTGGAATGTATCTACAAACTTACAAGCGCCCAACACCGATCACAAGCTCTCATTTCGGCCTAATTAGATAGAGCATGGCTGCAATGGTGCATAGAATGCGGGCCGTGATTGTTTACGCAGAAACCAACAGAAAATATGGCCGTCGGAGGAAAGGTTGATGTACTCGTAGGATAATTAAGAACAATTTAAGATAACATTATTACTTGGACTAGCCGGCTTGCTCGGAAAACCTTTGGTACGGAACACGATTCCGCAAGGGGTCTAGAGCAAGGCCCAACAGTGGTCGGCAGATTTGGTCGTGCTTCATGTCTACGAACGGCGATTTTAGCCCAATCAGATCAGCCACCAATTTAGTCCTGGACCAAGGGTCTCAAGCGCAGCACCATGAGTGAAGTTGAAATCAACACTTTCCGATCCGACACTCTCTTTGATTCCAGTTCGACGACTATTGAGCTCGCAAGCCTTATCTGTGGATCGTGCATGCGGGGAACGGGATGGTCTGGTGGCGCCCCTGTCTGACCCAGTATGGACGATTGTTGCATAAAGTATCGTCGTCTGTTGGAATACAAAAGCAGGTAAAGCCAGGACATTACTGTTGGCATTACTCCTCTCTCCTTCTGAAGTCTATAAACTTTCCCTCCAGTCTCATTGCGCTGGACTTGAGACATCATGGATCAACAAGACGTAAAAGATTCGAAGAAAGCCGAACCAGTGATGACCAACATAGCGTCGGTAAATGTTGAGGATGGGGTTGTCGAGCATCTTGGTTACGATCAGTCATATCGTAGGGTGCTCAGAAGTGTGGGTAGCATTGCGTTGGTCCTGGCTCTCGCGAGGTAAATCTAAATAATCCCGATTTCACTTTTTACCACCATCATCAGTAATTTTTCGCATCGCTCTACTAATGCCGGCGTAGTCCGATGGCGGCTATCCTGATCAACTCGTTCTACCAGATCATATATGGTGGACATTGGGGCTTGACATGGTAAGGTTAACCTTCCAATTCGTTTCTCTGCACAATCGGCATTCAGGTTAACGATCTGTAGGGGTTGGGTGATTGCTTGCGTGTTTCTTTTCCCACAAGCTCTGACTGTTGCAGAGTTGTGCTCTTCAATGCCTACGAATGGCGCTTTTTACTGGTACACTGCAGCTCTTGCTCCCCCACGCTTCTCCAAGCCATTATCCTTCATAGCTGGATGGATCACAACATTGTCTCTCTTTACAAGCCTTGCCAGTTTTGCCTTTGCTTGCGCTTCATCCTATGCAGTCCTCATTCCAGTAATGGTACCAACATGGACTCCGACAAACCCGCAAATGCTAGCTATGGCTTTAGCCATCCTCGCCTTGTGGGCACTCCTCAACATGTTACGTTTTGAGAAAATAGCTATGGTCATGGTCGCAATCAGTACGTAAAAATCCTTCGTTAACGTAGTTATTCACTAACAAAACCATTTCCTCAGGTGGAGTCGTTCTCGCCACCACCGCTATCTTCATTGTAGCCTTGCCAGCCTCACAAGCCGCCCAGAACATCTCTTTTGCGAGCGGATATACTGCCCTCCTAAAGTACGAGAACTTCTCAGAATGGAGCCGAGCTGTGGCTGTACCTTTCACCTTCTTCACTGCTTTTTGGTCTGTCACTGGCTGGCAATCGCCATGCTATGTAGTAGAAGGAATACAGAATGCACGAACCACTGCACCAAGAGCGATTATAATCTCGTTCTCAGCTATGGCTACTATGGGTACGATAGTATGTCTTATTTGTTCATTCTGCCTTACGGATATTGAGGCTGCGGCAACCGATCCATCGTAAGTGTCAATCTTTTGCTCTTTTGGACTTGCTGTACCGAGCCATTGACTAACGTTAAATCTACAGCGGGTTTCCATTATTCACTCTCATTTTAAACCTGTGGGGTGTGAAGCTCGGTTTTACTTTCCTCATCATCATAGTATCCACTACAATCTTCGGCGGCTCATCCCTCCTCTTCTCTAGCGCATGCCAGATCGCCGCCTTCGCGCGAGATGGGGGACTTCCTTACCCCCACCTCTTCAGTTACGTGCATCCCGGGACCAGTATGCCCCTCTACTCAACACTTCTACTCGTCATTGGCACCGTGCTTGCGCTGCTTTTTAGCTTGTCCCCTGTTGCGGGTCCCATCATATACTCCCTTGCGGTCATCATGAATGTCCTTGTCTATCTCCTACCCATAGGACTACGACTTGTCGCACCTAAAGAGCGCTACACTCCGGGGCCGTGGAACCTTGGCCGGATGAGTTGGCCGGTCGCGTTCTGTGGGTTTGTGACTGGCTGCTGGCTGATCGTGATGGAAACGTTTCCTACGACCCCGAATTGGACTGTAGCCTCCTTTAATTACAATTGGGTTGTCTCGTTGGCGACTATGGGAATAGCCGCCTTGCTCTGGGTCTGCATTGGGGGAAACTATAAGGGCATCAATCTGGAGGCTCTGAGGGGGATGCAGTTGAACATTGATACAGAGGGTGTGAAATAAGATGGACCGGCTGGAATCTATACTGTTGTAGCATGCTACTGTCATTAGCGATACTCTCAATTACACAACTACACTACCAAGTTCGCTTTTGTTGGCTTTACAATTTTAGTTTGAAAAGTAGAGAGTAGAGCTGAGCATTCTTGTCCACTGACCCTCATACAACTTAGTTTTCAATGTAGGATCGTATAAGTACCTAGGTACCTAGGTATTGAGGTACATGCGTCTGTACCAAGACCTCCCTCATCGATTCTCATCTCTTGATAGGCCGCATTGGCGCCGGGCGGATGGTCCCGCGGCTAACCCTAAAGCCACCTCGACATATTAATTGAGCTGAGCCACACGGTCTCGATTCAGCCTCACCGCTCAAAGTAACCTCAGCCGCACTTCAAAACATTTTGCTTCCTCAGCAAGCACCACTGTTTGCTGAGGAAGCACAATGCTTTCATACGAGCGGTATTATCGTGATGTTGATGAGAGTGGCTTGGCTTTGACCCCTTCGATCGATAATCAGGTCTGGTTCGGTGACCGCAGCGAACAATCCGACTTCCTCGAAGCCCTTACTTTTGCAAAGGTAAAGACCTAGGCTCTTATACTCATCTTTATTTCAGGTCTCTAGATACACGATCAACTAATGCTACATTATAGAAACTTCCAAATGGCTCACTCGATCACCCATCACACTCATGTCGCTATGGGTTCCTAAGTAACTCCGATATCCTGTCGTGGGTCCACCAAAGCGGGACATATGTACCGATGAACTCCGATCCTAACGCCATGGTCACTGGCGGTGTTCGTCTGCTAATTCTGGAGCGCGCCCTTTACCAACCTTCTAGCTACCCAATTAAGCAAGAAACCTTCCGCGAAATTTCTTCTTACTTCCGACTCCCAGCAAGCACACTTATCGCGCTCAGCCCTGAAGCCGGATATCTAACCCACACACTTGGCCTCGACCCTATCACAGGATCCCCTGATTTTCTCACAATCATCCTCAAGACTCCTCAAAAGTTCCAAGTCGGTAACTACGGCCTCGCTATCACGCATGACTTCACTACTGGCATATCCACCGGAATCCTCCACGGCACTGGTGTGATTGCCAATGCTAACGGATATTCGCTCTGGCGCGACACCGCTGGGATTGAAATCCTAGACCTCCTCAAGGAAGTGCAGCAAGAATGGACTCTCCCACTGTGTCTCCCAACGGTTCTCCTCAATCACCACATCCTCCGCACGGACTATTTCTGTAGCATCATTCTCGGTAACCAGCATACTGAGCTTCAGAGCCAATTAGGCACCACGCGAGCCGGACGCCTCGCAGGTAGAAAGGGACATAACATTGCCACCGAAAAGCCATTCCAGCAGGCAAAGGTCAACTTGCGGGATCTAACTGTCGGGCTGAGTAGTTTACTCTTCGACATCATCTGGTTCTGTAGCGTCACGGAATGGCAATGCGAAGCGGTTACGGACCTCGACTCCATCCTTGTGGAACTATCACAGCTAGCGACTGGCAACGCTACATCAAATTTACAGACACGCTCCACACGGGCGAAGGTCCGGCATCTGACTTCCCTCGCAAAGGGTCTCAAACGACAGATGACAGCCATGAAAGAGGTTGGACAAGCTGATATGAGCGTCGTGCGTAAACCCATCTCCTGATTGACATTTAATCAATACATGCTAAATGGATTTCAAACAGCTGTACAGCATAACCTCCCAAGCCGACTCGCGACTCTCCGCCAAAATGGCAGCAGCCTCGAGTCGCGATAGCGCGGCGATGAAGACGCTCGCATTTCTCACCACGCTCTTCCTTCCCGGAACAGCAGTTGCTACAATATTTAGCATGGACATGTTCAATTGGCGTCCCTCGTCTCCTTCATCTCCTTCATCCGACTCGGAAGAGTCGAAAGTCGTAGCCGAGCTCTTCTGGGTGTACTGGGCGGTCACAGTCCCACTCACAATCGTCGTAGCCGTCGGATGGCGCATCTGGTGGGGTTGGGAGAAGAAACATTTTGACGAAGATGTGCGAAGGGAGATTGAGGCGATTGATGGGGAAGGGAGGCAGGAGAGTCTGGCAGACGACGACAGTCTTGCATCTGTGATGATCGGAGCGGGGGTAAGGATCACGGAAATGAGGAAGAGGAATTTGTGGGGACGGCTGCGTGGCGGGAAGAAAGGTTGACGCCACAGAAAAGGAGGGGGGAAACGATGAGAGTCTTTGACAATGACTTCTAAGCTATTTACAACATTCCGTCATTGGAGATAATACTGCGAATACGTGCTGAATCTTGTAACTATAGCTGATTCTATTGTTTCCCATGATCAACGACTGTCTATATGATTATGTGTACACCGTGATTCTCTTTTTCTAGCGCCTCGTAATCCCTATATTTTCCTGTATTCAACCTCATTGGTTTAGCATTATTTCTAAGATATGTTAAAATATTGGTAACAATTGTATTACCCTTTGCTGGCTCCTGTTTCCAGTCCGAGGCATTGTCTTGTGCTCGGTTTGGAAGTTTCATCCCGCTTCACGTTGTTGCCCAGACAAAGCTACCTCGGAAAAGTGCTAGTAGTGGGCAATTCTTTCTGCCTTGCAACCTTAAAATAATGCAATACGCGTCCCGAACAGGCAACCACTATAATTCGGCATTTCTACCGTAGAAATATGATGAGATAAACAAACTTTACTATTTTGACAGCGGAAGATTCAATTAGTTGAGACGGGTTACGTATGCTTCCTCATCAGTCGCTGATCGCGAAGTAGATCTTCGATGGATATATAACGCGAACGTACATCCTGCATGCCTATCCAACTTCAACAATAGTACCAAAAATGGCGAACATTCCTACAGCACCTCCGCCTCCGCCTCCTGTGCGACGAACAACTAAAGCAGCCACAATGACTACGTTGGATCCTACAAGTCCTCCATTCTCAGTCAATGGAAGCACCCCAGAGGACCTTGCATTGGAATTTCATGATGCACAAGCTGCCACTGGCTCTATTTCTCTCAAGCCCATCATCCGCCATTTTCTAGGCGTACCACGCCTGCATCATGTCTCTGCATCTGATGCATACAAAATCCTAGGGCGACTGCGTGGTTTGCAATACACTGTCGCAAAGTACAACGCAGGCATTGCTTCCCCTACACCAGCCTTCGAGCAGTACTGGCGACCAAGGACTTGGAATCTCCTGTCAGGCTTCGGATTCCAAATTGGTCGGACGGATCAAATCATACAGATTCCGGGACTAGAAGAGGTTATCCAACTACTTGAGCGTACTTTCGATGCCCAAATTCAGGAAGCAAGAGATACAATCAAGCGTGGCTTCATCACCTTCGACGCGCTGGGCGAACTATACCATCCCGGAGAGCCAGTGCAGACCGTGATGAATTCCGGAGGCACCACTGTTATTTTCCTGGTAACCGAGTCTTTCTATCAAGAAAATAGAGGCTTGACGGGGATACAGAGGACTTTTAATTGGACAATGGAGTTTGTGGCAACAGTGGGAAGCCATTTCACAGTCGTGAGCTTGACGGAGCAACTGAACGGTTGGACAGGCGTCCGCGCGAGATCGCTTTCAGAGCTCACGTATACGCCCGTGCCTTCTGGCGAGATGGAGTATTTGAAACAGCGAGGAGAACGATACGTCGAGTTTGCGACCGGTGGTGCTAAGTATCTGGCATACTCTCGCGGCACGTTCTTCCGCCACGCTCGCCCATCTCGTCCAAGCTACAACTCACTTTCGAATACGTCAACTAGTCAGCTTCCCTCAGAAGGTCGTGTCATGATTGATGCAGGCAGAGGCGCTCCTTTGGGACACCACGCTTGTCAAGGCATGGACGAACCAGCTCTTGCCCTGACGAAGATCGCCGAACGCTATCGGCACTGGCGCAATTCTCAGTCTACCAAGAGCTCGACAACAGAGACACTCACGCTCTGGGACGATGTACCTACCGAATTTATTCCCTACTGCTGGCCTGCCCTCGTCGGATTCAGCTTCACGGCAAAGTGTTGGGGCCACGTTCTCGTTTCCGGTCTATCGCCGATCCAGTTCCAAGACACTGCTTTCCAACATCTCGTCCTGGCGGAAGAGCGCAAACAGCTCATCCGCGCGCTGGTCAGATATGGAAACGACTCCGACGTCGACGATATCGTCGGCAACAAGCGCAGCGGCAGCATCTTCTTGCTGCATGGCCCTCCCGGTGTCGGAAAAACACTTACCGCCGAAGCTGTTGCTGAAGTCCTACACCGTCCTTTATACTACGTTACCATGGGCGAACTGGGCATCACAGCCGAAGATCTCGAGTCCCGCCTCGCAGATGTCTTAGAGTTGTGCTCAGAGTGGAACGCAATCACCGTGCTGGACGAAGCAGACGTGTTTCTTGAGCAACGCCGCACTTCAGACCTGGTCCGCAACTCAATGGTATGCGTCATGCTGCGCCTTCTGGAGTACCACTCTGGCATATTGTTCCTCACGACGAATCGCGTGCGCACGTTGGATCCGGCGTTCGAGAGTAGGATTACGCTTGCGCTGCGATACGAGAATCTAGCTCCGGCGGCGAGGGCGAAGATCTGGGGGAATTTGCTCCAGCGCGTCGCGTTGCCCGTTGCGGATGATGTTAGCACTGCTGCGCTTGGGCGGCATGGATTGAACGGTCGGCAAATAAAGAGTGCTATAAGGCTGGCTTGTGCGATTGCGAGGGAACGGACGCGCTCCAACTTGACTATGGAGGTGCTGGAGGAGGTTTTGAGAATAATGGAGGTGGGAAAGGCGGGCATTGCGAATGACGATTCTTGGGAATTGCGTGAGGAGTAAGGAGGCAATGTGAGCGCTGAGGTTCTCAAAAAAGTTCATGATATGCTCTGATTATATACTACAAACATACCTTTTTGTAGTCAAAGTCTCATGTGGTCGTTAGCTGTATTAAGATGTTGTAACCGGATAACACCATGATTCGTAGTTCATAGAACGATCAAGCATTGTCCACCGTAATATAGACCTTGGATAATTCAACGATCATTGCCTGATTATTTACTTCTTGTCAGACTACGATATATTTTACTCTAGGGTCAAGTTGTCATAAGAATAAGTGGAAACTTCCACTAGGAGAACTGAGGGTCCTTAACAAATAAAATAAAAGGATACCTCCTTAGCTTCCGCTAATAACAAAAGGGAATTGGTCCTAATCAATAAGTAGGGTTCATCAAAAAGAACAATGGTAGGAAGCTACTTGTTTTGATCATTAAACACATTGACAATCTCAAGTGATCGGCCTGATGGGTGATCATAGGCCAAGTTTCTATACCCTACTTGCCTGGCGAAAATTCCCTAACTAAGCATATCTGTACGCCATCCGCTGAATCATTTTAATCTTGCATCTCAGACCTATAACGGCGATATAACTCATCAAGTCTGCCTCCCGCAGACGACCTCGTACAATGAAAGGCTCAACGACCGGCCGCTCAGTACCTCGCCCATCTGGATTGAATCTGCACTCCGTCCTTCATGCCTTGAGCAGATAGCCGTGCGTCACAAGCCATCAGACGACACCGCAGCCCAATTCTCAAGCAATCGTATCGCCCAAGCATTTCTTGCGCATAGATGCATCAAAGGCCCATACGAGCAAGTTTGGCCTGACCAGCATCTGTGAAAAGCAGCTTGCCGTTGATATAACCGACTGCATAGATCATTGGATATCGCCAATGAAACCACCACGGATGCTCTGATGCCCCGAACCAACCGAAGTGGCGATCAAGACTGTAGCATAGATAGTTGCAACTGCTCAGGACGAGGAGGGATAGAAGGGCGGTGAAGTGGACTGCTTTACTGCCGTAATGGTAGTCCACGATGAAGCAGTTGATTAAGCCTCCCATGGCGCCGCCCATGCCTAGCGGACAGAAGACGAGCGTCCAGAGGATCTTGTAGATCAGGTCTTTGGTTCCGGTCATGATCAGCACACCGACTGCCAGGAATATCACCTCGGCGAAGAGAGAGTTCAGGTAAAATAGAATGAAGGGGCGAAGGTAGATTGCTCGTCTTTTGCGAGCAGCATGAATATCCTCGTCCCCAACGATCAGAGTTTGGAACTTCGAAGGCGTCATATTCTTGAGTTGGCAGGGTTCCAATATTCTTGCAAGAAGAAAGTGTGTGAGGAATTGAGTCGGTTGCGGAAGGGTACTTATGCAGCCAGTGGGTGTTGCGCGCCCGCGGCCCTCGGTGGCAGATCACTTGCGATTAGTGAACTGTACAGCGTTGCTTTCACATGGCTAGGGTACGAGCAGCTACTACATATGATACAGTCTAGCTAATGTCACCACTACACTTAGAAGTATAACCCAGTGGTTCGCTCGTTTAATTACACCTTGACACGATATCCGATCGCAATGTGAGTGCGTGTTTGCGATCTTACAGTTAGCGAATTTCAAGTCAGATCGTCTTCTGTCTTAATAGCCAGAAATAGTGGTCGAGTTTTATAGATAGAGATATTGAATGATCTGTCCTTCTAGTGCGCTTGCTATGCTGCATAGCAACAAGATGTCTATTTGAACACACCTTTCCGATATCAGTTCATGTCTCACAAACCCTAACTAACCTACTTCTTGGAAAAGTTGACTCGTTGGCAGGTCAGGTGTTCGAAGGTGTGAAACTCGTCGAAGAAACTATTCAAGTATTGTTTATTCAAACGTATTGATGTCAATCAGTCTCAGTATAAGCTGCTATCTCTTCGCGTATCGTGTATACAAGAGCGCCATGTAGCTAGAATGATGCGTGCCTGAACACTTTGTGTAGACGAGTATATAAATTCCACAAATGACCGTGCTTGGGAACATACAATCAGTACTATTCTAATGACGTTAACGCCTCGTCTGTTTTGTCAATTAATGTCTCGTTCCCATAGCGGGCGTCAGCTGTACTAGAAGTGTTCCTTTCCAGCCGGTACGCGGCAATAATTCGATGTTTCTCCAGGGAACGCTGAGAAAATTCCACATACAATGAAACATTAATCATATTATTAGTTTTGGTTCAACAATGATCCTGCGCCAGGGACAGACGATGGTGCACGCAAATTCCATTCGAGTAACCTTTAGGTACGTCTTCGACGATAGCGTGTTCAGTAATCAATCTGAACTCTCGGCTCTGATTTGCGTCGGTAAAGCTCATGGGGTAGAAAAATGTGAGGAGTGAACCATGTCTACGAGCGGCTCCGGGCCGACGGGCAACGATTGCTGAATCTTTCTTACCGTTGCGGGTGCCCGAGTCTACCTTGCGGAAGCAAGCATCGTGAAAGGGCCGAGGTTCACTAGTGTTCATTAATCAATCGTTCGCGGTCTAGTGCCTCGGCTCGACTAAACAGATGCTCCCCGCATTCTCAATGCGTACCTAGGTAGCTCGTTCCCAATTGATTAAAACCCTGCGACCATTGAGTAACTTTTCAAACTGCAGTACGCTGATAATGTCTCTTAACAATTCCAAAAAGCCAGTTATTGCAGTCGTCGGCGCCGGACCCGGCATAGGCGAAGCCGTCGCTCGTCGATTCGCAAACGAAGGCTTTGTTGTTGCATTGCTTGCGCGCACGGAGAGTGTACTCAAATCGATTGCCCATGGAATCGACAACGATGTGGAAAAGGGAACAGCACATTACTATATAACTGATCTACGCATCGAAAATTCCGTTCTCTCCAGCTTCGATCAGATCCGCGCCGATCTAGGACCTGTATCAGTTCTTGTCTACAACGCCGGCGCTCGCCGAGTGAATGGCCGCTCTATTCTCGACACGACAACTGAAGAATTCGAGAACTTCACCAAGATCAATCTCTTCGGAGCTTTCTGGTCCTGCAAATGCGTACTTCCTGACATGCTCGTGGCCGGAAAGGGTACAATCCTTTTCACCAGTGCTACAGGTGCACTTCGTGGCATGCCAGGCCTCGCAAGCTTTTCGCCTGGCAAGTTTGGACTTCGATCACTCTGCCAAGTCCTCACGCGCGAGTATCAGAGCAGAGGCATTCATTCGGTCAACATTATCGTCGATGGGCCGGTGGACGGGAAGTTGATAGGTGGCGTTGTGAGAAGGAAATGGCAGCGGGACGGAAGTGAAGAAAAGTTGAAGGAAGTTACCTCGTACTTGATGCAGCCAAGCGATCTGGCAGAGACGTACTGGTTCCTTCATATGCAACCAAGGAGTACTTGGACTCAGGAGTTGGATGTTCGTGCTATGAAGGAGTCGATGTTCTCGAAATTGTGACCTTACGAGGCGGACCTTGATCGTACCTCCCGACAATCTTCTACGATTCAATATTCGGAAATCTTTCATGAGCCGGACGCTCACGGGATTGAACACCTCAATGGAGAACTGCTCATCGAGGAGAGAAATTGATCGTTTCAAGAGCTCTGGCAAGTTTATGCACTGCCATCATGTCCTCAGCTATATCGGGCCCCCTCTTCTATCACAATGAATGACATCTGGTATTTTTTGTATTGTCGCATATAGAAGCCCTTTTGGTAGGGATCATAATAGATACGACTCGGCATCGTTATATAGGGTGTGTGACGGGAAGTTCTGATAAGTAACGAGAGTGATCTGGGTTCTTTCTGGCCCAATTAGTATCAAAGACGAGATGTTAGAAGTATAATGTTCGTATATGATACTCAATATTTTAACTAGTTTGTTGCATATTCACCATAGTGACGGAGCGGAGCTCATTAAGACTCTGATCGGATATTGCTAGCGCCGTGCACAGTAATAAGCCCATAAAAGATCCGTAGTTGCTGCATCAAAGATTCCTTAGATTGTGATGTTGATCCCCAATGTACTGTCTAAGTTGTAGCCATCGTACTCCCAAGACAAGTGATAAATAGAAGAGGCTGCTCATATCAGGGAGCCCTTCCGCCACCCAACCGACGGATTGGATCATCCGCAGGTCTACGATGTTAGTTGGAAGAAGAGTACATCCAAGATCCTAAACTATTTTCATATGATCTAACACGAAGCCCCGCCAACTTCTGCTGCAAGACGAGTAGTGATTAGTGATGCATGCCGAGGCGTGAAGGTGCCGAGGGATGAGCGAAGGTTATCTCTACATTTCCATCTCACTGTAAGTTATGCGCGCCCAAACGTACTTCTTACACAGCAGTGTTGTAGAAATGGTCTCTATCACACTCTTAGAAAAGCTGGACGTCGCAATCGGGGCACTTTCACTGGGTTCGTTATTTTCACTCCAGTGAGCCTGTTACTAACAGTGTTAGTTTTTGCGATCACCAGAGCAGCAATTACTGGCCCCTTTCGAGGTAGGAAAGGTTCAGACACGCTCCAGCATCATATCATACAGGCATGTGTCAAGAAGGTCACCATTCTACTGCCGTTTCGCTATCCATCGACTAAAGTCCGCAGTTGACCACTAGATTTAGCCCAGTTCAGCTGCAGTATGTTAACGAGCAAAGTGAAATCGACCCGACGACTAACAAATTGCAGGTATATGTTCAGATCCTATAATGACATCTATGTCAAATATTGCGAAAAGCATAGAATTGCCCCACACTTCGTAACTACGGCCAATGGCGGAACAGGGTTCTGGATTGGCAATGTATCAGCACAATACATCTTTGTGAACTTCCATGGTAATACCTGACCTTCCCAACTGTCTGTACCAAACAACGACTGACCTCGTTTCCTGGTTCCACATAGGCGGGGGATTTGCTATGGATGCGACAAAGAGCTATTTGGAGTTCTGGCCCAGCATCCAGAAAGATCTTGCCGCTCGCAATATCGACACGGCTTGGTACTATCCCACGTACACGTTGACTCCTCATGCATCGTATCCGGTACAATTCAAAGAGGCTGTAGAGGCATTGCGGTATATCGTTGAGGATCTCGGACGCCAACCCTCAGATATTGTGCTGATCGGGGATTCTGCTGGTGCCAGCTGCTGCTTAGCATTACTGTCACATCTCAACCACCCCTGTCAGGATCTTCCTCCTTTACAGATTGACCAGCCATTGAAGGCAGCGGTATTGATGTCGCCATGGGTATCGTTCAGCCAAGACTGGCCCAGCTGTGCCAACAACGCGCACAAGGATATTGATGCTCCTGCAGTGACCGAACTGTGGTCAGAAATGTTTCTGAATGGAACCAAATCTAATGCGTATACCGAAGCCGTGCTGGCCCCAGATGAGTGGTGGAAGGAAACCCCGGTCGAACAGACGCTCGTCCTGGCTGGTGAGGACGAAGTCCTGTTGGATGCCATTATTGCTTGGTACCGTAAATACCAAGTTAGTGTTGCAGCTGTGTTCCTGGTTGACGATACTGACTGTGAACATCAGACTCACAACGACACCACGATTGCTATTGGAGCGGGCGAATGCCATGTAGCGCCTCTTATTTGGCCTCTTTTTGGTGATCGGCATGAAATTAAGCAGGGCCAGGCATTGAAGCGATGGCTATCTTCATGTCTATCTTGAAAGAGGATCTATATTCGGGACGATCTACACTAAGCTTAAGATGCAAAACGGTACATGTTGGACTCTTATGCAGACTAGCCATGAATTGAAAATAATCTCTTCGTTGTGAAATCTCCTTTCACTCTGGAGAAAGGTTTTTTCATTGGTGATTGCCCTAAAAGATCCACTTGATTCATCTCACATACCTCCAAATGTATATTCCAAAACCCCTGCAATCTGGACGGGAACCTTAGCACTTATTTCACATTACTAGGCCAGTCGTCTACTGTAGTATCATGATCTGCAATGATGGACGAGGTATGTCATCTTGAAAGAAAAATAAAATGGGTGTATAATTCGAATGGGAGAATGGAATAACACAGCCTTCCCTGACTGCTGGCAAAATATTAAACAGATCCGAATGACGGGAAAGGGCAAAAAGCATACAACAGCAGGGATTCGCTAATATTCACCTACTCAACTACTAGTCCGCTAGTACATTGCTGTTGCTAATAGTGCATAGAAAATAGGACAGTGATGCCTCCCATCTAGACCCAGGTGTCGAGCCCCGCTCGTTAAATGGTCCAAGCTCGACGTCAAAGTATAAAACATCTGGGATCCTAAGCATCGGGGAGGAGCCGACCCCCAGCATTCCTGCACATCGTTTGCGCACATCGACTAAGCACATGTGCACCCGTGATGGATCTGTCGATGCATCGCCCACGGGGTTCTGGAGATAATCAATCAAGCCCTCCAAACGTACGGCCTAGTAAGAGGTCCCGCACCGCAACAACCGACACTACGAGTACTGGCCAACACGATTCCGGCCCATCGGGATCGGGTCGGAAGGACCGCCTGAGGACTCGCGCTGCAGTTGCGTGCGCCACCTGTCGCGCACGAAAAACCAAGTGCGATGGTCGAAGGCCTTTATGCGGGTACTGTGAGAGGACCAACACCATCTGCCAATACGATGGCGAAGATCTTACGGCCTTTGACCTGACATCGTACGTGCTCCCTTTCTTTTTTGGCTCGATAGATGCTTTGGAAGATAGCCCGCTGATGTGATCGACGCTGGTCACAGATTCAAAGACATGAGTTCCGAAGTCCTGCATGCTATTAATCAATTGACACAACTGATCAAGGAAGAGTCACGCTTTCGTCAGCCTGATACAGTCTCTCCGGGTTCCGGCGAATCGTTCGTGACTTTCCCTCTCGGCGAAGGTTCTAACAGTGCTCTAGCAGTGGATCACAACAGTGATCAGACAACCAACCTTCCCACTGATCTTCACACCACTCCCAATCGTCATGGTCTACATGACCCCCAGCTTCCAACTTTCTCACAAGGCCTCAACTCTGTGTTGGAATGGCATGTGTTTCCTGCTGGGATCGAGCCTATTCGAGTAGATGAGAGGACACCTCCTCCAACACCCGAAGAGCTTCCAAAAATAACAATCTCAGAACTCACAAGGCTGCAATTAAATTATCGTCAAGTCGTTCATATAGTGAACCCGATGCTTGACATAAGCACTCTTGACCAATATATCACGCATATTTCCGAAAATGGCTTTGACTGGACAACACGGACTTGTCTGGTCGCACTTGTCTGTGCCATTGGTGCCTTGTGTCAAGACGTCGATGTCTTCTCGCCAGGCAATCCCCCTGATCCAAAGTCTAATGACACCGATGTTGCATACCGATTCTGGAGCATTGCATCTAAAAGGCTGGGGCGAGCAATGAGCTATAACACCTTGGAATCTGCACAATGCTTGTGCTTAGCAGGGTAAGCAATGTTGATGTCACTGAATGACCCTTAGTCCTCGCCAGTACAGCCTTCCTCATCTGATTGTCTTTGATAGGATCTGGTTTATGTGCAATCTGCAGCCTTTGAATGCTTGGAAACACTTCACCATGGCTGGAAATTGCTGGTATTCTGCCATACAGGCCAGGTGGGTACAGTACAGAATATCATGTTTCTTGTCAGAGCGCGAGCTGACGATGATCGAAGGTCAAAGTCAACGTTACACCCAGAAGTCCCGGATGTTCCAAGCTTATCGCAAAACATCGAACAAAGCGTATTCTACACTATATACAAGTCAGAATTGTACGTGTGCTTGAGGAGCGTTGAACCCCTTTCCAAGAATCGCTCTCTCGCCCTTGCGATGCACATAATATCAATATGTTAATTCGATCCAGAGAGATACGCTACGAGTTGATGATGCATGGCTCTGTTCTAGAGCACATCGAAGAGCAACTTGTCTTCCCTGCGCCGCCGGCCGTTAATCATGCTCAGTTGCAGAGCCCAAATGATGAACTCGCAACTTGGTACTTTTATCTCACTGATATCGCCGCCCGTCATCTTATCAACCGTATCGTGAATACGAGGGTCAAAGTCAACGCGTGTCCGAGCGAGAGTCAAGTAAAAGCTTTATTTTGTACTCACGAGATCTTTGAGATTCAACTGGAGGAATGGTATCAGTCCATTCCGCCAGAAATTTCGTTCCAGAGGCCAGATGCATCCATTGCAGCTGATCCCGATCCATTAAAACATATACTGCGTTCACGCTACATGTTCATTCGCGAACTATTATGTCGGCCATTCATCCAGCTATGCCTTAACTATCATCTCGACTTGCCTCACGAAACGCTCGATAAGGTCACGGCTATCGCCACGCTGGGCCTACAGTACTGTTCTTGGAAATTGCAAGCCTCACATAAGCCTAAACGAACGGACCAGGGTGTGTGGATTTGGATCCGCAACAGCACCACCAGCTCAATGATCTTAATCGGTGCCGCTCGTAGTCGTCAGTTTCCGCTACTGAATGCTGCCTCACGTTTGTGGTTGCCCGAAGACTGGCATGAAAACGTAGCGGGTTTTGTATCACACTTGGAGGCCTATGCTTGGGAAAAGTGGGAGAGTATAGCAGATTGCATTCGACTCATCTCGCTTGGATTAGAAAATCTTCAACCACAGGTTGCCATGTCCTAGATCTCGTGTACTATATATTGTCAAATGCCATTCCGCGTAACAGGTGAATGCTGTCCACCGGATTCAAGACGTGTACTTGAGCATCATTCTGCAAGATATGCATCCGCCTTTCTGGCAGGACCAACAGCTACTAATGACTTTGCGAGTATGTTGGGCTCACAGGAAATCCGACTTATACAGGGACTAAGAACCATCCGTTGCAAGTCATCTTACGAACTTACATAGACATCAAGCCGTGCGATACGGTATAAGAGATCTACTAAATAAATGCATGGTTCTGTAATGGCGCCAAATTTGGTTCTTGTATGTCGCAAGAGGCGTCACACACGTGAGATTCCACAACGAGAAGCGGATTGAGTTTTACGGGACCGACCTGGACTGCTAGGTATTGCCTGTAACACTCTATATCAAGATATCTACTACAATGTCTTGGAATTCCTAGCCGATATCACAGCTTCAGCTGATATTTGGGATTTGTCCTCAGTCGCTCTCCGTATTTTAGCGAGAGCCAGATCATCCCCATCATGCCGAAAGAGATCCCGGCTAGTAGTGTGTTTCCCCAACCATAACCAAGGCGTTGATACATCTTGGGACCAGCGAGAGGTAAAAGTGCTCCTCCGATGCTGCGGAAAACCGTGTTTGCAGCTGTAGCGCTAGCGGCATATGCCGGGAAAGCGTCGACAAGGTATGTGGCCACCGGCGTAAAGACTGTGATCATTCCAATACCAATCAGGACGGTGCCGATGATAGGTACAAACCAAAACACCCCGGATTGAGCTGTCCAGCCATACAACAGCAGTCCAATTGGAATCATGGCACCGCCGGGGACCATTGGAGGAAGACGATATTCCGGTTTCATCTCCCCACCTTTCGACATTTTCTGAACGATGGCATCAGAAACGAGCCCAAAAATCGTCAGTCCAGCAACTTGACCGAAACCAAATCCAAAGTAGACTAGTCCGACGTTGTTGACAATTCCATATTGAACTTGGAAAAGTTCAGTTATCGTCGTGAAGAGGAGATACAGAGTACCGTAAGCGACTGCAGTCAAGAGAGATAGTCCCAGGACTATTGGCGAGTAAAACAACAGTTTCATTGGCCGGACAAAGCCTGTAGTAATTGCCTGTCTCTGCGGCTTGTTAAATGTCGCTGCCGATTCAAGGCTCGGATTCCCAGTGATTTTCCTCAATTTCTTGGTCTTTTGTTCGAGAAGCGTCGGCGGATATGTTTCTCGTTGAAACACTATGGAGAGGGCGAAAACGGCAACAGCCTAGAACCAAGCAATTAGCTCAAAGGTATGGTATAGTGACCAGCGCTCGAAAGATAACCCACCATGATAATGAGGACCCAGAATACCCATCTCCATCCTAATGCACGAGATACATATGCACCAACTACAGGGCCAACACACGGGCCTAGAAGAACAGGCATCGTCCACACCGACATGGCTCGGCCGCGCTCTGCTTGTTTGAAGCAGTCCGACACCGTACCTGGCCCTACAGTCAAGGGGCATGCACCCACAAGCCCCGTAAAGAGGCGAAATATGATTAACATGGGCATGTTAACAGAAAGTGCACAAGCAATGTTCATAAGAATGAACAAGAAAGTGCACACGTGGTAAACTGGAAGGCGGCCATAAATCTCGCTGCACGGAGCAAGGAAGAGTGGCCCGAAAGCGTATCCCAACAAATATATAGAAACGGCGAATGAGCCAACATCGCGGTTCGAGGTGCCCATGTCCTGCATTACTTGATCAAGCACTGGCGCGAACATTGAAGAAGCGAACGGCCTGTATGTTGATCAGCGTTTAGATGGGACGACGAAGCATTGATTGGGCCTGACTACTAACGTGAGAAATGTTAACGTTGCGACGACGAGAACATTGCGCCATTTCAAGGCCGGTCGCCAGTTTGTAGGATGGTCCGGATCGTCCAAGCCATCCCAGTCTACAAGATCAGAGTGACTGGAATGATAAGAATCGACTGTTTGGGAGAACTCTTTGTCCGCGCTGTCTGCTAGATGGTCGGCATGCGATGATCCGTTTGATGATGTAGGTGTCCCTGAGTGCGGCTTTTCAACACTCCGCTCTGCTGCGTCTCGATGCGTTGTGATTTCCGAGTTCTTGTCATCCATTGCGGCCATGTTGTGGTGGAGTGAAACAGCATTTCACAGCTGGCAATGATTGAATGGAGTTCAATCTTTTTAGTATATGGCCAGTATGTATAGTGTACAATGTGTCATTGCCAATTTGCTAGTTGATAAAGTGTTTCTTACGTAGCGCTAAGCAACTCCTGAGCAAATATCATCGGAGCTGTCATACCGCAGATCGTGTCGGGGAGAAGCCGAAGGGCACCCAAACACTAGCCTATGAAGCGCCCTAGCGTCGGCCCAGGTCCGCGGGGGTGGCCCCAATGTGTCAATGATATTTGCAGGGGATGTCAGTGGTTCCCGAAGGATATTTTCCTTCGGGAACCTTGCCACATGGAGTGGCTGGTTTTTGTCTCCTTTTATACCCTGGCATTCGGATGAGACCCCAGCGTCGGGAAAGTCGCAGGGCTGACAACACCCATATGCTCCATCGAGGAACTGACAGTCAGCTCGACGATGCGGAAAAACCAGCACTTCTTCAAAATAATCTTGCAACGAACTCTGTTTCCATCACACACCTGCTTACAGGATGCTACATGTGCGCAGCACAGATACATATTTCAATAGCCGTAGGCAGATGTGTTGTGGAAAGATCAATGACAGATCATCTAATGTGCGACCATCCAATTCTTATCATCCAGCATGTCAAAGTACAAACTGCCCAATAACTTATAGATATCGATTAAAAGGTCCTGACAGGTCATGACAGTACAGGATAATGCTTCTTATTCACATGAGTGCATGAAGTCAAGAGGATTCTGGCACTGATAGACAGTCACCATGACGTAGGATTCCAATTGAAGACTTGCTTATACATATTGCTAATTCCAACTTCTCAACATGATTCCGGGCTCACAATATGACCAGCACTAGATCTAGTTCCTCCACTCCTATAACACACTAAGCTAAGTCTTTGCGGAACGGCCTGGCTCAGTGTTCAGGGCCTGAAGTAGAAGCCAATGGGCTACGGTACGAGTCCTCAAACCCGTTGGGCACGAACGGAAACGGTAGGGTTTCCCACGGCCTTGCTTCCGGCATCGGATTCAATTAGATCTAGATCCTCGATAGTTTCGACTGGGCCCTTAGCCAAGATGTAATCGGCCTCAACGGTAATTGTCTTCCCCTCGAATAGTTCGCCAATCTGCTCCAGCGACCTTCCCTTGGTTTCAGGGAACATAAACCAGATCACTACCACAAGGTAGACGAGGATGCAACAGAACAAAATATAGTACTTCCAGCCAAGAGCAGCCATGGCTATTGGGTTGAGCATTTGTGCTGTGATCAATCCGGCGTAGGAACACGTGAGAGTCCAGGTCAAACCTCGGCTGCGGAGTGTAAATGGGAAGATCTCGACAGTGTAAGCCATGGCCAGAGGAGTCCATGAGATGTCGTAGAAGAAATAAGCAATGAAAATAAACGCAACCACAGTACGGCCAGCCAAAGCATCTCGACTGGTAAAGAAGTAGCCCGTGAGTCCAGTCCAGGCAATGTAGCTGCAGAGCAATCCGCCGGTACCGATAAGGAGGAGTTTGCGACGACCGAGGCGGTCAACCATCATGGCTCCGGCAAAAACTGCGGCAATGAAATTGAAGACTTGCAGCAAGCCATTGATCAATGTTTGGTCTTTGGCTTCCGTAATGCCAATAGTGTTGAGAACAAGAGTGAGGTAGTAGCTCACAACGTTGATGCCATTCCACTGGCTGAAGAACCCGAGGGTGAAACCGATAAAAGTACGCTTGCGGTTTGCAGCCGTCCGGAAGAGTGTCGCGAAACCAGCTTTCGCGGCTGCATTGCGCTCATCCTCAATCGCCTTGGTGATCTCGACCATTTCGTAGTCAACGAGAGGTGAGTGCGCAACACCGGCTGCATGATGCTTCGTAAGGATTGCACGAGCTTCTTCCGCTCTGTCATTAGCAATAAGCCAACTAGACAGTACTTTGGTTAGTGGTAGGCAATATGATGAATCGGAACCGAAGTGTGACCTACCGTGGAGATTCAGGGACCCAGTAAATGCCTAGCAACTGGAGGAAGGGGAAAAAGGCTTGAAAAACCGATGGGATTCTCCAGGCCATTGTCGAATGCATACGAAATGTCCCATAGGTTATCCAAGCTGCAGAAATGCCTCCAACAAAGAAAAACGTATTGTATAATGCCGTGAGCTTTCCACGGTGGGTTGGGTAGGCAAGCTCTGCAATGAGAATTGGACTTGGTAGTGCAATAAAGACTGTAGCGAAACCGATAAGGGATCTTGCGATGATGAACATCGGCAAGTTGTACGCAGCTGCTTGAATCGCTGGGGCTAGCACAAGACTGCAAAGCCCGATCCAGAGAGGCAACTTGCGTCCCCATTTGTCCGAGACCCAAGCAACCAAAGGCAATCCAATAATTTTAGATGACGGATATACGGCGTTGATCGCACCAAGTAGCGCTGGGCGAGGCTTGTCAAAATAATTTCGCCACTGGGGAAGTGCTTGCAGTCCGTTCATCATGGAACCTAGTGACAGAGGGCGTAAGCGACGTGTAGAATATTTCAAGAGCAGTTTCTCCTGCATCATAATCTTCAGGGATAGGTTGGACTTACCATCGTATCCTACAGCAGACGCGGAGAACAATGGCACCAAGAGCATCAAATTGAGTAGCAGTAAATGCTTTGTACGATACCACGCAACTTCAGTATTGGGCAATACCTGGCAAGGTTAGCAAAGATATCTAGTTGATATATGCCATGCAACAGCATGGACATACCTTAGCAAGCTCGGCTCCTGCTGTGTCTTGTCCAACAGTTTGTTCTTTCTTTGATCCGAACATTTTCGGGGATGATGAGGTGAATTGCAGCGTGATCGAATAAAACCTCCGCTCGCGAGATGTATCAGAAAGGAGCTCTTGCAATGACCGAATGATGAGAGTTGATGAGGATGTTGGGTCGGTGGTGTCTTATATGTTTAAGGACGTCTGGCGTGAACCTTCACGAGGAGCGAGTTCGGGCCTTCGATGATGAAGGCCGAGTCACCACAAGGCCCATCACTCCAGCGTGGGCATGTACTTCAAATCCGGGGAAAAATCCAAAAGGAATCTGGGGAAGAAACGCAGTTTTGGCATTAAGCAAAATCTGTAATTAGTCAATGGCGCTGCATGTACTGGTAGCTGCTAGCGTGAAAGCTAGCAGGTTCAGCCTCGACGTTACGAGGGTGCGAGGGTCGAGATGGCCGGGGAGCAGCCGAGATTCCAAAGGTTCGCATGTGCTAACTAGTCTCTCCATACGATGAATATGGTGATATCGGCACTTCCGATAGTTTGAACACATCATGCTCCCACCAACATTCCATGTTCATTCCATGTTTCGACATCTCGGAACATCCGACAGGCTTGGTGGAGCACGCACAGTCGGCTTTACCGGTCGGAACCATGCCAAGCTCCCTACATTGTCAATAGTTTCTCAGCAAATTTCTGTAGGAGGAATCTAGTACCGAAATCGTACGTCTTTGGGGTTGAAGGGCGTCGTGTCTTTGTCGGCTGTTGTATGGGACGCGTTTGAGATGGTACACGATTCCTTGATTCTGATATCTTTCTTGAAGTTTCGCTAACATAACGACTAGTCGAGGGCATCGACACTCGATTTCTCTCGAATGGGGCACACTTTGAATTCAGTCTGCTGACATCTATGAGAAGAAAATGATCAAAATCTGCGTGATAGCCGTCTTAAAGTTGTCACGAGGCACAGTCTATAGTTTGGCAACAAGCCACAAAAAATGCTTCGTGCATCACACATACCGCGAAAATTCGTAACATAAGAGACATAGAGTCCGTATTTGCTCCTCTGTTTTGAGCCCACTGCATCGCTATACCATGCGGGCGTATAATGCAGCGGTAAGCATCTGTTTCTTGTGCGACTGGCGGTTCAATCGGATGTGGGACTCGGGACCAGCTCTCGGCAAGATTGTCGACAGTCCCCCCCCTCGGGGATGTTCCCCGACAAGATTGCAATAACTAGACCACAGCCGTTCCATTACTTGTAACATCAACTCCTCCCAGTAAATCTACAATCCGCACAATAGCAGGCTCCAAGAAGAGTGCTGTATAGTCTCAGGAAGTTTTCCCAATAGCCTGAAATCATGGGGACGGGAAACACAATACAGATACCACCAAAATCACACAAAAAAGATGATGTTTTCGATGTAGAGAATGTCATAAAGAATGCGTCATTGTCGGAGAAAGTGTCCCTACTGGCTGGTATGGTCTCTATTGTAATATTATATGATGGCATTGAACCTTCAGCTAATATGGTAATCAGGCTCGGACTTCTGGCACACGACCCCAATCCCAAGATTCAACGTGCCTTCTATCCGGCTAAGTGACGGACCCAACGGCGTTCGAGGAACGAAGTTCTTCGATGGCGTGCGTGCTGCCTGCCTTCCATGTGGCACAGGTCTAGCTGCAACTTGGGACGAGTCTCTTTTGTATAAAGCTGGTAATCTCATTGGCGAAGAATGCAAAGCCAAGGGTGCACACTGTTGGCTAGGTCCTACTGTCTGTATCCAGCGGTCACCACTTGGAGGAAGAGGTTTTGAATCCATGTCTGAAGATCCATACGCAACGGGAAAATTAGCCGCCGCTTATACAAAAGGTGTCCAGGCAACAGGAGTAGTATCTACCCTAAAACACTGGCTAGCAAATGACCAGGAACATGAAAGGGTCGGAGTGGATGCTGTTGTGAGCAACCGGGCACTAAGAGAGATACACATGTTACCATTTCACATTGTGATGGCTGACGCTAAGCCCGGTGCAGTCATGGCTTGTTACAACAAGGTGAATGGAGAGCACGTTTCAGAGAGCAAGAAGATGTTAGACGGCATACTACGCGATGACTGGGGCTTCGAAGGCTTAATCATGAGTGACTGGTATGCCTCCTTGATTTTTTGCATCTTCGAGTTGGCTATTGACAGCTGAAACAGGTTTGGAACCTATTCTACTGCTGAGGCGCTGAATGCCGGCTTGGATCTTGAAATGCCAGGACCTGCAAGATTACGAGGTCCTATCGCAGAGCTTGCAGTCTCAACTCGTAAAGTCAGCCGTTCGACTATCGACCAGCGTGCACGAAACGTTCTAAACTTTGTTCAACGAGCGAGCAAGGTAGAAGTCTCTGCAGAAGAGAGCACGCGAGACTTTCCCGAGGACCGCGAATTGAATCGCAAGCTTGCCGCAGACAGTGTGGTGCTGTTGAAGAATGACGCAAAGCTTCTTCCCTTGGACGGGAAATCCATACGCAAGGTCGCCTTGATTGGACCCAACATGAAAAACGTTGCGTTCTGTGGCGGCGGATCCGCTGCCCTCAGCCCATATTACACGGTTTCGGCCTATCAAGGAATCGTCGACCAACTGTCACCCGAAACTGAGATCTCATACGAAATCGGAGCTCATGCGCATGCTTTCATTCCCGAACTTCATGCTTCGGATGTTTGTACACCAGAAGGATTGCCTGGACTGCGAATGCGGTTTTATCGGGACCCGCCTCACGTGCGTGATCGGACCGTGATTGACGAGATCATCATACAGGATTCCACGTGGCAGCTCCTGGGTTTCTCACATCCGCAATTGGACAAACTATTCTACGCGGACATTGAGGCAGTTCTGACTGCGCATGCCACAGATGCTTTCGAATTTGGTCTTGCAGTCTACGGCTCAGCAAGTCTGTACATCGATGAAAAGCTTGTCATCGATAACACCACCGTGCAACAGGGAGGTACATTCTATTTCGGGAAAGGCACTTGTGAAGAGAGAAGCCTTGTTGATCTCGTCAAAGGCCAATCATACAAGATCAAAGTGGAATTTGCCAGTGGTGCCTCTAGTAAGCTTGTCAAACCTGGTGTCGTAAATTTCGGAGGCGGTGCTGGTCGACTTGGAATGATCCAAGCTATCGACCCAGATCTGGCCATTTCTCGAGCCGTTGAAGCTGCGTCGCGAGCAGACATCACAATCCTATGCGGTGGTCTATCTCGAGATCAGGAGTCCGAAGGTTTCGATCGGCCTCATATGGATTTACCCGGCGCCGTCTTCCGTTTGTTCTCTGCTGTGATAGCTGCCGTGCCAGACACCGTTGTGGTTACTCAAAGTGGCACCCCTTTCAACATGACTCCCTGGGCAGACTCGGTCAAGACGCACCTGCATGCTTGGTTCGGCGGAAACGAGACGGGTAATGGCATCGCAGACATCCTCTTTGGTCGTGTTAATCCCAGCGCAAAGCTACCCCTTTCATTTCCACGACGCATTGAAGATACGCCAACATACCTCAACTTTGGCAGCGAAAGGGGGCGAGTCGTGTATGGCGAGGGCATCTACGTGGGCTACCGATACTATGAAAAGGTTTTGAGGGATGTACTCTATCCGTTTGGGTAAGTTGAGTGAACCCATAGACTTTGGCAGGAAGAACTAATTTTCCCATGATACAGCCACGGCTTGTCCTACACAGATTTTTCAGTCTCCCACCTTATCGTCAGTCCCCACTCAGCGCGTTTCAAAGTACTGAATTCTGGAGCCGTAGCAGGCGCGTCGGTAGTGCAACTTTACGTGTCCGCAGACAAGACAACATCCTCCATCGCCAGGCCGGAGAAAGAGCTGAAAGGATTTAGTAAGGTCTACCTACAGCCAGGGGAATCGTGTCAAGTGGAGATAAAATTCGACCGGTTCACAATAGCATTTTGGGATGAGGAATGTCAGGCATGGAAGTGCGAGAAAGGAGTCTACAAGATTTTGATAGGCTTGAGCAGTCGAGAGATCGTTTTGGGAGGCAAAATCAACATCGAGAATACGACAACCTGGACTGGATTATAAAGAAAAAGCCCCGTACGCAAGATATACAAGATGAGTCTCTTGTGCTCGGGATCTGTTTTAGATTTGATGCGAACCTCTACCTGTCGTTTTGTAGCATCTCCTGCCGGTTTGTTGCGTTTACAACAAGTCTTTCAATTCCGGCACAGGCTTGGTTAAATGGGTCACTCGCTATTCAAGAATACTGTAAGCCTTTCTTTTGGTTAATTCGCGCGTCAGGTCTATCGGTTACCGCGTCCCTCCAAGTTTACGATAGGTTTCATCGGTAATTGGTTTGGGTGACCATGTGATCCTATCTTCTCGAACACATGAGGGAATCAATAAAGTCTGGGCAGCTCATCGCAATACAATGATGTAGTTGCTTATGAATTTAGATTGGGAAGTATGGCAATTCTTTTTTGGTAAAGGGTTTGGATGTCTCATAGAAATGTTGGGTGTACGGTGGAATTTGTGAATGGCATCAAGGATTGATATGATACAATTATTATTCTATTGATCTCCAGATCATCCTACGCAGCCGTATCTATAAAATTCACCAATTGTTCAAATATCATAAGAAAATGCCATAGCTAATCCCTAATCCCTTTTGATGCTCTATCTACATAATACCGATCTAAATGCATCTATATAAACTCCAAGATCCCATCCCAGACACTAAACCTTCGCCATCACCCTCGGATTCATCATCAACCTTACCACCAAAATCAGCCCTGCACTAGCGAGGGTCAGACTCCCCGCATAGAAGATCGCCGGCCTGAACGCCTTGAGCCCGGCCTCAGTGCCACCATAGGCATCAAGAAGGTACCCCGCGATCGGGCTTCCCATAAAGTAACCGAAGAACCACGACGTCGACAGCGCAGACATGGTAGCAGCGAGACGCTCGTCGCCGAAAACGGCGCCCGTGACAACGGGCATGAGGCTGAAGAAGCCGCCGGAGCCGATGCCGTTGAGGATGGCGAAGAAGATGACGAGGCCGAGAGAGGAGGCGAAGGGCCAGAGGGCGAGGGCGCTGACGCCGACGACGACGAGGGAGAGCAGCATGCTGTTTACTGGGCCGATGAGGGAGTCGGCCCCGAAGCCCATGCCGATTCGTCCCAAGGCGGAGGCGATGTTCCAGCAGGCGAGGACGGCGGCTCCGACTTGGCTGGAGAGGCCGATGGAGGAAACGTAGAGGGGGAGGAGGAATGGGGGCACGAAGAGGGGGAAGGTGGCTAGTCCGCCCATTAGGAGCATGACGTTGAATTTGATGCTTTTGAAAAGACGCCTGTGATGGGTTAGTGAGGGGTGTTTCTAGAGATTGTGACATGAAGATTTCGAAATAGTTTACCATTGCATTCCGGCTGCGGCACGGCGCTGTCCAGAAGGTGCTTTCAAGAAGTACGAGGCTGGAAGTATGATAGCCCATGCACAGGCTCCGAGAATCTTCAACGCCGTCTCGAGTCCACAACTAGCGATGAGCTTCTCCATAGACAGTGATATAACAGCAGATCCGATTCCAGCGCCGCCATAGACGATCCCAGTAGCCAATCCCCGCTTCTTCTTGAACCAGAGCGATGGGACGGTAGCAGCGGGCTTCGTTATCATTAGTAAACTCATTGTACAAAGTGATAAAGCGATTTGGTACTTACCAGGAACAACAAAGAAGCACCAATGCCGAATAAAAATCCCTGAGTAATGAACATAGCCGGTACGGACTTGGTCGAGAATCCCGCAGTGAACTCTCCCAGGCCTAGAAACACACCTCCCACGAATGCCGTCTTGCTATATCCAAACCTCTTAATGATACGCGCAGTAATCGTGCACGTGAGTGGTGACATTGCTGCGCCGACAGATCCAATGAAAGAAAGAGTCGGCACATTTGCAAGGCGCCGTTGTTCAAGGTGCAATTGGACGATGCCGTAGGAGTAGATGAGGCCGAGGTAGACGAAGAAAATGGCCGATCCGGCGAGGACTACAGGCCATCCTTCCTTTTGGTCCCAGACAATTTCCTCTGAATCGGAATCCGGTTGAGGCTGGGGCTCTTCTCCCAATCTGTGGCCCGGTGCACTGTAGTTGTCGGATTGTCGGCGTGGGAGGTGGGCTAATGGGATGTCTATCTCGCTGCGGTCCGTGGCGGGCGTCCACGCTGCAAGTGTGTGTGTCGAACTCATTATTGATATCGTCACTTGACCTCAGATATATGTGTTGGTAGAGAATAAATATCTTGATTTTGTTCGAGTAGCAATTCATTGACTCATTTTCGCTCGCTTCGTAGCGGACTTGGTTTCCTTTCCTGGGTTTCCTTTTCCGTCGGGAAGTGTCAGCACCATTGTAAGCTAGCGCCACCAACCGAGCATTATATGAGAGCATATGACGATGAATCTAGAGAAATATTTTCTACAAAGATAATGTTGATGTATATTTTACGGGCTTAACCTGGCGCTTCAGGTGATAATGCTCCTAGACGAGGCTAAATAATTGCATTATCACGGTTTTAAAACCACTATATTCATCTTGTTAAGGTAATTGATGGAATTGAATGAATAGCTACAAATAATTTTGCTTTTATTTATATTTATCATTTAAATCGTAGCTATCTCAACGGACATGTCAATTGATACACAATCAATAGATGACCTGACCTCTGACCAGTGTCTAGGGTGGAGGACTGATGTCCAATCCATCGACCGTGAGGTGGAAACTATCCATCCTAGAATAGCTCCCAGCAACATCCATATCCAAGCGGCCCCTCTCGCAGTCCTCGAAATCGATCTCCTGAACAAGTAGACCACCCTCATCAACTTCCCACAGCGGGCCAGAAAGCACATCTCCAAGCGGCGAGATAATCGAAGATCCGCCACGGCAGACGAACTCTTCGCCCGCGGCTGATGATACCTTTGGTAGGGCGTGCGAGGTGGACTTTGGGCTTTGAGCTCCATCGTCGATAACAGAATGATCTCCATTTGGAATGCGCACGTTCTGTTTGCTGTTCTCTTCCGCAATGGGTAGGCAAATCTCGTGTTTGTCTTCTGTTGGGATTATCGTACTTCTTCTCCTGGTCCGAATGCTGCTTGTTTGTCCGGTCGACGTAGCGGCCGGTTGAACGGTCTCCGCCGTGGCAGTCTCCCCAGTGATCCAGTCTGGCAAATGCTTCTTCTTGACGCACTGGTTTGCACTGATAACAAAGCAGCGACCCTCGCAGCCAACCGTCCTCATCAAGCTCAACCACGCATCTCTCGCATCCGCCGTAGGTGCAAGCCACAGGTTCACATTCTGGCTGTACAATGCCTGTCGCAGGAGCGGCATGTAATTCTCCCAGCAGATTGCAGCCGCCATCGTCACCCTCACACCTCTGATATCTGCCGTCACGGCCCGAAGCGTAGACGCGGAACCCTGGCCCCAGACCAATCGCTCGGATCCAGTAGGCATGACCTTCCTTCTCTTCCCGATGATACCATAGCGAGGACATACGTAAACGGCGCCGCAATACAATGTTCCTCCGGACCTCTCAACGAGACCAGTCACGACGAAGACGCCCGTCTCGCGGGCGATCCTTTCCAGTTCCTCGCGGGTCCCATCACCACGGTACTTCTTCTCGCGGGGCAACGGCAGCGTGCGATTGACCCAATCCTCCCCTGCACCCTGGGGTGTATCGCCTAGATCGACGGCATCGTGGTAGTATGCGAGGAATTGCTCACGGCCCTCGGGTGCGCGGGCGCCGACGGATGCTCCGAATGCGCAGGTGCGTGGGTATCCGCCGAGGTAGGCCTCCGGGAAGAGGATGAGGTCGATGCCTTGCTGGGCGGCTTGTTTCGTCGTGGCTTCGAGGGCGCGGAGGGTCTCGGCTGTGGTGGAGAGGGTCCGGCTTTGCGCGGAGGCGACTTTGATTTTCTGTGGCATGATGTCGAGCAGGAGTTGGGATGGGTGTTGGAGAAGAAAGGATGCAGGTGTATATTGCACTCGGGAGGATTGGAGGCTTATGTATGTCTATGTATGACTGACTCAATGCCGGATGCCGCTGGCTTGCCGATTGATGAGTGCCGATAGCAAAGATCGTGACACTCGTGAGTAATTTGCGGCGTGATAGCTTGAAGTCAAGCAATGACTAGTGAATTGGGTTGATCCCCCGCTATTGCTTGCGGAGTTGAAGCCATCTTATTGGTCAATTCACCTGACTGGTTCAATCTGATTACCAAGCATGAGGACGAGGCTTCAACATTACCCTCTACAATAATAGATAGGGAAATACTGAAAAGAAAAAAATCATGTCTGGTAACGTTCTCCGTAGTCAATTGTTTTTACTGGCTAATCAAAGGGATGACATTCGTTTGGGCACTTACACACTCCGAGTTGGCATTCTTGCGTTACACTAATTACATCATAAGCTGTTGGGTTGTTGTTCCAAGTATCAGATGCAAAACCATACGAGTAGTTAAAGCGGTGAATCAAACCCATCCAAGAGGGAAAGCAGATAGCATCATCATTATTGGAGAACGCAACTACATCTGTTTTTGATCAACCGGCCGGTGAACGCATATGGACTACAGTAGCGGGAACCTCCCTTACCTCCCATTGGCCAGATGATCGTGGCTAGGGCCATATTTAGTATGTACGACGTCGTAGCTCGTAGATCCGCAGTCCGCAGTCCAGCCATTGTAACCCCAGTTTGTGGCTATGTTGGCAAAGCTTCTTTTTAAATGACAAGAAGGTACCCGGACATACTCATAGGATTCTCTAGTAATCTCAATTACCACGAACAGCCTTTGCTACTTTTCTTCATAGCACATTTACACCTTCGTACCATAGAAAGCCATCAGTAGCAATAATGTCGGGACAAGAAGCGGGCGAGTCATCAAACTCAGCTACAAAAGCACCGAGCAAGGAACAAGAAGCCCAACAAGAAAGAGATATCAATTCATCCGACAACCAAGAGTGAGAGAGCACGCACCATCACATCGACATCGTCCAGCACTGACCACAGTCCAAAGAGTACCACCACCACCCTACACCTCAACAGCAGCATCATCATCATCTACCGCACGACCAGACAACATGATACCCCTCTACGACGACGTAGAATCCGATATGCTCGCCCTTGCCACCGGCGACCCCAATGAAATCGTCCCAGTCCCCATGATTCACAGCACCGAGAAGCAATCCTTCCGCAACCTCATCCGCGGCCGCACCGTCGTCACTCGGACAGTCATCGTGCGCAAGATGCCGCGATCCTACTACCTCGCGCACTACGCCAAAGACGCGCAGGGGAACTACGTGGGGACGGGGAAGCCGGCAGCGGATGCGGGATTGGTGTTCGTGCCGTCGAAGAGCACGCCAGGCGACGTACTGGAGCAGGTGAGGACCGTGGCGTTTGGTAAGGAGCACAGCATTGATGGGTGGGTGCTTCCGGCCGGGTTGGCGGCGATTGCTATGTGCTAGCTTGTCTTCTATTCATTGCGTTTGAAGCTTCGTTTAAGATTATTGTCTGCTTGGGTTGTTGAGAATGAGGGGAGTTCAGTCATGGGAGTGAGAGTCGTTCTGGCGCATAAGAATACCTACTTTGATCTCTTTCATGGCAAAGAATCGAATTTCGAATCGGAAATTAAGTCTAGATCTATCAGATGTCTCTATTTGCGCCCCATTTATAGCTTCACCATCTAGCAGCATATATTTTCAATGTTGATGTATAACACGCATTTCGTTCATGATTATTTCAAGGAAGTACATTCGAGGGGAATAGTTTTAGTCTTGTATTTTTGCAGTGGGTGCGTATACAATCGAGGGGAGTCGGTGTAAGCTAGGGCTGAATGGGGTTGTGTACACAATGCCAATCAGCTGAGAAGAGTGGGGAAAAAGGTTGAGATACACTCCACGTCATTACTAAGGTTGAGAAGAGGGTGAGGTTGAGCACTGCACATGCTCTATCGGTGATTGATAGACTGGATTGAGTCGTTGGAAAGCAGGCGTTCGTGAAACACATTATCGTAAGGAAAGTCATTATCTAAACTACAGACGGTTGGCACATCGGGCTAGCTACCTGCTAGCACCATGTGTCTTCTTTATCTAGAGTAGTTATTTGAGAATATACTGTAGCCAGTAAACATTCTCAAATCGCGATAGAACCTCACATATGCACTGTTGTCGGCATACAATACTAGCACAGCGCCTGCCCGCATGTCAACCCTCTGTACCATGTTACCCTGCCTGAAAAGAAACCAAGGAAACTATCCGAGATACGTTAATGAATTTCCAGCTTTTCCACAGGATAATCTCCGCTTGTCACCAGTTCCGCAGCCTCTCCATGGCTCAAGCCTAAGACAAAGGCAGGGCCAACATAGACCTTTGAACCATTTTCAAGGGTGCGAACAATGCATAGATCCACCGAGACAGGCCAGACATAAATCAAGTCCCCCGATCGCATCCCGGGTGGTCCCATTCCGAGTCGATTATTCTTGGTGTGGAAGAAGCGGTAGCCACTAATTCCCTTCTGGTTAAGACGGTGTGCTGTCCAATTCGTGCAGGCGCCTAAACTGGTACCTTCCATATCCCTCACAACCTCCAAGGCCGTCATACCGGCATGCCAAGTGGCGGGAATTGTATCAGTCATTGAGGGAAATGCTGTGTTGAGCGTAGTAATGAAGTTGGGACCCGGATCAACATGAAGAACCCCGAATCTCTCCTCAATGTCAGAGTTTGTGGGACCGACGCAGAGTTGATATATGGAGATTACAACAATATGGGATGTTAGCAACGAACCAAGATTCAACCTGGTCGATTCCCCATCAAGTGGAGGACCTTCGTCATCCAAAACGACTCGAAGGATTGCTTCTAGCGCAGGAACGTCTCTATCGAAGGTATGCCCTCTATAATAACGAGCAGCTTCCATAATGTACATAGCAAACTCGACATACATGGTCTCTTTGCTCGGGTGCTGGCTCGAAGAATCAACTACAGGAATCCGAACGTCTTCAACAGTATCGACCATGATGCCGGATATTTTCAGGATACCTGATGGGGTTATATCGATCTCATTGCCAACACTGGGGAAAAGACCATTGGAAGCGTTTGCTAATATCCCTTGAGCTGTAATACAGGTTCGAGAAAAATCTTCAACCCATGACGGCAGGTCATGTGGAGATAGATTACGGCCAGCAATTCCACTACCTGCATTTCGAAAAACACTGCGAAAGGTCCGGTCTTTTTGTTGCGTTTTTAGACATTTCTCCCAGAACTGAACGAATACGTCTCTTACAGAAGCGTTGTAATCCACATTCATCGACACGGGCTGGAAGCCTAGGGTGCCAAATACATGGTCTCGAGGGTCTGTTGCCCCCGCCCGGCAGGCTCTGAGGTCCAGTAAGATATCTGGCCCGTTTCTTGCCATTTCGGCTTTTTTCATGGCAAAGAGGAACACTTGGGAGGAGGCCCACCCACAGTCATCTAGTAGAAATCGCCACAGTTCAGAAGGGATGTCGGGAGGTATCAATCCCCTTAGGGTACAGAACCAGATCTGTGACCAAAATCGAGATATGCTTTCCCAGCTAATGCTGCGGTAGCCAAGCAAGAACACAAGGTTCTTTGCCATGATAATCTCCTGTTGTATCCATACCCGTTTCCAGTATCCAAGGTCGAATATCTTGAAGACACTTGCCCACAAAGGGTGGATAAGCTGCTCATCATGGTCAAGAGTCTGCCAGAATCGCGAAAATGGGTCAAGACCTTGGAAGACATCAGCCGCAGTATGAGTTTCTATGTACCCACAGATTTCGTCAAGGCTGTTTCCAGGAACCTGCCACTGATTTGAAACCTCCTGGAGGTCACTCACGGCTTGTCCCAGGTTTCTTTCATCATCGGCGCCGAGCCAGCCGAGGGCTAAACGAGCTGATCTAAACAACTGCCCCATGAGCTGAACTTGACTTGATCGCTCGGTCATATCGTCCTGGTTGATACAGATGGCATCAATCCAGAATACGTTGGGAGTGGACCTTGGAAACAGTGCGAGACTTTGGCTGGAAGCCGCTTTGTGCGTGCCTAGTAATAGGAGATTAGCAACCAACTGTGTCATTTCTCTTTATATTGATAGCTCATACCGGACGTAGAGTCTTCATTGTTGGAGATCTGGTGCAAGATTCCACGGATATGGCGCAAGGCTGAGACGAGATTGGTAGTTGCTTTGAAGACTTCGCACTCGACAACAATCTCCTGCGTGAGGTTTGGATCACCCCAAACGTACGACAGAGCGTTGAAATTAGGCTGGTCTTCAAGCGATGCGAGTTGGAGGGTGCAGGAGATGGTGGACGATTCATCCTCGCTGGAATGGATAGATAGCAGTCGGATCTGCTTCCGCAATGCGTCTAGAGGCTCATAGAAACTGTATGACATGTTGATGCGTCGATTTTAAGTATCATCGCACACGCACAATGTCAGTGTGTGTAGTTAAATTTGTATATGTTGTTTCATTGTGTGAAGGGGATTGTGGATGTGGGAAGGCCGAGGCTGAGGCCGAGGCAGCAGCCAACACATCACTGCTAAAACGCCGACCAGTAAGATTGTACTATTCTAAGCGTAGATGAGCGATAATCCCATCCTAGGACATTTTGCGACATGGATACCAGACCAGAGCTAACGGACACTGGGACTCTTCTTTTTTCAATCGGAGAATGTTTCGACCTCTTATCTATGTCATTCACGGGACTTTGACTGTGGAAGATGAATTCTCTTAAAACCATGTATATATTAGAGAAGAGATGGTATGCAAAGCTCCTCAGACTTTTATTAAGACTAGGAATTATCTATTTAATAAACCTGATCTGACTCTTTCGCTCAGGACTCTACGCAAATCGTCGCTGAATAAAACGATATTCTTGATTGAGGTTGAAATTATTAGCCACATGAGCCTATGCAACCTTTGGACTAGCTATATGAAAACAGAAGGAGTTAAATAAAACCTAACATCTAGTATGTTTACAAACCCCTTCGTACGTTCTTACTACGCAAAGTTGCACCTAGCAAAGGCTAGTCTTACTTGTTTAGTCAGTTGAGTAAATTACCCCATGTGAATTCAAGCCTGTCATTGGCACCCCTTCCAGCAATCACTTGATTGTTATTCCGAATGCTCATTCAAGATCGCCGGTTGGATTTGGGGTTGAATACGATGACTAATTATCGTTGCTTAGATAGTTATGCCCATATGTGTATGTCGGTGGAATAGCAACCGTTTCTAGGGGGTGTTTATCCCCGCTTTTGGAGTCCATTCCACGTCGCTTAGAAAAAGCTAGATTAATCAAGATTTAGGATGTATTAGCTATTTATACAGTAAGTCTACTAGTCTAGGCATAGCTGTGTAAAAAAGCAGCTAAAACTGAGTAGGAATCAATCAATCAATCAATCATGTGTAGCTGCAAGCCGGGATGCTGGTATAGCTCATAAGGATTATGATGAGGTATTCTTCAATTCACCCGGTATCCATCTCTCAATAATTGGAACCGCGGCACTGAGGTTCTCAGTCTTCAACTTAAACATCCCCATGAATCATCAGGCGCAAAGTTAAGGTCGTGAAGCGAGCAGTCAATTGTAGATTTGAAACGCATATTCCGTCGTACAAGCGTCTAATCAAAAGCTTTGCATGTCGCACAATTCACATCTCAGTTTCTTCAAAGAGCACCATCCTTTCCAATCCAAACATGTATTCCTCTTCGTCTCCGTTGTTGCACCTAGCTGCTGTGGAAAGCCGGATCGGAACAAGGCCTGAACTCTCGTCCACCCCAAACATAAGGAGTTGGGCTATCACGGTTGCAGCATTGGTCCTGCCCGTGATCAGCAATCCAAAATTGTCAAAAGAATGAACAGTGCTATTAATCACACTTACCCAATCCACGCTATAAGCACAGCAAGCGTTATACCAATATGTTCCTGGGTTACCTGCAGGCCAGGGAGCCAAGTCCGGGCAACCATCGATTCGTCGGACAACTGCACTTTGCGCTATCGCAAAGAGGGAGAGAACGATGGCACTGGTAAGGAGCTGCATCTTGGGAATGGAGACTATTGGAATTGTGGAAGGTTGAAGGCTGAGTTTGGGTGACTGTGATGAGCTTCTGTAGGAGGGAGTGGGTGGAATTTATAGAAAAATGCGATTCCTGTACTGCGCTGCTACCCATGTTCACAATTGGAATAATTCCGCGAAAAGTATTTGCATTCATCTTCTAATCTGCGCATGCTCGGAACCTGCCGTATATTACTCCCGTTAATTCTAATACACGTACAGTAATTGCGAGGCTTTAAAAACTTGAATCAATCCCGGAAGCGAGTGAAACAAGCATCGCGGAGTAATATCGATCAAATAGGCCAATGTTTGGTCAGGCGACAAGCTGATCCCGGAGATGCAAATGCGGGCAATGGTCCCATTTCGCATTTGCATTTCCTAATCGGTGGTAGGAACTATTAATTTGGAATTTGAGAATGAACAGGTGTAATATCAAGGTTTGCTAAGACGGTGGTACTTCGGCGTCGACGGACGTTTTTTAATTAAGAGATGTGTAGAGAGTTTCTAAGATGGTAGAAGCAATCAGTCGAGTTACGGGCCCTTGGTGATTCTCCAATTTACTCAATATGTGGTTGGTTGCATGCTAGAAGGGCGGAACACTCATGGAAAGGATTAAATAATTACGTGTCACAGCTTAATGTATGTTCTGAAGATTAACAGGTAAAACTATGCACTAACCGCCGGAATCAGTCGTAGTTGATTGAATCCTGGCCAAGCATTTCTAATTTATGCGTCCTACAAGCAAGCTGATAATATAAACGACCTGATAGCCCTACTAATATATGGAATAATGCATTTGGTTGAGATATCGAGATACAATCTGCGATGTCTTGGCCCTGACACAATATTAATCCTCTTCCTCCATCTTCATGTTAGTATCATCAGTCGGGAAGCTTTTCAAGGCCGACACCAAATCCTCCATCAAGTCATCCTCCTCTGGTAATCCTACTTTGACATCCCCTAAACGGCCACAAAGGTCATTAAGCACACTATCAGAGACAGGCGCCTCGTTCTCGCGTGGCGAGTGCTCCTGGGAGCTCCCACGATCGTCAAGGCCATTCTGGGATCGACTTCGATTTCCAGCAGCATCTGGAGACCGACCACGCCTCTGCTCCCTACGTCGCCGCTGCAAGATCAAGTCCAAGTTACTAGGCGTCATGGTCCTGACCATGGATGTCGACCTACCCCTCACTTCCCTTGCACGCACTGCAGAGTACTGGCTTAGAAAAGGTTCGGACACCGTACGATGCTGCTTGTACTGCCGTCGCAGCCGCGAGTCCGGCTTCAACTTGTCGGTGAGATCCTCTTCAAGCTTCGCCATATAATCTTTGCTGCTGGCAGGTTTGGTGGAATCGTCATCTATCATCTCCGTGTCATCTCTTTTGGTTTTCGATCCAGTGGAATTCTTAACGAAAGAAGCGTGCAAGCCCGACCCCTGCAAAGAATCACGGCCGAGGCTATAGGCCACAAGGCCATGGAGCGTAAGAAGGCTCGGTGGCCGCACAAGCGGCCTCCAGCTCCTCGATGGTGATGACCTGATCATCTCGAGCATGCAATTGTGGCATCTGGACGCCCTGGGAGACATTCGCTTGTATGCGGTGGCTGGGATGCCCGAGCATGTCAGTACGCGGTAGCGTATACACTGTTCCCTGAAGAGATCGTCGAAATTTGGAACACACTTCAAGTCGTGCGTCTCGGAAGCGGGGTCAAAGCATGAGAACGGCGGTGGAAAGGGGGATGGGATCGGTTTGTCTTCTGGAGTGGCTGCGATGGAGTCGCGGAATTGTTTGAGTACCGGGATGTCAAAGTCTTTGGCCTTCTCGAGGACTGGGTTGTTCTCGCCTTTGGCTTTTATGTCCTTTAGGACTGCTTCAAAGGGAGAGTCGGGATCTTTTGAGAGGTTTTCGATACTGTCCACGAGGTGCTTGAATTCCTCGAGGTACTTTGGCTCGACTTCGAAACGCTCGCGGATCACCAAGCTGTGCATGATAGATCGGAGCAAGTCTTCGTCCGTTTCATTTTCAAAGATCTCCATTTCGTTTTCAAAGATCTTCGTGCTTGCAGAGGACATCTTAAGGAATCGGTTGGATGCGAGGTTGAGAATTGGGAATTGGTAGATGTAAAAAATGTTGCAGCTGTTGTTTTTTGTCGTTGAGTGATTCACTGGGGCGTGTTTTATGGTTTTCTGTTCGTTGCATTGTAAAGTGATGTTCTGGTGATTGGAGTGCACATTGCTATAGACGAATGAACTGTGCACTTCTTTCACTTGACATCGATTTGTTTATTCACTGAGACGATAGGGCATGGGACTTTGACCCGCCACCTGAATGCTAATCATAGGTGACACAGATCTCGGAACTTTTACTGGTGAGATGCATTAATCATACGGCCATAAAACAGTGAGACAGTTCAAATTAGACACGAGTGAGCCATAATTTTACCCCAACTCTCGCATACAAGAATCCAATGATGTACTGAACAATGCCCGTCCAAGGGAAGCCTCGACCATCGAACGTTTTGCCATTATGGATAGAAACAAGTGTTTACTCAGACAATAGCAACTGAATTTTTACTTTTGCCTACACCAATAACTTTCTTTTCTGCCTACACCCACCAAACCAGCTTCTTTCACTCAATAATCAATTACTCCGACCGCCGCAGCTGCCTGAGAGGCTCTACCCACGCTGCCCCTATTGGTTGATCAATTATTCTCCGAAAGCCCAATTAACCACTAAATATTTTTGTTTCAAGAGTGTCGAATATTTTTACAGTTCGGAGAAGCGTCATATTGCCGTAATAGACATTGCTTATTAGCTATCTTATCTCTGCATGTCCTAATTAGGTTAGTTCGAGTGTAGGATGCTCATCAGCAGTTCTATGCGTAAGACAAAGACAGTACAAAGTGGACAGAGTTTGCGTGGTACAAAGAATTTATCTATGCTTTTCACTGGGAGTAATTTCGAATTATTGGATTGGACCTTCGTTCACAGAGACAATGCGCATGGATTTTGAATGAAGTTTTCTCTCTGTTTTAGTTCCCCTTTACAAACATTGCTTGGCGGATGAGATGCCCTGAGAGAGAATCAAAATTATGTTCGCATTGGAAAGAATGAAGTGAAACATTTTCAAGCATGATAGACGCCATCCGGAAGATTGTAATGACGTGATTTGTAGCTACAACGTATGACAGGAATGCAGGCGTAAGCGAAGGAGCTATGGCTGTCGATCGCAGTCGATCACGGTGAAACATTACGAGATGAAATTATACTTGGGCACAGAGCTTATTGCCACGTCGAGATGCGATGTTCTGACCAAGTAATAAAAAGTCTAGGGATCTATGGCCTTTTATACACTGCAATGAAGCTGTCTACACAGTAATCACTCGTCTGTGGACAACGATGCGGTAGCTACATGGCTAGTTCTTCTCCACACTGATGGGATCGTTCTCGTAATCGTATTCGTATCTGGGGAACGCCAACAATGCGATGCCACATACTTGGATCGGTCTGTCGTTTCTTTAAACATCACGTCGGGAAAGGAATATGTGTATCAGTCCATTTTGGATCCACCATAGTAGAATCACTAGCAACATTGAATGGGCCAAAGTGTTCGAATTCGACTACAACCATGTTTGAGATAAACTTTCCAGAAACAAAAAAGTTTGTTTCGCAGGATTGGATGGATCTGAGGCTCCCCCACCCACGTGGTCTTGTATACTCTCAAGGTGTATGGACTTCTCCGCATCCAAATCTTAGCAAACCTTGGCCTTGAGACGGGAGTTTCCTTTATAGCCACCGCCCACACCGCTGCTTCATTGTTCATTCATCTTTATTCCAATACCATTCTCAATCTCTCCATCGCTCCTATCATCCATGGCTTCAGAGCCTGACGTCCATCGAGCAATCTCGTTGAAACCGAGCCCGTTCCATAGCCCGCACTCGTCGCGGGAGCGTACTTCGAGTCCCCACCCCGCCGCCACCTCCGAGACGGCCCTCCCGCTCCCCACATCCACAACAACACCACACTCGCGCTCCCATTCACGCTCACGCAAGGACGGTGCTAGCACCGCTGTCGAGACTTCTTCTGCATCCGAGGATCACGATCCCGTCGCACGCCATGTCTCCTCTTCTTCTCGCGAGACCTACGATGTCGAGCGACAGACGCCGCCTCAATACACTGCCGACAACGACCCATATCAGCTCGCTTCCCGGCTGAAGCCCCAGAACGAACTCGCTCAAATCCGCGCGAACACGTCACGGAAACGCGATGGCTTCGGCCCAATTGCATTGAACGAGAAGGCGCGGAAGGCCCGCAACCTCGAGGAATTCTACGAGACACAGAATGAGAACATTGAGCGACTGCTGAAGCCAGTCGACGACCACAGGCGGGATGCGAAGGAAGAGGAGGGCGCAAACCATCTAAAGTATCGTATCGCCGTCATCGGCAGCTTTGCCGCGAATGTCATCCTGGCCGTCCTCCAGCTCTATGCCGCGATATCATCCAAGTCGCTCTCTCTGTTCACCACCATGGCCGACTCGCTGTTCGATCCGCTCTCCAATCTCACGCTCATCCTCTGCGCCCGCGCCGTCAAGCGCGTCGACAGCCGCAAATTCCCCTCCGGCAAGGCGCGCATCGAGACAGCGGGAAACATCTTCTTCTGCTTCCTCATGATCACTGTGTCTGTTGTCATCATCGTCGAGTCCATCCGCGAGTTCGCCGAGCATCGAGCTACTGACCCCGACACCAACGCTTTCTTCCTCCCGTCGGTCATCGCAGTCTGCATTGCGTTCGCGACCAAGTTCGCGCTCTTCCTGTACTGCTGGGCGATCCGCAACAAGTACAGCCAGGTCCGGATTCTGTGGGAGGACCACAGGAACGATCTGTTCATCAATGGCTTCGGTATCCTCACTAGCGTTGGCGGTGCGAAGATCAAGTGGTTCATCGATCCGATAGGCGCTGTTCTTCTGTCCGTTTTGATCATCTTCCTATGGTCGCGGACCGCATACTCCGAGTTTCAGCTTTTGATTGGCGTGAGCGCCGACACGCACATGCTGCAGCTCATCACCTACATCTGTACGTATTCCCCCATCCCATAATACCAAATGTACAAATACTGATATGTATACAGCGATGACGCACTCACCCTCCGTCCACCAGATCGACACGGTGCGCGCATACCACTCCGGACCCCGCCTCATCGTCGAGGTCGACATCGTCATGGATCCCGAAGCCACGCTGCGCGCCACGCACGACATCGCCGAGGAGCTGCAGATCAAGCTGGAGAGCCTGCCGAACGTCGAGCGCGCGTACGTGCATGTCGACTACGAGACCGACCACGCGCCGGAGCACTTCTTGAAGAAGGAGTTGTAGGTTGGCGTGGGTGGCATCAGATGATGAGTGACGAGTTGGAGAAGTTGGGTGGTAGCATTTACTTTGGCTCTTCGTTGATTCTTCGCGAAAGCAGAAATTCGAGAGAACGTGATCCGGGGCACTTTGTCGTATGGATAGCATCTAGATATCACAATGAACCCGTGACTGATACCCAGCCTCGTAACGCTGACAAGTACCTAACCAAGAAGTTGCACAATCCCATGAATCTACATCTCTATGCCCCCTCACGCACATATAAATGCATACATACATACATATACACACGACATCTCGTAATCCCCACGCCCACGAGGCGGGCCAAAACCCACACCCACGTGCTGCTCTATCTCCCCCATCCCCATCCCTCCCATTCCAAGCGAAACGACGAATGAACGTCGAAGCCGTACCTCCAACACACCACAACGCATCCACCACACTGTAGGGTACGAATGTAAGCAACCATGCACACCACATGTAGATACTGCGGACGTGGGCGTGACATCTCGCATCGCATCACATCGCAGGTAAGGTACATATGCACGACTGCGAGCGGAGATGTGGTTCGTGTCTCCCATCTCTGCCTCTACTCTCTCTCCATACCATCATACCATCATAACAATCCATAAATCCCCACTATGACACCACCAAAATCACTCCCCTCACCAACACTGACCCAGCACGCCCACGACATAGCAATCCAACACTTCCCCTCCCACAACCTCACCTTCTGGGCCGGCGTCCAGGGCGGCTGCAGCCACACGTTCCTCCTGACCCCCAACTCCTCAGAAGACAGCAATGGCGATGTGAAAGAGAAACTCGTACTGCAACTCCGCCCGCGGATCCACGCCCTCGATGCTAGTGTCGTAGCCGAGGCCAGTAGAGTCTACGGTGACGATGTCGTTCCTTCAGCACGTATCCTGCCTACCCCAAACCCCTCAGAATATGAGGAGGGGGAGTGGCAGGTAGTTTGCACGCCCCTCTTACCAGGGACACCGTACTCGCGGCTCCAACCCACCGTGGATATCCGCCCAGGAACCGCAATGTTCGCGAGACAGGTAGGGCTGGTGGGCTGTCTTGCTAGGTTTATCGGGCGCGCTTGGACGTCTCGGCCTCGTTCGAGGGGGAGGGGGAGGGCGGACTCGCCGTTCGATGACTCTACTTCCACTTCCCCTACCACCTACGATGCCGGATGTGAGGGTGGGAGGGGGCAGATGAAGGGGAAAGTCGGGGGCGTGATTCGCGCCAAACTTCGTCGTTTGGCGGAGGAGTTGGAGGGTGTGGAGATGAGGGCGCGGGCGGGGGGTGTGAGGAGGGATTATGAGGGTATCATGGACTGTGATGATGGGTGGCCGGTAGTGCTGACGCATGGGGATTTGATTGCTTCGAACATCCTCATCGCTGATTCAAATTCAGATAGGAGGGAAGAAGAGGAGATAGAGGAGGCCAGGATAACGGGGGTTGTGGATTGGGCGGAGGCGGAGTGGTTGCCGTTCGGGGTGTGTTTGTACGCTGTTGAACAGTTCCTTGGGTTTCTTGACGCGGAGGCGAATGTGTGGAGGTACTATGCTTGTGCGGGGGAGCTTAGGAGGGTGTTTTATGAGGTATTATGTGAGGAGGTGCCGGAGTTGAAGGGGAGGTTGTGGGAGTTGGGTGTCATGGGGGATGTGGGTGTTTTGCTATGGTACGGGTATGCATGGGATGGGGGCAGGATTGATAGAGTTGTCAATTCAGTGGATGATGGAGTCGAGGTGGAGTGCCTGCGTGCGTGGCTGTCGTGATGACTGCGTCCATGGGGGACGGAAAGTGAATGGAAATTTTGATATCTTGACTGTAGACAGGGTATCCTTTCTAACTTCTGCAACAACAATCACGACTACTTGTTTCCACGTCGTCCACCCCTCTTCTGTCTGTCCAAATGCCCACGCAGCGTCTTCCGCACGTCAACCAGACTCCGCTTCTGCTTGCCCTTAGCCTTGCCCAGCGTCATCAGGAAGTTCTTCTTCCTGGCCTTCTCCTTGTTCGTCGTGCTCTTGCCCTCGGCGTTCTTCTTCTCCTTACGCTTCGCCGTCGTCGACTGGTGGTTCTCCTCGCGGTCGCCCTTGGCCATCGCGATCTTCTCCTCCTTCGTCTTCTTCTTGCCGAGCAGGCCGGCCGCTTCGATGGTCTCCGCCGTGATGGCGTCGTCCGCGTGCTGTGCGAGTAGCGCTTCGCGGCGCTTGCTGGATGCCATGTTCGCGTTCACCGAGCTCGCGAGCTGGAGCTCCTTGAGTTTCGCGAGATCCGCGGGCGTCAGGATGGTCGTTGTCAGCAGCTTCGAGATCTTCTTCGCCTCTGGCTCCTCCGATTTCGTAGACTTGGCATCGTCGTTGGCTGGGGCGTCCACCTTGGCTTTCTTGCTCGGACGATCCTTTTCGTCCTCGCTGTCACTAACGTTGATGTCTTCGCCGTCACTCTCAACGTTGATCCAGCCGGTCGAGGAATCGCTGTCGTCGGACTCGACGTCCCAGTTCTTCCAGTCGGCCGCTTCGTCTTCTTCCTCCTCGTCACTGCCGATATCTGCGGGAAGGCCGGCCGCTTCACGTTTCTTACGGCGCTCCTCTTCCTTCCATTGCTCGAGGAGCTCAATGCCCTGGATGTCTCCAATCTCCTGCTCACCGAAACGTCGCTCCTTCATAGTACCAGCGCGTAGACCCATGGTAGCGTCCTTGCCTCGGTCACGCTTGTTCAGGAGTTCTGCGCCGACTTCGCGGTACAGCGAGAGAAGACCCTTCGCGGCCATCATCGTTCCCTTGTCCTTGCTCTTCCTGTACAACACGAGATCCTGTAACAGAGTGTCGTTCATGGCCATGGGTTGGCGGGCGCAGATCTCACGAATGGCGTTGAGACCGGAGGCGGCTACCTCTGCCGCAGATGCTTCGCTGACAAATTCATTGGCGATCTTGGTGACGAGCGGTTCTAGGACATCGCCAGGGACAAAGTTGTGTGTTGCTTGGGCTAAACAAGCAAGGAACGACGTGACAGATGTTTGGCGGGGAGTAAGGTATTTGAGGAACCAACTGTAGAGGGAAATGATCGTACTAGTCATAATCAGCATGGAATCTCGAGAGCTTGGGACAGATGACCTACAGTTGATGCAGACCCACGAGACGGGTGACGAGATTCAGAACGAGAAGTTTGGATTCGAGGGGCAGCTTTGATTTCGAGTCCTTCAAGTGCTTGCTCCACAGTGTCTCGGCAAAACCCTGGGGATCGTGTAGCAGGTGGAAAGCCGAAAAGTTTAGTGGATGAGGTGCTGACTTCTTCTTCTCCTTCCTCTTAACAGTCGCTGCGGCCTTCTTAAGATCGCGCTCCTTTTTCTTGGTCTTCTTATTGATGCCCGCCTGATGGCGAAGCTTGCCCATGTCGATCTCGTCATCGCTTGACTCTTCCGCCGCCTCTTCTCTCTCGCGATCGCCTCCCAGGAAAAATCGTACTGATCCAACAATGACCTTCTCGTTGTCCGACAAAGTTGCCTCTTTCTGGATCTCAACAGCCTTGGAATCCGTCCAAACCTGCCGCCTCCACATCTCTCGACATATCTTGACCGACCATAACGCCTTAGAGGACTCGCGATCGCTAGTTACGAGGTTGTATAGAGAGGTTTGGAAGGCCTTGCTCGCTTTGGTGTTCGGAGAGTTTCGCAGCTCAGAGATGATCTTGGTATATAGCAGAGGGCGAAGCGATTTACTGGGAGTGGCAATTAAGAGGGGGAAAAGATTTCCCAACAGCCTATGTCTCGTTAGTCCAGCCCGCGAGCGATTGAAGAACAAGCATACATTTCGGAGGAGATAACCTCCTTGTTCCTCAGCAAACACAAGCTGCCAACCAACTTCTCTCGTAGATCCGGCTCAATCTCCGCATGGTGCTGACGCAGAATTGTTACGATGTCCGTGGGGAAATCCTTCGTGATTGAGGGATAGCAGTCTGAACAATGTGTGACAAAGTCAACCTGGTCGCGAAAAGAGACCAAGCCGCTGTTGTCGCTCGTCGCGGGGTTCTGTAGGAAGAGGTCGCGATATGTCTGGTATAGCTCGTACTGCGCAATGAAGTCTCCTTCGTATGACGGCGGGTCTCGCTTTACACGGTACCTCAAACTTGTAAGGTCCGCCTCCACCTAGAATACTATTAATGTCGGAATTTTTCGAAGCAGCGATAGGTGTACGAACCTTCTCGAGGGCGCCGACTTTCCGTTTCATGGCTATGTCAGGCAGCTATTATATCTCGCGCGACTATAAATATCGGGTTTGCAGCTGTTCAAAGCACTCTGGCTTCTGTGAACACTTCCGGCTGCTGCAACGCGATTGAGAAAAAAAAGTTGGGAAGGGACCTCTGCCAAGATTTCATGTGTTATCGATAAGAGGCTGCGGAGGTCGGAGGACCATTCTGCCGACCGTCATGAAAGCTCATAGGTCAACTTGGACCACACCTCACCCAAATAGTGAATTGACTATAATATCAATATCAATCGTTGTTAATAAAAGCTCCTATTCTCGACAGATTCTAATCAGTCAGTCCAGATCTTCAGTCGTCTTCCGTAAAGGATCGTTGTCCCCAAAGAAAGCTAAAGTTGCCACCCCAAAATTCTCAGTTCTTCTGTAGAGTCTATAGTTTTTAATCCAACCCTGTGTACCCGAGGCTTCAGAATACATTCTACGTACGACAGCTCATTTTTAGAATATTTTGTACATCTTTCTTCTAATATTATTACATTTGCATTTTTTGTCCATTTTGTATCCGTCGGTGATTGTCGTGCACGGGTGAAGTGTACATGCTGCTCGATCGCTCGTTGCAGAAGTGAAGCGCCAGGCATCTAAAGAAAAGCTCTAGCGCTTGTTTACATCTTGTAAACATTACCTACACGTCTTGTAATTGACCCTTCCAACCAGCGGCTCTAGTAGCTCCGTTAGCAACTCTCACTCACTTCAGGCTCCGTTGGCAACTCCCACTCACTTCAAGATCGATTTGGACACAGCCCATTTGGAAAAGTCCTCGCTGCGTACTGATCACAGGTGAGTGAGGCAACTGCTTTTTCATACTGTCTCTCAGGTGATTCCAACCAATAGAAACCAGGGCACAGCCTGCATTTCCATTGTTAATAAACAACCGACTATCCCGCCCGTCGACAAAACACCAAACTTCACCACTTGGCTATCTCAGACTCGCAACCGCATGCAACTTTCAACATGGGTACAATAATGGGTGATGAAGAGTATGAATACGACATGTTTGGTCTCAAGCACATCGATACAACTGATGAAAATGATCAGTTGTATTATCTGGACACGTCCGACGATACTCTTACAATTCGCTTCTCACTCGAAACGCCCACGACTCAGAATCTTCGGGACTACCTAGCACGAACTCTTCATCCAAAATACTTCAGAGATGAGTACCTTGTCCAGAGGTCTCTCAATGAGATGACCCATCAACAGCTCGTAAGACTCCAGGCACGACACTGGTCCACGATTCCTCAACTCAATGCTGCCCGCCCGTCGAGTGACCCAGATACATCCAGTGAGATCGACATGTCAACTGCTCGTATGGTTGCAATTATTGCTGAATGCATTCAATTCAGTAGGTCTCATGCTTCATAATATATTCGCCTCGATTTAACAACGCAGGTAATCGAGTTTTCGTCTACCATGAGTGGTGCCCATACAAGGCTGAACATTGCCACAACCCCATGTGCGATGCTGTTAATGAGAACTTGAAGAAGCCTGATGGGTGGCCATGTGTTATCATTGAGCCACTGATTCATGTTCGAACACTGATTCTAGCATCCGATCTCAACATTTGTGGACGCCAAATCCTATTGTTCAGGCGGGATGAATTGATGTTCCGCGAGTACGGTTTCCACGTCCCAGAAACGGTCAACTCAGCCAGACTTCTATGCTTCTGCATCCCATGTTTGGAATTTCTATGGAAGAATAGAGTGAGGGCATGGAAGCGTTTAGGTTACAGACCTCCACGCAACGTAGCTGGAGATCCATCCATGGTACCTAGCCAGGTGAATACTCGCAAACATCCCCGTGAAGATGATGGAAATTTTCGTGCTGAGCAAGTGGCCGGCAATTAGAATAGCACTCATTCTACGCAGATTGACGTACAGACCGAAATCCGGGACCCGGATGACTCTATGTCATCCAAACGAAGACGCCATGAGCTCAATTTGGATGGTAATACTATCACGAACATGGTTCCTAACGACGATATGCCCAACACCCCCGATCTTCCACAACTTGATGGGCCAACCGAGGGGCCAGCCAATTACAAAATTCCGGATGATGATGTAATGGAGTACGAGTATACTACAACCCAGAGCGATTCCACTGAATCTAGCTCGTCAATCCCAGCATCATATCTTTCCGGCGAAGTGGATCCTCCTGCCAGCTATTTTCCAGTCTGGCACAGCGATGTTCAGGAAAGTGCTTACAGAATCTTTCCAATGAGAAGGGGATTCGGTAAATATGGGAATCCAAACATCGTACAAATGTATGAGACCGAAGATGCACTTGTGAACAGCATATACAGGGTACCAAATCCGGCCCCTTTGACAACACTCACAATCATGTCAAGTGTCTTATCGCTTTCCCAACCTTCACCGGCATCGCCTTTGCCATCGGCAAACAAGGAAGCACCCCAAGCTTCTCCCGATCGACTACGACCAAAGCACATACTTCCTCCATCGAAAGTCCCACCTCATGTCATTTGCTATTGTAGACAGCCCGCAAGGGCTGAGGAGCCCGGCACCAAACCTGCCGACACGAGAATCATTACTTGCGCGTTTTCGACATGCCCTATCTCGCGATTCCACTACACTTGTCTCACCAAATCACAAAAGATCTCTGCTTATCACGGAAGGTGGACATGCGATGTTTGCGGGCAGCTCGGCGAGATCGGTGGCAATGCCGGTTCCAGCTTCAAACCCCTGTTCTCGAAGAAATCGAAGGAAGAGATCTTGAAGTTTGTTTCTGACCTGCAATTTGGAGTTGAAGGTTCTGAGGAGGGTGGTAGCAGAAAGAATATCACTGCTGATCCTTATGGCCTTGCGACCAACAGACCGATTAACGTCCCAGAGGTCGAGGATGTTTATGATGAAGAGCAAAGGTCCATTAAAGTGTACGAAGATGATGAGTATGACGAGTACTATAACTGGAATGGATATGAGGATAATGGATACGAGTATTATGAGGATGCCGAAGTGTATCCTGAGGAATACTACAACGAAGAGAACAACGAAGAGAACAACGAAGAGAACCACGAAGAGGAGGATGAAGATGAAGGAAGCACGATCATCATTGGAAGTGACGATACAATTTGATCACAAGCAACTGGTAGCATTTGCAAGCCGAACGTGCTTTGCCATCCATCACCGTCGAGTAGGTATTTTCTTCTGGCCAGACGCGATGGAAGCGCACATTGGTCATGGGCTTGGAAAGGATGGACTTCAAGTAGTGTAAAGATATTGATGGGTCACGAAATGATTTGTACATTATTGGGTTCAAGGATAATTGAAATGCATAACGATTAAACCATGAAGGCCTGTCATGGTAAAGTCCTTAGAAATTGATGCGCCTTTGTTTTAGCATTCAACAATGAAGAGTATTCTAGTTGAAAACTCGTTCTAGATTCCAGTTTCTCAACTGGTGTTGGTATGTAAATCATGGCGCAACTTATAACTTCCGAACCAGCCATCTGTTATGAGCTTCAGCGAGTGTGATGGAAAAAAGGAACGCGCAAGCATGGGCCTCTGCTACAGAGGTCTACATGGCCATTTGGCCAAATCACTATCTCCTATCTCATGCAATAATGGTCCCAGCTCCAACATGTTGCCACTGTAGCTCGCAACGGCCACGCAATGTACTATCAATACTGTAACCCGTCGGAAAATGGACGTCCACTTCCCGATGACATCGTGCGTACTAGTAGATATGCTCCCTGCCAATCTAACGCTCGAAGCAGTAATTAATTGCGTGCGGGTAGGTATGTCAGTTGTGATATGCTTATCGTTGTTTACTTGTTGCTCCGCAGGGCCCTAGTAGTGTCCCGGGTCGCTAGTGCAATGTCGGATCCGCACATGGGCCCGGACAACCTCCTCACCCGCCCCCTACGACAGAACTGATAAGGGATTCACCGTTCCAATTTACACTAGATTTTAGTGTCGTCCGGGGTAGTGAAGTCTGGATTTGTATCTAGACAATACATGTGGCTTTGCTCACTAAAAAGCCACTCACTCCGGCTGTTACTAGTACTAGCCTGTAGCCAGCATGAAGCCAGAAGGCTTATGCTTCGCTTCCGACGGACCAGATTGAAGTACCAAATTGTCAAAGTAATGACCCCTAGATGTATCCAGAATGCAATGTTTCTCTAATGTGACCAGCCGTGATGCGGTGGTGTTTACTCGTAGTGTGAATCCAACTCTTTGCAAGCATGTGCGCCCCAGCACGTCCATGCAAGATCGAAATAGAAAATTTGGACAAGTGTCGCATTCTCTCTGTGATTTTTGTGTCAAGGTTGGGCAGTTCAAGATTCCATGTTTGATGGCGGGAAACCCCCTTTCTCGCAAAGTGAAAGCATTCATTCCGTGTGTAGTCAAGGAAGTCCTTCGAAGAGCAATATCAAAGTATTTTTGTTTTCCGTCCAGTAACTTGATACTCATTACTACTGTAAACTTCTTGATTTGCCTAATTTCTCAGTAGGAATGCTTTATAGCGTCCGTGTTATGTTGTTGCCTGATGTCCTTCAGTTACACACTGTTACCGGTCAAGCTGGAATGTAGATTTCTGTAGGTCGCAAGAACCATTGGAACGAAGTATGTAATTTCAAGGAAACTCTTCTTGAATTTAAATACGGTGGGCATAGTCTGCAATCAAATTAAATGCTATTGTGCATGTGTGTACGAAAAAAGCGATCCTCGTTTCCAAGATGCCTTTATGCCCCAGCAGTGAGGAGATGAGGAAGGCCATAAAACTCCCGACGAGTACGTTCTTCTGGAGATAAGTATGAATCATCGAAGGTAACATTGAGCCAGTAATCTGCCGAAAAGTGATGATGCGTTGCTACAAACACCGACATCAAGTATCGCAAGAACAGACACTGCGAAGACGGGGGTCAATGTCTCAACCTCATCCACAGACGAAGCAGCAGTAGCCCTCGATGGACTTACACTAGAGCCCCCAACTCTTGATACCGGCATGGTCGACACGCCCACCAAGATATCAACCCCCATAGACTCGCTCTTCGACCTCCCCACCAACCCACCCTCAATCTACGTCGACATCGAAGGCATCGACCTCTGCCGCCACGGTAGCGTCTCCATCCTGCAACTCTACGTCCTCCCCACCGACACGACGCACCTGATCGACGTCCACACCCTCAAGTCCCTAGCCTTCACGACTCCCAGCACCACCAGCGGCCAAACGCTAAAACATGTCTTCGAATCCGCCGCAATCCCGAAGGCGTTCTTCGATATCCGAAATGACTCCGACGCTCTGTACGCCCTCTTTGGTATCAACGTCGCGGGCATACACGACATCCAGCTCATGGAAAACGCCTCCCGGTCGTTCAACCGACGCTGCGTGAATGGCCTATCCAAATGCATCGAGAGAGACTGCCCCATGACTCTGTCTGAGCGGCGGACATGGCTCGCGACAAAGGAGGTCGGTGTGAAAGCGTTTGCCCCTGAGAAAGGAGGCAGTTATCAAGTTTTTAACGAGAGGCCGTTGAGAAAAGAGATCAGGGATTACTGTATGCAGGACGTCAAGTTCCTGCCTAGGCTTTGGAAGTTATATGATCAGAAGATGGGACAGGCGTGGAAGGGGAAGGTTGCGCATGCGACGGTGGAGAGAATCAAGCTGTCCCAAAGTGCGGGATTCAATGGGAAGGGGCGCCATATGGCGCTGGGTCCGTGGGCATGATGGGATGCTAATGGGGTTTGCTTTCTTTCAAGTTGTAGTAGTGCGACCTGATTTCTTTAATTCTTTCCTAGCTCTCATAGATGGGCTCGTGTTGGATGTTTGCGCACATGGTCTCCTTCAACAGCACGTAGTACGACGTAGTCTTTCTGAAATTATAGGTAAAATTAATGATCTTTTATTTTTAATGTCAAGGACTTCATGAGAACCAGCCATTGTAGATTCCGACTATCTGTCAATTTAATCTTGTGTTCGAATACAATTTTCAGCTTGCAGCGCTACATTCACAAACAAACACCCAAATTCGAGAGGAAATATAGTGGATAGACCAGGATAGGTGCATGGAGATTGAGAATGATAATATTCCCGCGGGCAGCAAGGATGTGGGGAAGTAGATGTAATTCATATTTGTAGTAATAGACTGCACTTTCTTGCGTCTGTTCCTTTTCTCCAATTCATTCTGTCATGTGGAAAGAATGTATCAAGAAGTATCCACTCGGCCCTGAATAAGGCAATGATGCCATGACAGTGAGCAAGGTACCGCCTCATGGTGCCATTCTACGGAATCTGTGTTCCCAGTAACGACGTTGCAGTATTGCAGGATATATGGTAATAATAACTACCGTGTACATAGCATGATAAATAATTAATTGTTTATACTAACAACCGAATGGAGTCGTCGGACGAAAAGGGGTTAGGTCAGAATTTGTAGCATAACTATTTGTATGCACATTTTCCTCGTACCTCGTATGTACGAGTAATGCACTCCACAGAGAGCGCTACGGCCAGCTAGTCCAGCCACCTACGTGTGCATGCATTTGCGTAGTGGTTTTCTCGTTCAAACAGAAAAAGTAAAAAATGTAGGTTGTTGTTACTTTGGTATCAATTTATCGCTTAACTTGTCGCTTTGAGAATTGCTTCTATAAAAAATCATTTCTAAACGCCTGTGTACCTGTGTGGCTCATGCGTGGTTTACTCTTGTATTGTAGATGCAGCGCTGCTCTTGAAACCTCAACTCATTCTCTGCTGCGGCACTAAGGGCATGCAATTTTACTGTCGAATGCGAGGTTCCGCAGGTGGCCTTGCGCCTTTTTTTACGTTTCACGATCTTTCTGCTTCGATTCCAATTTCAGCCACCCGTGTAGGCACAAATAATGGGGTGCCTACAACGACGGCGGACGCTAGAACACCCGCTAGAAGAGATCGTCGCCCACGAGTGGCTACGAGCAATACAACGCAGCCTAATGGCGAAACAGAAAAATCACATTCGGGGCCCCGTTAGGTAAACAGCGAGGAGTAGTGGAGGCTCATACGATGACGTTGATGGGGTCGCCCTTGACCCACGCTTCGACGGTAGTCTTCAAAATCTGGCCGAGATTGGTGAGGGTGCGCTGGGAGAACCAGGCCAGATGAGGGCTCAAGGTGATGTTAAGGGCCTTCGCCTCTTCAGACAGTAGCGGGCTATCCTCCTCGACAGGCTCTGTCTCGAAGACATCTGTGGCGTAGCCTGCAATCTGGTCGGCCTTGAGTGCTTCGACCACGGCGGCCTCGTTGACGATACCACCCCGTGCTATGTTGATGAGCACGGAGTATGGAGACATGGCGGCGAGTTCTGCTGCAGAGATGAGATCTATGGTTTCTGGTGTGCGCGGCAGGCATAGAACAAGGACGGTACTGCGCCGCAGGACCTGGTCGAAGGGAATGCGGCTCTCGTCGGGTGCAGCTGCCGTTGCAGGTGGTGCAAGAGCATTCTTCAGGGATGGTGCATTGCCATTATCAATCGCAGTAGCAGTAGAAGATGCAGATGGAGTAGCGTTCTTGCGTGCAGCGACGAGCACTTGCATGCCCAATGCGCGGCCGAGCGTTGCAACTCGCTTCCCTACAGGGCTCGTCAATCATCCGTTGCAACAATACAACGGGCCGGTCCTTGGACAACGTAATGTAGACATTGTTCCAAGTTCAAACAATGTCGCAGAAATGATAGCGATGAGCATACATACCTAGACCACCGTAACCCACGATACCCAAGACTTCATCCCCGCAAGTCAATGGCGGCTTGCCGTCCCCGAAACGTAGCCGTTGGGTCAGGGAGTTCTTCGCCTTCCACTCGCTCGGCACGGCCCTGGTCGCAGCATCAAGGATCACGGTGCGTCTCCGTGCGGCGAAGTACAGACTAAGCGCATGCTCGGAGACAGCATCAATATTGGCAGCAGGGGTGTTGGTGACGCGAATGCCACGAGCGCGGGCAGCCACAAGATCGACTGGGTCGGTGCCGGTCGCCATGATAGCGATGAGACGTAGGTTCGGCGTTACATCGGGATCCAATACCTCGGCGGGTATTTTGACGATAGTCACGATGAGGATGGTAGCATCGCGTAGACGTTCTGCCAATTGGGATGCGTCGGTGCGGTGGTAAGTGGTGAGTGTGTGAGGGAAGTCGAATGTATCTGGGAGGGGCTGATGGACACGCTCAATGGCGACGATATGATGATGCATCGTTTCCTGGCCTTACTTTCCGAAAATGAGGGGGAGGGGGAGGGGCAATTAGAGAAGAAAGGTGAACAGATGATAGAGGAGGCTCTATTAGCGATTGAGAGTTCTTGTCTTCTGTGATGTTACTCACCCAGTCCTCTAGATTATGTAGTTTTTGTTTATGATTTAATTGTTGTTTTGTGATCATGGGGATCTTCGCTTCTACGTAAGCAATGCAAATCACCGGTAGGGCGTGGGCGGTAATCGGTTACACCAATAAAGAAGAGTGACAGGACAGTGACAGGTTGTCGTCAGTGTTCGATTACGGCGATGGGATGATGGGATGGAAAGGGAAAAGGGGAATAATGGATGATCCGCAAACCTAAACTGAACCTCATCAGCCTCAACTCACGCGACACCACAACCACACCACAGCCACATCAATTCACCGATAACTACTCCGTAACTATTACTCCAATACTCCTGCGTCTAAATCCTTCGTTCTACCAATATACCGATTCAGCGTTAGGGTTGTCGACAGAGAACATTGCTCTCTTGGCTATTATTTCAAAATCCTCAACCATCGGAGTTGACTACTTCTTTTCAACGGCACACGGCATTATGCCTGTATGCGCAGAACTTTCCTCCAGCTTGGTCTCGTACTCGCCTCATCAGCCAATGGCCCTTATCCGACGACATGTTCACCAGCAAGACTTGGATACGAGCCTCACCATTGGCCGCGGTTGTTGCGGTTGACAGCCGATGAGAGACAGGTCCGTCATGCTGTGTACCGGACAACGACTTTTCCCACGAGGGTGCCATGCAGGGAGCGATTTATCTATCCTATCGTTGGTTGTGCAGCGTCTACCACAGATTTGCTGCAAATCTCGACTCCCCGGCGTCTCCGTTGTCTGCGCGAGCCTGTCTGCTCTGCGGTCAGCACCGATTTCTGTGCTACCATGGAAAAGCTCTCGTGCTCCGTACGCCACCAAACCCCCATCGACGCACGCATCGAGTATCTGAACCTATGGAGAGGCCCTCCTCGACCTCTCACATGTTGGCACCTAAATGCGATTGGTGTGGTACTCCCCTCGAACAACCAGGCCACAGACTGAGTACGAAAGACGCCACAGCCGAGGCTTCCCTCCCTCGCCTCGAAAACTCTGCGTCGCGAAACAATGGACTTGGCCTGAACTTCTCCTTATACTAACGCCTCTAGTTTTTGCTTGAACAGGGTTAGATTTTGTTGGCCGAGAAATACTGTACTCCTAGAGGAGAGGCGGAGTGGAGTGAGAGGGAGAAGGGGGGGTGACAATGGAACCAATATCGACGGTTGTCCAATTCCCCGGGCGGACCGATTGTCTACCAGACTACTAGGTTACCCCACTGTTACAGCAGATTTGGTCGTCTCTCCCTCCACACAGGCCATACAGGAGTAACAGGACCGCGCGCTTTTTTCCAATTGTTCGCATCGGCTCATATCCGCTCCCTGGCCTGGGTCCATGGGGTCCATGCTCGCCGACGCCCATGCTGATGCCCCATGCCCATTCCATGCCATGCCCATGCCCATGCCGACGCCCACATGTCCAGCTAATTGCGCCTATTCTCGGTCGAGTTCCCCCTACCAAGTTACAGTAGATTCAGCCAATCAATACTGGGCATTTAAGTGTGTATTACCGCAAACGCTACCCTCTCCCAGTGTGTTGGCCGTAGAGGTCAAACTCTTCTCGGACATCGCCTGCCAAGTTTCCATTCACTCACGCTAGAGAGATATACTTTCCCAATCGGGACTAGGGGATCCTTGACCAGTGCGTCACCTGGCAGATACCAACAACGACTACAAGTCTCTGACATCCCCAGCCCTGCATACACAATTCTTTTGCTTCAAATCTCGTACATACATACTCTCTCTTTCCCTCTCTCCCTTCCCCTCCACCTCCTTCCTCTCATACCCTTCTCCCTCCCTTCATTTTGAACCTCCCTCCACCCTTCCTCTCCCTCCACATCACCTCCATATCGCCCATCGCCCATCGCCCATCGACCTTTCGTCCCGTCTCCCACAAGCGACCGCAACCATGGCCGAGGAAGCCTCCAAAGGCCAGTTTTATGGCACCCAATCCGATGCGCATTTCGCCGAAAATGATGTCCACCGTCGCAACTCAGGCAAGGTCAAGGCAGGCAACCTCGAAGAGTCTGATCGACACTCTGCCGACGACCTTCTGGCTGCCATGGGTTACAAGTCTGAACTCGTGAGATCGCGCTCCACCCTCCAGGTCGCCTTCATGTCGTTCGTCCTCGCCTCTATCCCATACGGTCTCTCTACCACCCTTGTCTACCCCGTCATTGCCAGCGGCCCCGTTGGTATTATCTGGGGATGGGTCCTCGTTTCCCTCATCATTCTCTGCGTCGCTGCGTCCCTTGGTGAAATCACCTCCGTCTACCCCACATCCGGTGGTGTCTACTACCAGACCTTCATGCTTGCACCTGCCTCCTACCGTAGGATCATATCCTGGATCTGCGGATGGGCCTTCGTCGTTGGCAACATCACCATTACCCTCGCCGTGAACTTCGCCACTGCTCTGTTCTTGGGCGCCTGCCTCAACGTCTTTGGCGATCCCGAGGTTGGAATCTTCGCAGCCGAGCCCTACCAGGTGTATCTTATTTTCTTGGGAATTACTCTGTTGACCAATGCCATCTCTGCGCTCGGAAACAAGTGGTTGCCCTGGTTGGATGTGAGAAAAACCCCTACCAATGCTCCAAACTCTCACAAGCGCATCGTTACTTACCCATTACATAGACCTTTGCCATCTTTTGGACTTTCGCTGGATTGATCTGCATCATTGTGTGCATCCTTGCCATTGCTAAGAATGGTCGCCACGACGCCGCCTATGTTTTTGGTGAATTTGACGCGAGCAACTCGGGCTGGACCCCTGGTTGGTCTTTCTGTGTCGGTCTCCTCCACGCCGCCTACGCAACCTCGTCTACCGGAATGATCATCTCGTGAGCCTCCCTAGCAACTACAGACCGTTTCCCTCTTCCCTTGCAGCAAGTCCCATGCAGCAGCCCCAGCAGCCCCAGCAAGCCCCCAGCAGATCCCAAGCAACCTCTTGATCTTCAGACCCCACGCGACCTCTTCCCCAATGCGGTTTAACACGGTATTGTTTCGTCCCTATGTGAACAAAATGCTTACCCTTACTCTAGGATGTGCGAAGAAGTCCAACAGCCTGCCACCCAGGTGCCCAAGGCTATGGTCGCTACCATCGTTATCAACACTCTTGCTGGTCTCGCTTTCTTGATCCCACTTGTATTCGTCATGCCCGACCAAGCCATGCTCGCCGCGCTCGCCTCGGGCCAGCCCGTTCCCATCATCATCAAGAGTGCCGTCGGCTCGGCCGGTGGAACTTTCGCCTTGCTCGTGCCCTTGCTCGTTCTCGGTCTTCTCTGCGGTGTCGCTTGCACTACCGCTGCCTCGCGATGCACTTGGGCCTTCGCACGTGACGGTGCCATTCCCGGATCTCAGTGGTGGAAGACCGTCAACGTCAAACTTGATGTGCCTTTGAACGCAATGATGCTCAGCATGGCTGTCCAGCTCATTCTGGGTTTGATCTACTTCGGTAGCTCTGCCGCTTTCAACGCCTTCTCTGGTGTTGGTGTCATTTGCTTGACCTTGAGCTATGCCTGCCCGATTGCCGTGTCTCTGGTCAACAAGCGCGAGGCTCTTCGCGAGGGCAACTTTTTCCTCGGAAAGTTGGGTGTCTTCTGCAACGTCATTTCTCTCGGTATGTGTCTGCCCACCATTCTCCTTTTTTGCAATCTACTAACAATCTCCCCAGCGTGGTCTGCCCTTGCCATCCCTCTTTTCTGTATGCCGACATCCATCCCCGTCGTTGCAGAGTTCATGAACTACGCTTCCGTCGTCTTCGCCGCTTTCTTCCTCGTCGCCACCGTGTGGTACTTCGTCTGGGGCAAGAAGAACTACCAGGGCCCTCCCGTCCACGAGGACGCAGCCCTGCAGGAGGTGCGCCGCGCCAGTGTGGCCAGCCACCACTCCAAGTAGAGTCTCTCTCCGGAGATTTTCTATCTGCCTCAGATCGTTGTTTATTCTCCTTTTCTCCCAATTTTCAAAAAGCCACCAGGTGGTCAATCTTCGCGGCCGTGTGTTTTCCCATCCCAAACGTTTGAGAAACCGCGCCAGCATGATTATTTGAAAATACTATATATCCAATTTTTTACATATATATACAACATCACCTCCCCCTTATCGCGACGTATGTCTTTCTGCACGACCTGTATATATGATCATGTGTACACACGTACTCTCCAGAATACCCCAAAAATGTTTCCATTCTTATCCATACATGCGCATCCTTGAAACCATGATATCGTGACGTTACTGTGCCTTTCACGTGTTCGAAAACAGTGAAACCCCTCGATTTGCAAACGTTCGTGATACCCGTGACAATAGGAACAGATGCATAACGTCATGACGCCATGTCCTCACTCGCACCTACAAACGACACGCCAGACAGTCACACAAAGACCCTTGCCCACATTCCACTATGTACCAACCATTCGATCTCAGGGTCCAGCCAGAGAAAATCGATCTTCACCCGCCATGCCCGCCTGCCTATTGTATCCACACAGCCGGTGCCGTTCCCGTGTGACGACAAGACCCCAGCCCCAGCGCACCGGGTTCCCCGCTCGTTCGCCCTGTCCATCCCGCGCGTGCAGCCATCCGATCGCAGGGAGCCTCACTGGGTGGGATTTGCTTGTTTTTAGTAACGAGTGATTAGTTTGGTATGAGTCGGTTGGTTTGTACTTTGGACTATTTCTGAGGCTGGAGAGTTGAGGGAGTTGCGCGTCTGCGCCTCTTGTTGGGCGTGGCGCTTGTAGATTTGTCTGTTTGTTACGGTGATTGTATGTACACTAAGTTTTATGATTATGTCTTGAAGGAAACGGAGAAAGAAATGTATACGAGATTTGTGCTTCGATGAACAGCAAGCGATCACATGAAGACATCATATGTATGCAAAGAACATTGTATCACACGATAAGAATTGTCTGTCCATTCGTTACGAGATAGCGATGATCAACCTCAACTCCAGTCACGGTACCCGTCTGGATGAAGCGGATACCGATGCTACGTTGGCCATTCCTTCATAAGCGGCGACCTTTCCCGCACCTTCAGCTTCGGGCCCATTCCTCTCCGGGGCTTGTGATCGCAAGTTTCTCTCGGTCGCCAGGTGTACAGGTTGTAAGGCACGATGAAACGGGGAATGAACGGTTTCTCGTGGCGGATGAGCCGGTCTACCTCATGGGTGTTTAGGTAGGGAATCTTTCCTGCAGGATAGCTGTGCAGCGATCCAGCCATGCCAAACGATGCAGCGTGGCACTCCAATGTCGCTCGTGCATCCTGTCTGTTTTCGGCGATGATCCACGCACCGATTTGCCAACCACCCAGGCGGATGCGTTTGTCACGGAGCTTGACGACACGCGAAGGCACTCTGGAGCTACCTATGTGCAGTCCGGTGAGGCGCACACTGGCCTTGGTCGATATTCTGGGAGGCGGCACTTCCCACGGGACGAAGGCTTCGTGCACAGCGTTATGGATCCAGACGTGGATTTTCATATCGTATAGCCACTTCAGAGAGCTTGGGCGGAGTATGACGTTCTCCAGCTCCATGCGCTTCAGGGATGGAAGTGCCAGACAGTTTTCTCTCTTCGAACCTAAACCTCGGAGCTGTATTGCCTCATATATGTGCAAAGACGCACCCTTGAGTCTCAAAACTTGGACGCGTCCGAAAGCTCCACCGGCAGGCCTACAGAGATATTTAACATCATTGGAGAGACTGAAACCGAAATTCCAATAATTCGTTGTCCCCCGTGCAAAATGTAGAATTTCGAGGATCTTGATTCTGTCGAAAATCTGCGAGACTTCGATACCGAACAAAATCAAACTTGGGCTCAGCGGGCTCCCGTTGTCATTAGTAGTGATTGACATGACTTCAAGCTTGTCCAGATAATTGCTTGCGTAGTGGAAGAAGAAATGGAAGGCATCAATACCTTTCGTGCGGGTGCCCATGCCGTGCGGAGTCCGGAAGATGATGCCCGACCCACGCTGTGCCCAGATTCGCTGCCGATATTCAAAAAGCTTTCCAACATCGTCGAAATCGTCAACATGTAGTAGCTTGTAAAGATCAATCTTACTTGTTGGTGGGCTTGGACGCTTTTCCTGGAATCCTGCGTGATACTTGAAGGTTTCAAGGTTTTTGAGCCGCAGAATGGCTTCGACTGAGCTGGTGTACATGTCATAGCGATCCGACTCGAGATCAGCATAATCAGTGACTTTGCGCCAGGTACAGTATTGCTTCCTGTCATACCAAGTGAGAGGCGGATCTATTTTCCATCGTTCCTCCAAGGCAGAGATTGGTTCGATCAGGACGTCTTCCAAAACTAATTCTTTGACTTGGCCAGCAAAATTCAAGGATATCCAAACCAATTTCTCAATACTTCGAGGGTGAAGCCAGAAGTGAACTGTTCTGTAGAGATCCTTTTCTCGATTGTCGCCGGTTTTCCAACATACTTCTCGCATCGCTGCCACTGTCCGTACTCTGCTATCCGGCCTACCATCGCCAATGCTACTACTTGCGTGCAAGTAATCGTAAATTTGGTTTATTAGTTCTGGCGGTAAAGCTGCGAGCCCGGTTTTCATCATTGGTGGCCTTTGCGAAGCTCTGACGATGTCGGTCTTGAGATACAGAAGATCTTGTGGATCATGATGTACGGTTTGGCCGGGACCGTTCTCCGTCAGGCGCTGTTTCTTGCGGTGAGGGCCATCTGCGACTGGCGGCGGACAGGATCGCCCTCGCTTGCGTGAGGTCATATGGCTTGACTGATAGTAAATAAAATACAGAGAGAAATGCAACTGAAGACGGCGGGTAGAGATAAAGAACCTCTTACCGATTGAGAAGGTAAACAAGCGAGAGATTCACCCTTCCATAATTGCCACGGTACGTTGGGTGGCGCTTTCTTCACACTCCAACCTTCGGTATCTGTCTATAGCCATGTGTGTCCTACAAAATGGTGTTCTTCTTAGCGAAGCTTGTGTTCTTGACATCTACAAAACAAACTATTAGTGCTAGACTTGAAGAAGATATGACTCGTCCTTTGCTGTTCTTCCTAATCTCCTTATCACTCCATCTGTCCTTTCCTTCTTCGAAACTAGTGAATCCAATAATAACACACCTTTCTAGCAAACAATCAGTCTTGACGTCTAAATAAGCTTTTTTTACTGCATGTAGTCTCCGGCATGAACTGGCGACCCCTGCCGGAAGAGATCCCGAGCACTTCTGCCTCTAGCTTGAGTCTTGCGGCGGATGAGAACCCTAACTAGAACACATTAGCCAGGGATAAAGCTAGAGCATGGTATTTCTGGGACTGTTAAATCTTTTCCCGATGTCCTACTGTAATCATGTGGCTGTGCTACTTTGCAATTGGTCCAAAAGAACGATATAGGCTGTGTCAGGTCCTCGAAAAGTGTATCATCCTCAGTGGATCAAAGATACGTATGCTATCAATCAAACCATATTAAAATCTACGAACTTAGGCGACCTGAGCTTGCATCAAATACAGATAGAGCTTGATTATATGTCGACAAGTTGGATCAACTTGTGCGAGATCTGTGGTCCAAATAAGGTGCAGAACTAAGCATAAGTGGGCGATTCGCGGTAACCAGGTCCGATGATAAGCGACCTCACATCAAGGGCGATCTCAACGGCGTCCCCAAACACAGGAACAACACTCTCTCTTCCTCTTCATAAGAATCGGAAAAACAAAATACAAGAACTCCATACGATTAATACGATAAACATGACGAGAGAAATAAAAGCTCCGAAGGGGCGCGTTATCGTGCCCGGATCGGCTTCCGGGAAGCTCATTGTATCGCAAACGCCACTGAGCTTCATGATGGGCGTAGATCCAGTCACCGGAATGATTGTCGACCACCACCACCCTCTACAGGGACGTATAATCAAAGATCAAATTCTAGCTATTCCTCGGGGAAGGGGTTCTTGTTCGGGTAGTGGAGTAATATTAGAGTTGCTCATGCAAGGAAAGGGACCAGCAGCCTTCATATTCTCCAAGGCAGAGGAGATATTAACACTCGGCGTTCTCGTTGCGAAGGTCTTGTTTGAGAAGTCCATTCCGATAATTGTTTTGGACGAAGCCGTGTTCGCAACGTTGTCCGATGGAGAGACAGCGCATATTTCGGAGACGGCCCTGCGTCTCAATTCGCAGCAGACACACATTGAGCTTGCTCCGGCAACACTGCCTGACCCATCCGGTTCTTCCATCGCAATCAGCGATGACGAAAAGGAAATGCTTTCCGGATCGTATGGAGAAGCACGGAAGGTATCCATGGAAGCAATCTACCATTTCGCGAAGCTACAAGGAGCCACATCATTCATTCCCGTTTCTGGCGTCCACATAGACACGTGCTACTATTGTGGTCCTTCAACACTTCTCTTCGCCGAGCGTCTGCACTCCATGGGTGGGAAGTTCGCTGGACCGACAACATTGAACTCCATCTCTGTTGACCGACGGCGTTGGCGAGAACTGGGCACCGATCCCGCATTCGGAGAAGCAGCGTCTAAAGTCGCAGATCTATATGTTGCGATGGGTGCGAAACCTAGTTTTACATGCGCTCCTTATCTACGCAACGACAAGCCAAAACTAGGTGAACAAGTCGGCTGGGCGGAGAGCAACGCAGTGGTCTTTGCAAACTCAGTGTTGGGTGCCAGGACACAGAAGTATCCTGATTTCCTAGACGTTTTCATCGGGCTCACTGGAAGAGCTCCAGCTGCAGGATGCCACCTTGATGAGGGCCGCAAGCCAAAGGTCCTGATAGAAGTTGAACACCTCGCAAAGGTAGATGATTCATTTTGGCCATTGTTAGGTCATCGAGTAGGAGAGATCAGTGAATCTGACATTCCTTTCATTTCTGGAATCGAACATCTAAAGCCTACAATCGCCGACCTGAAAGCCTTTGGTGCTGCATTTGCAACCACGAGTTCCGCCCCAATGTTCCACATCGCCGGGATTACCCCTGAGGCTTTACAGACAGTGCCTTTGAAGCAGAACCTCAGAAATGCGAAGATCGCTCTATCTGTTCTCCAAAAGACACATCGGCAGTTGAACTCAGCTCGTGACTCCTCACTTGGGCTGATATCGCTGGGAAACCCGCACTTCTCTCCCGAGGAATTCAGGATTCTCAGCGCATTGTGCGAGGGAAGACGTCGACACCCCGACGTCCGGGTAGTAGTCACTACAAGTCGAGAGTCATACGACATGGCTGAAGCAGCAGGGCATATTGATACAATCACTGACTACGGAGCTGAGGTCATCACAGATACATGCTGGTGCTTCATCACCGAACCCATTATACCAGTACATGTCAAGAATCTAATGACAACATCGGGGAAATACGCGCATTATGGACCGGGAATGGTACAAAGAGGTGTTCATTTTGGTAGTCTGGCCGACTGCATCGATGCAGCATGCGCCGGCAAGCGAGAATACTACGTTCCAACATGGCTACATGAACAGTCCTAGCAAAGTAGTCTTGCGTTCAAAGACCGAACCACGCCAGATCGTCAGTTGGGTGAACAGGTACAATGTGTCCTACTCCCGCGGCACTGTATCCGACAAGCTTTGTTCCATCGCCATAGATCATCTTCGTGTACCCACTCTGCGGCTTATTCGTCTCGTTCCTCGTGAAAGAAACACCCAAAAGCCCACTCCACTGCTTCAATTGCTCTCCGAAGTTGGGGTAGAAGACCAAGTTATCAGCAACACCGTGCCAGGTAGCGAGTCGCGGGTAAGTGCCATTGTAGCCGGGATACATCGCCTTAGCCGTCCTCGTCCACTCTTCCGCGGACTTGATAACCTTGCCATTGGCGCAGGTCGGGTCTGCGCTTCCTGGAGAGGCACCAGGAGATCCGGCAAGACAGCCTGCGGCAACACCGCTGTAGCAACTTGCAGCAGCAAAGAGATCAGGATACGTAGCCATCATGACGTTGGTCATCATGCAGCCGGACGAAGCGCCGGTGACAAAGACCTTGCTGGCATCGGCATCGTACTTCTGGATCGTGTACTTGATCATATTGGCGAGGCCTTGGTTGTCGCCGCCTGCTTCGCGAGAGAGCCCCTTCGTGGTGTTGACTTCCCAGCAATTGGAGTCCTTCTTGGTGGTGGGGAAGATGACGATGAAGCCCTTCTGATCGGCGGATGTGCCGTACTTTGTCATGCTGGAGTAGGCTTCGCCTGTGCCGCCGCAGGTGTGTAACTTTGGTTTCTGTTAGTATGTCAAATCATATGAGATGCTGTGTTACACGTACCGCGAGAATAATCGCGGGCTTCGTAGCTAGTTTTGAAGGCACCCAAATATTCATCTCCAGTTTCGTAGGGTTTGAGCCGAAGTCAGTGACTCGAGAAAGAGCGGCATTGCCAACGCTGGAAAGCGCTGCGAGCAAAGTGATTGTGACTGTAGAGATTGAAGGCATTGTTATGACTGTTAATCCTGATTTGAATGTCCCTGAGTAGAGCTGCTTCACAGATATTTATACCTGTAGTACAACTGCACATTTTGTGGCTAAAGAATCACTAATCATTTCTACACGAGTGCTATGACAATGCATCAGTATGCCGGTGGCTGTTCAGCCTCTCATTTATCAAATTGCATGCATTGCATATCGGAATGTAGGGAAGATCTTCCTGACAGGACATGCAACCCGGGAAAACGACGTCAACAGGAGTGTAATTAGAAGTTTCCGGGAATACATGTGATATCTATGGTCCCTGAACTAAGTAGACGTCTGATGTTGGCACAAAAGTTACGGAGTGTGGGGTAGAAAATCAGGGGGGTTTGTCGTGGGGAAACAGGGGTTATATATATTAATTCACTGCCGATCTAAGATACCGAACAAAATCAGCTGCCGCATCAAGATTCCGAGGTCCTTTCTTGAACACAATTTTGCCGCAGAGGTCCATCCTGAGCATCATTTCGATATGGAATAAATAAGAATGATTTCATGTGTTCGAAGCTCCGGATTACATGTGAATGCAGGCCGACAAATATGGACGAACAATTAAGCCGAGACTGGATAAGTTATAGGTAAAAAAGGTGGGAGAAAATATCAAGGGGGAGGTAAAATGAGAATTGCTGCAGGCAGACGGTCAACGGAAAGGATTTTTTTGATTTCTCCAGGATTGGACGTGGATCGCTGTGGACAAAAATGTGGAAGAATATTTCATCAATGGTTACAATCTAGAAACCACTGGTACAATAATGTACATGATAATACACTGGTAATTTCAAGGTACTTACTCGGTGCGCTCGCTATGCACCTCACTTTCATCCTCCTTCTTCGTTGCCTCGTACCTCTTGCCTCTAAATGCGTACACACCCCAATTGCTACAGTTCACATCGTGGGGATCCAAATCGTTCAAATCCCATCTCAAACTACGGAACTTGTTCTCGCCTGGCTTAAGTAGTATGTCCATCTCGTTGCCGAACCTCTTCTCCAGGTGATCAACATCTTGTTGTATGTCCCATGGGGAGTACCCTGTAGCGATGATAGGGCATTTTGTTTCCAGCAGTAGCGGCAGTGTCTCTTCCCACTCATGCATCGATGCTGGGTTTCCGAATCCAGGGTGGAAGACGATGAAGCAGTCAAAATAGGGATCGTAGGGGTAGAAGTATCCAGCCTTGTGCATCGTGTGGTAGTATTCAACAAATGTACTGATCTTGAGAGCGTTGGAGATGCGATCTTCAACTACAGCTCCGAACGGGTTAAGTGGCGTCCGCTCAGGCAATGGTAGCTCATTTCCGCGGTTTGCCATTGCCTCAGGACCAATGAAATGCAAGGAGAACTGCACTCGATGGAAGAGATATACCATCTGCATCCAGGTCTCCCTGGGTAGTGAAGACTCAGCACGCGCTCCTAGAACAAAAAGGCGAACAGAAGGCGGGGCAAGGCGAGGATTCTTCCACGTATCACCACCACCAGTTCGGGCTGGATGGAGGGAATGACGAAGTGCTAAAGGCTTGTTAGTAAGTGAGTCGATCAATGCTTTCTTTGCAACATACCAGTAAAGCTCTTGAGACCCTCTGGTGTCATGCGACCATCGCCCCGCAGGCCATAAGGACTCAACTCATGTAGTATACTGGCAACGGTCATAGGATAAGTCAAAAGCTTCGTAGCCTGTCGCATCTCTCGATCTTCGTTCAATGCATCGTAATCTCGAGTATAAAGATATGTGTCCCAGCTGCTCATGTTGACCAAGATCTCCTCCATCTGTGGCACCGCAAATTGAAACTCCTTGAAGAAGCGCCCGCTGTGAAGATCGTGATCGTCCTCATTGCTTTGCCTCATGATATCACAGACTCCCAAATGGGCCTCGTAGTCATCCGCCCAGTGTTCCTCGCAGCAGTATACAGGCACACCACAATCTGGACATTCGAAGTTTACATGCGCAGGAGGGGAGCCGGTCTCTGAGGACTTGCGAGATTCGAGGTCCCCCGCATTGACCGCGGCACGAGTCGGCTTGTGGTCCGGATGGGGGCAATAGGCGTGCTGTCGCATGAAGGCTGCCCGCTTGCGAATTGCGGGGATGGGAGAGTGGGTGAACGAGTTGAACAGATTGTCCTCGCTGAGGACCATTTTCCGTGTGTTGCCTTCCGGATCGACATATTCAAAGGGCTCGAACGGCTTTTCGAATTGACGGTTCGCGGTAGAGGAGATACTACGTCGAGATATTGCGAGGTTCGCGGATACTGGAGATTTTGTGGAGTGAGCTCGTCCCGCAAATTGCTGATGGGGGAGGCGGAAAGGCGTTCTAGGGCGCAATTGCGTCCGTGAAGCCTTAATAGCCGATATGCAACGATTGCACGTATATGAGGACCTCATATTGACTGACGAGCCACCAATGCCCTTGAGTTTGTTAGCTGTGGCCGTCTGATTGCAATGGTATGATCTTTCAGAAAGTCTAATGCGTCAAGCACGCTAAGGGCGGAGCGGAGGAAGAAACCCCCGAGCTCCGACGACACCAAGATCTAGCTCTCAACGCCTGTGAAGGTTAGGCAATTTATCAACATACTGTTTATGAGTTCAAGGATCAACAATGCTACACTCTCAGGATTGTGACAGAACTCAACATATCCAAGGATAGTGGACAACATGCAGCATCATCCATTTCCAACGTATCTTTTTGTGAATGAGGGGAAATCATAAATGCCAATTACTTCAATAACTAGTGCGTAAGGTATTACTACACCATATTTTCTTCGCGAGAATCTCTTTCATCGATTGAATTTACTACAAAGTAGAGTTTCGGCTCTTATAGACCAGGCACATCTGGTCTTCTTCCTAGTAGGCCTTCTCGGAAGGCAGATAACAGCGGCCCGTGAAGCTCTATATTCCAAGTTCCCTTCTCAGCGCTCTACCAGCATCAATGGATGTGCCGTCCGAGAGAAGGGCATGGCCCAGTGCAGCGCCTAGATGTTTTCCGGTGGGTACTTCTCCGCATTAGTTCATAGTTTCATCAGCATCTGGATTTGAAGAGGAAGCAAATATTCCGCAATACTCTGAGTCGCTATTCGGCGATAACCAAACACTCGCATCGCTGCTAGAGTTAGAGACTCAAGATCTTCCTCATTGAGACCCCAATTCAGCCTTATAATCTGTAAGTTTGCTTTCCGAGCAGTAAGGATGACGTAGTGGAGTAAGACATCTTGTACTTGTAGCGCACTGAGAACATTCGCATCTAGTGCGCAACTCGTCGATAAGTTTTGCATGTCAATCATCAGCAAGGCAGTCTTGGATGGGTCAAGTGTGACATTGCTAAGATGGCAACGAAGGTAGAGGCGCGGCACAATGGGCTGTGAGGACGGGGTGGATGGGTGAGTCAAATCCCAGCCTGCGTCGTGAGAACAAAACCCAAGGTTGTTAATATCCAATAATGTGAGTAGTAGGGGGGTTCTCCATCTTTGCCATCATCGTGCGACATTATCGTTGTCAAAGATCATCAAGGTTGCACTCCATAGACACGCAGTGAATCATTCTTCAACATTCTATTGAGCGAGACACTGATTGGAACAAACATAAATGTCTATGTAACTATGAACTCTCTCGGTGCAGGGATCTCCCGATACGCTGTGGAAGTGGAAGGCTGAATGCTGTCTCCAAATCTCCGGCACGCCGTCATTTGGTCTAATTGGACCGATCATATTGCCCGCAACTTCACCGGTCAGATATGCACGCATGCCTACGGTATCACAGCCACATGCCAATCACAATACACACTATGAGGATAAGCCATGTTACGTAGCTACTTTGTACCGGCCTTTGCAAAACCAATGTATTGTCGTTTTTTCATGCGAATCTGCCTGACTGAGATTGTCTTTCTCGCCACCTCTCTTGACAGGGTGGTATAAATGCGGTTTCTGTCCAGAACCAGATTCCCGTTACTCCTCACTCACGGCATTATCTGCATTCTTGCCTATCCAAAGTTCCGTGGCTTCACTTCACAGAAACTTCAGGTTCGCGAACATAGAACCATGACTCCAAATATGTCCAGACAAAGCTCAACGCGCATGACAACGCGATAGCTGATCTGCTTGGAAAATTAGGAATCACCCCCAATTCTGGATCTCACTATCGTGAATACTGCCGAAGCTCCACAAGCGGGTCATTTCACATCCGTAGACTTAGTTAAGGCATATCTAGCAAGAATCCAAGAAGCGTCCGAGTTCAAGGCTGTGTTGCAAGTTAACCCTGATGCAGTTGCTGCTGCACAGGAGCTAGACGAGGAGCGAGTTCAATCTGGAAGTATGGGGCCTTTCCACGGTATACCCATCCTAGTGAAAGACAACATCGCGACCAAGGATTGATTGGATGTCTCCGCTAGCTCGTTCGCTTTGTTGGGAGCAAATCCTGTGGATGGGTTTTCAACTATTGAAAGGCTCCGAGAAGTTAGTGTTGCCAGTCTAGGAAAACCGAATATTTCAGACTGGATCATATTCCGCGGTCTTGAAGTCTTGAGTGGCTGAAGCCCAATGGAAGGACATATCTTGAGCACATACTACCCCAATCAAACTCCTGCAGGTAGTAGCTCTGGTTCTGCTGTAGGTGCCGCCTTGGAACTAGCTAATGCTGCCATCGGCACAGAAGTAGGAGTGATATGTCTGATCCCGCAACAAAAGCTAATCAACATGAGACATCGGGCAGCATACGTGGACCAGTCGAGTTGAGCAATGTCATAGGCTTCAAACCTAGTCGTGGTCTCATCGGGACCGACTGGGCCATTCCAATCTTATCTCGCCAGGATGTCACAGGGACTCTCACGGGAGCGGATCGAGACGCGGCGTATCTTTCAAATAGAATTTCCTGTTGAAGTAAGAGGGATGATAGAACTTGGGATAACCCATTTGATTCAATCCGATACTTCACTGATTTTTGCAGCAATACGGATCTTAGTGGCATCATGATCTATATTCCTTGCAATACCTGGACCGGAGCTTCACTTGAACCAATTGAATAGTCGTTTGATTCTGCATTGGAAGTTCTACGCTCTTCAGAGGCTGACTTTTTGGGCAATGCAGACTTTCCGAATGTCAAAGACTTCAACAAGTTGAACCAAGAAGTGAAGGGAAACGTTTGAGCATCCGAGTTCAACAGAGACATCGCGCGATAACATGATACACTAGAATCCAATCCCAATTGAATACATCGCGCAGTGGACATTATTGAGCTCACAAAGAGGTCTCCCCCCGGGGAATATTCAGGGAAAGATATTGAGAAGATTCTACGAACTCAACCCAAGGCGCTCGATGTTAAAAGTGAGTGGTACAACAAGATAATTAAGCAGTAAAGCTTTTGCGGTGGGGAAGGTAGCATACTTGGACCAATGGAGAATCGAAGCCTCGACGTGCTTGCTGTTCTAGCTGACCAGAATATTGTGAATGATCTAGCAGCCAAGATGGGCTTTCCTGTTTAATTAGGCTTTTGGTATGAAGATACGCCTATTAAGTATGACGACGATGAGCTCAATCTTGTCGCAGTTGCTCCAAGGATATCGTACCTCACACGCATAGGTATTGTCATTGTACCACTTCTCTAAATGCACATAGGTTTTCTCCTCTCTTTGTCACAAAATTGTTCTCCGATGGGTCATTAATTCAAGTGGCTCATGTATCTGAGCAGCTCCCCCTTGTTCGACAAAAGGCACCATTGCCTTTCAAATTTCCGGGAATAGACCTTCACGATGTTCAGAGAAGTCAGGCAAGATCTGATTTATTACAAATAGCGTGAATACGGTGGAAAATATATCTGCTGGATAGTAGCTAAAAGCTTCGTACAGATAATTCCTGCTGCATGATTTAAATAACTCCCACTGCGATAAAAATTGATTTCTATGTCAGACAGATTAACTGATTCATTTCAAATACTTTCATTCACCATTGCGAATTATTTGGAGAACAGCCAGGGAGGCCAACAGTATTCTGCTAGTGTGATCCAAGATATGTGTTCTATGCCGCCGTCCTGCATTACAATCGATTCAGAGATCGAGCAAATCTCCAATGTCTCTCAACGCCAATCAAGGACAATCAGACTGTCATAAGTACTTTCCCAGTCCGCTGCACCAGCCTCCGGTGCTCGCTCACGAAGCAGTCGCTCGGCTTGATCTCGCATCGAGCGAGCTTCGCTTTCTCTCCGAGGGTCCTGCGCTAGCGCTTGAGACAATTTGAACGAAACTCTTGCATGCTCGGCTGTCATAATGTGCCTTTGAGGTCGAGTGATGGAGAGTGCATCGCTGAGGTGTTTGCTGGGCCTTGTCAGGATCATCTCGTAGCGATCTTATTAGACGAACTCACATTGCTTCCTGAACCTCTCCTTGATCAAGCGCTATACAACCAAGTCGATACATGTTTACCGCATTCAGTGGATGATTTCGCATCCCGTCCGCTTTCATGTACAGATTCTGTGCTTCCATGATGTGCTCTTCGGCCGACGCAAATCGGCGATCAAGTCGATCAAGTAAACTTAGCTGGGAGTGAATTCTTGCTCATCATTAGCGTGGAACGTTTGAATGCAGTGGGTTGTCCTACTCTGATGCTCTGTACCAGTCATATGGCCGTGCCACCTCGATCTGTTCGAGTGCTGCATTCAACATCTGCCTTGACTCCTTGGGTTTACCGGAGCGAAATAGAATAATTGCTGTGGTTATCATAAGTGCTGGGTCGGAGTCTATCGTCTGTCCGGTGCCATCCATATAGTGGTCCCGCGCAATCTTGCACCATTCCAGTGCCTCCGAAAATTCGCCCATAGAACCCAAACCTGCCGCAAGATTATCAGCCGCCCATGCTGATTCAAGCGGTTTGAATGGATCATCTTGGCTGCGGATCTCATAGGACTTTCGAAGCCATCTCACTCCCTCTTCTGTCTTGCCGATGCGTAAGTTTAGTTGGCCTCTATGAGAGGTAAGTGATCCTTGGAGGCCGATCGATTGCTGTTCTGGTGGCAAAGTATCCAATGCCATGCTATTGACCGCGATCAAGTCCTCAAGATCATCTAGTTTGTTGATCTCAAGGAGGTACCTAAACGAATTAGATAGGAACCAACAGAATGCAGATTGTCAACTTGCCTCTGGCAGGAATTGTTCAGGTCACAATAGATCTGCAAAGCCCGGAATTCCGGGTTCCGTTCCATCTCCTCGCGGAAGCAATTCTTGAGACAGATTACGTGACACAGTAATTCGGCGCATTGGTCCCAGGACTGGTAGAGATCGGCTGCTAATAGATTATCATCGCGGCGAGGGAAGGCGTAATGAATCAGTCCCACCGCTTTGTTGAAACCGATCTGCCTTTGCTCGGGAGTCATGAAACTTCTGAACGCTTTCTGCACCTCTATATCAAGTGAGAACGTTCTTGATGTGGAATCAAACTTGACCAGAGAAACATCGCATAGATCCTCCATCACATCGGCGAAACTGCATATTCGGTTAGTCAGTCACAATAAAAGTTCCTATAAAGCTACTCACTGAAATAGACTTGGGCAAATTTTTAGCTTCCAGGGATATTCTAGTATGATGGATAATTCGAGAAGGGGCTGGGTAATGTTGTCTGAGTCTAAAAAGGACAGAACGCCCATAACCGCAAGACCCCAGGGATCGAGGGATCGAAAAGATGTACTCAATGCATCAGAGGAAGAATCCGTAGCAGACTCCCGTTGATCATCAGGTGACTGATCACTAATTTGAGTTAGGATTGTCTCTTCACCACGATCATATGGCTTCGAAGCCTACTCACAGTTGTTGTGTATCCATTAAGAAGACTATAATTTGTTGGAGGGTTTAAGTGTTGGGGTTAATCAGTAGAAATGCACTTATACAAGTTCTGCAGATGACTTTTATATGGTGTGTACAAGAGGCAAGCTTGACACAGGAGGCCGACATCACAGATGTGTGACCGATTGACGATTGACTGTCAAAGGCGGTACTTCGCTGAATGGAAAGCACAGTCATTGACGGGAAGTGAGTCATTTGGTGACAGAGTCATTCACGATCCATGTAAAACATCATCTCGAAACTGCAAAAGGGTCGGAACAACATTGAAATATCTACCCTATGACAAGCTCTTCGAGACAGAAAAGCCCTACATAGCCGAGTTCACAATCACAAGACACCACGTTCGATTCCAAGTCCGAAACACACGTATAAAACTGTCCATTTGAAAAGCAAGATACCAAGATACCAAAGCCCCGGGGTTACTAGTATGATAAGAAAATGATGAGGGAAGAAATGATCACATAGGAGGAACGTATTGCTTTCGCCTCTTATTCTCATTGCTCGCCCGTTTTTCCGGTGGACATGAGTTCGGAAGGGGCATTTTTGTCTAGATGGAGTGGCATACATGCCCACCCACACGTAGTGGAAATAATGATGAGCTGAAACTTTGTACCTTGTAACGGCAAGGAAAGGATAGAAGTAGGGTTTTTGAAGCGTATGACTGATGGACGGAAGGAAGGAAAGAAGTGTTCGTGAATGAATATGAAGGGAAGAGGTAGTAAATCACAATCGGACCAATGCCGAGGACAAACAATAATCGATGAGAATGGAAAGAACAATAAGGAAGTTCTAGAATTAGAATTGAAGTGGACTGGAATGGAAGTGGAAGTTCATTGAAAGAGGAGAGGGGAATCATGTGAGAGTAGGTAACTCCAGAGTCAGGAAATGCTACATGCATTCAAGGCCAGGCCAGACTGTTGGGGAGCGTTACCCGGAGGTCTGCTGGCCGGGAGAGATCGCTCAAGACCTCCGGTGGAGCTCTTTTGAGTTTCGGTCTAGCCGTCTGTTGACACTACCGAGGACGACCTGGGTTCGAAATGTGTTAGCGATTTTCACATTGTACATATTACAGGGGAGGAGAAAGCCCAAGGGGAAGAGGGAGAGAGGAGGGGCAGGATCTAGTGCTTACCTTCATGATGCCCGCAGCACTGAGCTCAGCATTGTCATCCCCCATGAACGGCACCGTGTCGACGATGTCTCTGAGATCACCACCAGCGATCTCTTCCAGCCCATCGTCCAATTGCTTCAGCGCCTCCCGCGCACCGGGCTCCCGTCCAACCTGGAAGAATTGGATTCCCACCTGCCACGCCGGAGCATCCAGCTTGTCGAGTTTCTTCGCCGCGTTGATGATCGGGGACTCTACGTCGTCGGACGGCTCTCCATCCGTGATGACGATGATGTTGATGGGCTTCGTGGTCTCGAGGCTGCGCTCACATTGCCTGATATACGGACGCAGAATATTGTTAAGCTTCTGTCCAGTCGGCGTACCGCCGCCCGGCCGCACGCTCTGGAAGATCTCAACCACGGAGCCGGGGGAGGTCACGTTCTTGTAGTAGTCCGAGTCCGGGTGGTTGAGGAAGTAGATGTCGATGCCGTCGGCATCGCGCTGTGTGCAGATTGGCGTGATGGTCTCTAGGGCGCGCTGAGTTTCTCGCCATGAGCGGCCGGCCATGGACCCCGAGTCGTCGATCAAGAAGATGGTGTCGAACGACTTGAGGAAGGCGAACGGGTCATCTGTGCTGGATCCCGCGCCGACGGGGATGTTTGTCACCTGGGTTTGAGGGGATGCACGTGGAGTGGCCGTGTATGCAGGTGGTGCATCGTTGTTAGGAGCTGCTGCCGCAGAATCTGTGAAATGTCAATTCGAGACTCAAGTGATTAGATAGGATTTACACCCACTTGCAGAGGTGAAGGGATTGTTGGCATTTCGAGGCGCGGCAAGGTGTCCACTTGTCGAAGTTACCGCCCTAGACGTTGTTGCATCGTCCCCTTTGGTGAATGGATTCGACCCCTTGCGCGATAGCTTCTTCTTAAGACTGTTGAACATGCTAGGTGATGGTGATCTTGATCTGCTGAAAGCTGTATCGGCTGCGGTGGATTGTGAAGTTTTGGTGTTGGTGTTGGTGCTTATGTTGAGGTCGTTGGAGAAGGGTGACTTGTGCGCAGACATGGTGGCCAAAACACGCGCGTGACGGGAGCCTTATTTAAGTGAAGTGAAGTGAATAATGTCTGGGACAGACAATGACTAGTTTCGGAAATGACGCAGGGCAAAATAATAGATTTGTTGAATCCTTTTCGCCTTCGGTTGCCACGTGGATATGGGGGAGTCAAACGAATGATTCCGTTTGCAGGTGAGTGTCTATCTAGTCGATTCTGATGCGGCTGTGGGGTAGGATTCTAAACTTCTTCTTATCCTAATTTGAAGGATTCAATAGAATGCACAATATATATCAGAGTTGGAGACCACTTTTATACGGGCACGATGACAGGACAGCGGTTGGCTATTGGGGTTAGGTGAGATGGTGAAAGGGTAGGTATGCGAAAGAGAAAGATGCCTTGGTGGTCGGGTGTTCTGCCTTGTGCCTGGTAAAACACGAACAAACGAGGTAGTAACGTAACCTTGGCTATAAGCTGATTCGATGGATATGGCAGCAGGAGATTACATTACATTAGTTACCTGCACTTGAACAGGTATCCAGACAAACACGCTCACACATTGTATCCTCAGAATTACACCTTGCACATCGCCTTGCATCAGCACCCAAACACACACATGCTCACAAGGCTTTCGAAGCCCCCCACTCCGAAAACAAAGCACCACGGAAATGTCAAATCCAAAACTGTGGCTCTTCCTATTCTGGTTGTTGGGTCCTTTGACCTTTTCGTCGGTCTGTTTGGTTGGGCGGCTCTTTGGTGGCGCAAGTGCGGCAGTGCTGTGTTGGTGCTTTCACTATCAACTCAGCCCCCAAACCAACCCTGGTAACTATGATTTTTGCCCATGTTTCGACTCACATGATACAATGATCAATCACATCATGACAATTGATCGCTTGTTCCGTCCCTTTTGTCGCCTCAATCGCCGCCGCATAGGGCCCAGGGGCGCATACATACATACCATTGCACGCATTAGCATACATAGTAAACAGCATAGCCGCCTACTGTGTACTTTGCTCGCCCCTGTGGCTTTTTCGTTATCCCCGGTGCCCTCCTCCCCCATTCTGAAAGCCCAGTATGCACAGCACCTGAATGAGACGAACCGTTCCAGGGTCCCTCTTCAGAGGAATATTTACCTTGCAACTTGTAAGTTTGATGTATCTCTCCACCTACCACACTCGTACATGTATATACATGGTACGAATCCGTTTCGGGCAACTCCTCGCTTGCGAAGTGGAGCGCCCAATCGTGTTACTAGTCCGTCTCAGAACGAACTGTTCCCAAGGCATACACAAAGGCAGAAGAGAGAATAGGGCAGTGGTCATTTAGATGTATATGACTATGTGCCTTATTGTAGTCCTCTTGTACTTCGTTACTGTTGTTGGTGAGGAGATGATGGACTACATGTGGGTGAGCATGTCCTTGCGGCACAACTGAAGTAGAGAGCATGAATTGGTTGGCTCTCGATGACGTTTGGTCGGATAAGAAGGAACGATTGATGCCTTGGGGGCGAACAAAGAGAATGGTTCTTGATTCTAGTCTACAATGTCTACAGTATGCTCAAGAGCCTGGTAGGGCTGAGTGCCCTGCACCGGTATTCGATAGCGGAGGGGAGCCGCGCTAGGCACAGGCCAGCCTGCCAGCCCCGTACATATACGGATCTACACTCCGTACCATACTTTGCTTACTAGTCCATCTACAGCTTATGCAGAGTGCCGAGAGAGAAAGGACTCACCAGGCCGCTTTGGAGACCTTACCCAGACTCAACTGCCCCATGGGAAGCGGTTCGACCCGCCCACTCTCCGCCGTCCAGTCCTTTTCCACCGCCATGAACAAGTCCCGCACGACGTTGTGCCTAGTCAGGCAGCTGCTAGGTGTTCGGTGATGGCCGCTCTTCACCGAAGAGCTTGCGGATCTGCTTCCGGTCAATATTGCCCGGTTCTGAACCCATAGCACTGGTCTCTTTGCCAACGACCAGGCATACGACGGCCTATTGTTGCTCCAGCAGTCCGCGCACATGCCTATGTCAATACTGCCTGCATCCAAGCAGAGCATTTGATGCAACATGTCGAGGATAGGTATCAATCGAGTCCGAAGACCGCAATGAGCATGGTTGCGGTCGATCTGGTACGGCGATGCGTGACGGAGATTGTCGAGAAGTCTGTCAATGTCGCCAGAGTATTGCGTGGGATCTACATCATCGTAAATCAGACCTTGTAAACGAAGTGTACCGATTTTCGAGAAGAAACGGATCATCTCGCCCAACTGAAAGGAATCGCATTGCAGGGACGAATCGTAGCCTAACTTGCATTGCCTCTCCCCCGATGTGTAGAGTTTCAGGAAATGTGCTTGAAGAGAATTTATGGTCTCAAGGATATACTCTCGCCTTTGGATCATTTCGTCTGCGGACCATTAGAAAGCCGTAATCTCTGGGTACTATTATTGTCACAACTGACCTTCTACGCCATTCGGCATGTCCCACCATAACGCAGCGGTTTCGCTCAGCTCTGCGTCTGCCTTCCATTGCACGGAATCACGCATTATCAAATGCTTGGAGTATTTAGTCACCCATATCGGATAGTCCAATAATAGCCCAATAAGCAACTTCTGACGGACTCGCTCCTCTGCAATATTTATGTTTGATTTCCCCTTCGTCTTCGCATCGATGGTCTGCATGTACCGTTTCCGTTGCGCTAATCGGGAGAAATATGGGAGGGCATCGAATCGATCGGCAAGAACAGCGAGGTTCGCGAGATTGGCCACGGGTGGCAGGGTCGGCAAGTCCTGTCCATGGAGAGTTCGGAGGAAATCCGCACACAGATTCTGTACCGTCGAGACTTTCGATATGCGACCCACGTGGGTGATTGATATCCTGGGCAGCTCGTCTACCGGAGCGTCTGTAACGTTGGAGTGTCCCGCACGCTTTAATGCTTCCAGTCCGGCTAGTAGTGCTCGGCCCTCGCTGAAACGGTCGCTCAGAAGATTGGAGAAGTATCGAGACTGCTGTTGAAGGACTTTGGAGTCCACTCGGAAAGGGAAGTGTATGCTGCCTTCCTCTTGGCCGAGTTCAAGGATTAGGTCCCCTCCTTCCGCAATGACGGAGATACTCTTGGGATCGGACATGGTGTAATTTTGGTTTTCGGTGGCACCTGAGCGATGCAAATCGAATTCAAGAGCATTCACGGGTACGGCCAAGCCATGTTCCAGAAAGGAAAAAGAGATGGAGTCCTATACGTGGTGCTGAAAGGCAAAACGGGCGGCGAAGTATGGAGAGTTGTCGAAGTAGATGGATCTGATAGCGCAGGGCACAACATGAGCTAAGCCCCTTTTGGTGATTTGAGGCCGCTTTGTCATCCGATCATTTCTAAGATGGAGAGCGCTGCAACACAAATCTACCAACAAGTAACGGCCATCTTCTAGTTGTTGTCTAGGTGCAATATATACGTTGTTTCTGTTTAATCTATCTTTTCTTCAAGGGTCGGGATTCCGAGCTCACAATTGCCAATCTTATGGCTCACTAAATGGAGACATCCCGCCTGTCTGATGCTGCCAACAGAGGCTCATACACACCAGAATTCTCGCCATCCTCTGAATTGACCTTTGCAGGCTCTTTGCAGAGTGGCCATCTTCCATGCTTTTCTTTAAAGCCGGTCAAAAGGAATCCAGCAATGACTACCAACCAATAAAGGTTGTAGGAGATGATCGAACCATAGGTGGCAGTATTCTGCCAGCCAAGGATGGAATTGAAAATACCCCAGATTCCATCACCATGCTCGAGGGGACTGCAGCACTTTGAATTATTAGCTCCAGGATTCTGACTATCCAGATATGATATTCTTACATTGACATGCCACACGACGTTGCGAACGTCATAAGATCCTGGTCCTGATCCGGCCTCGGCAGCATCTTCACCAGCAAGATTGACCCACTATTGATGTCAGTGATTAATGGGAAACGTCAGTCGGAGACACATACAGCCTGTTCTTCAAAGTTCCATACACCTTTAGAGAACAGACCTGCAGCTACTAGATAGAGGAAGCAGGTCGATACGATGAGGAACTTCTGCAGCGAGGTTTGGTTGCCACCCCTGCGGGTGTGTCAGCAGTTGCGTTTCTGGCATCGGATTGAAAAACTCACTTGTAGATCAAATATCCAACGAATGCGCCGCCGCCAAAACCAGCGATGACCGCAAGAGGGTATGCGGTAGCGGGCAGACCAACGCCCACACCAGCAATGAAGCTACAATCCAGTCAATCTCTGCTGATATGTATGACCAATGTTTACTTACACTACAGCCTCAATGCCCTCTCGCAGGACGGTCACGAATGGGAGAATAAACATGGCGTACTTCTCCGCCCACCGTTTGAAACGTCCTTCGGAAGGCAATTCGGATTCTCTGGCTTCAATGATTTTTGCAATTTTGACTCTCCACTTATCTTGGAGCTTGTTCACGCGCAATAATGCGCCGCCGACGATGGTGATGATGACGGCAGCAACCAAGCTGAAGACACCCTCCCAAAGATGCTCAAATTTGTCATAGATAAGTTCACCAGCCACATAGAATGCAGCGACACATCCAGCACCGATGAAAATGCAGATCAACAATCCCAAAGCGACTCCCCACCAAATCTTTGCTCCCCGTCAGTTGCTGGTACGAATGTTGATATTGTGCAACGTACCTGTCGGACCAACTTCTTTCGCACAGCCGGGTCATGATCGGCCAAAGTCTGCTTCAGAAATGCCAATAACACTGAGACAATGATGCTGGTCTCGAGACACTCGCGAAAACAAATGAAGAATACTGTACTTGACCGTCAGAACGATTCACAAAGAATCAGGAAGCGCGACCGACTCACCGGGAACTGCGAAGAGGTCCACCATTGTCGCAAAATGTACCAGGCGGGGTAATCTGGCCTGGAAACAGCGATGTGGAATTATCAAGTGTGTTCGTGCGAACAGAAATTCGACGTTGGGCTGATTAACAGAGGGAACGGACGAGAGAGGATCAATTAATTATCGGCTGCCGCATCTTATCTAGTCCACCATCTGCAGGGTCTGATCGAACTATCGTACATCCATGGTAACACACGGGTACAGTAATTAGGTCACCGTCAAGCCGGCACGATGACGGACTGGGAGACTCGGCAGATCCTCCCTCACACCGGCCCATTCGAACGCACCTAACACTGCGTGTACAGTATAACAAGGTGCAGCGTGGGCGTGCGAAACCGGCCTGCAAGAAACCTAATTACGTTACATACCGCGCTCCGCTTTGCAAGCTTCCTCTACGAATAGCATCGAGAATCGCATCTGGCTCCTGTGCCCATGGTGGGATGCCTCCTCGAACCAAGCATGGCATGCAGCATTCGCGGGACAGCACCACCGCTATGTGGGTGGATCCAATAACAAATTTCAAACCAGCACAGTAATTGCTGTCCACAACGTCACGAGCATCTCGTGATGCCAAATCAGATAATGATCCGTGAAAATGTCGACCCCGGAAGGCTTCCCACTAGCAAGCATCATGGAGACGGGACCAGCAGCCAAGCAGTTCCCTAGACCGATTTCGCACTGCCAACATCAGCCAAAACTCCACTAGAGTGGTCAGTTTGACACAGAGAGCATGGGATAAGGAATTATCTGATCATCTGATAAATGCTCTTAAATCGACTTGGGCGTGGTTGACATGACTGGCAACAACTTACGGTACACCGATCTTGTCCCCTCTGTACCGATACCTTTCGATATGTTTCATGTTCCGTCTTTTAAGAGTCTTTTAGAAAGAAACCAGCGAAAATTCTGTCTCTTGGTGTCCGCGCATACATGAATAACCGAAGAAAGTACGGCAGGGGTTTGGAGCCCCAGTGACGCATCTCCCTCTCTTCTCTCCGAAATGACAATTTTTGGGATTGATTAGTACCAGTACAGCTAGAGGGCCGAGTCGAGGTGCAGTCCAACCGCGCGAGCCGTCACACCGGAGGCTGCGATCCTAATCTGATCGAATTTTCGGACCAGGGTAGCTTGTCGTCTCATTCTCTCTCTTTACACAGTAATAGTTATCCCACGTCCCCTCGTTGCACGTGGATGGAAGTGTGTGCGTGCTGCACTTTCAAGTACAGACCGTTCAGCCCATTTCATACATACAAATGTATGACTGAGCGCCAGGTCCTGTCAACATGACAATGTCTATCCTCCGAGTCCTCTTGACTCCATGCATCCTTGCGTCCCTCGCGCAGGCTGCCGTGAGGACCTATGATTTCGACATCGGCTGGGTGTATGCCAACCCCGACGGCCTAGCAACTCGTCCTGTCATCGGCATCAATGGACAATGGCCAATTCCCACCATCTCGGTCACAAAGGGAGACCGAGTCGTCATCAACGTGCAGAACTCGCTGGGGAACGAGAGCACCAGTCTTCACTTCCACGGCTTGTACCAGAATGGCACAACGCACATGGACGGTCCGGCCAGCGTGACGCAATGTGACATTCCGCCAGGCCAGAAGTTCACCTACGACTTCACCGTACGAATCTCGACCTCTTGAATAGTACGCAGCTAATAATGTGATATCAGATCGACCAACCCGGAACATACTGGTACCACTCCCACACCAGGGGACAGTACCCTGACGGTCTTCGCGGACCCTTGATCGTCCACGACCCGGATTCTCCCCACAAGGACCTGTACGATGAGGAGATCGTACTATCCTTCTCCGACTGGTACCATGAGCTCATGGTGCCGTTGATCCAGCGCGAATTTCTTAACATCGCCAACCCGTCCGGCGCGGAGCCCGTCCCGGATTCTTCGCTGGTGAATGAGACACGTGATCTCAAAGTCAAGATCGAGCCAGGCAAGACGTACCTCGTCCGGATGATCAACATGGGCGCTTTCGCCGGCCAGTATGTCTGGTTCGAAGACCACACCATGCGGGTCGTCGAGGTCGATGGCGTTTATACCGAGCCTCAGGATGCCGACATGTTGTATCTCACTGCCGCGCAGAGATACAGTGTTTTGCTGACGACGAAGACCGAGACGGACAGGAACTATGCATTCGTTGGAAGCATGGACGAGGTGAGTTGTCGTGATCGTTTCTGTATCTTGTCCAGGTCACTGACACGGCGTAGGAGCTCTTCGACGTGATACCTGACGGTCTCAACCCCAACGTGACAGGCTGGTTGGTTTATGATGACTCCAAGGAGAAGCCCGATGCACAGGAGGTCGCCGAATTCGAACCCTTCGACGACTTCACGCTCGTGCCCCAGGACAAGCAGCCCATCTTCGACAAGGTCGACCACAGCGTCCGCCTCGATCTGAAGATGGACGTCCTGAACGATGGACTGAACTAGTATGGCGTCCCTATAGCAGACTTTACTTATACGTCCTGACCATATACAGCGCTTTCTTCAACGACAGAACGTACGTCCACCCTAAGGTGCCCACACTCTACACCGTGCTGTCGACCGGGGCCAACGCAACCAACCCCATCGTCTACGGCACCAACACCAACGCCTTCGTCCTCGAGGCAAACCAAGTCGTCGAAATCATCCTCAACAACGACGACGACGGAAAGTGAGTCCTTCCACCCCCCTTCCCTGCCCTCCATCACACAATTCCTAACCCACCGAAAAAGACACCCCTTCCACCTCCACGGCCACAACTTCCAAGTCGTCCACCGCTCCGACGACGACGCAGGCTTCTACATCCCGACCGCGTCGCCACCGCCATCGGACTCATTCCCGTCGACCCCGATGCGCCGCGACACGGTGCTCCTCAACCCGAACGGCAACCTCGTGCTGCGGTTCCGCTCCGACAACCCGGGCGTCTGGCTCTTCCACTGCCACATCGAATGGCACGTCGTGTCCGGCCTGACGGCGACGTTCGTCGAGGCGCCGCTGGCCATCCAGTCGCAGCTGTCCTCCCTCGGCGGCATCCCGGACGACCACCTCGCGGCGTGTAAGGCGGCGAACGTGCCGACGGCTGGAAACGCAGCGGGCAACACGCGCGACGTGTTCGACCTGCGCGGCGAGAACCAGAGTCCCGGGAAGCTGCCGGAGGGGTTCACGGCGAGGGGGTGGGTGGCGCTGGGGTTCAGCGCGCTGGCGGCGGTGCTGGGCATGGCGGTTATTGGGTGGTATGGTGTGCAGCCTATGAAGGGGGAGGGGGAGGATTGAAGATGGTGGAACGTAGATACGAAGGTTAAGAAAGGCTCAGCATAGAGGGTTGAATGTGTGAATTGCAGCCTCTAGAAGATGAAATCAAGAACGAAAAGTAAAAGAGTCAAAGGGCTCTTAGCAACGGCAGTTACAAACGCTGTCCAGATCCACATATCAATATAAGACACATACATATCTTCTACACACACACACAACACACATAGAGAACGAGAGGGCTACATAGACACACACACACACACACACAGAGCCACGATGTGCAAACCACACTGATCCCACTTTTTTGTTTCTTTCCATGTATGAGAAAGGGAGAGAGGGAATGAGTATGTGAATATGCATGTATCCATGCGTATCTCCGTACTCCTCCCATCATCCAACACCCAAAAGAAAACCTGTTCACATAACCGCCCTCGCTTTCTTTCCCCCCCCCCCCCCCTCCCCCTCCCGGGTACCGTATGGCGGCGAACAAAAAGAGAAAGGGCCGTGTCTACCTGTCTACCTGTCTGGTTTGACTGTCGAGTTTGCCTGTGAACTGGAACTGGACTGATGGAGAGGAGATCTCGCGAGGCGAGTATTCGACCAACTAGCATCGAGTGTGTCGAAGGTGAAGGAGGAGAAGGTGGTGGTAGTAGCGATGGGATCCTTCCTTATTATCTCACCAATGCGGGAGATAATCTGTTGTTGTTGTATACCTAAGGAACGGTAGATATTCTCACATTGTTTCATAACGGACAAGCTGAACTGAAATGAGTTGAATTCAATTAATTAGATTCTGGATATACAATGCTTCATTCATTCAGTACAAAAAGTCGTTACTTGCTTGGTAAGACAAAGGTCGTTTGCCATTCCCATATGATATGATATGATATGATATGATGCGATGCGATGCGATGCTACTACTATTACTACAACAAACAACAACAGTCCATGTCGATTGCCTCTCTTCACGTTAAATTCCACCCTCGGTGCCCGATAATATGTGTGGAAAGGGGCCAAATCCCTCATGTATCCCTTCACTTGCGTACCATCCCCAGTCTTGCCCGTGTTCCTGATAAGCCGGTAATGATAGCTCGTGGCTTGATCTTCGTCGTCCCTATTCTTATCCTCCCGTCCATCCATACATGCTGCCAACGCCTGCGCAACGAAGCAAAGAATGCGCATCTTGTAACGCCTGTATCATGCCGTAGCTATGCATTATTCCTGCCCCGAAATCCGTCCAACCATGACCCCAAAAAAAAATCAAAGACCCCCAAACTCGAAACAGACGATCGCGGCCGAGGCGAGTCGTGGATAAGATCGTAAGAAAGTGACGCTTCTACTTTGAAGTCAGATCACCCCTTCTTCGCCGCGATCCTCTCCTCGTAAGCCTTCCAGGCCTCGACCCTGTATCGCTCGGCCTCGGCCTTTCGGTCCTTGGCCTTCATGATACCGCGGCCTACGATGATGATGTCGCAGCCTTGCTCGAAGATTAGCTTCCTCGGCGTGTTGTACTGCTGGCCCAGTCCGTCGCCCAGCTTCTCGCCCTCGACGTGACCCGGCGGGGGCAGCTGGCACCCGGGAGTCATGGTGAGGAAGTTGTCCTCGGGCTCCTTGTTCAGACTTCGCTGCGCAATGAAGCCCATGACGAAGGCGCGGTTCTGTCGCGCGATGTCGACGCACTGCTGCGAGTACTCGGGAGTGAGCAGGTGTCCCTCGGAGCTCATCTCCGCCAGCAGTAGCAGACTGCGCAGGAAGGGGACCTCGCCGAGGCGGGAGAGTTGCGTGGGTGTGTCGATTGCGAACGCATCGTTGGGGTGGAAGTCTGGCTCGGGGCGGGGAGAGATGGATTCGGTGCGTGTGGAGATGGTGGTGCTGATGCTGACGACGCTGTGTTTGCGGTCCATTGCCTTTATGCTGAGCCTGCGCTCGTCTGCACCCTCCACCTCCATGGGGGACTCGACGGCGGTGCTGTCGATGGCAGTGGAATCGAACTCGTCCTCATCATCTTCGTCGTCATCGTCGCCGGTCTTTGGGCGGGGCTCGGCGGAGATTTCTGTGTTGACCGAGGTGTTGTACTTTGCGATGGTCTGGTCGGCAGCTTGGTGGAGGGCGGTGACGATGGCGGGGCCCGGTAGGATGTGTGCGTTGGTGATCTCGGCCCAATTGGCGATGCGGTAGTGGCCTGATGTGTATTGTTTCTGGACGGTGCCTGGAATGGTCAGTCGGGGGTGTGCCGCGTGGGTCGAAGGGTACGGGTAGTATAGAGAAAAAGGAAGCTTGCGAGGATGAGCGTTGAAGGTGGAGGCAGATGAGAGGTGGGCGTGACCAGTGCCGGGGGTCTAGATGCAGGCCCGCGTAACAACGCTGGGGCGGCGGTTGCGGCTGAGAAAGGGAGGGACGAAGGCAGGCGAGGCGAGGCGAGCGAGGGAGGGGAAAGGGACAGCAAAGGACGACAGCACAGGGCAGGGATCGACATACCTCCAATGTCTGCGAATTTTCGATCCTCGAAAATAACGAACCACTTCCGCTTAGCAATGTCTCGCAATGCCTTTGCGGTGCGGTCGGTCCAGTCGGTGACAATGTCGCAATGGGTCTTGAGGATGCAGATTGAGTCGCCGACCTCCTCGGCCAGGGCAATGAGTTCTGCAGAGGTCTCTACGTCGGCGGAGAGGGAGAGATTGGTCTTCTTGATAGAGATAAGTTGAAGGAGGTAGGAAGCGAGGGGGCCGGTGGTGGGGATGGAGGCGCGCTCTCGATAGGAAAGAGTCCGGGTGGGGTGGTTCTGAGTCGCCATGGTGGGGGTTCGATTGTAAAGATTGAGGAGGAAGAGGAGGAGAAGAGGATCTCGACAGGTTTTGAATATGGGCTCAGAGTACTCCGTAGAGTAGGATTTGAGGTGGGGAGGGATACAAGTCCGGCCGGTGTGCGTCCGGCGGCCGAAGTTGACTGACTGTATGGAAAAGTGATGCGAAGAGAAAAGCAGTAGTTTGAGGAGGAAGGGAGAAAGAAGAGGAGAGTGTAGGAGAGAGGAAGGAAGTGATGAGTTGGTAGAGAAAGAAGAAGAAGGTGGAGAAGAGGTAGAATATCAATGGGGAGCGTGGGGGAGGTGGGTCGTGAAGAGGTAGAAGTAGCAAAGGATAGGATGAGATGAGGATGAGGATGGGGAGGGATTAAGAATAAGAAATTACAAGAATTGAGATGAGACGCAAACGCAGGCACAAGCACAGGCACAGGCTAAGTAGAGAGTCGCAGAGTGTAGGTATGTAGATGTCTACGTAGTGTGTACAAAATATCTACATGGGAAAGGAAGGGAAATACGAAGCTACGAGGTACGAGGTAACTAGGAGCGAGAAAAAAAAGAATTGACCAGATCCAGCCAATGAGACGAGGATGGTAGAGAGGTAAGCTAGACCGTTAGACCCAGAAATGCAGACCGTAGACGTAGACGGTAAAGAGTAACTAGACAGTAACTAGACAGTAGCTAGACAGTAACTGGGCAGTCACTAACTAGAGAGGAACTACTCGAAGAGACTAGACAGTAGACGCCGATGTTAGACGTACCTAGGTGTAGGTGTAGGTGTAGGTGTAGGTGTAGGTGTAGGTGTAGACGTAGGCACAGGCATTGGCACAGGCGAAGGCAGGCGTAGGCGCAGACGCGGATGCGGGAGATGCTTGTCGAGCTTGTCTGCGATTGTCGGTCATTGTCAGGCCATCGAGGCAATGCAATACTTCGTTCAAGACGACGACTAAGGTACGGAGTAACCTCAGCTTTGTCTGTACCATGAAGTTACCAGTAGTTGTTGATGGTTACAGTAGTATTGGATGTTATGGAGTCATAGTTGCATGCACATGCGGTGCCTCAATTGAATTATACATGTCCATCCTTATGCCCTATACTAACTAATACCTAACTACTCGTAACGGTTGACCATGTACGGAGTATCCATACGGAGTATCTCTAGACTCTGGACTCTGTACCCTATCACGCGGTACTTGGTACCAAGTAAAGGGTTGACGGTGATGTTGGTATCGTTCCTCTCCTCTTCTATCCTAGATTCTCTGCTTCTACCAATCCCTCGTGTCCATCTATCTGTCTTCTTATGACCATGAGTACTCCGTATGAATATGACTGTTGATATGATTATGATTGTCACAATATGATTGTGTGTTTGAATCCTTCGTCTCTCTTTTCCTTGTACAAAGCGGGCCGGTTGCAGATCCGGTTGCACGCTAATCCCATCTGAGACTAGTGTATCACAAGGGACAGATACGAAACCTCGACCTCCAACGGAATCTCAACCTCCAACCTCCAATTCTTCAAACGCAATTCACCCTCATCTCATTTAAATTCAATCCAATTCATTCCACATTTCATTGTTCCATAAAATGCCTCTCAGTCATCGCCCTTCCCCTGACAATTCCATCAAAATTCAGACCAATAATTGCAAAGCACAGTCGCCATCGCCTAATGCCTAATTCTACTGCTACGCCACGCCACGCCACGCCACGCCACGCCACGCCACCTGCAACCCTCCAATGAGTCCATTCGAACCCTCCAGACCCTCGACCTTTAGCCTCTGCTCTTCCCCCCAAATCTCCAGAAACTCTCCGTATGTTCGCCCGCCCATAGTCATACTCGTACCATTATTCATGCTACTACCCGTACCGTCCCTTTTTCGCAACAGGGAAAGAAAAGGAGCCATCCTCCGTACCAATCTGATGTCCTCCCTCTCCTCCACAACTCGAACTTCTTCAATTCAAAGTGGTACGAGAATGACAAGCACATTATAATCCTCCGCCACCATCAACTCACTCTTCAGCTCCAGCTCGCCGACTGTCATCATCATCATCATCAACCGTTTACTACGTACTTCTTTCCATCCAGTATACGGAGTATTGCCTCCATATCTCAAACCTCCGTAGTCAATGCACCATGATGGTAGTGGTGCTGTTGTACGAGCCCATGAATCGTACCATTCTTCCCCCACATCCAGACTGCCGCCCCCCTCGGGAGATCGCTCTCTCCGGGGTCTCGTCCGCTCTCATTGCGTGTCTTTGGCTTCTCTTCTCTCAATCCTTCAATCAACCATCCCGTTCAATCAAATCTACCCATTCCCGCCGCCCCGAATGCGAACCATTCAGCATCAGTGCAAGGGTAGCGAGACGCTGCTCATATCCAGACCAGGCGTGCAGCCTGTCCATAGACGCAACTGATCGGTCTGGTACCTTGGCGTACCTGGCTCAAGCCATTACCAGCTGCACTACAGAAACCTACAGGCAGAGACGCCTGCTATTTTGCCTCCATTGACCTATCACATGATCCGAATCCAGATTGAGCAATTCTTAGATTTCAGCTAGGCTTGGGATCAGCGCGACTGGTTTACCCCTGGGCCACCATTAGGCCCCAGTCTTCAACGTCCAGTCTCCCGTCAAGCACCGGGACGAGGTAATTCTCCTTGTCCTCGTACGTTCCAACTGACAAGACAAACGCAACTCGTACGTCGCCCGTATGGTACCTCTGCACGCCTATCTCCAAAGGTCACCTCCGATCGCTACTCCGACGCCTCTACTCCAAATGATCGACGTGGATCGGCGGTGACCTACAACTGCTATCTTCAATTCTCTCTCTCCCGCGTCTCGACTCTCCCTTGTCTCTCCACATCCCTGCCCAGGCAGTCCATTCACCCACAGCGTCGGTCCCGGCTCAGTCGTCCGGCGCCGATCCCATCTGGGACGCGGTTCCGCGTTGCGTCAATGCTATTGCCCTTGCCTGCACTGTGATGTGATTCGGGCCACTGCTTCTGCTTCCGGCTGCATCCCTTTCTGTAAAGCGCAGTGAAGCTCCATCTGCCATTGCACCTGATTTGTCTGCTGTGCGCATTACTTCCCCACTATAGAATTGGCAATTAACTCACATGTAAGCCATTGCTTGGATGGGATTGTCCATTCGAGCAATCAATCCCTTCTACCGTTGCCGAGTGTCCCGCGCTTGCGCGGTTTTCGTCGCCGCGGTTAACGCTCTCCATGGACGACCATGACAATTCCCAGTCAGCTAGGCTCTAAATTTCGTAAGCAAAATATTCACGTATGCGCTGCAGTGGCGCAATATTGCTCTATGTGTGAAGATTATTACAATTCGATCAAGTGTTCTTTGTCAGAGAGCTCATAGACATGTCAGTGGGGTTGGAATTTGTCACGTGTCGACGTGTAAGCGCGTCATGATAAAAGTTCACTCTCCTTCGCGACGTCACCGTCACCATCACTTGTTCAAAATTATCGTCAAAATAGAAAATTATGTATCCACAGAAGACCATTAGAATATACCAGATCACCATCGATGAAGATGAAAACAGAATACTAAATTCCACAATATCTCTGCCTTTTCCTTGATCACTGTTGAACTCTTACTCTCAATGCCTCACTACCATTCTCACCTTGACGATTGACAGCTCAAGAGCACGCTCACCTTCACTCACCTTCACCTTCACTTCGCCTCTCACTTACCTTCGCACTGACAATTTCGACCTCGTTCCCTTTAAATTCTGTCCTTCTTCTCCCTCTCGATTCTCTTCTCCTTCCCCAAAACAATCCACACTCAACTCCGAACCAGAATCTCCAAAAGAGCAATTCTAACTGTCCACTGCAGAACCAACACCAAGAATATCCTCCAGATGGCTCCCAAGGCATCTGGTTCCACCGCCGAGGGCACTGCAATCTCCGACGCGATCGTCGGCTTCAGTCTCCGCGAGACGAAGCTACTCGCCGCGGCCTTTGTGGCCATGACAGCGCCCGGAAAGGTAAGTCACCCTCCCCTTCTCTCTCCCTTCTGTAGCGACATCAGCTAATTTCTCTCTACCTGCCAGATCAACTATGATCTCATGGCCGAATTGACCGGCAACACGGTCAATTCTCTGCGAAAGATGTTCCCCCCAATCAAGCAGCGGGTCATTGCCGCTCACCCCAGCTTCGGCGTCTTCATGAGCGGCGCTATTTCTGCTGCCGGCATAGATGGCCCCTCCACTCCGGTCAAGGCCAACGGCGGTCGCAAGCGCAAGAATGCCTTCCCCGAGAACGAGGATGCCAATGACGCCGAGGACGGCGACAACGGAACCGCCACTGGACCGGTCAACAAGGGCAAGGGCAAAGCGAAAGCCGCTGCTAGCGATACTGGCGATGTCGCGAAGCGCAGGCCTGGTCGCCCCAGAAAGGCCAAGGTTGAAGCTGAAGCTGGTATGTTTCTATGCCTTCTCTTTCCACTGTGTCTCTCGTCGCGCTAATCCGTCGCAGGTCCCGAGAAGGCCGACGCCAACACTGAGGTCAAGTCAGGTATGTCTTCGTGATAACATGTGCCACGATTCTTCTATTCATTCATCCTCATGCTAATTCGTCATGCAGACACCGAAGACATGATCAAGTTGGAGCCCAAGCCTGGTATGTTCCCCCACTCAATGTCACTCTTCATCATACTAACCCATCTCACAGCATCCATCTTCGGCGGCGATGACTACAATCAGTAGACAGCTTTGCGTCGCTCAAGCGAAGAGAAGAACCGAATGAATATCGCTCGCAAACGTCGAAATCGACATCCTCGTTCCCCGTTCTTACCGCCGGTTCTTTCGCTTGAGATGCACGCTTCTGTCCTGGACCCGGGGGTTTCTCACCCTTGCCTTTCTCTTTTCTTATGTCTGCTGAGGTGGAGTAGTCTAGGGGGACCAGAATCATGTTCTGTCAAGGTTTCGGACCTTGACTCTGATTGACGATATGAACGACCATGAATCGATGACTACGAAAATGAACATCGAACTTCAACAAAACCCTTCCCATCCCCCCGCAACGAGAGGCCTACTGAACGCACTGGACAGTCAGGAACCTCAAAATTAACATAGCGAATGGAAAGTCAAATCAAATCCACACTCTCATTTAAGTTCGCAGTCTTGTCTCGTTCTCTGTCTTCGTACATCACTTCACACGGATGCTAAGAATCTGCACCCTGTGAGAACACCTTCCAATAGACTAGCAGGCAGGACTGTCCACGTCCGTGTTCATGTCGATAACGGTGACCATGGTCTTTATAATGCCTAGACGCTACCTGTTACGATTGTATCAAATACGGCTAACTGTAGTGATGGTGGTCTGTTCAGTCATCTCGGCCTTAGAGATAGGAGTAAAAGAAAAGACACCGAGATGTGTGATTTAGACAACACCTTCGGACAAATATTCAAACCGGACACGCATCTTACTCGTACAAAGATATCTCGCCGCCGTTGTTCGGTTCGGCATCGGAAGAGGTCAGCATCCGCGCCTCCGACCATTCTCTCCCACCTACAACGATCCCGCTAGCCACAACAGGCAAGGTATGAGGCTGACGGAAGCAATTCCGCGATGATGTATAACATTTCCTTACTAAACACAAACAAAAAACAACATCAACCCATCACCGTCCGCACGAGAACGAGCAATTGAGCACTGGATATCACAAATCAACTTTCGAAACCCTCCAGCATCACCCTAGCGAGTTCTCTGAATCCAATTGACGCCCCCCTGATTACCACTTTGTAATCGCCCAAGATGACTGCTGCAGGCAACAAAACCCAACCTCATCCCCGCCCATCATCTCTTCGTGATAATTATCGATTCAAGTCGTTCGCCGTACCATGAGACCGGCAAGAACATCACTTCTCACAATACCTACCACACTACTCCTCTCAGCAGCCAGCACTCTCCGCCTCGCCACAACCACTCGCACAACCTACGACCCCTTCATCAACTTCCCACCTCACCACCAACACCACCATCACCACCTCGCAATGTCTCCCACCCCTCCAAACACAACACCACGCCTCGCGCCCGTGATATCGCTCTCCCACGGCGGCGGCCCCATGCCCCTCCTCAACCACCCCTCCCAACACGCCATCATCACCTCCCTCAGCAAGCGCGTGCCCCAGATCCTCAAACTCAACACCCCCTCGGCCCCGCGCGCCATCATCGTCGTAACAGCCCACTGGTCGTCCCCCACCCCCTCCGTCCTCATAACCTCATCCCCGAACCCGCAACTCTACTACGACTACGGCGGCTTCCCGCCCGAAACCTACAAATACAAACACGACGCCCCGGGTTCCCCCGCCCTCGCATCCGAAATCCAGTCCGTCCTCCTCTCCCACAACATCCCCGCGGAGCTCGACCCCGAACGAGGCTGGGACCACGGCGTCTTCGTCCCCATGAAACTCATCGACCCGTCGGCCTCCGTACCCCTAATCCAACTCAGCGTGCTCGAGTCCGAGGATCCGGCCGCGCACTTCGCGCTGGGCAAGGCGCTCTACTCGCTCCGCGAAAAGGGCGTCGCGATCGTGGGGTCCGGGTTCGCGAGCATGCACAACCTGTCGCTGATGTTCAACTCGCACACGACGTCCTCGCGACGGTTCCGGGACCTCTCGACGGTGTGGGGCGCGAGCATCCACGACGCGGTGTTCGAAGTCGACGAGGCGGAACGGGGCAGGAAGTTCGAAGGGTGGAGGGACTGGGAGGGGAGCTATACGATGCATCCGCGTGGTGGGGCGGACCACTTCATGCCGCTGATTGTGTGCGCGGGTGCGGCGGGCGAGGGCGCCAGGGCGAAGGGGTATAGTGATGAGATGATGGGGATGGAGATTTGGAGTTATTACTGGGAGGACTGAATTTGCGAAGCACACCCCCTCTCTCTCTCTCTCTCTGTCTCTCTCATCTCTCTCTTTTTTTAGATACATACATACAATCCACAGGAAATGAAATATACAATTTTTCGAAACTATTGCGCCTGAAAGTTCCACACTGTCCTCCTGTGTCTAGCTAAGTCCCCACTCACTCACTCACTCCCACTTCCCCTCCCCACTCATCCGTCTATCTGGCTACATACTGCTCGTCCAAACTCGGATTCCAAGAAGCAAAGGGTAAGGGACAATGCTTTTTTTGTTAATCAAAGGGACGAATCTGCCCGGAGGGAGACGAAAAGGGGGTTGGAAAAGTAGGACACAAGGAGATAGTATTTTGTATACACAACGAACTGTTTTACGGGGACACGCGCCGGTGTGAATGCTTTGTTTTGATTTGTGAAAGGGGAAAAGAACAAGAACAGGCGGACGGACAAAAGATGTGTGAATGTGTGTAAGTGCTGGGTTGGAACTGTATTGATTGTTGCTGTTTCTTCATCGTTCACTACAGCATGCTCTCCCTCCTGCGAAGGAGATGGAAAATGGGAAAACAAAAATAGGACAAGACGGTCCCGAGATCCTTGTCTCGAACACGTTGTCCTCACAGACGCACTCGACCTCTCGTCTCTCATCTTAAAAGTCGGAGAAACCAAATATGAAAAAAGCAAAGAAAAAACTCCATCGACCATGCATATGCAAAAGGCAAAACACGTTCTTCCACCACCACTTCCCCCTCTCGCGGCCTCCAATGTGAGACACGCGCATAATCCGCACACAATGCAGCGCAAAATTAATCCAACATCCCCTCTTCCTCAAGTGAAAAAAGAAAAAGAAAAAAAAACACCATCATCTCATAGACCAAGCGATAAACAGCCGTTAGTAAGGAGCGTCAAGAAAAAAAGTAGAACGTAGGCTCGTCAGCATTAACATCTTTGTGTGTAACCTTCCCGCCTGGATTCCATCTCTGGCAGGCCGGGAACTCTCCACTCGCAATCAAGGAAAGACAGACAGGTGCTGGCCGTGTACGACGTAGATAAACATTATTGCTTCCTTCGTTTACGGCGTCATCGGACGTAGGTGATACTAGGTGTACGTGGAGCGTCGGGACCTGCAGATGCTCGGCGTACAGGGGACGTACTGATTAGGCGTGGTGTTTGTGTATGTAAACTATGTCGAGCATGTCGGGGAGGGGCGGCGGAGAGTGCACTCGTATTATTTTGGTAAAGGAACGCGCGAAAGGAAATCGAAAACTGAATCGGCATCGAAGTATGCCGTGTGTAATGGTAAGTATGCTTGGTCGCTCATGTAGCTCATTCAACGCTTGATGGAGTGATGGGATTCGAATCAGAATTGAACAGGTGAATCCAAATGGGATGCTCGCAAATCGAGGCCATTGGAAATGCAGGAAATATAGTCAGTGCATCATCGATCGATCGATCGGGTATATGGGTATCCTGATGTTTGAGTGCAAAGGTCGTGGTCTTGATCGAGCTCGTGTCCGCATCGAGCGATGGGTAGTATCGTATCATGTTAGCAGTGTGGTAAATCGACGCGAGGTTACTGGCGACGGAAGAAGGTTTTGTGGTTCAAGGGTGAGTGGTCGAAAGGGATGGGACCGCGGACCCTGCCACCCCTCGCAATGGGCGTGGTGCCAGTGCAGAAGACGCACACATAAACTGGGGGCATGTTGTGGCCGTTCAACCCTACACAACCCATATGCAGCCACTTTGTGCACGACTCGCACTGGATCATGGGTCGTCCATCGTCCGAGCCGTTGCACAGGCAGCGAGTGCTCTCGCTGGAGAGGCTGCTACGATCAGTGGAGGGGGTGGTGAGGCCAGCGTCGTTCGAGTTAGCAGGCGACGCACTGAAAGAATTCGTATACGGGTCATAGAGCGAGAGCCCATGCGGGCTGGCACTGGCAATGTCGGCCGAAGCCTGTGCCCAACGTTGGTTGTGGGCCTTCAAGGTGTTCTGACTGGAACGTTCTACAAAACATCAGTAAGGGGGCGAGCACAAAACGCCGAAAATCATACCTATCCGCTTCTGTCGGCCCTCCACAACCTTTTTCAGAGCGCCAAGTGCATCCCCAGGAGACTCTGGCATTTGTTGGTCCTCAACCTCATTCGGCTCCCCCAGCGAGGTGGGCAGGTCCATCATGCTGAATCGACGAAAGGGATGGTCTGCAGCCTTCTTGATGGGACGTATCGTCTCGAAGGAGGTCTTGTCGAATATTCCCGAAGAGGGCCGTGCCATCTTAAAGGAGTTGGATCGCTCAAGCCCGCCACTATCGGCACGTGCGTGCTTCGAGGCTCGACGCTGGGGCATGCTGAAGGATGCATTCCGGCTGAGGGTGGCGGGCTCTTCCTGCTCAGAGTCGCTGTCGTCCTCCGCCCAGAGCCCTGGGTACTGCTGCCTCATGTCCTTCTGGGAGCTTCTTCTAGACTCGTGCCCTGAGTCGGTGTCGTCATCAGCGGTGACAGTCTCGGTCCTGGCACGTCCGTCCGCATCGATCACTAGGCGTGTTCGGGGCCGTCGAATCTCGGGTATGGACGTTAATGATGCACCACTCTGGCGCTTCAGGGGAGATGAACGGCGAGGGATGTTGAAAGGAGGGGCAGGACCAGATGTCTTCGACTCCATTGACGACGGCCTGCTTTTCCTGAAACCACTGTCGGTGTTGCTCCGCTGTAGGCCAGGCCGAGGGTCGAATGAGGCAGAGGAGGAAGATGTACTGGTACGAGAGTGCTGACTCTTCGTCTTCTTGGCCAATTCCCTCTCACGCATAGAGTCCCGCACTTGCGTCTCATACGGTTGTCTGTTGTCTTGAGGAATACTGATTGGTGGCGGAATGGTACCAAAGGACGTGCTCGGGCCCGGACTGGAGAAGCTGAACAGCATACTAGGGTCTACACTGCCCGATGTTGACAGGAATGAATTGGGTCTAGAGCTCGAGGTGTCCGGGGCGTTGTTGGATGCAAAAGATGCCATCGGGCCTGGTGAGGACAGACCGTGGAGTGCTTGAAATGCCTGAGGGTTCATGTGGTTAGCGGAAACAGGTGTACTGAAGGTCTGCCAGTCTATGTTCGTATCAATTCTCTGAGGCGGTGCAGGGCCGAATGGGTCAGATCCCATGTGGTGGTTTTGCATGTCAATGTCCATCTGATTCGAGTCATTCTGGTCCCAGAACAGCCGTGACTGTGGCATCACAGGTGCGGACAGGGGTCCAGTACTGGGGAATTGGATAAGATCGGGGGAGAACTGCAATGGTGGAAATCCCAGCGGCGTCTGGTTGTACATGCCCTCATTGGGATGGACCTGACCCTGTGCCCTATGTATCACAGTTGCCGGAGTGTTGTTGAAGTTATGCCCTGCCTGGTGCTGCCCCTGCTGCTGCTGCATGCCTCCTCTTCTCGACGTGGCGTCCCTGGTTGGGGGCGGCGTCTGCATCTGTGAAGTATCCATGCTGACTGGCCGGGGCCGCAGGGGAGGGTTCTGTCGAAGGGTTGCTTCAGGGTGCTTGGAAGGGTCCGGCGAGGACGACAACCTGCGAGCGGGTTCGACAGGCGGGAGCGGGAGGTTGTTTGGGACGAAGTGGTTGACATGAAATTCGGGATCTTCTGGGGTGCGGGGCTTCTGGTTGCTATAGGAGCTCGAGGGACGGTCTATTGGGGTGGTGAAGGTGAAGGACGGGGTCTGTGCAGGGGTCTGCTGCCCATTGACCCTCGGGGTTGACCAGGCGTCGAGGAAGTGTGATTGAGGCGGAGGATGGGCCTCAGCTTTTGGTGTTTTGAAGGTCGAGTCCGGGAACGTCACCGATTTTGGTGTGGATGAGGGACTGGGAAGATGCCAATCCGTTGATCTGGTAGACGAGGTACTAGTTAGCCTTTTGAGGTCATCGGAGAATTTGGTAGCGGACGAGAAAGGAAAGGAATCGTGCAGGAAGTGGTGAGGTAAGACAACGGACTCTAGAAATTGCATTGTGTGGTTATGGGGCCATGTTGAAAACGAAAGAGAAGACGGAGAACGAGGAAGAAAAAAAAATTGTGCTGATGCTCGGTGAGGGAACGGCAGGACGGCGTTTTGATAACGAGCGTTGTGGGGAAAGCGAAGCAATTGAAGGTAATAAGTAGTAAGGTAGGTTTGGTTGGTAGGAAGGTCGGTGCTTTGGAGCTTCAGGATCGAGAATGGGTGACCGTGCAGTGTTGCCTGTCTTCTGCCTGCACTAGTTGGGGGTAGAACCAACTTGATTTGACAGGTTGAGACTGTGTGAATAGGCAGTCGAGGTCATCGGTGATCCCATTGCCTCCTGGACGAGCTGGTAATTCGGAGCATTGAAGTCCAGCATCGTCATATCCGCCGTATTGTGTAGAGAAAGTGTGTGGTGGTTGACCCACAGGTACAAGTACTTGTAGGTGGAGAGATACCTAGCTCCCGTCCCCTGTTCACCACCCAAACTCATGGAAAGAGAAGAGACGAAATTATCCTACCCATATATATGCTGATCCAGACTCATAGCAGACCAAGTGAGACAGTATCTCCTCCTTCAAGACCATGTAGAGTTATGTGGAATTATTTAGAGCGATAGACGGCGAGGACGGGCGGTGGTGTAGTGTGTGGTCGCGGGAGGTATACGGGGCGGGTGGAGAGGGTTGAGTTTGGCCGAGGTGTCGTCGAAGGATGCAGGTGACGGTGGTTGAGACCTGAGATGGGAGAGGATTAGGACATGAGGGCAATGAAGCAATGAAGACAATGAAGAAAAAAAGATACGGTAATACAAGACAGTGACAGTGACAGTGTAGGAGTGAAGGAGGATGAGGAGAGAGAAGAGGTAGGGGGGAGGTTGCGTCTGTGAGACCTCGTGGCTGCAGGTACAGAGAAGGGAAGGGAAGGAAGGAACCACCAAGGAGCAGCAAGGCCGGATTCGGTTGGAGAGACGATGACAACGACATCGACAACCACAATCGATGATGATGATTATGATTGTCAATTGTTAACTCTTCCACTGACTCTCTCAACCTTCATCCAACCATTCATTGCAATACATCATCTTGTGTTCAACAACTTCCACTCCCTACCTACCCATACTGAACCATATTGTGCCATCGTATGTACTGTCTGTACTGCGCTGCACTACCTACGCAGTACAGTAGTGCTGCAGTCCATGCAGGAACACACGAGCCAATGCATGTTGACAACCGAAGCTAGGGCAAGGGCATGGGCAAGGGCGAAATCAAGGAAAAGAGAACGGGGTGCGTACGAGTGTGTGTAATAATGATTATTATTATAATCGATATAGCGAGCAAGAGGACGAAGGAGCGATTGACTGAGTGAGTGTGTATAGTGAGCGAGCGAGCGAGCGAGTACAACAGTAGCAAGGGCTAACTGTTGAATAGAGAGACGAGAAAAGACAGTAGAGAAGAAGACGGTTGAAGACGAATATCGACGATGTCGAAGCTGTTGACGACAACGACGACCTCGACCTGTACTTCTTCTACTCTACTCTCCCAACTCTGGACTCCCCACTACGCTGCACTCCACTCCACTGCACTACTACGCCTCTCCACTCGTTGGTCGTTCGTTGGCCGTCCCGTTGCGGTGACGATTTATTGGTTGAGCGTCCGCGGGCCAACCCAGACGAGCAATGGAATGCTTGCTTGCCTGATGTCGGTGTCGGTGTCGGTGTCAGTGTCGTAGTCGTCGTTGGCGAACGAGCAGATGCAAGCTTGGGATTACAAGAATAACTAGTGGACCGCGCCAACTCCTGAAGCGGGCAAGGGCCGATCACATTCAGGTACGGCGCCGCACCGGGCTGATGGCATTACTCTTGTCGCGGGGATGTCGAGATTGATGGATGGGATGGGCTGTCATAATCATTGTACTTATTGACAGGGCACGTCGTCGGCACAGGGAAACACAGGCAGACGGCCAGGCAAACGTGGTCTCTTTTTTGCCAGCGACCGACAGAGCCAGTCAGCTTTGTTCTTCAGGCGAGGCCCGAACCAGCACCCAGTAGGTCAGTCAGGTCAGGTTGAACCTTGAGGACGAACGATTGGGAAGACTAGATGGGGGCTAGCCATAGGGGATAGGATGAGATAGGATGGGGCATGCTATGATATGGATAGCTATGCCGCCTATCTACGGCACGGAAGCACGACGAAGGGGTATACCATATGGATTAGGTATGAGGGAAGACGAGAGTTGGACAAATGAAAGATTGGATGGATGATGATGATTAGACTATGGTGGCTTCTGGCTTCTGGGCTGATGGGAAAAGATTAAAAGGTGCTTTTGGTGGTGGCGGATGTCGATGGAGTCCCTGTGAATGGCGCAAATCTCTCCCCCTCATGCCCGCACTAGGCACCTCGAAACATCCATTCACATCCCCCATACATACAATCTACAATCCCATCCCTACAAGGTACCCCATACTATCAGTCTATCACCAACCACATGTACCAGTACTCGTACGGAGTTACAATCTCCTACCTATCTCACAAGAACCAGATCATCCATCTTGCACCATTATCCCACTTCATCTCCCATCCCGTACAGCCCACCAAACCACATGTACCGGTACCCCCTCCAGCCAGCCAGCCCTCTAGCCCGTCCCGCACTCCTCCGCCTCAATCGTACCTAGGCCCGTCTTACCCGTCTCCGTCACCAACCATCAGCAGTAGCATATACTCTTCAGCTGCCAGATCCTCCTGTGGTGATTGATTCCCCACAAGCGATCGTTCAATGGTTTGTTGGTAAGTTCAATGAATGGTTCGGCTGGTCCGTTGGCTTTCCCGTATTGTGCAATGCTGGGTAAAGGGGCTCTTTCGCTCGCCCATCCAGCCAACCGAACGATTGAACAATTGGATGAACGACCAACGAACCATTCACACCCGTAGATACTTGTACAGTTACCTTCTCGCCCTCTCCCCTCTCCCTTCGCATAACCATTCGCATTCACAATCAGAAATTACAATGAAAATCAATCCCCAATCCCCCAACCCAGGTCCCCGGCAAATCCAATGCGAGGTGCAGGCGAATAGGAAAATAGCTTGCCTTACCTTTTTTTCTGCTCCCCTTGCCCTGCGCTTCGCTTGTAGATTTGTGCCTTTGCCTTGCAGGTGCCAGCTCATCAACGCAACGATCAAGGGTCTAAGGGGGTTTATCCTTTTTTATTTTCCGTCTCCTTTTGGGGGGGGAAGAGAACATGGGAGGCTTATAGAATAATGAATTCTGTATTGATGTACTCCGTAGACGCGCACGATTATAAGGCGGTTTTTGATGTCTGTTCTGAGATGGATAGATCTACTAGGGGATGGTGAGGTACTGCGATGGCGAAGAAGAGAAAGTATGGGAGTAATGGCCAATGAAAGTTTTGCCTTCCAGGGAGCATTCTATTCATTCAATTTAGATGACTATTTTATAGATTGTATTGGCCAGTTGCGGGCGTTAAGAATAACTGTCGCTATGCTTATCCACTCTTGTCTTTTTTTGTTGAATCAGGAGGTGGACATGTACTCTGTACAATATCGACACTCCAATCACTTAAGTATAGAGGCGCTGGTAGATGATTGATTCGAAAGCAAGTACAGTAAACTATCGTTCCAGATTGAATTGATGCTTTTCGATTTACACAAGATTATTCACTTCGTACTTTCCTAGATGTATTGCATTCGCTACATAGGTTGCTTGGGAGCATCAATCAACTACAATTCCGCCATACAACACACCATATTTCCATAACATCTCTGTCAATTGCTTCTTCATTCAAGCATCATTTGGACACTTAATCAATTAATTCAATGCTCAATCAACTCCCCAAACCTCGACAGATGCGTAGAGACGAGGGATCACCACGACTGGTGGATCTCGCAAGATCCGCCTCTCGCCAACTCACTAAGTAGCTACCCAGTTCGATGCAGTTCACCCAAACCGCCTAGCTCAAACCGCCTAAACAGCTCAACGCCTGGGGGGAAATTGATCAAAAGCGACAAATAGAACCCGAGAAAAGACGTTTGGCCTAAAAATAAGATTTCCTCGCTATCGTTTTATCGATTGAAAAAGCGCGCGAGCGAACGACTTGACGAACGCGTGGTGGAAAAAACGGCGGCGGGGTTAGTATGTAGACGGACGCAACGCCACGGCAGTAGTTCTCTGCCGCGCTCGTGGGAAGAGTTGAGAGAGGGTAGGGAGAGAGGGAGATTCGATTTGTACCTGGCGGGCCTGGTTGTCATATTCTCATCCTTTTTCAACCGTAGTTGGATAGGTAGCTGAGCTGGCAATTGCTGATTCCATTCGCGCGAGAGGGCCAAAAGGGGGCGGCTGTCGGTCGGTCACCGCACACGACTTCAACGGTCGTGCATTGCACATGATCAATGTATACACGTATGTACTTTTACACAGGAGATGTTAACGAGCACGAGACAACCTAGAAAGTTCTCTAAGGTACTGCAGATGCCAACTTTCCTAGTGCGGGGACCGGTATAATGTATATTCATCAGACTCGTAGCGTCTTCATACAGCTACAATGATCCATTTAGCTAGGTATGAAGTCCATAATGGTAAAGTCTCTAGCCAGCCAGCCAGCTAGGCAGAGAGACTATTATCTCCTTGTACTGCCCATTCGAAGCCAGGGACGATGACGAAGTCCGTTGCGTGTACTTTTCGTCTCTTCAACGATACACTCACATAAATCATCATCAGAATAACCCCAACAAGACCACACGAAAATACACACAACGCACCATCCTCCCCTCTCCATAACACCCGATCAATCCAATCCAATACAATCCACTCGCCCCCTCAGCACACCTTAACGATGGCAGATATAAACTTTCGTATCTCACAGAAGCGAGGTGGAAATCCGGTACGCTTGCGAGGGTACTATGCAAGGTACACGCCTCAGCGAGCGCAACCGCAATTGCACTACAGCGAAATCGGATTTACTGTGGCTTTTGGGGGTTAACCCTGCGTGCTCTTGATGTACTGTGATTTTGTGTGCATGTATGTATGTAGGTACAGGTGTAGTGTAATGTGGTGTGGGAATTGTGTCATTGGTAGGCTGATTCCTTCATCCTTAAGCACTATGGGTATACAGTCACAGCAGGTGGGTAGCTAGGTATTCTTTACACATCATCGTCCCTAGATACATGTATTCATAGAGGCAAAATCGAAGTATGTAAAAGGATCCGTCGACCGAGTTGGTTTGTGTATCTGCACTCGAAGCTTGGTTCCTGCCAGGTATTCATCTAACGACACCCTCTCCTCTGGCAAAACTAAATAAAAAGAAACAGACACTCCACACTTATCAAATTAAAATATCCCTTATTCAATCGCCCACATCTTATGCAAAAAGAACAAATAAAAATACTAAACAAGGAACAATTATAGGTTTAGTAAATAAAATTCAAGACTGATGGTTGGTATAATAGTACACTTAGAGGTTGAGGGGATAGAAATATATATTTACACAACGAACGGCGGGTTACCAAAAGGGAAACCCAAGTTGCATGTCCTCGGTACATTGCAAAAACGATCGTCTGTTGATTGGAAATAGGCGGCAAGAGTAATGGGGAGATGGTTGTAAACACACTCACGTCTTTCGGCTTGGAATTCTAATGGTTGCGTAGGGCGAATATGTGTGACACTTTCAACAGTATAGGTAGGTGGACATATATCGCCAGATTGATGATGTATTCGTATATGCTATATAAAAATCCTCGCGAGCTTTTACCGTCAATGCGAGGACGATACTTTGATTTCATTTTCAGCCTCCAATATAAGAAAGCCCCCTGCTCGATCCTATGCAATACAAGTCCCATTCAGTTCAAAAGGACCACTAGTCGAGCGAGTAGACTAAGTAAAAGGAAAGGAAATAAAGGAAATTAAATAATCCACCGACCATGCATGCAATGAAGCCCTCGTAAATGGGAGACACAAACGCGTGGGAAGAATGGAAAAGAAAGGAGAAGAGGAAAAGAAGTTGGACAAAATGGTATTTACATAATAAGTAAGTTGGTTCAAGAAGAACAAAATGGAATAGAAAATAGAGACTAAACAATAAGAGAAAGGTAGAGATGATTCATGGAGAGCATGACTTCGTTCGTTCCCAAGGAGGCGTTTACACACCCGGCCTGGGGTCCTGCTGATAGGACATGTCCGATACGTCGGACATGGTTTCTCTAGCTCTTCGCGGGGCGCGGCCTGAGATCTGGCTTATCGCGTCGTCGTCCGAGTCTGAGTCCGGGTCTGCGAAGGGGGATCTCGAGGAGCCGGTCTGGGAGGGGAATGCGTCGAGTAGGTTGGTGCGGGAGTGATCTGCTATCGGCGGAAGCTGAGGTGGGAATGGAGGAGGCGGTGGGTTTCGTGATTGTGAACGAAGGCTCGAGTCTCGGGATAGAGCTGCTATGCTGCGTGGTCGGTATGGTGGTGGTGGTTCGTCATTAATGCTGTTGTTGTCTGCGAAGGGGTTGCCGAGACCAGTGCGGTCGTTCAGCCCGGGAGGAGGATAAGGTGGATGGTCATTGTTCACAGATACCACGTCTGACGTGTCGATACCCGTGAAGTATGCTCCATTCGAGCCCGGTACGATGGGTCCGAGAATCACGGGTGGTGGCTGGCCTGGTGGCCCAGAGTAGGGAGGCTGGGCTGAGGGTTGAGGGAACTGTGGTGATGTTGAAGGAGGAGGCGGCGGAACGTGGTAATGGGCCGCTATGTGTGAAGGCCGACCACTGTACTTCATCTGATCCACCTGTGCTTGCGCATGTGCAATGGCCTGTCGCTTGTTGCGTCTACGCTTGCGGAGCACAATGAAGGCCAAGATGGCAATGCCGGCCAGCACAAGTAAAGGAACGGCGACGCCCATGGCCATGACCATTCCCTTATGGTGGACCTTCTTCTCCCCCTCAACGACGGGTGCACCTGTTGAGGTTGACGCGCTTTCGCTAGCCGTCGACAGGGCATTGCCTTCAGAGATGGGAGTCAGCGATTTTGAGTGGCCATACTCAGGCTGAGGGGTGATTTGACTGCTCGATGATGTCGTCGTCGTTACCCATGGAGGAGGTCCATGGGGTCGAACCCATGGAGGTACGGAGGGACGCTCTGTAGGAGCAGCCCAGGGCGGGTTTGTGTATGGCATAGTATAGTCGTCAGAACTGATGGTTTCGGTCTCGTAGGGATCCTCTGGGTCTTCGTCGCCTGTATACCAAACTTGAATGAACTCTATCTCTTCAATTTCATCGTCGCTCGAGTCTGGCTGAGCGAGGGGAGAGGCCATTTGAGGGATGACAGGACGGCCTTGGTAGATATGGAACGTCCGGTACCTGCGGGCTGACCCTCGCAACTAAGTTACTTTGAACCAGGCGCGGACCACGGGAGCGAAGACAACAAGGATTGCCGTTCGTCGAGCCTGATCTTACAAAACAGACTACCTTTCCTCTGCCAGCAATTTCAACGCGGTAAGATGTTGATCTCGCAGTTTTGTTTGTTGCGAGTGAGGGTGGGGCCGTAGTCCGAAGTCACGCTAAGCAATGAATACACCCAGAGGCGGATGTGAGTGGTTGTAACAGCTATCGATGACGCCACAGAGCGTTCACTGAAGACTGGTTACTTCAACCGGACAAGACGTGAAACACTATTAACAATGTTGCAAAAGGCGAGAGATATTCGAAAGAGAGAGATTGAGAGGAAGAAAGCAGGAGAGTAGGAGAAATGATCAGGAGCATCCTCACTACACAACTCGAGGTTGAAGTGGGCGCAGTCGAGCTGTGTTACTTTGAGCCATCCTTGCCGAATTCCGCCAAATGCTCACGCCAACTGCAGAATCCCGAGCTGAGGTTGGCTGGATGAACGATGCTGGCCAGTCGACAGGCTGGCACAGCCCCGACAGTCCGAGAGGCGCGGATGCGGATGTGGATGCATCAACCTCGTCTTCACCTGCCTTCTTCACGAGACGCTGGCTCTTACGGGTAGCTAGCAGGCAATTCACCCCACAACTCGTCTTGGGGATAATTATAGGCCAAGAGTCAGCTCGAAATGATTTGTCGACCTGAACGTTATCGATAGTTAGTTCAAGATGCCTTTATTATTCTAAGGCCTCGCCCCTCGTCTCGTCTCTGAAAGAGGCCCGCCCCTTCGGCCCTACAAAGAGACTATTGATGCGAATAAATAACGGTCCCTCAACCCATGCATGGCGGATGAGTGCGGCAAGCCGTGATCACATTTCAAGGAGAACAGTTGAAGGCATCCAGGCTACGTTGCTGATGAAGAAAAGGGTATTAACTGCCGGGCAGGCTGTACTGCGGTAAGACTTATTGTCAACAGCGCGGATCATTCCCATAGTCGACGATTATTTGCAGCGACAGCTCCCTTATTGGTCTTTTCTGTGTGAATATGCACAGTAAAGTGTCACCATGACTGGCTGACCTCGTTGAAATCATGTTGGCTCCCGCTCGTGCAGCTCTCGCGTTTCAGGTTCAGATCATGACGTCTAGAGTCCATGGACAAAAAGCACTCATTCTGTCTGGTCGCAGTGCTGGTGTATGGTTATCGGACGTCAACATTTGCCTGCACAGTGCCTCTTCGCAGCAACACTCCTCGCCCACACAGTTGATAAGCAGAGCAAGGTCCAGGATGTGCTTGTGCTTGTGCTTGTGCTTGAGCCTTGCAGATCAGTCCGAATGCCAGGGGTCTGAATAGTCACAGACCAGTTCAACGGTGGTTCGTTCAGGATTGACTGCTGCAGGCATAAACATCCGAGAAACAGACTACAATAGTCGAGGCAATGGATAGACAAAGGATAATTATTGTTTTTGCCTTTCGTACCCAGCGATTCGGTTCATTCCCTGGTACGGTTCTCTGCGGGGCTTACCGCATGAAACCACCACGCACTGATGGTCGTTCTGTTTGTGTCACATGTTCTCTCCTTTCCGTATTGGAGGAATGTTTCCTCTTCCGAAACGTGACGCGACGATGAGTTCTTTTGTTTCGATATCGAGCACTGAACATCTTGTTCAAGATGTTGTAAGTAGGAAGACGGATGGCTGCTGAATTCAGCACCGCATGACTGACCTGAGTCGCTGAATCATCCTTGGCAACGTGCGTCATGGTCCGTTATCCCCGACCCAGCGGGTAACCGCGCTTCCAACATGAACATGAACCCAATATTCGACCGGACCGCCCCAATATGAGCGGCCTTAGAGATCTCGCAAAAGGCGGATGGCATCCCAAGGGCAAGGGAGAAGGCGGTAAAGAGTCCTTTCGTAGCGACTTCAAGGGCATCAACCAGGTGGTAAGTCGGCCCTGGTCCGCATTCTTACCCCTCCGTTATCTCACACAGTCATCAGGCAGGATGGATGGGCAAAGGCAAAGGCCAAGCTGCAGAAGCCCGTGAGAACCACCAATCCGCACCGCTGTCGACCTTGAAGGACCCCTCGTCCTTTGGACCTCCCCCGAAGCATGTTCACTACCATGGAGCTGCGGCTGCTGGGCAGAGCAGCGCAACATCCAGCGGCGACACTGGAGGACTCGGAGCACCGGTCTCAAGGGACGGAAGCACTGCGAAGGAAAGATTACAGGCGAGGCGGGAGGCAGAGGCAAGGGCAGAGGAAGAGGCAAACAGGCCCCCACCGGGGCCATATCGAGCGGACACCACAGGACTGAGCACCGCAAATCTCCCCAAGCCGCCGCAGTTTCGACCTGGCCAGGCGACACCTCCTCCTGCGGCAGCTGGTGCTGGCGCACCCAAACCGGGGCCTCCCAGACTGCCTCCACGGCTACCGCCTCGACAGAATTCACACCCCGATATGCATGCACCACCCCCTCCGCCTTCGTATAATGAAAGCGTAGAGGCCCCAGCGCCCGAACGGGGAATTCTCAATCAAGGTGCGATGAACCGATTGGGAAATGCAGGTATATCAGTCCCGGGATTTGGGATCGGCCGAGCTTCCCCACCCGTGCCTCCTCGACAGAATTCTTCCTCCTCCAGTGCAGCCGTCTCGCCTCCTCCCGAGGCTTCCGGTGCCGGCGCGGGTGGCAGTCGAGGACCGCAATTGAGCGAATTGCAATCGAGGTTCTCGAAGATGTCCACTACATCATCGGATAGTCCGCCACCCGCGCAAGGAACCACATGGGCGGAGAAGCAAGCAGCATTGAAGACGGCGAGCAATTTCCGGAACGATCCGTCCAAAGTATCCTTTTCAGACATGAGGAACGCGGCATCGACTGCGAACAACTTCCGGGAGAGGCATGGGGAGCAAGCTGCGGCCGGTGTGCGCGCAGCCAACGGGCTCAATCAGAAGTATGGGCTTGCCGATAGAGTCAACGGCCTGTCTTCTCCAACCTCTCCGACCTCACCTGTAGCAGAATCGTCCACGGCAGCGCATGGTGCAGCAGCAGCAGGGAAGAAGGCGCCTCCACCTCCACCCCCGAAGAAGAGGAATCTTGCGGGCAATGCAACTGGTGCGAATGAGCCGCCGCCGATCCCGTTAGCAAGCAAACCGAGGTTTTGAGAAGACGTAGAACATGGTGTATCATGCATTTCTTTCCCGGTTTTGATTGTTCTTGTCATCAGGATACCCGGCGTTACTCCAGTCTTCTCAATTCGAGGACTTCCCCTAGGCTTAACTAGGTCATCCTTTTATCTTCATTTCATGTTCCCCATTTGATGAACAAGACCCTGTGAATGGATTGATGTATTAGTAACAAAATCGGCATTAGCTATCTCTTTTCATGTGAAGTTGAATACGGGTCTCTACAATTAAATATTTAAGACTTGTCAGCGATATGTATGTATGGGGTTAGTAGGGTAGTAGGGTAGTAGGGTGGAGTGGAGATGGATCTCGGTAGAGGGAATCGTGGGGGCCAACAGGAAGTGGTAGATGAGTCCAGGGGTGTATGTATCTAGCCCCTATCAGTACAAATGTCTACAAATATCTACACAAAGCTCCATGTACGCACACGATATTTTTGAGTCTTTACGCGTAATAATATGTATCCAAGAGTGTCTGCTCGTGTATCGAGAGTAATCTCTGGATGACAGGTACCCTATGCACACGACCAAACGATGTGCAGGGGTACTTTATCATGCACGCATTTGTTCCGATTCCGATAGGGGATAAAAAGCTTCAACAATGAGTCTCGAACAAAAACGACGACCAAGACATCAACTGCGAGTCAACGACTTATGGTTAATTAGAAATTTTGTTTGTCTACTCCGTGTGTGCTGTGTATAGTTGCGCAGGACTGTAGGTGGTTCCTAGTGTCCATTGTACACCGTAAGAACGGTGTATGGACCATCCAACGGCTGCCACGCATTTTTATCCCCATTTGTCCGCCGGCGAGCCATCATCTACCTTACCTGCCTATTACTGCAGCAACATTATAAGGATTAGGTTTTGTCTTTAGTCTAGTCGGACTGGATTGGACTGGACTGGAACATGTTGGTGGACAGTAGATTGTGGACCGTTGTGAGGACCCTTTTTCGTTTCAACAGCGACTTCGCAAGGTCTTCCCTTTTCTGTCGGTGATGAAAAGCAATTGGCCAATCATGTACAAGGGAGTAGCCTCGGTACGTCATGTTGATCGTCCCAGCTAAGGATTTCTCGAGAAAAAAAAAAGACAAGAGACACGAATTTCGACCTTCAGATGCGCCGGGAAACGGAAACCGTTGCACGCAAGTTGAGTTAATTTACTCTACAACCAACAACTAAATAAATCAAACTAAACCATCTACGTGTAGGATCTTACCGTACACTTGCCTATAGACTGGTCGGGAAAAGTGAATTTGTAGAGGGAGTGGTCGCAAATAAGTCCCAAAAAAGTGTGATGCCCAGACACTTGGGACTACCACCACACTTAGACTACTACTACTATTACCACTACCACTACAATACAACTCAACACCCCTACTCGTACCTTTTCTTCCTCATCCAAAACAGCTTCTCTCCCCGGTCACAGCTATCGCAAAAAGAGTAGCCCTCCGAACAATCCCATCCGTCCCTCTCTGTTGTTATCCTATATATCTACCTCATCTCACTGCCCCCCGAACTTCAACTCCCTTCTCCATCGCCACTCTCTGCGCGCCGCGCCCTTTCGCACCCAAGCAGCAGACATATCGCGTGCTTCGGCCTGAATACCACACGCGACCTCATCAATCCGAGAAGAAACGAACGAAGCTACCACAAGAGTACGTCTCTGTCTATCAAACCCCCTTCCGTGTTCGACGGTGCATCGTATCAATTGATGCATTTGCGCGCCGCGACTGCGATCCCAGCGTCGAACGGAAGAGTCCCCACAAAGACCCTGAAATCCAAATATACGCCCCCGCATGAGCGTCCTACTTGCTTGCTTGACATCATCTTCCTCATCCGCATCATCATTATCGCATTTTGCGCAAAGGACATTCGCTGACGCCTCCCATAGCATCATCTAGGCCTCTAGACTACGCAAGGCAGTCCCATTGCCATTGTCGTTCCCTGCGCAACGAACTCCTCCTATATACCTATTCGCCCATACCTGCGTCTCAACATTTTTTCCTCTCCACGGCGATAGCTCTGTACAACCTCAATCATGTCTGGAGCCGGTCCCTCGCTGTTCCCCGGCGAGCTGCCAGCTTGGTCAGTCTTCAAGTTCCCGCCTGATGCTGCGCCTGCCCCGATTCCTCCCCCATACGATGGCCCGTCCTGGAGGTCGCTGTTTCCAATCCCAGCCGATCTCTACGCCGTCGCACTCGACCCCAAGGTCCCATTGACAATTGCCTCCACCTACGCTGCGACCGTCTTCCTCCTCAACTGGTACAACAGGAGAAATGGAAACAAGCCATGGGCTATCAGCAAGACTCGCCCGTTCTTCGCCTTTGTCATCCTTCACAATGTCTTCCTCGCTGTCTACTCCGCCGTCACCTGTGTGGCTGCCGTTCGCACCCTCAAGGTCTCATTCCCCAGCTACGACGACCCCAATGTAGTCGTTGGTACCATTGACGCTCTCTGCAAGATGCATGGACCGCGTGGATTGGGCGACGCCGTGACGTATAATACCGCAACTGGTGGATTCGCTAGTAGGAACCCGCAGGTCCAGATCGGATCCAATGGCCTCCCCGAGTTCTCGGACGTCGGCAGGTTCTGGAACGAGGGTCTCGCTTTCTGGGGCTGGATCTTCTACCTCTCCAAGTTCTACGAGGTCCTCGATACTGTCATCATCCTCGCCAAGGGCAAGCGCAGCACTACTCTCCAGACCTACCACCACGCCGGTGCCATGTTGAGCATGTGGGCGGGTATGCGCTACATGTCTCCTCCCATTTGGATGTTCGTATTGGTTAACTCTGGCATTCACGCCATGATGGTAAGCATCCTTTTCTCAAGTATCGACTTTGCCGCAACATGCTAACATCCAGACAGTACACCTACTACACTGTGTCCGCCCTTGGCTTCCGCGTCCCCAATGCCGTCAAGCGTACCCTCACTACGCTCCAGATCACGCAGTTCCTCGTCGGTGCGTCCTTCGCAGGCATCCACCTCTTCGTGTCCTACACCGTCCCCGTCTCTGTCCCATACCTTGTCAAGGAGGCCGTCTCCTCGGTCGAGCCCGTCAGCTCTATTTCCTCTGCCATCTCCACCGCCTCACCTGCCCTCGCCACGGCCACCGGTGCCGGTGTTGCCTTCCTCAAGAAGCTCGTCTACCGCGCTGCCGGCGAGGAGGGTCTTGCGGAGAATATCCCGGATCCGGCCCTCATCGCGCAAGGCATCGCTGAGGGTATCGCTCCGGTCCAGCAGGTCATCAAGAACACCATCCAGCGCACCATCCACCGTACTGAGTACCAGCACGTCCCCTGCATCGACACCTCCGGCCAGGCCTTTGCCATCTACCTCAACCTCATCTACCTTGCTCCTCTGACTGGCCTCTTCATGCGCTTCTTCGTCAAGTCGTACCTCCGCCGCACGTCGCCCTCCAACAAGCACGCGACTAAGAAGAACGTGATTGCCAAGTCTACGCACGATGCGATCCACGGCGTCGACCGCGAGATCGAGTCTCTGGGCAAGTCTGCTGAGGACGGCTTCGGCAGCGCCGTCAGCTCCGCGACTAAGAGCGCAAAGAACGGCAGCATTCGCGGCCGAACGGCGCAGGCCAACGCCGCCCAGCGTGCGGGTTCTCTCTCTCCCGCCAACCAGAAGTTCGTCGACTCCTTCAACCGCAAGGTTAAGCAGCAGCTCGAGAACATTGGCGAGGGCGCAGAGGCCAGCAAGCAGCGCGCGAAGCAGATTGCGAACGAGGTCGTCTCCGGCACGTCGAGCCCGAACCGCAACGCCAGTCCCGTGAAGGAGAACGGTGCCAGCTATGCCGCCGTCGTCAAGGATGAGGACGTCAAGGCCAATGGCAACGGTAACACGAACGGCCGTCCCAAGTCTTCTGGAAAGGGCAAGAAGGGTCAGCAGTAGATGGACTCCGTGTCCACGAAGAAACAACATAAACTTTCTTTCCGTCCCTGTGCGTGTAGTCATTCAACAACAGTCCGGCCGTGCCCAACGGAAAGGCGATGCGGACATACCAGCTTCCAAACCTACCCATCTTGCAAGACCGCCATCTACGGCCTAGAACCTCCCTCCCAACATCCTATCAACATAAACGGGACACGCACACGCACACACTTCTCTTATCAGAGAGAAGACAAAGAACAAGACAAGACAACAACTCAAAAGATATAGACGGTCGGAAAGGGGAAAAGGGGTTGGCGGCGCAACTGTTTGTCTATTCACGCTTTTCACCTTCCTTCTTCTTTCTTCTTTTCGGGCACCAAAGTATACTCTACGCTCGCGAGGGCGAGGGTATACAATGCACAATGTATCATGTTAACCATGTACTGTATATAAAATCTGTGATCGGACCAGGTACTGCGGCGTACGCAGGGAACTGGTGAGGTTAAAGAGGGGAGGGGAAAAGGAGTGTGGGGAGGAAAAAGGGACAATCGTAGGACACTTCCATGCATAGCGTTTGGCGTCATACATATACATAAGTCAAAAGTTAGAGTCAGAGGCAAAGGAAACGTCGGAGGGAAAGTTATTCAAATTCACACATTATTATCCGCTGACCTACCTACCATCGTCAAGTTATTGAGTAAAACGGAAAAAGATGGTGATCATCTTTTTGCGTTTTGTGTTTATAGCTCACTCACGGGTTCTCATCTAAACATCAACTAATCAAGTACCCAGACTAAGTAAAAACTAGAGTCTGTAACCAACAAACAAACGCAGAGAAGAAGATGTTCAAATCACAAAACTTTCCTCTTCTCTATGCTTTTTTTGTATCAAGGAACCAGCCCCCGTCCCCCCCTTTTCTTTTTGTTTTGTTGTTAACTACCCGTGTAATCGCGTTATTGTAATATTGAATGTTAAGCAACTAAAAACGTAATCTGTATATATTCCTATCTATATATCTATCTAATTATAATCAAAAAAACCCGTATCCCTAGGACACTATCCTCCCCCCTCCAACAAAAGAGCTCGTCAACACAAAACGACTCATCCATTGACATACCAAGATCGTTCACAACACATCCCCCCCCCTGACATAAGGGTTTGCCTCGCTGCAAAGGGTGGCCCTGGGCGGCGGGTTGCTCATCGTCTGTGCATTCTCTCATAGAAATCAAGGCACACCCTTATAACTTCTGTCAAGTCTATTCTTGTCCTTAGCATTGCTGACGTTACGGTGCGAGCGATCTGGTCAAGACTATCAAGCACGAGAGAGGACGTGAACGGCAACTGAAAGAGGAACCTGCGTCTGTCAACATCCTAGGCGGCATGGCGTCTCACTCATGCAGCGTGATGGCGTGCTGCTAGACGGCCACAGTCTAAATTCCGTAGTTTACAGGACGAAGCTGGAGATTTGTCAGGGAGGAGAGACCGGAAGATGTGCTCGTAGTCATAATTCCAGTCGATGGCTCGTGGAGTGTGATGCTGCTTATTCCATCGGAGTTGAAGTGTCCGATGCAACGCCAACGATGACGGACTCGAAGATTGTAGAGGCCATTGATGATTACAAGGACACTTGGGAAAAGATCGCACGTATCCGCTATCAACATCACTCCGCAAGTGTAGGTGGACGCCTAGCCATGCCTAAAAGCACACCAGTATTGCATACCTTGAGGGCAGCGATCATCGTAGAACTTGCATGTTATTTACGCCGCGTAACAAAGATTCTGTCGTCTCGTTCTAGAGAGAAGTATTAGTATATCATTTTCGTACATGTTTAGGCTATAGGTCGTCGTTGAAGCAACCAAAAGTGCAGGTATCATGACTGATATGCTGGACAATGGTATGGCCAGTGCTCGAGCGCAAATGAAGCCTACAATCGGACTCACGATACTAAATAAAAGCATATGGCTTGAAGGTAGCGTAATAGAATGGTAGGATAATCATATGAGCCGCCCGCGCCCTTGCGCTCAGACTGAAGCGTCTTCTTCACGGGCAAGTGCTGGAATCGTCTATCCACAACCGTGAACCCAGCAGTCTTCACTGAGTTTGTTCGTGTCGCTCCCAAGGAACTACTGACTTCAGACTTGGCTTGACCGCCAACTTCGCGATTGTTCTGTACTCGGATAATTAACTTATTCTTCATATCTACGGAGTACACTCAGTCCGACAATTGTACAGGTTGTCATACTACTTGTGCCCAATCTGGAGACCTTCGATATACTGGTTCAGTATATACTCACTTTCACTCGCACTGCTACCGGGTGATGGTCGTCCTCACCTGTTTCCGTTCCCATGGTCTTCGGCCAATTTTATCATGTAATTCTTGGAAGAAGTCAAGCCATTGTGATGATGAGCACCGCAGCCGTTTTGGGTCATGATTTTTTCGCTGCGCTAAGCCCTTTGCCATACTCTAATTGGGGGGAGTGGTTGTGTTGGAAAAAAACCCGTCGCAATCCTTCACTTTCCGCCTGTCACCTTGCAAAAGGCCTCAATGTGGTCAAGCTTATAAGAGCACCATTCCAATGCCTCCAAATAGCCCACTTAATGTATGAAAGAGTACTCCGTATAATCGCTTCATTAGCATTGCAACATACACAACTGACAACAACTAGCAAGGCTACTTCCGTCTGCTTTGCAAATTTCATCAAGCAGGAATCTACGCTCCGTGGGATCGGCAACAATTGTAGTGAAATTTGCACTCAGTATGTTTTTCCGATGTTCAAATCGTTACTTAACCACTGTGTGCTAATTGCTTGGGTTCCAGGCACCTTACAAATATGGTGTCTGCCAAAGATGCACTCTTGCGACGAAGTTGGAGAAAGGATACATACCTAATTTCAACTGATCCCAGTCTGATTCCTGTGGACGAATTGAACAAAGTCTTCGGGTCTGAAGTATTTTATTGGGCAGACGCCTTACCGGAGTCAGTTATGACTGAAACGTTGAAGAATTCACTCTGTTTTGGCCTGTATGATCTCGACCCATCAGCGTTGGTAAGCGACCGTAGGGAGGACGAAGAAACGCTCAAGCTGATTGGGTTTGCTCGCTGCATAACCGATTTCACGACCTTTGTCTTTTTAACCGATGTTTATGTCGATCCTCTCTTACAAGGCAAAGGACTCGGCGCTTGGTTGATCACCTGTGTGCAGGAGTCTATCGAGTCAATGCCATACCTTCGACGTAGTATGCTTTTCACGAGCGACTGGAAACGATCAGTGCCTTTCTACGCAAAATTGATGGGAATGGAAGTAGTCGAATGCAATGAAGAAGCGGACGGCGAGGAAAGCAAAGGTGCTGCAATAATGCAATACAAAGGTCCGGCCTTTCCCGCCAATCTGTAATGACTATGGGGCACTTTCGCCATTGCTCTTGTCAAACTCCCGCAACCAGAAATCGTCCATTGAAGTAGTCTAACCTTAGTTTAACTGTCTTTATGAAATGTTAGCTCAAGCGATTGAATCAATGATCTCGTCCTTTTTCAATGTTTAAGCAATTGAGATGCAATTCGACACGTACCCATTACCCATCCATCCGTATTGAGAAATACAGGGCACCCTTGGCCATAGTCTTGACCAAGTGTAGAGATTGTGGTACTGTTCGATAGGCTTGCTGGTTTAGCAAGCCCACGGTAGTTGGAGTTATGTAATCTGCGAGTTGCAAAATGATCACATTGGATAAGCAAATTGGTGCTCAGAATCAGCTAAAAAGAAATTGACATCCACAGAGTTTGCCTTACCCATATTCTTCACCTGCTGGTATTATATATACCTTGACCTTCCTTATCATCTTTGCAGTATTAAAAGGGCCACAGATATCTGTATTCTTCCTTGTATATGCTGAAAGTGCTGGCATGCGGACAATCAAACGTGGTACAAATATGTGATTGCATGGACTCAATGTCTCTCATAGGGAAGGCTCAAGTTTGTATAAGTACAGGCTGCAAATCAGGAGCCTATGTAAGGCTAACCAGCGGCTGCAGTGATGTGGTAACAGCATTATGAAAGAGGAATAAAAAAAAGAACTCTTAATGATGAAGATCAGACTTCGTCTGCATAATTAAAATCCTTTACGACACGAACCAGTGAGTATCACGGAATCACGCTCCACTCGGGTCAAATATAGTCTGCTTGGACAAAAGTTTGGAGAGAAGGAAGTGCCACGCGTCGTCTGCGGGTAGAAATTCTACTTATCAACAGCCTCTCTGATCTTTCGTGTTCCTCCATCTCGCTATCGTGTAGAAAGAATCCTATACGAGATAGATAGCAAGGTGTTTTGCCACCCGTATTAGAAGTCGACTTCTGATAGTTAGCAAACTACCCACAAAGATTCGAATGCAAAATCTGAATTAGAAGGGAAGGTCCGCCGACTGCCGACTTGCCAGTCGACTCCCCCGGCTTGCACCCGCTGTGTACCTATGTACAGTAACTATCTTCACTGCGAGGTTGTTCCGGAACTCTCGGCTCGTCACTGCGTCAAAGTCGGCGTTTGTTGCCCTCTTTTTCCAAGTCAAAAGCTTCTCCGCAATTTGAAGTTGTGTGTAAGTCGTCACTGTTGGATATGTGGGATGCACGAATCGGTGATCATCGCCCCTTCTAATATGCCAACAGAGATTGGTGATCGCTCGTAATAAGCAGGCGAAGAGTGACCAAGATTTCACACTCTTCCACCGGCAGGAGAGAGATACAGGTCACTGGTTACCTAGTACCGGATCCGATCCTGCATGCAATTTGTTCCGAACAACAAGCATTCGCTCCCCAGCCCAACCTAACCAGACAAGGAAGCATGTACACACTCTTCAAGCAACAGTTTGCCACGCGTGGGATTGAAACAGGTACTTACTTATCATCTGCCATTTACGGTAGTATGTAATTCGTACGGTGGTATTTCTTGTGGCACAGTGTCGGAGCTACTAATTACACTGTGCACGCCTGTCTGGGCGACGGTGAAGAAAGAAGGGAAGAATCGTCTCTCCTGTGAATTTGGCTCTCTACAGATTGATATCGAAACTGTATAGTACAACAGTAACTCATCCCTTGAAGTTCTTTGGTGTGGTCTCATGATGAACAGTGTGATATGAGTCCTCCCGGATGTCGTTGGAAAGACGGCGGTTGTGGTAATTTCTAGCGAGCCAAGCGCGATCTTTTGCCTACAAGCCTTGGGATTTCTTTCGCTTTGGCCAACAAAGCGTTCGTGCGTGCTGTGGGTTGATTGGGGAATTAGACTCAGTGTTGGAGTGGATGTGTCACTGTGCGAGGAGTCTTGGGTCCTGGTTACAATACTTGGCATCTCCAAATGGCACATACGAACAATCATCAAACGTTGTGGCCTACTCTGCCTGCCTAACTGGCTAGAGACACGGCTCGACTACCTATAATCGAAAGCTAGTCTCCCCCAAAAAGAAAACGCCCTGCAGAGATCGCCACATCGAGATTCCTCTTTCCGTCCTGTCAACGCTGCTCGCGTAATCATTCCTGTATTACGTGGACAATGTCTGCTGCATTTCCTCGGTTCACTCCGGGCTTTGAGTTACGAGTGACAGGTTGGATCGACAGGTCTAAGGTAACATCCTATGAAGACTTGTACTCGGTAGCATGCATGAGGCGCACGGTCGACATCGTATGTCGAAGCGAGAATGTCGAGTGGAGAAAGCTGTAGGCCGCGTGCTCGGGTCATTGACTTCTGTTTGGGTGGTCTGTTGACGGTTCTATCGTTCCGGAGTGTCTTATGTCCAAGTTTCATGCTGGCGATAAATGTACGGATTTATTGGTAGGCACATGATTCTCAGTGGTGAATTGCTGTTTTCAACAGTGACTTGCTGTGTCAAATGTAACTGGAGACTTCGAAGCAAATGTGCTATAGGTCCATTGGGACTAGGCACTAACAATGTCTGTAGATATTCGTCCTTTGACAATATCCTTTGGTTAATGTGATCAGCCCCGAAAATCTTCAAGCAACATGTAGTACTTCTTCAGATCACAGTTCCAATAGACGATCGAACCGATCGATTTATTTCCGGACTGCGAACCGGATTCTTCTTTCAGAAGTACAGCAGCCATCAAAACCAGCAACAGCAAGCTCACTACTGCACGCACAGTCGGAGACCCAGCATACTCCCCATCCGCTACACTCCGTTCAGACCTCTGCCTGGTCTGAACACCGGGCAGATCCTGCATGCTGAGCTATGTCCACCGCTCATGTAGGCGTCTGTGTGGGCGATTGGGGATTGCGTATAGTTGTGCGGCAATTTAGCCTTAAACGTCCATAGCACTAGTACGAGGTTGCTATGGGCTAACTAGAGAGGAACGCTTGTGGTAAAGTTGTGCAAGGACGTGTGGCTGGTAGCTTACTGTTCATAAGATTGTTTTGTGGCGGTATTAAGCTTGGAGCTTACGGGTCGGTATCATTATTCCGTATATGTGACTTAAAGACTTCATGCTGTTTGTTCTGTACAGCACGATTTATCAAGTATTGAGGAAGTTGAACCTCTGATTTCTTGACAGATCCTTATGACCAAGCAATGGAAGAAGCTTGCCTGCACTGCAAATGCACGACGGCCAGATTTTCCAAGTCAAATAAAGCGTCTTGCTTCCTCTGACCCGTAGTGGATATCGCAATCAAGCCTTCAGCCAGCTAATCTCTTATGCGCCACAAATCATGCCATTTCTTCGAAATCTGCAAGCCGGATTACATTACTAAAGCACATCGGCCATTACATATGCAGCAGCTGAACAGTTTGCAGCCCGCAAGCTCGTAGTGAGATGCCTGCTTTTAGATCCGGGGGGCCTGTTCTCGGTCCTCATTTCTTCGCTTGAGATAACTTAGACGAAAAGTAAGGACGGGGGGCCTTCATCGGATCTCCGATGGAGCAGAACTAAGTAGGGAACAGCTAACGTCCTGTTTGATGTTAGTATTGAGCAGACGACTGTGACTCCAAATGAACGTTAAGCCCAAGTTGTGCATGGCATTGGTTAATATGCCATTGTTCGTGTGCGGCTGTGACAAGCATTTGGTTTCGGTTTAGGGTTGTGACATTAAGCTCGCGAGCCGGGGCGTCGGGAACAACTTCAACGACTTCGCAAAACAATGAATGCACCTTGTTGCAATTCTACTAAATCTTTTGTATGACAAGACTTGATCATCATTCTATTGCCCTTTCAGTAATGCATGAAGCGGGATAATTTCTTGAGTTGATTATGCTGCGAACATTGGCGGCCGAATGGCCTTCTAACAAGATGTATCTATGAAGGCCAACAAATGCTTACTCATGCATTAGTCTGGGCGGAAGTGTGGCTCGAAATTCGCAGGAGACCAGGTTGCCTTACTGCATACACACTGTTAAAAGAACAGCAATTTATTAAGATCCAGTTTTGTCTTAGTCATGGTCTTGGGAGGGAGTCATTTGAAGTTTTTTTCTTATCTATGTATGGCTTGTTGCAAGTGATGATCTATCCTGTTTGCTGTTCTGCGTAGGTCGAAGATTGGAATGGAATCAATTGTCTCAACGTCGGCCGAAGTGATACCGCTTCGTCAAGGTACGAGTATTTTTAAAGCAATTCTAGAGGAGAACATGTCTACAGTGAATGTAATTGTGCTAGTTCTGGCATTCAATGCAAAGTTGTTGATTCATCGCCTATCCCCAAGAGTACTATATTGAGCAGCACTCGCCCAATTCAATTGTACGCCTCCAGATGATGACAACAACACAAGCACTATTAATAAGTTTCTCAAGAGTTCAACACAGGAAGTCTGACAGCCACAGCCTGGAAGATGCCGAACAGGTCCAATCCAGCTAGGCGTTACGGCGGCTTGTCCTGCAGGGAGAGTGGGAGAGTGAAAGAGGCCCGATGCTTGACCCCTTGCTAGCACCTCTCGCTTCCAACGAACGAGGAAACATAGGGACGTGCATTTGCACGTTTTTGACATCTCCCCAAAGGTCGTTGAGAACGTAGCCTGTTCTTCGCCGGTTTGAACATGGGATCAATTGCCAGCCAATTAGCACAGTCGTCGTACGTCCAGAGGAGACGGCACATCGGGCAGCCCGCTTACTAGCTCCATGTGTCGTCTATACCAGCCAGGATCGACGGTTGTCAAAAGTCTTCAGTAGCCAGTCAACAGACAGAGAAATCAATGTTTTTGCTTTCTGCCGTTCCGTGTCCAAGGTAATATGAAGCTTCAGGCGGTCAGCACGCCATGTCAGCCACCCCGCAGCCCGGAGCATTATCCCTCTTGTAAGTATAGGTGGATCGTGATAGTCGCTAGCTGAGCCTGGCCAGGCCAAGGGATAAGACAACCTTTCACCATCTCCGGGAATACATTTATGGTGTTGCATGCCCATTCGAACGGGACGTCTTCGTGAACCAATTTCAACGTCATTTTTGAACTTCTTTAGATTTCCAGCCAGTAGTGCACAGCAAGTATCTGTCGACTTCAAGTATGAGTGTTCCCAATTCAGATAACCCATGTGGCTACATGCCCTTCTCGCACTATGATTGGCATGATATTTCCTGTAACTTCGACGGTTACGGCCATCATGTACCGTGGAACCCCACGTTCTTCTGCCTGTACGCTGCGGCGACAGCAGTCGCTGCCCAGCTAGCGATACAGCTTATGGGACGAACGTTCCTCCGTTTCAAGCGTAGGAATACGTTGTATTTCTGGTATGAACATCGCCCCCCAGATTACCATGGCTTTCATGAATGTTAACGTTTCATTCACTCAGGTCTCTTTTGCTTGTGGCAATAGGAATCTTGATATACATCATGGCGCTCCTATTCCGGATATTCATCCTCCCAGTCAAGAGCCCAGCCTTCTCAGTGCCCTACACCTTCGCCCAGATCTTCATCTTGACTGGCTTCGGACTCGTCCTGTACTCCCGTCTCCATCTCATCACCAACAACCCCTGGTTCCTCCGCTCTCTCCTCATCATGGTCATCGTCATAGCCTTCCTCGGCCACACGATGTCCTTCGTCCAACTCGCCATCATCTCCCTCAACAAAACCCTCCTCTCCCGCCAAATCATGCACGCCATCTCCTGGCTCGACGTCATTTTCACCCTCCAGGACCTCCTCCTCTCCGTCTCGTACATCTACCTATACTGGAAGCACATGAAGGACACCGCCGAGTTCTCCAGCGACGCCGCCCGTGCCCGCGACGCCACGACCTTCAAGCTCCTCATCGGCGCCAACAGCCTCGTCATCACCCTCGACGTCATCCAGAACGTCCTCCTATGCCTCAAGTTCTACCTCGCGCGCTACATGTGGTTCCCGCTCATCTGCGCCATCAGGCTCGAGGTCGAGTTCTTCGTGCTGAACCGCCTCGTCAAAAACACGGAGGAGGCGACGCACGCGCTCGAGGACGCGAGGTTCAACCTCGGCGGCGTGTCCGTCGTGAGCAAGGGTGGTCCTGAGGCGGACGTCGAGATCAACTTGAACGAGTTGGGTGGTAGCTCTGGGGACTCGAGCGATGGTCTTGACATCCAGAAGGCGCCGGAGCGGAGGAAGGATAGCAGCAGGTCGGAGCCGGATTATAACTCTAAGGGGGGCTTCATTACGCAGGCTTGTTGAGATGTCCCTCTAATGGGAACGTCGACACAGGCGACTCCTTCAAAGAAAACAAAAAAGAAAGTGTGGGCGGAAATGCAGATACGACGTTTCCTTTCTCATGTGTCCGTACTCAAAGCGGAGTGCAGCAGCGTCTCTTCGGGCAGCTGTTGCTAACTTATGATCGTTATGTTTTTATGTGTGACGCAAAATGGATACCAAGGGCATTGAATTGTACCTACAAGGGAGGGCTTAGTTAGGATAGCATAGGATAGGATAACACTCAATAATAGTATTACTCGATTTAACGTGTCTTCTAAAGAGAATCATGATCGGACTCGTTTTGTATGATGTATAGTCACCCAATAGATAGGAGAGCAAGGTAGGGTTGAATCTCGAAGGTCGTGATTTGTGGGATGTGATGTCTGCCGAAAGGTAAATGACAGAAGCCTTTACGATTGAATACACCTCTCTAACAGAATTTGCTGACTGTTTGCAATATGCTGACTTCCTCGAGAACATCACAGCAAGAGCATCGATCTGTTGCATCACGAACAATTTGAGAAGGCAGAGCCGAATGGAATGAAGGTTTTTCTAATCGCGGGGTGCGGATTAGGCACGATATCGTCTATCCACTTGCATGATATCAGATATAATCCCTGATCAGACTACCGGAACACAGGGTCGACATCCCAAACAGGCCTTTGCATCCCCCTAAGCGGCAACTTGTCGACACCTGAACGCCCAGCACTCTTGCCCGCCTTGCCCTTGCCCTTCCCATTCCCTTCCTCCGCACCCTCGACGTCGATGTTGGGATAGGAAACGACTTGAGATCGCCGTCGACGATTATCGGCTTCCCCGTCCTTGGCGAAGATTTGAAGACCGCGAAGGTGCGTATCTTTGCCGTTCTGGTGGTTCTCTAAGATCTTGATCTGGACTAGGTGGGCACGGAGAACGGGCTGCTTTTTTCGGGTGGTCGGAGAATGGCGCTTGTTGGTGTTGTCGTGAGGTTCGGGAATAGGTATTTCTGGAGACGAAGAAGGATTGATGAAGGATGATGAAGCTATTTGTGGAGTGTGGAGGATTGGTGTGGTTTGCAGATTCCCGTTCTGGGGCGGTGGTGGGATAGTGAAACGGGGGACAGGAAGAATGGGCGTGTCGGTGTGGGGTCGATCGGGGGTCTGGAATTCCGACATGTTAGGGTCTGGGGTATCGATTGCCATGGGGCCGTCGACTGGAGGGCGTTGTCGTCGTTGTCGTTGACCTCGGCCAGAGGGAGTCAGGCCGCTCGGTGAAAAGGGTGAGGTTGTGGTGTTGGGATTGTTGCCATTGACGGTGTTGTTTCCATCTTCAGAGAAATCTTCATCGTCTTCACTTTCGTCCTCGCTACTTTCATCGTCCACGCCTTCGAAATCGGCCCAGATCCAGCCTCTAGGCTGCTCAAGTCGCATCTCACCCCATTCCACGAGATCGTTCATACCACTGCCGGCGAGGAAGATGATTCGTGTCGGCGTGTAGCTTTCGTCGGAGTCGAAATCGAGGAATAGTCTTAGGGCAACGATGCGGACTAGCTTGAAGAAGTGGATGTTGAGGTAGTGAGGCTGAGGCCCGTCGGATTGCCAGAAGAGATGGGTTGAGGGAGAGCGGAGTTGAGGGATTGAACATCCTGGCTTCGAACTGGAGACTGTCCATGATGCGAGCGTACTGATCTCACGATAGTTTGGAGGGAATGGGGCATCATAATCCCCAGTTGAAGAGTGTGGAGAAGAGCCAGGGTATTCTGTTTTGGTTTGTCAGTTGTCTGGATCATGAATAATTCCTTTGTGTGTTCAAGTTCGTTGGTTGGTGTTGGCATCATAGATCATAGAGCACCACGGGATGATTGAGTCGACGAACTCAAAGGTTGGCTCGCTGGCATGACGTTGTACTACTCGAGTGCAAGCGGCAGTGGAAAGGCATCCAAAGACATTCTAAAAGAGGGACATCGGGCGTCTCGGAAGGTGTGACAAGAATGGCCGAAACCGCTGAGTGACATGCTTACTTACCTTGATCATCTTCCGTGTCGGGATCGACCATTTCATCATTATTAACATCCTCGTCATCGCTATTTGGCAGTGACCGTAGTTGGTGCGGCTGTGGAGGGTCGGTACCGTGCCAGCGTGAAGCAGATGGCATGATGCTCGAATCTTGTGAATAGAATAACGAGCCAATAGCTTTCCAACTACTAATTCAACAGTCCTCGCGCGCTCCCCGAATTTACACAGTAGGGTGATTCGATGTGTAGGTTGAGGGTCCAAATTCGGTGTTGCTTGATTGTTTCGAGCACGATAGCAACCAAAATGCCTATGGTACTCCGTATTAATTTGGTAATGACCGTTCACAGAAGGACTATTCCGCGCGAAGACCGGTCTCCGGCAAGTCGCGATCAAGTGTTTGTTGCTTTTTCGTTGGGGATGCGTGTTGTTTTGTTTTAGGGCAGGCAGGCCTGTGATTGGCGGAAGAGAAAGATTGTGCGTAGGGGCAAGATCAGATCCTTGTAGGGACGCTGTTGATAAGGCGTTAGCAGTATCACGAACTGACTATTCCCGACTCTTTCACTGCATGCGATGGACCCGAAGCGTGGTTTGTGGGTGTTCAATAGTGTGATGTAAAGGTATGGAATATCCCAGGTATGCGCGCCTGGTGAGGTTGAAGGGAGAGTTGATGTTCATTTTGAGTCCGAGCTTTCGGGAGTTTAATTTTAGCGCCATCCTTTTGCGTTTAGTAACACCCTTTCACGACCATCGTCCTCTCTTATGAGCCCTCAACGTCGCACCGTATATGTACCATCTGCCATGCATTCTCATCACACTTGTCATGTCCTCGACTCGATCCTAAATGTGGAGTAACCCCCTCTGTTGGGCTTTTCGGAATCCTTCATACTCGTATCATCAGCTGCTACCCTTCGCACATACTGCTGCCCTGCCATTCTCAGCCAATCGTATCCTTCTTCCAAGCAGCCACACGTTTCCTACCTCGGCTTCTTCTTTTGGGGCAACATCTCGAATTACGGCAAATGAGTGAGGCATACGCGTATGTTGTGACTTTGATTTTCAATCTCAAGCTCGATTCTGGCATCTAGCTAAAAGAATCGTGCACTGTGTGACCATGGCCCAATTCGCACTGCAAGCATACCCCTTGCCCCTTGAACTTGAGGATACGGAGTACACATGGAAAAACGAATATCCAATTACCAGGGGATGTTTCGTATATCCTCTGTACAACAGACAGGATTATAAAATCTATAGGACTAGTGCCACATGCAGCCGAGCGATCTATATCTCTGCCGGCCTTCCCAGTGCTGGCGTTTAGCCACCTGTCAATCCTGCATCTTCATTTACAGAGCTTTGTCCATATTGTCTGCAGTTGAGCATCTCTCCGTTCAATCGGACGTCTGAGCACCTCTCATGAGCTGTCAGATGCGTGAGGCAGAGCCTTAGCCGAGACTTTGCATGAACCGGTGTTACAATGGCCGGACATGACAATGCATCTATCCTACGTACCGGGGAGCAACAGGCCAACATCGCTATCGCGTTCATTGTTTTAGCCTGGGTTTTCATTGCACTCCGAGTGTGGACCCGCACTTATATGATTGCTAACTTCGGCTGGGACGATGCTACCATGATACTTGCAGGCGTGAGAATGAGACTAAGGGTACTTTGACTTAAACTTTGCTTACACTCTGCAGATGATCTATACGGTTTACTGTGCAGCAATGCTTTACATGCAGGCGCACGGAGGAGGGACGCACATAACTAGTGTGAAAGATATGATCAATCTCACAAAGGTACCGGGCGCGAGATTGGCACTTGGGCATAGCTGACAATGATGAAGTGGGTCATCGTAGGTCAAGCGACCTATCTCCAAACAGTCATGTTTGTTAAGATATCTCTTGGTATATTCTTCGCCCGCATTGTCGTAGACCGCTGGCATCTGCTCACCATCTATGTGACCGTTGGGTTGAACATCGTCTCCTCTACGGCCAGCTTCTTCTACGTGCTCCTGCGATGCGGCCCAAATCTCGACAACTATGTTTATCGGCAACTGGCATGGAAATGCACTCCGCGCCCTCTAGATCGATTCTTCGCATATCAATCTGCTAGCGTCACGACTGTCACAGATTGTGTATTCGCTGTCCTGCCGATCTTTATGCTCTGGAACGCCACCATGGACAGACGAGCCAAGCTTTCTGTCGGATTCATTCTATCACTGGGAGCATTGTTGGTATTCATATCTCGTAGGATTGTATTGGATACTCATATTCTACAGAGGATGTATATGTTCAATGATTCGATTCCAATACGTCGATGGTTTAACCCAAATTCAGGACTACTTCTGTATGGCCATTCTTCGAAAGCATAGTACCCAAGCTAACAGGTAACGTAGGGAATGCAGCCAATATTGCTATCTGGTCCACAATAGAACCAGGCGCCGGCATCATCGCCGGATGTCTCGCAACACTCCGACCTCTCCTCAAAACATGTATGACACAGGCTCGCTCAATGCGTTCATCCGCATCCCGAACCTCGAAAAGCCTCTCTCCATCATTGCCATCCAGCAACAAGTCGTCGAGCAGAAAGTATACTACAAAGAACAGTACCATCAACACAGTGTCGAGGCAGCACGCGGTCCCGGCAACAGATACTTTCGATCACTATCTAAGAACCATCGGGATGTCGTCTGGAGCCAGTGGGAAGGGCGAAAGCACTGACAATATCCTTTTGCAGCCAATTGCTGAGATCCACGACTCGTTAATGCAGGGTCCGAAGCAAGATGCTGAGCCGCCTGCTGGCTATGAGAGGAAAATACCTACGATTAGGGATAGGCCGGCGAATCGGGATGCAAATTGGCAATGACCGATGATGTTATGCAGGAGTACAGATGACATGGGAATACACCATCTCGTGGGTGTTCGCGTCAAATGTATCAGTACAAAAGTTCTCTCGTTTCAAATACACTAATACTATTCTTTTAATTCACTTATGTGTGCGAAGTAGTAAAGAGTTTCTAAATCAATTCTTCACGACTCTATCTCATACCAATTTCGGACCACAAGCGCCCCAACCTGAGCCTGATTTTAGACTCACGATGACCGTCTTTTCCCATCTGCAGCCCTCCGCACACAGGCCACGGCCCTCGCCACCTGAGGCACAGCCAACGGAGTCACACAACTGGATACCACATAAGACTAATTACATAACCGCTCAGAATGCAACATGTACATCAAACCACCTCCCGCAACGCGGACCGAGCCCTGCACTGCGGCGATGCTTTCATGTCCGGCAACTCCAAACGAAACCACTTACATTGGGGCCAGCAAAGGCAGATTCCCCGCCACATCAACTCCACCATCACAATTATTATTAGATCCCAATGCCAATACCAGTCCTAATCCTACGAAAGCTGGAGTAGTTGGTCGGCTGCACAAAATTGCACATTCGATCGCATTCGCAAACGAAGTGGGATCTGCGCACGCTGCGCGCGCACGCGCAGCATGCAATTCGATTTAGGCAATTAGGAGAGCGAGTGACGTCGGGGCGCGAAATGCTTCCTGGTTGGATGTTGGGGAGCATGCATTCAGCTCCTACGGCGGAGTTTGTGGGTGTCAGCTGGGGGAGGAGATCTCAACGGCGGGCCGTGTCGACACATGACAATAGCTAGATTGTAGCTTGACAAAATGAAAATTCACATTGGACTTCGCTATACGGCGCTTCAGACTTGAGTGGTTGAGGCACGAATTATCACGACTGCCCGGTCTAGTATGTTGGGTTCATTCATGTTCATCGCAAGCGAGCGCTGTCTTGGATCTTCAAAATTGTTCAGAAATGTATGAAGTGACATCACACCCCGTAAATATATGGAATAGATCAAATTCACATCAAATATAGTAGATAAAAAGCGACCGTACGTTGAGTCCACCGGCGTCCAGAGCTGTGGTTGCTTCAGAGAATGATGAGGCCGCCGCCCGGAGGCCGTTGATCTACAATCTAGTCACTGCGCCGAAGACATCGGTAGCCGGGGAAGACCAACAAAGTCTCCGAACTCGAAAAGGCTGCAATTTGGAGAATTTATGTAAAGTGGGAGGGGTCAATGGCGTGGGCTGCCCCAAGCCGGTTGTATGGGGGTTCAAAGATAACGACTCAAGCGACGTACCCGGTCTCGGACGGTAGTCGATAGAGTTCTAAGCGTATGTACTTGATGTTCCCTCCAACCCGTAGTTCGGATAGTATGTTTATATCACAGGCTGTTACTCTGAACGGTGAATCGATATTGACAACTAGCAAACGTTGATGGTCATAGTAAGTAATCCATAATGAAGAGCGACGCCAGTAAATTGTATCCGAGATCTGCCCCCCTGGTCTCCTTAAAGTATTTGGATGATGTCTTCACTGTAATATTTCCATATCATCGACCAGCTCATAGTTCAGCTTAAACATGTGAAGCCGAAAATGAAGCCGGTCGTGATTGAGCAGCCCTTGCACTATGAAAAGAGCGCGATGCATCCCAAATCGGAATGGTGGACTGCATGGTCGTGGTTGAGAGTATATCTGAGTTTACGGCTGTTGCTGCTTGTGACAGTCTCGTCGTACTGGCTATGCTGAAGGGTCGGGCTCGGACCGCATCATCAACAGAAAAGCCGTCTAGATGACTCCCGACCAACAGGATATCCTGCGAACGGCGTCGCTCTCGTGTTCCTTGGAAGTTTAATTCTGGTACTAGACTCGTTGAGGATGCGGACGCATGTAAATCCTCCGTGGTCGAAGGTACGGGTAGAAACGCCGGTGGAGGCATACCAGGTTGATCTTCGCAAGTTCTCTGCCGCTGAAGTTTCCAAGTCAGGAGTTGCTTTCTGGCGATAGCGATACGCTGTTTCTGGATATTACGGAGTTTTTCCAATCTGAAATTCCTGAGCAAGGGGTCGTCATTTAGGGCGTCAATTGACGGGGCCGTAGTCTCGTGGTCATCATATTGTGTTCTTTCCCGCTGGATATCGCCCGAATGGATTGATAAATCTTCTGGGCTGAAAGGGCCGCTTGTTTGAGAGATTCCGTGAGCATCGTTTCGATCCATGCAATCTGCCCCAGGTTTGCTTCCAAATCGTATTGATCTGTGGAAATATGATTTTCGCCAAGTAGAAACGCGGACCGCTAAACGCTTCATACGTTGAAATACACCCTTCTCCAGGGTATGTTGATTTGAGCAATTTTGGCGACAACGATTCGAAGGATGTAATTCATTGTCGTTTAGGCGCTCAGGTTCAAAAGATGTCGCTCGAGACCGAGAACTCTGTAGCCTAGTATTTGGCGAACGAACTGAGGAATTCCTTGACGGTGCTTCTAACGGAGATTCCGGGACATTCGAAAGTACAGGTGAAGCTATTGCACTCATGGATCGGACCATATTGATCAGAGCGCGGCGGTAGTCTGTATCTACCTGATCAGGCTCGTTCGTTGCTTCTGATAACAGCGAGATGCAGGTTGCATTCGCACCGCCTAGGGCCATCCATTGCTCGTTACAATTCTCACAGTTAATATGACTGGCTTGAGCATAACCCGATGTAATTTTGATTTTGATCTCGGTTGCTTCATGGCGATGATGGCAACGTGGGCAGCTTCCATGGATTGGTATTTTGTAGAAGCCCGGCGGGATTGCTCCGTACAAACTGCTGTTGCTCGTAGAACTAGAGGCGCGAGTTGAAGCCTGCAATGATACTCGCCGCCGTTCTTCAACACCTTCCGCGTTGAAGGAAAGACTTTGGTGGTCTCCAGTAGTTCGTAGATCTGCCGTTGGCCTGGGCATGATTGTAAATACTGGAAAACGAAACACTCAGGCCAAAAGTATATGGCCCAAGACGGGTACGTGGGATCAGATATGTGAATTTAGTCAAGGTGTACCAGTAAGACGGACCTGATAGACGTATAGGAATGCACTGAAGGAATAAATAGGTTCGCGGCTGCGGATGGGACATCCGAACACTTGGGGCCAGGAGCAAGGCTACACTATTATACCGTGTGCCTAAAGACGCCCTGTAGCGAATCGCTAGGTATCCCCAAGAGCGAAACTCGCGCCGTATCGCTGATTATCGGATGCAGATGGCTTTGCTATGCTGTGCTCTACGTTGTGCTCTATAGTATTCACGTCTATACGCTTTGCCATCGGACAAAGCGAATAGAGGGTGATGGTCGTGGCTTAGGGCCTGCGCCACCCAATAGCAGGCAATCATTGGGGCCAAAATTCCATTCTGGCGTCTGAGGCACATAAAAAATCGTGACTTGCCAGGAGTACCGGGCAGAAATATGTACCACGAGAACACAATGCAAGCCCGAAGCTTTTAGTGACTGGAAATAAACCAGATATCAAGCTTGTGGGTGTCTTGGAGCCGAGTGCTTCGCCCTGAGAAAGTTGAGATGGTCTGACGCCTAAACTGATCGCACACTGTTCGCTCATAGTAATCTCATAATAAGATGGCAACATGGACGACTATATCATTGTTGATGACGAGAATATGCGCATGACTGCTTTTTAATGTGGTAAGGTGCCACAGTGCCTGATCAGAGTATATGATGAGGTAGATCGGGTTGACCCTTGATCTGCGCCCCAGTCCACAGCCCTTCCAACCCATGTGCGCAAATGCGAAGATCGATAATGTAGGTGAATACCTAGGTAGGCATACCTTATTAAGTCAACGAAAGAGTTACTGGATTAAGAGATGTTGTAATAACTACGCTAATAAAGAATGAGGAGAAGTCTACAAGATAGAATAGTAGTGCCGATCGTTGGCCGAAAAGAATGGCCGGAGATTTAGTTTTTCCGAAACACCTTGTCGTACAATATTCAGCGACTTCCGAGTATTGTCAATGCAGGTGAACATAATAATAGAAAAGAGTAAGGTAACGTGCTACCAATAATCTTAGTGATTTAGAGTCTTGCTCTTTTTGTTAATAGAAACTCTTTTCGTTGAAGGGGCCATTCTGATGAGGACGGTGGCCCACTTTTGGAGTTTGAGGTGTGATACGAATTGCCAAGCCTTCTGATGACTAAGACCCACACTCAAGCGACCAATTTCACCCACCAAAATTCATCCTCGATATCGCTTGAACGACAACGTGAACATCAACCCGACGAGTTTCGACAAGCCGCCATCATGTCTCTCGTCTCCGGAGGTACGTTCTACTGATATATTTCCACAAAGACATCTACTAATTCTGCAACAGAGAAGTCGTAAGTTGCTACTGCCATCGCCGTCGTCGCCGTCTTGCTCGAAGACCTCACATCCGCAATCCACACACCGAACCGCATCACGTAACGCTGAGAATATGGATGGGCTCATCCTGCATTCTTCTCAAAAACTTCGACATGTTAAAATTCCGTGTGCGGATTGTGGCTGCGGGGTCTGACGCGGGATATCGCGAAGGGGATTTTCGAGATAGGACCAACGCTGATTTGCGCAGGAACTTCCAGTACATTATCCGTCTCCTCAACACCAATGTTGACGGAAAGCAAAAGGTCATGTACGCCTTGACCAAGATCAAGGGTGTCGGTCGCCGATACTCCAACTTGGTCTGCAAGAAGGCCGATGGTATGGCAGCCTTGAGTCGCATTTTGTGGACGTGAAAAATTGACTGTGTGCAGTTGATCTCAGCAAGCGTGCTGGTGACCTCACCTCTGAGGAGCTTGAGCGCCTCGTCACCATCATCCAGAACCCTCTTCAATGTACGACAGGCCCAAATTTGTAACGATCCCGACAGCAGTGGCTAATATGATCAACTACAGACAAGATCCCCACCTGGTTCCTTAACCGACAGCGCGACATTGTCGATGGCAAGGACTCACAGGTCCTCGCTAACGGAGTCGACTCCAAGCTCCGTGACGATCTCGAGCGCCTGAAGAAGATCCGTGCCCACCGTGGTCTCCGACACTACTGGGGCCTCCGCGTCCGTGGACAGCACTCCAAGACCACCGGTCGTCGTGGACGTACCGTTGGTGTGTCCAAGAAGAAGGGATAAATGATTTCGCTTTCGCTGGGCAGCTTCTGGGAGCTTGTATGGTGTGGGGGTACAAGGCTTCTGTGGATGGGTGGAGGTGCACTTACGGTGTTTATCTAACGGCATTGATTGGCTTTTAACGCTTCTCCGTCATGCGGCTCTCTGCAATGGTAGGGGATGGCAACGAAGGGACAGGCCAAGGGAAAGGGTTGGCCCAATTCAGCCTGTACCAAAAAAAAATCACACAATCTGATCCCAGTACACGTTCAATACTTGTCCCTATGATCTTGCCTGCTACGTGGTCTGCCACTCGACTGGAAAGGTATCTCAAGTGTCAGAGTCAAATGATGTTGATCATATAGGATTCGATGGCTTGAACAGCCTGGCGTGGGAGCGACCTGTTATTGGGCAATGGCGAAAGACCGCATATCCGACCAAAGTACAGTTCACCACGTCACACCCCTGCCCACACCACTCTCGAGAGAACACGGCGGTCGATTGTTGGGTCTATTGACTGCACTTTGTCTTCTGACTTCTAGAATAGACGGTCTCGGCCCGGACCGTTGAGGCTCCCATTTCGTCGACTATGTCCTGAGTCTGTGTTCGATATCCAGCCTAACTCCAGTAGCTTGGAAAACTGACTACCTAGCAACGAACAGCAAAGGAAAGGCATCATGACGGGCTTTCAAATATAAACAATACTATACTAACAAAACGAAATCTCTCGATGGCGTGCCATTCGGGTGCTATCCTCGCCCTCCCTTTTTGATGCATCACGCCAAGTGCGGAGTGCGTTGTCGAGCACCACACAACACCCACACGCAAAACCACTCAACGATAGATCCTCTGGACAATCCCGCGGGATGCAATCTCCTCTTTTCCATCGACCAACGGTGGCGTGTAATTTCTACGCCTTTCAATTTCCACCACTACTCAGTGCTCATACCCTGCATATGGTGTGCAGCCTGCAGGACCAGCACATGGAGCATGCTGAGCGTTGTTGCGGGCGGGTGGACGGGAGGATACGAACATCTACTGATATATGCCTCGCATTCACGCCCTCAAAGTTTGCCCCAACCCTCAGGTTCTGGCGACTTTGTCGCCATCGTGCCTTTCAGTTTCTTCACGTATTTGCTGCTTCGGAGTTCGTCCCCTCTGCACATCCCTGACATCTGCACAAAAGCTCTTTTGGCGCTTGTATAACACAGACTCGAAATTTTCATCATTACACAACATCACTGTATAATCCTTCAGCTTCCGAATCGGGGAACCAATTAAAGAGATAGAGTCGAAGAATATTCAGACAAAATGGCATCCCTTCACCACATTCCACCACCCCGCACACCCTCCCCCAAGATCCGCATCCACCGCTCCCAATCATTCACCTCTTCCCCATCCTCTCGCATATCCGTAACACCCATCGACGAATCTCCCTACTCGAAATCCACAAGCGCTATCATCCCAAGATCGTCCCTGCCCCAATACGACGCTCTTGCCGCTGCAGAACGCAGCAGAAATCTCATACTGCACACGAAACTCTCCGAAGACGAGGATGATGAAATGTCCGATTCGTCTCTCAGTGGGTCCGACATCTCCTCCACCGAATCCTCCCCAACGTCCGAGTCCTCAGACTACGCACTCTTCTCCTCCGCTTCCCCAGCAGTTCTACTCCTCAGCGGACGCGCCGACTCTCCCATGGACTCGTCATCCTCTCGCTCCTCTTCCACCTCTCCATCCACAACATCAGACACAGCCGAGCGGCACCACCACAATAACGACGGGCCCCCAGAAATAATGGAATCTTCGATCCAGTTGCTGCAGTACCAGGACGCATCCGTCCCGATGTTCGATCCTTGGCTCGTGCGTGTAGTGCTAGACCTCTACGACGTGAGGCGGTTCGAATGGATGATGATAGCGGAGCCGATCGAGCGAATTTGGGGCATCAGGACCAGCAGCGCCGAGGTTTTGGAGATCCTTAGCGCGAACGGAAGGTTGAGAAGGTGCTGGTGGGACTGAGATGTCCTTTTTACCTCGTGGTAGTATATTGCTATCGAGTATCTAGACTCACGAGGGTCTTGCGAGACCATGAAAGGGGACTTGGAGACCTAGTGAGGTTGAGGTGCTTAGGGCTGCTGCAATGTAGCTTGGGGGATACGTATCTTCAAGACGGATCATGGTGTTTTATCGGTTCGAAGCATTACTGGAACACACTTACTCGGGAGGCCATGACTACAGAGGGAAACATCGGGGGTGAAACCTTAGTGTTCTTCCCACTGCTACTTGGGCCTGGAGGTCCGACCTCATCAGGGAGCTCTTAGCCCTCGGGTTCTTTCCCCCCAGTCTGCAATTTTCATCTTGCGATTATTTTTTCTATGGTTTGTTTTCCACCAATCTCAACTTCTCCCTTTCTTTCGGCGTTTTCTAGGGCATCATGTTGGTTGAGCATTTTATTTCATTTTTTCAAGTAACGACTTTTAACGAAACATCATCTAACGAAAGCAACGTAGGATACAATAGGATGGGTGTCTGGCACACGAGCAAACAACATAAAAACGCATAAAGGCATATTTTCATTGTCTATGGGCATTTTCATGAAACTTAACGATTTTCATTTTTTACGAACTAGCATTTTATGTATGTATGAGGATGGTAGAATATCGGTCTTGCAATTCATCGTACTCTCAAGCTTTCGAGTGTCGTGAAGTCGAACTAAACTGACCTACCAACCAATCAAACGCCAAAGTCCCAGCACCTAGATCCAACCAAACCCACCCTCTACCATCGCGACAGACAGACAAGAACCTCAACATGAAATCCCATCGGCAACTGCGCTACCCCACCTCGATCCGAATGTCCCTAACCAACGTCCATGCGGTCGAGAATGCCGGTGGGCGCTAAGAGGGAAAAAACGTCCCTCTGCATCCGCCCGCATGCACCGTCGGGTAACACCTGTCAGGCGATGAGTGGCTGAACCATTCATTTTCCACGGTGCGACAACCGGGGCTGTTTTGGGTGACGTGCAGATCTGTATGGTGGGAGCGGGTGTCGTGGTGCCAGTTGAGCGGGTTGGTGGTTAATGTAAGGGTTGTTGCATGGAGGATGGAGGGGGAGGGGAGGGGAGGTATTGCATTGGTGTGGGGGACGAGATGTGCGGATTGGGAAATGCACGATGTATGGGATGTATTGATTGATTGATTCATGGTGTTGGGGTATTTTAATTGAAGACATGCGCTGCGATCACTATGCTCTATTTTCTTTTGTGGGATGACCACGGGATGAATGTCTATGAAGTCGGATTGGGGTTCATGCTTTGGCATGCTTCTGCTCATGCAATCGATGCGGTATGCTTGAGGATTAACTCAGCGACGCACGCTATGGCAGCAGTCGCATGGAGAGGGCGTGAGGGAAGTATTTCTGGCCGAGTGGCCGTGGTACTCCGTACGGGCTCTTTACGAGGCAGAGCAGCGGATTGGCAGCTTGTGGACAGCATCCATCCCTGTTGGCAGTTGTGTTGGATATCTGTGAGGCTACAGCCAGCGTGAGGTCGAATGTGCAGCGTGCATCCTTGTCTTGGACGTGTCTCCATTCAATCATCTTCGTGCTTGACGGCCATGTCGAGGATCTCCGCTCTCCCCCTTCCCTTGGTGTGGTTGGCAATGAAGTCGCGGAGCAGGTTGTACTCTCCAGGGTCCACGAAGCCCACGGCCTCCCACTCGTCTCCCACGACCTCTTGCGTTTCCACCTCGGCAAAGAAGCCTAGTAACGTCTCCTTGACTGTGCGAATCGGTTTATCGTCGGCTGCCTCCTCTGGCTCTTCTCCCTTCTTGCCCTTCTTTCCCTTCGACGGTGCCTTCGCAGGTTGTTCTTTGGGTCCGGTTTCGGGTGCGCGTTTGAGGATCGACGAAGGGCATGATACGCGAAGTCGCATTCGAGCTTTCATGACCGGTATCGGTTGGTGAGCGATGAGTGCCTTCATGGCGAGCTGCGCTTGGGTTTTGGCAGGTTTATTGGGCAAGACACCTCTCCACTGGGGTAAAGCCTCGGCCTTCTCCTTCTCCGCATCGCCCTCGGCGGATCCATCGTGCTTCTCTGGCTTCTGGTGTGAGCTCTGCGAACTCAGCTGATCCAGCGCCTTCTCGATCATGCCAGTGGTGTACACGCGCTTCGTCTCAGGGTTCACAAGCCTTCCCGCGACCATGTGGATGACTTCATTGCGGACACGGTCGATTTGCGCATGTCGCTCCTGCTCGCCGACCTGGAATTCGCCCTTGTCCAAGATCTCCGCGATGATTTCCTCCTCTTTCTTGCCGGGGAACGATTTCTCTAGGTCGCCTTTGTTGGCATATTCGCCCTTGTTCACGTTGACGAAGACCCGGGTGATTTGTAGGACGTTATCGATGTCGGTTTCGATCTTCTCCTTATACTCGAGCAGTTTGTTCTTGTAGCAGGCGATCTCGTACCGCTTCTTGCCTAGAGAAATGTCAGTCGATGCGGGGGACCGGATGAAGCGTGGGGCAATACCTTTCTTTAGGCGAACGAGTGCTACGTTCGTGAGTTTGATCTGATTTGAAGGTTGGTTGATCGGCATCGTGGTGTGAGTTTATTGATATGCGATGTGCTCGTCGTAAAGCTGCCAGACCTGCTCCGGTCTGTCTTTATATTATGAGCTGGAGTCAGAAAAGTTGTTACCTGTGAATCCTTGGTTAAGTTGAGAATGAGCCATATTGAATCACAACCAATCATGCTTAACGGAGCTAGTCCCAATAAGGAATGGTACCAAATGTATTTCAGACGACGTCAGAAGCGCCTACAATATAATTCGGAATCTAGAGAGTGCACAGTTCTGTCCTACTTAATGGAAGAAGACACAATCCGTGGTATTCACATGATGAATACCTACGGATAGATATGTGTACCTGCATCACATCCGTGTTGTACCTGGCATCGGTTGACTTTCCAAGGCCGACAATGAAACGCTAAAACCTCGTGACCTTGGAGCATCTGATGGCACTAGTCCGATTGCAGCAAGGTGGCTGGGGGCTGGGGCGGGCGCTGATACGCTCGAGCTTGGGTGCGTCATCCATCTCGTGGTTACCTACTCAACCCGCCTCCTCCGTTCAACACCGAACCTCCCTCTCCTCTCTATCTATACTCTCTTATCCTCCACATCCTCTCTCCTCCATCTCATTCTCTCATCCCCTTCCATCCTAACCTCGATCATCCGTTAAGCTCCATTAACTTGTGGGCTTGCTGTCTATCGCCAATCTTCCGCTCGGTATCCCCATATCGGCTTATCGCAGAGCTCTGGTAGCTCCGACAACTCAACAACCTCAATCATGAAGGTAGCAACCTCGGCCTTGCTCTTCGGAGCTGCCACTGCAGCTGTTGCTCCTCAGCAGCAGGTCCTCAAGCTCCCCGAGCAGATCACCGAGCAGTTCAAGGACATCAAGACCGACTCATGGACGAAGCCGCTCCACAACCTCGAGGAGTCCCTCAAGTCACTGACCGGTGAAGCTCGCCGCGTCTGGGATGAGGTCGCTCTCATGTTCCCAGAGTCTTTCGACCAGGCTTCATTCTTTTCGTCCCCCAAGCCGCACGTCCGCAAGCACGACTCTGAGTGGGATCACATCGTCAAGGGTGCTGATGTCCAGAGCGTCTGGGTTGAGAATGCCCAAGGCGACAAGGAGCGTGAGATCGACGGAAAGCTCGATACCTACAACTTGAGGGTCAAGAAGGTTGACCCCAGCTCGCTTGGTGTCGATAAGGTCAAGCAGTACAGTGGATATCTTGACGATGACGAGGAGGACAAGCATCTCTTCTACTGTGAGTACCTGAATGTACGCGTCATTCGCCACATCGTCTAACATCCCATCAGGGTTCTTTGAGTCCCGAAATGACCCCAAGAACGATCCCGTCGTTCTGTGGCTCAATGGAGGACCTGGTTGCTCTTCGCTCCTTGGACTGTTCATGGAGTTGGGCCCTGCCTCCATCACCAAGGATGGCAAGGTCAAGTCCAACCCCTACTCCTGGAACGCCAACGCCTCCGTTATCTTCCTCGACCAACCCGTCAACGTCGGATACTCTTACAGCAGCGGCTCCGTGAGCAACACTGTTGCTGCTGGCAAGGACATCTATGCCCTCTTGACCCTCTTCTTCAAGCAGTTCCCCGAGTATGCTGAGCAACCCTTCCACATTGCTGGCGAGTCCTATGCTGGACATTACATTCCCGTTTTCGCTTCCGAGATTCTTTCTCACAAGAAGCGTAACATCAACCTCCAGTCCGTTCTCATCGGTAACGGTCTCACTGACGGCCTGACTCAGTACGAGTACTACCGCCCCATGGCCTGCGGTGAGGGAGGCTGGCCAGCCGTTCTTGGCGAGTCTGAGTGCCAATCTATGGACAACGCCTACCCTCGCTGCGCATCTCTCATCGAGAACTGCTACAACTCCGAGTCTGTCTGGTCTTGTGTCCCTGCCTCGATCTACTGCAACAATGCTATGATCGGCCCCTACCAGCGCACTGGACAGAACGTCTACGATGTCCGCAAGCCCTGCGGCAGCAATGGCCTCTGCTACGACGAGATTGATTGGATCACTGCCTACCTTAACAAGAAGGAAGTCATCAAGGCCGTCGGAGCCGAGGTTTCCGGCTATGATAGCTGCAACTTCGATATCAACCGTAACTTCCTCCTCCAGGGTGACTGGATGAAGCCATATCACCGCGTCGTTCCCGGCATTCTCGAGGAGATCCCCGTCGCCATCTACGCTGGTGATGCCGATTACATCTGCAACTGGCTTGGCAACAAGGCCTGGACTGAGGCTCTCGAGTGGCCAGGCCAGAAGGAGTACAAGAAGGCCGCTACCGAGGATCTCCTCCTCGGCGGCAAGGGTGACAAGATTGGACAGGTCAAGTCCAGCGGTAACTTGACCTTCATCAGGATCCACGGTGGTGGCCACATGGTCCCCTACGACCAGCCCGAGGCTTCGTCCGACTTCTTCACCAGGTGGTTGTCTGGCGAGTGGTGGGAGACCAAGTAAATTGTGTCACATTTCTTTTTTCCCTAAGTCACGTATATGATGATACCGCATGGCACGCCCAGAGATTGTAATCTGTTGAGAAGATCTGGCTTGGTTTCATTCTGGTAATCTTAGCAATTTGGATTCAAATCATTTTGTATTTTATCGCATGAATATACACAAACTCTAGATCATTGAACTAAATCTTATGGAAATCCTTTATCTTGAGAAAATGACCCCCTTGCTACTGCCGTGTCGTACGTCTGCCTTTGAACATTTCTTCATCGTTACTGCCTTGGTGCTCTCTTTCCTCTCTCCGCCGTGCCTGCGCCTTCTTGGAACGGCGTGTTCACTACATTATCTCCTGTCTGACCGCTTGGCTTCCGTGACCAAACTTTGTCTTGTAACCTAAGGCTTCCTTCTTCTTGCATAGTCGTTCAATATGAATTCGATATAGATTCCATCCGCCCAATCATTGGGGTGGGACAAGTCTCCAGCTTGTACGTATGTACATTCACAAGTGAGGCGTTCATCATCCCTGCCCTGAGCCCCTACAACGTGCATGATCAGCTCATTTGGGTACTGCCTCAGCCTGGGCGACACTCAACCTTGTCTGGATATTGTATCCTGCTCCAACGACTTCCTTGCACCTCACTTCATTCGAAGCGGGAGCCTAAACCATGGCAGAAATAGCGGGAACCGTCGTTGGAATAATATCTTTGGGTATCCAACTATGCAGAGGCATTACGTGGTATATCGACTCTGTGAAGCATGCAGATACGCGGAGATCCGAGATCTCAATTCAAGTTGAAGAGCTGGAGAATATTCTCGAGAAGTTGGATGCTGTCGTTGGAAAAGCCCAGGCTAATGAACACCTACAACAGACAAGTCGGTCAGCTATCACGACATGTGCAAATGCTATTGAGAGGATCAAAGCAAGTATCGGGCCAGTCCATTTGGAAGAGGGATCGAAGCTACCTATACAAGCTCGCAAATTCAGAATCCGATTATCACACCCATTCAAGCAGTCAGAGATATCGCACTGCAAGGAAATGTTGCACAACATTCAACAGAATCTTCAGTCAGCATTGTCAGCCGTGCAAATGTAAGGATGGATCCTTTCAACAAATGAGACTAGAGCCCTCTGACTCTTTGAGATAGAGAACAGGCACAACTGAATCAGATACAGCTGCTTCGGCAATCGAACTCCAACAGAAAAGCCCTCCATGAGAGGTTGGACTTGATGGCGTATCAACACAAGAAAAATGTCCAAGCCCTCGACACAAAGTTGACGATACAAGATTCGGGCGTCAAAGAAGGGTTCCTATTAGTTGAGAGCAGTATACAGGACCTTAGGAAGTCTGTGTTTCCAGTGGCTGAAGGCATCCCCAGCATATTGGAGACCCTGGTTACATTAGCTTCTGATGTCAATCGGCTTGTAAGTTATCTAATCAATGCATGTGAATATGTGTTGACGTTACATTGTTTCAGAGCACAAGTATTGAAGCACGCTCTCCTGCAATGGTCTCGATGAGCACTATTGGGCGTGATGTTTCAGAGATAAGAAGCTTGACGAAACATGTCCGTGCAGCTTCCTCAAAGGGATCACGAGCTATTAGCTCATACCATTCATGCGATTGCAAGCACCACAAAAAATCATATAGCTACTCCTTATGGCCTTTCGAGCTTTGGAAATCGCTGACACGGAAGCATAGGATCGATTGCCCACACTCCATCTACGAAGATGCAACGACCCAATTGGGAATTCAATTGAATCTTTGTAGCCTCATGTTGAAGCGTAAAGTTCAGATCTCTGTCTTCTTTTCGCAAAGCATGAGGGGTCCTGGGGTTTCATCCAACTTGAGATGCCATCGGATTGTCACATCGGGCTCACCTGCTTTCAAGCTAGTGTTTGACTTCCTAAATGAGTCCATATCAGGTCCAAATTCCTACAAGGACATGACCGATGAACTTTTCAAGTTGTTCCAACTGAGAGAGGCGTCGCCCCATGATAGATTGGAGGATGGGATGACTCTACTACATGTTAGTTGTTCACGCTGTTGGATTATTAATACCAGATTCTAATCAATGTATATAGTACTTTTGTTTCTGGGGGAAGATTTGCGATGATGAAAGAAGCCCATCCAATTGGCTAGGTGTGGTCGATTATCTACTCAAGGTCCTGGGTGACGGAGCCTTGGAAAAAGATATATCTGGCCGGTAGGCCTCATCCCAGTCTTTTTTGATATTCAATATACTAAATTGGGTAAAGGAACTGTGTGGAGTATTTACATCAGAAGCAAAGCATCCACAATGACATCCTTGTGAAGCTACTCGACTATGGAATACCTGCGGTTTTATCTATGAAAGAAACGAGGAGGGTCCTTTGCATGTACAAGAAAGTGCCATTGTACCAGTACAGTGATACTGTGGATTATCCCGAAACAATAGCCGCCATTCTGTCTCGATCCGAAAGTGGCCTACAGGAGCTTATTGACAAAGACCAAGGTCTAATTGACGTTGTTGACGATTTTGAAACGACAATGTATGAATTGGCGACCAATCTGGGATGGCGACAAGGCTGTGAAGTCTTAAGGAGAAACAATGTCAGTATATCAAGAAGGTCTTTCCTTCTATGGAATGCCACCCTTTTAGAATTGGCTGTCATATCCAATGATCTTGAAACACTCCGGTTCTGGCTTGAGATTCGGGACACTGCAACAAGCGAAGAGCTTCAATATATCGGAGGACTCGAGGGAGCATGGAATTTGGCATTGACTCGGCAAAATTCCGAGGTTAATGTCAAGGAACTGCTATCCGCCCTTGTTTCCCAGCGCACATTGCTGTGCGAACTTGCGGAATACCATCTTCCGGAAGAAGCTTCAACATTGCCTCAGGATCGTCTACTTGATGCTTCGGCTATCGAGGTATGGGAAGCTCTCTGCAAATATGGAATCAATCCGAAGCCTTCACTGCGACCGAGTAAGAGAAGCGTATATCATATATACACCTCTATGTCACCTCCTATTGACCAAATCATCGATGGATTTGATAAGGCCTTCGAAGCAGGATTCAAGGACGTGAAACCGGAGGATTTCCAAGATTGTGGAGTCATATCGCCACTGTTTTTCATTATTTTATTTACGAGTTGGAAAGAGATGCTAAGAATGGATTTAGTGCGCTGGTTTGTCTCGAAAGGCGCCGATCTCTATGAATGTTGGCCTAATTCGGACTGCACTACCATTCACCGTTTAGGTTGGAGAGTAGGCAGTGATCTTTTTGCTTTGAACTATTTAGGATACCCGGAAAAAGCTTCTCGATTATTCTCAGGTACAGTCACAGATTCATGTACTTGTAGCTGTAGCGGAATTTTGGGCTGTCGATTAATCCACGCCTTATTCAAGGACATGGCTGATAATGATGACATGCGGAGCTTAGACGAAATGGTCGCGTTGGTGCTGGAAGAGGTCGTACACGACAGCGAACATAATGACTGGCTGGTGGCCGAGTTCTTGAGGGCGTTTACCTTCTATAAAATCGGGCTACGACATACCTGCTGCGATATCAGTCGTCTTAAGTATTGGGCTAACCCAGATAACACGACCTCACCTACACCACAATACCAGCCGGATGAACTCCGGGAAATAATGGACGAAGATGCTGAATTGACGGTAGTCTTGGAACGACTGGTGGCAGAGTTTGGACAGGGTTATGCAGAGGCAAAGAAGGAGAACCCACCTCTGGCTGACTTCTACCGCAACGTCGTTATCCCCAGGACTGACGTGGAGGTGAAGAAGCTGGAGAGGGAGGATCAAAAGATGTTCGCGCGCGGTCGTAGAGACATGGGAGTAGTCATAGAAGTCACCTCAGATGACGAAAATGAATACGATGATGACACCGAGTATCAACGTGATGAGATTGGAGAGGCCGAGTCCACCAAAGACAAAGACGAAGAGGAGGAAGATGAGGAAAACGAATACGAAGATGCAGTCGAGTATCCCGAAGAAGATTTACATGAAGATGATGGTCACGAATGCACGACGACGAGAGTTTGATTCCTGGATTGGTTGCTGGCTCTACTTCGAGTTAATATCTAGCCTTATGCCGATTTGCATTTGTGAATAGACTTGTTCACTTGCTTGCTTGCCTGTTTACTACTGGTGCGTTATCTGGATTATTCTTGTCCGTGATGTAAAATTTATGAGTGAATGAGTGGAAGGTTGTATTGCTGTGTTATGTTGTGGTTTCTGTCGTCTGCGTGTATAGGGGAGGGTTGAGGGGGTTGGGTCGTGTGATTAGAGTGGAAAGACGCTGGTAGATGTCCTTATTCCAGGGTACAGGGGTTTCTAGTACCGTGGCATTCATCTGTCTAGGATGTTGGCATCGGATGGCGGGGTTTTATTTCGATTGGGATCGGATGTGTAGCCTAAGTTTCATTCATTCATGGTGACTGGGAATGAAAGGGTTGTACCCAGGCAATCCAGTCACTGCCGTGGTTTTCTCTCGTCGTGTCGAAGCTTGTCAACGACTGGTACTATACATCTGGATGATGGGAGCTGAGTCTAGGACTCGTTACCTTACCCAAGATACAAAGACACATGGCTATATTACGGGACTATTGAAATACTGATGGGTCGTGGTTAGTGAACCTGGAAGTATGTCCCTCTGGAAGGCGATTGTTTACAAGTTGATTTGTTCCACATAATCTAGTCTCTTGCTTTGTGTACAATCCACCGATGAATGAAGACATACGACAATAACTGCGTAGTGCCGGCTCCCTCCTAACTTCCATCAACGAATGGTCATCTCACCCAAAAGAAGATTGCACAAATGAATTGGGCAAATAATCCATCTCATTCTCATCGTATTCAAAGCCAACTACCTTCAAAGGACTAACATGCCCCTAGATCTTGATTTGAAACGACGATGAAATGCTATACATTATGCTATGCAATGCTACAACTTTGACCAAGTTTTTTTTTCAAAAACGACTGAACTTTTCCTTTCCCTTTTCCTTTTCCCCAATTTTTTAAATAACCCCTCCCCTTCCAGATGATCAAAGGAAAGGGAGATAAGAACGCCGTAAAATGCGGTATGTCGCTTTCGTCGCAGAGACGATGATGCACGTAACCCTTTCCTTGCTCTTGGTATCTACCAGCAAAAAAAAATGCAACAACACGTGATACTCTATATCTATAGAATCTCTACGCGAACGAGATCAAGCATCCCTCGTGTAAACCGACCTCTGCCTCCACTTCCCGCCGTACCTCCACACTAGCCCGCTCACGGGCGCGAGCACCAGACACGCAGCAGCTAGCAACATGAATGCCCATCCGTACCCGACGGCCGCGACGAGCGGCGCGGTGACGAGCGGCAGGAAGGTTCCCAGCAGGCACCGAGTGATGAGCACGGCGGTCATGGCGGACGCGGAGTAGACGCCAAACGCATCGACGACGTAGGCCATGACGGGGAGTTCGATGAGCATGAGGCCGAAGCCCTGGAGGACGACGGAGGTGAGGAAGACGGGCAGCTTGAGGGAGAACTCGGCGGCCCAGCCGTAGAGGGCGACGAAGATTGGGAAGATGGAGGAGGCGAGGAGCATGAGGGGGAGGCGGGATTCAGGCGCGGGTTTGGGGTTCGCGGGGGTTGCGGCGCGCTTGTAGAGGCGGTCTAGGAGAGTGTTGCAGACGACGAGGCCGATGCAGGAGCCGATGCCTGGGAGGGGATGTTAGTTTGTGTGAAGGGCTTATTGAGAAAGGTAAGGGAAACGTACTGAAGAGCAAGAACGAGCTTCCGACGAGCGAAGGCGGCAGGTTGTATTTGGACTGGAGGATGTCGGGGAGAGTGGTCGACATGATGTAGAAGAAAGCGAAGACGAGGGCGCCGTATAGCGAGAGGATTTGCAGGACGAACGAGCTGGCAAGGACGTTCATGGGCCGGACGATGGAGGCCCAGAGCGCGGACTCCTCGATCTCGTGGACGGCCTTCTTCAGGGTCTCGTCTTCTTCGTCCTGGTCGGCGTCTGCGCTGCCGTTGGCACGGAGCAGCGCGTGGTTCTTCTTCACGATCACCACCTTGTACGTCTCGCGGAACAGCGTCAGGAACGCCGTCTCGCAGAGAATCGCAAGGATGAGCGCCATGTACATGACCTGTCTCCAGCCGGTGGTTTGGGCGATGGTTCCAGCAATGGCAGGGCCGATGGCACCACCGAGGAGGGGTGCAAGCATCACGTAGGACATGGCAGTTCCACGCTGCTCGGACGGGAAGATGTCGCCGATGATGGCGGGCCCGAGGACATTGGAGGCGACGGCACATCCGGTCAGGAAACGGGCGAAGATGAAAAGGCTTGCACTCTGGCACCAGGCACTCAGGCCGATGCCGCAGATAAAGAGGACATTGGCGACGTTGAACACGGGGTACCGTCCATACATCTCGGACAGAGGGGCGATCAGGAGAGGGCCTGCTGCCTCGCCAAGTTCCCAGATGGTGACGAGGAGGACGCTGCTAGATTTGTCGCTATGGCCATTGTTGAGGTCTGCAACGATGTGGCCAGCAATTGGGACCACGGATATGCAAGTGAATGTCCTGGTTGAGCGTCAGTGAATAGAACGAGACGTGTAAGGTGATACGGGATAACTACACTGTGAATGCCTGCACGAATAGCAAGGCGACGACACTCCATCTATACGCCGATGACCACTGATCAGGCAGTTTGGCTGCGACCTTAGTCTCTTGCACCTCGGTGACATCAGCCTGAAGGAGGGGCTGTCTCTCGTCTGCGACCATCTTGTCAGACTTTGGAAGAGTCACACAGAACCTGGTCTAACGAACTGGACCGCCTTTCTATATTGTATGTAACTATGCACAGGACGAGCAGAGAGTACTTTGGCAATGACAAGAAGGCAAGAATAGAAGGAGAGAGGTGCAAAAGGTTTCAGAGTAAATAGACTAAAAGGGATGAAGGATGGTTCGACCCCGGACGGACCCAGTCATAGACGGACAAACGAGGACTTGCTATGCTAACAGTCAAGAGTCACAGTTACAGTCACCGAGGGACAAGGACAAGGACAAGGAGGGAGAGACAGAGGCAAGGCAGGCTATTGTCGGTAGTTATTCGTCTAAGTAGGGTACTTTCTCGTAGGGCGCGCTTACAAAAGAGCGAGAAAACTCGGATTTGCAGGAAAATTTCCATTACCCAAAGCGTAACCGTAAATGGGTGTAGACCAATCCCGATTAGGAAAGTCAACAGGATTTAGCCCATAAGCCACTGCGACTCGACGTCCACCGTCCGACCATCCAGAACGACCGCTATGTACCAATTATGAAAGGAACAATACATACGAGTAAGTACGAGCATACAGTAGCAGGTAGTATTTGCCACTGCGATGCGGTCGAGGCATGAGAAAACCCATCGTTCTCTCTCAATCTAGTCACATACACCTAGGTACCTAACCCTACCCAACAGATCCAGTCATGCACCATTCCGATTATCCCCAAACCGCTTTGGGGACCAGTAATGGGCGATGTTGGGAATGAATGATCATGAGAAGGGGGAACGAAAAGAATCCGATGGTGGTGCTGCCAGTCCATAAGGGTTGTCTGGATACCCTTGCACCCAGCCACAACCGATACTAGACAACAACTCCCTTACACGCCTGGCCGTATTCTTAAACTTTTCTTTCTCGAAATCGAGTTGAGCAACCACTGGTCCCATGCCCGGTGCAAAGCCTAAGCTTGCCTCTGCCTTCCACCACTGCCTTTGCTGCGCATCGACTTTGTATGAGTTCACCTTCGCTGTACGGCAAATATGCGACAAAGTCGGAATGGCGAATTGCATCGATCTCATCATTTCGAATCGGATGATTGTCCCCAGTAAGTGCATAGTTCGTACGGATGAATAGTCTTCAGGTGCAGTCAGCGTGTCGCACGCCTCGAAGAACCCTTGTACCATCCGCGCCAAATGGTGAGAGCTCGTGGCGAGGAAAAGGTCCGTGAATGAATCATCCTGCAGGGAGACTTCTATGTCAAGTCAGAGAAATACCGGGTCTAGTTGGGCTCACAGCGCTTTACCAGGTGTATAGGGCCAGCCCAACGAGTTTGCATATTGCTCTAGCAATCGGCGTTCGTCCCAGTCTGCCCACTCCTTCGGTAATTGCTGTCGATAATGTTTCCAGGAACTCTGTTCACCGTGCTTCTTGGCCTCGAGATAGAGCTGGTATCCTAAGCTCCGCTCCAAGGGTGCTCTTGAGTTCGAACGGCTATGCGTCACAATTGCTTTAAATTTCCCTCTTAGATTGTTCATGACAGAAGGCTTGTTGTTAGGGTATTCCCGACCTGGCGTGCTATCTCCGCCTGGCTTCATGTGATGTCTTCGTCCACGATAGTTAGGTCGACCGCGCCCATAGTCCTCGCCTTGACTTGCTCGCAGAGCGCTAGCGGTCAAAGGTTGTTGCACTTGAGGAAGCTGCGCTTGTTGACTCGTGTTCTCTCCATTCTTGGCCGGAATGTTCCCTTGACTCCGCTCGCTCTGAGATGGTTGCATGTTCTCATGATTGCTCCTAGGTCCAATCTGTGGGGACAAATGTGTGCCCGATTGCTTCGCTTCGTCTGAACAATTGAGATATTGCTGCTGTTCTGCTTGGTACTCCTGGCATCGTCTGCGCCAGATAGGGATGTAATCGGATGCCCGAGTTAACTGCGGTGAACTCGAGTCTTCGGTGTGCGACAGAGGATGGGCTGGCTGGCTGGGGGCTTGGTCTACATCCGTGTGGCCATCGAAAGGAACCTCGCCAGAGGCAGTGTAAGACATGGTGATGGTGGGGAGGTAGTTAGCACTGGTAAGAATACTTTTAGTGCTTTGATGATGTGGGTAGACAGAGTTCTGTGAGCGAATGAATATGGGAAGCTTGATGAGATTGTAAGTTGTAGTGTGAAGTGTTGGTTGTTGGATGGGTGGAGCGGTCGGTGTGGTAGAAATGCCTGGTGTAGTGGTGGCAAGCACATAGGAAGGCAGTTGGCGGCCATGCTGAGCTGGAAGGAAGGTAAGCATCGTGTAGATGAAAGGCGTATGGTAGCGCGAAGTGCAGGATCAAAGTCATTACGTTCAGTCACGCCGCATTCCAATGCCTCAATATTAGGATTGATTGTTCTCAAGATTACAACTCGGCAAGGAGGTAGCTCAGGGTAATGGTCCGATCATCTTCGTACAGTTTAGAGCAAAAGTACCCGCCGGACTCCATCCATGCCCATCCGCTCCTTCCAGGTTGCTGCAATAGATATTCCCATCTTGGTAGGTAGATCGACATAGTACATGTGTAGCGCGACATGGTTTGGACCAAGTTATCTTGGGATGGTATAAGTATCTCATGATTTGATCAACTGGACAGTGGATTGAAATGGCTTCTGGACCTGTTGGCTCTTGTTTGTCGTAGCAAAAGGCCAATTGGAAAAGGAAATCATGTGTCAGTCGAAAGAAAGTATCGCAGCCGCGTCGTACCCATTTCAGAGGATATTCCGGATAGCAAGCACAGGGGCAGGCTGATGCAGTAGCTCTACGCTCCAAAATGGTCTGCAAGTAATAAGAATCGAAGAAAGAGATTGTGAGGCTCTAGGTGTTTTCTTCATCGACAAGGTGCTCGGCCGTAACAGCTGGCTGACATCCAACACGAACTGCCAATTTCAATCGAAACCATCCATCCTCGGCACATCCACGTGCCAGCCGTTCTCGAAAGAATCTTTTCTTCGAATCCACCGGAATCTCTAGCGAAATCATTGCTTGGTCAGGCTCTCCGTACTCAGGTCGAGGTCTCTTTCCGCTTCCAATCGGCCGGCGACCCTCCCTGGAGTTCCACAGGCTGAATCGCGGGACCCAACTCGTGTGCATATGCGTCTTCGCCTATGCCCATCTCATGTTTCTTCTGGTCTCCGACAAGCTCCTTTGGTGCGCTGTATCTGTGCGGGTACGTGGCACTGGAATCTGCCAATTCTATAGGTTTCGTATGGTTGCGACGTCGGCGGATGAAGAAGAATGCGCCGGCTGCAATTAGTGCAAGGGGCACAATAACACATGGGACGACGATGGCGGCAATGGGCGTTTTGTTAGAAGAGCCGGATTCTTCTGCTGAGTTTGTCGAAGTTGAAGTGGCGGTTGAGAGGGACGGCGCGGTGGCTGTCTGAGGACCTTGTGTTCCAGTTGCTGCTGCCGTGTTGGTTGACGTTACTATGATCTATTAGAACTGATGATTTACAGGAATTGCAATACAAACGTACAATCAGTCAACAGGGTGGTCTTAGAGCAGTAGCTCGCGAACAGCTCCTGCACCTTAGTGACCTCGGGCTCAGGGCTTCCTTTGGTGATTGTCGCCAATCCGCCTGTTCGTGTGAGGGCGCATTGCTCCTCGACGGCTGTCGACAGAATGGAGTTGAATTCTGTGCTCGAGTCGATACAGAAGCAAGAGAACGAAGTCAATTGCATGTTATCGCCGCATCCTGAAAACTGGGCGCGGATGATCGCACTGACTCTGTCTTCTGCGCATGATGCCAGCCGAGAATATAGTGGGATCTGGTCAATGAAGATGCTGGTAGATTTCGCGGCGACTGGAGTCGCTGAGATCGCGATGAGCGAAAGGAGAGGGAGGATGAGAGATGTCGATTTCGCAGAGAAAGGTTTCATTTTGAAGAAGATTGGCTCGCAACGGTGCGAGAGAACGATTATGGTATAATAGTAGAAGTAGAACGAGCACGCGCTAATCACATCACGATATGGAGAAGAAGGTAGGAAAGCGAGGCAAGATTCGGACCCGCGAGCAGTGCTGCCTGTAGCAATATATCGAAGTCCGATCAACAATCAGACCTGGACGGCGGCAACTAGCTTCGCAAGTTAGTCCAACCTTAACTGTATCAGGGTTGTGCAAACACCTGTAATTAAGTCCGTAAACGTACCACAAAGGATCATACGGTGCTTGGCCACGAAAGGTTAAACTTGAACAAGTCAAAACGTTTCCTAGTTGGATCGTTTAATCTTACCAGGGATGATGGGGCTGGGTTGTGTTGTGTATTATCTATTTCCTCTGTCGAAACCCGAATGCCCTTGATCCGGGACTCTCCAGCCGAAAGTGCTTCGCTTGCTTTTTGCTCCATGGGGAATATCCAACTCACTAGCGTGAGGCTAGATATTTATTCTCTGTCGTATCGATGCAGTCCATTATTGGTTTGCAGGCAGTTCTGAATGCTATTGATGGACGGGCAGTCCCGCTCTGCAGGGTGACGTCGGCTATGATTTGATAGCGGTCCAAGTGGCCCCTGAGTGGCGCCTGGGTAGTTTTGATGAACGTGAAACCTTCCCGTAGTGATTGAGACCCTTGCTGTTCAAATGAAGCAAGTCTTCGTACACTCGGTCCAATTTTCTGTCGCCTTGTGATGGACCCCACGCGGGGTCACGACTCACGAAACATGTCAACTGTGATCGGGAGTAGACTTGCAACTTCGTCCACGCATCGATTCTATAGCCCAGCATCCGCGGCCTATGAACAACGTGGTAGTAATTCTCCGTTCAACCGCCGATCGGCACACGGAGTTTGAACGCAGCCCTTCCAGGTGTGATGTCGTGCGATCTGAAACCCTTGCCTTTTGTACGGACTACTTGGTGCTGTGATTGGAGTCGTCTAGACGTTGGTCAAGCGCTACATGGTGCAAAGAAGGAATGCCTTCCCAGTCAGCCAAACTTCACTGTACGAGAGATATTTCCGGCCCCTACCAAATCTTGTTGAGAATGGAGTGGTTCGAACCTCTCCGCCACCTGGCGCCTGCAATGCAATGTATTCCATTTACACCGAGGAACCGCCTTGATCAGCTCATGTTTCGATTGGAGTTCTTGTTGGCATGGCTCTCGTTCTTCCAATGGCACAAAAGCGATATATCCCATGTTGGTTAGTCAATTCCATAGGAGGGCAAAAGGTGTGTTGAATTGCATGATCGGAATCAATCGAAGTCGGGGTATCATTGTTATATAAATAAAATAGAATCGTTTACATCTGGCTCACGTGGTGGTAGCCGTCTTCATCCGCCGGCGCTCTTCCTCCCGCCTTGCGTCAACACCAGCTAAGAACTCCATACGGCCCAAGTAGGCTTCCTTCGTCTTCCCGTGGACGTCCAACTCCTCTGCAATGCCCTCCTTGTTGACGAATCCCGTCCAATCCAGTCTGGATTTGTCGACCACATTGAGTTTCTGTGCTCTCTCCGGTCGAATCGCTTTTGTCGCTTCGGCCATGTTGGGATTGTCCTGGCCAGGAGCAGCTGTAGGCGTAATGCGACCTCTCCGTGGCCATCCGAGTTGATGCTCAGCTGGAAGTGCGCGAACGTAGCCGAGTGGGTTGGCGTCGAAACGCGAAGGGCGACGGAGCGGGCGTCTGATTTTAGACTCCGCATCTTTTTCACTCTTCTTCTCGGCGTCGCTCCCTACCGCACCAGTTTCCACGGTTTTCCACCCATCCGCCAGATGTTTGTCTAGCAACGAGCGAGGTACCTGCTTCTCCTCTGTGGTGTTCTGGCCTGCGAAGTTGTACACTTTCTTTATAGATACGAGATCCGTCTCATCCTGTACTTGTGCTTCTGAATCCTTATTTGCACCTTGTGCTTGTGTTTCCTGATCTTTTGACACGGAAGGTGGGTGTGTTGGTTGTAAAGGTGCGGCCGACATCTGCGCCCACAAGGCATCGACATCAACGGTAGCCCCATCCGTTCGTGCCAACGGCCTCCGCTCCTTTTGCTCGTCCCGTCTCTGTGCCCTTGTCTTGATCAACCCTCCATCGCCGCCTTCATCCTCTGATAATATGAGCTCGTCATCGTCGACGTTCTTTTTCCCGCCCTTTTGCTTCTTTGACTTCCGCTTTCGCGCAGCAGCTTGTATGGTGACTTCATCGCCGGAGTCTAGATCATCGTCCGCGGGCGCTTTCCGCTTGCCTTTACGCGCAGCTGGTTTGGCATTGGCTTCTTCTTCGTCTGAGGAGGCGGACGATTCGTCGGCCGGTATTGCTACGGGATCGAAGTCCTCATCGGATGATTCGTGGTATGCTTCCTCTCCATCAAGGTCGTCATCGAGGGGGTCATGGGGAGCCATTGTGATGTCGCGTAGAAATTATGGTCCAACTATGGAGAGGACGCATTCAAGATATTTAGGTACTTAGGTAGATACAGCACTAGTCTAAATCCGGCGTAGTCACGTTGCAACCTCACCATTGTCTTGACCACCAATCCGGTTGATAGACAAAGCAAAGATCATCAGACAAACACTCGATATTCTGGTTCTCGTTGCAAACGTTGTGTCAAATGACCAAGCTCTATCACGACTGGAGAAATGTAGTTTCCAACTGCATGGCAAAACATACCAATTTTATCCTTGCATTGATGAGGAGGTAGTAAAAAGTTGTTTCAGTATTGTCGAGCCCATGAAGCTGAGATTTTTCTTGAACAGATATGTACTTTACTATATTAATTAATTCATTTCTTCAATAATCACACCGTCTAATGGTATCTCAAGCCCTGCTATAAAAAGACCCAGTGTGTTCCCAAAAAAAAAGAAAACCGTCTCCAGAAAACATTAGTCCATCATCTCTCTTCTCGTCTATGCCTCTCAAAGCACAATGACGACCTCTTCCCCGACCCTCGAGTTTTTAACACCATATCTATCCGTCTCGAGACTCCAAGTCAGGTTCCCGGTAGTGTAAGCCTTGCATCCGTCTACGAACCTCCGCACCTGGACCCTCGTCTCCTCGTCCGCATGCTCGTACTTGGAGGTCAGGGACTCGGCGACGTGGTCCATGTTCTTGATTGATTCGTCGATAATGGTCACTACTTCATCGACGGCGATCTGAATGTCGTCGCCGCAGCTGCCGGCGCTGCTGTCGCCGAACTGTGACACTAGGATCGGGATCAGGCTGTCAATTGCGTTTCGCTTCTACAGATCCACTTGGTTAGTCCAGATAGATCGATCACGGTGAAGGGGAAAACGAGAGGAGACATACAATTTCCTTCTTGACCGAGAGCAAGTCGTTGACCGCCACGACGAGGACATTCGTGTAGCGGAACATCGTCCGGACGTCCTCGTCGGAGTAGAATTCGACGGGGAGGTCCATGCCGCTCCAGCTGAACTCGTTGAGCGCGAGACACGAGTAGACAGCACTGCTGCCGAGGCGGTAACGCCAGTACTCCTCGATGGTGGGGATGGCGCCCGCGATTCGGAAGGCCTCTTCCTGCTTGGTGTTTTCGATGTAGAAGCGGAGTTCCTCGTAGAACATGTGGCATTTCTCGGGCGAGTAGGCCTTGCGGACGGCGGAACCTATGGTGTCGAATGTTAGAATGATCTCGTTCGACGGTTCTGGGTCGAGGTTGGAGAGGCCCAGGGAGAAGCGGATGTATGCGAGGGTCTCTTCGCGGTAAAGCTGCGCAGCGTGGTGGTCGTCCCACATTGCGCCATCACTGTGGTCGATCTCTGTAACCATATTAACATCTCGGCAAGATAGCGTGAGGCTTTGGAGAGGGCTTACCGTCGTCCCAGATGAAGAGCCAGATGGCAAAAAACGTCACGATCTTCAATTGCTCAAAGTCGGCGAAGGGCCACCACGTCGCGCCAAACAACCCAAAATCCGACGCCTGCAGTGCTTTGAGGATCTTGCTTGGAGGTAAAATACTAACGAACAATTAGCAATGTGCACAAACTAATGCAACGGCGGCAATCTCTCACTCATTGAGCCAGTCCTTCACATCCCCTCGTAGTCGATCAACATGGGGACTCGTCTGGGTAGGCCAGTGACGAAACAGTGGCTTCAGATTCGGAATTCGAATCATCTGCCCCTTGAGCGACAGCAAAAGCGTATCGCGAATTGCCTCCGACCGGGTATCATGGGCATTGCTGGCCTTCATCTCGAGCGTGGTAGTACAATTTGACTCAAGCAACCCCAAATCCCAACTGGGCTGGTTTCCAACGACGGGTGAGTGTAAAATCATAGTTACTATAAACCAGTCTGGGTAGCCGAAAAGAACTTGCACAATGGACGGATGCACAATGGTCGAGAAATTTCAAGTGAGAGTCACCACCAAGTGATTTCATATAGTAAGGGATCCCCTCATACCTATGTATCATTCACTCACTTCAAGACTTCTTACAGCAACTCGGGGCGTTTTCACCCCACCGAGCGTAGCCGACTGTCCCTCTGACCTCTGGGGCCAGAGATAGATACGCGGTGTTACAGTGCCCTAGGTATCATCCGGGGCAATGATGCGAATACTGGGGCGGCGCTGGAATGGCCCTGACTTGACATGCTCGAGCATATCCATGTCCATGTCCTCTACGCCCATACCCACCAAGATGAAAGGGAAAATGGCCCACGGCGGAGCAATTCGAAACTCAAACATCGAGAGTAGTTAGCTCTCATGCTCGACAGCCCTGTTGCGGTTAAGCTCGGTCGCAAAGGGTTGCGATCAGAATGATCACATCGCCGTCGTCCTCAAAAGCAAAACAAGAAAGCTTAAACATGCCATACACCTGTCACCGCCAACAAAACCTACGCCTCTCCAACCAACCTCCAAGCCACACGCCCTCAAAATCCGTACTCCGTGAGGAATAGGAAATCCTTTTTATTTTCACAGCAGCCAGTCAGGTACCGCGTATACAGATAGAGGACATGTAATCCCAGTATCGATATAATCCCACCTGCGCCACACAACCTCTCTCTCTACCATCTCAGCCCTCACGCCCAACCACGCCGCAGCTATGCGAACCCTAGATGTGAGTTCACCTGCGTTCTGAACTTACCTCAGAAAAAGGCTATGTCGTTCACGCGCCGCCGCACGAGACATCCATCCACCATCCAGTCATCCTTCGAACGAACATCCTACATCGTACCTCGCAACATCGTTCGTCCTCGTCGTCCGCGTGGTCAAATCCCAAAAACCGAATCACGCCCACGCCGCAGTAAGACGCACACACACTCCGCAAAGAGGTTAACCTTACCAAGAAAGCGCCACAATGCGCTTACACCTTACCTTTCACACGCTGTGGTCGAGAAACCAATGACGATAGATCGATGATTGGCGTAAGCCTGACGCCCTTTCTTTCCTTCTTCCTCCTATGGACAGGGATACTCGACGAACGTCAGATTCGCACGTGATGTACCTTCCCTTTCGTCCTTACCTGGCAGCTGGGTAGTTACTTTTCTTTGCTTTTGCAGATCAATTAAGATGGAAGTTACACAACCGCACCAACTACGAACTTCGCCGACTACAGCTCGTCCCGATTAGGCGGGTCGTGGCTGCTGCTGCTGCCTGGCTGGTCGGTCAGCGCCGCCGTTGGACGGATCGTAAAGGTTTCGCCAATCTGACAGCCACACGCCGTGCCGAATCGGGACGGGGGGACGGGGGGACGGGGGGACCGGGGGGACCGCGGGAATGGTAATGGTGAATTGATAAAGATAGCGCGCCATCATCGATCTCCCTGGGATACCTCGTCTTCATAGTGTGACGGGACAGCAGTGTGTGCGTCAAGCTGTATTGTTTTCCCGGGAATTGTGTGTTGATTGGTTGTAGGGGTATGCTTTCATTTAATTCGAGCTTTTTCTATGGTATGTTTTGTTTTGAGGAAGAAAGAATTACAAGGATGTTTTGGTTGAGTTTCACGAGCCTCGGACATGGGTTTCTCGAGGCTGCGTGCATGGGGTTCCTAGTAATTACTATGACGCAGAGAGCAATTCTGACTACAATGAAAACCATTAAAACGTGAACAGCTTCAACATACACGAAAGTGTTGCGTGGGTCAGTGTCATAGGATACGTAATACATGATGGGCGTTACTACGGAGAAATAGACGAAGTTCACTCATGGGAATCGGTCGAATTACGAAAAGAGGGTCCATTGTAACTATAATAATGAAAGACAGATAAGATATAAGAAATGTTAAAAGCAATCTAAAACGCACACTCCTCCACGCTCTCCATTCTGCATCGTCACTAGAGGCACTAAAGCTCCCTTGACTATGGGGGCAAACGCACTGGCATCCTTGATTGGACACTTGGGGTTGAAATGTTGATCGGGATGCAATAAGGTGGATAGAGACTGCCGCTTGGTGGTAGTCTGCTGTCCTCCTCTTCGCATAATCAATCATATACTCAGACATTGGCGTTCTTCTTCTTGGAGAGATGATAGAACCCTCAGGTCCAATGGTGACGTATAAGAGCAAACCGCAGAGCAGATAAGTGGCCAACAGTAAGACGGCTGAAATACCTTCCCATCTTCCCACATCCTTGTAAAGCCACATCAACGACGCACAGAGTATGTCCTAGATGTGGACAACTATAGTGCGTTGACGACAACGACGGCTCTTGGCTGGCCATACCAGCTCTATCATGCACGGTAAATGCGACCGTCAAGTCGAATGTACGGGTTGCATGATTGGGTGGCAGGATTGCCAAGTAGAACATATCGGGTTTATTTGTCAATGACCAGGAATTCAAAGATACTTGTCACAGCCTTCAACGGCTGATCGACAGAAGAATCAACCACCTTGCCCATTGGGAGGAGTACGATAGTAAGAGCTCTGCCCCAAGTCTGGGTTCCAGCTGCTGTACTTGCCAAAGAGGGATGGGCTGCCCATGTTGATGTCGGTATAAGTTGCTTGCGGGTACTGGTTGTATCCATTCACATTGAGGTTGTTGTTTCCGTAAACAGGACCATGGGGTGACGACGAGGGATTGCCCCATGCAGCACCGCTCCCGAGCCCACTAGAAAGACGATGAGCAGGAGTACCGGCAATAGGAAGTCCATTCCAATCATTAGAATTCTCTGAATCGCCACGGGCATGCCCAGGTGAGTGCGCCATCGTTCCGTTCATCGGCGAGCCATGTGCCATTAGCTCGTGCCCAAGTAATGGAGACGCCGGTCCGTTTCGGTTCCATATAGACGATCCATTATTCCTGCCGTCCGGTAAAGATGGCAAGGCCGCTGGCTGACGGAACGACGAGGACGAAGCAACTCTGTTCATTGGCATAGCAGCCAAAGGGGTCCCGAGAGCAGGAGAGGTGGCAGTTGGCTTGTAGTTCTGTACTGAGCTGACGAGGTCGCTGATGGTGATAGATCCAAGGCCATACGTAGTACTCGTGATCTTTGCGGTGTCCTCAAAGGTCTGCTCTGGTGGAGTTGGAGGCATATTTTCGTCTTCCTCAGGGAGAGGATCTAAACCGTCGTCCGGTCCAAGCAGGTCATCTACCATTCGGTTCATGACAGCATCCTTTGCAACAGTGGTGGAGGCAGATTCGGAAGCCGCCGCAACACTTGGGGTCTTGTGGCTCTCCTCGGCCGGACCCTCCTGCGGGAATAGTGGAATCTCCATTGGCTCAGCAGGGAGGACTGGAGAGCCATCAGCACGATTGTTGGGGCTAGCCAGGAGCTCGGATGGCAGGCCAGCTTCGCGATAGATGAAACGGAAACCATCCAAATCCAGCGGCACCTTCTCGTCCTGGGTCAGCTCGAGACCATCGATCAGTAGATCCCGAACGCGCATCAACATCTCAATGTTAGGGTGGCTCCGTTCCTTGTCCGTTACTTTTCTCTTGAGTCCATCCTCATTGAACCAACGTTTCGTAGTGCGAGACACCAACGGCTGGAATCCAATCGTCTCAACGTCCTCTTCAAGCAAGTATTCATCCGTAGGAAGTTCGCCAACGGGAAAACTGGATGCAAGAAGTGTAAGCGTAGCAGCGTAAGCCTTCCACAACTCTTGAACTTCCACAGGGGAGAGAGTGTTAGCTTCGGCGATCTTCGCATCTAGAATGTGCCAGTAGGCGGTAAACCAAGTGCTATATAGGCGGAGGCCAGGAAGTACTCGGCGTGCCACGGCGGTGACCTTGTCAGATAGCTGGGGTGTACGGTCGCCGTTTTGAGTCACATCCTCTCCTTCCGAAAGACGCTCTAGTTCTGGTTGTAATATCTGTAGAAGTGTGAAGAACGTCTTCACGTTAAGACGCAAGAAGAAGAAATAGGTCTGCACAACATTATCCAGCGAGCTCGAAACTATAGAAGGTTAGAGGTATCCAAAAAATCATCCAACGAGTTACGTACCCTGCATCTGTACGGTGGTAAAATATTCGGCGGCAATATTTGTAAGAATAATCTTCTGCAATATAGGGTCCAATGGCCGTTCCTTGAGGTCAATGGCCAATTTGCTAAGCACCTCGCTTTCTAATTCGTCATGGAGGGTGAATTCCTCCCCTTTGTAGCATCTGCTATGCAATCGACAAAACCATAGGACCAACGCTCCACCAGCCATGTTCGCATCTTGTGATTTAGGGCTGATGGATTCTCCTTTGGACCAGGCGGCGAGAATCTTCTTAAATCCAAGCTCGAGATTCTTCTTCGCGTGAGGGTGCGGTGTCTTGCATGCAAGCGATCGGTATAGATAATATATAAGTCGAAAATAGTCGTTGTCTTCGCGCGCCATGACGGCGAGTTGGTTGTATGATTGCCCATTGTCTGGGTCGATCTCTGCAGCCAGATCATAATATCCTTTGGCTGGACCCCAATTGCGTTCCTTGTCGTCCAGTTCCATGGCGCGGTAACGGGAAAGGTCACCGAGCTGAATGAGCGTCTGGTGGCATGATTGGAAGACCTTGGCCCGCAGAGATGTCGGGATACGTTTGAGGGAGGCAATCTTGGAAGCTAGAGAACGATTAGCAACGGCACCCATCCCGAATTTATATTACACACCATCTTCCTTCCATTTCTCCGCGACCTTGCGCAATTCCTGGATCCCGCCGGACTGGGCATCTAGTTTCAAAATATGCTGGCGGTAGAATCGCTGACTAGTCTTGATGAAGCCCAGGTAGTCCTTCTTCAGTTTCCTGAACTCGACGGGGCGTTCTTTGGCGTCGCGCCGGGCCTGTATCACCAAAAATCATTAGATATCCGCAAAAGATATGCGACGGTTGTGTACGACGCACAGATTTGAGCTGGCTCCGAAAAGCAGTATTGGCGGTAATGTGTGCATTCCACAATTGAGTTTCGATGCCATTGGCAGAGGCGTATTCGAAATCGGCATATAGGATCAGTTCGCAGAGGTCGCGGTACCTGGCACGACACTGTTAGTTCCGGTTGACTGAGATTGCGGAGCAAGTGCCGACAGCGGCATGAGGTCTTACTGCTGTAATGCGGTTGCGAATTGAGTGCCGGAAGCTTTACGGTCGGCAAGCGAAGAGATGGTGCGCTCTATCGCCTGCGCCCGCCTGCGCGCATAGTTAGCGGATCATGTCATTTCCCTTATCGGCCGAGGAGGAAAGCATCGTACGCAGCGAGTTGGTTCATGTCGGTGGCCATGCCTCTGATGTTATGGGCTTATGGCTTTCTGTATTTCATAGGTGTGACCCCACGGTCGGCCGGGAGGTCAGACGAAGGCACAGGGCAATGGTAGGGCGCAGTGGCTCGTGTGATCCATGGATGTTGATTTATGCCCTGGGAAGAGGACAAGCAGGATTGTAGACGGAGGGGGGAGGAGGAGCGGGAGCGGCGATTGCGGGTAAGCAAACAGCACGCAAGACGACGTCGTCTTACGGCGGTTTGTATGTGAGCGAGCGGCTTGCTCGGCGGGTGGTTGATGTGGATGTGAAAGTGGATTTGGATGTTGGTGGGGAAGAAGTGATGTGAGTCTTGACTCTTGAGAGAGACAGAGGAAAGCCTAACGGTGGACCGTGAACTGGACTTGGACTGGTGGATGGACGGTTGGACTCGCGGGTGGAGAAAGGAAAGATCCGTGGGAAGGGAAGTTTATTTGGTCCTTACCGCTTTAGGCATTAGTACGACATTGGACCCTACATTTCCCAAATTGGTAGAGCTTCGACACTTCATCACTCACCAAGTAACGACCACCTAGTGAACAATCAACTTGAACAACCACCATGATTGAAGACATACGACAAACACCATTATGAGACAGGATCCAGATTGGACACAAACGAATTCCCTCCGAATACCTCAATAATCGTAATAATCTCAGAGTTCAACCGTTGCACAGCTCTAGAAGAAGCACTCTACCCAAGTTCACAGGTACTACTGCTTCTCTTTCATCTCACCGCTACACCTATATCCTCCCACCACAACCACGAGAAGAGAAAAACAGATATATAAAATATCACAATGGGACACAAGCGCTCACGCTCAGCCTCCTTCGCACCCTCAGACTCTCCAGACTCACCCCACTCCCGCGAACCAACCCCCGACGTCAAGATCGTGCACCTCACCACCAATTCCTCAAACGCAACAACAGCAACGACAAACTCCACAGCAATGAAATGCACACTCCCGCCTCACCCGCCCCTTACCTTCCCCTCCTACTCCGCCTACGAAACGCACTACCACCAAACCCACACGAACCGCTGCTCGACCTGCCACACCAACCACCCTTCCCCCCACTTCCTCGACCTCCACATAACCGAACACCACGACCCCATCACCGCGGCGCGGAAAGACCGGGGCGACAAAGTGTACGCATGCCTAGTCCCCGAGTGCGACCGTCTATGCTCGACACCCGCGAAGCGAAGACTCCATTGTATCGACAAGCATGGGTTCCCGAAGAACTACGACTTCTTCGTCGTGAAGGACGGGATTGATAGGCGGTGGAGTCTGCTGAGGCCGTCGAAAGAGGGGAATGGGCACAGGAGGAGGTCGAGCACGATGACGTCGTCGGCGAGTACGGCGAGGGATGATATGGAGATTAGTACTATTGGTAGCCATGACGAGGACGAGGAAGATGGTGGTTCCTCAGATGGGTCGTCGTCGCCGTTGTCTCCGCCTACGTCGCCCCGCGCGCCTGTCAGACTGCATGGCAGAGGTGGGTTCACGCATCCCCCACGGCAATCCCAGTTCGGCCGGGGGAGAGGCCGCGGGAGAGGCGTGTCGAAATCGGTCGCCAAGTCGCCCGAAGTCTTGAAAGCTGTGCCCGCGAAGCCGATGAAGAAAGACGACGACACTGCGGACCCAATGGACGGCCTCACGTCCAGTATGTCTTCCTTGCAGTTCGTGCCGCATGCCGTGCGGACTGCGAGGGGCAGAGGGAGGGGCACGGTGAGAGGACGGGGCGTCGTCTAGGTAGACCCTGATCTACTGCCAGACAGACAATCGTACATGAAGTCACGTTTTGAGGATTTAGAAAAGACAACGATATCACGATGATATGACAACGAAATAAAAAGAAAGCATAGCACAGCGTAGCATAGCACAGCGCATCATGAAGTATCAATTCATCGTTTTTGATTTGATATCTAGGTACTTTATTCAAGCCTTTATTCTGTCATTTGCATTCCTCTATCCCTCGTTTGTTGAATACTTCCTTCCGAAGTCCGTCGTCGTCGTGATATAATCATCTTCTCTCCCCCTTTCGAGAGGGGGAGATTGCCAGTAATTGTTGAAACATGGGCACTCCTTTATTCCATGCCATCCACCCAAAGAAAAAAGCGCCAGAAACACCCAATTTTCTCCCCTATGCTTGAACGTGAGATCCTAGGGCTGTCCAGTCCAGTCCAGTCCCCTCCACGGCTCTCCCGTCATCCTCGTAGATTGTTGAAAATACGAAACGAGCGTTTTACGCTCTCTCTTTTGTTAAAACTTTTCTTCCCCTTTTCATTTAGGGATTGGGTATTTAGTTGCTGAGGGAGTAGGTCTGGACGGGTTGAGGGTACCTGTTTGCTTCCAGTTAGTCGTGAACGAAATGATGAATATGGGGATGGGATTGAGGGATGGGATTCAACGTACGAAGGACCCAACTCCTGGATGCTAAGCCTAGCAAGCCACTGTCCCATATCGATAGCGGTCTCGAGGCTCTTGCCCTGGACGATACCGGCGACGAAGCCGCCTGCGAAGGCGTCGCCCGCACCGTTGGTGTCGTTGATCTTGGAGGCGTCGATGGCGTGGACGGCCTGCTCCTTGACGGTTGGCTCGGCGCCGTCCTTGCCGGCGACGACGGCGATGGTGGGGTCGGTGCCCTGGGTGAAGATGACGGTGCGGGGAGCCTGGGTGTTCTTCTTGGGGAGGCTGGCGATGGATTTGGCGATCTCCTTGACGTCCTTGGTGGCGAGGCCGTGGGACTCGGCGTACGCGGCCGCTTCGGTCTCGTTGGCGATGAGGATGTCGACGTAGGGGAGGACCTGGTCGAGAGGGTCCTTGAAGAATTGAGGGATGAAGGGTGCGGAGAGGTTGAGGATGAAGGGCTTGTTCTTAGCGGCGGCCTCCTCGGCGAGGGCGAGGATGGCGGGCACGCAGACGGTCAAGTGGAATCCGCCGACGTAGAAGAACTTGGCGTTCTCGACGAGCTTCCAGATCTCGGGCTGCTTCAAGTGGTCGATGTTGTAGAGGTTGGCGGCCGCGAGGTCGGTGCACAAGCTCCTGTTGTGGCCGGTGATGACGACACCGCAGCGGCCGGTGGGGGTCTTCTCGTCGTAGCGGTACTCGGTGCGGACGCCTGCCTTAGCGCAGATGTCCTCGAGGGTCTGTCCGTACTTGTCCTTGCCGATGCATCCAAGGTAGACGGTGGAGTTGGGGGCGAGGATGTACTGAGCACCGCGGGCGGTGTTCTGGGCGGCTCCTCCAGCGATGAGCTTTGCGTCGTAGTTCTGGATGAGGTCCTCGAAGATGCCGAGATGCTTCTCTTCGGCGAGAATGGCATCGTTGGCCTTCAGGCCGTACTTCTCGAGGAGCTTCTCATCACTGTAGAGCTCTAGTCAGTTGCATTTCACCCCACATCTTACGTCTTCAGGAATTTGAGGAGGGACGGCGATTGAATTGACTTACCCGACACCCTGGATGTCCAGCAGAGGGTTCTCAAGGAGGAGAAGTTCGAGGTTTCCTTTGGCAGCCATTGTGTATGTGCGTCGTTGTGATTGGTGTGAAAGGAGTAACAGAGCTGGGGATGGGGAGTTGCTGGTAGTTGTAGTCGATAATAATCTTGATGGTCGCGATGTGGGGCACCCGAAAAATCGAGGGGCACTTGTTGTCTTTACCCCAATCGGACAGGTCGACGGCGAATGCAAGCGACGCAACCCCGATTGGAGCATCGAGCTCCTCATGCATGTTGAAAAAGGTCGTATTGTTGCCATGATTGAAGATCTTTTGAAGGCCTTCAGGAGTATCAATTGCTTATATGTATGGAATGGTCGAAGTCCATTGGCTTAGTATGACGTTGAAGGGTCTGACCTCGTGCCCTCTCACCCCATATCATGCGATGTTTTCCTGACTAACTCTACCAATGGACCGATATCCTTATGTAGCCTGCCAAAGGTTTTACCTAGGAACAGATGGAATGGTGAATATATCAAAACACTGTTGAGTTCTGAACGAAGGTTGTCGGTTTTTGCATAGACGTTAGGTATTTCCACTCAACAAGGAACTTGGATATAGATGAAGTGTAAAGTGTGTTTTCAATTGGAGGGTTATTCATAATTTACTGCCCAATATTTCCCACATTCCCCCGTCATTGTTGCTTCCACTGTCTCCACTCCCCTGGTAAATCAATGCAAATAAAAATATCCAAGCGTTGCACAGGCTTACTGTGCACAAACAGCGCTACCGGGACCCGACTTGTATCAATATAACAGCCAAAGCCCTCTCTATGCCGTATCTATTTCGACGAGCATGTACACTCTTATCGGGTACCACCTCGTCCTGCTTTGATCAGGTCCTGGAAAGCTGATTCAACTCCTCGCTTCAGCTCGCGGTAGCTAACAACCAGTACATTTTGTTCATCTCGGCTGATCAAAGCTATCTTCTCCTCACTACCGGCATCAAGTTTGTTTAGGCAGTCGAGTACATGCGCCAAGTTCATAACTGGACGTCCGCTCTGGTCAACCTGGTGGAATACGTAGTCACGGAACAGCTTCAAGTAGTATCGTTCGCCGGTTTCCGCCCAAGATGCGGATGGGTTTGTGGTGCTTCCGCTGGGTATGGGTATGGATGCATCCAACTCGGGCCGCTCATTGATGAAGTTGAGCTTGACAAGGAGCCGGACAAGTCGAGATGACTCCAATTCACGACCCAGCGTGTTGAAAAGTGTGTCTTCGGCATGAAGCGTGCTATCAAAGACAGAGCAGAATTGATCGCATATTCCGGTCAAGAAGCTATCGATCTCTTTAGGTAACGGCACGCCTCCAGTGGGCGATGTAGGGGCGCCAGGAGTTGGTGGAGGACTGAGAAGCCACTGAATGCACTCCTTGAGACGCGTTGTGTAATTGCGGGTAATGTGCTCCATAGACTTCTGCATGTTCAAGTGTGCAGTTGAACTGCTGTTTGCGATACAAAGAATAAGACGTCCGAGCTGCATCAGATCGTCGGCTTGGAGCTCGGGAAGTGGTCGAGCGTTATCAAATTGCACAACATCCAGGATGGCGCACGCATTCAGACGAACACGGTTCTTACTGGTGAGAAGGACTTTGGATGGGGTGATAAGCCGCGCCGCTAGTCCTACACTATGAATGGCCTTCAAAGCTGAGGCAAGTTGCACGAGGTACCCCCATAGTACTTGCTCGTGGACGTGGTTGGTAGTCGGCTGTCTTGCTCCATGGAAGCGACTCGCTATAGGCTGCGTTTTGAAGTGCTCTTCGGCCAGGGATTTCGAGCCCGGATGGTAGTCGGTGACAAAGATGAGCGAACTGTCGCCGAAAGCCCTTGTGGTGAATGCGTCATGAATGGTTACAACACTTCCATTGAACACTCGCTTCCAAGCTTGCACCGACCTGATCGCGTTCTCATTGGTAAGTCGGAAATTCTCCAGGCGTCGAAGAGTGTACGAATTACCATCTTTGCTAGATGCAGCCTTGTAGACCCAGCTTGGATATCCAAATAGAGTTTGATTCTTATTATGTGCAGTGTCCAAGCACACTAAAGAATGATATTGTTCGATGGCAGGCAGTGACGAATTGGTAAGAATCTGGCGAGCTACCTCCGACTTCTTCTGCAGTTCCTCACGAAGTGCATCCGGAATGAAGAAGTCGTGCGCCGTGCGTTGATAGCCAAGCAGGTTCGTAGGCTGTGGTCCTACAGGCCAATATAAATGGTATGCAGGTGAAGTTTGGAATGCATTGGCATTCTGAAAGTACGATGCCCCTTGGAGCCCGGACGGGTCCTGGGCATACGGATTGATGGGGGGCGCTTGGTGAGTGGTTCCGGCTAGAGACTGGGTAAGGCTTTGTGTACTGAAGGGGTCAAAACCAAGTGTTTGTGCAGATGCGTTTGGATCAACCTGGATAAGTTAGGCTAGACAGCTCTCTAGAGAAACAGCGTACGTACCATTTGGGTCTCAAAACCTTGCCCTGGAACAAACTCCGCAAAGTCTTGAGGCGGATGCCATTCCACTGGCTCTTTACTGTGAAGGCTTGGAGTGCTCGTAGCTGCAAGAATTTCGAGTCAATATATGAACAAAGTCTTTGATTGGGTAAAACCTACTTGATCTCTGAGACTTTGGGGTGAATATGGCGGCATTAGCAGCTTTCGGAGAGATGGCAACACTTCGGGAAGAGGGAGTTAGAGAACCGTTAGTGTTGGGTTGAAGAGGTGTAAATGATGGTGAGTCGACATTGAACCTCTTTTTCGCGTTTTCGTTTTGTTTTATATTTTGATTCACATCGTGAATATATGGACACGCTGGTAGGATGTTAGTCTGAGTCCCCAACGTGCTTGGTCGCGCCACTTACTATTTTCATATCGACAATGGCCGTAGATGGTGACATTTCGGCATGGGGTGTTCTTGGCTTCTGCAGTATCAAACGTTAATCCTGTGTCAACGAACAATATAGGAATCGGAGGGGCATCATACCGCGACCCTTTGGCCGAGGAGACGCTACTCCCCGTCGCGAATCTCCCGAAGAGTTCCCAAAGTTTGCTGCCATCAAGCGATTCTTTTGCGCCCCTGTAGGGTTATTTGGGGCAAGGTTGGACTGAGAACGCTCTCGACGGTTCGAGGGCCAGTTCGAGCGCGGGGATTGCTGAGGCGCAGGCGAAGACGATGTTTTCGGGGAATTCGATATTGACGACTTGCGATCCGAGCCTGTATCATCCGACGATGCAGCTCCCTTACTCCATTTGGGTTGTCCCTTCTGCGGTTTAGATCTTCTAGGTGTTCTATGTTGTTTCTGGGAGGAGCTCGGGGCGGGGAGCGAGTCCCCAGAGGACCACGTCAACTCAGGATTGCGATCGATGATGAAGGCGCTTGACCCAGAACTAGTACTCGCATGTGTATGGGAATTGGGTGGTTTGGTAGGCGTGGAAGGTAGGGAAGTCAGTTTGGTGGTGGTGGTAGAGCGGGATGAGGCTTTGTTCTCAGCACTCTGCGGCTGGCTGACAGTGTGATGTGCTTCCTCGAGTTGTAGTTTGTTTTGGCAATGCGCTTCTGGCGGGTTGTTAGACATTGCTGCATCTGATCGAGGCTACCATTCAACAGGGTGCCAGGCATGAGCACCGATTACGAGCAGCGGGACCGAGTTCGCGATAGCGGAGCGGGAAGCTTGGAACCTGAGGGGGGGAGGGAAAGCGGGCATGAGCGAGCGTTGAGCGTACATACCTCAGATATCGCAGGCTGATGGTGGGCACCGCCCCGCGACTGGTCCTTCTTCCAATAATGACTGAAGCAACGTCTCCATCGGCAGACGGTTGCAATTCTTTCCAAAAGGTGAAGATTGGAGAGGTAAGAGAGCTGCGAAGTTGGACGTTGGAGTGTGTGAGAGTCCGCTTGTCCTACCAAACCAAACGGCTGGTGCTTCGCCCGCGTATCCCTGCCCTGTCCTGCCATTCCGCCCTAGACCTAATTCGTCCTTGTTTGTTTCGTTTGCATGGCTTAGTAATAGCCGGTACAGAGACAGTGAGGAGTGCTTTGGCGTCAGATTGTGTAAAGCTGCTGTTGTGGAGTTGATGTCTACTTGTCTATCTGGTAGCTCCATCATCTGATGATCCAGTCCATCTTACTAACAGTAAGTTGTTGATATACGGATTCCATTTGAGTTATAATTAACCACATATTACTCGAAACAGGCACATCTGTTATGTAAGCTTGTGACAATAGCCAATCATAGCTCGAGTTGTGTGTATGTATTTGTTAGCACAGGAGAACATCAGCAACAACGTCATGTCTTGTTAACATAGCCCTCAATGTTACTGCAAGTAGGGTCCAAAACTTATAATCTATATTTCCGATGATGCCACTCACTTTTGTTTGAATCGAACTCCATGTCATGGCTTACCACCTGTGTCATCTATGGAAAACGACGGCTAAAGGGTGGGCCGCTAGCGTGACGGAGCAACTTACTTGAATGCGCGATATATCTCCATCATGACAATGATCATCAACTCCGCTATCTACAGAAATATTTCGTTGCCTGGATTGATTTTGATTTTCAGTATTACATCTTCAATCATTTATCATGGATCATTCCCTCGAGCATCATCAATCATACATTGGTCGTCCAGCATCGGAGCTGCCTACACCCTCACTTGTCATCAAGAAACCGGTCCTTGACGCAAACATTCGAAGACTCCATGATGATGTTGATAAGCTCGGTATTGGTTTCCGTCCTCATACCAAAACACTTAAAGTGAGCCTTGTATCAAGCTTCGTCTAATGATCTCGTAACTAATGTGGAATCCAGAGTATCGAAGTGACACGCATGATGCTGAAAGGTGGAAAATACCGCAAGGTAGTCTGCTCCACCGTTCCAGAAATCGCTGGATCACTTCCCCTGGTCAAAGAAGGTCTCCTAGATGAATGCATCTTCGGTATGCCAATCTTCAAAGGCGTGCTTCCACGGCTTCAAGTTCTTTCCGAGCAGATCAAGATCGATTTGCTTTTGGATAATGACCAGCAGCTTCTACTCCTTGACTCCTCAAACAAGTCAAGCTGGGATGTGTACATTAAGATCGATGTGGGAGCGCGTCGAGCCGGTCTTACTGCGGATTCTACCCGCTTACAAGACCTCGTGAAGAAGGTTGAAGCATCGCCAAGGGTGAATCTGAAAGGGTTCTACTGCCACGCAAATCACTCATACGGGTGTCGCAATGAGGCCGATACGAGAGCAATGCTGCAAACAGAAATCGATAGCGTTCTTCAGGCAGCCTCGCTTCTGCCTCCAGAGAAGCCTCTCGAAGTCTCCATTGGTGCTACCCCGACTGCTCACGTTGTGAACACACTACGCGCTGCTATCCCAAAGAATATCTCGCTCGAGCTACACGCGGGCAACTTCCCTACGAATGATCTTCAGCAAGTCTCGACAGGAGTCACACCCATTGATAGCCAAGCTGTCCGTATTGTTGCTGAAGTCGTTAGCATCTATCCGGAGCGCAATGAAGCTCTGATCAATGCAGGTGTCATCGTGCTCGCTAGAGAGACCAGCGCATTCCCCGGATCTGGAAAGGTCACGGACCGGCCTAACTGGGATGTCGTACGCGTTTCACAGGAACATGGCATACTGGGGTGCACGAAAGGAGACGAGCGCGTAGACGAGACGTTCAAGGTTGGTGACAGGGTGTGGCTGTGGGTTCAGCACTCTTGTATTACCGCAGCCGCAGTCTATGTGTATTACGTAGTAGATGAGAACGATGTAGTCATTGACACCTGGTTACCACTGAAGGGTTGGTAGATCTACCAGGTAACACAATCAAAATCTTCTATTCTAAATGTCGACCAAACTACCTCTAAACCATCTTAACATGCCAACTCTTCAACTTGTAAAAAGCGTCAAACCCCTTCGGCCCCAACGTACATCCCAGCCCGCTATTCTTCCATCCCGTCCACGCAAGATCCGGATTCGGGTAATCCGCACGATTCAAAAACACAGTGCCCGCCTCCAACTTGTCGATGATCTCCTCACCCCTGGAGATGTCCTTCGTCCACACGCTGGCAGTGAGACCGTAGTCGCTGTCGTTCATGAGCGCGATAGCTTCCTCATCAGAGGACACTTTGCAGACAGGGATCACGGGGCCGAAGGTTTCGTCGCGCATGACGGCCATGGTGTGGTTAGCGTTTGTTAGGATGCGAGGGGCAATGAAGGAGCCTTTGAGAGGGAGGTTCTGGAATGTTGGGTTCGCGGGTGTGGCATCAAGGGCGCCTTTGGATAGTGCGTCGTCGATTTGTGCTTTGATTGACTTGACGGCTGCGGCGGAGATGGCTGGGCCTACGGTGGTGGTTTGGTCGAATGGGTCACCAACTTTGTAACTGAAATTGAAGTTAGTACATAGTCGTCAGTATTTGTATTTTGGTGGTTAGAAACTTACATAGATAGCTCGTTCTGCATCTCTTGCACTAGCTCATCGTGTACACTATCGTGGACGTACACCCTTTCAATCGAACAGCAGCTCTGTCCTGTATTGAAAACAGCACCATCTACAAGCTGAGCGGCAACATATTTTACATATACGTCCTGCCGAACGTATGCCGGGTCATTGCCACCCAGCTCAAGTCCTAGGGGAATGATGCGTCCCGCTGTGGCTTCGCGGAGCTTGATGCCGACGGCCGTGGACCCAGTAAATGTGACTTGTTGGATCTTAGGAAGCTTGACGAGTTGTTCCAGCATGTTGGGGTCACCAGTCTGGATAACCTGTAGTACATTTTGGGGAAAGCCAGCTTCGGTGAAGATCTCCACGATCCTCGTGCCGACCAAAGGCGTTTGGGGCGAGGGCTTGATGATAACGCTGTTCCCAGAAAGAAGAGCGGGAATGAGAGAGTTGACCAGTATCAAGTAGGGAAACTAAATAGCCTTGTTCAGCATGCGTCGTAAATAAATCACCGATCTCTCGAAACACTCACATTCCATGCAAACACTATGAGTACAGGTCCGACGGGCTCTTTCTTGACACATCTCTTGAACCCAGATTCTTCTTTTCCAGGGATAGGCTTGAGCGCCTCGTCTGCGATTTCGAGGAGGTAGTCTGCTCGTTTCTGCATCGTCTCGATTTCCTTCGCACTGTATGCGATCGGCCGCCCCATTTGAGAGCTCAGTTCACGGCCAAGCTCTTCCTTGCGCTTCTGTATCAGTGATAGGCCTGCGGAGACAATAGACTTTCGCGTTGCGAGGTCGGTTGATTTCCATTGTGCGAAGGCTTCTTTTGAACGTTTTGTAATTTTTCGGGCTTGTTCGAGTGTTGTTCCTGGCTGTTCTAGGAGGACTTCGCCTGTTACAGGCGATATGGTGCGGATGGTCTCTAGTGACATAGTGCGTTGTAGAGTAGATAGATGATTTATTAGTATATTAGAGTGTCTCGACTTATAAAACATGGAAAGGAAGATGATGCAGACGTGGCTCGGAAATATCTGCTCTTATAGAATTCATATCAAGTATTCTCGTACTAGATCTACATAGCTTAGAAAGTACCGACTAAAGCCCACAATAACGATAATTCATGTTCACCAAATAGACTTGGGAACTGTGACTGTTGCTAACTATGGAATGGGGTCAAGGTGCGGCACCGCAAGTCCTACTCGTGCTCAATTGTGCGCAACTTTTCGGACTGCGGACACCGAGTCCGAGTGCAACGACCATAGTTGAATCTATGGATGTGGAAAAGCTCCCTCGTATCCCTCGTAGAATAAACATTGCATTACATCTTCCCTTGCTCTAATAGTAAAGCTCCACTTGCAATTAGTATTGATTGAATGAGAATGCTTTCATACATATAAACTACTGTTTACCTACAATCCAAACATACTCTGCTTAACCTTCTGTTGGTGAACGTTTTTATTGCACTTACCGTTCCCTTGAAATAGCTATTCTGTCGCTTGGACCGTACCATTAAGTGTATGATTGATAATATCAATGCCATCTTGGCAAGAACCCTGAAGTGATGTTGCCACTATTTTTCGTGTCTCAACTTCAAAGGTGCAACTCCCGGCACACTTGTGTTATATCTTTGGTTTTTCTCAATGACCTGAACCGTCTACTTAGTGGTGCCATCGTGCTTAATGTTACGGAATGTGGCGGCGGTCGTCTACTGTGGCCGACGCACTGTATGTTCTATCCTTAGACGATGATTCACCTAGATGATGAGAAATTAGAGAGTACACGTCGGGTCAAACATAGCGTAGCCATATAAACTAAATTTATCATTTCCCTGCAGGAACGTTACAAGGGTAATTTTCAGCAGTGTCTGAACCTTTGGTACGCCAGGATTGGAGTGCATCAGCAGCACTGCAGACCGGAATGCGGATGTACCCCGGAGTTGTAATGTCGACATTGAGTAGGTCGTTGATAGTTTCTGGATGTAATAAGTCAGAAAGAAGCACTGAGTTCAAAGAAATGGAAACTTGTACCGTCGTTGGTCAGATCTGGCAATCCACCTCCGTTCACTCCACCATTCTTAAGATAGGTGCGAACAGCGCCCTTGACCAAGTCTTCCTTTGTTACACTCCCGAATGCCTCTCCATCGAGTGATTTGATGCCTTTTGGTGGTGAAAACTTCCCGGACTTGCTATTACCTTTGGGCTGCGCCAGATAGTACATCTTTTCCTCATGGCAAACGCCCGCGATGGAGATAGCCTCTTCCGTCAGGTAGTCGTTAGGCGGCTTGTTATCATCGCATCCAAAACCTGAATCGACCACAAAAACGTGGGACTTTGTCACTTTCCTACGTTTCATATTGTCGTCAGAAATAAAACTCGAGACGAAGTGAACCAGGGGGATGATTGTTAACATACCACAGCTCGGGGATTGCTATAGCGAATGTAGACTTCAAGATATTCGCCGCAAGCTCCACTACGTCCATTATCCTGAACTGTGGCTTATCCCGATCTACCTGGCCCCATACAAGTTTCCCGCCAGATATTGTGTCCCAAAGAAGATCAATGTTCTTGTCCCCGCCATTGAACAGCGCAGAGAGCGCGAATGCTGTAGCGTTGGACCAACCCCAGACGGCGCTCCCCATGTATGCATAGAATGAATCCTGACTTTCCGGTCCCCACATGCCCTCTCCCCTTCTGTCATCAGAAAGTAAATGCATGGCAATGGCCGTACTGTGTCGAACTAGACCCATGGTTGTATCTTTGGTAGTTTCATTCATGGAGGAACCCTCGTTCGCCTTTTGTCTGAAGTATGACTTTGTCCGGAGTATGGAATTCAAAAAAGGGCCAGAAGATGAAATGGTTCCAAGGGTTAAAAGATCAGTGAGACATGATTTCCAAGTTGTGTCTTTTTCTGGTGTGATTGGAGCCATCTGGTACTCTAGCTCTCGTAGCACTACAACCGCAAAATAAAGTCAGTCTAAGGCAAAACAGAGGCAATGAGTATCTGATGTATGCAGCAAGACGATTGTGAACCTCTGCCTCATGAGATCCGTCCAAACCTATCCAATGCATAGTCTCAACTTACTAGGAGTAATAATTGTTGCTATCTGCAAGAGAAGGTCGTGATATTCTTCATGGATCGTGTGAATGTAAACCAGCGAATTCCAAATCAACGGTGCTGCAGGACCTGAATCTTCAGATTCCATGCCATATTCGCATGCTATTTCGACCTCGCAGTTTGACCTCCGTGAAATATCACCGCATCTAGTATTCCCTCCAGCAATACGTAGTGTTTTTTGGATTGACTGACTGAAGTCGACTCCTTCAATCCTATCGAAATCCTTGTAGACTCTTATGACATCTACCCATGCGGCATCTGCATTAAAATGGCTCCACTGCTCCTCGGGGTAGAAATACGTGGGATTGACGACCATTTCATCGTCACAATAAAAGCCCGTCCAGTTCACGTTTCGTGCCGATACCTTGTCGGTATCGCGGGCCGAAGCAATGCATCCTTCCGGCGGACAAGGGTTAAAATTCCGGTAAGAGGGGTGAAAATCGAGTTCAAGTCCCCAGATGACGTCTCCCAGGAGCAGGAATTCAGCTGCTGCCAGCAACCACGCTCCAGTGTTCATGCTGGCAGAGGCCGTGAAACGATTGGCGAACTCCGATGGCTAGTAGAACTCTTTTGGCTGAGTTAATTGACAGGACTGCAAGAGGAACCTCAGGGACAGCTTCAAGAATTAGCGAAGAAGGCAAGACTGCATGAAGAAGTACGAACGATGGATGGAAAGCCGCTTCACGAGAACTTTAACAAGCAAATGAGACAGCCACTCACCTTTATAAAAACCCAGGCGTTAAAATGCTTGTTCAGTTTCGCTTCTCGACTAACAATTCTATTTCATCTTGAAGGCAATCTCGCATGGGGTGGCACGGGGTGGATGTAGCGGCACAGCTACCCCTGCGTCGCAGATGACCAGGGGTATTGGGTCTCTGCCTCAACCCGTAATCTTATCTTTGGGTGTCCTGATCTTCCAACACAGCTCTGAACACAGGCGCGAATTAGTGATCCTACACAGTAGAGCTATCGCGATGAAAGGGGGTATTCTACACAAAGTAAAGTAAATGGTATAAACATTTAAAAGCTCCATTGAGCCAGTACAGAACCCAATGTGATTAATACAGCGATGAAACCTCTAGCACCAAATCTATCTGCGGCATTCTTTTTATTTCTGCTCTCTCCGCAATTAAATGGTGCATTTGTGCGCTGACACCACCTTTTTTCAATTGCTGAAGAAATACTTGCAGCAGCACTGGACTCTATCGTGACCTGGCAAGCACTTGGTGGCGGAGCATTGGATGCCAGTGACGCACAAGACTCTCCATAAATCCAATCGACGCCTATTGGATCGACGTGATTTGGCATTTCCATGATCTCTGTAACGTTGACAGTAACCCCTTGGCTCTCATCGCAAGTCGTGGCAGTGGTCGGGGTGGCCAAGTTCACCTCCTGCCCGCCGTTCTGGGTTGCAAATCGCATCGGAATAGATGTCCAGTTATATTTCAGGCTTGTTTCGCCCATGCCTGTATCAGTACAATTTCTGGTTCCTACGTCCCAGGCCAGCAGCCAACGACTCTCCTTCTTAAGACTGAATCCAAATGGGCTGTGTGCTAGCACAAGCTCCTTGCTGGTTGCATCTAAGTATCGCACCTCGTGTGTGTCTCCCCCAATTGGCGGACTGTCGAGATCGTCCAAATCGCGAATTTTGAAGGTAATCACTGGAGCGACAAATTGCGCGAGTTCGATGTTCCGAATGGCGAATACAACTGGAAACCGTTCTTGGGGCGCATAGGTCTCGTTTCGAGGAAAGATGAGGTCCACTTCCAGAACACCTGTTGATGCGCCTACAACCTTGCTATATCCAAGCAAGTTTATCAGGACAGCTTGGAGGACGATGCTCAGGGGAAAAACCCCAAATGATCGATGAGGCATCATGCGTGTGGCAAGCTTCAATATCAGAGTATCTGATGGAATGACTGTAGTAACTGAAGAGAAGTAAACATGCCCATGCTGTTGTAGTAGAAGAAAGGCGTCGACGATGTAGAAGAAGGCGTTCTAGAATGCGATGTCAGAATACGTTAGCCTGAGATGCCGTTTACCCTGAAGGATCAAATCAACTCACGCTTGGCGCAGTGCTGTGCCACCACAATGCATCCGTTAATTCTACTGTATACCTATACGCCCAATGAAAAACCTTGTTGCATGTTAGCTGGCTAGTCCAGTAGACGCCCCTACAGCGGCTGTCTTAATGATTGTGTTGAGCACCACTCAAGAAGATAATATTGTATACAGTCAATCTTTCGGCTGAGAGTGATGATTGGCCAGAAAGCAAATGGAATGGTAGTCAACCAAGTGTACAAATTGTGACCGCCCCCTGACAGCTATCAAATGCGTGCATGTTGTAGAATAGTGTCATCACATAGTATTTACGTGGATAGCTATACTCCGTAACTCCACAATGACACACTGATACACCAGTGTTCATATGACATGACAATGACTCCGTGGATCTTTTATAAAGCAGTGGTACAAATTCTGCGCTCAGCGCTGCTTTCATTAGGCACGTGTTGGGTTATCACATTGATAACCTAGCTGTAATCTAAGTATTTAACTACGCGCCCCGTTCTCTATTTAATCCAAGCTTATCTGTCCCAGTCTTGACAGGATCGAGCCCAGCTCGGTTCCTGGCACATTCACCGGCGAGGCTGCATTGATCCTTGGAGATATTTACCGCGCAATAGCCCAGATCATAAAGATGTCAACTACTACTTCCAAAACGTTTCGAACTCTCTCAAGATTCGTACAACCACACTCAAGATGTTCAGCACATCGGCGGCACAGATTTGGCTGTCACGCTGTGAACGCTGTCACGCTAGCCCGTGCTGCGCTGGATGGTAGTTGAGTACGGTATTTATACCCCGCAACTACGGAGCACTACTGTTGCAAATACTTGCAAATATTACTACATTCATATCCTAAGTGTTTATACGCTTGCAATTGCATTCTATCAATTCAAACCCTTGACGTTCTCTCCTATTCTCCTGCCTATATACCACTATTTCTGATCATCATGCAACCATTACCATTAGCAGGTACAGACAATGACGGAACGTTCCACGTAGCTAGTCTTTCACAAGGATCTAGCCGTGCGAATGCAACCATCTCCAGGTATTTCAGAAACGATCTATACCCGTGTCCTAGATGCGCAACAGAATTTTCGCGTAGGTACGTTAGGTATCAATATCCTTCCTCAGCAGCATAGACCTCATATCGTTGGTAGCGACTCCCTTCGCCGGCACTTGCTCACAATGCACCGGCCCTCGAAGGCCGGAGTTGCTGGCAACCGAGCTATCACTCGAAAGAGGGCAGCCAAAGCGTGTATCGCATGCTCACGAACAAAACAGCGCTGCAGTGGGGACGTACCTTGTCACCGGTGCCAAGTCAAATCCCTTTCGTGTAGATATTCGTTAGGAACACAGCAAAAGGCAAGCATTGAGCAGCGGCTACTCTGTTACGACCAGGAAACCACTTCCATGTCGGGCTTTGGAGATTTCCGAACCGACCTAACTGGTGGCCATCAAGACAGTGTCGTTAATCTCGATATGAACTCAGATAACCCGACATCCTTCCCCAGATCTACAGCGAACTATAACTCAAGCACCTTCTTTCTTCCACAATTTTGGACCGACCCCAACTTCGCCGGGCTTTCTGTACTCACTTCCCCTGAAACTGTCCCCGGACAGCTAGTGCTCGGCGGCCTGAAAGATATGCTGAACCCCGTGCATCCTGAAGCCTCATGGGCTGACTTTGAGGGCAACATTACTTTGGGAGGTGAACCGACCGAAGACAGTACCGTCACAATAGATGCTCTACAGAATGCATTTGACTCTACGAATAGTTTTCACCAAAATCAGTCCCTTCCCACCGAAATCAGCCTGCCACTCTCGATACCTTACTTAGCGTCTGCCTCACCAGACGCAAATCAGATTGCGACTGGCAAAGCGCCGGTACCACCCTTATTTAGGTCCGATAATTCAACTCGATTTTCTCGTCATAGTATGCCCATGTCAGAAGAACTTCATGTTGAAAGAGTCCATGTGCTGGAAGATCTCGAACATGTTCCATCTTTATCTCCATCGACATATCACGGTCTGTTGAATCAATTCAGAAAGCTAAATCACCTCCACGACGATGAGACCCCATTTACCGATATGGAATTACCACCGATCGATCAAGTCAACGCATTCATCCAAGCATACTTCGAGGACTTTCATCCTATTTTTCCCATCCTTCACCAGCCAACGTTTGATCCCAACCAAGTGCCCTGGACGATGGTATGGGCTGTCCTGACGACAGGATGCCGGTTTTCAAGGGCTCTGTCATCAAGTGCATTCGTGAACATATTACAAGAGATTCTTCGTCGCGCGATACATGCACATGTAAGGACTCTTTACTGTCTCCACTTGAATCACAGTCTACTCATTCGCGTTTCGCAAACAGGTCGAAGAGGAGGTCATACCTGCGCCCACAATCTCGATGACACAAGCAATGGTATTGGCTCAGATTGGCCTCGCCTTCTCAGGAGATTTCACCTTACTGGATGCAGGGGCAAATAATATACCCACAGTGGCCGCATGGTGCCATGAGCTCGGCTGTTTTGAGGAACCGTCAGATTGTGGGGTAACTGAGGGAGATGTAATGCCGGATTTGCGAGCGTCGTGGAAGCGCTGGATCGACAAAGAAACCCGCGGACGCCTTGGTTATTGCGCTTGGGTAGGTCGTGACTCTCTCCTAGCCTCATTAAACTTTAGTCACGTTGATTGACGGGTTTAGATGGTCGATTGCCAGTACTCTCTCTTCCTGTCCCTACCCGGCGTAATTTCTAGTAACGCGATCTCGTCCAGTATGCCCTGCCATGACGATATTTGGCAAGCTGAGTCACCAGAAGAGTGGACCAAGAAACGGCTTTTGTTTGGTACTCATTGCCCTACCTGGTTGAAGATTGAAACTCTACTGATGAGAAAGCCAGACCATTCACCACTAAAATCAGTACAGTTTGCTCTACAAGAGCTTTACCAACGTCGGAAGCAGCCTAAAAACCTAACCTTTTTCAACCTGCTTCTCTTAAATCTCGGCCTCTACAGGGACGCTTTGGAAGATCACGGATTAGTCGCCTACCTTGATATTTTGAGACCTAACGCTAACACTTCTACACTTGAACCTCAGGCATCTCGACAAATGCAGGTAACTTTGGAATACAACTACATTATCAAAGTCCTACTTGAGATTTCACTTCAGGACCTCATGGCTTATGCGGGCTGGAGAGTAGATTACGTACAGCACCTGCAAGGCTACAACCGCCTTCAACGCCTTTTTAGGATGAGGAGTGAAAGTATGTGGAGCGTTGTTATCTGTGCGGCTCAGACTTTTGCTTGTGTCCGCGATCACTCAACATACGGACCGCACGAATCCCTCGCTCTGTTGTCATCGTTGGTGATCCTTTGGGCATATATCGAGTTCTGGGATATTAGAGACGACAACCAGCATCCAACTGGCCAAATCAACGCCGAGATAGCATCTCGTGATTTCAACAACTCGCTTATCTGTCCGCAACCTGACCCCTCGAGCCTGGCAGGGGTCGGAAGTCTTCGAAATCCTCGAGCTCCACTTCGGCTGACGAGGGAGTGCTCTCGCATACTCCTCACCAGACAGGCGTGGCGGCTGAGCGATGCAATTCGGGGCAATATGGCGACTCAGTATAGTTTCAAATGGAACAAGGTAGCCAGTGCTTGTTAATTCACGACCGCATCTGACTTAACAAATGTAATACTATAAAACAATGTGGTGATGCCGGTTCGCTGGTCCAATTCAGTACCCCCAGAATGACGCCACCATAAATCAATGCGAGACTTGAACCGGCAAAACCAACCCATGGAATAGAATTAGCACCTTCAAACCCTCAGATTCCCAAGTCCTTGTTAACCACTACGTTTTCCTTGCCAATCATCAATAGGGAATTGTCCCAATTGAAGGACGGTGGAAGCTCCTGGAATGTTTCCCAACGCTTAGTATCTCGGAAAAATTCATTGATAGATTCGAGGTCAGGGAACCAAAACTGTTCCATTGCCCCCATTGTGAGCCAGTCAAAGCCGCTGAACGGTGTACCAGCAAAGAATCCCGCAGGATCGGGAGGTGTGATTGCGCGGTTGAGGACGTACCGAAGCAGAGCTGTCCCTGCCCCGACCTGTTTAATTGTTTCTGCCCTCGCCGCCAGGTCCTCTGTGAGATTCAGTTCATCAGTTTCCCGTGATACAGATGTGGCCAACAGTAGCGATACCATGTAGCCGCTGCTGCGTTTCAGGAACTGGGAAGGATCGAAGTTAAAGTCGATGAATGATTCGCTGAGAAGGCCCACCGATTCGTCGTCTGTGAAGACGTGTTTTCCTGCAGACGCCTTGTACTGAGGGGCCTGGAGAGATCCCCAAAGCCCATCAAGAGAGCTCCAGGCCAGTGTGGTCATGCAATCCCATGGTGCGTAAACACTAGGCTTAATTCTCTCGGTGCGTGGCGGGGGACAACAGACAACCTGGGTGTAATTGCGCAACACAGAAACCATCGATGCCATAGCCTTCGTCATTTCCGCATGCTTGCCTGTGTACTCGGACAAAAACTGCTCATCGGTCCAACCACGCACCCTGCGAGCTACTAGAGACATTTTGACCGGTTTCTTACTCTCTAGGGCGGAACCGCTTACAGGCGGGAGGACCGGTAGGTAAAGATGGCTATCGTATTGTCCACCAAAGTGGATGATATGTTCTCCCTGGTTGACTGTTTCAGTGTGCCGGGGCAAGGGAATCATCTTCGAATAGCCATTTTCGTGGTAATCGTGTCCCGAAATGTCGACATGCAGGGTTTCTCCTCGACGTAGCTTGCACGATGTTGGCAGGATTTCGATTTCTACTGGTACGATCTGCCCTGGTTTCAGTGGTTCCAGGTCTCGACGATGAGAGTGGTATGGTTGCCACGGCTTCGAGCGATCCTGGTCTAGTTCCCGTCGCGAAACGCGAAGCCATCCCATGGCGATAGGGCCATCTTCGATGATTGTCATCCATGGGAAAAAGACTTCATTTCCATGCCGGTCCGTCTTCCTCAGAGTGACGAAAAGGTCCATATTCTCAGCTCCCTTGGCCTCCACCCAGAGCTTCAACTTGGCGTGCCCGACGAATTCAAGGGGATTTATGACGGGAAAATCAAACGTAGCCTTTCCCTTTCGTGCATCATAGGCGATAGACGATGCATTCGGCAGAGCGATCAAACTGAGTCCCTTGTTCATGGTAGGGTACATCTTTGTGTACGTAGTGTTGGGAAGAGGAAACGTCGACGCAAAGCGCCAATCGCCCACATAAAAGCGTTCTCGCACCGTGTACCGCACTTTCGGCCAGTGCAATACCTCTGTCGACAACCCTAAGAGAAACCTATCGAGGAAGGCCTTTTGGCGGGACAGAGACTCTTCAGAAACTGCGAATTCCCATCTGCGAGATGATTAGATCCATGGTACACAGAAGAGCCCAACATTCCCCTGGGATCAATTTACTTTTGGTATTGGTGTAGTTCAAGGTACTTCTCCTTCGAATTGATGTTGTAATAAGCGTTCAGCGTTCCGCGGGTGTGAATTCCGTGATCACCCCAGCCACAAATGATATACACGGGGCATTCGATTCTCTCCAATGCTGGAATCTTGCTTTGCCAGTACTCATCAAAGTAAGGGTGTGATGTTATCGCGTCTTTTGCATCCTCTACTAGGCCGTGACCCCAGTTGTATAAGTGTGCGTACCTAGGCATTTTATGGTCAGTATTCCTCAGCAGGACTTGGGTGAAAGAAGGTAAGACGAACACTGAACTAAACTGAGTTTCAGGAATCCCTCCTTTCATACTCATTTCCCGGTACAGATCCGTCATACCATCAATCGGGAGTATGGCCTGTAATGGAGGTTATCAGAGATCCAGTGTTGAAGCAGAATATGATATCGCAATTACATACAGCAAGGGATGGAGGTCTCTCAGCTGCAACGAGATATTGCACCATTGCATACGCACTCGCTCCGTACATAGCAACCTTGCTATTGCACCACTCCTGTGAGGCAAGCCACTCTACTACATCGTACCCTAAAGGTTTTACTGTCAGCCCCGACTCTCGGGTATATTGGAAAGTAAGGGCGCACAAAAGTAAAGGCGCAGGAGAAGCATACCATCAAGGCCAACATCCCGAGAGTAATAGCTCTTGTCACCCTCCGACTGAAAAGAGCCTCTCGCATCGACAATGGCAACAGCATATCCACGATTGCACCACCATGTGGCATCGGCGCCTTCGAAGAGGTAGTGCTTCGAGACCCTTGACGTCTCTAATCCAGCACCCACCGGGAAACTGTCAATCTCAAGGGCACCATCTTTCCCATACACACAGTAGTTGAATAGCACGGGAGCCTTATTCTGCAGATGAGTCTCGTGTTGGATGATGTTGCCACGCAATATAGTTCCATCACGAAGTTGGATAGGCACGTCAAGGGAAAAAACAAGAGGGCCATCCCTGGTCACTCGCGGATTCGCTGGCTTGGTACCAAGTTGGATAGGATCAGAAGCTGTTTGCGTCAGCACGAAGGCCTATATAGAATGCGGCATGGGCGAACAAAATAAGGGCGGCGAAACCAACCAGGAATGAATTTCCCAAGGCGTCGAGTTCTGTCCAATTCTGTCTTAATCAGTTCGACGTCGGCCATAGCGAAGTACAGGCTATAGAGAAAAGTTTGTTCCTCGAAGCTTTTAGTAGTAGGAATTATGTAGAATAAATAGCTTTTTGTAACTTCTGTTGACAATAACATCTGCTCTGTATATATATATATATATAACTATATGAATCTCACTAAATCCCTAGTAGTGAGATCAGTGGTATCGCTAGTAGAGGAGGCCGGTGGAGGAGCCGGTGGTGGGCCCGGTGGAGGGGCCGCTAGAAAGGCGCGAGATTCATTTACCTATAGGTCAAGAGGATTTCTAAGTCTAATAACCACCAGTACCCTTATGTTTACGTTGAACATGTAACGTTTTATCCATAAAATAATTCATTTCAGATAGCACTCATGAAAGTGATTTCATTCTCGAATTGCTTGGTGCACGGATCCGGGCGGTAGCTGACATGCACGCCCAGCTTCGCCCATTTCGGGCACAAAGTTCCAGAATCATAAGGCTGAACCAAAATGAAATCACTGCTTCTTATATGCTTGTACAGGCGTTTGCCAAAAACACTGCCTCATCACGTTCCAAAGAATGGACGATCGTTCTTCCTGTGAGATTCCGCCCCAGCGTCATTGCCCCAATGCCACGGGGAATTTAAGTATTAATGTTTCCCATCCTCACCGCGACTTTCAAAGTTTATAAAGGCACGGTGACCAGGTATGTGCTATTTCATCTTGCGACACTTTGTATAATTGATATTGATCATTCAGAAACACAAAACAACGCTCAACCACGGCGCGCGAATCTTGAATATCCACTACAGCCCTCAAACACTATCCCAACAACCATCGCACACGTCTAAAATGACTTCTCCACACTCACCCACCAAGCAAACAAGATCGAATTCCCACCTGTACACGCATAGCCCGCAGCGCTTGGAAGCAGGGCCAGTAGGATACGTCGAAACGATGAAGGACCTCTGGTGGAGCCCTTCGAATGCGATTGACGAGTGGAAGCACGGGTCGAAACGCCGGCTGCTCAAGTACTATGGGTTGTCCGTCCTTGCTGGTGTTATTGTTGGTGCCATTATTATTGTTATCATTTGGGCAATACGGAGGAATCGATGAAGAGGTAGAGGGTATTATGAGAGAGGGAGAAGCAGATTATAATGCCTTGGGCGATTGGTATTCGGTGATACAACCTTTTCTATGGGGTGGACATGAATTGGTATCTTGGAAGCATTTCGTTTTCTGTTACGTGTAATTACACAGGAGTTCATCGACGGGTCAATGTATTTTTGGGGTACTGCATCATAAGAGAAACTGTCCACAACGCACAACTATTTCCACACTTGACGACCCAATAATCCACCAGAAAACCTTCGAATCACCCAACCAAATTAAAAACAACTCCACTCAAGCATACTAAGTACATTACAGTTTATGTAACTCCGAAACCTCAGAAAATCACAACAGGAGGCCCCTCCGCCACCCAGTCAAACCACACCCCACCACCACCTCCATCCCGTCTCATCCACACATACTCCAGAAACACCTCCAGCATTCTCTCCAAATTATTATACAATCTTTTCGACACCACTGTAGATGCTTTGTTCAAAACTACCTGACGTTCACCTTCGTCCATGATCTCTACCGCAGCGACGAGGAAGGGGAAGTTGAGTCGGTATTCAGATGGGGGGCTTTCGAAGTTAGATGGGGATGTGGATATTGAAGGTTCGTATATGGTGTCAATTTGTGAGAGGATGTTTCTTGCCATTCCTAGTGCGGTGGAGTCTGAGGTGCCGAAGGGATGTTGTAGTCGATGGATGACAAGTAAGAGTGCTGCGCGGTGTATTCGAGCTTGCATGACCATGATTCTTGACAGCCGTGGGGATATCAAGTTGCTATGAACGGCGGGGAGTGATGGAGTCCAAGCGCGAACATTGTGTTCGAGATGAGTGAGCTGGGCTTTTAGTTGATGGGTGTGCTCTGGAGAGGTTGAATATTTGAGGGAAGGGCTGATGGCGCACATCTTGTAGAGATGGGGAAGCAACGGTGCGCAGACACCCATGTATTGATCCACATCCCCGTTGTTCTTGTTTGGACCTTTCGTTACGGGTATCTGTCGTTTGATGATGCAATTGAAGGCATCCAAAAAGTAGAATGGGAGATATAGTCCAGAAAGAATTCCCGCACTGCCGACAGAAGGGGTCTGTAAAGTGCTCGCTGCAAACAATGTGAAACGACACACTTCGTGGGCATGTAGTCCTGAGGTCATCAGGTCGAAAGTGATGATACCAAGGCCGAGAGTGAGAACGATGACCAGATCGATCTGTTCAGAAGCCTTGCGAAGCGCGCGAACGGCTCGAGCACTGTTCTCGAATGCGATTTCCCCATCTCCGCTCGAATCGCCGAAATGGATCTTGAAGTAACGTTTCCCGCAAGCAACGAATACATCGGAAAGAAATGCAGGGGCAATGTGGACGCTTTCGAAGAGATGCGTTAACATCCCCTGTGAGAAGACAGGGTCCAGTGTAAAGCTTTCCACAAACGTCGATTCACGAAAAATGAATTCCATGAAGACCATGTCCCCAGGCGCTATTTTTGGGACCGCCGCCTGGTTCGAGGCTGGGATATCACAGGGCGACCAAACGAACTGCGCTCCTGTTCGGGGCACGGTGGATATGTCGTTCAGCTTGCGCGGTCTTCCCGTCCGACTCTTGGCTGCAGTGAAGCATGGTTTCCCCAATCGTTGACAGCGACAGCAAGTCTGCGATTCTCGATCGTCGACCGGAAAGCTGCATCTCTCCTTGACCTTTCGGCACTCTTCGCACGCTGTGCGTTTTGCCTCCATACGCGGCCGATTGAAGTCTTACTCCCGCCCCGTCCGCACCTGGTAGATTTTAAATCTCCACTAAACTCCCGCCTCTAGATTCCGAGTGCGGGGAGCATATGGGGTTAAGGGTAAAGCAATTTGGGGAATTTGGAGATGGACTTCACCCGATGGGCTAAACCGAGTGCGGTAGAAATGCTCCGGCTACAAATTGCATTGCATAGCCCTGCACCGGGTGAGATCTTCTACTTGCATAGTTTCAGATCTTTAAACATCATCTGGGGAAAACACTTATACGATGCTCCTGTATAAAGTTGTAAATGAAGCTGAAAGATTACTATAAACAGATATTTGAAGAGTAATGAGGCTACTGTACATAAAACTATAAAATGACGAGGCGTCAACACGTCTTTCTGCTTGAACAATTGCAGATTCAATTGGAATACGAAAATGGCGAAGCTTGTAGGAGTTTTCCTGTTCTATCTATTCGCTGTTTGTGCCACGGCGGCATGTACTACGAAAGGCAAACGCCGTGCCTGGTAAGCCTGCCATAGAAGCACTTCCCCTTAACACGATTGTTGACGACCAGCAGGCATACATTCAGCAACACAGAGAAGCTCGCCTATATCGACGCTGAGCTCTGCTTGATGAAGAAGCCTGCGACACTGGGCTTACCATCCACAAAGACGCGGTTTGACGAGTTCCAAGCAATTCATGCTCTGCAGGCTTACGCTACGCACTTTGTTGGTGCCTTTCTTCCCTTCCACCGAGCCATTCTGCATGCTCATGAGCAGGCTCTGCGAACTGAGTGCGGCTACACAGACTGGCAACCGTACAACTACTCCTACTGACTCTTGACGTCCAACCACTGACCAAAGTACAGGTACTGGCAAGAACAAAGAGATGCAGGAAAGTTCAAGTCGTCCGTCATATTCGATCCCGTATATGGCTTTGGCGGCGATGGCTCCGGTTCGCGTCGTTGCATCACCACCGGCCCGTTCGCAAACTACACGAACTCACTCGGGCCCGGATACAGCAACACGAACCACTGCATCGACCGTCAGATCAACGACATGATCAGTCAAGGAAGCAGCCAGCAGAATGTTGATTCGTGCCTAGCTAAGAAGGATTGGGTCAGTGCTTGGAACTGCATCGAGGCGTCGCCTCACGGAGGAGGCCACGCCGGCGTGGGAGGCCAGATGCAGAATGGAGTCTCGAGCCCGGGAGACCCTCTGTTCTACCTTCATCATACTTGGCTCGACAAGATTTGGTGGGACTGGCAGGCCAAGGATAAGACGGCGAGGATCAAGGAGATGGGCGGAACGAACATTGCGCCTGAGAATAACCCTGGATTTCCAGCTCGGCCACCTTCCATTCCGTATGTATGAACCGGTGTATGGACTTGGAGAGTATGCTAACCGTTCACAGACGACCGACCGGCGCAGAGGGCGATCCAGGAACTACCACGACGTTGAACCATGTGTTGAACATGTATGGAAATGGACCAAATCGGACTATCGCTGATGTGATGGACATTGGTGGTGATATCCTCTGCTACGATTATGTAAATCCAGCATGAGTTTATGCATCTCCAACGACGATTGGAGTTGGTTCGTAGGAGGCTGTCTCTGGGATACGCGTTAGCTTCGAATAACAGCTCTGTTTTACAGACTCTTGTCTCGCTAGCAGCAGAGTCAAGCATAGAATATCCACCGTCGCACAGGTTAGTGACCATAGTCAGTGATGCTCGACTGATTGGCCTGCCAATTCAAATCTGCCTTATAATCGTATACTAACAAATGGAGCAACTATCAATGTCACCGAAAGTTCAAGGGGTACATACTATGACACGGGTTTTCTTTCGCCTTCATCGCCATCTCTCAGGTTTGGATAGAGGATCAAGAGATACGAACCGTTATCTACACGATCTGCTCTAAGCAAGTTCTGATCGCACCTAGTACTAGTTAGACGTACTTGTATACAAGTACTTGTAAGAATGCTTTGCGAATACGAGAGTAAACGGAGACCCTGTTGTATGGTGGTGTAGTCTAGATGTATGATTGGTCGGGCCTAAGCATCCCGCTTCAACAGCCGATCCGCAATATGACGTCAAGTGGATGGATCTCCGCCGAGATGTTGCGTACATTCTCTCCTGTTGAGGACATAACGCAGGATTGACAATGGTGGAAATAATTTGTTCTAGTGGATGTATCCCTTTCATATTTATTCCCTGAAGCATTCACAGAACAATTGCAGTGCTGCAGACGGTCCAGACGGTTTAAGCGCCTGGTGCTCAAGCCGGGAGAGTGGACCACGGAGGGCCTGACGGAGAATGCGCAGATCCGATGAAACTGACCCAGTTATTCCTGAACCCAAGGGGTCTGAAGTGAGGATCACCAGAATCTAAGGTCTTGGGGAGAACCGGGAACGCGCGTTTCAGGGTGGTATTCTGCAGTCAACGTGGAATCCGGGAGGAATGTTGGCGGTCCACCGTCTGCCATGTTCATACATGGTTGCTTTCTTCGGGTCCTCAGTACCGCAACGCTCGCATTTCTGTACTATTCATAAATCGTAGTTGAATTGACGGCGGACAATTAATTATTTTATGAAGTTACCATCTATATAATTCCAGAACATGAAGAAGAAATGTCGTCGGGGATTTATGTTTGTACACGTAACTATGCCGGGATTCCGACTGGGCCAATCGACAAGCATGCTTGGCGATACGACAAGTGAGAGGAGGAAGAGGAATAGGGTGATAGGGAATCTTTTTATGTTGCGACCAACGCCTCTCTACAAACCCCACAGCCACTTCGTTTCCAACTTTCTTATCTTTCTAACCTTTTTCTTCTTCCTCTTCAAGTTTCCTTTCCATTCTCCATTTCCTTCTACCGTCTCTACAGCGCTGTCACTCATTACACTCCATCTCCTTGACATCTGCGCGTCTTCGCCCCCCACCACCTAATACATCTCCTTCGTCATAATGAAATTCGGAACATCCAGCCTTCTGCTTCTCCAAGCATACTCAGTATCTGTGTTGGCACAATGCATGACAGATGAGCCCCTCTGCAGCCAAATCAACGCCCTGGAATCGCCCAATTGCACCGACTACCACGTCTTCCTCGTGCGCGGAACCGACTCGCCAATCCCGGGACACATGGGCGAACTGATGAAATTATTCTGCGACGGAATCAATGGAACCTGCGGCTTCGAAAACGTCAACTACCCCGCGAGGAGCAACATGGCCGGCAAGGATGCGTGGTGCGAGTCTGCGCACCAGGGTGCCATCAACGGGCAGAAGCAGATGGGCGACTACGCCAACAAGTGCGCAGATTCCAACCTCGTTCTTCTCGGCTTCTCGCAGGGCGGCTCGGTGGGTCTTGACATCCTCGGCGGTGGCGGCGGCGCCGTCTTCGAATGCGAACAACAACAAAACGACCCTCTCAATCGGACTGAAGTGCCCGGTTCCCACAGTAAGTATAAAATTGGAAAAAACGCATGATCCTATGAATTCTTTTTGTTAATAATTGTGCAGTTGTTGCTGCATCGGTTTTTGGTGCCGTCCGACGGACTGGTGGTTTGCCATTCTCAGTCAAGGACGGAAAGGACTTCGACGGACGACACACCCGTTCCGATGAGCAGAACAAAGGCCTAATGGAGTACGCCGACATCTTGCGCGACTACTGCAATCACGGCGACTACATGTGCGCGGTCGGGAGCGAGCCCAGCTCTCTCGAGATCCACCTGAATTATTTCGAAAAGTACCAGGTTGAGGCGGCAGATTGGCTAGTCAAGACGGCGGAGAACACGACGGCGCAGAAGAAGGCCGCCGCCGAGGCGAACAACAATCGCGTTGGCGACGGCGATAAGGACGGCGACAAGTCTGCGGCTTCGAGCGTCACGTTTGGTTCGACGGCTGCTTTGCTTGTTGCCTCTGCGGGATTGTTGCATGTTTTTTGAGTTTGCTTTCGGGATGTGATTGCACTTGAAACGACTTCCGAAGATCTTCACGCACCGAAGTCAATGCCGGAAAAGCGGATCAATCACCAGGAAAAGCACTATGATTGAGGATCGATCCCGAAAGGCCCAGCAAAGGGAGATAGGAAAACGCTCGAGCCGTATTTATCACACTCCACCTTATTCAGTAAACCTAGAATCGAAAGCACCCGGTAATTGGCATTTGAAATGGCGTTTGGAACAGCATATACGTCCCCACACAGGCGTTGAGAATGAATAGCATCAACTAGGCCGGGATTTAGGAAAGAAGAAACTATGCGATACCCCCTCCCCCTCCTCTTCCCACTCGGGAAGGATATATAGACTGCTTCTATGGTTCTTGGTAGATAATTAGTGATACCCCCACAGAGAGAGAGAGAAAGAATACTACCCTACACAAAGATGTCCTAGAATGAATGAAGAGTTCTCATCCAGGAATTTACATCCTGTGGTTATTCTATACTATGCCTGAATTGTGAAGTCTAGGCCCAATCACCATAACGATCGCTCTGGTGTCCACTGTTTCTTACGCCGTCAGATTAGGTCAGGACAATCGAGAAGGAATTCCTGAAGCGAGATATATGCCATGCCCATACCACGAATGGCACGCCCAGTCAACTCAGTGAGTTCGAGGAGCTTAGCATCGAGTGTAACCTCCTGTCAATCGAATATGCCGATTCTAGGACAACGTACCGCTGTGCTCACGGCGCGTGTGACGGCATCGATCGAGCAACATAGGTGAGGAAGATGCGGCGTCATTTGCCTTCGCTGCGATTTAGATCTTCAGTATAGTTGCGTTCGAATTCATCTCTCCGGTCACTCTTCGAGGGGAAGAGGTCATGTACATACGGAGAGGTGTCTGATGCCAGGTGTTTTACGTGCCGTTATTCACTCTTCTCGTGTGAATTTTCATGAATCGTTGGATGTAGCTCTGGGCGTGTTATAGTATGCCTTCTGTCCGTCACTTTGTTAGTGTTGGTCGCTGTGAGGTTTCGACATGCGTGGCCCGGGGGGTTGGGAACAGTAATGAAGCGTTTTGTCGCCATTGTGACGGCCACGATGGCCTAGGCAAGCCTCTAGACATGTGCATACTGGGATGTAGATGCGGCTATTGGCTGATTGTTCGGGTCAAGGGGAAATCTTTGTGGTGGTCGGATTGGGTACGATGCTGGCTGATGGAGGTGGTGGGTGCGGCGGTGTCGCGCGATCGCGTTTTGGCATCATGATCGAGCTCGAGTAGTGGACATGTGAGCCTGTAGCGCTCCAGATAGAATATGAATGGCTGAAAACGATGATATGTTCGTTGAAATCCCCAAGGTTTTGTGCCTTGTTGCCGTGATCGCGATTTGAGCTGGCAGGCGTTCGGTTACGGCGAAAGCTGCTTCGGCCGGAGTGTACTCATGGCCACAGACTTCATCAGAGATCTTGGTGGATAGTAAGTACAGAGTCAGAAGTTAAGATAGAGTAAAGTAATACTTAAACACTTGTAATGCCAAAAAACGCATGATAGCCGCATACGAGCGAAGTGTTGTGTGTGTCGGGGGTCGGGTAACTTGTCGTCATCAGTTTGAGTTGTGATCGCGACGCCGAAAATCACCACCAAGATGGAATCACCATATACTTCACAAGGAAGGGACAAAAAAGGCAGAGCTATCACTAGGAATGATGCCTCACTTCGGAATAATGGGTGGGTACGGGGAAACCAGCCACTCAATTTCACTCAGCTTCACTGCAACACTAAAGCGGATGGAGAAGCAAAATATCGCAAGATTGTCAACTGGCCTCAACCACCAAGAGAGGGGGAGTGTTAGTGATAACACCCAAGTACATAGCCTCATGTTAGAAGTAAAGTCTCTCAACTACACAATTACTCAAGTGAATATGCACATCACACATACAGCCAGCCTCACAAGCAATCACAACCACAACTACTGTCTTCCTCAACCAGCTCGAACAAGCAAGCAAGCAGATGAAAACAAAGTGGCCGCCCGAAGGCGGCCCTGATAGTAGCCCCGACCACGCTACCATCTAGTGACTCGCAACCATCACACACAGGCCGCGCGCATCCTGTGTCCTGCACCACGAACGGTCAGGCGAAAGGTGAACCAGGAACAAAGCCTGTCGAGCCTCCTCTGCATCAGGCCGGTGCGAAGCAACCGCGATCTGATACGTTACATCCTAGCGATGGAGAAGAAAAGAAAAAGAAGAAGAGAAGGAGGGCGAGGGCGAGAGGGGTTTATATACCCTCTGGGGGCCGCAAGGTCCAGACAGTCACGGGATCTCGCTTAAGGTCGGGGGGCTGTGCTAGAGGTGGTAAATGGGCGTTGACGTCAATGGGAAGTGATTGCATTTTGAAATGTGCAGAATGGGTGAGTTTGAGGGCTGTTGTGATGTTTACCGTTCTGGGAGGCGTCGAAGCTCGACCATTTTGTGGGCTATCCCGGGGTGGGACTAGCGTGGGCCTTAGCGCCATCTCACTTCGAACTTCAGAGGTATGGAAAATGGAATGTGTGTAGATAGGTGAGGTTTTGAGTGGGAAATAGTAGATAACACTGGTAGATATGACTTATTATTCCTTGTATGAGGCTTCTAGGAATGCCATTTTAGTCTCCATGTCAAATCGGTGGTGCGTGATCAATTCGCGACCATCCGCTGCACACCGAATGCATACCTCGGTGCTTGTGGGAGAGGCAACTGTGAACTTCGGCATCACCACCCTACATATTGAGCTCGACGGAAATCGTGATATTTTTGTTATGGCTTCAACGTTTGATTTGGGCTGCCTTGCCATTCAATCACGAGAGCCGGCAACTTGAACGCTGCAAGTGTTATTTGTGAGGTTTACTCGCCAGAAACCACGCTGGCCATGACAGTGAGTGCGAGAAACTTCAAGTCTACACGTTGACGACCTCACGAACATCGTGGTTGAAGAATCAATCCATCACTACGGCATCATTGATCTATTTACTAGTCATCTCCAACATCTCCATCTGCGAAGATCCTTCCAAAAGCCTGCCCTTGGCTTGCCCACGTACCCCAAACACTTCGAGCAACTGTCCGGCTGTCCAAATTGAAGCTAGACCTTCAATCATAAGCAAGTGAATGCAGCATGCGTGTTCGCTCAGAGAACACACATCAATTTTGGGCTGTGATTCACTTTCGACTGGGGTCACTCGTCTGCTGTGAATGGCAGGCATAGCGATTATTCACTCTGGGTCACAGAACAGATGGAAAACACAAGAGAGAAACGAGATGCCGTTTTGAGGCTCTCAAGAAAACGTACAACGGTGACGGATCTCACGACCAACCGCCCAGACGCAACTTCCGCCGGCGGGCACATGAAATTGGACGAACTTACGACACCTACTCAATGTGAGCACCCTTATCATTCTAATGCAAATTCCGTGACGAGTTGCTTCACTACGAGCATGAGGCAAAGTAGGAATCTCTCAAGGCCGGTGGGTCACCCGCAGCTTCATGGACATCTTTCCCTCTTCGACGTACATCACCTTAACCTTTCTCGCCGCAAGGAAACACGGAAACACATTCGCTCCTCCGAGCAAAATCTCTGCGTCGGCGCGGCCACTCACCTCCATACAATGCGCAACGAAGACCAGCACCGATACCATCACATGACGAGAGCGAGTTACAATATTGCTGGGACTCGTAACACATCACCGATCTAAAACTGAGATGATCGAGATATCAAAGCAAGACGAAAACGGAAACTATTTCGGCCAACTCAGGCAGCTCCTCACACGAGCTCCAGACCTGCTTCATTGACGCGTCGCGAAACCAGGTATGTGGCCCCACGACTGAACCCATTCAATGGTTCTATCATCCTTCGTCGCCGCGACGAGACGCTTCCTAGCCTGGGGAAAGACGAACGCGAGAGATCCAGTATGCCCCGCGACTCCGTGAACGAAAAACAGCTTGCGGTAAACATAGATCCCACGGCCATCACGCGCAGGATTGACGGGAAGCGTTGGGAACGTGATGCCCATCCGCGTGAACAGGCGCAACCCCGACATGTACGGTAGATTCCTTGCAATCCATACCCTCCTCCCATCTCAGCCTACATCTTAGCAAACGCACGCGTGGGACACCATGGTTTTAGGGACGTTATCTTTCGACAAGACGCGGAGTCCAAACTTCCACCTCTTCCTTCTGCTTCCCAAGCGGCGCCGACGATTTTCCGAATCCCGCAAAGGATGATATTGCTTGGACAATTTGGTGGACGGAAGTGTCGCCTCAGGTAGGAATATAACATGCGAATCCTGCGGATTGTTCGCACCGCTGGACCCATTCTTAACTCCTTGATTATTGCCCATCAGGCTCGCGACAAGGCATTTCGACGTCGAAGAAGATGAACGAGAGGACGTGTGAGTGCAGTACTGTCGAGTGAGATAGCTGGAAGCGATGCAGATACACCTGAAGAAGATGAACAGGAACAATAGGAAGGGGAACCTCAAAAGACACCAGTCTGCTGAAAGGCACGACGTCACGACAGCGAGCAAGCGCGGATGATAAGATGAGGTAATTTTTAAGTTTCTATTTCGTCATTGTAGTTGTTACTCTGAGGTATTTCCCCTCGCTATCCAGGGATTTTCCGGAAACCGTTCTAAGATTGAGTAGTAGGTATTTGTTATTGTTACAATGGAAGATGGAAATGTTTCAATCTCTCTGTTCGTTTCGTGGATTTTGTCACGAATTGTCCCCAACGTCCAGAAGGCCGTCTTTGCCCCCGGATATATGAAGAAAAGGAAAAGGAATAAAGGACGCAGGATTGCCGATCCCGCCAATCCCGCCGTTGGATACTCCGTGAACGCCATTTATATGGGTAGGGTACTCCCTCTCGAAACCATCGCTAACCCGTCAATTCACTCACTCATTCGCTCGCTCGCTCGTCTGGTGTCTTACTCCCAAAGGATGTTCTTCCTGTCCTTCGCATTCACCCAAACGTACTCAACGCACCTGGGGTCCGTCTTGCCCTTGCCGAGCGTGACGGCCATCAGGTTGATTTCCAACCAAGTAGGGCGCATTCCCATCTTCTCGAGCCTCTCCCACCAGCTGGTGAAGCGCTCGAAGTTGACGGTCTGATCGCGCACAAGGTGGATCTCGATCATGACCTGACCGATGGGGAGCACGCCGTCGTTCGACTGGGCGAAAGCGTCCATCATGGCGTCGAGCGCGCCGTACTCGGAGCCCTCAATGTCGATCTTCAGAATGTCCATGTACGTGTGGTTGTTCTGCTTCATGAGGGACGGCAAGCTGTAGAACGGCGGGTCCCGAGATACGTCGTCCTCGTCGCCCAGGCCGACCTTGCCAAAGAAGACGCGGTCGAGTGCATCCTCTGGGATTTGGGGCCCCCACCCGCCGACGGAGTAATCGTAGCCCCAGATGCGGAGGTTGGGCACGCGCTCCAGCATCTCGGCCTCGAAGCTCGACTCTCCGTTGATGCCGAAGCTGTACATCACGATGCCGTCCTGCGGGTTCGCGAAGGGGGCTTTGGGCGTCTCCTCGTAGACGCTCATGCCGCAGACCCATTTGCCGCCGTCGCCGAGGCGTCCCACGCGCTGGATGTCGTGCGGGCACGTGTAGACGGGTGGGAAGAAGTCCCAGAGCGTGTACGGGTACTTGCCGAAGTCGCTGAGGGTTTGGGCCGGGAAGAAGGGGACTTGCGGGTGGTTCGGGTGTGCTTGCGCCATCTGGTGGCGGAGGCCCACGGATCTCTCCCACGCCTTTTCGGACAGGCGCATTCGGTCTCCGATCGTCTTGAGCGGGCGTGTTTTGGATGATGTGAGAGACGCTGCGTTGGGGACCGAGGGGAGGAAATTGTAATCTGAGGGTGCGCTTGGGAAGAGAGCCACGACGACAACTACGGCGATTACGAGACCTATAATTCGGCCTGGTGGTTGTGTTAGATTCAATTCATAGTATTGTGGTCGGTGGAGTGGTGGTGGTGATAAGTGGTGTTACATACCTTGGGTACTGCGGAAAGACATGATGGGCGGCTGTTGCGTGAGGAGTTGAACCTGCAGCTCTCTATGATATGATATTTGTTGAAATAATGTACGAGGAAGAGAGCAATGAGTGTCTTTAAGATTAAAGAACAAAAAGAGAAGAAGGAGAAGAGCAGAAGAGAGAAATGGGGAGGGATTTGCAGAGAGGCGAAGGTAAGATGAAGATTACCCCGATGAATGGGCGTGGGTATGGATACAAGCACACAGGCCAACAATTGTCTTTTAAGAAAAGAGCGGAGCCTGTGCTAGCACAAACAGATAGACAGGCAGACAGACAAACAAGACGGCTAGCTGAGTGAATAAAGAGATCGACTCATGTAAATAAGGGGAGGGGGACTGGAGACATTGAAGTAATGACTGACCACCACCACCGCTTCAACCAGCACCACCACCAGCATCAGCATATATTACTCCGTTGGATGGATGCAGTTCAGTACAGTAATAGTAGTTTTAGTGTTAATGTTAGTCCAGGTACAGTGCAGATAGTGCGGATAGTGGACAGGATTGGCGAGATCCCCCTCTCCCAAAAGTCCGACGACGGGAAGCCCCTCTCACACGTCTCAGTCACCGTGCCCGCTTCGGAGTACCTCCAGTGTGTCCACTCGTTAATTACATTTGGACGGGATGTAAGAGTTATCGATGTAGGGAGCGGTTGCACATGCCTGTCTTTAGACGCAGGCAAAACGCGCGAAGGTGTTGGCGGCGTTCAGCTCCATTCGCAAGCTTGTTTCGAACCAGGTCGATCGTTATGCCCCCAGGCCGATCAGTGACGCACCCAAGACCGGCAGATGTCAGCGATTCGACATGGAGATTCCGCTTAATGGGACGGTTCACAAAGTAATTCATTTAGAAATACAACTGGTTAAAGATGTTGTATCTATGTTGGTATGTCTGACACAAAGGGTGAATGCGCCACGCATACGACAAAGAAACAAATGGCATTAGGTACGGCGCCCCTCTTCGTGCGAGTTGTAGGCTGTACATACACAATACTTGCACACTCTCTAGTAGGGGGGATACTGTTAGTTTACAACCACAAGCGCAGGGCTTAGGGTGGTTGAGGCTGGGACAAACAAAACACCTTATGCTTCCTGGATACAATAGAGCGCAGCATAGCGTTACGGCGTGTTGCTGTGTATGGTAATGCGAGTGTGTGGTGCGGTTGTGTCACCGATGACGCCAAGGGCTAATCATAGCAACGGATGGGTTCGCTGTCGAAGATAAATCGAAGGCGATCCAACCAATGATTGGAAGAAGCTTGAAAGACAGGCCCAGTAAACATAAAAAAAGTAGTCGTCAGCCATCGTAGACGAATGTATTTTTGTATGGTGGACACTCGAAAAGGTGGAGGCGAAGAGGGTGGAGCGGCGGGCGGCTAAGGGGAGAGCGTTACCGGTAGAGTTAGCGCGTTGCGGAGTACGACCAGCTTGGACGATACAAGTATGTACATACAATACAATAATCATACTCGTAGTATTCACAGTAGACGACATTGTTCCAACACGCATCTATTCATTCACGTTTCGACGGACTACTGTAGACTGTTTGTTTTGTGTGACGCGGACATGGATATCAATGATACTCTCCAAAAACGACGTAGAATTACTAAAGAACAGTCAAGATGTTCCTCACCCACACAAAACTCTACATCCTCCAAGAAAGAGGCGACCATTCACATGTGGTGAGGTGAGGTAAGGTGAGGTGAGGTGAGGATTAGACTTGTGGGGCCCGGACATGGCTTGTCACAGATTTGCGGGTCTGTCTTGACTGCGGCTGCGCGACAACTGCGACTTGGTGAAGGGGGGGGAGGAAGGACTCCAGGACTCTTAGCACTACACTATGACTGCGATTGACTATTGACTGCGGCGTTTCAGACGTTGGCTCGGACCCCGTCTCTGGTGTCTGGCTACGGGCCTATTTGATGGGATTATTGGCCTTGGGATTCTTGGGATGATAATCCCCTTGGATTGGATGGGATAGCCTTCGGCGGTATTACATCGTGTCGTATCGTATCGTAACCTGATCCCACTGTTCTCAAGCTGCTACCCTAAACTGCGCCGGTCATTGGAACTATTGTGTGGTGTGGTTTTGTATTGTCCTGTTTCCTGTCCCGCGCTGGTCCGGAGGCACTATTACAGTAGCACAGTAAATAGATAGATGGGTGATGTATGTACTGTACATCCCCATCTCGTTCTCCCGCCCCCTGCGAGGGACTGCATCATCGATTATATGCCGTACTGTCGTTCCTCGTATACGTGCTAAATATCCCTTCCCTTCTGCATTACTGTTATTATTGTCTTTGACCCGTTTCCGTGCTGTCCCTCCGTTGTAAGGCATCTCTTCCTGCAACAAACACCTTACTCTCTACATTTCACTCACACCCAGGTCCAGTCATTCATTCACCAGCCAACCTCAACGTTGATCGTTGATATTTGCTTTATTGTCTTTCCGTTTTTCTTCTCACTTTCTTTCCCTTCCCTTTCCCTTCTCCGTGCTCAACCATGGATCTCTACCAGGCCACATTTGGCGCATCGCTATTCCTCAACAGCATATTCCTATATCGCAACTATCGGAAGACAACATCGATTCCTCAAGAAGAACAGGACGATATTAAGGTGGAACACCGGGGCCGTGTCGATGATGGACAACTGTTAAAAGCATTCAAATGGCGCTTCTTTCCTATCTATCTCCTGGTCAATGGTGCAGACTGGCTCCAGGGACCATACATCTACCCAATCTACAAAGGTACGAGGTATCTATTCGCATCCGTGGCACCGTACTCCCACGCAATACTGCACACAGAGAAGATGCTAACCCCAGCCTCCCAGATGAGAAGAAACTGCCTGAAGATATGGTCGCAGCATTATTCATGATCGGATTCCTTTCCGGAGGTGTATCTGCCTCCTTCATTGGAGGCATCGCCGACCGATGTGGCCGCCGTCTTGCTTGCCTCGCCTACTGCATCATCTACTCGTTATCTTGCATGACACTGCTTTCCAACCACGTACCTGTACTCTTCTTCGGACGGATGCTCGGCGGAATGAGTGGGACATTGCTGTACAGCGTCTTTGAGAGCTGGATGGTGGCCGAGTTCAATGCGCGCTTACCCGACGAGCCTAGTTCGACATTGAGCAACATCTTCAGCACCATGACTATGCTGAACAGCGTTGTTGCCATCGTGGCGGGTATCATTGCCGAGTGCGTTTTTAATTGGACTGGCACGGCTAAGGCGCCGTTCATGGTGTCGATTCTTTGCTTGATCAGCGCATTCGCTGCCATCAGTTGCTTCTGGGTAAGTCCTCATCTATAGAACATGACTAATATGATATACTGATCGCGTGTTTCAGGGCGAGAACTATGGTGGATCCCGAGCCGGAGGTGCACAGGAAGAGCATGCCAGTCTCTTGGAGAAGCAGAGTGCTGACGAGCCTGCGCCCACACAATCGGCAGTCTGGTCGGTTCTAAAAGGTACGATTGCGATCCAGAACAAGCACCAAACCTTCTACATTAACTAACTTATTCCTTGTCACAGACAAGAACATCCTCGTTCTCGGACTGACGTCATGCTTCTTCGAAGGCTCCCTCTTCCTTTTCATCTTCTTCAAGTTCCCTGCCCTTCTGCAAGCACATAAGCTGTCTGGGTCAACAACAGGTAAGAAACCGCTCATTTCCCTCACCAAGTAACAAGCACCAAGCTAACTCGACGTCTATCCAGAACTTCCGTTCGGCCTGATCTTCGCAATCCTGATGTGCTCCATGATGTTTGGCTCCATGCTCTACAACCACCTCACCAGCATTTCCCATTCCGCAACCACCTCCCCCCTCCCCGTGACCCGTCTCCTCATCGCAACCCTCCTCGTTGCTTCCCTCTGCTTCCTGCTCCCCACCCGAATCCGCTGCGAAAGCGTAACCCTCTGGTGCTTCTGCATGTTCGAAGTTTGCTGCGGTATTTACTACCCACTTATGGGCTACCTCCGTGGCAAGTTGGTCGACGACGGCGCGAGGGCGAGCGTGTACGGATTCCTCCGCGTGCCGTTGAATGCGTTCGTCGTCATCGCACTGGGAATGACCAAGGAGGGTGAGAGGCACCGCGATCTCGTGTTCACGACGTGTGCGGGGTTGTTGCTTGTTGCGGCCGCGGTCGTGCACAAGGCCTTATAAGGTGAGAAAGGCGTAGCAACTTAAGCTTTTCTTACCCTTGGCGCTTTTTTTGGTCTTTTATATCGTTGTACGGCGTTGAAAATGGCGCCTGCTGAATTGAACGGCCTTTATCACATGTAGTATTATTCTCCACTACAAAGAATATGAAATGAAATGAATATAACCACGACTCTGTGTAATTGATGGCAAATGGCTTTGACTGAGCGCGTATTGGATATATACATCTCTATCTAATCGTTAGTGCATATCATTTGATTAGTTTGGAGGTACCAATTTGCTTCAGCTTCTCATCACTTGGAAAAAAAAGAGGATACATCCGTACTCGCTGTACGCTATATCCATGTTTCTTCTCTTCCAAGACTCTTTCACATACGACCACTGGACCGCAACTGTCTTTGCACCAGTTGGAGGAGAGAAAAGTAGCTACTTATACCCTTTATATAGTTTATCAAAAGTGATAGCTGGACCGCACCACCGCAAGTAGCAGGCCACCTGATACACAAGAGTCCTGTATCTCGGCGTTGCGCTCCTCAAATACTTCCGTGAACTTTCCGTTGCCATCCTCCGCGAGTATGGACGAGCCGATCATTTTTCTCCGTCGATTGCCCAAACTGTTACTTGGGTGCTCTGATCATGTGAATAGCACGTGGAGAGTTGTATTCTCGGAAACTCTTGGCAGGTACGGAGACAATGATTGGCGGGCTGATCTTCGGGGTTGTGTGTAGCGGAGGTCGATCGGTGAATAGCCGATGGAGATATTGTAGAGATTTGCGTTTCTGGAGCAAGATGTAGTTACTGTATCGGAGGTTGGTTGGAGATTTTTTGAAATCGTGTCTTGTTGCAGAGTTACACGGAGTAAGGTGTTGTGCCTCTCCATGCAGCAATCCGCGATGGCGATGCTACCACTATGAACAGGAACTGTCCAACCCTCGAGTATAATAAGAGCTCCAAGAACCACTTTTGAAGAACCACGCTCATTCTTTACAGCGCTCCAGTCATTCCTTACAACACTATACTCGCTTTTTCGAAAGCACTACATTCATTTTTCACACCACTACAATCTTTTAGCAATCTTTAAAGTTCTATATTGCCTTTTCGAAACAAGTTCATCATGCGATTTTTCCCGACACTTCTTTGCACTCTGTTTGCAAGCCAATCCTTTGCTGCAGCCATAGTTAATCCTCTCAAAACCTCAGCTGCCGAGGCCAGCGGTGTCTCACCTGGGGAAGGATCACTTTTGACTGACACTGTAAGCAATACTGGTTTACGGTCTAAAAACTTCAAGAGCTCACATTTTAAATCATTTAGTCAGCTGATGTAGTCAAAGGGATCGTGAACGGCAATGAGATACAGGAGCACCCACGGAGTGTCCAGCCAGATTTAGTACATAAGAGGGCTGATAAAGGCTCTAAACTGTACCTTGCTGTCTATAGACACCTCAACCTTGCCGATACCCCTGAAACTTGGAGTCTTATCGTAGGGCCCCAGGACGAAACCCCAACAAGCGTTGGTTGGCGATATCGCACCGTGCGTCAGCGTATGGGTTTTCATAAATACATGAAGAAACAAATCACCATGGACAAGTCTGCTGATATGGTCGGACGGTTGTTACTAGGAGAAGTTCAAGATACAGCTGAGCTAGAAAAGCTTTTGCAATCAGTGCGAGTTGTGGCAGGGATTTCCGAGCTGAAGGGTGCCACTGAACATGAGATAAACGCCGGATTTGACTCTAGAACATGGGTCCGATATGCTTTGAAGAAGTTGGAGGGATCCCGTAACATCATGGGGGGCAACAGCAGCATAAACCTCGAGGAAACCCTGTTCGCTTTGCTTTTCTGGCTTGAGGAATTGAGCAGGAAGAACCCGAATGGAAAGTTAGACGCAATGATTCGGCAAGAAGGGGGATATCCAGCGACTTTCGACTTCAAATTCTACACGCAATTGAGCACACCCGCTACTTGGAATCAGAATGGACAGCCCGGTGGACAGCCCGGTGTGCGACCAAGTGGACAGAGAGGAGGGCGGGTTCAATAAATTCGATAGCAGATTGGAGAGAAGAAAGCCATTTTGATGAAAAACACAACATGTGATTCCTATCAGACGACCACTTGATTGCTGGATCTAAGTAGAAGTTTGTCGGAACAATGGCAATAGAAAGTTTTAGAGAGAGCCTGCACACTGACTAACTAGACAGTAATATGTCCCAGCTTTCGTTTGTAACGAGATTCTGTACTTTGACCTTCCATCTATCCATGGCAAACAATTGGGTGAGCGGAAAGTAATAGGGAGCAGAGTCAGGACTGCGTTGGGTTGGTAACGTTGGATGTCGTGGTGCATATTTTGTGGACGCCTCTATAGTAGGGAACATCATAGGCATGGCCTGAGATGGGTGGGTAGGTGGAGTAAGAAGATATTTTCCTCTGTTCATCGGCCTTTGGAGGTAGGTGGATGATGTGTCGATCTCTCTTGGTAGCTCTAGTTGATCTTTTTACATCATGCCTAGTGCCTATCCCCATCTACATGGTCCCCAAATAGTTTGGCCTATCCTGCTACATCATAATATCAGTCCCTCTTCTTCAACATTATTAAAGAAATGGAACCAAAAAGGCTTATTTGCCCTCTCAGTTGACGCCTTGCATCCCTCGTCTTGAGATCGAATTGAGCTTGACAATTCATCAAGCATCTGCGAAAGAGGATAAACCTTATGACAAAGCCACATGCAAGCATCCTTCGTTAGACTTTAGTTCTCCAATATAATGTATGCTTTGATATGATCATTCCTGATTTGATATGTAATAAGAAAAGTTGTGCTTGTCAGCAGATGCTTTGTTATTAATCCTACAAAATTTCTCCGTCCCCGAGTATGACACCAAACCTTGATCTTAATGGCTTGCTGTTACAGTAAACGTAGGCGTCGTAAATTTTAATATACCGGATTCACTGCAGGTGTAGGGGTCTAAATACACATTATACCACAGATGGTCTGGTGCTCCATCTTCCAACACATCCAAGCCCGAGATGCGTAGAATGACATAGACCTCTGAGGGTATGGCGGAAGTAACGCGTAGTCTTTTTGCCTGCATAACGTTATCCAAGATGATTTCTGATTTCATGTGAGAACTAGGAATCTTACCAGCTCGTATTGTTTCTGACTCATGTAGAAGGGAGTCTTGGGATCTCGACATGTTGTACTCTTGATCTCTAGCCGGTACAATGGCGTATTTCCATTGCTGCAAACCGTGGACAGCCATTTTGGTTTGACGACAGGTTGCATCTGCGAAAGATGTTTGGTGAGGGCGCCTTCTGTATCCTTGTAGGTAAAATCAGAGACTTCGTGGCCAAAAGATGAGAAGCCAGCTCGAGATCGCAGCGAGCTGGTCCAGTTCTTTTCACCAGAGAAGTTAGGGATTTGGAACACGTCGTGTAGCAGAAGGTATACCTGGCTAGGAGTCAGCTGCAAGACTAGGTAGATATGATAAAGTACCATTCGAAGAACTTACATAGTATTCTCCTAGGAATCCAACTTCAGAGTCACGCGCCCTTTCCTCTCCGTTGCGGTTTGAGGCCAGTCTTTCTTGCCCTTGCAATGAGGGCTCGGCCTGGACAAGAATCGACGAGGGACCAGGTCCAACTGACTCCAGAGCTTCCCTACACGTGCTCATGTCAAAAGCGACAACACTGTCATCGGAATCTCGATCCTGCTGGACGAGGTGTCGAATGCGCTGCATATTTCGGCTGCGATTGCCCACGTTGTAAAGTCCAGTGCCAGTAAGCCGGGGTGTAACTGGTCGATTACGAGGGCTTCCGTCAGTAGGAACATCCAGATGAACCTGCGAGAGAGGCTCCCTTGTAGTTGGCCTGGATGCAAACAAATTGGTGACAGGTCGAAATACCACATGTTGCTTTGGGGTCGTGTTTGCAGCTTCAGATCTCGCGGAAGCACGCGTAGATTCAATAGTAATCGAACCTACAGATGTCGCAGAAACGCCACGTCCGATTTCTGAGGATGAATGATCATCACTGTCATCACAATCGCCGTTGATTAGGTTTTCTCTCAACCCTTCCTCGAAGATGTCTGATGCTTTACCAATGATGCCTTTCTTGATCAGTAATGCGTTTAGCGAGGCGCGCGGTACTTGTAGAAGTACTTGAAGATCTGGAAGATCGGCTGGTTCCAGCTCTAGTGCTTCTATGAGCTGTCTTGGAAAGTCTGTTAAGAGCGCACAATCGCGCGTGTGCCTATTTGCTGATACATAAATGTCGAGCCTAGCCATGTCATTGTGTCCGATGTTGACCTCAACACTAGAACCTCCCTCACTTTTCGTTATAGTAACTTCATCTAGTGTATAAGTCGTGTTTATATCTTCACTTGTCCAGACCTCGATATTGTCAAAGAGGGGTCGAAGTTCGTGGGGTGACTCGCAACCGACAAACTCGAAGTATCTATACTGACGTAAGTATAACTGCCCAAAGTCTAATGAAGACAATTGAGATCACGTACTTCATAAGCGCACCTTTGCGACTTTGCAAGTCTTTCTTTAAATCATGGTCTTGTCCAAGAGGCTCTCGAAATTTTGTCTCTACAGTAACACTCTCAGACAGAAACTGAAAGCAAGCTTGACTGCAGAGCAACCCCTCGACTTGTCTCGAGACATATAAATCGAAGTCCAGAATTGTGTAAGTATCAGAAAATATGTCGCAAAGATCTTGTCGATCGTTGACGTAGAATCCTCCAATGCGGCGAAGTGTCGGAGGACCGGTTCGCATGCGGCAGGGCCAGCATCTTTTACCCACAAGTCGTTTGACCTCTGAGTCGTCCTTGTATAACCGGCCAATTTCTTGTATAAGCTCTCTCACATACTGGTATCCATCCTCGTCATGTATTAATGATGTCATTTTGGAAGATACATCTAACAAATCAGTGATAAGCATCTCCACAGTAGCATTCGGTATTTCTAGTGTATCTCTGAAAAGATCGCGATACTCGTTCAACGAGTGTATGAGGGCATGCTTGGATCGCAAGACCGACCGAGCCCAGATACAGTCCTCAAGTGGCAGCCACCTCCCGCTTTGCTTGTTGATACCACGGAGAAAAACGAGAGGACTGTTCTGGAAAGCTTCCCTATCCCAATGGTCAGCTCGAGATCGCGTTTGGACTTTTTGTATATACTTTATCATCCCTGCGAATCCTCGACGGTAGTTCGAAATTCTCTCATACAGCAGGTACACTCGCTTCGGTTCGTCACGTTTTTGTTCTTGCATCAACTTTAGGTCGGCAAGCAGTTCGGCGACTCCGGCATTTGGTATTTCAAGCACTTTAGTGAAGAATGGTACTGCGGTCGGTGCGTACTGCTCTATGATGTGGTGGATGGCAATCTTGCTTTCCAAGATGAGTTCGTTTTGCGAAAATTCTTCGTCATCCCACACACATTGAGAAGGACTTTTCCACTCAAATTTAGTCCCTGATGGGGAGGGAATAGCAATGCAGGGATACTTGTCATCGGCGCTGAATCTGTTCTCAATCAGCGACAATTCGTCTGGTGCAGCACTTTACTCACGTATCTGCGCAATGTTCCTGTATGAGCACATATATATCAGTAAGATCTTCTATGGTCGCCCCTTTATCCCTAAGCCCTTGAATGTGCTCTTCAGCTTCGACAGCTGTTATGTTTTGGACATTCAAGATTTCTCGAAAAAGTCGATCCAGCTCACGACCATAGACCGGAAACAATGCAGGTCTGATGAAATGATTCTTAGGCCCATGCCAGCTACAATCTCCAATCGACACATAATTATTGTAGGAGAGGACAATTCCATTATCACAGAAGGCTTTTCTATTGATGGTGGTTAGTTGGAAATTCTTGGCTAGCCATAGGCTGATGGACCGGACGGAATCAAAAGTAACATATAGCGGTGTATACTCACCTGACCATCTCCTTTTCTACAGGCAAAAACGTGTGTTCCTGGATCGCTAAGTAAAGTTGTTTTGACATTTCGACTCTTCCAAACCCATCTGTAGCCTGCTGGTCGAGCACCCATAAATAAAAGCCCACTCCCTCTTCCACTCCAACGCTGAAGTTGGACAAGAATCTCCAATCCTCCGGATCGCCGCTAGGTAGAGTTAAAAAATGATATTCTCTGCTGTCACCAAAAGGTTGCATCCTGTTTATCTTTTCTTCAAGAGCAGGAAACGGCAGATAAGTTGTACGTAGAGTAATGCCATTCCCTGACTCGCATAGGAATTTATATTTTCCTAGCCCGTCTTTTACTGTGTCTGTAGCTTGACTCATGTAGAGATCCTGATTCTCGTACAATATAGCCAAAACTTGATCGTTTTTATGATTAAGCAACCATTCAAAATCTTCGTGCAATCCACGAGCGGAGACGAAACGAGGAACAAGTGCCACTTCAGCCTTTTCACTCAGCCATGTTGTGAATCTAGTCTTTTCCACGGGATCGAAACCTGCAAAATAGCTGCTGTCCAGAAAATGTGCTCCGCTATAGCCGGAAAATAGCCGTTGTAGGTTGCCGCTGACAGTGACATCAATATAACTTGAACGGCCCCGTTTGAAATATTTCTTATGGTTCTTATCAGAACACACAAAATGTAAACTGATCGTGTTCTGAGATTGCAAGTGCTCTTGTGCTTTGTACAGGTACTTGACCTGGGCAACCATGTGTGAAAAAGCGGCAGAAGTACACTTGGCGTGGTAGTCTAGAATACTCTCAACAACGTTGGGAGCATCACAGTCCTTTACACCGAGTTTTTGAAAGAGCAATCTCCTGTGAGGGCAGGAACAAGCCTTTTCACTGACCAGAGATATCGATAACCCGGGCGGGACAGTCGTACCCAAGCTTGCCGGGAAGTAGATCGGGGAATCTTCAGAAGGGGCACACCTCCAGGTGCCATCCTCGAGTGGAATCAAGGAAATTTTCCCTAGTGTTTGTTTCAAGCCTATCTCGTCTCTCCAATCTCTTGCCTTCAGAATCACCTCGGCAAGATCCGAGCACCAGTCCGCATTTTGCATTTTGCCACGAAGCAAGCCATCATTTTGTAGCCCGTAGAGTTTCTGGCACAACCACTCCCAACTAGGTGCGGTGACGCCTAACGACAAAAGGGGTTCACGGACTGAGCTAGGATAATCGACGGAGAGGTAGTCGCTACCATGTCCCAAAATCGGCTGGCCATGGCGATCGTGAGCCCAGTCCAGGAACTTAAGATCTTTTGGCACCCCTAATCCCCCGCTTCGCGTCTTGATGACATTCAACTCGCTGAGGTGCCTGATGATATCTCTTTTAATACTACTCCAGTATGTATTAAGGCCTACGGTATCAGTGCTGAGGTATAGTGGCCACGTCTTTCCCAGCTCCTTATGGACTGATGGTACATTGCTTCCATCGGCATTGAAGCAGGAGACTGCGTTTGCAAAAGCGTAGGGAATATTCCTAGCGATATTTTGGTTCCACGAACTGTCTTCATCCACAGATTGCCGATTTGATGTTGTGAGAAAATCTGCGTGGATCACAAACTAATGAAAGATTTAAGCTATATCGTTCGAGTCATGATCGATGTGACATACCTTAAACCCAAAATTACCAAGAGGCAGATAGGCAAAGACAAGGTTTTGTTCTCGAATTAAGGGCGTGTACGTCAAAGGCTTTTGCTGAGCTACTGGAAAGGCTAACACAATGTCAGTGCGACTGACATTTGGACGTCGAGGTTCTGTCCCATTGAAAGCAGCAGTAGCACTGTATTTGAACAAGGATAGTTTGGAGTCAGTGTCCTCATCTATGAGCTCAATAATGCCAGGAGCGATTGTCTGATCGACACGTCGAAAGCGCTTTGAGATGACCGAATGGTAGAATGGATTAGAATCGACAACCGTAAGGTGAAGCCGTCTGATACGCCGCAAGAACAAGATCAAGGTGGGATCAATTGCTTTCACGTCACGTTCAAGCACGGTTGAAAAGTTTGTTGCCGGATTGCTAACATTGTCCAGCACGATAGTCGTCTGATATGCATCTTCGAAGCGGTTGAAGAAGGTTTCATCCCACTGCGGCGTAATCATACCAAGATATCGCGTTTGATCCAGCTGAAAGAAATAAGGGGTAGAACGTATATGTGCCCGATCAGCGATCTTAAAGACGGATTTGAAGCCAATGCCCTTTTCGCCAGTGTACCCTTGTCCGGGCTTTTTGGAGCTTCGACCCGTCCGACATAGCGCTTGAATGTTCTCTTTTGAAAAGCCATCTTCATTGCATTCGATCATAACATTTTTAGGAAAGATTTTAATAGATACTGTTGGTGTCTGGCCTGACGTGTAATTGTTGTCGTCGGCATTCTGGATAACTTCCATCAGGAACCTTGCGCGGTTGGTGTACAGGTCGCTTGAGATGCTACGAAAATCGTCAATTCCATCAACCATGAAGCCTCTCGCGGCGTGATGGCGAAGTTCTCACATTTTCAGTAATTTTTCTAAGTTGTCTCTGCTTTCCTCCCCGCTCTGTATCGCTTGTAGCATACCCCTGCGACCCTTTCTTGCCTCTTCCACTGCTTCTTGCTTGAATGATGCCGTAAAGGTCCCGTTCTGTCGCGCTATCTCTTCGATTTCTGCACGCGCGCCGTCAGAATCTCCATTTGGGGCCATTTCGCTATTGCACTAGACGTGCCAGACGTTGTAGAAAAACAAGGGGTAGAACAATATAGGCTCAGTCAAATCACCGCGATTCTTCTTGAGATATATTTCATCAAATTGCCCCTGCGCCTTGCCGCATCAGTTTCGGCTATCTGAAGGATTATTGTGACTGTGATGCCCCTGCATGCGGCACAGCAGCATCTGCAAGTCTGACTAGTCGTCTGTTTTGCTTAGCGCTTCCTTGAAGTCCAAAGGAAGCTACCCTAATCAATATCGATGAGTCCTGCGTTTTCTCTTCAAGTAATTCCAACAACGCAGTCAACACCTTAATGGCTCCGCGATCGAGCTTCAATATACCCAACAACAATCTTAACTTCGAACTCGATTTAGGAAGAGTTCTGGTGGTAGTTTCCTAGTTGTTTATTGTCACTCACGCATTCACGGATCCTACGAACGAGATTCCTACGTCGATCAAACTGGTTCGAAACACATACTTTGGCCTTGAGAACAAGGGTACGCATGCTGTAGAAATGATGTATGCAGGATTCTGCTTTAGCCTTTGTTCTTGCATAGAACTACTAGTCAACAAAAGTAGGGCTGGATATGTGCAAAGTTACTCTTAAATATTGTATTGCAGGCTAGTATTTAAGTGTATGACTATGTGCGACTCTCCCTACCTCTACAACTGGAAAGGGATGATTGATTTGTGTTGCTATGCTGATCATTTTCAATTCGTACCACGTGGGGATAGACCGATAGCACTGTTCTGATTGGTCAGATGGTGTTCGCGTTTGTGGCGCTATTGTCACCTTGATGGCGATGGTGTATCATCAGATAGTAGGGATCACGGCGATGATTGAGAGGGAAAATTTTGGACTGGTCACAGAAACAGGACTCAGATGTATCAAATTATAACGCATCACGCATTTTTTCATTTACTTTAAGATTCATTAAGTTTATCACTCACTCTCGACTTCCGATGGGGCACGGAGCGATTCTCCGAAGGGTTCCCGAAGGTGCTCCGAAATCTTTACAACCACCGGAACGCTGGGATGTATCGACCACATCGTCATAGTACCATGTTCTCTTTCGTAGTGCATCGCCTCCGTCAACCTTAACGGAATATTCTGATGGTGGCGTCTAATGTATTGCTCCTACTTAAGTCTTCTCACATCTACACCTTTTGGTCACCAGGCCAGTACGAAATATTTATGTCCACCTTCAATCAATCCTCTTGGTCGTACTAGAATTGAACGACGCAATATGGCATCTTCTTTGAAGGCTCGCCTTCGAGCGACCTGGGATACTTTACTCATCGATCGGCACATGATCTGCCAGATGTTCAAGTGCGTCCACCAGAAAACAATTGCCAAAGTCTTCCACAACTGACCAGCTTCAATAGGGGATCTGTTCCGGTAGCCATATCTCTAGCTTTCTATCAGAGCACTGCCGTGTCCGAGGTCTATACATCTTTGGGATTCCTAGTGTCTATCATTTCTGTCGTTACAGTCAATGTTCTACCCCGCGCAAAGTTGATCGAAATGACATTTAACATCTGTCTCTACACTGCCATAGCAATCCCGATCACCATGCTTTCCACTTGGTCTGGCATTCAGGCTCGGCACCATACGGATCCACAGAATCTGCACCAGTATAATTCTTCACAGAGTGGTATGCAGGCATTGCGGAAGTGCCAGCAGACTTGAAGCTGACAAATTTCAGCAATCACCGCCATTTGGCTTTTCTGTAACATATTGGTGAGCAACAGTATGCAGGCTCGGTATCCTGCACTTCTCATCCCGACGATTCTCTACAACATTTTCGTCATCGTCCAGTATACTTCCTGCTCACGATTCCATACCTGGGAGCAATGCTGGAGCCTGATCTATCTTACTACTCGATGCTATTACACCGGAGTCGCGATCTCCTTCGTAAGTGGTATGGTAATATTTCCAGTCACTTGTCGAACCGAGATATTCGAACTTCAAGAAAAGTTTCTCCATGGCGTTCGCGAAATGCTTACCGAATCTGGAGAGTATTTGGAGACACTTCAAGCAATCTCGGCGTTTTCTGTTGATCAGAAAGAACCGGATTTACGAGCAACAATGGCAAAGGTCAAGGGCACATACGTGCAAATACATCGAGATCTTGCCATGGCAAAACGAGAGTTTGCTTGGGGAAAGCTATCAGCCAAGGATATTGGCCACATGAGTGACCTCTGTCGCAGAATTTTGATGCCGCTGTAAGTCTGGTGTATATTCAATTTGTGATATGGGTTTTGCCAGAAAATAGTTGTACTAACAGTCAATGTGTAGGAGCGGTATTGCTCATCTTCCGGACATCTTGAAACAAGTTCAAAAGGACGGGGGTTGGGCTCCGTCCGATTATGAATCTAAAATGAAAATTGGCCATGCGGAAATGGAGAAACCTTTATCATCGCACGATTCAGAAGAATACGACAGGATCTGGCGAAACTCCATTGGAGCTCTCCTTGACTCTGCGCATAGCGTAATTGCCCTTACAAAGGATGGCATCGAACATGCTGCGCTTCAGCTTGAGATCAGTCATCCTGCGACGAAAAGTAAATTTTCCTTCGGAGCGAATGCCACCAATGCAAACAATATCGACGTGGAAGCAGATGGGCAAACGATAAATCCTGGCAATGCTCAATTTTCACAGCTTCTAGAGGCAAAGTTGAGCGAATTCATGGAACGACGTACGGAGGCCTTAACGGTCTGGGCGAATAGCGAGAGCAGGACATCCAATCCATTGCCGAATCCAACTTGCCACGATTCAGACAAAAGTTTAGACGAGTCATCCGGTACAAAAGTGCACAGGGATCGCAAGCAACTGTATTTGATTCTATACATGCAACACATGGTAAGCCAGAACGCACAACGGCCGTTCACTGGGCATTCGAAAGTCGCTGTAACTAACACCCGACATAGATCCATAGTACTGGTGTAGCAGTGCTTAACTTGTCACGATTTTCCGATGGCGTTGTTGCTAATGGAACCATGTCCAGGAATAAGCTCATAGTACCTTCCCTAAGAAGAGTCTGGAATTGGTTTCTCAGTGTATATGACACCACAGATACGCCATTGCCTGACGATGACAGACCTAATCGAAAAGATGAAAGGAATCTCATGTGGAAGACGACAAACCAAATCGCGCACGACATCGATCATCTCTCACCCCGAAACGCCTACGAAAGATTTGGAGTTAAGGTCCGAAGGTTCCAGTCGTTTCTTAGGGGACCAGAACTCAGCTTTGGCTTTAGATCAGCATGGCAAGTAGTGCTTGGGGATCACTTCATCTCAATATTAACATCAAGTTTAGTGCTACCATGTCATGTGCGATCATCGCATACCTCCATCAGACTCAGGAGATCTTCACTCATTACCGGCTCATTTGGTCCGTCATTATAGCAGCTATCGGAGCGAACATGTCAGCAGGGCAATCTGGAGTATCTTACTTCCTCCGAATCCTTGGTTCTTTCGCGGCCTTGATCATCTGTTATGCTGTGTGGTATATTCCTAACGGGAATGTTCCGTGCGTTTTCCCCTCCCCTGTCAGAGCCACCTGACTGACTACAAACAGAGGCGTCATCGTGGTGATGTGGTTCGTAGCGTTCTTGCAGATGTACTTCCTGCTCAGATGGCCCAAGTATATCATTGGGTGGCTGGTCATCTTCATCACTGAAGTTCTTACGATCGGTTACGAGCTTCAAGTCAGTAAAATCGGCGTCAAAGCTGCGGAATCAGGTGGAATCTACGTTTTCCCGCCCTACTACGTGGCAGCTTTGCGGGTAGCCTGTGTGCTGTGGGGTACCTGTGCATCCATCGTCTTCACGTACCTTCCATACCCTATTACCGCCAGAGGGCTCCTCCGTTCACAGATTGCAGTCAACATGGAGCTCCTCGCAAACTACCACGCCGTCGTACATTCTACTATCAAAGCCAGGCTTCGTAACACTGAGGGCGACGCAGCCGACAAGGACAGCCGCGGCCGTGTCTTGTCGCACACACGAAAAGCAATGTTTAACAAAATCATGTTTCTGAATGCTCAGGTCTCGCACAACGTATACCTCCAAAAGTACGAACCAAGTCTAGGTGGGCGATTTCCTATAGCGACGTTCCAGAACATTACCTCACAACTTAGTCTGTAAGTACTCTTAGAAGTCGATCTTTCACGTGTAAGGCCGGGGAAATTCAATCTGACTTTACAAACAGTCTCCTCGAATATGTCTCGCTCATGTCCTATGCAACGCAGGTCTGGTCATCAAACAACCCAGACGGATCTCTGCACTATCATGATGGAGATCGCAAGTGGCTTGTGGATCTTTCGAAACTGATCGGACCAGTAAACGCCACAGAGCTCAGCGTGAGCTCGATGTTCTGTCAGCTCTCAGCTGCTGTTTCCACAGGCCGATCACTGCCACCGCGCTTAAATCTGCCGAAAGGATATCATTTGTCGGAGAAGCTTTCGGCACTTGACCCCAATATCCTAAGTAGTCAGCATATGCAGGAGACTGGCTACTCTGCATTCGCAGTCATGGAGGTTATTTCCAACATGATTACAAGCGAACTAGAGGTTCTTGTAACCCATATCGAGAGCCTAGTTGGCGTTGTTGACTTTAACTAGCTAGAACCTAATATGTATGAGACCACGTAGCGTATCAAGTTATTGCAAGAATTATATACCATAGAATTATAGATCCAATCAACAGGTACCGAACGAATTGCTCGTCGACTGGTTGATACCCATATTGACCAAGACTTTCAAAAACCAAATACCCAACTCCATTCACAAATCCAACAGTGACCCCCAGTTTGCTATATCACCAATCTCTTACACACAATTTGTCTTCTATTAAACTTGTGATCTTCAAAAACAAGAAACGTAGTAACACAATATCTTGGGTGGAGGATTAACGTACCGCTAGAACCATGCTGATTTACCGTTTGCCCAATGGTGGCAACCACAGAGGCCCCAACAAATTTCGTGTTCTTGTGGAACAATGACCCTATAGTTTGAGGCATGACGTCTGTACGGAACCTTCCGCTGGGAAAGTGTGGATGAAGTGGCTTGGCAGCCCCTTGATCGGAGGTTTTAAAAGACTCGGGGCCCTTAAGTCCGTTAGCACTAGTAATATAAACTGCCGTGTTTAGATCCCTTCCGTTAGCGTGGATTTACTTTGTGAGCCAGATCGTTGGCCACATTGTTGACTGCATAATTTTAGTTATTAGAGGGCTCGCAAGTGACCAGAGAGTTGTGTGCACTGGGAACTTTGAGCGTGTTGGTATTCAGTTTTGATACATAGGTTCTACTGGTAACATTCTCGAGATCTGTTAGATTCATTCGAAATATCATCTGTTCCATCATTGCAAGTGAAAGAATACAGTACTCGGAGAGCTAGATGACGCTCCTAGGGCAACAGTCGGCGCTTTACTGACCAGCATAAGAATCGGCATCTAATTGATTGCCTACAACTCCCAAGAATCGGCGCATGTACCCCATGAGAATCGGCACTCTGGCAAACGTTCGGCAACGACTTACACCAAAACAACTTCAAGGCCTATTAAACCCAGCGTGGCCCTGCTTTGAAATGGGCGATGCCGATGCCTACTGTCCTCTAACAGGGGTCTCAGGTGCAGACACTATCTGACCCAATCTGGCAGCGCTCAAGCACATGTAAACTCCAGATCTTCAGATGATGCTAGAAAGTATTTTGTAAGCTATAGACCCTGCGAATGTTGACTTGATGGACATTAGTGCTGTGTCAAGTCCCTTGCCGGGCTATGGCCCGTACCAGTACTGTAGAAGTCGTTTGAACCCGATCGCCACAACCGGCCGTGTATGTTTATATATAAGGTACTCATCCCAGTCATCTAATTACATCCTATCTGTGAAAGAGACTCAGCACAGTAAAATCATCGCCTTCATCAGCACATCGGGAACCAATCCACCACCGATAGGTACCAAGTGTCAATTCTTAGACGAACAGCGACGCCGTTGTTGAAACACATCGTCAAGAAAATCCTCCGCCAGCCATGAGTTCAAAACCCACGATTGTCTTTGTGCCTGGAGCCTGGTCTGGCCATGATGTTTTCGACGAAGTCCGAAGCGTCCTTGCTTCTCGAGGTTGGCAATCAGAGACAGCCACAAATCGTACGGTTGGTGCGAACCCGCCAACGATGCATCTGCAAGATGATGCTGCTGCCATTCGCGCAATATTACAGCGCCTCGCCGATGAAGGCAAGAAGATAATTTTGGCCGTACACTCCTACGGTGGTCTCGTTGGCGCTGAGGCAGCCCAGGGCTTTGGGATCAAACAGCGCGCTGAACAAGGTCTCCCAGGTGGGGTGATCCTGTTTACATACATCGCATCTTTCGTTACTCCCAAAGGAATGAGTCTTAAGAAAATGCTGGGAGGTCAATTGCCTCCGTGGATGCATCTTGAGGTGAGATCCCATTTCATACGGAGTAAAGTACGCCGCAATGTGGGAACGACTCAGCTAACATGCTATGCATACAGAATGATTCAGTGACCCCCATGATGCCAGAGAAGATTCTATTCAATGATCTGGAACCTAAAGAGGCTAATCGATGGATTGCAAAGTTACAGCCGCAGTGCGAGAACTCGTTTACGGATGAGGTTAGCTACGAGCCATGGCACGACATTCCCTGCGCCTACGTTCACGCTGAGAACGACACCGCGTTACCCCTTGAAATTCAAGAAGCAATGGTTAAGCAGTTGGGCCCAGGAACTTTGACTTACCGAACGTCGGCTGGCCATTTCCCGTTTCTGACTCAGCCAACCACTGTGGTTGACGATCTTGAGGCGGCGGCGGAACAGATCTCTCAGAAGATATAACTACAAGAGGGCTGCAACGCTCAGAACACAGAACATGTCGCGGAGAGGGAGATAAATGGCACCTAGAATGATACTTTGGCTTGTGATCGGTAGGACGGAAAAACGAATGTCGTAGGATGGCCTCCGATGGGTCAACCCTCGGGTCAGGGTTAGCTCACACTGGATCACATCATGATCCATCACGCGAAGATTATGACCTCATGGCGGGCCAGACAAGGAATACATAGAATCAAAGTATCTATTCATGAGAAGACTTTCCTCATAGTCAATATTGAGACTAGTATCCGACACTGTACCTTGTTCAGCTACTTTCAGCTACTCGTAAACAAGTGTGTTCATGAGATATCGCCGTCTCAGCATAAGGGGTAAAACTAAGTATGCACATTTTCGGAGCTGCCCATGCCATGGAAGGTTACTAACTGCGTGAACCAGCTCCCTGAGACCGATACTTGGAGAGGTCGTCGACAGTACGAATTGGTCCAGCAATGCCACATTTTGAGAGATAGTCTGCAAACTATTTCTGCCACGATCTAAGAATTTTAGAACGACTGATCGCGCGGGGGGCTCCAAGTTCCCACATCAAAGTCCTCGAAGATTAAAGCAGTGATGAATTCAAAAGAACCACACAGGCCCGAGCGTAAGATATCCATCTAGTGAGGCAAGGCGCAGCATCTATGAGATATGATATTCTTACGTTATTATCTTTGGTCTCGATTGTCTACACAGTGAAAGGCCTTTGCGATAGCTATTGCTGTGTTAAAGGGTTCTAATGCCTCGCGAAAGGAGGAATTGCCCCCAGCCATGATTGGTTCATTTCGGGGACGAATCAAATAGGGGTGCCGCCCAGTCTGCCGAAATGCCGCAACGGCATACTCACTAATCCAGACAGGATGATCAGGACTGGTCCATGGTGGGAGTGTTCATGGTTTTGATACCCTGAAATGATGTGATTGGTCTGCCGAATATATTTACTGTCTCTTCCATGATACAAGTATTTGCGTGGTGTGACGGTGCTTAGGTTTTCCTAGAGCGGTGACAACTACATTGCCCGGGCTATTTTACTTCGAATTCATTCAAAGGGGTATTTATAAGCCTCCAAGGGCGGCCATTCTCAGTGAGGTTGTCGATGCTGATCTGTGGCGTTTCCAGAGTGGCCACTGCACATCGATCCAGATAGGCAGATGACTTCGGCATCGAATCTGGGTTGGCTACACTAGGATTTCTTTGATCTATAGCCGTCACTGATAGCATCAACTTGTCGGTTTAGTAACAAGAGCAGAATTATTCAACTACCTTCCACCGTCAATGATTCTACCAGTAGCAACAGGATGCAGACTCTTACTGTAGCGTCTTTGTTTGTTTCTATGGGTCCTTCTAAGTGTATAGTAAGTTTTACACCGCTACAGCTGGTCGTCCACGTACTGCTGTTGCTCTACACTGGATCGTAGGAGCACCCGACACTTACGTAGGCTCATGAAACGGAGCGTGTCTGCAGGGACCCAACTGATAGGGGCGGGGAACATCCCACTCTACAGTGCCTGAACGTGATCGACGACACCCAGTTGCTCGACAATAATCATGAATCACGGAAGACATGTGTCATGGGGCGAAGAAACAATTATCAAAAATTTGTATTTACGGAGTAACATCGAATAGAGTATAAAGAACCATTATCCTCTTGTGAATGAACATTAGGCTTCAGAACATCCCAGTACGACCGCCAGATTACCATTCAAGGCAAAGGAAAACACCCGGCCATCATGATGAAGCTCCTCACACGCGTTTTTCTGCTACTTCCTTTAGCTGGTGTGTACGCCGCGCCATGTCTTCCCTCGATCGATCGTGGAAATCTCACCGTGGCCTTGGTACGGGCGCCTCCGCCAAACTGGCCACTTCCCATTGACAACAAAGACTACCGTGGTGTTGATCTCAACATGACAGCGGTGGTCGAAACTGGTATCAGCCTGATGCATGCTGCAAGGGCGAACGGAGCCGATGTAGTCGCTTTTCCCGAGCTTTGGTTTCCTGGGTATGAGCCTCGTTCCCATTGCATTTTTCAGCCTCTAACACCAATTGTACCTAGACACCCCAAGGGAGAACTCACTGATGACTACTTTCGAGAGACATACCTTCCTCTTTACGCTGATAGTGCCATGGTCTTGGGTGACAAATACTGGACTCGGTTGACTGCAGCTGTCAGAGAAATTGGTATCTATGCACAGATCAACTTCGCCGAGCGCGAGGATGACCACATCTATATGTCGCAAGCGCTGGTTGGACCTTCTGGTGATATACTGTTACACAGGCGCAAATTGCAGCCATCAGGCGGCGAAAGAGATATATTTTCTCTGATGGAACCGTTGATGGCCTCCAGGTGATCCGCACAGCCTATGGACGTTGGGGAATGTTGGAATGCTTTGAGTGAGTCTAGATATCCCTTGTGGTTCAAGCCAACACGTACTAATCATATCCCTAGGCATTACTGGCCTAGCATGACATTCAACATGCATGTTCAGCAAGAGTCCCTTCACTTCACTGCTTTTCCCTATCTCCAAGATTCACTCGACCCCACGGCACCTTGGTTTGCAAACGACGTGGTCAACCAGGGCGCTGTCAGCACCTACGCGATACAAGGCAATACATGGACACTGACGCCTGCCGTAGGATCGGCATTCATTCATGACCCTACTGGAATCATGGTTGCCAACGTTTCTGCCAACGTCAGTTTTGAGCAGCAGCCATTTCTCTATCACAGCATCAACACGACAGAGTTTGACTTACGCAAACCTTACGATTTGGACGGGCAGTTCTCGTGGGGCATTCTGGACCAGATTGTGAACAGCTTTCCTGCATCCGTTCCTAAGAAAGAGGGCTCCATGGTTCCCCAGCTTAGTGTATCCATTAAGGACGTTATCAAGCCTGGTAAAGCTGGACAGAAGGCATGAATGTGTAGTCGCTAGTACCACAAAATCACAACTGTTCCGAGCCGTAATAATGGGAAATATGGGTCATAATGCGGCAAACCGACATTGACGATTAGCAAGATAGAGTGTTGCACGTCAATGAGTCCTCTCAAATGCTGCCAAATATGTAACCATGTTTTTATCTCATCTTTCACATACGACCATTGGACATTGAAAACAGGGCTTCCCGTTCGCTCAGCCATACTTAAGCAATGTACCGGCGGACTAGTAGTTGAGTGGGTGACCATCAGCGAATCCCCGCTGTTGTATGTTTTTTTGCGGTTTGTTGCAACTTTTTTGGCACCATTTTGGGTAGGTATCTGTGCGCGCCAATGTGGATACTGATGTGGATCCAACCGGCGTGAACTCGTTCGCAAAACTTCCAAAACTGTCCGTCCGGAACTCATTAACAATACTGTGAACTTGTAATGAACTGTTTTTTTTGGCCGATTCAATCTGATATCTTGAGCTTTGCATACTTTGTTACGGATGTGCTCAGTATCATAAGACCATTGAGGTCATTATTTCCAGACAGATCGACAGAACGGGGAGCATCCACTGCGGAGGAGAGTTGAAACTTGCAAGTCACGATGTAAATAAATGACATGATATGTGTCTGGTCGACGCTTCAGTTGGGCTATAAGATTAAGAGATAGCGAAAATGTGATGGCTTTCTGGGTCACCACCTGGGCTGGAGATGTGAAGGCTGCATTATACCTGATGTATACAGAAACATTCTTCCTCTAGTAAAGCACAAAAGATTCAAGAGTCCATTACGCTTGTTGGTTGCGGCCAGGAGCGAAAGTGGCGGGCTAGCTAACACCTCGTATTGTCCTTTGAAGTGCACCCCGGACACCGTGAGGTGATCGTCCAAGGGAGAGTGGAGGAGCACACTAACGGATCGTATTCACATATCCTTTGCGTCGCGTCAGACAATAATGAAATTGAAGATGGACGAATCCAATCCCGTCGAAGTGCGCTGTTCCCCACTCGACGATAAATGACCTTCGTGCCACCACGTAACAACACTCTATCCTCGCGTGGCTGTTTTCGTGTAGCCTATACGAGTGCCATGTTACAAATGCGATGATAATGGTAATTCGAATTTTAGAGAGGATTGTGTCCCTTGGAAAGGAACATTGGTTGACCATATGGCGCCCTTTGCCTCCCGCCTCGCTACCAGAGAAAATGTGCATCGGCATATATTCTGCGACGCGACTGCATCAAATGTCCGGAGATATTGCCGTTGAGAACATACCATGATGCTAACAAAGGAATTGATCGAGTTACAATCTTCTATTCTATTCGGTATATTCCTTCCATCTCTAGGAAACGATAATTATTTAGATGAGCGAGCAATGGCGACACATGCCTTGAACTCATCTATGCGGTTGCTGCCCAAACGTTGCCCTCCAAATTTCCACCAATGTTTCCAAATTCGTCACGACATGTTTTCGTGTGCAACCCAGGCGAATACATGTCGAAGTATCCAGCCTTTTCTGCGAGGCTCTTTCGGAAACGCGGGGACAGGTTCCTGGAGTCGCTTACCACGCGCGCTCATTCCTGGGGTCAAGCCACTTTATATAAATTAACCGTGTTACAGCAAAAACCCGGTTGACATGGGGAAAACCCACCACGAGGTTGCCACCGTCCCCGCAATTTTCCAAATACCGTAATTCTTTAATCTATGCCTCATCTCGTCGGTGGCACTAGGCACTACACCGTACCGGCCCGTACAGTCCACCCGGTGCTTTGTGCAACGATCACGTGTAACGACCGATATACAACTCCATACGCCCAGTGACCAACCTTTCCTCAAACTTACCTTGGCCCGACGTCTGATTTCCCTGTTGGTGGATTTCGCCGCGCCTCAGCCTACAATGGCAATCAACTTTTTTATATCGTGGAAGCTTAGGGTGCGTTTTACTATGATCTCCGTGACCGAACAGGCTAGGATGTGAAATGAAGATGGGGGTTCCAGGTCGCACGACGACCAGAAGACCAAGCCATCCATCGATATAATCGGATATGCTATGAGTTTTCAGTGTTGGCGGAAAGAGTGGAAATTGTATATAAGGCATATCTCTCGAACCAGGAAAAGATATTCAATCAATCCTTCCATCCACGCCTATCTACAGTGCATACCATCTACTTTGCGGGCATTCTATCTACCATTTACCCATAGAGGATCTACCAAACCACCACCCGCACTTTCAATATCCATCGCCAGCATCAATATGCGTACCACATTCTCCGCTGTAGCCCTATCGGCTGCCGTCCTCGCACCTCTTGTCTCTGCCCACGGCCACGTCTCAGGCGTTCAGGTCGCTGGTGACTGGACCCCTGGCGCAGATCCCGTCTGGTTCTATCTGCCCGCAAACCAGCAGGCAAAGACTGCGGGATGGAAGGCCCTCAACCAGGACAACGGCTTCGTCTCTCCTGACGCCTTTGGCGGCAACGACATTGCTTGCCATAAGAGCGCTACCCCTGGTGCCGACTACATCGAGGCAAACCCAGGAGAGACCTTGACCTTCTACTGGAACACCTGGCCCGAGAGCCACAAGGGTCCCATCATCAACTATCTCGCTCCTTGCAATGGTATGTCTTCACTCTACTCCTTAACCCAGACCTAGATACTCGTACACCCGCCTACCAGCGATCCCTTCAGAAGAAACATCCATGCTAACCAACTCACTCTTCTAGGTGATTGCACCACTGCCTCCGCCTCCTCCCTCCGCTTCACCAAGATCCAGCAAGCCGGTCTCATCACCCCCGGCGGCACCGGAACCTGGGTGACCGACCAGCTCATCTCGAAGAACTTCACCGCGACGCTCACGCTCCCCTCCAAGCTCAAGGCCGGCAACTACGTGCTCCGCCACGAGATCATCGCCCTGCACGGCGGCCAGAGCGACAACGGCGCCCAGGCCTACCCCCAGTGCCTCAACCTCAAGGTCGGAGGAAGCGGCAGCGTCAGCCTGCCCAGTGGCACCGCCGGAAACGCCCTCTACAAGAGGAGCGAGCCCGGCATCATCTTCAACTTGTACACCAACCCTACTAGCTACACCTTCCCTGGCCCCGCTCTCTGGACCGGTGCTAACTAGATTGTGTACACTTGATGACCAATCTGGGTACATTTATGCCGAGTAGGTGTTTTACATATTGCATTGTGAGAACGGTGTGGTAGAGTGATGGAGGGGAGTTCAACATAGCATGGCGAAGGGAAAACAGTGGTGGTTTGGAGAAGTTCGACAGCATTCTTCGATTGTAAATATTTGTGCATCACAGTCTTTATATATATAAGATCATTATCCTGCATATTCACGTTGACCAAAACTTTGTGCCTGTGAAGAAAAAGATCAAATTTGGAATTGAAAACTATCCCATGATTTGCTGTGTCGGTGATGGAACGCCGATATGATGAGAACGCAAATGACCTGCCTGGGTCCGCCAGCAAGCCGGCATGCTTTATATAATAAGCCATTGACACCAAGCAGTTAAGCATTGCAAGAAACAAATATACACATGGGCATGGCTCTATTTCGGAAAGGTCAGGCTGCGCACCAACCAAAAGATGGGCCCATGGAAAAATAAAGATCAGGAAAGAGGGGAAACTCTTCTAAGTCAACGAATCGGAAGAAAGAACGCCTTGCATGGTTCGCAGACTTTTTAAACTTCTCGGAAGGGTCGCTACCTTCCTTCTTCGGCGTCTTTGAATTGCGTTATGTTTGTGGTAATCGTCGTTCGCTTGGTTCTGGAACGAACGTGGCGAGTTCAGGATGATTCCCATAATGGCGGACGTAGATCTCTCACTTGATCGGTCGGTGCCGGGAAACCGGTCGAGCAAGTCGTGGTGTCTTTGTGGAGAGGAAAGGAAGATTTAAGGGTTGCCTTCGTTAAAGTGGCTTGTTAGGATGGCGGCACTGGCATTGGTGCTTTTGTGGGTGGAAGATGGGCTTTTGACATTGAAAGCGAGTATGAGATCGGCCGTGACTGCAACACTGGAACAGCTTTTTGTTCTGTGGATAGGAGAATTTATAATCGGTAGACGTGGCTTCATTGCATGTGAAGCGAAGAATTTCGATGGTCATTATCAGGGTTGAACTACCGAACGTTTTCTCACGAGAACTTCGTGGAACAGGCTGGTGACTTTGATGAAAGAAGACGGAGAGAAATCTTTGAAAACAATGAATGAGTTTTGACTTTGGTCGAGATGTGAGATTGTGGCTTCGGATGACGGTGGGTGACTTGGTTGGCTCTGAGAGAAAGGAGGTGCAAGCTTATGCTCTTTTGGAACTTTGGAAACGAACGTCGATTTTGGAGAAAATTGTGTCAGAACCTGAGATCCATAGAGAATACGACTTCTTATATTTGAAATCGGTCGATTCAATGATAACTTTGATACGATGATTGCGTTGTGGACTTTGGGCTTTGGTCATGTTGAATTTTTGGTGTTGAAGAAAGTTGCTTTGGGTTTTGCGATCGAAAAGTGGGGCTTGACCTTCGGTTGTGAGGAACAAAGTTGCTTGTGGGCTGAGAATTTGAAATATTGAGCTCAAGTATCAGATCGAAGATGCAGGGGAACAAAAAGTTCGCTTCAATGGCTTTTTGCTGCAGGGGAAATAAAGTGAGTAAAAGTTTGATGTTGCAGTTCGTGGCTTCGAAGAGATGGGGTGACTCCGAATGCGGAGCAGGCGTGGTTTCATTTGATAAAAGACGATAGAATCTACTATGCCCTAATAGTGGCAATGCAGTATTACCAAGTTAGAGGAGACGCAACTCATCTCTGATCAGCTGCTCAACTTCCCAGCGAGTTTCAGTAAACCAGTTGGTACGAAATGCGGATGCTAGAGATCGAAACATGGTCGACTTTTTTATGTTGTGATTATTGAGTTAATGTGAGAACGATAGTGGCGACGGTAATCAATGGGCAGAAATCTTGTCTTCTGTCTCGACAGGTCGCTTCCCGTTGTTGTTATGGTTATTTTCCTCTGCACTCTTCTCGCTGATGGTGGTTTCGTAGGCGCCTTTGACGTCCTGGTCAATCGACGAACCTGATGCGCTGTTTTGGAACTCCTCATCGGAAGTCCCTTCCTCCTTCTTCTTGTCGTACTTAAGGGCAAAGTACATGACCCAAGTAAAGATGATGAGAGCAATTGCACAGCCCAGACAGAAAGAGAATCCTTTCCGGAATCTCGGCGATTCGACAGTCGGGAATGTGAGTAGTGGTGTCCAAGCGGTGGAGGACTGGGACAAAAGGTTGATCAGAACCAAAGTAAAACTTCTTTCCTCGGGACTGTCTCTAAGAAGATTATTGACCCAGCCGTGAAAGACACTGGACAGGGCGTTTGACCAGTACATTGTTGCGAACGCGAACCAAAGTGCATTTTCGGGAACGGACCAGATGGTGAGAATAACGAGGCCGATTGCATTGAAGACCGAGCACATGGTGATTGCATTCGCTGGACCAATCAACAAATCTGATGCGAAGCAGGCAAACAGTGTGTACGGAATACCGAGAGCGGGTGCGATGGTTCCGAGCTCGTTGACGCGGGCTTTGCTGTAGCGTTTTCCATTGCCGAGAGACTTAATCCATAGCAAGAATGATCCAGTGGATTTGTGAATGCCAGCATTCCAAAAGAGCGCATCCGTCAGGACGATGAGCCAGAATCGATAGCCGAGAAGGGTTTTGGTGATGTGTTTGAACTTCATCTTGCCTTTGGTGACGTGGCCATGCTTTTCTAGTCGTTTACGTGATACTTCGACATCATGGTCCGTAACGATCCATCGGTTGGGCTGGTCGACAGTTCCAGGCAGAACAAAATATCCGATAATACCGACGGGTATGGTTATGATGGCGCATATTATGTACATCCAACGCCATCCCTCAAGGCCGTGAACGCCTTCGAGTCGATGAGAAGCACCAGCTTGGATAAGACCTGCAGTCAAAGTGCCGAGAGCGAGTCCGGTATAAAAGATTCCACCACGTCGAGCGATCTCATGACCCCTATACCAAGATCCAAAGACGTAATGCATGGCCGGGAAGAAGGCTGCTTCAAACCATCCAATCATGAAACGGTACGCAGCAAGTTCTGCATACCCATGTACGCGGTATTGCAGAAGTGTGAAGACGCCCCAGAGGATGTCGCAGATTGGAATAAGCCAGTGAATAGGGACGTATGTCATGATGAAACTGGGCGATTATTAGCATGAATCTGTGTTGATGGGTTGAAGTGACGTACAGGAAAGGTATCTGGCCGAGGACTGATCCGAGAGTGAAGAGAGTCTGTAGCTGGACCAACTCATTGCCTCTGAATCCAAGGTCCTCCTTCATTCCCGCGACGTAAGCATTGTTAAGGTTAGATTGATCAATGTATTTGACCCAGTATGCGAGGACGGAATAGGGGACAAGGAACATGTCGATCTTGGTGATGAGCCGTCGCTCCTCTTTGGTATCCTCATCAGAGAACCATTTGATGTGCCACCATTTTTCTCTTGGAACAGATGACATGATGGAAATAAATCGGCTCTATGGCCTAGGGTGCAGTAGAAAGTGGAAGGAAGTGCCTGCAAGATGAAAAGCAAACATCATGCGCAGTCGGCAACCTATATACCTGGATATCGTGGAATCGGAAGTTCTCGTCGGTAGGTGAACCACATCCCTGGCCGCCTCACATGGCGCAATGTCCATTTTGTTTTCGCAATATATCTCGGCGCAGCTCTGGATACGACGGTATGGTGGTAGGTTGTAGGCGACTCAGGTACAAGTGCTCTTGGGAGCAGTGATCTGGCGGAGATACGACTTTAGGTCGTGGGATGGCTGGGATTAAAGGCTCCGTCTTCGGTGAGATGTGAGAATACCAAGATATCGAGTCTCCACAATTGGTTGACGGTTGACGGGGAGTCGAGGACTTTTGGGTTGTCGACGTTGAAAGTTGAGGCGATTGCGTGCTGAACCCCCACAATGTCGGAAGGCGCCCATCCTCACCACGTTGTGGCGGCTTAACTGGGATAAGAACCCTTTCGGTTCTGGGCTCAAGCCACTTGAAAAATTCCCGGGAAGTTGTCGTTCCAAAACACCGTGCGAATTGTATCGCTCGAATTGAAAGGAGGCGTTGGAGACTTGGTGGTTGATATCACGTGCAGGCCAGCTGGGAAGGGTCGGGTCGTCCTAAGAATTTAGTAAGACAATAGCCAACGCCATGTATGGAACCTTCAATACTCACAACAATCTTAAGCCCCCATGCTTTTCAGTACTCGTCGGTCGATTCTGCCGACTAGAGATCATCTTCGTCGTCGTCGTCGAGCCATGGACCCAACTGCCTCGCCGCGTACCCGACCCATTCGCTGTGACTTAACTTCTGCATCCAGGCCAGGTGCTGGGTCAGCGCCTGCTTGTACGCCCCCTCGTCGTTCCGGTGCGAGTTGAAAAACGGCGTCTCGACTATGGAGGCCAGCTTCTCCTCGAGGTCCATGTCCGACAACCAGGCTTCCTTGAAGCCAGCTTTTCTTGCCATCGCATTGTACCTTTCAATCATGGATATGAGGCCCTTCTTCTCACGCTTGATCTCGGAGCCTACTGGGAGCTCTCTTTCGTCTTGGGAACTCTCGTCCAGAATGAATGAAGTCGCTTGTTGGGCGGGAGGAGCGACTTTCACTAGCTGCGGAACGACCTTCACCTGCTGCAGAGCGGGTGCTTGAACCGGAACAGGAGCGGGTGCCTGAACCGGGGCAGGAGTGGGTTGCGGCTGAGCAGTAGGAAGAATCACATCGGTATCTTCCATCTCTATGTCCCCGTAATAGAGCTGAGGTGCCTGACTCTCTGCTGTACCCACCTGGATATAGGTGTTCTTGTCGGATGGCTAAAGGACAACTCGTTAGCAAAGTGATTTTTTGAGAAATCATCGAGATGAAGGCAACAAGTTCCCGAAGACACCATCTAATAAATGATGACAATCACTTACCAAGGGAGTACAGTTGCCGGAACAGTTTTTCTCCACCTCGAAGATGCACCACTCTTGGTCTACTTCCATTTCCCTTGGGAGGAATGGCGGGATCTCTGGACGCACCGAAGTGTCCCTCTTAGCAACATGCGGGCCATACCGCTGCAAGAGTTTCATTATGTACTCCTGCTGCCGCACGACTGACGCAATCTGGCGGCGGAGCTTCCGGTCGCTGGACCGCGAGATCTTGTGATTGAGGCCGATGATCTCGGCGGAAAGATGGTGAACCATTTGGAATTCCATTTCGATAGTATTGGTGATTTGTTGCGAGTAAGAAGGGTGGGTGGAGAGATTGGGGGGTTCTGAAAAGAGGTATATGGTGGTGGTGTGTGTAGAGGAAGAGGAAGAGGAAGTTGGTAGGACGAAGCTTTTTGCTTGAAAGTGAAGTTGAAGGTAAAGCAGATCTTCTGGTGATCTGGAAAGTTGCTGGTGTAAAGGCTGATTCTGTCGAAGGCTGTGATGGGTGATGGATGGAGTATATCGAAAGCTGTTGCTATTCTGCTGGCTGATGATGGTCACTTCAATGGCGTTAGCTGTCGATATGCTGGGTTGGGTTACAATAAGAAAGAGCTCTCAGAATTACTCTTAAGAAAGACAATACGTTTCTTGGCAGCGCTCGCAGCAGGTGATGTTGGACTGTGCGTGGTAATTTTCATCCTCGTCGCGATCTCTCACCAATAATAGTAAAGTGATAATTGAAGTGAAGGTAGCCTAAGACCCAACCACCTCAATAACCCAGACAACGAGCTCCCAGCTCTGAACTGGGACCCGGGTTTAATTGCAGAGGCACCGTGCTGTGGCCGATCATACCATTACACAATTCTTCTTTTCACTAGAAGAGAAGATTGAGCAGTGAGTTTCATCGTAGCCCTCTCTCACTTACGGCGAGATATCGCTTCTGGACCCGTCCTAGGTATCTCTGATTTGTATATAGTATCTTGAAATAAGTAGAACTTATCTTTCTGTCTATATCAGCTAGCCAAGTTGCCCTACAATGTTGTGTACATTTTATGTTGACAATGCATCGACAGTGCGCCCGTATATAGAAACCGGAGAGGTATTATACTTGTGATGATTCTCAATAGGCCCCTAAGTCATTCAAGGTGTATCTATATATGAGCTAAGTGGAACTGTCATTATGGAACCATGCGCAAGTTTGTTGTGGATATGGCAGTTTGTATGAACCTCACGGGTAGCAAAGATAGCAAAGTGAGTGAGCATGCTGCAAACACCATTTATGCCCACAATAAGTAAGGTTGTTGATGCGTCGCTGGAGAGAAAGAAATTAATGAAAGACTTCATTATCTTCTCTACAAAGATTTATCCTAGCTCGTAAAGACAATGACTGAAATTTTACGTGAGACTACTACCAGAATTCATTACAATGCGTTTCTCTTTCTTCATCCTTGTTCAGTATAAGCCAAAGAAAGTACTCCTAAAGATGAACCTGTTACTCAGTTTAAAAAGAAGGTGAAGATATTACACCTCATCACACAGTTCTCTTTCCATCGCTCGGCTGGCATACCTTTGAGCTTTACAAGAGCTATGGACGGGCGTTTTAGGGTAAGGGAGACTGAAGCCTTCAAAGACTTGATGTTGTTGCTTATGGGTGTGATAGCAACCCCGTCAACTAGATGGTATGTTCAATGACAGTATCGCACAATTGCGTAGGATCATATCGTGCATTATTTGTCGTTGATGTCAAGATACATGCGACATACTGCGGGGATGACTGGAATTCTTCTCCACAATCAATTCTAGGAAACCGCCGGCAGTCGAGGAGAGATCAAGCTTTGATTGCAGGTATTCTAAATGGAGGCGTTATGCTTGATTGTTTTGCTAGGTACATGCGCCAATCAAAATCGTCAGTGTCAATAACGGCATAGCTCACCCCTGCCTACGAGTAGACTATGCCCCGCCAGAACAAATTATTTACGACATCACGTACATGTACAATTAGGCGATAATTAAAGTGAATGTGGGATGTGGTTATAATAAGAGGCGCTGGACTGAAAAGAAATATTCCTAAGAACGCATTTCCTTACGAAAATATCCACCGAGCAAAATGCGAATCTATCTTCAACATTCACTAGTCCTGGCCTTGCTAGGCTCTATGTCTACGACAATGGCAGTTGAATGTACCCGTGAAGGGCTTCTAAGCGCTGCCGACTCGTATCTCAAAGCCCAAGTCGCGGGTAGTATCTCTGGCCTGAAATTCACAGCTGCCAACTTCACCTACCAACTCAACAACAAAGCTGCAGACATCTCCAAGTCCCTCCTGACGTCGCCCTTGAAGCTGGATTTGAGTCGCTCAACGGCAGATACTGTGGGATGCGCATCATATACGATGTTCATTTCCACGACCGGCTCGAAGCCCTACGTCGTCGGCACCCAGATCAGGCATCGCGACAACAACACCGACGAGATTGCAGTGATCGACACTATCGCTGCGACGACCGGAGATCTGTTCTTCAATGCGAAGAAGACTCTCGATTATATCAAAGCCGAAGACTGGTCACTGATCAACAACACCTCGTCCCGTCCATCCCGCGATGTGCTCAAGAAAGCAGGAGATGCCTATCTCGACATGTGGACGGATGCGAAAGCTGCAGACAGCATACCCTGGGGTACGGATTGCGAGCGCGTGGAAGGCAGCCAGTTCACCAGGCCATGCGGGAAGAGCCTGCCCCGGGGTGGGAGCACGAAGAGCAATGGAAACAGGCGATACGTTATCGATGATGTGTCGGGGAGTGTGGACGTACTATGTAGCTTTGACAGTCTGGGGAATTACCCCGATAGTCACGAAATTCGGATTATCGATGGGAAGGTCAAGTACGTCCATACGATTACTGTCAATGGGAAGTAGCGAGGAAGCAGCTATATGATGGTTTCTAGTGTTCGCAGACAGTTGGAGCTTCGTTGAATTGTTGTGTTGTTTCTCGGATTTTCGTGACCCATGGCGAGAATAAGTCCAGATGTTGGAGGATCGAAACAAATCCCGAGATGTGCTATGTGCTGGCAGCAATCACGCCGCTGTCTGCCACTGCAAGATACAACATCGCTGGTTAGAAAGATACGAACACAAATGCGCCGTAAGGGTCCTGTTGGTACATTTTATATGATGTTCGAAAATTGAGGCTGTAACTAGTAACAGAACAGAGTGGTCTTTGTGTTCTCTTGAACAACGTGGTGCAGTGAAAACAAATGTGGATTGGTGTTTGATCACAAACGCGGAAACAACAACACGATTATTTACTAGTAACTTCTTGCAACTGTTTGTCTCAATCGGCCGTCTTTCTATAAATGAGATGACCCATTTGTGGCGAATCATGAGAAAGTGTCTTCATCAAAGAAAGCCTGAACCATTTCACTTCTGCGCAGACTCCTCCATGGAGGAGTTCATACGCAACAATCTTGCGCCCACGGAAACATGTACGATCTGCTGTGAGCCCTTCTCCGAAGGCCATGCTCCTGTTGCCCTGCAGTGCGCTCATATCTTTGGCCACGGCTGCTTCACTGATTGGTTGCGTAACGGCGACGGTAACACCAACAGCTGTCCCCTGTGCCGAGCGCAACTTTTCGAGGAAACCGTATTCCATCCGTACAGAATATGGGGAATTTTGTGTCAAGAGAACCCACAACGACTTTGCGAGTACATGAAAGCGTTGTGGCAAGGTATTCAAAGACAGTCGCACGCGGATCCAGGAAACGGTCAGACTCTGGTACAAAATGTCATTTGGAAGCCACTTTGGGAGGTTCGCGACCCTAGAAATGAGAATTGCACATTTAGGCGCTATGTGCGGTATCTTAACGACCTCAGTCCGCAGTACGGCGTTCTAAATCCCGTGGACGAGGCCATCATTCCGATCCTGAGACTGAGTGAGCTCTTAGCTTGCGTTTACAAACGCGTTCCTCTATATCTGACGACCAGTACCGACCTTGCAATGCTGGTATGGAAAGCGAACCAAAGTATAGGCGTCCGGGAGGGTAAGGTCAATTGGTCGCTCGTCTGCAGAGCTGCGCGCGATCTCGACGGGCCTTACTTCCCCTTACTGCATCTTTACACTGTTCTCATATCTCAATATATAATTCATGGAGATGAGTTGACGACATGGCCGACGAAGAGACACGAAAAGATGAACTATGTAGTCCAGAATTGCTGCACAATGATTGGGAGTTCTTGGACTGGATACCCTACGAATCACTTCAAAGATCAATTGATCGTGGTCTATGAAGAGCTGCGCAGACACCAGAAGGATACTGGGAGAATTAGTTTGAGGGGAACACCGAGTGAAGGGTACATCGTTAAGGGATTGTGGTCGTTAGCTGGGAACTGGCAGATCAAAAGAACCGAGCTGCGCTAAGCCATCTTTAATATTATTCAGTACAGATAGAATAAGTACAGCTCTCTAAATCTTTCCCAGAGTAGCAATTCTGCCACGTTCAGTCGCTTTGTACCGACGCATTGTCATGGCATCGACTTGTGATTTCTCAAGGCGCGATCACGTGATACGATTCCGTTTGCGGAGAGGACACCACCTGCTACAAGAAACAAGCCGAACAAGACCAACACAATCTAACTCGCAATTAGATATTCGAAGCCTAACTTCTTTGATCAGAATGAAAATACTACCATGGTACCCATTTTGTCCGCGTCAACCTGGCTGGCCATCAAATCTTGTAGCTTTCGATCACGCAGGCAGTACCTTCTGCTTGCGATACCCCTCATTGAGGCTGAAATGAATCAATGTTAACCAATCTGTTTACATTGAAAGAGACGTTCTCTCAATCTGGAACATGGTGCTTTGGCTCAGGGCTCATGCTGCACCTGAGTGGATCTTACCGGTCCAGTTGCTCAATCCCACTACGAAGCTGTGAGAAGCCTAGAACATTTTGGGTAAAATATACGTCTGGTTTTGTTGCGTTATGTTTCTGTACTAGCCTACAGTATCATGAATCTCGAACAACACGTAGAATGATTGTCTCCAGCAGCATCATCATACCCTTCGGATCCCCAAAGCCGTGATCAGAGTGGAAAATGGGAAGTTTATAAGAGACAGGACTGATTGTGCGTGGGACATATTGTTAACGCTCACTCTATACTGAAATCTTACATTCGCTATCCACATCAACTGTTAACAACATGCGTCTCCACGTGCTGGGTCTATTCGCTTTCTCGTCAATCGCATCCGCGCAATTGACATTCAACGTCACCAAAGCTCACGAGACTGGAAATTGGGACAAATACGTGTGCTTGTAAGTCAGGCAACATTGAATGCCCCGGCAACGGAAAGCTTACATTCTACAGGACCAATAAGAAATTCATCGAGCGAGTGCCAGATTGCCTCAAGAAATGCCAGAGTGACGCTGCTAAGAAGGACGGATGTGCTGAAGATGACTTTGCCTGCCACTGTGTCAATACCCAGGCATTCTCTGACGTAAGTAAAGCAGGTTTCCTCCCCGATAGCCTTTCAATCACTAAAACCCCAAAGCTCGTTGAACCCTGCGCTTTCCCACCGGAACTCGGTGGTCATGGAACCTGTACCACGGACGAACTCGGGCCTGTTCGCGGAATCATTACAGATCTGTGCAACTTCTTCAATGCTTCTCTATACTCAGCTTACGAGGACTGCCCACAGCCGCTGAGCAAGGATCTAACCCATTCAATCATTGAGTGCGAAGAGACGGTAATCACCTATTGAGAACATGTGGCGATAGGATAAGCAATGTTCTTCATTGTCTAGCTAAAGCCTATTTGATAACCACACAATGGTTGTAACATCAATATCATTCATTCTTTACCCTTGACTTTGCCTTCAAATCTCTAAATATCATAACTCTCAAATATTCCAAGTTTTTCTAATTGATCTCTGCGCCCTTGACAACCGTACCAAACGTATCTCCGAGTTCCGCAAGCACGACCTTGGTCAACTCGTCCCCACCAACACCCGGGATATCACGGTCACCAATGCCATCCTCTACAATGATTACGTCGTATCCTCTCTGTGCAGCCTGTCTGGCCGTCGTGCTGACACAAACGTGGGCCATGTAGCCGACCAAGACGACCTTCTTGATACCCCAGCCCTTGAGCGTCTCATCGAGATTGGTGTCCGCGAACGAACCAGGGTGCAACTTCCAAATGACCTCCTCTCCGTCCTTCGGGGTCAGGGCCTTGAACGGCTCCGAGAGTGGGGTATTGGGGGTGAAGATGGGTGCTCCCTCGGGGGTCTTGTGAAGCACGTGCACGACCTTGCCACCCGATTTGCGGTACTTCTCCAGAAGGTCAGCAATCACCTTGCCGCTGGTTTCAGCGTTGGTGACGGCGAGCTTGCCCGTTGAGTACTCGTTTTGCGCATCGATGATCACGAGGGCAGAATCGGTGGTTGAGGCGGTTGATGGCGGGACACCGAGTAACTGGCGGAAAGAAGAGGCCATTGTGTGCGGAGTGGTAACGAGGGGGAAAGGTGAACTGTATTTGGTACTTTGGGGGTATCCCTTTGTTCGTTTTGCCAGAAGCAGGTGGTGTGGCCGGATCGGAATGGGTCAAGGGGATCAAAGGACAGACAATCAAGCTTTTTGATGGAGGCCGGGGGCGTAGCGTGCGTCTACCACAGGTCCAAAGAATGCTTCCAGAATGGAGTACTTCTTGTTGTAGTTATTTGTTTGATGTGTGGGGTTGTGTTTATGTTGTATTTATATTACCCCGCGGGCCCAGCCTGCGGAGATCGTGGCACGCGGCACCTGCATCGGCATCATGCATGACGTGAATCGGCCCGAGTGTATTTCATTATAACAGCAGATCACGCAATTACCTGCCTCACAGGACATTACAAACTTCTGACAAATGTAGGCGAGACTCTCCAAGAATACTTCAAAATTGGTCATCGTATGTGGAAACACTTATTTTGATTTTGTAGACATCCTGATGTTCAATGTGCTTTACCTCGTCACATTAGTTAACTTTTACTGAAACATGATATGTGGTTCCGGTCCGTGAGAAAGGAGATTTGAAATCAGGACCACGAAAAGAGCTAGCCAAACATAACAATTGGCATTGTTACGAGTAAGAGGAATCTGAATAAGGTGTATCCATGATCGAATTCGAATGATGCTATTGACATCATGTTCGGCTTTCGTTCCCGATTGGGGTAGGAACTTCCGAAAACGAGCATCATGCTTGGGCTTGATCATAATACCTGATCAGTCCCTTGGGAAAATTGAATCTTCAAGTCCTCCGAGCAAAGAAACTCTTTGACGCCCTCAAGATCATCCGGATCAGAGATTGTACGTTTTCTTTGACCATCTGGACCAAGACCCGCAGCGATACAAGGTAATTCGGGTATCCATCACTACTCCCAGTATTCACCTTCATATGGTCCATCGACCATAGGGATTGCGATCGGAACCGCTCCATATCCGCGTGCATCCTTTCATCTGCCTGCTGTTGTCGACGATCAGTCCATCCACTGGGTCGGAAACTCAGCCCTATCGGATGGCTGTCGAAACTATATCGCCGAGGTTTAGTAGGCTCTCCATGAGGTTGCTGGCATGAGCACCACAGTTGGCAATTCTGGAGACACTGGGACTCAGGTTTACCAGCCGGTTGGCCCCAGAGATTGTGCTTCGAATGCATTGTGATTTGTGTGGGCGAATCTTTCTCGGACAGCTGTCGGTTCGTCTCGACTGGCTGAGGTGCTGGCGCGTGAGTTGACTGAGAGCTCGACATGGTTGATGTTTTTGTAAGAGAGATGTCGCTGAGGAGGGAGATCGAGGATATAGTTGGACTTTGGGGTAATTTAGGTGTTGTTGATTTAAAAGGACATTGTGTGGGCAGAAGTGAGACGATTAGGCCATTTCACTCACTCACTCACTCACTCACCATTGTGTAGAAAGTGAAGGCCCACATACAGGTAAAAGCGCAGCTACCTCTCTCCTTGCACAATGCTTATAATGACATAATTTTCACATAGACTTTGTCAACAATCTCACATTACTCTCCCATTTGCAGCTCCTTAGGTGGTCTCTTACATCGCATCTCAAAAGATGGGTGGTGCTTAGAAATGTTGCCGCACTGTGATCAAAGTGTGATAGGTTTGCATACTTGAGTTAGTTCATCCATAATTCACCGTGGAGTCAACAGCCAGCAATAGTACGTCATAGGGTATTGCGCTAATTATTACCGACTAAGCAATGAAAGGATCTCTCTCGCCATATAAATCATTATGAAAAATTCGAGGATGAGTCAAGCAATGTGTACACACACACTCTCTCTCTCCCACTTATGAAACCACGGGAATTGTGATTCGTGTTACAACATCACCAATTGGATGAATCTTGTGTTCGACGGTTTGAGGCTTGCCATCCGTGCCAATAACAGTGCTTAAGGCGTAGTGAGGATGCGAGGCTCCAGCAATGAGTAATCGAATGCGGCTGCCACTAAACACCCGATGTGCACAATCGTCCATGGTGATACTGATGCCGTTGACAGTTCCGTCAGAACTCAATCGTTTGTATGTCTCGGTGATATTCCGCGAAGTACCTTTCGCTCCAACCTCGGAGAGGCGCACAAACAGATCTGAACTGGGATTTTCGCTTGAGTGGTTCAGATCAACCATAACCTTTCCGGCTATTTCTAAATCTCTTTCCAGCGGTTTCGTGGTGAAGATGAGGACATCCGCTCGAGAGGCCAACGCGCTGTCATTGACACTCCCACCTCCGAGAAGCACGTTGCCACCAATCGCCGGGGTAGGGTTCTTTGGATCAACAGTAAAGCTCCATGGGCTATCGACCTTAGTTGGACCGTCCCCCAATAAGGTGTTATCGGGACCAAAATATAGCACAGTTGGTGTTGTTGCCGGAGGCCATCTCGGCACCTTCCGCCATTCGTTGGCTCCAGTCATGTAGTACTCTACTGGTGAAGTCCTAACGCCCACTCTTCGCTTTGCAAGATGTTCGTCGAGCCAGTCCAGTGTTTGTGGTGCACTTTTCCCGTCCATCCCGATGTTCAAGTGTCGCCATGGTCCCACAGTCAAAGCAATGTTGGTTTTCCTCTCCTGGAGACGTGTGTACTGGTGCATAGACTGACGAAGAAAAAGGTCGTACCACCCACTGATTAAGAGAATAGGAATATTGGCTTTCTCGAGTGCCTCCGGAAATCGCCATGAATCATAACGTGGATCGTCAAGATCTGAGTGTTCCAGCAAGCCTACCAGCCAATCTGCCTTTCCCTCGAAGTGCTCTTTGAGCGCAGGCTCAAGAGGTACATTGTTGAATAACTTCTTCATCCTACCCATCAAAGTAGCTTTGCCCACCATTGCAGATAACCCACTATCCTCCTGATGTGCTGTGAGTTCTGCCCATACTGCATTATCTAAGGCAAATGCGCCAGTACCCCAGCCCTGTTGGGCGAAATCATGCGGCCCGACCGATATCACCGCGGCCACCATATCATGCGGGGGGTCGTTCAAGAGCGCCCATTGTGTGAACCCTAGGTACGACATCCCGATTGTCGCAAAGGATCCCGTGTACCAATCCTGTTTTCGCATCCAAGCTACCACTGCGTGTCCGTCCTTCTCTTCATGCACAAAAGGCACGAAGTTACCACTTGAGCCGAAGGTGCCTCGAGTGCTCACAAGGAGCACGTTATATCCGCGCGCTGCGTACGGGCGAATGGTGAAGGAATATAGAATACCTCGACCGTATGGGCAGCGGACGAGGATTGTTCCAGCGGGATTGTGCCCATCGGGTAGAACAGGCTGATAGAGGTCGGCTGCTAGATCTATGTTTTGATCGCTTCGATCATTGTCCAAAATTGGTATGCGAACACTAGTGGTCTTATAGGAGCATGTTTCGGGAGATAGGCCAAGCAAGTAACGCGATGTTGCGCGGTCGAAAAGCGAACCGAGTAGACCCCGCTGCGATGCCATTCTTGCAAGTAGTGGATGTGGAAGAGTATGATAGAGAACTCAACTCCACAGATGCTGTCCTTGGTAAGACCTTTATTTCTAGCAACCCTCAATGGTTCTCGGAAGAGGAGATTGATGGATCCGGGTGAGAGCACGAGCCATTGCCGTTCCGGATGAATTCGAGCGAATGGAGCCGACATCCATGTGAACACGGGTGAACACGGCCGAGGTACTACAGGGCAGTAAGTTTCAGGTATTACCACAATTTTATGTCACGGATGAGACCAAATGCTGATCGATAGCTATGAAGTTTTCCCCATTATGGACGAACCAATACTCATTCTGAACGTTAATTCATCTACTGCAAGCATTCTTGCAAAGTCTACAGTTACAATTCGCTCTCACTTACTATCGCAGGAAGCTTAGTAGAAGATTGGTTATACACAGAAATCCGCGCAGGATCGACGAGAGTCTATAGCCATTAATTTCATTTATGATCCTTCGCATAATGAAAGCTATCTTGATTCCTATGGGGGATTGTAATCGGGACCTTCATCCATAGACGATGGAGAACTTAACCGAACTAGTATCAATAATTGCAATCGATACTCCGGTGCTCGAAAAGAGCTCATTGTCCTCGGGGCCTCCTCGCTAGTAATTCATTTCGAATTGTTTCCCAATGATTTGTTTCCCAATGATTTGTTGAATTCGGCATCCTGAAGATACGCTCGACCTCCCCTGCCTCTTGGGGTAGCCCAATAAAGACTGGAATCTCCGGTGTGGCCGAATGCGTCTGGAGTTGCTTGATCTCTTGTCGAACCATTTGATGCTTTGTACGACTCTTCAGGTTGTATCTCTCGCGTATTCGGTTGGTTGAACTGGGACAACTAGAATCGGTCCAGTATGGTATAGCCTCAAGAGGATCCGCGGTGAGCAGGCTAGGGTCACGTATATGTGCACATGATATCATGGCTGCATTCACCGCTACGAAATGAATGTAGTCAATAGATTCCTCGAAATCTTCATCGGGATGAAGCCGCCACATTCGCGCCACTTTGACCCACAATACAGCAGCTGTTGCAGGGAGTTCATGCGAATAGAATTTATCCCCATGGCTTAACAACATAGATAGGGTCTTCCAAAAAGCATGTGTGGGTGTCGCAGATCTGCGTAGTATGGAGTCATGGTGGCCCAGGCAGTCAATCATGGCTCTCACAAGGGCTGAATTGCGATTCGATAATTCTGACAGCCCTTCAATGATGGGTTGGTGTAATCGAATTGGGGGGTAGCGAGAAGTGCTGGGAGGGTTGGAGGCGACCAAGCGCCATAACATCTGTATAATTAAGACTGCGTTATCGGGCTCTGTTGTGCAAATGTTGTACCATAGGTCGTTGGCCTCTGCCCTATACGGGGCGAAGAATGACCAGGGACTGTCTTCCAAAGTTCGCACGGCTCGAACATTAACAAGCTCTTGCAGCCGGGACGGATAACTGTCAGGCTCTAGCAGCCGGGGCAGGCCATTGCTAGGCTCTCGCAACCCGGGCAGATGATTGCCATGCTCTTGCATCTGGGGTGTTTGATTGCTATACATTGCCCGCCGGCATTGCGGGCATGCATCAGACCGGGTAGATCTTTCGATAGACGAAATGATGCATCGCCTTCCAAACCAGTGTCCGCATGGGAGTCTGACAGGAAAATGGCCGTCTGATACGATCTCGTACGGCTGCAGGCATATCCCGCAATCTTCTTCGGGCACAGTCAGACTGCGAACGAACTGGTCCTTTCTCATCCAGGAAGACATGTGTTATGTTGTGTTTTCGCTGTGTGGCTGTGGTTATTGACAGTGGTAGGTGGACAGTGCGGTCTTTCTATACACTTGAATGTGGTGGGCAAATGGTGAAGCTTAGTAATGCCACGAGTGCCAGGCACCCGAAAGTGATTGTGATCATTTCAAAATCACCTAAATTTCTCTGATAAGCTGAATTAAAATTTAGTGTGCCCCTTTAAAAAAGGCATCAAGACAAAGTTGGAAGCGTGTTTGTATGGAAAATCTACCGTTAGGTTACTGCGATATGTTCGATATTATGCCCTGTGGCTTCCACTACTCAGTCTTTCCCGTGTCTCTGTTACTGCCCCTTTCTGTTCGAGGATCTTTTCTTCAACCTCGCGTGCAGCCTCTTGGCCGATTGTCGTTTGGTAAGATTTGAACCCAAAGGCGGATACCTTATTGGCGAAAAGTTCATCAATCTCCTCCAGTGTACTAATTGTCTACTCAGATGCTGCGCGTAGTAGGGGTGTCAAGAATTACGTACCGGCCTTTGCATTCAGGCATACATAGGAAAAAGAATGCGACACACAAAAAGTTTGAACCGGCCCAAATATAGCCATACTTGGCTCCCTGTTAATGTAGCGTTAGTTTATCGAAACATGATCACGAACAGAATGAAGATTCACTTACCCAACCTAAGTTCGCTGGATTAATGAAATACGGTGTGCAGAATGCATTCAGCCATGCTAGGAAGTACCCCAGACTGGTGGCACTTCCCACAGTCCACGCCCTCAGTCGTGTGCTGACGAGCTCAGTAGCAACCGGATAGCTCGCTGCTCCAACACACATATTGTATCCCCATTTGAACAGCGCGGTGAACCCGATCAAACAGTTCTGCATGGCCTTAGTTCCAGGCGCAACCGTTGCCGCGATTGCCAGAGCGAGTTGAGAGAATCCACAGATGCACCCTCCCAAGATGAGTATCGAACGACGACCTAGATGACGCTTCATAAGATACATTCCCATGTTCACGCCGAGGAAGCCGAGACAGGTTGCCATGATGCTATATTTGAAGGCATCGGAGACGGAGAGACCGGAAACAATGAGGAAATACGTGCCGTATGAAATGACAAACCAGACGCCCGAGCCAGTCTGGCAAGCTATCATACCAAAGCAGAGTAGGGTGCGACGGAGATCAGTCCCTATATTTGTCAATTAATTCCAATGCTAGAAGACCCAAACTGTTAGGTTCCCCACCTTTGAACATGTCGAGCGCACCGACAGTGGTAGCAAGTTTCTTCTCCTCCTCGATTCCCTTGCACATCTCAGCCCACTCGAGCTCGATATACTCTGGCGCAACTGAATTCCCCCGCAGAGTAATAAGGGACTTCTTTGCCTCAGCCTCTCGTCCTTTGGCAAGCAGGTATCGCGGGCTTTCCGGCACGAACAGCAGTCCAATCGCCAAGATCATTGGGACTACGAACAATGTTCCGATTGGGATCTGGTAGCTAGTTTTATCCATCATGCCCTTCGTCGCGTTCGTCACGGCTGCGCCAATGATGCTACCGATGTTGACCCAATATGCAAACAATGCTACGATCACACCGCGCAAGTGAGCTGGGCTGGCTTCAGAAGTGTAGATGTTCGAGAATGTAACAAGGAAGCCGTTCGCGAAGCCGAGTATCAAGCGCCCCATGTATATGGCTGCAGTTGAAGTCGATGTTATTTGGAGGATGCAGGCGACAGCATTGAGAACGCAAGCAATCCAGAGGGCTATCTTACGGCCGAAAAAGTGGGAGAAGGTACCAGCGGTCAGAGCAGAGATGAACGATCCGAGGGTCAAGAGAGAGGCGATGAGTTGCTGGAATGTGGACTACAAAATCATGAGTGTGTGCATTCAACGAAGTATAGAATGTTCACTCACTCCAATCGAATATCCTCCGGGGGCATTGGGATTGGGATAGCCAAAGACTTTGAGGAAACCAGGCATGGCCTGCAGTCCTCCAACCGCTGCAGAGTCGAGACCATATTGTAGATTGGCGATAGAGACAATCGTGCATATGAACAGACACTTTCTATTCTGCCACAGTGATGTTTCTGGTATTTGCAAATGAGAGCTCATACTGAATCAGTGGCTTTCGATCATATCAAAAGGAGTATGCAAGGAGAGAACGGGAAGGGGAGGTGCGAAAACGTTGACTGAAGTGGTTTTTCAATTGATCGACACCTCCAATACCTCGGGTTGAACTTCCAAGAATTGGAATCCTCCGCAAAACCCCATCTCCAACCCTGAAGATCTGGGGCCCCGCGCATGTATTGGCGACACGTGCTGATGCTTTTATTGGCAGGAAAAGTGTATCCTCGCTCGGTTACAGAAGTCCCTTGTATCAAGTGGCTGGGCGCACGGCATGCTATCCATGAACCTGGTGCAGTCGAACAATAGTCGGCCAGCGACACAATGATTTAGGATTACCTAGAATAATGCTAGACTGTATGGGTGTAAATGGTGACGTGTGGGGCCGGGCACTGAGTCGCAACGTTGGTTTGTCTACGGGGTCGGTACGAGAATGTGGGGTCGATCTTAGCCTTTCTAATGGTGGTGGAGGTAACGAGTGTTTTCTCAGTTTACTCGTTTGGCCCATTTGGAACCTCTTCTTTCGTCCATGGCTTTCCGCATGCTGAGCAGGAAAGACTTGATATTGGTTGGTAGCTTCGGATCCGCCCAAGATTGAAATACAAGAGAGTTGTATGCATTATCCTCCTCTACTGTATTTAGTCGTAGACATAGCAGCGCGTTTCCTGTCGGAAAAGATATCATAACCGCGCCCCATATTCCCGAAGAGGGTCTGAAGAAATAAGCTGCAGCTCGAGTAATGCGGCGAGCCCAAAACCTCCCGGTTCTGCGAAACGGTTGGCGTGGAGGGAATTGCAAAGAAGTTGGCGACATCACCAGCGGACTCAAGTTATTCATGACTTGATACAGTAGCACGTAGGCCGTCCAGCTCAGGACTGATAGATGCGCATTGGCCAAATCGGGGAAATTCATGTGCTCTGGGACCTCTGTTTTGGGTTCGGTTATGTTATCGAGGTTGTGGGCGTACCATCCATCCAGCTCTTCTTCTAGCCTTCGACATCGGTCTAGTAGATCATGTATACGAGGGCTGCTCTCTTCGTAGCTAGATTTGATTATCTTGTCGAACTCCTCCAGAAGCTCGGGAATAGCAGCGAGGATATCAAGGAGGGCGTCCTTTGGGGTTTTGGCAATTTCCTCCCAGGGAATTGTTTTCCACTCGGGCGAATTCAATATTATCGCCTTTCGTAATCCCAAGTAGGAGATAATCTTTATACTTGAGCATTTTGCATGTTAATCGTTTAGAACAGAGTATACTCACTGGATTCATTCTCCCCTCTGCAAAAAGAGAGTGCGCGATTCCATACTTGAACGCTTCGGGGCCCCGTGCTTTCATCAATGCTAGGTCGCCCGCGGCATGGCTGTGCCAGCTTTCTGCTTGGATTCTCAGATCCAAGTCTGCTCCAAACAAGATCTAGGTCCGTTCGATTCAGTTCATATGCTACGACCATGTTCGCTGCACTGACCTCAAACAATCCCATTACTCGGGGAACAGCCAACAGGGCATGACTCTTCGCTCTCCTCTCATTGGCCAGAGCTTTTGTCAACTCGCACAAACTCCAGCCATAGAGCCGTTTCCCTCGCTCCATAAGAGCTTTATCGCCATGAGCTTGTCCTGCCGCTGCAGAAGTGACAGCTATAAGGGCGATGCGCAACGCTTCGTCCTCGAGGTACAGGTCATTCAGGAAGATGGGCCATCCTAAACCCAGGACTTTGCCTTTACTGGGCTCCTCGGAGGGCAGGTACATGTCGAGATAAAGGCCCATATTGTTCTGGGTGTAGGCAGTCCGCGCCAGGGAGGGCGGTAGAACGACTTCGGCATCCCCTGAGCTGGTAGAACTTTGGCTACGGCGGCCGATCTGGAATCCCTCATTCTCTAGGCAAGGATAGCCGGGAATCAAGAAATCCAGTTGCTGTGTACGTTTCTTGTCCCTGCTTTTACGTTCGATCGCCCCAGCATTGTCTTCTCCCGCTGAGGGTCCAAATTTTATGTTCTGGACTACGAAAACGCGGTCACGATCATAACCTCCGCAAACAAGACCTCTGTCTGTGCATTGTCCGCACTCGGGACGCTTCAGGTCGCACTGGTGGTCGGTTAGTGTATGGTAATGTTTAGATTTGTCGTGGCTCCGTTCTACGACCATCACATGCCGTGGAAGCTGTGTCTCTTTTGTATTGGGGACACGGGAGTACGGCGCCAAACCAAACTTACACCCTTCTTCCTCCTCCGACAAGTCTTGCAGCCTTTAGAACGTCCTGGGACGCCAACCATCGTGACTTGAGAGTAGTCGCAGCGCGCAATGTACCGAATGAAGCATCAATGGGCTGCCTACGTATTTGAACAGTTGCACCAATGGCTATGGAAATGGGAAGTCGCACTTCTGTCAGCTATGGAAAAGTCGATGACGAGAGGCTCGCACGTTGGTACGGTCAGATACTCTGGACTGATTGGCTATGTTGATTATAAGCTTACATGGATGCGGGGCTATTCTAAACCTACTTCGGGTGCATTGCGCGCTGATAGTAGGTTTAGCCGGCAAGGCTGCCCGTCAAATGCTTGGATCTATCTTATAACTTCGTATTTGATTCTCTTTAAAGGAAAAGTCTCACCTCGATGTTATCACGAACAATTGCATTGGAGAAGGGCGCAATAGATTGTCCGTGAAGTCGGTGAGTATCACCTTGCCGATATCCAATTATCTCCTTCATAACCTCTTCACAGGGTGCCCGGTTTGATATATGTTCGCCCAACGGGGGCGGATTTCAAGTTGCCTGGATTATGATACCATTTCACGCAAATCACAATAAAAATAGCATGTTGATATCTTTGCAATCATCTCTTGGATTCATTCGAACCGCTTCTCAAGTGCAACGATCAACGTAATCGTTCGCCCGATCGAGGCAGCGCTGCTCAGTGCTATACTGTTTGCATTGGATTGACCGCCATCTCGTGCGATAAAATGCTACTGGGTGGTATGAATGAAATAAATAATCGAAAGTTCATTGAGGTTCACGGTAAAGATGGGTGGGACATGATATAAACTTAGGATATTTGTCATCGACGCGGGAGTCATCGACATGGGAGTTATCAATGCGGAAGAATTGCATAATGGTGTCATAATCAACCGTCGATTCGCGTTTCTTGGATATGTACTACAGTAAGACTCTAATGATCAGCAGAGAGATTTTGCGAGTAATTTGCTAGCTTTGGGATAGCCATTGTCTCTTCGATATCGGTGTTAAGCTAAAACAGAAGTACGCAAGAGAGCAGTAATCACCGTAACTATCCCATATTACAGTGCTAACCAAATGTATCAGACTATGTACTTGGCGGATCAATAGCACAGGTCTGAGCAGATCACGATCAATATTCACACCAGAAGGCATCGGACGAAATGCAGTGCGTGAAACAGGACAACCTGCCAGGTATGTGCACCACAACGGTTGTCCATGTTTTACAATATGTACGGAGTATTCCGTATGGAGTATAGAGTTGCTAACCGCCTTTTTCGAGCTCATACACTGGATTGCACGAGTGAAATAAATTACAACAGCTCACACCCGCTCTCACGCCACGTCCAATTCCGAAAAGAAGAGAAAGGAATAGGGGGAGAGAGAAGTGAAGTGAGCGTGTATCGAGGTGGCAGAGCAATGGCACCGCGCCTCCAGATCCCATGGTCCCACCTCCTCGGGTGTTCCGTTCTCCCTTGCCCTCTGTATGCAGGCATCTGTATTGGCTGCTCCATCAGCTCGGGATCACGACAGACCCGAAAATAGGGATCAAGGGGAGGGTTTAGGAACGTCCCGCTGTCATGAGCCATTCACCTGGGGACGCCTCACTTCTCGGTGGCCCGATGGCGAGACCCATCAGTGGACACGTATTGTGCTGTGCTTAATAGATACAGCATATTAATGGTTGCATGAGGTCGAAGCACACGCGGCGAAAAGGGGAATCACAGATCGGCGCACGCCCTAGTGTCAGATATCACTGAAGGGTATGATACCTCAGTCTTCACTGCGAGGCCAAGTGGACGGACAATGTTGCCCAGAATGGTCGGAAGGGAGAACAATGTAGCACGGCAGCTCTTGATGGCGTTTCGCCCATTTCCATCGCTTTCCAATAAACCCCCGCGCGGGTGAGTGAATGCGAAACATGGCGGTAGAGGCGTTCTTCGGGGGATTACTCGGTACCGTGACAATACGATTACTTTGCTATCTTTGCTTGCCCTTTCTTTTCTTTTCCGAGAAGTCAGGGATTCGAGCGAAATCGGGAGGTTTCAAGGGATCTCAAAGGCGGATCGCAGGTTGTGTCGCCTTGGTGGCTGCCACGCAGGCAGGGCACGGTGTTGTTCGGTTTCAAAGCCTGGGTACAACGCAATGAATACAGTACTTGTATGGCGTGCGCCATGTTAGACACCCTTGCCAAGCTCATTTGCAGTTGCATCCGATGAGTTGGTATGAGATGATGAATGTCCGGCCTGTACGACGTGAGCCCCTGGGTGTGTTATGCATGCATGTTTCTTTTTTCGAAGCACGGCGGAGCTGTAATGGCGAAAGTGCGCCGTGAACAATTTACTACCCATACGACGAACCGAAACTGCATTGGAGCATTGCATAATATATACCTGGTCGTGCGCAGTCACATGTTCAAGGCCTCGAAACAAAACAAGTATGAGTGATTCCTAAAATACCCCACCGAGGAAGCTCTCCCAATCAAGGCTTGGAATAGCAATTCGTCTGCCATACACTGAACGCATGATATCAGATGAAACAACTTCGAAAAGTAGTAGCGAGATCAAAACAGTGTCACCAAATTTTTAAACCCCTCTTACGAGTGGGGTGACAATCCATGCCTTGGGAGGCGAGATGAATTTGTCTGCGTCGCGGCGAAAACAGGGATGGCTTTGAGACCGAGCATCGGCTGCAACGAAACACCCATGTTCATTGGGAAACCCTTCTTCACCAGCACGACAGGAGGGGCGCATGCCATTGAGATCCCATACACTAACAACTTGACAGCATGAATATGTTAGGATATCACTCTGTTTGGCAATGCATAGTGAACACTGTGCCCAGCAAGGCATAGCACAACGCCAGTTCAAGCGACACGATCACCTTGTACTGTCTACGTGACCCATAATGAAGCAAATGAGTCATGAACAATCGAGCGACATAGCAACGAACGTAACGGAATTGTATTTTAATGCAGCACTTTACTTATTTCGGACCTGCTGTGGAGACCAAATGCATAGAGATGGATACATTGTCACGTACGGGCTTCTTATATTGATGAAGACACATCTGTCGTTTGACCTGCAAGCCGATCTTGACAATTCAACCACTAGTCTAATTATAACTTGCAACACACTGATTGCAATGTCTGTTTGACAGCTTGTGGCTTCGGCGATCATAAAATTGGAAACTATGGTTCGGATGCATTCCCCTCCATTGTAGGCTTAGCGGATGAGATTAGTTATATCGAACAGCATTATAGTGCTCAAGCTCTATGATAATGTATTGGATGTGCGTGCGTGCGTTGCGTGCGCGTGTGTGCATGCTGCATGTGATTGATTAGCTCTGCAGAAGTGGAGGAAGGTTGACGATCTCATCACACGCAGGGCCCCTCCCACAGTCTCCTGTCTGCCTATGGTGATTGATCAGTTCGTCGATCACTTGGTTGCTGGTTGGAATAATCGTGGTTCCAGCTTAAAGCACGCAAAGGATTCAGGGAGACTAGACCATCACCCTATCACACGAACAGAGCACTTACGGCAATAGGAGAAAACGCCGCCGATAAAGTAGTCCTATACAACCTCACGATGAGGGCTCCAAGAAACTACCCCGCTTTGTTCAACGCACCATTAGATGTGCAATACAATGCGCTATACGTGGATGAGGATACACAGAATGATGTTACTACATCAGAACATCGACAATAAGTGGGAGGAGCGCTACAGCCAGAAGCCCTGCGAGAACAAGCGCAATATGAATCCATCCGCATAAGAATGAATCGATCCACCATCTAAAGCAATGTCAAGTTAAGTCCAGCGAGCGCATGTCAGTCTTTGTCGATCCTCACCCAGAACATGCATGGCTGGCCAGCCAGGCCTTTACCGACGCACTGGTTCCCGGGACTGGGAAATGGGGGATGTAGCGCAGGTAACCATCTCGTGGGGACTTTGACTCGGTGCCGTTCAGCGAATTGCAGCATCGCATCGCCTCGCTCGTATCACATCTCCCCTTACGCACATGAACACCTGAGAACGGCCGAACGGAACGAAGGAAACATAATATCAAAACCACCCCTGGCATTTGGAATTCTCATCATATCCTCGGAAGATATCTACCCACTTGATGATGATGACCCGTGATTCATTACCCTGGACTCTGGAGCATCCACCACCAACAAAGAAGCAAGTATACCAACCTGATTCGACGCCTCGTCCACCGCCTCGCAATAAAAAAAGGATCATCATGATCCCTCGCGAATCCACCATCCTTTGAACCCCTGTTGTTGTAACTCTTAGAAGATATAGATGAAAAAAGGAAATGGCAAAGCCACACAAAAAAAGAAACAACAAAAGCAGGATTTCCTTTTCGCCACCCGGCGGCATACCTTGTACATTACCTACACATTACGCGCCACCCCACCGCCGCTCTGGATCTCCCCAAACCCGATTTCCCATCCCCTGTCTCTGTCTGCCATGTCATGGGTTCACAGATCGTGAGGCTTGCGAGAAGAAGTAAAGAAAGGGTAACCCACAAAGAACGCCACCCCACATCCATCTCCACTCGACCATTCCTTTGTGAGTATCTTCGGAGTGTAATTGTGCCTTCTTGTGCGATGGAGGAGTCGCAATAACCGACTGGCCTATCATTCATTTACACCTCTCTCTTCGTCTCTCCCGCTCCCGGTTGCTTGCGTCCGGCGAGGGCGGAACACTGCATGCCGTACTCTTTCGGTATTAGGGAGGGGGCGGACGTCAGGCGTTACACAAGACATGCTCATGCTTCGTTCGGCCAGATAACTGATACATTGAACATATGCCGCGCGTTGTGGCAGTATAGATATCATACGTACTAGCTGGCTTTTGATTGGAATGCCAACGGGTTGGGAAAGGTAATTATGTATTGTGTATAGATGGGAAGTGTGAGTAGGTGGTCGGTCAATGCGAATGCGATGTATGTACGTACCATACATGCGATATTGTAGGGCAGATAGACCGTATCTGATGCAGATATGTATCCTGCCTACACTATTACTATATAGTATACTAGTCCCTCCTACGGAATACAACCAACTAAGCTTGTTCACGATACGTCAACCCTAGCTTACCAACCCGGCCTGTGTGTAATACAACCGAGTGTATAGATTTTAGTAAATAGTAAATGACTTTTAGTGGATTTCGTAGATATACACAAACGCGACACTACACAGTAGTACTAGCTACACAGGGACTTAGGGGGTTGCCATAAGCGGAGGATTTTATTGCTGCCCGACACAATGCTCCGGGCCCAACCACGCTTCTTCCCACTTCCCCTTCCCCAGACACCCACGCACATACACGGCCAGACAGCCTAGAACCACCGCCTGCCAACTCAATTCGGTCGCCTATCGGTACGTTGCATCGCATATCTGCCCTATGGTCATCTGCTCTTCTGGACACCGGTGGTCTGCTCCGACGGTTCCATACAGCTATGATAGGGCATTGGGCTAGTGGTTCGGGCTCCTCCATGCAATGAGCCGGGGCTACTAAAAAGAAACACCATAAAAGGACCTTTGAGGGGAAATTTTGTCATTGGGATTGATCGTGCAATTGGGAAACTGGTCCTAGGGCTAGAACTCCATACGGAAGGAAAAGAAAAGAAAGGAGAAGAAGAATCCCATCGCCGATAACCCATTTATCCATCCATTATTGCCCATCGCCGCCCGACAATCGTGATGATGGGTCGTTTTAGGCTAGGTAGTTGGGTTGGTGTTCCTAACAACGACGACGTTTCGAAGCGGTGAGTGAGTTGAGTGATCGAGTGATTGAACAAGCTATTTCGCCCCTCTTTGCCGTGCTTTGCTGTCAAATGTTGCCCATTTTTCTTCTCTCCAGTTCTCTCTCCCCTTTCGTTCACCGTATGCTGCCCAGCTTTGTCGACCGACTGTTCCCCATATACCCAATTCCCAATTCTCAATACCCATAAACCCCATGTTCCCTGCTCTCTCCATGGGACCCCCGGCCATCTTCGAATTACAAAAAAAAACCAACGTGTCTACCGCATCGTCATTACCCATGCCATCACTCGCGAGAGAAATGGACCAATGACCTGCATTGGCCCGTCTAAGAGATTAGGTTTGCGAATCAATAGGACAGATGAAACAGAAAACCCAAGAAAGGAAAAACGAGATAAGAGGATAATGAGCAAGAAAAATGAAAGAGAGATGAGAGATAGACAGAGAGAAATGCAAGATGTCCTTGGTTTTTCCCCTAAGAAAAATCCTTTTCCCAACCCACAATATGATGCACAAAGGAAGTCGTGTTTCCTGTAGAAAGTTACGCCTGCTCTTTCCCAACCATCATACATGCACCTGGAACCGGTTCACCCATGAACACCGAATGGTTTGGCCACTTTTCCGCTCCCCACAGCATCCATCTATTGCATAAACAACCGGCATCAACAGGTAAAGAAATCGTGCCAAGAGAGTGGGTTCTCCCAATAGTGTTGGGGTGGGTGCCTGAGTGGATGCCTACAGTACCCGCGAAGTGTTGCTCATGGTAGAGTAGGATGCTAGGTTATATGGCCTGTAGACTTGGCCATGGTTGCCGAGCTGAATGTTCCCCAGTAATGATGAAAGAAAAAGGAAAAGTCGACAGAGGTGAAGAAAAAGAAAAGTGTGGATGTGGACCGAGAGCGGACCACACTCACTCTAAGTGTACACAGACTGGGTTACAGACTGGAAAGAGAAGATTTGCAAAGTCGTTCGTCAACAATGGCATGTGTACGGCTGTCGTCCATTGAGCAGGTGGGGTGTCTCCATGGCGATGCGCACATGGTCATATCAGGACAAGGGCGCTGCGGCTGGTATTTGGACACTATTGAGATGGCGGTCGTCAGGCGCCACCATCTCAAGCCACCAAAGGCCTCTCGGCACCAAGCCGAACACTATTACCGCCGCCGCGATGTCGCTGGAGTGGACACGCGCTGGGAACTGTCAGAACTCAGACCTGCTTCTTGCATTGCGTTTATGCACTTTATTGCCACTGCAACGCGGTTAGCCGGATATCCCCTGAAGCAGTACGGATAGAAGGTAATGCAACTTACTCGCAGTGATTTCCTCTTCCCATATACCCATCTCATAGTCAACGAGCCCATGTTTCTCCATGTTGTCGCAGTTCTTGACCAGTTGGGAGACGATCTTCTCCAAGTATTCCTTCTCAATGAGCGTCTGGGGCGCTGTCGGTGGCTGTCCCATGGCCGCTACGTTTTGGGCCATCTCCAATTGGCGCTGCAACATCGTGAGCCAGCAGGTATTGAATTCCTTCCACAACTGGAGGCGCGACCTGTGGTTGCTCTCGTCGTCCCGAACTAGTCCTATAGTCAATTCAGTTGCTCGTTCATGATTTCGTTCACAAAAAGAAGGTAAACCCTTACCCAGCGGTTCCGCCCAATGTAGTAGCCAGTCAGATAGACGGTTGAGCTGCGTGGCCGCCTCGCTTAGACGGCTATCGTGTATATACTGAAATGTCGTCCTGAGTTCTGTTTGATAGTTGTTGTAGAAATCATCGTACTCGTTGCTCCCGCCTTGGTGTTGTGATTGTGGTTGTGATTGTTGTTGCTGTTGCTGCGACTGCGGCTGCGGCTGTTGCTGCTGCTGTTGTTGTTCACCGCTGCCATACGATGGCTGGGGAAATCCCCCTTGAGAGGTCGCCTGGTGGGGATCGGTCATTCCGGGCGCAGAGTATGAGGACGCAAGCGATTCTCGTCCAACAGCGGCTTGGGGTGCTGTATATCCGAGGGATGAGTACTGGGAAGGGACACTCTGCGTTGCCAACGCAGAGGCCGGCGCGCTGGTCGGGCCTTCCTGTCCGGGCACGCCGTAATATTGGGGATTCTGTGCTACGCCGAAGCTGCTACTCAGAACCTCTATAGCCGAGTCTCGATTCTGCTGGTATTGTTGCACCGACTCGTATGGTGACTGTCCCCCGGGCTGTGCTGGTTGCGCGCCAGGCACGTTGTACATGGCATTCTGCCCGTACTGGGTCGAGTATTGTGCAGCACGTTGCTGCTGCTGTTGGCGTTGCTGTTGCTGTTGTTGCTGCTGCTGCTGTTGCTGTTGCTGCTGTTGAGTGGTCGTCTGACTTGAGGAGTAGTCTTGCGCGCCGTATGAAGCACTTGGAGGTGCTATCGCGGATGGTACAAACTGTGAACCTTCTCCGTAAGCGTAACCGTAACTTTGTGAGCCGGGTCGGCTGGCTGATGAAGGTGCCGACGTGGGCGGCAACGTGTTTCTGAACCGATCGGATGCGCTTACCACGGGGTATTGTGCTTGCGGTTGGAGCAGCGTGCCTTGCTGCCCTGCGTAACCTGGGTTCGTCCGCCGACGGTCATTGTTGTCCATCCCACCGCTCGTCCGCCCCTTGAGCTGGAAGTTGAAGGGCGGATCAAGAGCCCGATACGCCAAGGGCGAGACAGGTGGGGTCGCGTAATTTGCCAGTTTGCTGGCTTGCGAGGAATGCGTGCGGAGGAGAACGTGGGCAGGAATGGGCGGTTGATTGAATTCCTGACGTGACGTTGGGTGGAGGTCTTTGATGGTGGTGACGTTCGTAGTTGTGGCTCTGGTCGCAGTGGAAACGTTGGAAAACGTTGAGACAGGGCGGGGGGGGTGTTCACGTCAGCGACGTAGGTGCTTTCTTGGGTAATGATCGAGGAGAGCTGACGAAGAAAAGAGATAGTGGATGGCCAGTTATCGAAATCGTCGAAAGCACAGCGTGGTGAAGAGGTGACGTTGGAATTGGAATTGGATGGATAAGAATGGTCGAGCTTCCGAGGTATGGATATAAACAAGTACCAGTCGCATCCCACAGCACAGCCAATGGAGCCCAAAAGCTTGCGAAAGAAGAAGAAGCTGACGCAGAAAGCCTCACGGACGCGCTCGCCCCGCAAGGATATCCTCGGTGGGCTGCAACGAGGGTGGGTGTGGTAGTGATGAAAGGCAAAACCCGGGAATGGCGAATCCCGATCTGGCAATAATGCTAGAGGAAGAAAAAAAGTACTTATTAGTACGGTCGGCGGTGGGTGGAGCTACAGGACAGTACCAGAAGAACCAGCGAAGACACGTATCTAGGCGGGTAGTAGTAGTGTATGTCTGTGTGTGTACTTGTGGTGCAAGCGGTGGGCCAGTTCCTGACAAGCTCGTACCTATTGTACGTAGCAGGCAAGCAAAAGCAAGCGTGGAGAACCCTGGAAGAATGATTGAGTGCGCCGGAAGCGATCAAATGATGGTGGTGGTGGAGGTGCCAGCCAGGTACAGAAACGGTGTTTGAAGGGACAGTCCTTGCACGCTCGAGATGCCCAAACAAGGTCGGGCGCTGGCCACCAGTCTAGGTAATAGGACTAAAAATGGAGAAGGGGCTCTAAACAGATCTAACGATCGTCTCAGACACAGAGATGCTTCCAGACAGCTCAACGCCTATGTTTCGACCTTGCTGCCAGCCCTAAGGCGTGCTGTAGCGTGTGATGGTGTAGTGCTGCTGTTGATCACGACGGGCAGGGCACGTCCTGCTTTTTCTCCAAACGCACAGGGCGAAGAGGAGTGGGTGCAGTTCGCAAGTGAAGCGTTCGGTCCGAGTCAAGACAGAAGTGCGACAGTCTGCCAGATCCGGTACGCAGATAGGCCTCTCTAGCTGGAGAAGGGTGGGCCCACCTGGAGGAGGGGAGAGCAGCAGTAGACGTTCCTTGAGTAGTCCTCAATAATAACAAAGAAGAGATTGAGAAGTTAGGGAGGGCGCAGCCCCCATTGAGTGAGGAAGAGGGGAGTGAATCAGGGCACGGGGTACAACTCGAAGCTCAGCTAGAGCCAGAGAGGGAGCGGCGACAGACACGCGGATCAGATGGTGGAATCCGCGTGAGGCTGCTGGAAGATGCAGGTGCAGGCGGGATCCGGAGATGAAAGAAGAGAGGTGAGTGGCCAGTCGAGATAGGGCTGGCGAGTGGGGGCAAGGGAGAGCTGTTACGAGTTGGATGGACGGATGGAGAAAAGGAAAGAGAAGGATGTGCAGTAATGTGGTAAGAGAGGGAGTCGTTAGCAGATGACAGAGTCGTGATGGAGCATCGGAAGTGAGGAGGACGCCAGGGAGGACAGCCACATTGGAATGGCTCAGGGCATATGACGGCGGAAGGGGTGCGTGCGTGCGAGTGTGTAATGAGAAAAGAAAGGGAGAGAGAGATGAGAAGAGAAAAAGAGAGAAAAGACAAAAAGAGAAAAGGTCAAAGGGGAATTGGGCCGGACGCCACGACGGCGAGGAACGAGTGAAATGATAGTAGGACCGGCGGGGATCTCTAGCTTCGATGGTACGGCGAGAAGGGAAAGGTGTGGTCGGGAGGGGAGAAGGAAAAGAAAGGAATCTTGATGATGATAATGATGATGATTTGAGAACGAGGCAGGACGGAAGCTGGCAGGACGAACTAGGAGCAAGCCAGGCAACGCGAAAGGTTCCTGAACGCTGGGTGTGGCTTTGGCCGGGGTGTTGAAGGAGTGGAGTGGAGTGGAGACTATTTTTGTATGAGAAAGGGTGAGATGGATCGTCATTGGCGGCTGTTGTAGCTGTAGTGGCTGTAGTTAGTGGGAAGATGATAACTATTATTACAAGATCAAGTAATTAGCAAAAGTTTAGTGGTGGGCCAGTCCGGAAGATGGATTGCGCATCGATGCGATGCTATGCGATACGTTGCGATATGTTGCAAGCAATGCCTAATGCAACCAGTATTGGCAATAATGGAGGGACGGACAATTAAGAAAGGGATCACTATGGACATAACATTCACGTTGGCAATGCGGATCATCTCCCATGGCGACGAATCGGAGGAAGTAGGGCGATGGGGCAACGAATCGATGAACAAAGCGGGAGCTTGAGTAGATGCGGATGTTAAGAATTCATTATGTGGCAGGATACAAGACGGCGGAAGATGACGACGATGTTGGCGAAGGTAGTTGATGATGGACGAAGAGGAAGAACGTCGTCCCCTGGGGAGAAGTCTCCGATATCCGAATTGCGATATGGTGGGGCGACGAGGCGAACGAGCCAGACCAGGGAACGAAAAAAGAAGAAGCGAAGTGTGAAAGAAGAGGCGAATACAAGGAAGTCGATCTCTAGCTTAGTGTGGAACGACTAAGGTACCGTTCGCCCTGTAAATGCATCTAGTAATTCATCTACAAGTTCCCCTCCTCTACAGGGTATACAACCCTATGATTACGAGGAGGTGCTGCGTGTATCAATGAGGCGCGGGCCACGAGTCGAGGGTCTTGTCCTTCCTAGGACGATCGGCCTGGAGTAAATGGTGGATGGTAAATGATGTTGGATGGGATCAATCAATGGGTTACACGATTACTGGCTTCTTGTGATGCGGACGATGTCTGCATGCAGGGCAGATCATGTTGTAGCCCTGGCCGTCCACAGGACTCACAGGTTGAGAGTAGTAGGTCTTCAGCATATAGGTATTACTACTCGCAGTACTCGGCAGTAGCAGATAGGAATAGAATACCTCAAAAAGGCCATGCCGATCACTCGACACGCAGGATAGCTTAAATGCCATGACTTACATTTGAGAGCTCACGACCCCCATAGCATTTGTTGAATTTGGTTAACCTAGTGACCCACGTAGGTGAGTAGAATTGTTGTATTCTCCTCGTGGTGCAAGTAAAACTGCCCGTCAGCTTGCTGTGGACCCAACACGAGCATGCGTTACGGTGTACATAGTCGGAAAAGGCACGGTATGTTCTCTTGCTACTATTCTCGCCGTTGTAATTGACTCTTGTGGCGGGTTGACAGAGTCATCTTCGTCATCATGGTCACGGCAGGAATATTCCTTTTCTTCCCGGTCAGCATGCAGCTCGGTGCGCAGACACCGCCCATTTGTCTGTCGTCTTATTGTGTTATGCGAGAGCTGGAGCGATAGCTCAATCGCAAAGACATAAAGCTTCGTCTTCTGTCACTCGGGCAGTGGACTTTCCACCAAAGACTATGGCCATGCTAAGACTTCGCTCTTTGCAAGCAGCCTGTGGATAATCTTTCTGGTCTAGCTCGTACGACGCAACAATAACAGAGCTCGGACGGAAAGTTGTCACAGGGTGAGCGGGGCGTACAGCTGTTGTAGCCGTGCAGACTTTGGCGCGGCGTGGACAAACGCACACAGACAAAGGCGCAAAAGCGCGGATGGGAGGAGAGGAAGAGGGACCAGTCTCGGTGTCGCAGAAGGTGTTTCATGCAGATGCAGTCGCATGGCGTGGGCAGAACGGGCTTGTTTCGCTGCCTGTCAACAAGCCATCGGACAGCTGCCCGAATGGGGCCCCAGTCAATTGTACCATGCTTGTTCACAGTTGTGACTATTCTGATTAATCAATGGTAGAAATCAGACTCCATACCTAAGACAACTGGCGCACGCAGTGACGCAGTGAGTCAATACAATATCTGTGCATCAGTAGGCGAGTAGATATTCTACGAATCGGTGTAATGTTGGTAAGGTATGGTATGAACGTGTCCTGTGTTTGCGACTGTTCTCTGGTACGCGTGGTGGTGGAGTTCTTAAATTGGCGAGGGCTGACAACCGCACCACACCTCCTCTCCCCTCCATGGATTCATAGAGACTCCCAACCATCATAACCATATACAGTAACCACATTGTGGACGATTCCGCGAGTAAGTTCGGTTTGAGGGCAGCTACAGTGGCCATTGCGCGAGAATCCCCCAGGGATGAATGGCAATTTCGGCATGATCGAGCTAAGCCTTGAGGAGCGAGTCACTCATCTGCGTTGGTTGCTTCTTGTTGGCCGTTCTAGTGGCCCTGGCCTCATATTGGCCCTGTCCTGTGCTCTGCGGGAGTGTACGCAGGGGGGTTCAGCAGATCCCTCCACCGGAGCAGCCTCACTCGCCGATCCAGCGCCACCCTCCTCATGGTGGTCTTCTCACTGTCCCATAAGAGCAAGGTCGAAGGGGGGCAAAGTATCACTGCGCACCACGTCCAGAGGAGATACTATCCGTAGGGCCATGACGCCATGAGTGGGCCGGCCAGGGTAAATGAACTGCACGCCCAGAAAGCCTTCTTGCCCAAATCCGAGGAAGACGTCTCTCAGAAGTGCTCCATAGATTGTGTACAGTGGTATAAGTCTTGAGGAAGACCAGTCTCCACAATGTGACGCGATTTCACTAGAATGCAGGTATTCCCCGTTGTACTAAGAATGTCCTGTAGAGGGTAGTTCGCGTCCAGGTCCGCGCCCGCGTCTGCATCTGCATAGGTATGCGTCTGTTCAAGCCTCGCCCGGAGCCATTCCCGCGAACCTTGTACGGAGGGACGATGCTTGCAGGTTGTCGAGCCTCGATAGGGTACAGTACGGAGTAAGATGGAGGGTGATACTGAGCGCGTGTTGTTCATCGCACAGCGTAGCTGGAAGGGTGCGCTCTAGTATTCGCGTTCCGTTGTCGCGTTCGCGTATAGTGAATTGAATGGAATATTCACGTCGTTCGCGTTCACGTGGCAGGCGGAATTGGACCAATCAACCAATCCGCAACCCGAAAATGATCTGGTCTAACCGGAAAAGGAAACCACAACCTCTCAACTTCTGAACCTGAAGCCTCTCACCTTTCTTGGACATTCACCTTCACCATCACCTTTCACACCCTCTCGCGCATACATGATACGACACAACATCATTGATCTCGTACCACACGAAATACCTCAAAGCACACACCTACGCACGCGTGCATGCACACACCCACCCCAGACCCAGCCTCAGTTGCTCAAGAAGCAATTCACAATTCAGCTTCGTCCCATCCCCTCTTGCGATCTAAGCCAAAACCTCATTATTTCCGCCTGCACATACGTACGCACATACAAGCTGACATATCTCTCAGAGTGCTCGGACATACAAGTACACAGCACATCGTACATAGCCATAATGTGAAACGAGCGGCGTTAAAATTAGCTATCGTATCTTTTCGCGCCTACACGCACGTCTACCTATTGTATCTACTCGTATTGCGAACCAGACCAACACAGTACATTTACTCGCACTGTGTACAACGACACCCGCGCACCAGCACAAACACTTGACCGCCCGCGACATCGATCCAACGGGCGATCGTACACAGTAGCGCCGCTCAACCCCTCGCCCATCCTGACCCCTGTCTCTTCTGTTCTCCCCTTTCCCCTCGTCCTTCCTGGCCGCCATCTTCCGACGAAGCCTCCCTTGTGTCTTGTGCCCACCACTGACACTACCTGTCTCGAAATTGCAGGACCCCGTCGAACACTTTTCCTTCGAGAATGTTTCCACTTTGTTCGAGAAGCCTAGAATATGGACCAAAGTTGAGATCTCCAAAATATCGACTTGCCTCCGCAAATTTCCACAGTTGTCAAGCCTCCCGCACATTCTCTGCTCTTCTATGAGCACAGAGCGAGTGCCATGCCCTCAGGTGACGTCCTTAATGAAGATCAGCTACAGCAGGGACCCCTACCTTTGAATCTCTACATGGATAATGGGCCACGCCAATTACGCTAACCAGATCAAACCGCAACAGATTTCACATCGCAGAGTTACGCTAATGATACTCAAGAACGGCTCTTAAACTGCTCCATAGCATCTGCAACGTCTAAGCATAAACGCACAAATGCCTTGGTTTTAGCCGTTGCGACTTACCTGCTCTGCCGGCCGCACCGCTTAATCTGCCGGCGTCCACGAGGTGATGAGACGACTCGCAAATGCAAATCCCAGAACATCCCGGAAGTAGAAGCGGTAGGGCTCGCGAAGCCATTGGCCAATATGCTCATGGGAAAGTTCCAATTGGCCGTCTGCCCTATGCTCCAAGCTTTCACGAAACCTTTTTCTTGCCCGCTGCTCTTCGCCCTGATTGACCATTGAGGAGAATTGACCGAGCACAACAGCAACGCAGGGGTTGTGACCATGCATGGATCCCTTCGTTCCAAATACACTACAGCCTACCCGCCAAAATATCTACAGAGGTCCAAAGCGCATTGCAGCGAAACACACCAATTAGCCCCCGCATCTGCTGTTGCGTATTTACTTTTCATGCTGACGAACTATTAGTTAATTGGCCAAGCATCTTCCCATCGGCTCATGCAGGAGCAAGGCACGCCTTACTTCTGCATCGCACCGTGCAAGTTCGAAAGCGCTCATGATCTGATCATGACATCGACACAGGGATTACAATCCTCTAGCGCGCTCGCGATCTTCGCCTCCTCACCTCCTCGGCTCCGACTGTAACGCTCCCTCTCGTCAGGCCATTTACACGTTCACGCCCACCTCGATCTTGCAGCTTTCTTTCATAGGCACAAAAAAGGGGCTCATTTACCTGATATGCGCGTAGGCCACCATACGTATGTACGGATCTGCTCCGTAAAATTCCCTTGCATCTGCGACGATGCATGGGCGAGCGAAATGGCAGATCGTATTGCTAGGGATCTCCACCTCCTACTCGAAGTTGCAGAACGTGAGAGCTTTCCCGAACTGAATTGATGGCGAGAGCTCATACCTGCCTTACCTTGATAATCGCATATGAACATTCATTGCGATGCACTTACAGGTCTCGAATACACCCTACCACGTGGAGAGAACTCGAAGTATCTTTGAATGTTTCCCCAGTTTCTCATTCCCAACCTGCACGTCCCGTCTTCTTCTATGCATGATCCCAACATTCGAGAGCATGGGATTTCGGAAGATGCCCTCAGTGTAATTGATGGTCAGCCTATCAACCACATATTTTTCGTTCTCCGACAAATAAAGGCCGTTCGCCCGTGCCCTTGTCGCATCCGTGGTCGAACGGGAACATCAGACCGAGGCATGAAAGAAACATGCACGCAAGACACACATCCTTGTCTGTCCGCTCTACCTGGTCTGAAAGGGCCTTTTGTCTACCTACAGATCACTTTCGCTCAGCCTGGTTGAATCTTCAAGGTACATGGTACATATTTCTACGGCGACTCCGAAAAATCACATGTTCCGATAGGTACTTACACGTAGATTCAAACGCAGGTACCGTTTACATCTATCGTTGCACATGAATTATTTCTTCGCATTGGTGTATTATCGACGAAGAAACAAAGCTGTTGGTGGAAATCGTGTTTTCGCGAGCCTTACCGTTGTATGATTTAGCGCGGCATTCAAGCATATGAAACACTCTACCAGATTTTCGGTTGTTAGAGTTACAGTATTTGGAATCCACATACAGAGTATTTACCGGGTTCAGAAAGGTGCTTGTATAACGCGTTATCCGAGGAAGTCATTCATACTTCACGGAAGGCTTTCGGTGTACTTGGGCGTACATGCGCATTGCTTTGCTTGGGAGTATTTGTAATCTAGGAAGTCGGATTATTACTTCCTCAATCGCGACTGCGGAACTATTCCTACAGGCTCCAAGGAGCTAAAACACGCACAATACGCCTAGCATGAATCGCACATCTCCATCCAAACGTACGCTGTCTGGACGCAGAGGTTCTTTAGGGCCACATTGTCCATGTTACACCGCCATCATACGCCTTGCTACTCCAAGATTTAAAAAATGCCTGAGTTTCTTTGCAAAAGGGATGTAAGATCGCACCATTTCGTACGTATCAGAGCAATGACCATTCTTACTTGTCGCGTCCATTCGTCTCTCCCTTTGGATTCAGATATCCTGCCGCGTCAGAATAGCACGCTCCACTGTTATTGAGAGATCTAACAAAGATCAAGACGTGCAATTGTAAAGGGTTGATCTATGAGAAGCACGGACCACTAATTCAACTCTATTGCCTACTGTATACGGAGTATAGTTGGGATTGAATATAACCATATCAAGGTCAAAAGAAGATTTGCGTACGTCGCTTGGAGTTAGCCAGTCATCTTCTGGGCAATTATTAGGCACCTCCGGGTCATGCAATTGCATTGTAGCTACCCTTGAATTTCTATAAGACATAGGAACATTTGCGGTTGAAGCTCTCAACATGCGACCCTGGTCAAGAGGAACAACGAACATTGTTCCTGACTCGCTGGTTTAGGGTTTCTGATTCTCGTTGCTGTATCTCTATCGTATGACTCTTCTATGGACATTCTAGGGCCGATATCGACACTTCGGAGCGGACAACAACCCAAAGGTAGTAATCCTAATTATTCACAACAGCCTGTCCATGAACGTCCCCACCAAGCGCCTTCATTCGGTTCTATCCGGACACCTACAAGTAACGTCCTTTGGCCTGGTGTTTGGGTGCTCAAAGGGAACTTCCTGGTAGGATTGGTATCGATCAAAATCTCGTATTACAAATTTTCGGATACAGGTTGGTCCACACGCTTGCCTCTCACACCATCATCGGACGGGTAAACAACATTCTTCATTCTACTTTAGAAATTTCTTTTCTCTCGTGAGTAACGAGTCCTATAATTGAATCATCAGATCAATTTTGTGCTATCTGTTTCTGTTCCGAAGATATGTCCCGTTCCTTGTACCACTCATGTCCGGCTGATAGTTCACTCGGTAACTAAAGTCAATTCTTACGGACGAAGTTGGCGATGTCGCTCTCAACATTGAACCCCAACCCTTGTCAACAATGACGCCTATGTGACAATACTCTACCCTTGAGTTATTTTTGCCATTCCCCGATTGAGTCCTGGTTTGGACGCTTTCTAACCTCCTCAATCCACCCCTTCCGAGTATATGTTTCTTTTCCACAGGTATCATCCGCTGCACTATTAGTACGACCCTGTCGTCCGATGAAGTCCTCATCTGATGAAGATTTAGCTGTTTCTCGCGATAGTTTGCAAGCCACGCGACACTCATGGTACTCTAAATTTATTGTTCTTTTCTCTCTTTCTCTTAGCCTCCCTTGGGCAGTAGTCGAACGAAAGGTGTATCTCATCCACCTGCATCGTTCGTTCGAAACCCAGACAAATCTTTGCAGGGCGAGAATCAAATGCGCTATCTGTGTTCCCTGTCTAGTCGTTGACCTGGATTCCCGTGGCACAATTCGAGTCCGGCAACAAGGTGATATCGCAGGGTTCGGTATATCATCGTCCGAGCGAACCACTAATCCCATGTGTCTGGCCTGTAGGGCCAGACCTTATTAAACATCAGTCGAGTTTCTGTCAATCCAACAGAGTGGGAGCTGCTATAGTGCTATCCTGCGCGCCAATTTCATTAGTACCTGCATTTGTTTTTGTCACCTTGTGTTCTCACATCTGTGGCCATCATGGCTGTAAGTATCATCATACATGCGATGAACAGCACAGTATCATGACTGACACCATGGGAAATGTGACACATCTCACAGGCCTGGAAGACCCTTGAGGTATCGGTGTCGAGGTATCCTTGTTTCGGTCACAGATCTCTCTGTTCGCGGGGGACCGTATCACCGGGGACAGGGAAGATGTCAATTGTTTCCCTGCACAGAAAGGAACCTTTGAGGACGAGAATTGCCATTTTCGCTTGTTACAACTGTACTGCGTGCGTTTCCGCTATCGTTACTTTGCAGTTCAACTAAATGGGAATTTCTGGGACATTGCAATGGCCGAATTGACTCCTTTACTGGGAAAGTAGTCCAAGCATCCCCGAATTCCAGATTTTCAGAACAACTTGGTATATCCTTTGACAGTGCGCTTTGATTTATACTATAATCTGTGCGGCAAATAGATTTTTAAATATTGTGTTAGCGATAACCGAATTTCGAAATGTTCTTAGACTTTGAGTTGAATTTCTCCCTCCTTAAAATCTGCTGCTCGTGAACCAAAAATTAATCACTACGCCTACAGTAGTATCTCAGCAAGGTTATTCGGAGAAATAAATACAATGCAATCGCTGCTATACATGTATTTTATAGAATCTCATACTTGTTACAACAAAAGCCCCATTCGTGATGATTTTGTATTGTCCATATTCTGAGTAGAGCAGCGCATGCGAGCCGATTGATTACATACATCCACATTTATTTTTGGAAATGCATATGCATGTGATTACGAATAGTAGCCTTTGAAGTGTTTGCTATCATACATCAGTTGGTGATACTTTTGCCTGGATTAGCTTAGGTGTGATATGTTTCTAACTTACTCATCTAGTAAGCCGAGTCATGCATCTTGGAATTGTTCCTACCAAGCGTTATAAGACTATGTACTGAGATCAAATCAAGGCTACGTGCTGCATCATTAAAACTGAACAATAATGTGAGTCGAGGGGTGTTCCATTAGATATTGCGATTGTAATTGGCAAGGTACTTGAAAGAGTCTGGTTTCAATTACAATTCTGGTCATTTCCGTTGGAATCCAAAAGTTCCAACGCTACCCGGACCTAATCTCCAGCGGCTCTGATGACATGCCCAATAGGCATCATTACAAAGAAGTCAGTAAGACAGTTTCTATGCACGCTGGTGGTGCTTGTGTTCTACCCCACTAGTTCTGTTTATCAATCCAGGGTCCGGAGCACGTAACCCTGCCGACGTCATTCAACCTGGTACAAACACTCCTCAATTCTACCTCTCACGCTTCCACAAACTGACGTCCAGTAAACTGCTGAATCTCGTCTTGAAAATGCCTAATATTCTGATTGTCGGAGCAACACGAGGCCTGGGCAAGGCTCTTGCACAGGAGTATGCCTCGAACCCGGATAATCACATCCTCGCAACGGCACGATCATCAAGCCCGCCAGAGAGTTGTACGTTCCAAGGAAGCCTTTTTGGATTGGTTCACATATATAAATGCTAATGGATCGACAAATCTAGCTAACAATATCACCTACGTCCCCAACATCGATATCAGTACCGAAGAAGCCAGCAGTAATCTACTCCAATTCCTGCACGACAAGTCCATAACCCACCTCGACGTGGTCATCATCACCGCAGGATACTTCGCCACGGAGTCGCTGGAAAAGCCCTCCTTCTCCGCCCAGGAGAAGATGTATCGCACCTGTGTAATCGGACCCACCATCCTCGTCACCTCTCTCGCAAACGCCACGTCCACGCTGCTTGACAACAAATCGAAAGTCATCCTCGTCTCCAGCGAGAGCGGAAGCATAACCCTACGACACGAGAAGGAAGGCGGCGGAAACTATGGACATCACGCCAGTAAAACAGCATTAAACATGTCTGCGAAGCTCTTGTCCCTCGACCTCAAGGACCGCGGCGTCGCTATCGCCACCGTGCATCCGGGATTCATGCGCACTGAGATGACCAAGGGAGTTGGATTTGACAAGTACTGGGATGATGGTGGTGCCGTCACGCCCGATGTTGCCGCTAAGAGTTTGGTGGATTGGATTGAGACCTTCGGGATCGAGAAGACGGGAGAGTATTGGGCACCGAGGGGAGCTGCGTAAGTAGTGGCATCTGTGTGATCATTGGACCTGTTATTGACATTTCTCTAGGGATATTGGAACTGCGGAGCCGGTTCTTGGACCTAAGGACAAACTTCCGATCCCTCTGCAACTCCCTTGGTAACTGTGTGCATTGATAGTCTACTAGAGGAAGTGTGCGATTGAAAGGAATTTCGGGTGTGAGAACGGCATGGCGAGAGTATAGATCATGATGGTCATCCATTACACTTGAATAGAAATATTTTCTGGTATCGAAACCTCAAGCAAACCAACTAAGAGCCCAAGAAGACAAGATCCATCTAACAATATCTTCTGGATCAGTGATTTTCAAAGCAACATCAAATATAAACATGCGGGATCTATGTGGTGCTCAACTTGTCCACAGCCTACAACTTCTTCGCTACCCAAACCTGCGCCTTGTATGCATTCTTGGTCAACGCCCGCCCATTGAATCCGTACTCCGCCTCTAAACTGCGGACCTTGTTCCCCTCGAAAGTCGGTTGACCGCACACGTCGTCCGTGCTCCCGTCTTTCACGACTTCCTCAAATGCAAAACCCATGCCCTCGACTACCACCAAGATCTCATCGAGACTCAATTGCACGAAAGGACCCGTTCCGTATAATAACGGTCCAAGATTGACCCACTTACCACCTTTTCTCAGGATTTTCTTGATGGTTTCAAAATAAGATATCAAATTCCTCGCCGTGTCAATGAAGAAGTGCGTGACGACTATGTCGTAATATCCCTCTTGGTTGTTGAATGCTGTGGTGAAATCTCCTTCAACTAGCAGCACAGTTGGCCAGGGAGGAAGTTCAGGAAACGTCACGGCACGGTGGAGGTCGTCATTAGTGGCATGGTGGGAGAGACCATCGATGAAGGGATGGAAGGTATGCATATCCGGGGCGCGAGGGGTCGGATGGTTGATGAAGCGGTACGCGACGTTCATGTACATTGACCATTCGTTGATCGTGACTTCGAAATCTGCCCACCACCATCTGTCAGTATCGGCCAGAACATTCAAGTAGGAAGATGGCGAATAGCCCCCTTACCGCCTAAGAAGTCAATCTCACTCCCCAGCCTCCCCAGTCCCGCACCTGGCAACACAACCTTCAGCTCCTCCGTCTCCTCGCCCTCCACAACTCTCAGCATCTCCTTCTTCAGGCCCTTCATGATCTCCAACAAGCAAGGAAACGCATCATCTCTCTCCTTCTTCCCCTCAACCGCCCAGTCTCTGACATAATGCTTCATCGTCTGGGCAACGCTGATCCGATCCGGCTTCCTCCCCTTCTTCTCGCCTTCCTCCTTGACATGCGCGTCCAGCTCTTCCCGGCTAACGGAGTAGAAGTCCAGCGCCGTTGCGACGATCTCATCCGCCAGCTTCGCGTTGGTCGCGATCTCGGTTTCGATGCGGTCAAGCTTGGCGGTGTAGTGTATTAGATGTTCGAGGGACTATTTGTAATACAATTAACGCGTGATTCAACTAGAGAGAGTGGTTGGAGATTACCTTCCTCTGCTTCTTCCCCATGTTCTTATACAGCGAGCGCCAGCGGTTTAGCTCCGCAAGATTCAGCGTCTGGTAGGACGAGTAGCTCCATAGCGCATCGAGGAGCCGGTAGCGAGGGTGGAATTGATTGTACGTCCCTGTCGTTTTTGAGAGGCGCGTTTGGAGGTTTTCAAGTTCGCGTTGGTGGCGGGGTGGTGGGTTCATGGAACCGTATTGGAGCGGATCTGATGGTGTGGTTAGTTGTTGATTTGTGAAGACATTGTAGAACACTGGTGTAGCTTGGTATTGTTGGGAAGCTCGTGAGGATTTGATTACCTTGTGCGTTGAAGCCATTTACGTCTATTGTGCCTTCAACATTGTCGCTATCTTTCTGCCCGAGAATAGCCTGGGGGCATAGGCTTAGGAGTAGGTAAAGAGGTGATATCCGCATGTTGTTATATTAATTAATTATTGATGCAAAGAAGATAAGCTAGAAATCTCAATTTCTGCTATATAAAGAGGTACGCATTCAATCATCATGTCATGTAGAAAAGATTTCGGAAGTACTGAGCACCATGATGGTTGCCGAGGCGCCGATGAAATGTGTACCTGTCTAGACGACGCGAAATATATAGAGGGGTCATGGTTGGTCAGGCACCGGATAATCTTGTTCTCTAAATTAGTTCTGTTGCTCAATGTTGCTCAAAGTTCTGTAGAAAAAATTCGCATATTTTAATCACGACGTAGATATTACTACAAGGTGTAGAAACATCATAGTCTGGGGTTTCCAGTTTAAACACAAGTCTTTTGTTAAAGGCGATTAACAGCAAAGGGGAGGGGGAAGAGGAATGGATTCTCGCAAGTCTCCAAAGCAATGCACTTAGTTGTGACTCAAGTTGTTTAGAATTTCAAGTGCCAATGGATGCTCTACAGGTATTTCATCCCTCATATTAGAAGCTGTACGATGCTTAAAACTCAGTGGACTGAAAGTGGGAAACAGGGAGACAGCTCTATGTTCGTTATCTAGTATCATCTTTTCAACAAAAGATCGAGCAGGCTATCGTCTACCGCAATGTTCTAGTCATGCATAACTACCACGATCTGCTGGACTTTATCGAGCGGCTGACGTCTTCTTCATGGTAGTCAAATGATCATACAAGTCTGGTGTATCAGAGTATGCAAGATACAGTTCAAATGCTGTACGGTCAAAAGTGGTACAGGGACCAGGAGATCAGTTAGAGGGCCTTGTGCATCTGTCGCAATCTTTCGCCGCCTCGGAGCACTTCCGATCCGTCAAGTTGGGGTTCTCGAAGTCAATTATGTCCAATACGCTGAAAGGATTTTACTTCGGATTCCTCGCTATGTAATGTAAGGACTATGGCGTGATATACATGAGACAAGACACAGGGTAATATACAACAACGCCGAAGCGCTTAACGCTTGACCCAGGTAGGCATCTTGCGCGCCTTGATATGGCCGGGCTTCTTCCTCTCCACCTTCCTTGGATCGCGGGTAACACAGCCAGCTGTGGTGAAAGTCAGCCATAGTGAACGCATATGCCATAGTTTCGAGATGGCCTTGAAATCGGCGAGAATTGGAACTTACCACGTCGGAGAGCAGGCTTCAAGGCCGGCTCATGCACCAGCAAAGCCTTTGCAACTGCTAATGTTATGGCCTCCGCCTGTCCAGTCACACCACCACCATTGACCAATGCAAAGACATTGTATTTATCGAGCCGTTGAGTGGCCTTCAATGCCCATACAGCGCTCTCTCGATCGTGTAAACGGCCAAAGAATTCGGTCAGTGACTTGCCGTTGACTAGAACCTCGCCCTCCCCTTCTATCACATAAGCGGTAGCCGATGAAGTCTTCCTGCGCCCAACGCCTTTTGCCCTGCCTAGCTCATCAATGACACCTGGGCTGGGCACGATATCTCCCGGTTGTGAATCCTTCTTGTAGCGCTTCATGGCGTCCAAGACCTCTTGAGGCATTAATGATGGATGCACACAGTTCAACCTCCGCAGCAAGTGCAGCATCTTGTGAAATCGTTGGGTCTTGACCGGCTCGTTGGTCATGATTCGGTACTGATCGATCGTTTTCCAAGCCACCTTTGGTGCTTCTGCGGGTGTCACTGTTGGCAGCGTTGCGACCTTGCGGAGCAGTGCTAATAGATTGATGACGTCGTCGGTGAAAGTAGGCTTCGCGCTGAAATATGAGGGCGATGCCGGCACAACGCGCAACTTCGCAAGTTTACTCTTGTCATTCCTGAATTTCTTGTCCGCATCGCTTCGGCCTGTTTTTCTAGCCGGACGGTCCTCAAGCTCGAGCTCGAGCTCAATCTCAATCTCCGGTGCGGCAGTGAACTTTTCAAGGACTTCTGGCTTGTCAGATGTGGGCTCTACAGCTCGCGGTGTGGACGTGGTGATGCATCGAGCAGTCGTCGAGGGTTGGATTCGCCTGGGAGTAGATGTGCGTAGAGGTGACTGGCATTGCGGCCTCGAAAGTGCACCGAGCGAGTCGAAGGCCCTCCATAGGCCTCGCGAGAGCTCTCCTCGAGCCATTGCGAAGGGTCAGTTGGAGGTTGTGTCGTAGGGATACGACCAATTGGCGAATTCGCTGCCGTACTTGGGATGTCGTAGAGAGATCACGAACAAAAAGACCCAACTGTTTCCATTCCCTAAACGTGCTAGCTCGTAGATTGGATTCCATCGGCCGGAACAACCTTTGGATCCTTTCCCTTCGTTCATTAAAGTGCCAAGCCGGCCATACCTCGGCGATAAAGGCACCATTGGATGGCAAACATTGAAAAACTCACAGTGGGCGAACCCCCACCAAAGCCCAAACACCATCTTTTTTCTCATCCACCCCTCCTCTTCCCTTCCTCCCTTCTATTCTCTTCGCGCGTTCCTCTAAAAACATCAACGTTTGCGATATCCCACACTGGTTGTTTGTATTTCTTTCACAGTAAAACATCACAATCATGTCTTTCGGCAAACTCTACAGCTACCCGGTATGATCCACACCCACCAATTCGCGCTTTGTGCGCCACCTGTTCTGTGCTGAGCGACACCTAACGTATAAATTCTTCAGGGCAACCCGCGCACCACTGCTCTTCTCGCAGTCGCAAAGGAGAATGGCCTCGACATCGAGCAGGTTCACACTGAGCCCGCCAAGGGCGTTTCCACCGAGTACTTGAAGCTCAACAAGCTCGGAAAGGTCCCTACCTTCGAGGGCGCTGATGGCTTTGTCCTCAGCGAGACCCTTGCCATCGCCGTCTACTGTACGTTCAAATTTTTTCCTCCGCGTTTTCCCCCCCAACTTCGACCGTACCAGGATGAGACATATTATCAATACAGTTATCCCTGTCTGAAACCAAGTGTTGAGACTCTTTATACTCTGAATTTTCACGTTTTAAACACGTTATTCTGTCAGCAAGCGACTCTTATGACTCAGAACTGACATTCACAGTGACCTCCCAGAACGAGAAGACCACTCTCCTCGGCAAGACCAAGCAGGATTACGCCTCCATCCTCCGCTGGTTGTCTTTCGCCAACTCTGAGATCCTCCCTGCCCTTGGTGGCTGGTTCCGCCCCATCATTGGCCGTGACCCCTACAACAAGAAGAACGTCGACGAGGCTTCCAAGGCTGCCCTCAAGGCCGTCCACGCCGTTGAGGAGCACCTCCTTACCCACACCTACCTCGTCGGTGAGCGCCTCACCCTTGCCGACTACTTCACTGCCAGCATCCTCGCTCGTGGCTTCCAGTACTTCTTCGACAAGGCATGGAGGGCCGAGAACCCCAACGTCACCCGTTGGTACGAGACCGTCTACAACCAGTCCAGCTTCTCTGCTGTTGCCGGCAAGCTCGAGTTTATCGAGGAGGCCATCAAGTACACTCCCCCCAAGAAGGAGGCCGCTCCCAAGAAGGAGCAGCCCAAGGCTGCCCCTAAGCCCAAGGCCGAGGAGCCCGAGGAGGATGAGCCCGCCCCTGCCCCCAAGGCAAAGCACCCTCTTGAGGCTCTCCCTCGCGCCACCTTCGTCTTGGACGATTGGAAGCGCAAGTACTCCAACGAGGAGACCCGTGAGGTCGCCCTTCCCTGGTTCTGGGAGAACATGAACTTCGAGGAGTATTCCATCTGGAAGGTTGACTACAAGTACAACGACGAGCTCACCATGACTTTCATGACCTCTAACTTGATTGGTGAGTAGAAATGCCCCATCACATGTTACATTTCCAAGAATTTCAAACTAACAGCATGCCAGGTGGTTTCTTCGCCCGTCTCGAGGCCAGCCGCAAGTACATCTTCGGTGCCGCTTCCGTGTACGGAGTCACCAACGACTCCATCGTCCAGGGTGCTTTCGTCATCCGCGGACAGGAGGCCCTCCCCGCCTTCGACGTCGCTCCCGACTTCGAGAGCTACTCTTTCACCAAGCTCGACCCCACCAAGGCCGAGGACAAGGAGTTCGTCGACAACCAGTGGGCGTGGGACAAGCCCATCACCGTCGATGGCAAGACCTACGAGTGGGCTGACGGCAAGGTCTTCAAGTAGAGGACTGGAACGAAGAGTAAGCGGAATGGGAATGGGAAATGACTGTTAATGAATCAAGGATATCCAATGGGAAAAAATTGGTGAAGGGGATAGATGGTTCCAGACAGCTTTTTCGATGAAACATACACTGTGAAATTTTGTCTGCAGCCCACAATGAATGGGCTGGAATGATCCAAGCTTTTCTCTTCTTTGAATGTTGCGTGTCTTTGTGTCTGTGATTGTTGTGGGTTCGTATTTGCGTCCGTGTGGCTACTGTGACAAGTGCATAGGCTGATATCTTCTGGCGGTAATGACATTGGTAGGACTGGCTAGGCTATGGTGTCGGCGCGATGCATGCATACGCAGCATACCTACATGAGGTACTTGTGAGTTCTACCTCAGGGTTAAGTTGGAAAAGCATTGGGTTGATGGGAATGGTAACTGCCTAGGTGGGTATTTTATGGTGGTGCACCTTGTTAGGTACGTTAGTCTATGTAACTACGGAGTATTCTGTGGTTGAATGGCTGAATGGCTGAGTGGTTGGTGGTTGGACATGATTGGCTGGCTGGTTTGCCCTACAGTTGGGTTGGAACTTGGGACTCGGGACTTGGAACTGGGGATTAACTAACTAGGAGGTACCTTTCCCTTTGTATTGGCATCGGATTATCCTAAAGAAACCTTGGAACCCTAAACCTTTCCTTCCTCGCCGTCCACGTGCCCATCTGCTGCTCTATCTGCTCTGCTTTCCTGCTCTACTCGTGCTTCACCTCTATACCACTTCATCCTCAGGCGAACACGCGCCCACGCGCATCCGGCCCCCCTCTCGCTGTCGCTGTTGTGCTGTCAATTCCACGGCCCATCCATTGCCGTCATTCACGTTCGGCTGACGTACCTACCAACATTAGAGCCAGGCGCACGGGTCTTCCTGCCCTCCCGTGACATCTGACGCGCTGCAGGGAATGGATTGAATTCAAGTCAGCAAAGGCAACCCGACGCGAGATCAGCAACAATTCAACACACACATATATATACTACATCATTGATACTGAACATCATCTTTCGCTGGATCTGGAAATTTTGTACTTCAATACCAACAAGTGGTCGAGTTTGCAACCGTTAGTGCCGTGCCAATAACTGGTCGGATACCTGTATCACCCATCACGGCCCACCCACACAGTACAACGGAGCCACCGTGCGACTGTATGACGGATACAAGGTGCCAAAGTGTAACAATACGTTCAAGCTCATTTCTGGACTCTCCTTAATTCTGAGACTATTGAAAGAACCCCCATCTCTGAGACAACTTTCTTTGTCTTGCCGGCCTTTGTTTCGTACCGTAAGAATTTCGCCAACGCCGTCCGGGCTTCGACATTCAGGCGGGCTCCCAAAGTTCAACTCATCTTCCATCTGTTCTGCCAGGTTTCCAGAAAGCTCTCGGGTGGCTAAGACAGACATCAGGGACTCGCGCTCAGAAATATCTCGACACAGAGACATCTCTTAGGCGAGTGATTCATGATCATCGATACCGCTCTTTGACTCGCTACCTCGCTACGTTAGACTGAGACAATAGTATTGGCGCTGTTCGCTCTGATCAGAAAGGGCAAATAGGATCTCGAAAAGGAACCTTCGGGTAGGAATCGCACTAGCTTGTCTCTAGAGAAATACCGTCGAAGAGGTGGCAGCATGAAGGACGGGGAGGGCACAGAGAAGACGAGGCGGTCGTCGAGCCACAATGAGCCTGCTATACAGGTGGTTTGTCTGGTACGTTTCCAATTGTCTTGGTCCTTGCGAGTCTATGGTGAGCCTCAGTGACGTTGCGGCCGAGTCAGACAAGACAGCCGCAGGTACATGGAGCACTCAATGACGTCTCCTTGGATGGCTGCATGATATCGCGCCTATGCCCGCAGAACGACTGGCGAAGACATGACTTTTTACATCTGGCTTCACACGCTAACAAGTGATTTCTAGGGAGCTGGTGGCGGTCCCAGCGAAGATCATGTAACGGGTTTCCTCGTCCGATCCATCTCCTCCAAATGGGCCAAGAATTCGGTTCTTGCAGTCGATGCAGGGTCCCATCTCGCTTCCATCACTCGCATTCTTGAGGATCACTTTCCCCTTGTCGCAGATCTCCCAGAATCTACCATCGAGTCTGCGCCAGCTAATGGAACTGGGCCCATAAACTGCACCGACCAAGAATCTCCTTCACCAGGAACAGCGCCAGTGTCGTCACCCGCATCTGGCTCGGACGTGGCTACACCTGCGACCGTTGACGAACCCTCGCCAATCATCACTGTCCTCGAAGAAGGACCTTTCGCGGGCTTACCTTTTCCCCACGCGAGTGCAAGAGCAAACGCATTGCACGTTGTTAGAGAGCATGTTTCCACCTATCTCATCACGCATCCACATCTGGATCACGTATCTGGTTTTGTGATCAATACCGCCGCTTTCCATAACACGTCACGGCCAAAGCGATTAGCGGCGCTTCCATCCACTGTACATGCGATTAAGACACATATCTTCAATAACGTCATCTGGCCGAATCTTACGGACGAAGATGGCGGTGTTGGATTAGTCACCTTCCAGCGTTTGCAGGAAGGCGGCAATGTTGCACTTGGCGAGGGTAGTGGACGAGGCTATATTGAAGTCTGCGATGGTCTCGGTGTCCGGGGCTTCAAAGTCAGCCACGGTCATTGCATGCAAGGGCCTGGGCATGTGCATCGAATCTCCAATGCCAACACAAATCCAGAAACACCTGGACTACCACCAACTGCTACGCATGCACACCATTCATCCACTGCTGAAGTCCGGGAAGGTCGATCTTTGAGCTTCTCCTTGCCGACCCAGAGCGCTCCCGGAACGCCAATGTATACCGGCGGTCCCAATGAACAAGCGCGGACGTCCAGCATCGGAGGATCAAATCAATTCGAACAGTGTGTCATAGATTCGACAGCATACTTTATTCGCACGGAGCCGGGCCCACACACACCTACGAAAGAGGTTCTCATATTCGGCGACGTCGAGCCAGATTCGTTATCACTTTCTCCGCGCACCGCTCAAGTATGGGCGGAGGCTGCACCGAAAATCGCTGCGGGAACTCTAACTGGTATCTTCATCGAGTGCAGTTACACCAACGCCCAAGGCGATGCCGTTTTGTTCGGCCATCTTGCGCCGAGGCATCTGATTGCGGAACTGCAAAACCTGGCTGGAATGGTAAAGCAGGCACGCAAGGACCATGCGAGAGAAAGAGAAGAGCTGAGGAGGGAGCGGAAGAGGAAGAGGGCAAGCAACGGGCTCTCATCCGGCCTCGACAGCGTCACGTTTGATACGGCACGAAAGAGCAGTAGAACCCGCTCTTCGATCCTCAAAGAGGGGAAGCTGGAATTAGACGACGAGATCATGTCCGACTACGCACCTTCGCCTACTCCCGGTGGCATCAAGGGGGCCGGTGGCTCGGACACGCCCATCCATCCCGGATCGCACCCGTCAGCGCCTGCTGCGCTAAGTCTCACAGGCGTTTCCGCAGAGCATGGCAAGGCCATGATGAGCGCTGCATTTGATGCCCCACTCAAAGGGCTAAAGATTGTCGTCATCCACGTGAAGGATACCCTGAACGACGGACCGCGAATAGGCGACATGATCCTGCAGGAATTACAAGAAGCAGAGAAAGTGCTGCACGACCAAGGCAGGGGACTGGGTTGCGAGTTCATCATCTCAAAGAGTGGCGAGAGTTATTTCTTCTAAGCAGTTCGCTGCAAGAGCATCTTATCTCGTATCTAGGGGGCCTTCGGAGCAAAGGAAGAACATCCTTCCTACAAAACGAATGACTTCACGATTATTCCTCCAAAATGGTACGGTTGTTACGAGGGTACAAAGAGTGATCCTTCGGTACATTTTCTTACATCCTTGTTGGCCGTTTGCCATTATACAGGTCTCCATTTCACTCTTATTCACACTGGACGCGGCTTTGGCCTTTTTCACCTATCTGGACTGCACATACGGAACGATGCTGGAAACAGGACAGGCAGTATGGGCCTGAGTCCTAAAGCATCCATAGTGTAATGTCTTTTTCTTTCCTCCTTGATCTACATTCTATATGTTGCCACTTGCGATATTTCCTTGCTTTCTATTCTTTTTCTTCTTCTTATTTTTTTGTACACTACGATCGATCTATTGAGGATAACGGGACATATTATCATCTCCACACACACTCACACTCGGGATACCCGACGTGGGAGGGATTCGGCAGTGGGATGGAGGTAGAATGAATGCGATTGCAATTGTAAGACTGCGCGGAATGTAGAGAATACGTAACATATATCATTTTGCTCTACATGCAGTCAGCAATGGTGATGATGGTGATAGTTTGTCTTGGTGTTGCTAACTACTAGAGAATTTATTGTGACGGCCCAAAGGTCTAACCACATGGTGAGTCGCTTCGACAGAGCTCAGTCACATCGATCAATCGCACAGGCAAAAATTTCACGGCGCGAGCGAAGTTCTAAGTTGTAGCATATTGTATTAAATGAATGGGTTTGGGCTTTAATTAAAACATTAACAGCTTGATTCTTCCCTTCATGTGGTCTTCTTGCATTGCCAAAGTCAACCACTCCTGAACCGCTGGATGAAGGGAAGTCATACAGATACTAAGAGTAAGAGATTAAACGAGAGTAAGAAGTAAACAAAGAGTAAGAGACAGAAATATAATGAAAGACAGTACAAAAGAAAAACACATTAGAAGTCCACAGTTGGGAGATCTGAGTTCTCCGAGCCTAACCTAGAATCTAACTTTGGGCCTAACGGTGAGTCCGCAAAGTAGTTCAGCAAGGCATCGATATCTTCGTGCCGACCCAAGTCGTTGAATTCGCTCTTTGAGCCTGGTCAAATTAGCAAAACCCATACGTGGATAGGCCGCAACACTACAATCTACAGGAGAGCAACTTACATTCGAGGAATTTCCACCCGATGCCTTCATCCTCCCAGTACCCCACGGCGTTGGTGCCGAGGTGAGCCAACTCACGCAAAGCCCTGTCTTTACCATCTAGCTTTCCGCCCACCAGGCGAGCATCTCTAAAAGCATTTCTGACAGAACCCTCGAATTCTTCTTTCTTTGTATTCCCTTGATGTTGGGCCAGGAGGGCGACTTTGAGACCACTACTTCGCATCAGGAGATACGTGTCCTTGGAATTAATATTCAGTTCGTGGGGCTCCATTTGGCACAGGGCTTTTAAAAGTTTCTTGCATTCGTCTCTGTTCTTCCCTTGAGTGGCGCCTATGGACCTCACTTCCTTTGCAGGCCCGGGGGCCTCGTCCGACGAAGAGCGAGGCTCTGGCCCAGACCCGGGGGATTCAGGAGAAGACATTGGTTGTCTTGCAAGCTTCAACGCACACGGTGTTCTTGTGAGGTAGCAGCACAATATAAATAATAAGGATTTAAATTTGCAGAGAGTGTTGTTTGGAGTCGAGAACAGTTTTTCAAAGGCCTTATATACGAACCGTTCTGTAACAGTCAGCCTAGAATATGACTGGGAAGTGTCGGATCGTGGAAGTACAAACAGTCACCTTCGAAGCAGTGAGCAGACCATGAGGTGACGGTAGTCATGTGGAAGGCACAGTGCAGTTGAAACTGTTCATGAAGTATATAAGTCTATGGTCTATAATATATGATGCTGAATAATTTAGAATTAAGTATCTCCTCCCCCAAGAATGCAAAGAGAAACACATTCTCTCGATGCACCATCACTTATATCGAGTTCCCAGAGTTGATCTTCTGCCAACCCAGAATTGCACGCGATCTGAAGTCATGTATCAGAACTTCAAAACTGGAAAATACGAGTTCTCCGATTCCATCCTAGAATCGTGCTTCGGTCCCGAAGGCGAGTCCGTGTACTCTAGTAAGTCATAGACCAATTCGTGCTCCCCTGAGGTGTTTATGTCGGACTTTACGCCTAGTAAAATCAGCAAAGTCAATACAAAACAGGACCTAAACTCAAATCTAAAGGAAAAGGCATTTGCCTTCCACGTACATTCAATGTATCGGAACATAACCTTGTGTTCCTCCCAGATCGCCGCGGCGTTGGTACCCTTTTCAGCAAGCCGAAACAAAATCCCAGCTTTGCCGTCTAATTTGTCGCCTAGCAGCAAAGGATGCTGCGGATCGATGTTCTGAGGCAATTCGAATCCTCCTTCTGACGCAGCCCCGGGCATGTGTTGAACCATGAGGGCAATTTCCGAATTGTCGTGTTGCCACAAAGCCTGCGGTCTCCGGACCGTCTCGGCTAGTTTGGGTGGCTGGGATAGCAAGTGTTCGCAGAAGGCCTGGAGAAAGAGATGGCATTTATCGCGGTTCTTTCCTTGAGTGGCGCCAATAGATCGTACTTCCTTGGAGGGCCTGGGTGCTTCGGCTGAAGAGCGAGGGTCCGCTCCAGAGCCAGGGGATTCGGGAGTGGACATTGTTCGTCTTGCAATGTTTGATTGGTTTTCTTGTGAGAGATGTGATTGGACGGGAGTGGTTTAGATTGCTTGAGAGTGCCATTTGGAATCAAGAGCAGTGGTAGGACAGACTTAAATATCATTGTGTAGCCGTCAGTCTGGAAGATGACTGCGAGTGACTGGATCGTGAAGATTCATATACAGTCATATCTGACACAGTGAGTATACCGTAAGGTGACGGTAGTCATATCGAACGCGTGGTGCATTTGACAACGTTCATGAAGTGATCTAAGCACATCAGCATCGATGAGCAATATAAACAAAATGACCGATCATTATATGTCACGGGGCGTTGACTCGTTCACTTTAGGGAGAATTGATGGATCACTCATCGTACAAGTGACATGTATATACTCATTTTCCAGTCCGTGTGGCATAATCTTTGAGTCGTTGCGCACGGAGACAAAAGCGGCCGCAATCACCATCCATTACGTCGGCCAATTGAAAACTTAGTTTCGATGTGACTGTCCATCAATCGATGGTCAACTGGCCTTTTTTGTAATAATAGAGAAACACTCACAGTACAGCTCCAACAATACGCGCATTTGGCAAGGCTAGAAAACAACGGCACGCGGCAATATGCCAAAGGGGTCATGGCAGTCAAACATAAAATTCCTATTCTCTATCCAATCTAGAAATCTATCCTAAAAGCACCAAAAGAGTGTCCCGAACAAACGCCTACCAAAGACCAAGGTTACAATTTGCCCATCTCGCCTACAAAGAATTTCTCATAGTTCCTCATCTAGGTTCTCATCTTCGTCCATGTTTGTGTCCTCATCTTTGACCTTGTCTATATCCATTTTACCATAACCTGGGTACAATACCAAATGCTTGTCCCCCGGGATGATCTTAATACCATCAGGTTTCGACCAATCCGCGGTTGCAAGGTATGTGTTTCCATCCGGTATGTCGGAGCGTATGAGTTCTAGTTGGTTGTTGGAGTCCGTCTCTGAGGCTGCACACAAGATTTCTTGTCAGAACCAGTCACGAAACAACCGCTGGGCATTCAAACCCAAGGTATCTTGGCTTACCATTAATGTATCTGAAGAGGATACTATGTGTATGCCAGTACATAGCGCCGTCTACCCCATCCTCCGCCAATTTGCGCCACGCCCCGAATAGTCCAGAATCGGGGGTCAGATCGAAGACTAGGTCAGGCTTTGGCTCCGGCTCCCCTTTGAAGTACATGATCTGCGACACGAGGTGGAGAGGTTTACCTGCGGCTCCACAGACGCTTCTTATTTTATAGCTGAATTTCAATTCAAGTTTGCCGGCCATGGTGACGTCGTGATGAAGACACTCGGTGAATTCCATGCATTTGTCCCGGGCCTTCGCTTTCGAGCGCCTGAGAGTCTTCGGGTCGTTGTTGTCTTTCGCGTCTACGCGCTCTTGCTCTGATGAGGAGCGGGGAAGAGGGCCTGATCCTGCGGACTCTGCGGGGGAAGACATGGTAAGCTGCGTATGGAGTTCGTACTTTTGAATCTCAGTTTCTGGAATGGTATGTTCTATGGTTGCTATTAGTAGCTGAATTTTGTAATTTAGGGAAGCGTTATGGAGGGAGAGAGTACGTGAAGCAGTGAAAGATTCTGAGGGTTTATATATACAGCATGTTGGACGCTTATACCAACTTCACGATGACTCTTCTGGATATCAATATTGTTCTGAGCGATACAGATATGAGTATGCTATGAGTCGATAGACGTATGCGGACATGCCGATTGGGGAAGACATGACTGCTGCGGGAAAGATTGGGCACGTGCGGAAGGAAGCGCCGCAGTGACATAGGTAGAAGGAAGAGTGCATCTTTGAACGATATGCTGACGCAACGGGCCTCGTGGATGACGTCCAAGATATCTATCATTTGGGTGAGATTTGAACAAATGTATGACTTGGACAAGAGAGCACGTGTCATACTGTTGCGTGTGGAGGCCCGCCCGTACAATCTAGAACATCACAAGTGCTACTCGAAATCCGTGCCGGAATGGCCTCATCTGTCGTGCTATACCACAATACAAAGCACCTGAATCGAAATTTGGCGTCATCTTCAAAAGGTTCTGTGACCATTTACCGGAGCGTACACATCCAATATTTTGATGACAATCTTATTCGATGCATATTTGACGGGTTGAAGAAATGGACCATCTTGATAACTCACGGCAGTATTGCAAGAGTTTCGCTGGAGATACAAATTTATTGGTCTTATCGAGCAACTCTTCCATTCATTCCGTTCCTATTCTGAACATGGTTCTCCTCCTCAGTGTGCTCCTCAGTGTCTTCCTCAATATCCTCAATGTCATCTAAGAACTCCGCGCTGGAAATGAATTCATTTCGGAGGCGTAATTCGTCTGAAAGATAGTCGTCGCGAATGGACCAGGCAATCGCCCGCCTCCGTACACTTTCAGTAATGGAGTATTCCGAGCCCAAATCCACCAGGGCATACTCCTTCACGAACAAGATGTAACCATATCTCGTTCCTGGTTTCCCATCACTAAAAATAAAGCCGATATCAAGGGATGCATTGTTAACGGGATCGTCCTCTTCCCTGTTCCCCAAGGCACTCCGTATGCTGCGGTCTACCGGCTTGCTTACGCAAGAGACCTTGAAGACCGGGAATCCCTGGGACGTCTGGCCTGCTCTTCTGAGGATCTTGTCATCGGCCGCTAGCCTTTCGTTTATGAATTCGATCATGTCGATCAGATACGCAGCTGCGTCGGACGCCAATTCGTAGCACTGCGTCTTCTCTCCCATGAGGGCGCCCGTGCCCTCTTTGTAGCGGCATACAAACGTGCAATACGCCTTCGCATTGGGCGAAAATCGCCCATGCAGATTGAACTGGCTAAAGTGGAAACACAGCGGCTGCTCTTCCGCGTCTCTCTCTGCGGAACGATTGTAGGCCCACTCTCGGGCACTCGAGCGGTCTGAGAAGGCGACGAATGGGACGTGGTAATTGTCCGCCCAGTCTTGGGGATTCGTCATGTATCCGGGAATGAAGCTAGAGTATACGAGGTAGATGAAGCCCACTCGGTGGCGGGATGGATATGATATCATCCAGGTCAGTGGTACTGCCGGCATTGTAGTTGTTTATTCGTACGGTAGCGAGTTGTGGATATTAGATGGTACGGCAGTGATAGTTATACGTTGTCATCTGTCCAAGTAAGAATATTTGATTGCAGCGGTGAGTGAATGGATATGGATGGTTTGCGAGTTCGGTTTGATGCCAGAAGTAACCTGTCACGGTTGGATGACCTCCGTTCTCTCCATGATGGCACTTTCCTTCCAGGTCAAGTAACGCAAGTGTCTACGACGAAGTCCAATGAAGTCCAATGAAGTCCAGTGTTGGGGAAGTGCAACTACCTTGTCACTTGCCCATGCAACTGCAGGGTTGCCGAATCGAAGCTCGACAGATACCGAATACAATGAGCAGTGAAGACATATGAGAAATGCTTCATGAAATCAGATTGAGAAGAGTTACTACAATACATATCCGCAAGTGCCCGTCCTTTATGCCGTACTAGAATACTTTGTGATTGGAGTGGTACGACGGTGATGATGTATGAGATCCTTTTTCAAAGTTCGCGCTCGTTATGTCTGCTATTCTGCAGTGGCTTTCAAAACGTAAAAGGAGAACCCGGTCTGGGCGGATTCCCGGGAAGTTGTCTAATCTCTGGAACCTTTTCGTCTACTACTACCTCAGCAATCCAAGCCTTGACTACACACGTGCCCTCCGTATATTTGTATTTCTCGGGTGTTCGTTCTAGAAAGTTTATATGTGAATGTAATGCCAATTCATCCACCTCGTTTAACCAATTAGCAAACCAGTCAATGGCACTTTTCTTATCTTCAACCCAGCGCAAATTACTCCACTCCCCAAAGTAATTCAGGTCGCTATCATAAATACTATGGAATATTGTGTATACGGTAGAACCCGATTCAGCGGAATGTCGTGGCTCGGTCATATTCTGGATGGTGAGGTGACCTGTCTTCACTTGGTAGCTGATATCAGGTGTCCGTATTTGGCGGGAATATCTCAAAGCATTTATGCCATCTGAGAAGAGCGTCGTGAAAGGTTCCTCGAGTCCTCTCCTTTCGACAATCCAGAGCGGCACTCGGTTTTCGGGAACTCGGTTTTCGGGAGTCGTGGATTGGGCAGCCATTTTAGTTCGGTCGATGACAAAGTCGTAGTGTGTCGAGGATCAAGTAGTATATTGCCTTTACAATGTAGTATATGCTGTGTAGATTGTGCAACTGGGTGAGAGAAGAAATATCGAGTTTTCTTGGGTGTATTTGTATCATAATACCAGTTATGATAGCAGTGAATGGTCCGCTGCTGGGAGCACGTACTGTGACCAACCGCGGCACACAGTCAGTTTTGTGAATGTGCTGAACGGCATCAAACGCGATGTGCTCTAAACGAGCCGTTCGCCTTCCTGCTGCGACGCATTTTTCAATGTCGATTTGTGAGGTCCGTCGCTGTTTGTGGTACGTCAATCGCGGATAACCCAAAGGGCGTTTATCAACTTTGTCCATTGCCGCCACGGCAGATCAAGCCCTGGCTGCCACACACTATTCAACACGGACCTGCGATAGTTCGCGACTCAACTCCTCGCATGATCAGGACGTGACTGACAAGATTGACAGTTGAGCTTCAATGACCTGTCAAGTATCGCTATTGTGTTGTTTCTTCGCTGTGAATAGTGATATCACTTAGCAACAACGCCGTTAACTCGATTTAATCAACGAAACATAAGCAGTTGCGGTACCGGTGGGGAGGAGTACTTCCTCGCACTGTTTTTGCCGCCATCATCGACTTTGAATGACGCAACGGACCACTCGTGAATACCCACTCCAGGAATCCTTCCCCTTGTCCGTGGCATGTTATCCTCGTCGATCCACCTGATCTCGTCCTGCAGTCTAACCTTCGCGCAGAAGAAAGCTTGACTCTTTAGGCATGCCCCCCACGCACGCTGCCGACTCGCAAAAACACCCATGCAAACGGAACTCTCGGGCGACTGATGGATGACCGCGAATACGGTTCCATAGGTGTCGATACCGGGATCACCCGTAGTGCGGCTGCGGGCTCTTCGGACGTTGGAGGAGACAAGCTCGAGTTGCATGTGGCTTCTGTTTCCGTGACGGAGTGGGAGGGGCACCTCAAGGCCGTGTCGCTGAATCTCCCGTGGTACAATCCGAATCTTGCCCGTAGGGTTCAGATACTCGCTTCCGTCCAGCATGCCTTCCCTTGAGAAGGCGTAAGCCCCATGGTTGATTGCTGCGGTGGTGACGGCATTGAAGGTCGAGTACACGCCTAGGATTTTGCCGGGTTGCGTGGTGTATGGGTACGGCTCGTAGTGGAGAAGATAGATACTGATGGGTAACGAGTCTGGGGGAGGGGCATTCCAGGATTTCTGGAGTCTCTTTCGCGAAGAGCGTTTCCGGGGATGTTGGACTCTGGGTGGTTTGTTTAATCGTCGCTTGGAGCAATGGTATTGGAGGTGACTTGTGAGTTGCAATTCCGGGTTCTCCAGGTTGGATTCCCTGCGCGGTACGCGAAAAGAATACACTTTCCTTTCGGGGCGCATTGTGAGGGGATTCTATGTTGTCGGTGTATCTAATTGATTACTGCTGAGTGAGCGTTTTCAGCTGATTGAAGCGAGTGATGCGGAGGATTGGGTAGCGACAGATGCAGGCTCGGAACGCAGCACGAATGAAGTCTCAGCAAGAGAGAGATTGTTCTTTTTGTATACTGAAATTGATTTGAGATGTAACGAAAGCGAGGAAGAGAGGAGAAGAGAGAAAGAAAGTTGAAATGTGAAAGTGACGTGGATGCTGATATGATGTCGTTGTTGGTCAAACCTCCCCTCCTCTTCCATGTCGTTTCATAGATGTAGTGAGCACGCTAAGCGAGACAAGGATTAGTGCATCAATTGGTCTAGCCGTAATAGGCTAATATGAAGGGATTAGTGTGGGCATCGCTTCCGCGTCATCCCAAAATCCTCTCTCATGCCCTTAAAATAGGATTCGTATCAACCTACAACTTACATTACAGCTTACATCCCTCTGAGGTGACGTCTTGCCGATATAACTGTCTTGATGCAAAGAGTCTCCGATATTCTCTGCTTTCTCTATCTGTTTCTTCTACACAATGGCTCTCTCGTGCTTCGAATTCAGTAATCGTATTGACACAGCTCCGACGTCAGGTCTGTCATCAAGCGAGTAAGGCGACCATCCTGGATCCTGATTCCATTCCACCAACTCAGTGCAGGAGGGCTGTGCCTCACGGGCGTGGGAGCGAACTTTTATCGTCAGCCGGGATTCCATATTGTGGAGGTTTCCGCCGGGAGCCTAGCTCCTTCACGATGGTCGTTGTGCTTGTCCATGCATGCGTATCTAACTTGCCCTACCGCTTGAATAAGCAACGGCCGGAGTGAAATGGTTGTTCGACTAACGAGATAGTCTGCGGGAATCGCGTGGCTATTGTCTAGTGACGACATCTTTGTACAAGTGGTTCTATTAATTGATTAAGTTGATAACTAGATTCCCGCAAGCTACGCGACAACATCGTCGTCGTCGTTGTTGTCGTCCAAGACACCCTCCGCGGCTGCGAACGCATAAGACGGAACATTTCTTCCTTCCCGTTCTCCCAAGCGGAATCGCGCAACCTTCTTCGAAGCTCTCTATGCGAGGCCGCGACCTTCTGTTTCTGTGCTCGTTAAGCAATTCCGGAAACTTATCTGCCGCGGTATATGCAGATAGTTGGATGCAGGACGCAGAATGGATCGCGAGGGGACAATTGAGGCGCTCCTCCGGTGTGCTATGGCGTGTGCGGAGAACAATGCTAACTACCTACCATCTCTGTCTGCGCCCCTATCACTAATCACTCTTCATGTTTTTCTAATCTTACATATTGATGTATGTATCAGCCTACCGACCTCGTAACCTGAAACGTTGAATCAAGCCCAGCCGGGGATATATACACATATGCCCTCGTTCTCGCCTCCGTCTTCGTGTACGCAGGCAAATACGCACGTACGCAGAACATTAAAAAACTAAATATACCACAACTATACCTTTTCCTTTTCCCGACCCTCCCGAAACCTGCCTACTTATCGCTGTACGATTAATAAGTCCAGTCTCTACCTCGATAGTATCCAGATAGCAGACATGTAATCAATCGCCGTATGGGTAGCTGGCGTCCTGACGTTGGGGCTGTGTGCCCTATCGTATCGTACCCGCGTGGTATCCACCTGGCACCTACAATATTTCACACACGCCCCACCGTCGCCGTCGTCGTCGTCGTCGTCGTCGAAAGGTCGCCACTTACTTTCTTTCCGATATCGTGGCTAGATGATATCGATATCCTTGCCTCCTCTTCTGGCCTCTTAAGAATCGACATGGATGATGGTCGCAGGTTACAAGGAAGCAAGCGATTGAAACAATCGCATTGTTTTCCACGCCCGCCATCAGTGTCTATCTGACGTCCCTCGCATTGGTTCAATTTAAGTACTGGTGATGCTAACTAACTATACATCGGAAATTTCCAGCCAGGCGTACAGTTACTTCGCACTGCCTATAACTTCCGTGCGCATCGACAAAGTACGTACCACGAAGGAGACAATACTTCAGTGGCGGAGCCTACGCACGCACGCATCGTCATCTATGTTCAGCCCCAGCACAGACACCACAATCGGTATCACCCCATCGTGACATAAAAGACCTAATGAAAGTGAAGATGAAATCAGGATCTCCCATGTCGTCGCGTTAAGCTTTTCTGAAGATTGTCGTTTTGGCTTATTTTTCTGTCAGGGTGACCAGGGCACGGCGGCGATGTTGCTGGGTTCGGCTGTGATCGGCGGGTTGGGGTTGGGTCTGACTTTCTGGTATATGTACGTAGTGCAGTGCAGTGCAGTGTATGAGTGCATAGATTTAGTCAAGCTTAATGAAAATTCGGGGGGATTGGGGATATGTTAAGTTTATGTGTCTGTATGTGTCTGTATGTGTCTGTATGTGTCTGTATGTGTCTGTATGTGTCTGTATGTGTCTGTATGTGTCTGTATGTGTCTGTATGT